GCTTGAGCAGTATTTGCGGGACCTACTGTAACTACCAGCAGGACAACTGGCATGAACTCCTCCCACTTGCGGAGTTTGCGTACAACAATGCGCCTAGTGCCACAACTGGTGTTTCGCCATTCTTCGCCAATAAGGGTTATCATCCGAACATCTCTGTTCACCCTGAACGCGATCTTGCGAGTTCCGCAGCCCGCGACTTTGCGGTCGATCTGCAGGAGCTCCACGAACACCTCCGCACCAGTATCGCCAGCGCGCAGGAGTCCGCACGCCGCTATGCGGACCAGAAGCGCTTACCTCCGCCAGACTTCAAGGTGGGCGACCGAGTTTTCGTTAAGGCCCAGTTCTTCCGCACGACCAGACCTACCAAGAAGCTTTCGGAACGATACTTTGGCCCTTACGAGATCATTGCCCAAGTTGGAACGGTTTCCTACACTCTCCGCCTCCCCGACTCTCTCCGCGCTGTTCACCCTGTCTTCCACGTCTCAATGCTCGAACCGCATTACACCTCTCAGATTCCGCATCGCCACGAACCGCCTCCGCCTCCAATCGAGGTGGATGGGGAACTTGAATACGAGATTGCGGAGATCCTCGACTCCAAATTGGATCGTCGCCGCAAACATTGCAAGCTCCTGTACGAAGTGCGGTGGCGCGGATACGAGAATACGGACGAGGAACGAAGCTGGCTCCTTGCCACAGAGCTTGAACACGCTCAAGAGATCGTTGGAGAGTTTCACAAGAGGTACCCAGACAAGCCTGGTCCTCATTGGTGATTCCCCGCATTCCCCCGCATTCCGCAATTGACTCCGCATTTCTTCTTCTCTTCTGTTTCCTTTTATTTTCCTAAGTTTTACCTTCGTCTCTCCGTTCTCCGCAATTTTCCGCATCCTGTTTCTTCCACTTCTTTCTCTTCAATTCGTGGTTCTGCATTACTCCTTTCCTCTCTATGCTTCCTCCGCTCCTCTATGCCTTACCTGTTTGACTTTCTTCTCCTGTTCCGCATTCCTCTCTCCTTGATGTTCTCGCTTACTCCTCTTATTCCACTTGCCTTCATTTTCCTCCGCTTCACTATGCCTTCCCTTCCTCCGCACATTATGCTTCAATTTCTCCCTTGCCTCCGCTTCTCTTTCCTCATTTTCATTTCCTGTCCGCACTTTCTATTTCCACTTCAAGAGGACAAGAAATTATTTTTTCATTTCTCCGCAAACGCACCGCAGAGTCACAAGCATGCTGATGATGCCGAGTTGCAAAATGCGGACATCAGATTCTGTGCATGGACCGAGTCCTAACACAAGCCTCGAGGGCTCGGCCTTAACAGGGAGGTACTGTTAGGGTCTCAAACATCCACCCACATCTACCCACAACCCACCAGTCCTTGACCCACACCCCCCGCACAGTCTCACATGATCCCGCATGACCCCGCACATCTCCGCACATCCCCGCACTCGCCATCATCTCTCCGCATCCCGCATCTCCCACATCTCCGCACCTCCATCCCACTCCTGCACATGCACTGTTAGGGTCTCAAACATCCACCCACATCTACCCACAACCCACCAGCCTTGACCCACACCCCCCGCACAGTCTCACATGATCCCGCATGACCCCGCACATCTCCGCACATCCCCGCACTCGCCATCATCTCTCCGCATCCCGCATCTCCCACATCTCCGCACCTCCATCCCACTCCTGCACATGCGGACTCCCCGCATGTGTCCGCTCTATGGATGTCCGCATCCGCAAGTCCGCAGCCCGCAAGTACCAGCGGACCGACACGGCCCGCAACTGAGGGCCGGTGCGGACCGTGCGGAGAAACCTCGTAACCGCCCTCTAGGCGCCCAGACTCTGCATGTGACCTCTTACACTTCTTTATGACTCCCTCCCTTGCTTTGCTATTGTTCTTTGGAATCGTCTTACTCATCCTCTTCGCATTCCGCGGTATTCCGCATTTCTTATGACTCAGTTCTTTCTCTTGTCCCAGACTTGTCCCAGAGTATATCCAGAGTATCTACAGATATATAAGCTAGCTAGATTTCTGTAGTAGATACTCATCCGGAATCTCGAATCAGACTTATACAGAACTTCCCCTCTGTCCAGTCTTGAGCCTTCAGGCTTGCTAGAGCTTTTCCGCATACTCCGCATATCCGCACAGTGCTCCTGATTCCGCTCCGCAAGGCTCTCTCCTCTCTCTTCTCGTCTTCCGCCGCAAGGCGCGTCTCTCTCCCCCTCTCCTCCCCTCTCCTTTCGGGTTGGACCATATACCACCAGCGTGGGCACAACGCAATACGTTGAGGCCAAGGTCCCTTCGACTCCGCAGACTCCGCAGTTCCGTAGAGTCTAACAATAGGCGTCTTTTATCGTCCATTCATTGAGGTATCTGTAGTCTTGGCATGGGCGTTTCTTTCCGTCTTTCTTTGGCACGAAGAACATGGGTGATGCCATTGGTGATTTTGAATGACGGATGTACCCTTTCGCTAGATTTTCGTCAATGAACTTCGTGAGTTCCTCCTCCTCGGCAGGTGTGAGGTTATAGATGGGAAATGATCTGGGTTTGAAGCCTTCCTTGAGATTGATTGCGTGATCCCACTCTTTTCTTTCCGGGAACCGGTTTGATGCTTTTTCTGAAAAGACACTTAGGAATTCATGAAAAGCATGGGGAATTTTGAGTTTGAGGTCCTCTTCAAGAGGTGGTTCATAATCGGAGTCTCTTTCTTCGGTGCTGGTCACATTGAGCCATTTCTCATTGATTTCCTCTGTAGCCTTTCCTTCTATGAAGGCGAGGAGAAGATCTTGATCGTCTTGTTCCATGGTTGGGGAGATGGTGTTTCTCCATTTGACCTCTCCTCGCTTCCAATTGATGTCAGGGTTCTCGTTCTGTAACCAGGGCATCCCGAAGATGAAGTCCCATTTTCCTAATCCTGTGACGTAAATAGTGTATTTTTGTAGTCGTCCATTAATGTTGATGGTGGGTTCAACCATTTGTGAGATGGTCCCCTGTTTGTTTGCAGTTCCATCTACGTTTCGGACTTTGATGGGGTTTTTAAGTGTTTTTGTGGGAATTTTATATTTGTCAACCATCCGGTGGTGGATAAATAGGTCATCCGCTCCGCTGTCGATCAGGACCGTTGTGTCGATGCCACTATCGGGTATTTCAATTGGTAGAACGATCGATCGTTTGTTTCGGGTGGTGATCGTCGCCGTTCCAATTGACAGTTCGGGGACGATCTCCATCGACCTTAAGATGTCCCCTATGAAAAATCCTCCTCGGATCCTTCGCCCTTTGTTGTGGCTCGAATATTTGAGCTTCCCGAATCAGGATGTTTGGGGCAGGCTCGCGTTGTGTGTCCTAGCTGTCGACAGATTCCGCATTTGGCCTTTGGGCAGGCTCGCGCCGGATGTCCCTTCTCCTTGCAGATGAAGCATTTTCCATTTTGTGTGTTGGATGGCTGCTTTGTTTGGATGGCGTCAACATCCATGGCGTCCGGATCTTTTTCTTCCTTCTTTGCCGTTTGTGGGGCGTCCCGGTAGACTACTTTGACCTTCTGCTGTGGCTCGCTGCGATATTCCCGCTCCGTTCGCCATTCTCTATCTACTTCCATGGCGGCGTCCTTCCATTCTTGGAGAGTAGGTGGAATTTTCTTTTGTTCCGCGGGTCTGGCAGCAAATTGGGTGGCAACTCTTAGTCGGAGCTCGGGATTTAGTCCAGCCTTGTATTGGTCTAGGGCCCATTCTTCGCCGTATCCGGTGGCTTCCGCATAGCTGTTGAACATTCCCGTGTACCAGTCACAGGTGTTCTTTCCCATATGGAGTTGCTTGAGCTGTTTCTTTGCGGTTTCCTTATTTGGGAGTAGGCAGAAATACTTTCGGAACTGGATTGATGAAATCATCCCATGACTGGTAGTATCCTTCCGGATCAGTGAAGGTTGGATCCGTCTTCTGAGCCTCCTTCGCCTCAAGCCACTTCTTCTTGTATTCAGTCATTTTTCTATACTCGATGGACGCCCAGTTCCGGGTCTTGTCTTTCTCCGTTTCGTTCACAAGTGCAACCATGTATCGGATTCTTGCAGTAGCTTCATATTCGTTCTTACTATCCAGATATGTTTCCACTGCTTGAATGAAGGTTTCGACGTCTTCCGCCTTTCCCGAGAATTTGGGCGGCTTGGGAATATCCAACTTGGGTTTGGATTCTTCCCTCGCTTTCCGGGCTTTCTCCAGAGTAAGGAAGTCGTCGTACTTCTTCAACATTTCTTCCAAGCCAGTCGCCATTTTTGCAGTGCCCCCACTAATTCCTTCCACATGAGGGGCAGTTTCCGTGAGGGTTTCACTGATTGTGATGATGGCCTTGTTGGCTAGTCCCCAGATCTGATATAGGATCGCTCCTACTCCTATCAAGAAGACTATGGTGTGGACCTCGGATAATTTTTCCAAAAGTCCGTTGGCTAGGGTGGGTGTGGATGGTAATCCGGAGAGTTGTACGATAGCCTGCCAGGCAGACTGAAATATTTGTTCGGCCATAGCTAGTCGTTATAGCGGGCCTTGGAGTGTTCAAGACTTCGTTCTTCTGTTATGGACTATACGTGATACAAGCGACGTGTCGTCCAGTACTCAGCGTCTTTGTGGTCGATGAAATCAACTCGCGACTACGTCAAGAGTTCTTCGCCTGTAGCTTTGTGAACTTCGAGCTAGACTTTTGAGTGATAATTAAAGATATTTGTATTTGCACTGAGACTTGGTATAGCGTTGTGAACAATTAAGAACGAAGTGAGGAAACTAACTAAGAGAACTAGAGAGTTTATATACTAGAAGACATGTGTTAACCATGAGGCATAGTCCTCATGGGTAACATGCGTATTCCGCGGAATGTATGTAGGTTTCTGTGTGTTTTTAATAAGTATCAGTCAGTAATCAATAATGCGCAGTAATATGAGTAAGACTATGAGTTGGAATGAAAAAACATAAGGTGTAGGTGAGGCGAGTATAGTAATATAGTATAGTAAGCATATATGTTCATAACAGTCAACACGGACAAGTTGAAGACTATGCTTGGCATGTCCAAGGAGCCTGGAAAGCAATATCGAGACACACATGTGCTTCTTACGCTAGGCAAAAGTCTCGTTTGGGAATACTTGATAAAAGGAAACATCCACTATTTGGACGACGCGGTTGCGCTTTTTCAAGAGGCAAGGCGACTGCTGCCACCCAGGAGCCCCTTTATCTACACCACCATCACCCTCCTGTGTCACGTCGCATGGATCAGATATACGGAGAGTGGTCAAATGAAGGGTAGGGAAGAGATGGATGCATACAGACAAGAAGAGGAAGAGGAGGACAAGGAAGGACTGGCGGCTTTTCGGATGGGCACGGAATTGAAGGATGGCGATGAAGCAGAAGTGGAAGAAGCAATCTCGCAGCTGCTTCTATCTCTCGTATACCGGCCGGTTGGTCACCTCGAGCGGTCTGCATCTCTCGCCAACCTGGCACTTGCACTGTACACCCGCTTCCAACACAGTGGGGACTTACAGGACCTTGAAGAGTCTATATTGACCGACCGAGAGGCGCTCTCTCTGCGACCCAGCTATCACCCCGACCGATGCTCAACCCTTAACAATCTCGCCATCTCTCTATTGAATCGCTTTGAATTCACAGGCCAGCTTGATGATCTAGAACAGTGTATTTCTATCCACAGAGAAGTCCTCTCCATAAGGCCCCCATCTCATCCCAGCCGCTCCTTCACTCTCAACAACCTGGCAACCGCCCTCCGCACTTGTTTCACGGAGCAGGGCCAAGTCGAAGATTTGAACGAGGCCATTTCCCTCCTTCACGAAGTCGCTACCGCAGAGTCACACTCCCACCCCACTTACTACCCCGTTTTAAACAATCTAGCAGGGTTTCTTCGCCTTCGCTTCGAAACCTCCGGTGGGCGGGACGACCTCGTGGAATGTATCTCACTACTTCAAAATGCGCTGGGAGTACTCCCGGATTCTCATCCTCGACGTATATCGTTGGTGGTGAATCTCGCTGCATCTCTGTCAACCCACTTCGAACACAAGGGCGAAGTGGGTGATTTGGACCGCTCTATCGTGCTTTTACAGGAAAGCCTGAGTCCCATGACCCAGCAAATGCATCCAGGCAACTGGAGAGCGCTCAACAACCTGGCAGCTGCCCTCTCAACCCGTTACAAACACAGCGGCCAGTTAGAAGATTTGGAAGAATCCATTCGACTACATAGGCACGCTCTTGACTTGATACCATCCCCTGCCTTACACCCGGAATCCCTCAACAATCTTGCTACCACGCTGTTCACTCATTTTGAGCATAAAGGCTCGCAAGAAAGCCTTCAGGAGGCAATACTGCTCGAACGCGAGGCGCTCGACCTGCGCTCGCCCTCCGATCCCCAGCGATCCCTCTCAGTCATCAACCTCGCTGCCCCCTTATTCGCCCGGTTCGAGTTGGCGGGATGTTTCCAAGACCTGGAAGACGCCATCTCTCTCGAACGCGAAGCACTCGAACTAAGGGCAGAACCTCATCCTGATCGCTCCTCTTCCCTTCAACTTGGCAACGTCCCTCTTGGCTCGGTTCTTCTGCACAGACGACCCCACGGATTTGGAGGAAAGCATCTCTCTCCATAGAGAAGCCCTCAGCCTTCGGCCTCCATCTCACCCACAACGATTTGCATTGCTCAAGGGTCTCGCAGACTCGTTCCTATCTTGTTTTGAGAGAAAGGGAGACTATCGGGACTTGGAAGAATGCATTTCGTTCAACAGGAAAGCATTGGAGCTATCGAACGTGCCTCATGATGCTGCCATTTCGTTGCACAGTAACCTCGCCCTTGCTCTTTCCATTCGTTGTAAAGACAAAGGCTCGATCAAGGACATAGAGGAAGCTGTTCTGCTCCAGAGGCAGATCCTTGAGCTACGGCCTGAAGCGCATCCCCGTCACTCGTCGACCGTCTGTGATCTCGCAAAATCCCTTTGTGATCGTTACGAGTACAAGGGCGATTTAAACGACCTTCACGAATGCATTGCACTCCTCCGACAATCGCTAGCCCTGAGACCCGAGCCCCATCCAGACCGGCATTCATCCTTGACTCACCTTGCGTTGGCACTTCTTAAACGCTATGACTGGTTGAAGGAGGACATCGCGGACTTAGAAGAAAGTATATCCCTGTACCAACAATCACTCTCGGTCTTACCACCTTCTCATCCAAACCGATTTGCGGCCCTTGGACATTTCGCGGTTGCCAGATGGAAATGGTTCCTTATCTCAGGGGACCAGGAGGATCTCGACGCTGCCCTGAAGCTGTTCCGAGCACCCTCGTCTGACGGAACGATTGCGCACCATCTCCCGGCAGTTAGAAGCCATTTCTCTCCGGACAAGGGAGGATAGTCTCGTTGCAGAGCACAAAGGCCTGGAATGCCCTTCTCCCCAAGCACTCTGCCAACAGCGAGACGCCATCATCGATGAGATTCGTCAACTTCAGGGATTCAAAGATTTCTTGTCACCCCCTTCCACTGCTTTTCTCAAGAAGGCTGCGCACAACGGACCCGTCATTTTCTTGATCACCAGCATGTATGGGTGCGATGCCTTGGTTCTGAACGAGGACGGTTGTTTAGAGCATACACCTCTCCTCATCCAATACGATGCCTTGATCCACTTGAAAAAGGTTGTCCAGCAACTGGCCCAAGGTCATTATGCTAGCCTCGATATGATCACAGATGTTGCTTCATCAAGGGGAGAAGGAACTCGCCTCAAGGCCCACCTGAAACCGCCCGGAACAGACTCAGAGAGCATTCCTTCGGTTGACGATGCTTTCCAATCGGTTCTGGCAACTTTGTGGACGGAAATTGTGAAACCCATTATTCAGACGCTCGCATTGGCCAAAGTATTGCTCTTCACTTTTCCCGGATCCCCCTTTCATTGACTTCTACTACTTTTGCCAGACCGATTCTCCCAAAAGGATTTGGTGGTGCCCCACTGGCCCGTTTGTTTTCCTTCCAGTTCATGCTGCGGGGATATATGCCGGCGAGGACGGAGGGAGCGACTGCTTATCTGACTATGCAATCTCTTCATACTGCTCGAGCCCGCAGGAACTCATTTCTTCTTGCAGTGAACCATCGGAAGACTTCAAGCTGCTTGTCGTGATCGAACCCGAGTCCACAGAACCTGGTGCAAGGCCCCTCCCCTGGACGAAGGAGGAGCTGGAACGGATTCGCTCTCAAGTTCCCAATGCTGAGAGCCTCATCCCTCGTGTTGGGTCGAAGGCGTCTCCGGTCCCTACCAGTGACCTATTCGAAGACATCAAGAAATCGACCATCGTTAGGGAATGACGAGGGGTACCCTCGGGTAAACTGAGAGCTACCCTTACCCCTACCCCTGTAAACCCTTACCCCTCAGTCAGGGGTAGGGGTAGTACCCTTACCCCCCAACCCTGGGAGTTTTGGCCAAGAGTTTTTAGAATTTTGGCACTAATCATTAATTACAGTAGTTTATATGGATATTTTGATGTGTTTTATCACTCATACAGCAGTTATTTGGTAGAAACTATACACAGATGTTGAAATAAGCAGGTTTTGGCTGATTTTTATCAAAACCCTTACCCCCGGCTAGGGGTAGGGGTTTGGCCAAGGGTAGCCAAAGACCTACCCTTACCCCTACCCCCCCTCTACCCCTGGCCTCTACCCTGGGGGTTTTAAAACCCCTTGACCATCCCTAACCATCGTGCATTTCGGTTGTCACGGAGCGCACGATCCATCCAACCCTCTCGATAGCTCACTGCTGCTTAGTGGTGGGCGCCTTTCCATGTCGGACCTTATTCATCAATGTCGCTCGTCAAGCGCTTCTCTCGCCTATCTCAGCGCTTGCGAGACAGCCATGGGGGATGATGAACGACCAGACGAATCTTTGACCCTCGCTGCTACGATGACTTTTGCTGGATTCCGAGGGGTAGTTGGGACAATGTGGTGAGAGCTATTCAACCTCTTCTTGTTGATTCATTTATCCGGGCATACTAGGTCAATCCATGATGCTGATGCTCCCATAGTTGCAGATGCATTCTATGGCTACCTTTTCCGCCATGGAGTGGACGCTCCCCCGAAGGTTACCGACACTGCATATGGACTTCACCTTGCCGTGAAAGAGTTAAGGGAACAGGGAAGGTCATTTAGTCGTTGGGTACCTTTTGTACATTTTGGAGTATGAACTTCGAATATGTCAGTAATTTTGTATTTGGCACTGGTATTGGTTAACTAAGTAGTTGGACAATGTGTTAAAATCTTGCTTTCAAGAGCTATACAAGGCAACTGCTTTAACCCTGTCAGAGAGTCTGTACGAAGAACGGGGAATTTCCATTAAGCGCCCGAGGAGCCCCTATCCATATTTGAAGCTGAGACCAAAAGCGGACTTTCAATAGAAATTCTGTCGTCATCGTTGATGGCGACGACGAGAACGGCTTGGCTATCGACATTGACGATGGCCTTGGTCGCATCGCTGCTCGAGCTCCCCAAGACTTCCAACGGTCTCGAGACCTTTGGAATTGGAATTCAAGACAACTCAAATGATGGGTCGGCATCTCCTCGTCGCAAAATAGCCCGTCTGGACGCCGACTCTGATATTGCTTCTAGGTCGAAGACAAAGACTACACCGTCTGGACCTTTTGTGATTCGTATAATTGGAGAGGATATAGGTGAGTTCTTCAATCTTAAGGTCAATTGTCAATTTACTGATAGAAACTCAAATTCTTTGACGTAGCTTCGAAGGATCAGGCAGAAATAAGGAGGGGATTGCTGGGATCTGTAAACCGATGCGTCCGGCACATCTTGACGGTTGGGCAAGACGCAACGGCGTTACCAATGTCATACGAGAAGATTTACCAAGATTGTCGCTCAATCGTTACTGTTCATAGTGCCGGTTCCGAGCTTTACGATTACGTGAAGCTGGACTTGGAACAAGCAATGTCCAAACTGGCCAGCCACCTCCTTACCTTCGACGCGCAGGAGAAGGTGAAGTGGTTAAGTTTCTTCGCGCAGAATCTGAAGTGGTTTGATGGACGAATTGTAAGTGCTTGGCTTATCCGTTCAGCTTCCGGTCCTTACATTTAGATGTAAAGACATTGCTGCAGTCGCTGTTGACATACCTCGATCAAGTTTACGTCGCAAATCACAGCTTGACCAAGACTACAATCCACGACCTTGCCTATGGCCTGTTTGCGGATCGCATCTTCTCTAACCCTGACATCAGAGATCGCCTCCTCTCAGGGCTCTCCAGTTGGCTCAAGTACGAGCGCGACAACGTGTATGTTCCTCCCATCATTCGAGCTCTCCATCACCTGAAGTATTATTATTCTACAGTACGCGAGCGGAGGAGCGTCCACAGATCGCAGAGCTGATCAAATATCTCATCAACCACAATCAGTATAGGACGTTCGAAGAACACTACCTCGAGGTTACACAGTTTTACTACCGAAGGGAATCCAAGGCCAAGGTCGAGAGCATGCGAGACAACCCCAAAGGCTTCTTCAATCTCATCGAGTCGAGGATCAAGCAAGAAATCGAGAGGTCTCGCGAGCTTCTGCAAGTTGGCACTTGGAGTATCGCACTGGAGACGACAGAAACAGCCTTGCTAGACGGAAGAGTCGATTTCCTTTCCACTTCACGTACGTCCAGTTGCCTTGGACCGTAGAAAACACTTACTAATAGGCCCTTAGTCGTTCCACTGCTTCTCGGAGAAAGCGATATCGATACTTTGGGTGCACTATACTCTCGCCTGAACCGTGTCGACGCCCTCAAGCCCCTTGCGCAAGCCTTCAAGGAGTATGTCCAGGGTGAAGTGAAGACCATCGTCACCGACACCGAGCGGGACAGCGAAATGGTCGAAAGGCTGCTTGACCTCAACCGACTCGCACACAAAGCTATTGATCAGGCCTTTGTTAAGGTCTCACAACCATCCCAGAAACCGTCTACCAGCGCAACCCCGGTCGAACCGGAGAAGAAACCCGACCAGGAATTCATCTACGCGATGGAGGACGCGTTCAATCGCGGTTTCCGTTTCCGCCGCAACAAACCTGCAGAAATGATCGCCAAGTACCTCGACAAGCAGCTTCGCAAGGGTCAGAAGGGCATGAAGGACGCAGAGTTCCAGGCTGAATTGAGCAGGGTGCTGCCACTGTATCGCTTCACGGAGGACAAGGACGTGTTTAGGACGTTCTACCACCGCATGCTCTCCAAGAGGCTGTTGCTCGGAAAGTCGGCGAGTACCGACATCGAGAAATGGATGCTGAAGCAGCTCAAAGACAGTTCGTGTTCCTCCTTCCTGTTGCAACGTCCGTGCTGACCAGGAACTCAGAATACGATCCCGAATTCGGAACGGCGGAGGACATGTTCAAGGATCTCAACTTGTCAAGGGACCTGGTCGAAGGATTCCATCGCAAGAACGACAACCCCGAGAGCCTCAAGCTCAATGTCATGGTTCTCCAACAGAGCGTATGGCCGTTCTCCAGGCCGCAGACTGACGTGGATTTGCCTGTCGAGGTGAGTTACACTTGGAAAGTCCCAGGATATAATCATTGACCTTTGAAACCCAGATGCAAGATCAGCTGATCAAGTTCACGGAGTACTACAAGGACCAGCATCAGGGTCGCACTCTTCATTGGGACCCAGCGCTAGGCACTGTGTCGCTCCGAGCCTCGTTCAAAGCTGGCGTGAAGGAGCTCTCTGTCAGCTTGTACCAGGCAATCATCCTGCTCCTCTTCAACGACCAAGACGACATCCCGTTCAAGGACATTGCGGAGCAAACCCGGATCGGTATGTATCCCTCGAGTTAGTGCGTAGGTTGGCTTATTGATCGTTCGCAGAGGACGCTGAGCTGCGGAGGACACTGCAAAGTCTGGCGTGTGGAAAGAAGAGGGTCCTGAGGAAAGTCCCACCTGGGCGTGACGTGGAAGACGGAGACGTCTTCAAGTTCAACGCCGACTTTACCGATCCGCACCACCGCGTCCACATCAACACCATCCAGGCTAAAGTCTCCGTACGTTGGCTATACCCATTCTCATCTTTTCCCGTGCTAACAAAACCGTCCAGGCTGAGGAATCGAAGCGCACCAACATATCCATCGAGTCCGACCGTATCCACACCATCGACGCAGCGATCGTTCGAATCATGAAAGCCAAGAAGGAACTGAACTATGAGCAGCTGAAAGTGGCTACGATCGACGCTGTCAAGAACCACTTTGTTCCGAGTGTGGATCTCATCAAGAAGAGTATCGATTCGCTGGTGGACAGGGACTACCTCACGAGGAACGAGGAGGATATGTCCAAGTTTGTGTACGTTGCGTAAGGTGAGATGAGGTGGTTTGTATTACGGCGGCTTCAAAAGCGGGTGCCGAAGGTCAATACGAGTAGGCACATCATTGAACGGCTATATAAACTACAGTTGAAGCCCTTCCCTAACCCATTCAGCGATCTTGACGTGAAGTTCATTGGCTTCACCGGCCATACAATCAAGATACTGGCTGTTATGCACCCCGTTCGGTTCGACAAACGTGGTGAGGAATCCAGGTTGTTGCGAAGGGATCTTCTTCATCACGGCCTGAACATCGTCCCTCATGCACTCGTGCTCTCCGACGCTCATCCACACCCGCCCTACAACGCCTTCGGCACCAGAGAACCACCCCTCGGGTGTGTTCAATGCTTCGGCGTATGGAGCTGCGTCTTCGGAGGTCCTCAGGAAAGGTAGAACGTACTCGAAGAGTTCGCCCCACGACCAGTCAGGGAGGACGTCCTTGTCGGTGTTCTCCCGATGAGAGGCGGCTTTGGTGTTGAGTGAGACGATGGGGGACATGATGCACATACTTCCGAGTTTTGTTCCTTCCGGGAGAGTGAGTTTGGGCACAGAGGAGTCTGGAACGGGGTGGAGGAGGTGAGAGAGGAGCTGGAGGACGAGACCTCCGCCTGCAGATTCACCGGCGATGTGGATGTTTTCGGGTTTCGTGTCTTGGGAGAGGAGGTGCTGGATGGCGAGGATGATGGGTTTGAGTTGAGAGGGGAAGTTTCCGTTGGGAATTAGCGCTGGTCGGAGATTAGCATTGAGTAACTAGAAGTATGAGTGTGGGGCGTACGATAAGCGAGCGCAACTAGTCCGACTTGAGCAGATGGAAAGTCTTGATTGATGGAGTCTACAGCTTTCTTCCAGTAGTCGGCTGCAAAGTCTTGAATTGGAAGGCAATAGCAACCTCCTGAAATCACCTCGAGCGTCAAACGCGTTTCTACTTGCTAATTCCTGGAAGCGGAATGCTTACCGTGAATATACAAAATGACTTTCTCCGTACTCTTCTTTGAAAGCCACATAAGACTCGAATCTTTATCCAGCTCTTCCACCAGTTTCTCGACTTTCTGGCGTTTAGCCCATTTGGTGTACACGTCCAAGTCGCTTCCTAGCAAGCTCTGTATCTGATTAACGCGTAGAGAAGAGCTGCTGTAGCGGAAACTGAAGTCGGCCAGAACGCGTCGCCATGTTTTGTGTTTCTCGTGCTGGACAAAGAAGGATGACAGAAGGCGATAAATCGAAACAACCGCTGTAGAGTTCTTGTCAGGGCGAGCTCAGAGTGCAGGATAATGAGAACCTACGGAGAGGTAGAAAGACAAAGACCATATGAAGGCGCTCTAGCCATGTCACGGAGCCATAGGGTCGCGTCTGAACCGAGGTCGCCATGGAGGACGAGGGCGAGATAGAGGTTGGATGTTTGAAACAGGAATGACGTCTTGCATTTCTACGGATATGATCAAGGCTATTATATACCTTGAGCCACGCTGCGGCCCTGGTGATGCAGATCACTATCAGCAGTTCGCGAATATTTAAATACGGGAAAATTCGGGTTTCTTGTTCCTGCCGATGACTTGAATGGGACGGCACCCATGGGCGTCATGATTTGCGCTGGCAGGGCTAGGGGAGGGCGGCGCCCATGCAACGCTATCATCCACAGGAAGTTGGTGTCACAATGAATTGGGATTGTGGTACTTATGACAGGTGCAGTCTTCCAAGCAAGGCAACTCCTTCATCATTCGGCGATATAACGATGACAAAGTCAATTAGAGGAATCCTATGCAGTCGGTTAATCTTCCTTCTCCGGACGCTAATAATAAGTTCCTACACGTCCACTTATTCATCGACAAAAATTTGATGTCGCAAGGTTGGGAAACTTGTCTCTGCGCGCGTATGCACGACTATCCCTCGCGAGCGAATCGACCTCCTCCCCCAACTTCTCCACATCCTTCAATTCCACAATACCCCTGTCACTCAGCGCCTGGACCAGCTTTAGTGCCCACGGCGCACACTCTCCAAACTCCCCATTGTCAGGGGGAGCGATGCTTGATGCTATCTCCTCGATAGTGTTCTCCGCGGTATCAAGCGGCAGGGGGTCCTTCGTTATACGAAGGAGAGAGCTCAAAAACATATCCCCTACGACTGGTTGCGTCCGACGCTGGAATTGCCAGTTGGGTGAAGTTTCTCTGTCGATGCGAATGTGGAAGAGGGTTCCTTTGTTGGCGTCTTTGGCTAATAAGAGGCCGATGTGAGGAGAGCGGGCCTGAGTGAACCCAGCTAGGTATAAAGCCCCAGGAACGTAGTCTGTTGTCATCGTCGCTTCTCAACGGTGGGGAGACGAATCAGAATTGTAAACGAGACGGACGAGACAGAGCCGTGTGGACGTAGCGTGGTGACAGTCCCGCTTGAGTCACACATTCCTGTGCTGGGCGAATCCAGCGGACTTCGAATACCTGATCATCTTTACCCTGACAGCCTTGGACTGGTGGACTAACCTTTTACCTGAAGATCTAGCTAAGAATGGTAGGGGATTTTGCCTGGCGGACTATGGGTTCATCGCCGAGTACATTTGCCAGAAATTCTGGGACCACCTGGCGGAAATCGCAGCGCTGGACCTTACGGATGTCCGAAAGGTGTCCGTAACCTGAGTCCAGCGTTCAAAAATGATCGGTATTCTCCTCCCTGTGTGTGCTCGTGTACGTCGAGAATCGAGATGTAAGTTCCCCATAGATCGAGAGTGGTACAATGTCGGCATTGCTTGTAGGGCTCGATGCCGACGAGCTCGCAATGATCAGCGCTCAGCGGATAAGGACCTACAGAGACAAACGGGCGAAAAACATTTCGATTCCTAGGAGCGCCATCCTTCCTCTCACACACCATTACCCAACCGACGTCTCCATTTCCCTCCCAGTTACAGCCATGCACTCGTCCCGCTTTCCTCTCGAACTTATCGCAGAGACGCTCTTCTACCTGCAAGATGATGTAGAGACCATCAAGCGAGCCTCCCTCATAGCTCGTATTTGGTATGAGGGTTCACGCCTGTACTTGTGGAATCACATCTATCTAGGCCCACCCAAGCCTGCAATGCGCTGCAAACAAATGCGCAAAATCATCGAAGCTCGACCAGCCGTTGCGGCGAGGGTAAAGCGCCTCACGATCGTCGACGATGCGAAGGACCATAAAAGCGATTACGCAGACGGATGGCTCAAGCGCTCTCACGATGTCCTTGCCATTCTGCCTCTGCTCGTATCCATTCATGAGGTATCAGTGAAATGTCGCTGGTACTTCAACTGGGCATTAGCACCACTCCAATTACGTGCCGCATTATTCGATGTTTTCTCAAATCCTCACGTCCGCGAAATCGACTTGGTCGGAATGAAGTATATGCCAATCACCCCATTTGCTCATTTCTGTCATCTCGAATCCCTTTCGCTAGAGAGGATAGAAGTCGACAGCAGAGAGGAAGACGCCTGCTTTCCCGTCAACCGCGCAAACAGCACCACTAACTCAATGAAGGCGCTGCACATTGGAGAAGCAGGGAGGGCTGTTGAAGTGTTGTTGAAGTACGTCACTCGCCTGAAAGGCAATTCTGCAAATATTGGCGTTGGCGGCCTTAAGCCACGCGATCTATCCGTCAGCACTATCAACTTCAAGGGTGCCGAGCAGCCCTGGACTACCATCCTGGACTCAATATGCTCGCGGGTGACTACATACACCATTATGCTCGAATGGGCCCAAGACTTCCCAGAACAACTTTACCAATTCCATCGCTTCCGGCGCCTCGCGCGACTTCGCTTTGTTGCTTCATGGCGGTACATTGGGAGGCAGGGGATCTTCTATGCCCCTCTTTACGCCTATTCTCAGCGTAGGCCATCTTCCGGCATGCGCACCTTTCAACTGGCGGTGGACTTCTACGAGCCTGGTGTCACATCCACTCGAATGATGGACATAATCCTTTTCGACTTCTTGGGATCGTGGGCGCAGCGTTGGATCGAGAACCTAGACGGTATACTCGGAGGAGAAGTAGCCGACTTTCCCCAACTTGAAGAAGTGGAGTTCACAGCGGTTCTTCGATCTGCCCTTTCTGAAAATGATTGGGGCCTCGTGAAAGAGACACTAGAGTCTCATTTTCCTCGCGTCAAGGCAAAGGGAATATTAAAGATTCGCAGGTAAGGTTCTCTGTATGTCTTTAGTAAGAAGCTGACTGATGAATGTGCGCAAGGGTGACCTATCTGTACAACGATGGGATGGGCAGTGCCTTCATTCTCCGACCGAGAAAGATTATGTCAATCCGTAGTGGGCAAGACTGAGGGCTTTATCTTAGGGCATGGCATGATTGGAATTTTCATTGAATGCGATTGTTAGTTTCAGGTGCTGAAAGTGTCTGTCGCATCTTGAATGTGATCATCTTGTTGAACACACTACACCTCAGATGTCAGACTCTGGACAGGGCAGCAGTGGGCGAAGGTCACACGAAAATTCCACTGCTGTTATGTGAACACCCACAGAAAAGTGGCGAACATGTCTCATGTTGTCGATGTGATTATTTACACATTGACACACTGCCTACAAATCGTCCACTGATGCAAGTGCCGCTGAGTTCGGCTCTGTGACTTGGATTTGGATCGACTGTACATAGCCCCGAAGAGCTTTGTCATTTCCTAAAACGGAAGGTCAATGCCGAAGGCTCCGCCATTCCAACCCACGGCCAGTATGTAATACTTGAACAGATTGTACCATCTTTTGAGCTGTAGAAGCCTCTCGTATTGTGATCAATATTGTGAGCCGAGTGATCACTGGATACTGTTGTTGCCAAGTATCCCCGCCGTCACACCAGAATCAGATCACACTGGAGGGATACAAGTGGAACCTACCCTGGTGTACGTGAGGAGGACCTAGCCATACGTCAAGGCCAAATGTCCACATTATTGTTGGGGATGAGGCACCAGATATCTAAGGCCCTGCATTGCAAGTGCAGGCAGACCACAGTGCAACTCGATGTTGGCGTACATTGGGAAGGAATACTAGAGCCTGAGGCAGCCCGTATTTCGAAGGAGAGAACTCTTTCAGTTAATTGTGTTTTCAGAGGTATAGATACGAGAGCCATCTACAGCTTAGATGGTAGTCTGTAGGCACAGATATGATGTCCGTTTTACATCGGCTGTCCGTGTATCGTGCATTACATGACAACCAGCAGGTGTTACTCGCCTGTTAGTGTAGACAAACTGTCATGTCTACCCAATCCACACAGAGATACTGTGATATAAGTTACGAAACTTGTAACTACATTTATCTCAGTCGTCCCGCTCTGGACGGCTGTGGATGACTCAAGCCCTCGTATAAAAGGGAGGCCACAGGCAAGTCAGCATCTCAGAACCCCACTTCACCAACTAGAAAGGCAAGCAAACTGTTGAATTATCGAGTAAATAGTTTAACTGACCTTTTCTACGCTCATCTAGCGCATATACGATCGCAACACCATGAAGCTCATTCAAGCCTTTTTTGCCTTCTCTGCCTTTGTATCGCTCGCCGTACTGCCTTCAGCTGCATACGACCCCGACAATGCGTATTCCCGGCGTCGAAGGACCGACCAAGACCCCTATGCGCGTAGCGTCAGAAGGACATACCGTCCTTCTGACAGACTCACTGCACGAGACCTCGATCTTTTGCATGAACTACTTTACGGCCGGTCGACTCAGGCTCAGGCTCCGCCGCCGCCGCCGCCATGCGCGATGATAAACATGAACCTGAACGCACAGGATGGCGATAAGTGTGTCTCTGGCGATTGTGTGGCCCTCGGAGCTCGCTGTAACGAAGTGACTTTGACCAACGGTAGTAAAACTTGCCGAATGACTGGCACTGGGACGGACAATCCTGCGTGCAAGAAATGTCGATGTGTCAGTAGCCACGGTGGAGCAATCAGGTCCACTTGAAACCTTTCCGATCGCCAATCAGTTCCGGCAGGCACACCAGCTCCTGGACCTATTCAGGCGTAAATACCACGGCGTAACGTTCACGGCGCACGCCCACTGAGGCATGTAGTGTAGGCACGCGCTGTATACTATACAGACCCCCATTCGTACCGGATGTCTTTATTATTTATATATTTATTCTGGCTTCGAATCTAACCAGATGTTGACATGGCACTTGTAATCCTAAACACGACCGAGTCTCACCGCAATCGACCGTTTTGCCGCTCAGCATTTTCCTCTTGCTCTTTCTTCTTGTCCCACCGCAATCGTGAGGAGCAACTGAGAAATCGAGGCTCGCAATAAAGGTATCCATATTATACTGTACAATTGCGTCGTAGTAGGTAGTCCAAGGTCGAGATCTCGACATTCAAAAATCAAAGGTAGAAAACCGAATCACAAAATACAAATACACTATAACTCAGTACTCAACGTTCAACTCCTCCTCCTCCACCACCACCAAGGCAATCAAAGCCAACGTCTATCCCAGACGAACAGCATCCCTCTGCTTCGTAATCGCCGCACACATATCCAGATATGCTTCAACCTGGGTCCGTTTCTCTTGCTGAATCTACATCCATCGTCAATCATTCTGAAGGCATCAGAGAGAATACGGCTGTGTGACTCACCTCCTGAATCCTAGGCTCAATCGTATCAGGAGTGATGATTCGATATACAGTGACGGGTCGAGTCTGGCCAAAACGATGGACACGAGAGATAGCTTGTTCCTGGGAGACCCGGTTAATTCTGAGCGAGCATAATTGGGGAGGTCCTACAAACTTCGACGAAGGGATTCCACCAAGGGTCCATGAGGATGACATTGTTGCAGCTGGTAATATCAAGCCCTAGTACGCCGGTCCGCGTTCAACTTAAAAGTCTGGATGACGCAAGAGGCAGACGTACCGACACTCCCGGCCTTGAGGGAGATCAACATGACATGGCATCTCGGGTCATTAGCAATGACGTCCAACGCTCCGGTTCGCTCATGCGTGCTCTTCTTTCCATTGACTACGAACAACGGTCGACGGTCAATTAGGTGAGAACAGTATCCAAGGCCAGGCAGTAAGGTACGTACATTCAATGAATTTGATTCTACGGGCGTCAAGGCATTCACCGAGAAGTTCCAGTAGGGTCACGTAAGAGGACTGTAAAAGACGTAGTCATAGTCAGCCAATCGAGAAACCGAGGTTGAGAACCGGGATAACGCACGAAAATGACGACCTTCTCCCTCGCCCCTATGATCTTCCTGAGGAGGTTGAGTACCACCTTGAACTTTCCGGAAAGGTACTTGTCGCTGTACACATTATCCTCCTCACTGGTCTCCTGTTTCGCGTGGATGTAGGGAACAATATCATCGTCGATGTCCATATCCATCTCGTCCCTAGCCCGGTATGAGATCAAACTCAGGATCATGACGCGAAACAGCGTAGACTTACTTCACCTCATCCACAACGTCCATGTCCACCTCCGATTCAGATTTGGTCTTGCCAGGCGGCGTAAGAATCCCAGCCCGAACCAAGAGTTGGGGATGCAGACAACCTAATAAATCCAGCGGTTAATATAATTGCTCGCGCTTATAAGAGGGAATATTTCTACCTTGTCGCCATCGCATCAAGCGAGGTAGCCCCGCCACCTTGTCCTTCACTGTATCGTAGGCTTTTCTCTCTTCCTCAGTGAACGGAATCTTGATGACAAGATTGGTACGAGGAGGTAAATCCTTATCTTCATCCAGTCGTCTGATGAAGACCAAGTCGATGAGAACCTGGAAAGAAAGGTGTTCGTCTCCTTCAAAGACCAAGGGAAGAGATGTTACTTACATCGTTTTCAAGATTGTGATATGTAACGACATGCTCTGCACGCGGATTCCTGTTCTTCTTTCCCGAGTGGTAGGCTTCGTATTCCCTTCGCCTGAAGTCCGGGCGCTTGGATGGATGCTGGAGGAGAGCCAATGGAACCTGGAGATCATTGAGACTGTTCCCGGCAGGCGTTCCACTCAACAAGAGGACATGGTCCTTCTCGAGGCGTAGTAACGCACGGGCGCCAAGCGTTTCCGGGTTGTTATGATTCTGGAATTCATCTAGAGTAGCGCGTTGGTATTTCGAACAGCCGACAGTCTGTGCAAATGGCTTACCGACGATGACGTAGAACCAGTGTATCTGAGTCATATGCGCTTTATGAGGTTGGTTCTCGAAATAGGCAGACTTGTGGTGGTTTCCAATCATGTTGATGGTAGAAATCTTCCGTGATGTTAGATGAATTCAGACAACCGAAGATCGACACTCACCACAATGTCAGCATCCTCCGGTATGCCTGAAGGCGGCTGAGCCAATGTCGAAAGCTATACAGGGATTCGTACGACTTACGCTGGCTTCCGCTGGTGTATACGAACACTTTGAAGTTGAAAAGCGCGATGGCGTGCTCTCTCCAGTGCTCATGGAGCGACTTTTCGGCACAAACCCTAAACGAGAGCGTCAGAATTCCACGGAGGCCCAGTGGACATCATCGTACTCACAGCACCGGCTTCCGACCCATTGCCTTTCGCTGTCGGCTGCAAACCATTTGCAGCTGTCTGAGACTTTCCGCCACCACTGCCAGTGCAACGTGCGTTTTCCCAAGCCTTCGTGGTCCTCATCAACCGACAAAGGCTTACCACAGAAAGGAAAAGGACTCACCCCATGTGGTAGTTCAAGATCTTGCCCTGAGCGACGTCTTTTAGCAGATCATCATCCTTGTCGAGGCGCATCCGTTCGCGTGCGAGGGTTTCCGCAACTATATCTTGGAAGTCAAGCTGCTGGAACCACTTCAATGTGTGGCCGTTGTCGGTGCAATATTCAACCGTGAGATTGCCGTCCTCGGTCTTCTGCTTCGCTTTGAGGCGAGCAACCTTCAGAGGCCTGACGCTGAAGGGTTGGAATGGCCCTCGAACCTTCTTCGCACTCGTCTTCTGGGTTTCAGGTTCAGAACTAGAAGGATCGACATTAGTGTCTTCTTGCTTCATGTTGTCGGTATCACTTGAGCGGGGCCGAGAGGCTGGAGCTTGCTTCACCGGAGACTATGAGGGGGAATAGCCAGTTAGATAATCCCGGACTCATGCAACGAGTTGCTTACCGATTCCGGAGTGGCGAGACCATTTGGGAACGTCGTACCGGTGGCAAGAAACCCTCGCCTTTTCGGTGTACTGGTAGACGAAGTCTGTGTACCCACATAAGCCAAAACCAAGGTCCATCAAGGAGACGCCTTACTGGTTCCAGCTTTGAGGTGGACGGTACATTGACATTCTCAAACTTGACGGAAGGATGGAGCTTGCGACTTGGAGGTGGAAGGAAAAGCGGGGTCCTAAGAGGGGCTTCTTGTTCTCGTTTCACAGGTGCAGCAGTCCTCCTGACAGGGACCTACAGAGACCGTAAGCGTTAGGTAATTTGAATACGAATGAAAACACTTACTCGAGTTGGACTCGGCGGAAATTCGTCTTCACTTCCAGGCTCTTGCTTGATGAGCGTTCCGGTGCTAGGGTTATATCCAATAAAAGTCTGCTTGGTGGAAGGTGGCGGAGTATTCAACGCTAGCTGATTCGAAAAGCGGGACGTCGAGCTTCTCGTGGAGGCGCCTTCAAATGGGTTTGTACTGTCATCGTGTTCTGGCTTGACGGGTACAGCTAAGGCTTGAGCTGGCCTCTTTCCTCTTGAGGCTGATGGTTTGGGGAGAAGAATAGGTCTATGCGAAGATGGCTTGGCTCCATGGGATGAAGTGGCTGTTACGTCCGCAGAGTACAGTTGTCGCTGGCGCTGGCGCGGGGGTGAGGGTGGTGGAGTTGACAGAGGTGCAGTATGGTATGACGCTGTGCTGGAATCGCTATCGCTCGATGGTGAGGAAGATCGTGCGGACCGGCGAGCGATGGATCTGGAAATATCGCTAGCTCTCCGATGTTCCGGGGTTCCTTGCTGTAACCTCGAAGACCCCATGCCCTCGTATGCGTTGCCCATGAACTGAAAGACGTCAAGGGTTGCCACACCGACCGCCCTTTGGGATGTGGCGTGTATTTGCCCCTGCGATACAGAAACCTAAGTTTATCTTAATGAGCAACCTTCGCCGGCGGCAGTGAAAGCAACTCACTTTGGCCGAACGCGACCGCGTTCCAACACCTGAAGAGCGGTTGCCCATAGACCTAAAGGGGTCCCTGCTGTCTCCCACAGCCCATCTCGCCATGATTGGCGCGCACGCCAGTTGTACCTAGGCAAGCTCAGCGACAGAGCCAATTAGTGATTCATCCATACGTACCTGGATAAGATTTTGGTTTTCTATGCCCGCGCTGTACGCGTCCCAGGCCACAGTCCCTAGAGGACAACAACGACAGCGTCGTCCAGTCCAGTCCCAAGTCCCAAGGTATTCGGAAGACAAAGGACAAAGGAAAGAAGCCTCGAGGTCCTGTCATTACATACACCTGGATTCCATGTCAACTCCGACTCTCCGATCGGCCAGATAACTCGCGGTATTCCAATGGCCGCCCCAGATTGGCGGATTCTGCTGGATTCATAGGACGTGGGCCTGAAATACCGAAGACCACAAGGAAAATCCATGGTAGTAGGCCCAACAGAACTGATCCCTGGATACCCAGAGCTGGACGGTTCGTACAGACGATAAGCGGTGATGTGCGCCCTCGAACATAATGTGGACCCGTGTATCTTCAAATTTCAGTCGGAAAATGTGTCGAGATTGCCCGGTCATACGGTTCGCCGTCGTCAACGTCGACAAGGTCAACGTCAAGCCAGCGAACATCGTGTCTTGGCGCTGGCCGGCCAATTCAAAGTCAGTGAGTGATGCGCCCCCTTCGGCATGGCGCGGCAATCCGGCAAGTTGCCTCCGTTCAAAATGGGCGCTTAATGATTCGCGATTCCCATAGCTTGTCGCTAAACGCATCTTTTGTTTAAAAATTCGATATAAATACACGTTAAATATGTAAAAGCGTGATTGATACCTCAGTGGAGGCGGCCCCGGGCCTGACTGCTCCCAAGGGAAAGAAAATAGGCTCCAGGGGCTCAGAACCACTTTTATGGCCATGGAAGACCATGACTACGGTCTGCACAAAGATGAACGCGCTTCTTCTTATTAAGATCTACTCTTCAACATCTATGTCTCCATGTACCTCTGTCCCTGAGTTTGGACGATAACGCCAAGCCAGTGGCAACTAATTAGAAAAACGTGATCTGTACCGTAAGTTCCTTTGTTCCCCGGACCTTCATCCCCAGGAAATGACTTGACAATTGTCGGTACCGCACTAGATTTACTAAATCTCGGAATATACCGCATCCACGAAAGACGCGTCTTCTCATAGTCTCCCGCACGTAACCACTTACACCCATGGGCTCCGCCTTATCCGTGGGCGGAGGCACGGACGATGGAGGAAGTGGTGGTGCCTCCCAAGAGCCCACTCCACTCAGTTTCACGTATCAACAACGCGACGACAGACTAGTCACCTCGTTTCCCACACAACCTACCACTCCAAGATCCCACCCACGGTCGGCAGCATCAACATTACCAACCCCACCATCGTCTGTAGAAGGCGAAAGACCCATTCACAGTCACTGGTCAGAGCCAGTAAGCTTCGGGGCCAGTGGCAACGTTGGATCCCACCTGCCCTCGCCGTCTCCTACTCCGTTGAGGGTACTCCCTTTCCCTTTCATCCTTCGCGACACATCAGCGGTACTCACACGTATCTTCATAGCAGACATACGGCCATCAGTCAGTCTCAGCGTTCACCAACCTTGAACCCATCCCACCTCCACAATTCCATCGAACCTTTCAGTCCACCCCGGAGCCGCACCAGCAAGGATATGCCACCCCACCAGTAAGGCCACTCATTAGTCGAAGTACTTCGTGATCTAATCACGTCATGTCAATATTGTGATAGCCACGATACAGCGCCACGCGAAGGTATGATCTGCACCACGATGATCACTTCGAAGAACCCCCACCCTCGTATACTGGCAGCACTGGACTTCTTACTCCCAATTCGGTAAGTGGCCAGCTAAATTTGCTTGTGTGAGTGGCACACTGAAGGCTTCGGTCTGTAGTCTCCGGCAAGACCATCTCAGAATGCCTCTACGAGACAAAGGAGCTCAAGGCGAAGCGAGACCCTCCTGGACGCAAGCGAGCTAACGGACCCCGCAGTCAACGCCGACATCTACCAGGAGCTGCCCGCATCGTCCTTGGAACCATTCAAGGAACTGGAATATGACGATGTTCCTCTCGTAGATCTGGACCCGGTAGAAATCCAAGTCGATGGCCAAACGTCGCTTTCCCCTAGCTACCTCCTCCCAAACGGCCAGACGCTTAAATGGTACCAAGCACTCGATAGCGAGGTGCTCGTCGCGGAAACCGTGGCTCGTGCTAGGATGAAGATCAAGGGAGACCCTCGCTTGGTGGATGTGGCCCAGGGTAAAATCCTGAATTACGAGATGGGGTGAGCCGTTTCTTCTGCTCATGCCACGTGCGACAGTACTGACTGGATGATTGCAGCGCTGGAAAGACACACACAGCCCTTACGGTAATCGACCAGACTCTCATTCAACTGGACGATGTTTTCACAAAACACGGCCTCGAGTTCGAGAAGAAACCCGTTTTGTGAGCTTCCCTCGCCGTGATGATTGGAGGGTGTCTGACTGTTCTCTAGGATCGTTGTGGAGAAGGGTTTGCACGAGCAATGGAAGAGACACGCTGAAGAACTGTTTAACTTGAGAGTGAAGATATACGATAAGGGAAACCAACGTAAGTCTCTTGCCTATCGAATCCACAATCAGGCTCCTGAATTTCGACTCGATCAGCACTACCGTCTGGAGACTACGATATACTTGTGCGTGTTTCATCATTCAATCGCCTTCTTCCCGTGCTAACTGAGGGTACAACCAGCTCGTAAATATCGACTTGACCCGGAACCAACTTGGCCGAATTCTAGACAACAAACTGAAAGAACCCAGTCAACGCCGAAACTTCAAACCTCATCTCGCTGCACCCTTCTTCCAGACATCGTTCCTCTACATCATAGTTGGTAAGGTGTATTCTTCTGTCGCTTCGCACGCTCCTTCCCTAATAGTAGCGATATCGTCCATAGATGAATTCCACAAGTACAGCAACCCGTCGACCTTAAGCGCGTGGTCTCTCCTCAGTCTCCGAGCGGACCACTTTCTCCTCCTCAGCGGAACGCCAGCACAGAACAAGCTCGACGATCTGCAAGTTCCCTTCGCACTCCTCCAGCATCCCTCCAAGCGCAAGAATTTCCGCGAAGAGCAACTGCGGAACCGCCAGATCAACAACGCGTTGAAGAAAGCGAAGGCACCTTCTGGAAAAACTCGAACCATTCATCTGAAGCTGGAAGAGGTCGTACACAAGCTCAACTTCGAGTATGACAATGTGAGTCTCTTAGCTCTTCGAGATTCCTCTTCGTCAGGCTAGGGCCCCGACTGACTTCTTAACTAGACTATTCTCGAACGCACGATGATCACCCGTCGGACCGAAGGCCTTCCCGTTCGCAAAAACTTCCTTGTGGAAGTACGGCTTGCAGAAACGGAAAGTGCGCTTCACGATTACATGGAAGATGCGTACAGCGACTGCATTTTCGTCCAGTTCATCCGTACTCGACAAGGTGCGGTTTGGTTTCCGTGACTTATGGTATGGGACGCTGACCGAAGGGGTGCCTAGCTTGTATCCACCCAGGTGTCCTTCTTCGAGCCGGTGCGGTTCCGCCAGGTGCCCAGATGGTCAGAGGTAGAACCGGGTACTATCTGACTGACTCGGGGAACGACGACTGCGAAGATGTTAGCAACGAATTGTACGTGCCTCGTTGGCCTCCAGTCCTTGCCGTCACTAACCCACGGGTCTCTTCAGCGGAGATCTGGACATGGATATCGACGAAGATAGCGTCCGAGACCATCCTCCTCTCGACGAAGAGCTCGGAAAGCCTGGCGACATCTTCAGTGACGGCTTCCTCTCGTCCAAGTTCCAAGTTGTCTTGGGCCTGTTGAGAAGGCACTACCGCAAGAATGAGAAGACGCTCATCTTTGTAGGTGCCCCTTCCCCGGTCTCTGAGGATACGTTGATCCTACTGTAACGTCTTTGCAGTCCTCGTTCGTCACCGTACTCGATGTTCTCTCGGAATGCCTTGACGCCCATGGGATTGGCCACGTTCGCTGTAAGTCTTGGAACCCATGGTTAACGCATCTGGGCTAAGGGGCATGTGTGTGTTGCATTTAGATGACGGGTCTATGAGCACCAAGGCGCGACAGGAAGCGCTGGACTCAATCGTACAAGATGACGAGTCGATGGTGATGCTGGTGTCCATTAAATCCGGAGGAACTGGTACGTACCCGTTCAATGGTTGTGATCAAAGATATCTGACGAAGTTTTCAGGCCTTAACATCACCTCCTGCAACAATGTTGTCATCCTGGACCCTTGGTGGAATCCCTACGTCGAGGTCCGTGTACCATTCCGTCTGCCTCCGGATGTCACAGTCCGATTTACCTCCAACTCCTTAGGAGCAAGCCATCTCTCGGGCTCACCGTCTCGGTCAGGAGAAAGAAGTGAATGTTTACCGTATCACCGCTCCCAATACCGTCGAGGATAAGATCTGCAAGGTTTGTGTCTCTCACCATTTCCAGCGTACGCAGATTAACGAACCTTTCATCCACCTTCATCCTTACAGACTCAGCACAGGAAATTCAACATCATCGACCCGCTACAGGACCGGTGCGCGGCTACCACTATTCACCAAGATGCTCTGCGCAAGACTCGCCAGGCTACTGGGCGGTCCCGTTGATTGTATACATTCCTTTTACTTTTCTCATGAACATCGCCACTACCGTCCCTGGTTACGTCGAAGTTACCCGGCGTATCTCATCTTTTAACTCATGTTTGATTCTCAGAAATGTAATTGCAGAATTTGAGTTACTTACGTCCAATCGGCGCTGAATCGCCATGCTGACTTGACCAGGGAGAGAAGCGGACATGTCGGACGCTTTGAGCGCTCACTTTGTCGCTCGCTGTCTTTAAGTAGTCGCTCCACTATCAATTGGCGATCTTCTGATTGCTGGCCCCACTTGCAATGTCGTTCGGCCAAGGGAGACCGGAGGGATTGTAGGCGGTTTCAAGAGGCTTCAAGGTGCAGTGCGTGTGTATTTGAACTCTTGGCCCTTGGCATTGAACGCATGTCCAAGTTCAACTTTGGGCGTGAATACAAGCCTGGATTCAGCGACCCTTTTCCACCATCCCATTCTTGCGCGCGAGCCCACGTTTGATCTACTATTGCATCCAATTCATCGCCCCATGGCTCCGACCTCTGTCTATTAACTCAAAAGGTAGTCCTCTTGGCATCTGTGTGATTTTTGATGCTCCATTGTTGTCAAGCGCCCGGGCCAATGCTCCACAGTGGACGGTACCGGCGCTTAATTGGAGGAACCAGGATAAATGTTTCTGATATGAAGGGGTGAGGATGACATGGAAGAAGTCACTACAAGAATACAATAAAAACACGAGGCGGTTGGATGTAAGTTGACAGTCAGGGGACCCAAGTGCGAAAAGGGGTTCCCGGTTGTTGAAAGACTTAGCAAATAGTACGAGATGGTGACCCTGGCCTCCAAAACACCAAGTTTGTCTCCCTACCTGTATCCCGTGAAATGCTTATATACTTACGGGCCTTGGCTAACGGGACCAGGTGAATGCTTTATTGTGAATTATTCTGAGTTTGGTAGCTGCACACTTGCCTATCAGTTCGGACATTTCGGGCCCACTTCTCTTTCCACCGGGGTTTCACGCAATGGACCTCCGTATTAAAGGACTATGCTCCGAACTTTAAGGCTTAGTGCCTCCAGTCCTCCCTGTCGCTGTTACGTTCCGCTCTATTTCAACTCAATTCAAAGACTTGGAGGCGTTGATCTCCTAGTTCTGTATCAGGGCACGCGCACGCACCTCGGGCTGGGGACACGGCGTTTTCGTAAACCCAAGCTATGTCCAAGAGAATATCGCTCTGGCAGACCCTGACTGAATACACTTCAGATAGCCGGAACTGGTCACTTGATCACGGTGATATTTCCATTTTGTAACCTCAACTGATGCACGTCGGCGATCGAATGATGTGCAGCAACAGGACTTCACAAGCGTATAAGGATCTGACCTCTTTCTGTGTATGCCTGTGTATACTTGAGAATGCAACTTGTTGGACCCGAGTAAACTGAATAGATTGGAACCGTAGACTCGGAATCTGGTAGGGATAATGGGCCCGTTTCGGGATTGGGGCGGATTTAGGGCCATCCGGACATGCGCTTTCCCTTGAGCGCGGGATCTAACCAGCCCAAAAGACATATTCATGAAACGCCCTCAATACATTGAATATGTCACAGTCAGTCAGGCCTCAAACTCGGAGATACTTGCTGATCGTGCGCCCGCCCAGCTTGATGTCGGTATGTTTTTGGGTTTCACGTTATTCCGTCACTCTGATGGACACTCGAGCGCTCTATCGACTGGAATGCGGAAATCCAAGACTATCTCAGCGATTGCTCTACCTCTTTTAATAGTAGGATAGTTTACGACAGTTCTCTGCTCCGATTTGTATCATCTTAACATGAAGATAGTCGCTATTCCCGAGTCCTTAGCCTGCGGTACCAGTCCTTTGGAAAACCAACAGGCCCTCGGTATAAAGCTTGTCTAACGTCAATACAAGTACAGAGGCTCGCTCCCCATTACTCTGCCGTTGTAGAGTCATGTCTTTTGTCAGACTCCAGGCTATTGTCGATCAAGCATGCGCCCTTGCTGCGCTCTCGCCCATTCGCTGGATGGTGGTCCTAGCGACCGGTACTGCCGCTCTACCCCTCATAATCATCCAGTGGAAGAGGTTCACGAGACCGCCTCTACCGCCCGGACCTCCTCGCCTTCCTATACTTGGCAACGTTCACCAGGTCCCAAATGAGGAACCATGGAAAGTCTACAACGAATGGGCGAAAACCTACGGTACGAACCTAGGCTACTCATCTGTGCTGAGCTCATCTTCCGGTTAGGCGACGTGATGCACCTAAAGGCAGTTGGAGACACCTTCATCATCCTTAACTCCCTCACCGCTGCCCTGGATCTTCTGGAGCAAAAAGCGGTCATCTTTTCAAGTCGTCCTCGATCAATCTCGTTTGACTTGTGGGTTCCTCTCTTCCATATCCCAGGGTTGCTCCTCATCAGGCAGTACAGGATTGGGCTCACTTGGGCGCTTGGGGTCATGGGATACGGGTTCAAATGGCGTGAAGCGAGGAAGGCATTCCACCAGCACTTTAACAAGCACGAAATCAAGAACTACCGGCCCATCACCGAACAGGAGGGATTGATTTATCTGCGCCGAATTGCAGCCAATCCAAAGGACTTCCGTCAGGAGACTCGAAAGTGCGTGTAACCAAGACCTTGGACGTTGAGAACTGCGCTCTAACAGCCCCGTAGCTTCTTTGGTAGTGTTCTCGTGAGGATATCGTACGGTGTCAGCGACCCCGCGTATAACAACAAGCTCCTCAGGAACGCCGAGGCTATCGTACAATGTCTCTCTGAGTGTGTCCTCCCAGGTCGCTTCCTCATTAATGTCTTCCCTTGGCTTCGGTTCTTCCCTTCGTGGTTCCCTGGCACGGGTTGGAAGCAGAAATTTGCAGAATATGCTGCTGCGAGTGACCGCGCCCTCGTCGACTCGTTCAGCGATGCCCAGGATCGAGCAGTATGTTGCTGACTCCCTCTTCCACCAACGAAAATACTAATCCAAGGACCTCCCACAGAGGCAAGGATATCAGAGCGAATTCCCCAACGTGGCGACCAAGTTCATAGGCGATCTGCCCGATGAAAAGAGCAAAGACTACCAACTGCGGCTGGACGTAGCTCGCGCCGTTACTGCTGACGCCTTCATTGGTGAGATTTCTCCTTCACGTCTGTAAATTAAAGCTGAACACGATGTACGGCTCTTTAGCTGGGTCGGATACAGCAAGTCCCCCTACACATGTCATTTCTTGCTCAAAATTCTGACGCGTCTCTGCAGACAATTAGCTCCACCTATGCGCTATACCTGGCTCTCGCAATGTACCCTGATGTACAGCGGAAGGCCCAAGCAGAGATTGATAGAGTTGTGGGGTCCCACCGGTTACCGACTTTCAACGACCACCCACGGCTAGTCTATCTCCAAGCCGTCCTCAAGGAAGTGTTCCGATGGCACACCACAGTCCCTCTCGGTTAGTATTATCCTCCTGTAAATGCAGACCTTCTGCTGACTCTTACAAGGACTGACGCACGTCTCGACGGAGGACTACGTATACAACGGGTACTTCATTCCGGAGGGCAGCAACATCATGACAAACGTGTGGTATGTGTTCATACCTCATTCATCCCCTTCTACGCGTCTAATTCTTTCTCAGGGCGATCATGCACGATCCAAACGTCTTTGAAGATCCTTTCGAGTTCAAGCCCGAGCGCTACTTGAAGAACGGCGAGATCGATCACACTGTATTGGCACCAGAGACAGCTGCCTTTGGATTCGGCCGCAGGTGAATAAAAGTGATACCACCGTCCCGCTGATCCTGTCTTTACCTATGACGCTACAGGATCTGCCCAGGACGTCACCTGGGAAAGGACTCTTTAACCTACGTTGCCGCATGCCTCTTGGCGGTCTTCGATATTCGACCACCCAAGGACGAGAATGGCAATCCGATTAAACTCGAGCTGAAGGTGACTTCAGAGCTTGCGAGGTCAGTTCAATGAGCATTCGTGTTCTTTCATGTCATTAATCTCATTGAATGTAGCACGCCACTACCATTTGAGTTGGATATTGTCCCTAGATCTCCACAGCACCTCTCACTCTTGCGCACAGAATGAGTGCTTGATGCTTGAGTATGGAGCTTCAGTCCTAGACCCAGTACATTCACTTTCAGTATGTTTACACCATGGCTATATGTAATATCAGAGGGATAAATGTTGGAATAAAACGGACGCTTAACGCAGCGCAGTACGCGGGTATCAACCGCTTGACGCTCCGAGTTCAAACGGCGTCTAGTTCGTACGATACTAGCCTGAAGAGCATGCCTCTGTGGTTATAATTATTTATACCTGTAATCTACTGAGCGGTTTCGACGCAATAGGTATCTAGGCCTCGTAGCATACGGCTTCCCAGCCCCGAAGGTGAGCCGTACCATCATTTGCCTTCAGTGTTGGAGCCTCATCATAATTGCCCAACACAACCTTTAGAGCAGACCAAGCACGCCCTTGACCGTCCTTTGGAGTGAAGGTGATTTCTTCCTCGCCAAAGTTGAGAACGACATAATACCACGAGTCTCCGAGGGCACGAACGAAACCAAAGACTTTCTCTGACCCTTCAGAGACATCTTCAAACGTCCCGTAGATCTTCGAAAGCGACACGTGAGAACGTGGATAGACAGACAGGGAAAAGAATGCACTCACCAAGGTCTGGTTCCCTTTTCTCAGTTTCAAAAGCCGCTTCCAGAAGGCGAAAACACTGGTGTCGTCTCCGGTCTGACTCTGGGCGTTCCACGTTTGGTAATCCTCATTCACCCTCATCCACGGGGTACCCCTCGTAAAGCCGGCATTGGGAGACAAGTCCCACTAATCCAATCAGTATGCGCCGGCCGTAGGACGTCGCGGGACTCACCTGCATTGGAACACGAGCATGGTCTCTAGCCTTCTTGGCAAAGTTATCCAACACGTCTTCCATATCGACTGGCCCGTCGGATGACGCTTTCCTTTGATTCAACGTCCTGTTACAGTCGACTGAAATGAGCGAGGAGACGAAGGGAAGATCTATGAGGGACTCACTTGCTCCAAAAATTCTGCGTCGCGATATCCTTGTATTCTTCGAGCCCCCAGGAGCGAGGGAAGTTCTTCAAGCCCAATTCCTGCCCTTGGTACACGAACTGCGTCCCACCTTGCATCACCTGAAGCATACCGAGTAACTTTGCAGATAGAGCTCTCCACTGGTCTGAATCGTTCCCGAACCTCGATACGGACCGAGCGTGATCGTGGTTCTCCGTGTATGCTCTGCAGAGGCGATGAATTATCAGCTCAAGAGGAGTGGCCCATAGGGTATGGCACTCACGCATTCCAGAAGCCTTCATCGCGCTTGTATTGCTGCCAGCGGGTGATGATCTCCTTCATCTGAGTGAGCTTCCACGACTTGTACAGAAGAGGAACATCGTCATCGCCCATGAGTGGTGTGTCGAGCTCCATATGTTCGAACTGGAACACCATGTTGAGCTCTTTGTTGGCAGGGAGCACGTATCGGGCTAGATGCGAGGCATCATGTGTAAAAGGGGTCTCTCCAACGGTCAGGATGTCATATTCTAGGGCTAAGGTAAGAAGATATGAGGAAGAAAAATCCTGGAGGTCGACTGACTGGATAGAACTTTGGTGTTCATTTCCTTGATGTATTCATGGACTCGAGGACTGAATGAGACGGCCAGTGAGAACTTGTCGGACGATGGCCCTTGAAAACTCACCCATTCGCAAACAAGGTACCGGCGGGTTGGTATGGCTCGCCGGGAGCGATGATTGGAGCATCCGGCAAACCGTCCGTTTTGGATATGATATTGATCACATCCATCTAGTAGAAACGATACCATTATGTAGCCCCATTCGCTTGAGACTGTCAAAAACGCTGTCTTACCCTGAACCCATCGCATCCTCGGTCGAGCCAAAACTTCATCAATTTGAATACCGCGTCGCGTACCTCGGGATTATCCCAATTGAGATCTGGCTGTTGGGGTAGGTACAGGTGGAGATAGTACTCTTGGGTGGTTTCGTCAAACTCCCAAGCAGATCCTAGGGGGTGGTTCAATGAATACGATGCATAGGTATTGGAGGGAACAAATACCTTGGAAAACAGCCTTCCAATTGTTGGGAGGTTGTCGATTCCCTGATGAATCGTATTTGGGAGGCCTCCAGATGTACCAATCACGCTTTGGATTGGATTTGCTGGACTTGGATTGAAGAAACCATTCGTGCTGGGGAGGAGATGAGCCGAAATGTAGGCTGCAAAGATGAACGGATGGCTTACCTGGTCTGAAGAATGGTTTACAACCAGGTCCATTCTAGTTTCCATTATTCCAACGATGCATTCTACTAGAGGACGCGTTACTTACATCAGTTTCATGCCTCTGTCGTGCACACCCTTGAGGAGATTATCCCAATCTTCCAGAGTGCCATATCTAGGATCGATATCCTGATAGTCGGAGCTGCGTGTTTGAACCGAGGTTAGAGCATAAGCATGTAAATCGCGTGGATCAGGACATACATATCGTATCCCATATCCGCAAGAGGAGATTTGTAGATAGGGGACAACCATAGTACATCCACACCTAGATCCTTGAGATAGTCAAGTTTGGACGCTATCCCGTTGAGATCGCCAATCCCATCTCCATTCGAGTCGAAGAAAGAGATGGGGTAGATCTGGTAGACAACCGCTTCCTTCCACCAGGCGCGTCCGAACGGTATCAGAGGGTTTTCCATCGAGGCGTCAGATGACAAGGGCGATGAAAGCCGCCAACCCGCATTTTAGATGAACTTGCCGCCATGATTGATAATGTGAAGAGGGCGGCATTTGGCAGGTATATCGTTCGGCGAACGACGGCAATCTGTCACGCACGGTGTGTTACCGTGTGACCCACAAGTGGGACTCAAAAGACCTGTGAGCATGTTGTACTTCAAGGCGAGCAGGAAGGTTTTGCTCAACGTTCCACCTGTGACTCTTGAGTGTCTTCGTGTGCCGGCGCTAATTGCGATATTAAATAATAGTTCAGCGAATCCTCAAGCCGGGTGCTGCGGTTCAGCGCATAAAATCCCCACCTTGTCTGACATGGCTTTCATTGTCGCTGAAAGGGTCCCGAACCTCGACGTTTGACGTCCGAGTCGATGGTAAGGGGAAAACCCGAACCAGCTGCAGTGCCAGCAAATCTGCGCTGGTACGCCGCGATGGCATCTCGGTAAACTCCGAAGCAACACAAATAGGGGCCGGCGCTTATTTGGGGCTCTTAGGCGTTGAACCAGGCATATTGAAGTGCTACCGTGATTGAAGCGGCTCCGTATGAGTCTCCCAGTATTTTATAGGCTATGGATAAACATGCAACTGGGAGAAATCCCCCTCATCTCTTTCCTGCAATCTTTCCCTTCCCTGGTTTTGTTGGGTTTGTTCCAGCCTCCAGTTTTCTTCGGAGGCCCACCCACAATTAGCCTTTGGAGGTGGAGCTTCTGCCGCGGTTCTGCTTTCCAACAGGAGTAAGTCTGGACACGTATTTCCCCTTTCAGAAATGTCACATTACATTGTTGTTCTATAATCACACAATACAATACAGTGCTCTACATATACTCTACAGCGTCTCCCATCCACCCGAATCCAACGTACTCTCCAACTTCCTCGCTACAATCGTAGGAATACCATGGTTCAGCCATACTTTCCGTACCTCCTCATACCTCGGGTAGTGGAGATACTGCCTCCGCCCGCGTCTGAAAGTAGCAGGGATCAGTGTCAGAAAAACGAGCATGCATTTCGGAGAAGTGAAACGACATACCGCATCGAAAGGTCAGCCTCCCCATGGACGTCAAGATAAGGTGAAGGGTAGAACGTTCCATTCCCGGCATTGAGGTACAACAGGGTCCCCCGCTTAATGAGGTAGTACAAACCAATCATCCCACCGCACCTAGAAGTGGATAGGCATTTAGTCAAAAATAGAGGTTTGCGGACAACGAACACTCACTCTCGCGTATGAGAATTACACTCTCCCCTCCCGTTATATTCCACATCAGCACAACATCCACTCTGGAAACACACGATCGTCCCACAGAGCAGGCAGATTGCACCATCATTCGGAACCGTGTTACAGCGGTTGCAAGTCAAGACCTTCTCCGGGAGCATGAACATGGTGTCCAGAACCAACGGTAACCTCGCCAATTTGTAGATACCGGGGAAATCGAGGAGAACACCGCAGTTCATCTGAGAAAGGGTGACCATATGCCCATAATGCGCACACCATCCCGAGAGCGCGTTTTGTAATGTGTCGTGGGCGGGGAGTTCCGATAAAGGCGGGATACCCAACATCTTCAGCAGTCGGGTGTATTCGCAGGGTTGGTTTGATCCAAAAGTGGGAGTAGGGAATGCCGAAGGGAGTACCGACCGACAAAGGATGGCAGCTCTTCGAAGGAAGGGTAGCGTGAAAGAATACAAAAGCTTCTCCATCCGCGCCTCGCCAAACGTTTCGAACGCGAGTGTTGCTGTATGCTCGAAGACAGGGGAATGCCGGACGACAGACATGAAGAACATGCGAACGTCACCGAAAATCTCTTCATGGGCCCGCCTTGGTATCTGGGTGATGGAATAGCTCCTGGTCTTGTTGAGGATGTAGACAAGGCCCACGACAGACCGTGCCAGGCAGGCGTAGTAGGTGAGGATGAGGACGTGTTTGAGGATGTCGGGTGCAACGGCTGCTGCTTCGGCCAGGATGGTGAACGGATCGCGTAGGAGTAAAGGGATATGGTACGAAGTCAGGGACGTCCGACTCCATTCTGGCAGTAGCCTCTTGACAATCGCCTGACGCACGGCATCACGCCCTTCATCTGGCCTCCCCTTAAACTGCAACGCCACCAACCGACCCAATATGGAAACAATCCCCCTAATCATCCGCGTCTGCGATTCCGAGAGGTTATCCGCAATCAGCCCGCCACCCGGTACCTCGACTCCCCTCTGCGCACTCTCGATCTGCGCGATCGTATACCCCAGCAATTCCTCCGGAAGGTAAAGGCCCGCTCCACGCTCTCCGGGATCAGGTTCAGGTCGATCCCGAAGATGCCTCGTCTGCTGCGAGAACGACTTGGAAACCACCATCACCGTATCGACCATCTTCGCAGCTTCCAACACCTCAGGCTTCCCCTCCCCATTATTCCCCCTCACCGCACTCGAATACCCAGGATCCTGAGCCGCCCAGAACACAAACTCCCCTGTCCCATTCCGAATCTGCAACGAGTCGAGGTGAGGATCTGGTTTAGACTTGAGGATATTGATCCCAGCAGCGCGGATCCAATCGGCGAAGGGAGTCGTGTTCATCTTGACCCGAGAGGGATTTACGACGGGAAGAATGACATTGCCCAAACTCTTGCACAGCGGGCAGATGTATTCCTTCCTCGGTATGCTCTCCGGATGATTTCTTGTCGCCTGCGCACGATGCCGTTGTCGAATCGAAACACTATACACCTGGAAGCACTCCAGATGCATCATATGCGAACAAACTGACGTGACGAGACCAAAGCGCGTATAACTCGCAGGGAAACCTTCAAAATTCTGCGTCGTGTTCGTCGATTTGGCGTCCAGAACATCGGCGTTTGGCGGAGGGAACGTATGATGCGTCGGAGGAGCAGCCGCCCGATCGAGGTTGGTGACCATACCAAGGACCTCGTTCAGGTACGTATGATGTGAACTATCCGGATGTCGCCTGATGAACCGACTAGGCTGCACAAGACCCAGTGCACCAAAGCTCTTCCCACCAGTACTGAGATCCTCCTGACAAACGATACACGTCCCAAAGCTGATCTCCGTTTCCACTTCCTCCCCATTCTCCTCATCCACCGACATCGCACTCCCCTCGTCATCTTCATCGTCCAAATCGTCGAAATTGATCGCAAACTGGTTCTGCTGGGCCTTCATCTGCTGCATAATCGCCTCCTGCCTCGCTTTGGCCGCTTTCTTCCTCGCCTCCTCGGGGTCCACAGCAGGCTTCAACGAATCGTAGGCCTTGCGTCTCTCCTTGACAGCGTCCGGAGCATGTTTAGCCATCCTGTCGAGGATCCATTGCACACGAGCACGATAATTCTTGTACTGATCGTGGTATTCCAATGCACAAACGACGTCCACCAGAGTCCTGTCTTCTTCAAACGTCTTGGAGGCAGCGAGTTTCGATAATGTTTCTTCGCGTTCGACGAGACCGAGCATGATGAGATGCAGGACTTGATCGAGGATAGCTTCCGCCGATGGTGGGGTACCCGATGCTGAAGGAGGTGCAGCACCTCCATTCCCACTCGCACCACCTGTGCCACCCGTACCTCCATTGCTCTGACCAGAACCGGCGGGGGCAGCAGCAGGCGCCGCCTGCCCACCCGACGACTCCGTCAGAACGAGGACATTGTAAACCGTATAGAACAAGATCTGCAAAAAGACCTCGCTCTCAAACACCCTCGGTATATCCTTATACGGGCCCTCCGTCACCCCAAACTTCTTCGGGACATACACCCATTCCTGATCCCCCTTCCCCTCCTTCGCAAACCGCTTCTTCGTCTTGGCCCTCAACATATTCTCCACCTCCTCCCTCCTATTCCGGGTGTAATGGAAGAAGAAGGGATTAACCTCCTCAAACAACACGTCCTCCTTCAACTCATAGACACCCACATCCGTAGCACCCTCCGGAGGCTTGAACATCGCCACCTCCCTCAAAATCCTCTCAAAGGCGATATTATCCCCAAACCTCTCCGCCACCCTCTTCGTCAACTCGGAGAACCCACAAGGGCCCATAGCCAGCGCATGGACGATCTCCCTTCGCACAGCAGAAGGGACAGGCATCCGCGAGGCAGCAGCGTTCTCGCTGACCATGGTGATCAGCACGAATAGAAGCTCTTCCACCATCCCGCACAAATGGGAGATGTCCTCGTAGTTGGTGTTGTACGGGCTGGTCTTGCCGGGTTTCCCTTCCTTGCCGTCCTCGTCCATAGCTCCGCTGATATCCTCCTCCCCATCTTCCTCGTCGCTTTCATCCATCGCCACACCGTTGAAGTAGGCCATGAGGTTAAACCGGTCAAGGATGGTCACAAGTACGATGTCAGGGTCAAGGAGTATCAAGGCCGATTGGAGCATGAACAGATCTTGGTCGAAGCAGAGTTCTCGAAGCATATAGTCCCGGTAATGCATGAGCTGGCCGCGGATGGCGAAGCCGTTCCTGACCCATAGACCAACACGGATTTGTGCAACCATAGCCAGAACTACAACACACCAGTTAGAATGTGCTGCCGAAGAGACACTGAGCCAACGGACCTCGCAAAGGGAAATCAATAATGGCCAAAACCGCCTTCTCCCCTCCCGCACACCTCAACACAACATCCCGAACACTCCTATACTCATCAAACTCCGTACCCCCAAACTCTTCTCTCAACTTCTCCTCCGAAAGCAAATGCGTCGATTTGAACAGTTCCGCAAGCAACCAATGCAACGAATGGTGGAAGCTGACCCATCCCTCCGCAACGTCGAACCGGACAACCTCGTACGTCTTGGTCCTCGCTCGCGTCTCTTCATCCTTGAATCCGGCACCAAAGACCACATTGTGGTACTTGATCGTGCCAAACTTGCTCTTGTCCATCGCCAGAAACGCGGGATTGAAGTAATAGTTTTGGTTGTACCCTGAAGCCGTGTCAGCCGTGGGACCACGAGGTGAAAGGGATTCCTCAGTACCTGGTTGATGACCCCGATGCAACGCAGCCAAAAGCAAAGGCGGATCCTTCGCAACCGGAACATCCCCTCCATTACTTCTACACACCCCAATCAAACAGGTAATCACCACCTCCAACGCCTCAACCACCTCCCTCGGGCCTCTAGGTGCTACCAAAGGCTTCGGGTCTCCTTCCACCACCAGCTGTACCGTGTTGCTGGTATTGGCATAGGCACCACCAACCACTTTAATCACCCTGCTAAGGCTCAGAGTGACGTTGAACACGCTGATCCAGGCATCGGATTCATATTCAACGTGGACGTTGACTGCGCGTCGGTTGGATTGTGCACACATGAAGAGCTGACAGGTCTGAGTGAAGGGAACGAGGTAGGCAAGATGGCCGGTGATTTGAGCTAAAGCGGATGGTCAGTCGTGTTTTAGAGGCTGATAGGGATATAGAGTACACACGTTGTCCATTCGTGACAATGATATTCGAGGGTTCCGTGAGCAACGCCTGAACAGGCGCAGTATGCATGAGATACCGGAGGTCACTAAAGATAGGCATAAACCTCTTCGATTTGAACGGGAACGAATCGACATCCATGACAGGCTGGTGAGGCATATGCTGCAGAGCTTGATGCGCCGCAGGTTGTTGATGGAATCCAGGATGTCCTGGTGGATGACCAGTAAGAGGGAAGGGAAGCGTTGGCGGGGCACTCGTCGAACCACCGGCCGTTGCAGTGGGCGGGGGAGCGCCAAAGAGCACACCGCCCCCTGTGACAGGGAAGTACGGCATATTGGTCAATGCGTTCTGTTGCGATTGACCACCGATGGGGACGACGACGCGTTTCCCGGGTCGGTTTATCTGGTTGGTGAAGAAACATGCAAGTAGGTTCAGGAGGTTGGTGATGATCTTGTGGTTCTTGACAAGGTGGGCGGAGATGGAGGGAACGGTGAAGAGTTGTAGCGCAAAGTATTTGATAGACGTCTCCGCCTCGCGATCTGTGAGCAGATAGGTATCCGTGATACGATGGTACGTGTTGGCGAAATGGCCAGCTAAGGGTATAAACGTGAGAAATAGCCCCCTGAATAGCAGAGGAAAACCAGCGCACCTATTGAGAACTTGTGCGTCTTGCTCAACGAGAGCAACGAAGCATAAACCTCCTTCAGACTCAACCGAAGCTTCTTCCAAAGCCGACTGTGGTAGACGAACATATAATCGATCCTCGTCGCATTCGGGATCTCCGTGAGGTTCACCGCGGACGTAGGCAAAGCCATCCCGCCCGGCGCCTTGGACAACCCCGCCATCCCAAGGGTAAACGCGTCCCGTCGTCTGGGCATCATCAGCTCCTTTGCTAGCACCTCCTTCAGCGCCATCGTATCCGGGCCTAGTCGCGCTCTCGTAAGGTCCAACAGCCACTCAATGATAACCGCTCCCACCTGCTCGCAAAAGGTGTCGTACGCCCTCCGGATCGTCACGCCCAAATCGATTTGCGCCATCGAGTGCGCCATGTCGAGCAGCTTGGCTTGTTGTGGTTGCCCACCGTGCGGTCCGGCGGAAAGGGGTTGGGAGGTGTTGACAACGTTCATATCCACCACGACTCTCCCGTCGCTCTCCAGCGTCTTCACCATCCCCTCAACCTCCTTCACCCTTTCCGGACTATGCCCCTTGCCCGTCAAGTCCAAAATCACAGTCTTGACCTCGTCGAAAGTGTGCTTATCCCCGTTCCACAGTACGACGCAATAGACATCCTTCATCATCGGGTCTGCTGACGGCTGGAGCCTGAGATCAGCCTCGTTCAGCGGCACCGTGATCTCATCCGGCGAGAAATCGAGCGTGTCGAGGAGAAAATCGAGGGCGTATCCGATCGTCCTGTGCATCGAGTCCTTCAATGCCTGCGGTAGATTCTGCAGCAACGGCGAAACCGGTGGTAAATCATTCGAAAGGGGCCCAGCGGGGATCGTCAACGGCGCCGTCGAAGTCGTATATGGGTGCAGCTTGCAATTCGGGTTCCTCCTCCAAGCCTCCTCGTCGCCGCAATCGCAGCACCCGCCAGGCTGCTGGGCGATGAAGAAGCTCACGCTGTGGTCTGTATGGTCCGCCGCATGGAAACATCGAGCACACAGCACGCAGCTGTCGTCCAATGCACAATCTCTGCACGATTGTCAGTCAAACCCAGCGAAACGACGACGACGATGAGCTTACTTGCATCGATAGCAGCTCTCTCCTTTCTTGAAAATGTGACCGCACGGGCGTCCGGGTACGATCTGGTCGTCGTCCTTGCCAGCCCCAGAGAACCCCACAGACGCCTGGTACTCGCTCAGCAACTGGTGTTGGGGAACGTTGTTCACGCCTTTGGGCAGAAAGTACTTTTGGTTGCCGCCGCTGCCCATAAGCGATGCGTACAGTTTCGTCAAAATCTCTGCCCTAGCGGCCGGCGTGAAGACGTATTTCCTGGAGCCTGGCATGATCTCCAGCGAGAACCGCAGGTCGGAGAGAGGATCGCCTCGTGGATCCTGGCTCAGTCGGTGCGCCATCGTCGTCGTCGTCGTTCTCGACGGTCGTGAATGTCGTTATACAGATCGTTATTTAATGGCGGTGGTCGTCGTCGTCGTCGACCACGACGGCGGTAATGATGGTGGTGGTACAGAGACAAGACTGCCTCCGTCGGTGGCGCGGAGTCCTGACTTTCGATCCCGCCCATAGCCGGTTTTCGAGATTGGTAACTCAAGTCCAAAATTCAATACTAAAGACTACATGGTGACTGAATTTACGACTACTGAGATCTGAACCTCAACCGATTCAAAGTCCTCTCCCGTCCCAGAGTCTTGATGATATCCTGGAGCGCCGGTCCATCCTGAAATGTCCCGTCAGTACGGACCGCAAACACGACATAAAGCACGAAATGTTTACTTTGTATCCAGTCAACGCATGCCTCACAGTCTTCATGAACATCTTATTCGGCTTATTGATTTCCTTCCGCGTCGAATGAAGCAGTTGCAAGAACTCGTGTTCTTCCCAAGGTTCAGGGAGCCCAGCCAGCGCCTCCGATACCGCAGTCAAAACCTGATCTATTCGCGGGGCATATAATCAGGTTTGGCGGGAAGCTATATAGTGGAGAAAACGAACCTCGCTCAGCAGCATCGAACGCGCTAACCATCTCCTTCGCCTCCTCCGATTCGAGGTTTGGTTCCTCGAAGAGATAAAAGACGTGGATCGGCAGTTCTTTAAGGTTCGTCAGGCGGCCTTCCAAGAGCACAACTGCGCGCTTGATCATCTCCTTGTTCGTGTAGGGGCTATACACAGCACCGTGTTAGAATGGCAAATCTCGAGGAAGAGATGAGACTTGCCTGTCTGGGAACGACTCTTTCAACTGCTCGTACGCTCTCTCAGCGAGTGCATCAAAACCTTCCGGAGTAGACCTCTGTCGAAGCAGATGGTGTTTGTTGATGTACTCCAGTTTCATAGGATCCAACGAGGAATTGCGATGCGTGACCGAATGGATATCGAACTGAGAATACGTGAGCGAAGCTTGAATGAAAGAGAATGGGAAAAACCACCAACCTCATTGATCAGTTCAGGGAGACTATAAATCGCCGTACTGTCAGGCGCTTCAGAGCTCGTCGTACTCGAACCCGAACTCGACGACTCTTCAGAAGCAGAATGATCATGCCTAGCTCCCCAACCGGCCAGCGCCAGCCAATTCAACACAGCACCAGGTTCCCATCCCCTTCGCTAACCCACCGTCAATCAACTGCCGTTCATTAAAAACACCCAGATTAAACAAACTTACAATGTAATCCTCCACCTGCACATCCCCATTCCTCTTCGACATCTTCGAGCCATCCGGGTTCAACAAGATTGGCAAATGCGCAAACTTGGGCGTCGGGATCTTCAAGGCCGCGTACAAATCCAGGTGGAGGGGTAGAGAAGGCAACCATTCCTCCCCCCTCAGAACGTGCGTGATACCCATTTCATGGTCGTCCACTACCGAGGCGAGATGGTATGTGGGGAACTGGTCAGATTTGAGCAGGATAGGGTCCGTAGCGAGCGAAGCGTGTGCATCTTTGAGGTTGCCGAAGATTAGGTCTGTGCCTGGTGGGCGGACGGGGAGATTCGAGCCCTGGCAAGTCTGTAAGGAACGCGTTCAATTGAAAAGGGATGTAAAGGACGTACATTCAACCTGACGATAGATTTCTCCCCAGCTTTAACCCTCCTAGCGACCTCTTCCTCAGTCAAGTGAAGACACGTCCTATCGTATGTCGCGTTTGACCCTGTCCTAGCTAGCCGTTCGCGGACTTCCGCCAGCCTATCCATTGAGCAGAAGCACCTGTAGGCGTGACCTGACTGTCTCAAGTCAGTCACAAAACCGGTCTCCATGGCACGATGATACATACCTCGAGCAATTTCTTCGAATAATCTCGGTACAGGTCCAATCGTTCTGACTACGCGCCATAAGTATCAGCGTTCAGGACTGATTTCAAACTGTCCAATTTAATCGGCTTACCTGGAAGTAAGGTCCATGTGGCCCACCTTTCCCAGGTCCATAGTCATACTCCAACCCAGCCCAGTCCAGCGCCTTGCGAATTCCCTCCACAGAACCAGGAACAAATCGAGTCTGCCGTCGAGTATTCCATGTCGAGCACGAGCCGCGTTGAATAAGCAAAATCAGTCAGAAACTTCTTCAGACGAGGACACATACCGCGTCTGTATCTTCTATCCTCAATAACCATTTACCACCATTCTTCCTGGAGAACAGGTGGTTGTATAATGCCATTCTCAGGCCTCCGAGGTGCAGAGGGCCCGTCGGCGACGGTGCAAACCGTAGCAGCACCATATCCCTATAAATCCGAACAGAACATAAGGTTTCTTGAGCATTTAGGCTGAGGTTGCTATTGGATTATTTCTCACCTTGTTTAAGCTTCCTATTTGTCAAATCCTAGCTCTTCAGTCGTGTCTTCAGCCCACTAGTCAAGACGTCGTCCGTGTTGTATAACTTGAACCTGTCTGGTCGTTGTGGTTGACGGTGAGCAGCGTCTAGACTCTACCGCCGACGGTGACGCTGGTCGGGACCTCGCCCCTATCCGGGCCGTCATAGATCACATGAGGTGCGTTCACGTGCCCCGCAAACAGCCGCGTTATTTGACAGTGTTGTGGTCGTGATCATCCAGGTTTCTGAACGTCCGGGCTTTGCGCGTGGATGGGTACACCGGTGCACGCTCACTTGGTTCGAGGCTCTGGCGCGTTTTTCTTCCATAGTCGGGAGTTGGGGCCTTCTTGGCTGCAAAGCGTTTGAAAAAATACTACCGGTGCTGCTTTCGACTCCTCCCAGGACTCGGTCTGTCGTCCGTCTCTGCGACTGGGCGCATATAACAGTTGCAATCAGCTTGTCAGGCTATCAGACTCTACTCTCCGCCTAGAGCAGCTCCAAAATTAGGCGATGGACGCCACAGAATGCCTTACTCCCTGGACGACTCTGGCTTCTCATTGCTCAATTTCCCCAGCTGCGAGCCTAGTGATATGGAGTCTAGCTCGATGATTAGGACCCTTCGGCAATGGACTGACTTCATAGAAACTGTGTAGCACTCGCGCCTTTGAGCTACATGACTTGCGAGGGGTCTACTTGCTCGCTCGGCCTCGCTCCACTGTCCTCCTCTTCCTCTCTCGGAAGATTGCGCAGAATCCGCCGACTTCACAATAGACTCCAACCAGGCTCTCATCAGTGCTACTCCTCTCAGTATTGTATGCGCACACAACGCATATCTTCTCTTCTTCGAGGTTCTTTCTGGTCCTCCCCGCCATCATCTCCCCCAGTGTCGTAAATCTCCGCAAACCTCTCAAGCGACAAAGCCGCAACGCCCCTCGGTCGCACACCTGCGCCACCTTAACCTTCCAGAATATGCGCTGCGTCCTCATTGGCCTGACCCCTTAGCTTTGCCCCCACAGGGAACAGCCGCATACCACCATCCTCTACGACCCGCCACCACACTGACCCCCGCCTTCGAATTTCCCGCCTCATGGCCCCAAATGTCAAGATGTTCGCATGGTCTCTAGGCTCTCTCGGCTCAGCCTACCTTGGCATCGCGTTAATTAGGACCTCTCATGGACTTTCGCGTCCTTTTCTCCGCGGTTTATTCGACGCATCCCGGTCACTCCTGGAAGAGCAGAGCAGCGGCACGCGCAAAAGCCAGGACTAGAGGACACAGAACAACTCAGATCTACGGTTCGCTGTGCTCAAAATTACAAAGGCTTACACCCGCTTATGGGTTTCTTAGTGTTGCCGCAAGGTGAGTTGAAGGTCGCCTTAAGGTAACAAGGGGCAAGACCTTCACCGACCTTAAGGTCACTGAAGGTCGGTTCTCACGGTAACCCCGATTCGGGGTAGAGGGCAAGAGGCTGGGTGCAGCGCGAATTTCTTGGTAGCAAGGGCGGTAAACGAAGATATTTGACATACTACAATACATGGAATCTTTAATTATGCTCCAGGGATGCCATACGAGACGGATATAAGACGCGTGAGCTCATCGAAGTCGCGTTCAGCAAGTAATTCCACCAGGACATCGGGGTCAATGTCAATAACCCGGAGTTCCTCCTCCCTCGTTACCCATTGGTCCTCAAAGGACATTCTCTCCGACTTGAGGTTGAACTTGAGTATTTGAAGGACTTCCATCATCGCAGGAGAGAGGCCAGCACGTCGCATGGTGTCTGTCTCCTTACCAGAGGAGAAAACCCGCTCGCATGGGACTGCAGAAGCCTGGGAGGACATAATGTCCAAAGCGACGCGGTAGATCGTTGGGAAGATGTAGCGTTTACTCTAAAGGCTGTTAAGCTTCAGAATAGATAAAAGAACGAAACGACGCACCTGCCAGTAAGCCACCAAGTCGAAATTTGCGATGGCTTCATCACCAATAGGACCAGGCTCTTCCAGGTAAGCCTTGAGCTCTTCCTCTACAGCCCGCCTATCTTCTGCTTCCTGAAGCGCTCGTTTCTCCTCCTCAGTCTGCTCCACATCGTCATGGTCATCATCAGAGGCACCAGCCGACGACGACGACGTAAAGCTGCCCTCGGACCTGGATAGTTGGCGCTTCAAGTCTTGAAGTCGTGCTCGGAAGTGGTTCTGGGCACGGGCGGCATGCGAAGCGCTGGGGACGTTGACCAAACGGGTCCCTGGGTTGGTCGGCGTGCATGCGCCGACTTTGGATCCGTTGCTGCGCATCTGACGTCGATACTCGAGCATCTACAGGATAGATAGTTAGAGACAGCAATGTAACGAAAGGAATAGCAACTTACCGAGTTTACGAAGCGTTCCTGTGCGCCTGAGGCTTCCTCCGAGCCCCAGTTCTTCTCCAACCATTCCAACTTGATTGTGGGATGGATTACTTTGTAGAACGACGATGAGCTCAATAATTGAGGAATGAAATAAACCAAACGAAAGACTCACTCATTGACGCAGTATAAATCGGAGTCTTTCGACTTTTTGCGAAATATTCGTCGAGTTTGTCAATGGAAGCTTGAACACCTTCCCGGAGATCAGGGAATAGGCGCTTGAATTGCTTCAGAACCGAAAGAAGGTCCTCATAAGCAGGCAAGGCGACAGGGAGGGTTGGGGTCTTCTCTGCTGAGAGAGATTCCTGCACAGTATGCGGGATCTCGAGGAACTGGCGGATTTGAACGAGTGCGTGAACTTGCTGATCGGAAAGCGCGAGGTGGGCGAGATCCTCCCACTCCTCCATCGAGAGAAGGACCTTGATGGCCTTGGAACTGTGTGAGTTGAGTATGCGAAGATAGCTTCTATCAAACTCACCGGCCAAAGCTGAAGGATACGGTCAATCATCAAATAGGTCGATGACCAGCGTACCTCCATGTCCTTGAGAGGTACGAGGTTGGGCACCTCTTCAGGAGTCCATTTACCACTGTCATAACCCTCCTTGATGACTTTTGCCAGAGCCTCTCGTCGCTGCCCCGATGCACGTAGCGCATTTGCAAGCCGACGAGCAGCAAGAACAGGGTCGTCGAGAACTTCAATATCGTAATACTCGTCGTCGTTGACAAGTTGATTAATGAAGGGATCGGACCCGGGTACGACTGGGGTGTAGACGCCATCCATGGGAATGGAAGTGAGTCGTTTAAGTCCCGCCTTGACACATAAATTGACGACATGAGGGAAGCAGCTAAATAAAGCTGTCGTTAGAACCCGATTTGGCTCAGAATTGAGAAAGATACTCACCGGATACGGTTCTCTTCGGCTGAGAATGCTATCCCTCTGCCTCTGAGAATAACAGCAACCTCTTGCATCATGGTATTACAATTTGACGCATTATCGAGTGTTATCGTGCAGAGCTGTGTATAAGAAAGTCAAACAATGAATATATGCGCACGAGAAAGCTGGGGCTTTACCTTTCTATCAATACCCCACTCATCAAGAATTCCGACAAAGGCCTTTGCCAAATGTGATCCATCGTGCTTTCCATGGACATGTCGGAAAGCGATGAGCCGAGTTTTCAGCTCCAGATGGCCAGGGCGGTCAACCGGCTCCACCATGTAATGAGCTGTAACTGCCATATAGCTGGTGAGGTCACTCGAGCTCCAAATGTCTGAAGTAAGTGAAATGCGACCCTTGGCATTCTATGAGGAAGCAATATAAGAACACAGTTTAAAGATAGATTGGATAGAACAACATACCTGGATCTCCTGCTTAATCTTGTAGCACTCTTCTTCAAATCGTTTTAACAGTAAATCCGTGAGCTTTGTGCGGTGGGGAATCATGGAAGGCTCGAGATTGACACCACAGCCCACGTAAAGTAGCAAGTCACGTAGCTCGGGGCATTCAATACTATTCATAGCCTGAAGCGATGATAAGTCTAAATAAAAAAAGAGCATGGGCGTAAGCTTACCTGATCATTGACTGCAGTCCAGCGCGTTAAGCGCTCCAGGAAACCCGGAATCGTAAATGACCCTGGTGGGTACTTCTTCTCCCGTGCAGCATGCTCTACCTGCTCCTGAAATAGTTTCTCCCACCCCTTGAGCTTCTTCGCAATCACAAACTCCCGCCAAAGGAAGTCATGCTTGGACTTCAAATGGTTGCGGATACACTCCGTCTGACCATGGGTATTGGCCCAAATGGACATTTCGGCGAGGCTAAAATGAACCGGATGAGAATATTAACTTGTCGAAGTCAATGTTAGTACGTACGGGCAAAACCGACAACCAAGGAATTGAGCCTCCGCCTTTTTGGGGCATTTGAGAGGGAAAGTGTCGGTAAGCTCGGGAATGGATGTTGGAGGTTGCCGTGACTGAAGCGGAATAATAAACGGCCACACATCAGTAGCCATTTGTGTCTTGGAACACTTGATCTTGGTTTGAGTAACAAGGCTGCCATATATAGGGATGATCGGTGATGGAGGCGGCGTAGCAGACTGTGGTCCCTCGATAGAAGCGACAGGACCAAGGCCGGGTATAGCAGGAATGGGAGCAACTGGAATTGAAGAAGACGAGGAAGAGGCGGTTGGAGATACATTCTCCGAGTTAGCAGTCCGACGGCGTTTGTTTCCCGAGCCTCCAGAAGATGTCTGCTTTCGCTTACGTCCTGCCAAAGCAGTAGTTGTGGGAGCAGATGGAGCAGTGACTGTAGCTGTGAGTTCAGTGGAAGTCGAAGGGTAGGGTGTTGTATGCAGAGTGGAAGGGGGTGGATAGTACTGTTGAGGATAGTGGCCATATGCGTAGCTTCCAGATGGACTATAGGACGAAGGTGGAGGCGAATGAGCAGGAGCATATGTGAGAGGTGGCCATTGAGAAGGATGAGGATAGTAGTAGGAAGGATTGGGGTGTTGGACAGGGGGTGGTGTCTGGGAGGGGCCGGAGTAGCGTGCCTCGGACATACAGATACACTGCTCAATGCTCTGAAAGCATTGAGGACAGCCAGAGGGGGGAGGATTCGACGCCATTGCAGTGACAGTGGAGACTCCTCCTCCCTCATCCTTTTATCCTGTTTCTTGTCTCCCCCGTAATTTCACGTGTTGGACCGCTTAGGAGTAGCGTATAAACCTATTAGCGGCAAAATCATTCCCCCAAAGCCAACTTTCATGCATTTCTGCGATAGGTACGAGCAGAACAGTGTCATTTGAGCAACCCCTGTTTCAATGTCATTATCGGCTGAAGAGTTTGAAATAAAGTCGGTAAAATGGCCTGATATTTTCGGAGATAAGCCCCTGAGTACTCATACAAAGTTTGAGGCGGATAGCTGAAGTCGAATCTACAGAGGGAGACAATCTCTTAGAGCGCGCATCGCGAGCGCGTTGTACTCAGTTAAGCGCCAGCCGCGGCATTGTGGCAGTGCTCGAAATTATAGGGATGGGAAAAAATCGGCCGACACCTTGAGGTCGCCTCGAGGGACCTTGAGGTGCCACCATCAATTTGTTTCGGACCTTAAGGGACCTTCACCTTGAGGTACCTCGACCTTGCGGCAACACTAGGGTTTCTGCTTCCCGAAAGTAGCCGGCTGACATTCAATTCAGTCCTTGATTGGGTGGTGTGTGCTTGAGTGCCCTTGTTGCCATCCGGTCGGAGCTCCTCTCTGGTAAGTTTAATCAACCAATCCATATGGTTTCCATGTAACCCACCGCACTTTTGCCATGACTTATTCATTGAGCGTGGTGACCTTCGACCCTTCCCAAGCCGCAACTCATTTCCCTTCGACATGCTGTTGAGTGTTTGTTTGTTTAACCTTCCAGGGACGATCACGGCGAGTAGCCTATTGCGCTATTATCCTCGCATTAACAGAGCAACGCGGACAGTGTAAGAATCAGGCGAGTAGTAAGAATCGCCGTCGATTTTCTCAAACTGCCGTGAAGCAAGCCGTTTGTGCGCCTCATCCTCGCGTGGATTTCACACGGGCGTTACGACTGGAATCGCTCGTGGAGCCAAGCGTTCACATCGAAGGAAGGTTGAATGACTACACATACACTCTGGGTTTTCGAGAAAAGCATGGGTGTGAGGGATGAAATCCGTAAGCCTCGCATTTCACTTCATTGTCTACTGGTGATGACTATGCCCATAGACCTCCTTAAGAGGCATTTCCCAATTTTCAGGCCGACTTTGAGCGTTCACAAGATGACCACACAATCGAACAGAGGAGAAATCACAGAAATCTGATGGTATGGGGTCAGCCGACCGTGGCGGCGCCTTATGGGGCAAAGCCACCGGGCCTTGTCTCAGGAACCGAAATTGGTGAGACGACCGTCAGTCCCATAGCCATCACGGCTAGTCGCTTTTCGCGCTCTCGCCTCATCCGTTCTCCTTTTTCTCTCTCTTTTTTTCTTGTTTATTTCGTTCCCTCAAGTCTTTCGGTGCAGGCCTGCTCCCTATTAACACTGCAGTGCCGTTGTGGCTGGCTGGCTAAATTCCCGAGGCAAACCTTCTCAGAAGCCAGTTGCCTGAGTTTCGTTCCGTTTGGGATTACCGAGTCTCCCTGGGCCCACCGGATTTTTACGTCTTTCTTCTTTAAACTCTCGACTGTGTACGAGGAAATTTTGGGCGACAAACATGGGTTCTTGCATGTCATCACCGTCAGGGGGCATCGAGGTCACCGAGGAGGAGAAACAGCGGAATAAGGAGGTCGAGAAGCAGTTGAAGGAGGTGCGTAGCCCGGTTTCTCATGGCAGACGGCGGGGAACTGACCTTGGATTCCCAATACCACACAGGCAAAGGCCAAAATGCAGTCCCAGGTCAAGGTTCGTTAGTGTTATACTCAGAGTTTTGGGACTATGTGACGATGGGGTATGGCGCCCAGGTGCTTCTCCTGGGATCAGGAGACTCGGGCAAGTCCACGATCCTCAAGGTACGTCGCGCGATTCATATGGCCACCAAACCTCTTAGCTGAACTCGTGGATAGCAAATGCGCCTGATCCACAAGGTGCCGTTTTCACCACAAGAAGTTGAATCGTATCGTCAGCTCGTGTTCGAGAACTTGACCCGGGGCATGGGCTATGTCCTCGACGCCATGGAAGACATGGAACTCAAAGTCTCAGAGGAGAACCAGCACTACATCGACGAGGTTATCCACGCCCGCGACATTCGAGACGGCGAGCCCTTCCCCAGGTCCTATTATAAACCCCTCAAATCACTCTGGCTTGATCCCAACGTTCAGAAGGCCTGGCAAAGGGGCAATGAAGCGGCCTTACCGGAAAAGTCAGGCGCTTCCATTCCTTCTCGTCTGTTTATTGCTGACTGTCTGGTTACTAGCCTCTTGTACTTTTACTCCTCCCTGGACCGGCTGTTCGACCCAGAGTACCAACCCTCGGAGCAAGACATCATTCGATGCAGGGCGCGCACGATAGGCATTACCGAAACAACGTTCGTGCTCAGAGAGCATGAGATGTTGATGGTCGATGTTGGTGGCCAGAAGAGCGAGCGACGGAAATGGATACATTGCTTCCAGGATGTGACTAGCATACTGTTCCTAGTCAGCTTAAGCGGCTATGACCAGTGCCTAGTCGAGGATAAGGATGCTGTGAGTTCCCGTCCGTCCCGTGGTTCGCAGTACCTAACCCAACCCTCTCCCAGAACCAAATGCAAGACGCTATGACGATCTGGGACTCGATATGCCACTCTCAATGGTTCAAACAGACATCAATTGTACGTTTCTACCTTCCGGTCTCAGCGATGATCAACTGACTCCACGCTTCCCTATCTCATTATCACATCGGAACACTTTCAACTATCGGCGGCGGTGATACTCATAGATCCTCTTCCTGAACAAGAACGACCTCTTCGAACAGAAGGTGCCACAATCAGACATCAAGAACTTCTTCCCGGTATGTCCACCCAAGCCTTGTGCTGATCATCCTCGTAATTGCATGCTCAATGGATGCTTAGGATTATGACGGCGAGCCAGGTGACGCTAAAGCTGGCCGAGATTACTTCAAGAAGCGTTTCGCAAGACTCGCCCAAAAGGCTGGCCGGTCCAAGGAACGCGAGATCTACATTCAGTACGTGATATTTGTGGCTCGAGATCACAACGCCACAGCGGGGACGTTTACTGATGACGTTTGCCTTATCGCTCAGTATAACCACTGCTACGGATACTGCCATGTTGAGAGTTGTAATGGCTGCTGTCGAAGGTACGATATTCACCCCACTCCAGTGTCTCAGTGCTGACTTTATCTTTCCTCAGAGTGAGTGCTTGTTTCATCTTTGAACAACAATTTGGGTATTCCTTGCTTTCTTCCTTTGATTTCTTCCTATTGGCTCTGGACTGCCTTCGGTCGTCGGAAACCCATTTGCCGCTTCCCCCCTTCTTCTCGTTGTCATCTCCGATAAGACCCTGGCTCAACTCTTCTTCGACCTCGATAGTATCATTCTCCGCTCAAGCTTGGAGACTGCAGCCCTGATATAGGCGCTGCCTGGCCCGTTTCCCTTTTGCCCTCTTTCGTTTTCTTTCATCTCACACGCGCTCTACGCGGACCCGCTCGCTATCATACTTCATATGTAACATTATCTTCAGGTTCTGCCTAATTTCCTCGCTCCTTTTTTTATTTTTATTTTCGTCGTTCTTGTCTCTTCGCTTTTTTCTTGTTTTCCGTTCTGGTTTCCTTCAGTCGGTTGTACCATAACTCATGATCGTTCTCTTCTCCACATCACTTTTGCTTTTTGGCTCTGGTCGCTCTCAACGAAACACTCTTTTGCGTAACAACAACTGTCAAATCAATCCCTTGCCCTCTCGAAAACGGAACGAACCATCCTCCCGGCAAACTAAACCCAAAACTCAATACGCAACCCCACCTGGCCAATGATATCTTAACCCCGATAACCCTAAATAACCGGCGAAAAAACGCAATTTGGGCAACAACGATTCGATTCAATGCGACCCGACTCACGGACGACAATCCCATCAAAATCAACTACCTAACTTCGGACGATGTAAATTTCGATCTGGGCTGGTCACGGTGGCCCAACAACATGGCACGCGCTTGCTATTCCATTACATCCTTATGGCAAACCTATTACGACCTTCTCGGACGTGGATGTGATCGCTCCTACTCCTAAATTCAATTGGGATTGGGAACCAACCACAACTACGCAATGGAAATCGTAATCGCCGGATCTCGAATTCGAATGCACCGTACCGCCTCGTATCGTTCAACCTGTCTCTCTTTCGCCGACGCCGCCGCCGCTCTCCTGCCCCCCTTCGTTCCTTCCTGATCGCAGTTCGATTGTGAGCAAGAATGTAAGCTATCTAATCTATCTAATTGTTGTTCTAACTACTGTTAGCTGTGGATGTATACTTACATTAAACCTTTTCACCTTCCTTTGCTATCTGATAGATCCGGAACGTTATGCTCTAAGAACAGATCGTATCGCCACTCCCCCTCTCTCTCGAACGCCGATTTCTCCAAACCCCATCTCTCGCAATCCCACGCCGCGCCGATACTCGACCCCTCCCAAGACCAAGACCTCTTCTCTACGCTCCATACCGACCAACGAACCAGAACTCAATCATAAAGCTTTCCGTCATTTTATCCTCTTTCAGCCTTTCCCGCCTGTACCACGTGGGTCGGGGTCTCTGTTTAGACCCCGCACTTCCCCTTGTATCAAATCACTGTATCCCCAAGCAGCAAGTTCAAGTTTCAACGGATGACCACCCATGTACTTCCACCGTCACCGGAGACTGGCCACTTTCTTGCGGAGAGCGATCTCTCCATCATCGTCTTTTTCTATCTTCCTTCCACCCACCTCCCTAACACCATCAATATCATCAACACCACGACCACCATCGGCCATCATCATCATTACCGCCAATCCAATCTCGAATTGCTTTGCACACTACTAACTATAGACTTTTTCAACCAATCAACGCCGCCGAACGACCACCACCACAAGAAAAAAAATCAACGGCGCATGGCCACCTTCCCCTGATACAACCTCACGGACTGCAAGCTATCTATCGCTTTCAATTTCTCTTTACTCTTCCTCCCCTTTTTCCTCGCGGTTTCCTCGTTCCTCGTACCTTTCTCCTTGTGCCAAGTATGTAGTTACCAGTTAAGTGATCACGGACGGTTGCGTGTTGTTTTTCTCCTTTCTCCGTGTCTTTTTATCTTTCTATCCTGCGCCTCCTTAAAACCAGGGTCTCCTTTTTAAACTTAGCTTTAAATCTCTCTGCAACTCCTAGGCTTGATGCTGCTGTTTTCCCTCCAGAAGTTTCTCTCAGTGTTGTAGTCGTACTGCTGTGTTGTGTTATCTACGCGAACGCGAACGTGCATCACCGATTTTCCTTTCGTCCATCGATGGCGTCTGACCTTCCACTTCGTCCTAAGTACATACTTGTTCTGAACGTGAATTCAGAACATAGACCGCGTTTGCGCATGGTAGATACGTACGTAGATGCTACAAATCTCGATTCCTGTCGCGTTGGGAAGCGTAAGTAAGCGCTGAAGTTCCCAAATTTTCATTGGCCAAGGAGAAGCCGAAAAGGCACGCTGCAGAGCATTCCATTGTAATTGCTCCGCCAAGTATCGCCACCCGCGTCTGACCATGTCCACCTGAGCACCAGGCTATGGATCTCCTGAGCCCCCTTGTGCTGTTACCAACCAAAGCTCTCCAATACTCCTCTCGTTCGCATGGGTTCCCGAATGACCCCCAAATATACCCCTCAAGGCCGGATGAGATTCTGGGCTGGCCGTCCGGAACCAGACGGTCAAATTTTGGATTTTTTGTCCGGGAAATTCACCATCCTCGAGCCCTAAAATCGCTCTTTTCTGGCCGGATCAGGGAATATTTTCCCACACGGGCGCTTTTTTTCGGGGTCGGGGGCCAGAAAATGGCATTTTTGTTGGACTTTTGTCCGGATTTTATCTGGCCTTCCGCGATATTTTGGCCTCTTCCTGTCCGGATTTCGCATCCGGCCTGTGGCCAAAACCCAGTTTTTCTGTCCGGATTCTCTTCCGACCTTAAGCGCGATATTTGGGGGTCCTGTTCCCGATCGTGCCGGTACCGCCGGTGCGTAAGGATCTCCCCAATGCATAAACTCAGTAGCTCAGTTGCTATCTGTTGCTGCAACTGTTGGGGCTTTAATTCAATTGGATTCAGGTGCACATGTGGTTGTGTGAGTCTGTTGAACATACCGAACGGCAAGGTACCTAAGCACTAAACGGCAGGGCGCTACAGGTACCAGCGGCCACACGCACGACATAGGTACGACCATGAGAACATGAACCTTTCGGCTCGCGGCTGCCTCTCGAGCGAGCGAATATGGCATCAGGCAACTGCAATTGAGCCCAATGGGTATGTAGAGGGTACGTAAACCACATCCTATCAAAGGATTCAAGATGATGACCCGACAGTTTGGATCATGGACGTTGAGGATGTGGAGTTGGGAACAAGATGCGGACAGACTGGTAGAGTCACTTGAAGTTCAAGCGCTCACGACGGGGACGCTGGTGGACCATGTTCGTCTCCGACGATAAAGGCGGGGCATACACTTCATTTTCCATATCCAAAGCATGATCCAGAAGTTGGTTTAGGCCTGTTAGAAGATTGTTGGTGTGATGGAAATTGCCTCGTTCCTTTTCCAGTGGACCGGAAAGCACATAAGTATGGAGATGGTGGCTGCGGGCGCCTCTTCTAACCTCCCAACATCACGGTCAGACGATGCAGCGACACACAGGCAGAGTAAGTATAACGTGTATGTGTATTAACACAATGACAGATGGTTCGCCATCTCTCGCCCGCCGTTTACTACGGGACCCACGCTTGTATTGACGACCAATCACTACATACTTACAGGTTCATGATCAGAACTGAGAAAACTAGAAGTAAATGAACCAGCACGCCAACCACGCACCGGAAGATCGGCGACATAAGGAGGGAGTCGACCTACATTCGAATCCCACTCCTCGGTCTTGAATCATCGCCTAGCTGGCTGGCTCCCCTTCCCACAGAGTCACCACTGGCTGTCAAGTCATCAGCGGATTGAGAACCCGGAGAGCGCTTGGGCTCATTGGAATGATCTTCTTCGACTGTCGGTATCTCGGCTCCGAGGATCAGCTGCGGCCTCGTTTTGAAGAGAAGAATGACGTTAAAGAAACTGCTGGGCGAGAAGACGATGCATGCCCAGAGCGAAAACTGGTGTGGCAGTTCCTTTCCGCTGAAGCAGAGCCATCGCGAGAGGCTGGTTGGGAAGGCACGGATAATATAGATGAGGCGGTATCTGTGAAGATTGGATTAGCTGGAGAGGTAATGAATAATTTAGATGCCATGACAAGAGGAGTTGTCGAGCTAGGGCCCTTCGGTCTTCATGCTCACCGAGCGCCTGCAAGGGTTCCGCACTGGCACCGACCGGCGCTTGCGCCCTATCGAAAGTCCGCCTTAATCTTCTACCCTCAAACGAGATCCATCCTCACATATCCAAGGAGCTGAGAGTGTACTGGGCAACGACACAGACACAGACCCCAATCCACATTCCCAAGTATTGGCCAGAAGTTGCGTAGTCTTGAAGCAATCATCTCCCATTCTGTTCGGGATCCAACACCCTAGCGGACATCAGTTTACCTCTGAATCAGGGTGTAGAAGGGTGCAGCTTACAGTAGTTTGTCGGAACAATGGCCTGTCGTCCATGAACGCCGAACGTGGTAGCGATCACGATGACAAGTGCAAGCCAAACAGTCAAGGTAAACGCCTAGACCGCCAGCTCCCCATGGAAGGGTAAGCACCCAGAATGTGTGACCCGAAATTACTTGCAAGGAGGATCCTCTAATCGATTTCCAAGTTCGACGTTCAGTGATCGGCGACGGCGACTGGCCAAGGTATTGTCCGAATGTACAGTATCTCAGCCGCCAAGATTAACGGACATCGAGTCCATAGAAGAAATCAGAAGTCGATAAGCCTGAGGCTGGTTGCAATGAGCTTGAGAAGCCCTTGGGCAAAGCAACATCGGTCATCTGATAGCTCCTTGTGATTTACTATCAGCTATTGGCCACAGACTTTGTTGGGCTTTGAGCGACACCTACCGCATCTAGAACCCATCACAGCGTCATGCGGTTCGCTATTCGGAGTGCCGGATGTACATAATCGATAAGGAGGACGTTCAAGTTGGAAGACATCGAGACCAGCGCACTGATAGACCACAAAGTCTCGCCCAACCTATCTCCAGAGAGGGGTTCTGCGCAGGGAAATGCCCTCGAGTGAACGGCCACACTGGGGCTGGGGATGTTAGTCCGCAGCTGAAACTCCCTGCTTAAAATAAGACACTTGAAGTGCTGGGAGCTTGCGGCTGTGGAACTCGACGTCTTGGGGGTGACATGGCGGGAAACATGCGGCGCGATCTACTCAATTGGAGAACGGTCTTTGAATGGTTGGTGCTTCCTCATGAGGCGGGCAGGTTATTAATAGTCGGCAGGGTGAGCGTAGGTTTCCCTTTCTCCCCATGATCTCTGAACTACATGCAACATTGCGATAGCTATCATGGTAACAAGGGAATTCCCTAACCAATGGGGGCTGCACATTTGCTTCTCGGTGCTTCAGATAACATGCGACGACCTTCGATACTCCGTTTACAGGGCGATAAACGACAATTTAGCACCCAAATGTCATGTCATTCCTTGGGGTAAGTCACCATGGGAAAAAGTAAGGATCAAATCGTGGCTCCGAGTCGACCAGACACTAGCGGGCTGTGATATCAAGGAAAGTTATGGTCATAGAGATACGGCTTGACCCTTTGCTGTCGCCGAAAGCTAGCGTCGTGGCCCACAATCTCGACACGCCCGGTCCCGTTGACATACCGCGCACCGGGATCTACGCGCCAATGATTAAAGCGTCTATCTTTCCCATGGCACCCGAAGCGAGAACAGCGAGACGAGGGAAGAGTTGAACTTCCTGCCTGTTAAAAGCAGCAGGTCAATTTCACTACTTCCTCACTCGTTACAGGATGATCACTCTTGACGATCTACTTCTTTGGCGTCTCCTCCTTTCGCCAGACCGTCGCATTCCTCCGCCCTCGAACCAATGTCGCCAACACCAAAGTCGACCCAATCACCTATCGCGACTTTGAGCTCCACGTGAGCCGTCTAGCAACCAAGTGGGCCAGCATCAGAGCTCCGCCTGTTACTCGAAAGACCTTTGAAGATGGCGACCTCAACAACCAGGACGACGCGAACGATCATACCTCCGACTCGGGATCCAAACTCATCGCACCCAGATCACTCGTTGGTCTCTGCCTCCCTTCCCAATATGTATTCGCCGTTGCAGTGTTCGCTTTAATTCGTCTGGGTGCAGTACCTGTCTGCCTCTCACTGACAAACTCGGACGAAGTCCTGGAGCACCTAGCCAAAGAGGCGGGACAATCCGCGGTTATATCTGTCAATGATACAAACGAGGAGCTGGGTGATAGGTTACGGAGAATTCTGAATGGAGCATGATTATAGACGCGGAGAGCCGCGATGTAACCGACCTTTTTCAGGGGTGAATACTCGCCCTGTCCACATCTCAAAAATGGGTCGGCTTCCGGAGACGACATTGCCATTGTGTTACATGTACGTAGATTCGAGCTCGCATTATTTCGCACTAATCGAACTTATTCCACTTCGTTAGACCTCGGGGTCGACATCTATCCTGAAATTGGTTCCACTGTACCACCACCTCCTTCTCAGACTTCCGGCAGGATCCACCTCACGCACAGATTCCCTAGTGTCAAAACAGCCCATTGTCACTACCGCAGGCCCGCCCTTGTTCCATGTATGTCCTAGCATCATCCTCGAGGTTTAATCCTTTCTAACTGCCAATCCCAGAAACTTGGAATCCTTAATGGAATTATCCTTCCAATCTATTGAGGTCCAATCTTCGCCATTCCACCACAAACCCTCGAAGATGCTCAAGCGGGACGCACGATGCCGTCAGCCCGTACATTAGGAGATTATGCCAAAATGGTCGGGGCCAAAAATTAACTGTTACCCCCACTATGCTCATGGAGATTGCCCTGCTGGGGTCCAAGTCAGGCGTGAACCTCGAAAGTGGCTCAGAGGGCATGAACTTCCTCAGAGCGCTCGACCGCGTTACCGTATCAACCGCGCCGATGTGCCAAGACCACGGAGATTGGATCGCAGCACAGGGTGTGCATCTCGTACAGGTATATGGCCTGACTGAGGCTGGCTGTTGGTGCGTCTCTTACCAGATATCCATCATGGAAAGCGATACCTGACAAGCCGAGCTAACTAGTTGCATTCTGACCGTCTCGAGGCGATCCCAACTGGCAGGGGATGCGCCCTTTCCCCAACGTTAAGTACAAGATGCAACCTTTCGGCTACATTCCTGGAACGAGTGTTCCTTTGTATGAGCTGGTTGTGAAGTCCGCAAAGAAGGGTGGTCACTTCCCTGGAGCTTTCCAAGAGACGGATGAATATCACACCCGCGACTTATTCCAAGAATGGCCTATTCCCGGGACAGGGAAGTATAGATTCTACGGAAGGAAAGACGAGATAATTCTGTTACTCCCTGGTCATAGCTGCCTACCGAGCTCAGAGTAAAACTAAAATGTACTCGAGTACTATACTACAACGGACAAAGGAGGATTCGAACAGGTTCGAACTCGCGACCTGCTCGATCTCCGCGATGAAGGAAAGACTTGGCGTTCTCCCGGTCCGATACTCTCGGAGAACTACTTTCAACCTCCCCCAGCCCATCGAAAGCAGAAAGAAAACGAACCCAGAACAGTCGCTGATACAGACTAAGAGTAGTATGTCGGAGGAGGCTCAGAAGGGGTACTCGCCCTATAGTCAATCGGAGTCATGTTCGATTGAGACCCCTGCGTACTCTCCCTCTCCGCCCTCAAAAGATTAACTTCCCTCCTCAACTCCTCCACCTCCCTCTGCAGCTGCAACTGTCTTTGCTGCTCTTCAGACGGCACGGAGGATGGCGAGTGAGGCGTTATAGATGACGGCGGGTTTATAGACGGTGGGACAGATGGTGAGGAAGGCGTCGTCCGGGTATAACTTGAGGCCGGTGGCGGATTAGCATTGGCAAGCCGAAGTGTCCGCTCCCTCATCATCACTTCTTTCGACGCAGGTAGTCCATCATTGTCACTCTCATGCACTGTGGCACTAGTCACACTCGTCCGTGACGCATTCCCACCTCCAAGGAGCGCAGGAATGAACGGAACCGGTCGCAGCTCCGACGGTGCAGTCGATTCAGTATACTCTTGTCGGTGCGTCGATGTCGCCGGCTGGCTATGTGGCGACGATACAGACTCGTTGAGGGACGACCGTGGAGAGACATTGACGAGATACCGCGTCCGGGGTTCTGAAGGTTTGAAGGGTCCCATGCGTCGTTTCCAGAGGAAGAGGATGGCCGCCACGAGAAGTAATCCCACAACACCACCGACCACACCGCCGGCGATAGCGCCGACATTCTTCTTTCCTTCCTCCCGATCCTTGTGCCAATTTTCGTTGCTGCCGCCCTTTTGGAATGCCCTGATAATTTCGTGAGTCCTGGGCTAGAATGGGATTGTCGCATGGTAACGCACTTAGCCGCAAGCAACGAGAACATAGCTCCTTGAGCAGGACTGAACACATTCATGAGACCTCAATACATCTGCGTAGATGACAGGGACTAACCTATTCCTTCCTCCCAGCGGAATCGACGCTCCAGTATCCACATTCCAAGTCGTCCCAAACGCGGCCGCTGTGCCCCTCCAAAACGTTCGACGATGTACCCGTTCAATCAATGTGTCGCGGACAGCCGAGTCGCTAACCGAAGCAGCGGTGAATAGAGTCCAATCTAAATGCAAAGGACCGTCAGCGCGCTGGGGTCAAGAAAAATAATCAAGACAAAGACGCACGAGATTTCATCAACGTAGGATCCAGGCTGTCATAAGGCAAGCCCCAACCAGTCTGGTGCGCTATAGGAAGCAGACGTGTCAATAAATACGAGCAGAGTTCCTTCAAATCCAGGTCGAACCCACCAGAATCCAGTTTTGCTTTATAGAACTGCTCATGAGATTCAAACACCTACAGGAAGAGCCACGTTAGCGTCGACCCCGCATTCCAAGTCTCCATACAACCCACTTCAGACGAAAAAAGCTCGGGAGCGACGAGTGCCGCCGGGAAATAATTATAGACCATCGTCCAAGTCGCAGGCTGACCATACGCCGAAGCGATATGATCCCCCACAAACGCATGCTCTTCCCACTGGCGAGCAAGGGTCGCGGATTCATTCTGAAGATACAAAATCGGAAATGGTAGAGAGGCAGGTCAATAAATCTCGTCAAAGCGTCGTTTGGCATAGCGGGGCGCTTACCAAGTAGCGTTTCGCGGCTTCGGAGGTGGCTCCATCGGGATCGACAATTTCTCGAATTTTTCCCATTGCATGGATGCCGAGGATACTCTTCAATGCCAGGTTAGTAAGACCGTCGTCTTTCAGGCCGTCGGCAGATATCCTAAAAACCGCTTCAGTTTCACGCTGAGATGAGGTGATATGGGAAGCTCACTGGTCCTTGGTATGTACTCCTCGTTCGACGAGATAATCCGCCCACTTCTGCAACAACTGGGCCTGTAAAAAGTAGCGATAAGCCTAGAACCCAACACAGAGTCGCTACGAGGAGCCCACATGGTCATTGATCAACGTATAATCCTCCGTTCGAATAGCATGTGCGAGCGACATGATAAGCATACTGCTACAGCCTGTTCACCATCAGCTGAAGTTAATACACTCAGGAGCACATGGCACTCACTCTCAATTGCCAGTCGACTGGTATCACTGTTATTTCCCGTGGAAAAGATGTAATCGTTCCCTAGAATACATCGAAGTTCAGTATTATATCCATCACGGCAAAAGGAGGAACGCAAAGCTAACCTAGATCGGGAGAAGCATAAGGATTCTGGTACTTTGACGATGATTGATACATCAACAACGGCTTGAGTAGGAGTTTGAGGAGGGACGGATTGAGGTAAAGAAGAGCCGGCATGGCAGCGTAAATTGTTTCAACAGGATTCCCGCGTCTGTGGAAGGATATCGATGAGTACCAGACTATTTTTCGCCAATCACTTTTCAGACATACTTGGAGAATCCTGTATCCCGCATGTACGCCTGAACATCCGTGGTATTCCACTCGCTCCTCCCAAACCGCTGGGGAAGGGTAACCTCAATCGAAGCCACAGTCTGACGAACCGAAAGCGCGACAAGATCAGCATATTGCGACGATACAGCCCCAGCTTCATCCATCAACTTGCGGTCAAACTCTTCAGCCCTTGCCCTTGCAGCGGGGAAGTCGTCCAAGAACGCGGTAATCTAAATCGATCAACCAAAAATCAACGATGAAATCAGCATTGCCGGTCAATCCGATGTTTCATGGGGTTCGGTGTGACGTACGGCGTCTCCAATACTGGGATAATGCGACCAAAAGTACGAAGTCCGCGTATCCACCCCGATAGACTTTCCAGCACCAGACAGCAGAGTATCTCGGACGTGTCCTAGGGCCCAGACAACCTGTTCCGAGGTAGCTTGAATGTCGCCCAAGTCCACAGCGAAGGCCAAAACGGGGTAGTCGCTAGCATATACAATGTGAGGAGTCAGGGGGAATAGGAAAGACAAGCACAGCAACTTACGCGACCATCGCGGCCCTAAAATCCGTGTCTCCCGTGTTGGCAAGTTCTCCGTTCTCCAGGAATCCTTGACGGACGTCGGTGAAGGGGCCTATCTGCCATGTTGGATTTGTGGCCTAGTGAGATTCAAGGTTAACACATTCAACTTGGAGGGCGAGGGGTCCGCATGCCTTACCTTGGGCATAGCAAAATACAACACGCCATTCTCGACTACCTCCCATCGCTCCATGCGTAAAGCAGTGTATTTTGCTAATTCGTGGTATATAGCCGACTGGGTTTCTGTGGTGTCCCATCTCATGGTGTCGTTTCGGATTGTGACCAAAGCTGGATGAACGTTGGGCAATGAAGTTAGGAAGAAGTGCCGGCCAAGGTAAAATGCATACACACAAGACGCAGCTTCAGAGTAGAGCTGGACACTATGCGGGTTTCCATCTTTAGTCCACACATCGATGTAAACGTAGGCGAAAGGAAAAGAGAGCCGAATGATATCTTGAGCCTAGTGATGCCTTCCAGTTAGTATGCATATACTGTGCTCGGGCGATCCGGCGAAATCGTGGTGGAGTACTTACCTCAACCGGACTAAGGAATGTCACATTGAGCACAACGTCTCCAGCTTCCATGGTATAAATCGTTCGCGTCGCGGTTAGATAGGTCTCGACCGTGATGGCCGGCGTAACCGATGTCTCGTTTCCCAACCATTGCCAAACTTCGCCATCGACGCGTATGAACCCGTTCCAATCCAGAGTCTGAAACAAAACGGTGAGCGCGGAGCCTCAAGACGCGAGAATAATATACTGTACCCTCCACCACCATGTTGTTACATTTGTCCCGGCAGGGGTAGGCCGAGGTCCACTCCCTTCGGGCGCTGCAACCCAAGCTGAAAAGTATGGCGACCTATTGATCAGAGGGACGTTTCTCGGGACGGCTGACAAGGTCCCTTGGGCGATTGTATACGTGAAAAGAATAGAGAATAAGAGGATGGCGGTCAATCGAAGGGATGCTGGGTTCAACAGCATGTTCACATTGAGAGAAAGTGAGAGGAAGAGAGAAAGAAGGGAGTCGATCGTGGTGAGAACTGGTTGACAAGGATCATATAACTCTATGCAGGATGCTGTAACGCCACAAGGGAGTTTCACCATTACAAGAGCCTTCGGGCGTTCAATCTGCGCAAGGCTCCGCATGCTGTTAGCGTTACATAGATTTTGGGATATCGGAATCAATTCCGGGATCTACGAAAGCCTGGAGTGTATTAGTAGGAGCCAAGATACACGAAATGTATACACACCAGGACGAATAAAACCTTGGTCAACAACGCAATGCCCGTGTAATTAGGACAAGTAGGAGATCCATGATGACAGAGATGAACGTAGCTGCTCATTTGAGTCACCGTGCCAAAAGTGCGAGGCGCCTTCAATAAAGGCAATTCGAAGCCGGTCAGAGTTGGCAAGTCCCTGAAGGCGGGTTACCCAATTTCTATACCGTTCCACAGAGGTAAACTCGTCTTGGTCTCCATATATAATCAAAATCCTGGAATCCGGATTCTGGACAAGGTCTCCCAGTTTCTGATCATAATATGCGCCTTTGAACAGTGTCAGGAAGGACCGCGGACCCAAAGGATAGGACAGGAGAACATGCGACACTTTCACGGCCGAGTGTCGTGGAGGGTGTAGTGAAGCAATGAGCGATCCATGCGAGTACCCCTAGAATATTGTCAACAACGCTTGAATATGGCCAACGTCGTTACTCACGATGATAACGACATTAGACAATCTGGGTATTTCCTGGACTGCCCACTCAATTACGGCCTCAAGATCTCTGGCTTCGTCGAGACCAGTGAACGATGCCCGCCCGGTCGAGCGGCCCACCCCGCGAGAGTTGTACCGCAGAATATGGTACCCGGCATCATGCAAGACGTCGGTGAGGCTGCACAGAACACTAAAGACCGGTCAGAAACGACGATTTCGACACCGATGACGACGTACGGATCGTTCTTTTGCCCTCCCAGCCACGACCAAGGGTGTAAACAAACGGCGAGCCGCTGTGATTGCTCGTCCGTGGTGGAAGGCGGCTTCAGCCATGTACAGTCCAGAGAAACGCCGGTAGGTAGCTCGATAAGCATTTATACGTCAATTTTGGCTGAAGCAGGGTCGTCGTTGTCGAGAACTGTGGCGGATAAGGTGGTGGTCGCGGAGTTTGGGGAGGCTCCGAGCAGAACAAGCGCGCGATCAGAATTGGCACGACGCGAAACTTGGACCCTGACCACTACCACCAACGACGACCACGACGAACTCAATGACCCCGGGACGTCCAAATGGCTGAGCCCATCGACGAAGACTTCCCCTCATCGATGCCCAGGAGCTTTGGCGGGCGACGACTATCGTTTTCGCGGTCCTCTGACGACGGTGATAGTGGTACTAGTTTGACCCAGCCTTCGCCGACTCTGAAACGAGCTGCGACGACGTCGTCAGCCACAAGGGCTGCACGATACCTCGACCTGGACAGCATTCCCAATTTACCCTTGATGCCTCCACCTGGCGCTGCATGGAACTCGCCGCCATCGAGCTTGATTGGAGCTCAACGCCGTCCCTCGTTGGTCGAGGTCTACGAGAGGTCGAGGAGACGCGGCTTCCAGAGCGACTCTGTGCTGCATGCAACGACGGACGCACGATTTCAAGACCCACCTCACGATGAACCGCATTCTCCGGAAGATGGCACCAACTTCAAGCGCAGTTTGGAGATAAACATGAAGGATCTCGTCGGCGACGCTGTGGGCAACGTGAGTGACCATCCCAATGACTTCAAAGACGTTACTGACGATGTAGACGTCTAGATGAGCATCAGTCCATCGTCAAGAGACATTGTCCTGGCAGCGTAGGCATTTCAGCTGCTACATGCACAATCTGCTCATCGTTTTGAAGGCGCAAGGGACTGTTCATTATCGACCTCGAGCACCCATTCGAAGTACCGCGGTTTCTGCCTCAAGGAGGGACCTGGGACGTTGCAGACGTCCAGTGGAACCCTCACCCAAGCCGTTCCCAATACATTGTCTCGACGTCCAGCGAGAAAATGTGGGTTTTACCCTATATGCGCATATATGTGCTGATTTCTTGCTCCAAAGGCTTATCTGGAACCTTGGAATCACTGGGAAGACGTCCATAGAACATATTCTCAAATCCCACTATCGAGCCATTACCGACTTCAACTGGCACACGACCGAATGCGACGTCGTCGCCAGCACCGGCATAGACTCGTGGATCTGGGTCTGGGATATGCGGAATCCCCGGAAACCAGCATTCGGTCTGTCAGCATTCCAAGCAGCTGGTACACAAGTAAAATGGAACCGCCAAGACGGAAACTACCTCGCCTCTGCCCACGGGAACGAAGTCCTCATCTGGGATCGCCGCAAAGGCTCCTTACCAGTTACACAAATCAAAGCTCATTCCGCCAAGATATACGGTATCGACTGGTCTCACCATCTGCGGAACGAGATTGTAACATGTTCGTTGGACATGACCATCAAGTCCTGGGACATTTCCGCGCCCGAGAGACCGACCAGAGCAGTCCAGACAAACTATCCCGTTTGGCGGGCTCGAAATCTTCCCTTCGGCCAAGGCATCCTCAGCCTCCCCCAGCGAGGTGAAACACGACTCGAAATGTACGCGCGAACCGACCATCCAACACCAGTAGAGATTTTTGAGGGCCATTCAGACGTGGTCAAAGAGTTCGTCTGGCGCAAAGGCGGACCTGACGAATTCCAGCTCATCACCTGGTCCAAAGACCGGACACTGCGATTCTGGCCTGTCACGACGGACATCATGCAGAAGGTTGGGCACACGCCTGAAGTCACCAGAGGCAGATCCCAACGTGTCGAGCGGGAGCCTACGCTTTCGTATCGTAGTCCCCCAGAGAACGAACCCATTGGCGGGCAGGGCCAGCAATTACTCTCCGCGCCTATCGGGAATCGTGCCATCCTGGCCGAAGTTCGTGCTGGGCCCGTTCCCCGAAATCTCATCACGCAGCCACACCCCGGCTCTTCAGCACGCGGTGGGCTGTCGGAGCTCAACCAGCGGACGCCTACACTGACTGACACCAAGCCCATCGCCGTAGCCAGCCGCACGCGTGGCGGTACCATGAGTCGCGGTGCGGTCACTGGGAAGAGCGTGGCTGGGATGGATGCGTTTACCTGGCTTGCTAATGTCAAGGTTGGGAATAAGAGAGGGAGTAGCTCGGGTGCTGGGAGCAACGATCCGAGCAGCAGTAGTTCTTCAAGACTAGGCTCGACTTCTCGGAATCATTCGTCCAGTAGAGGGGAGGGTGAATCAAATGGCGGGCGACAGAGAAGTGTGAGCCGGACTCGCGGTCCAGAAGACAGGCGGGATAATGAGGATGCACAGTCACTGCAGGACGAGTAAGTCTCAACTATGTATTCGGACGCCGTGCAAAGCTAATATTGACTAGGATCACCTCAGTGCTGAAGAAACTCCACGCATCAAAGATCAAGTTGGAGAAGGTATTTTCAGCCAGCCACCTACCGTTTGTCCAAAGCTAACATACTCTTCTAGCACGACCTAACCAAGAAGCGGACATGTACTCTAGGACTACACGGTCCATGGGGCGAAAGCTCTTCCGTATTCGTCTTCATGCGCCTCACCTTCACCTTTCCTTCAAAGTATCCCCAGAGTGGACACCCCGAAGGCACACCCTCCGTCGAGTTGGAGCGCAACCCCCTCATCTCACCTCGTGACCGAGCATACATTCTCAAGCGCCTCAAAGCCATCAGGGAGACGAAACGGCCATGTCTAGAAGCATGCCTGCGGTTCCTTCTGTTTGCTGAAGATGGGCTTAGTGGGCGGGTTGGGACGATGGATTCGGATACTTCGGACGAGGACGATGCTGATGTGAAGAAGAGGGGCAAGGAGATGACCGTGTCGATTTTGAGGAACCATAAGAACCTTGCTGAGCCTAGGACATCGCAGGGAGCGTTTGGACCCAACGGTGAGGCTTCCGTCGTCTCGAGGATTTCAGGGATTCTGATTATTTGACTCAATAGGCGAGCTGATCTGCTTCTTCCGAGCACCACCTCGTATCGTCCGCAATGTCCTGCGAGGACTGACGACAGACACACCAGGCGACGAACAACAGAACCAACAAACGATTCAACAGCAGGAGTCACTGCAGCAATCCCGTCTCTTCCAGTCACCTGCGCTGGTCTCCGATGCTATCAGACGACTACGTCTCTCAGCTCGAGACCAACTAGTCTTGCCAGTCGGGAAACAAGAGAACGACATCAACATTCTCCGTACGATGACGAACCTCTTGACTGTGTCGCAGCACAAGATTCGCCGGGACTCTGGTGGCAGCTCGAAGAATTGGTCGTTGTTGCCTACGCGGAGGAGTAATGTCTTTATGATGGATACGATGAGTATTGCTGGTCCGGATAAGGAGGTGGCGGCTGGGTATGTGTTCCAGGGGGATAGTCTGGCGCAGTTGTGTGAGGAGAATGCGGGGTTTGCGCGGGAGTGTGGGAGGTATGATCATGAACGGGTGTTTAGGATGCTCAGGTCTCTCTTCAACCTTCCTCGGAAGGCGGATGATGGAGAGAAAGAGGTGCCGGTTGATGCCAATGCATTTGTGTCTGATATGTTGGCTATCCGCGTCATTCAGCAGATGTGAGTGTCTGATCTCGTTTCTAACATCTTGCTGACCTTCTGGAATAGATACGATGATCTAGCAAAGAATAAGGATATCCAAATGCTCGCCATGCTCTCAGTAATGGTCCTCCAAACCCCTCACGGGGCGCGGAAACCAGCGTCCATCGCGAAGCCGAAGCCCGAGCTGCCGATCGCGCCCCTTCCGCCATTGAAGACAGGTGGGATGGACTACTTCACCCTCGCTCGAACCATCAACAATGTGCCTAGCCCACTATCCCCTGCCTGGCCGTCGCCTGGCGCTCCTCCCCACGCTCCCTCCGTCGCATCATCCAACAGCTCTCGCGGTTCCTGGTCAAGCCTCTTCAACACCGGCAGTGTTCGCCAACTCATGACCGGTTTGCAGGATGGCCTTACCACGCCCAACGAATTCCCTATGCTTCCCAATTTCCTCCCCGAGCCTATCTCGAAGCAGAATAGTATGGAGAAGATGGTACTCACCCAGGCCAGTGGGTCGATACAGAAGAAGCGGTCGAGGAAGGATTCGTCGAGGCATTCACCGTCGTCGACTATGTCCAAGTCGTGGAACGAGGGTCGGCCGCAGACGCCTCGTAATTTGTCGGTGTCGTTTTCGTCCGCCGGGCATAAGAGGTCGGGGTTGTTGCGCTTGCAGGATATTAGTCCTATAGTGCAGGAGAAGAGGCGGATTGTGTTTGAAACGACTATCGAACCGGAAAGGTGCGTCTCTATTCTCTATGATGTCAACAATGGCGTTAATGGATGTTGTTCTAGCCCTCCTCCAACTTTCTCTGACTCGATGATCCAGCAATTCCATCGACACATCTATGCTTACGCAGAATTGCTCTTCCGGTGGGAATTGTACACCAAGCGTCTTGAACTCCTCAATTCGGCTCGTCACCTTGATCCACCTGCGGATGAGCAACAGCATCGGATAGGCCTCGTCCGACGATGTCCTCGACCTGATTGTTCGGCTGTGCTGGATGAGAAGACACAAAGAGCCCACGTTTGTGGCCATTGTAGCACACCCGCGTCCTTACCAGCCTGCACTATCTGTCGTCTTCCTGTCAAAGGTAAGGTCTACATACCGATTGCATTCCGACTCTTCACTCGTTGTATCACATTAAGCTGACCCCGTGATCACCTTTCAGGATTATCTCGAAATTGCCTCCGGTGTCATCATGTCACTCATATTTCGTGCTGGAACTCTCTGGACGTTCCCATCTGCCCTACGGGATGTGGCTGCTTCTGCTCAGGATTTGAAGGCATCAACACGAGGCCGTCGACGAGGCTTGGTTTCTCTCCTCAATCGAACAGTCTCATGCTTTCGAGCGCTGTTTCGTAGTCGCAAACACAGTTGCATTTCAAACTCTCTTGCTTAGCGTCAAGGGCTAACTTTAGTTTGTTTCATCTCAGTCCGATGATGATTCATATGAAGCCTTGAACCTTGATTGACGTCCTTTGCCGTTCGTCTGCGTCACCTCTACGGCTTGCTCAGTCCCTCCCTCCATAACATCATTTCCTCCATGTCCTTTTGGCCAGACCCGCGAGACCTACTTCTTCGCCCCCTAGTTCGTTGAGAAGAAGCCTTGGCACCAGAGCGCCCAGAAATTCACGTGGAAATCCATTGCCATTTAGTTTCCTTCTGAGCGCACGACGTGGACATAAATGTTGCACACGACATCGTGTGTACTCTTTTATTTCTCTCTTGACCAGGTTCACTCTGACTTGTCTACGTTTTTCTACTCTGTATTCTAGTTGCCAGCATTTTAAAACAAGCTTGTTAGTCGTAGTTGCCCTCGTAAGCGCCCTGCAGCCGCGGGTCCAAAACTGATCGTGGTAACGTTTCCTCATTCAGCGTGAGCAAAATTATAATTCGTTGGAGCTCAGTTTTTTTTTTTGGATTTTCGTGGTCTGTGAGGAACACCCATTTCGTTTTCGCTCGAACGCCGCTAGCCAGCAAATTGGTGCCAATTGAGGCCCCGATCTCGTGGAAGATGCTTCGAAGACGAATAACCCCGGTTGTCGCCAAATCAGTTTCAGGGACAAAAGGCGCCTCGTGCGGCTTTCTTCCTAACCACCACCTAGCCCATGCAAGGTTTCTGACGACTCGCCCGGATCCCATGCTTTTTTCGAGGAAGAATATTATAACGACAGGCAAGAAACCTCTTTATGCTGCTTCAAGAGTAATCAACGCCTCGTGTGGATCGGCGACGTCGGTGGTAGCAAGATGTTGGGTTCATAGCACCAACAAGACCACCGCCCTGCTGCGCAAAGTCAAGAACAGCGGTCTCAAGCGGGCTTATTCGACGAAGAGCACGGGAGATGGAACGAATTTGGGAGCTGGGGCGACGGGGAACTTGCCATTGTATCGTAGGTTTTGGTGCCAGCGGGACAGGGACGACGATGAGCTGACAGGTTTTTTGTTCTCAGGCAAGGTCATCAGCGCATGGACTGAGACCCCGACAAAGTGGTACCCTATACCGCTGGCGGTTGGAGCTCTGCTTTTGGTGGCGATCCAGTATCGTCGCAAGGTGAAGAGGGCTGGAAAGGAGGTCGAGCTCGACGAGGATGGCAGGGAAATCATCAAACTCAAGGGGCCTTGGCACGTAAGTCCTTGCACCGTTCTCTTCCCTGTTTCGACTGCTGAACAAGACGTCAGGTCCATGTCATGGGTGCTCTCCCGCTCAGGAATATGTCGCGACTTTGGGGCTATGTCAACTCTCTAGAATTGCCGGTCTGGTTCCGCCCTTACGGATACAAGTTCTACGCCTACGCCTTCGGATGCAACCTCGACGAAATAGAGCCTGCGGATTTAACGTCATACCCAAGTCTTGGTGCCTTTTTCTACCGGAAGTTGAAGGATGGGGCACGGCCAGTCGATAAAGCAATTCTTGTCAGCCCGGCGGATGGCACCATATTGCATTTCGGTACCATCGACCACGAGTGCATGCGGGTAGAACAGGTCAAGGGGATCACATACCACCTCGACGCCTTGCTGGGTGTAGAGCGTCCGGGGAGCCCTGTGTCTATGGCTGAGCACAACCGTGACATGTCCATCGTTGATGACCAGGAGTTTGCCATTGTTAACGGCATCGAGTATACCCTTGACCAGCTCATTGGTGGGAACTCGTCATCGCCTTCGACACCGCCCAACGGAGCTGTTGATGAACATGCCGGCCACAACCACCCTCATCACCCTGTTCCGACAAAGTTCGGACAGCAGGTCGATGCTTCGGTGGTAGACCCTGAGCAGAACACGATGGCCCACGATGCTGAGGTTGCTCGCGATATGGGTGTCAAATCGGCTCTCCAGCGGAAGAACAGTTTGGGGTCCAGGACTGTCCGCCCCGGCAACTCGCTCTTCTTCTCCGTCATCTACCTCGCCCCTGGAGATTACCACCGATTCCACAGCCCTACCGCCTGGGTCGTTGAGAAGAGGCGTCACTTTGTTGGCGATTTGTTCTCGGTATCACCGTGGATGGCTAAGCGGTTGGAAAACTTGTTCGTTTTGAACGAGCGTGTTGCTCTCCTCGGACGATGGAAGTATGGTTTCTTCAGCATGGTTCCCGTCGGTGCAACCAATGTTGGTAGTATCAAGGTCAACTTTGATCAGGTATGTTGCCGCTTCGATTGCGATGATGACCACCCGCTGACTGTTTGATAGGCTCTGCGAACCAACGTCCGAGGCCGCCGACCACCCCCTGGAACCTACAGCGAGGCTGTCTACTCGGCGGCGTCGCCCATCCTCCGCGGTCAGCCCCTGACCTACGCTGAGGAAATGGGCGGCTTCTGCCTCGGAAGCACCATCGTCCTCGTCTTCGAAGCACCCAGCGACTTTGAGTTCACCATCTCCGCCGGACAGAAGGTCAAGGTTGGCCAGCGCCTAGGTGATATCCCCGAGAACCTCAATGCCTCGGACTAATGGACTACGTCTTTCCTTTTTGCTTTGCATCTTCATTGACTTTGCTCGCATCTTTTCATGACCAATATACCATCACTACAGTTCTTCTTTTACACGTTCATCGGGTTCAACAGCTTTTTCTTCTTTCTGACGGTGCTTTTTTAATGACGACATTGTATCTATATACTGAATACTTCCAATAGATCGCAGCTCAACCTGTGATGAATGAATGTCTGGATTGCCGCGAGAAGAAGCGGCGGACCCGTTATTTGCACCTGTGCCAACCGAGTGATTATTTTCTCGCGTCCCTGAATTTAAGCTGCTATTGCGGTCATGGTAACTTGGTATTGGAAAGTAACTTCATACACTGGCAAGATCAAACTGCGACTCGTATGGATACACTGTCTAATAAATACTAGAAATACAGGTCTTTATCTTCGGTCAGCCCCCATTCAAACCACGCCGTCGTAAACAGCGTCGATCTCTTCCTTGAACAGGGCATAGGTTTTCGGTCGCAAGGGGGTGCCTTTGTCTGCAATGGGGATTTTCTTGACCACCTTGGACGCGTTGGTTTCACCCTTGGGATTCTCGCGATCCAGGTAGGCCACACCCTCGTCCGTTCGGAGGATAACGTTCCTTTTGGCGATGCGGGCGTTGCTGGGAGCGATGGCGTTGGCTTCCTCGATGGCAGCCCAGATGCCGTCTTTGTCGATCGCAGTGGTATCCTTGGGCTCGATGAGGGCACCAAGATATGGCTTCGCATGGCCGAATACTACAGCGTGGCGGACAGCAGGAGACTAATGAAGGTAGGTCAGTCTAGTTTCCTCTCGTTGGTCATGTTAACTCACTCCTTCGATCTTCAATTCCATAGGTCGCGGGTTCCAGCTCTGTCCACTGCTGAGAAGTAACACATCATCACTCCTTCCATAGTGCCTATAGCGACCACTCCCGGGGTGCGGCCACTCTTGGAAAAGATCGCGCGTGTTGTATTTGCCAGTCTCGGGGTCTGCACCTGGGAACTGTCCCCATTCCTTTGTCGAATGCAAAATGAGCTCGTACAGGGGGATGTCGGTTCCCGGTGCGAGCCCGAAGGGACGCATTTCGTGTGCGACGTTCCAGCAGACACGCATGGCTTGCCAGTTCGGGTCTCCGCGTGGGCGGTTGGAGTGCATCTTTAAGAGATGTCAGTTGTGTGCGCAAAGGAAATTACGGATGAAACGTACCAGAGATCCGCCTTCCGTACTCCCAACGCCTTCGATGAGGTGGACACCTTGCGACACGATCCAGTCGCCGTTATCGCGAGGAATGGGCGCGCCTCCGACGACCACACGTTGGAGGGTTTTCATGTACTCGATTCCCTCCGCTCCAGCTTCGAAGCCACCCGATTTGGAACCCAGGCGAGCGACGCCAACGATCGCGCTGGTGACGCCGAAGATCTCGACGGCGTTGACCTTTTTGGCGTACTCGTACAGGGTGCGGGGAGAGGGTACCAACCCTCCTGCAAGCGCATCGTCGACGGGGAGTGGTGGGATCGCGAAGGTGTGGCCTCGGTAGATTGGACCCAGCAAACCACCGAGCAAACCGAACATCTATGCTGAGGTCAGCTGCGAACCTGTGGAATATGTACAATTGTACTGACATGGAACATAGGAGGCTGGCCGGTGACGATGTTCGATTGCGAGCTGAGCCCTTCGACCCACCAGGTCCCGCCTTGGAGGGCTCTGAGCAAGAGCTCATGGGACAAGGGTACGGGCTTCGGGAACGCTGTAGAGCCTGAAGTCTGGTCAAAGTCTCAGCGCGGTTCGTCATGTTCGTGTGGACGAGAACCTACATGTTGCTGAAGGGCAATGTCTCGCCCTCTGACTGTACCATGGGGAAGCGGTGGATAAGAAGGGTAAGGTCCCCTGGGTATGTCTTGAACATCTTTCCTTTCCACGTCGATAACCCGTACATCCAGGCTACCTTCCTTGAGCACCGAGCGCATCCTGTCGGCCAAGCCCTCGTCCGCGTCATTGGCAGCAATGACAGCGGACACATTCCCCTTGGTGATCAAATGCCTCAAAGCCTCGTCCGAGTTCCTCGGCGAGAGGCAGAAGGGAATAGCACCGAGGCGGATGAGGGCGAAGATCACGACACATAACGTGTAGCCAGAAGGGAGGTAGACGCCCACGATTGACCTGGGCGTGATCAAAGGGACCGAGTCGGAGGAGGGCGTCTGGACGTCACTGGCTCCATGACTCGCGGGTGTATTGTCGCCGTGGACCATGTCATCGCCGTTTGGAATCTTGGTGACAGGCACCTCCACCTCCTTGGTGAGACGAGCCCATGCGCTCGCCAAACGGCTCACATGCGCGTCAAATATGGCGTATGTGATGGGCTCGATTTCAGTGTCGACAGTGTTCTGTAAGGGGCGGAAGAAAACTCTATGGTCTGGAGTGGAGAATACACGGGAGAGGAGGACGGCGTCTAGAGTGGTCGGGTTTGCCATCGTAGTAAGGTACGCAAGAGGCGAGTGAAGGACGAATGATCGCGATTTTTGCTGTCATGACATTTCAATTATCCAGCCCCTTTAGTACTTTCAGGATGGGGCCCTCTATCACAATCAAGGCCTCATTTCGACAAGTATCATTTCCCATCCATACAATCTGCTCATAGCTCGTGAATGCATTCCTGTGTGAGTCTGGTTACTCGTTTTTGACTTATAAGTGTTTCAGCTGAACTCAGCGACGGTGCCACCTGCGGCCAACCGCCGACTACCCGCAGACAAAGTTGGTTCGTCATCTGAGTAACGGTGAACTCCAGCTGATGAGATGGCTACTCAGTTGGAGGAATATTCTCTGGGTCGTCTACTCTGTTGGTATATTGGCTTCCATGTTGCTTCTCTTTCATCTGCACTGATGCGTCATCTTGGGTTCTCACCCTTGGTTCGGAATAGGAAATCTTCCATTTTAGAAATGTCGACAATCCATATACACTCCCCTGGAACCGAGTAAAGAATACTTTGATTAACTTCTTGTGTTCCTTGGTCAATGATCATCAGGTCAAGTCACTTTCGACTTATCTCTGATTAGAGTCCTAGCCCTCGACCTATACAGAGGTCATCCTCGCGGTGATAGCCACCTTATCATTGTTGTACATTGTGGTTTGCCACGCCCGAGTTTCGCGTCTGGAAGCAATTCGGATGCGGTTGCCTCTTTCACTGTGCGCCATGAGGCGAATCTAGTGCTGCAGAGATGGGAAGCGGAAGTCTTTTTGGATTCATTCAAACCCATGCCAATGTGGAGGTTGTGAGGTCTCATCTCCCCTCGTCCCACCCCTCCTTCGCCGAGATGAGTGATTACTCAACATCTCGGAGAAATAAGTGCGATGCAGTATCAACCAACAGTCATCCGAGAAGGCCTCCTCTGCTTCTCCCACTTACGGCTAAATTCGTATCTTTAGCTTTGAGCTAGCAGATGTCAGGAAGTTCCTGATACTCTTAAGCCGTTGGTTGCTGGGCGGCTAAAAGCTACCATATAACAGCGTCATTTCACTTGAGAATGGATATACTCACTTCACTTCTACGTAATCTGTTTCGAAAACCCATGAGCTCAACCTCCCCTGCCGCCTCCCCATCTGTCATCAGTAAGACAATCCCGTCGCTGATCGATGGCGTTAAAATATACGCCGAAGCTATTGGCAATCCCGAGCATCCAGCGATAGTCTACATACACGGGGTGAGTTACACCGGCAGAGCATGCGATCCTTCGCTGACAGAACGGACAGAATTCGACCTCGTCCGGCGTGGTGAGTAGCTATGGATCCAGCCCCTATTTTACTTCTAAATATAGAAACGCTCCTGCCTAGTGGGACAACCAATTCTTCGATCCCCGTTTGAGTCAACATTTCTATCAAATTCGGTTTGATTTACGAGGACATGGTTTGAGCGAGACTGTAGGTAATCGAGAAAGTCAAGGACACAGATACTGAATCTTCATCCATCTAGCCCGGGGAAGATGTCGAAGGGCCATTCAACAATGACAGACAAGCAAGTGATGTTGCGGCCGTCCTGAAAGCGTTTTCGGTCGAGAGGCCTCTGTTTGTCAGTTGGTCGTATGGCGCTCTGATTCCTGGAGACTACATGAGTGTTTATGGCTGTGATAATATCCGTGGTATTGTCGTCGCTGATGGGCTGACGGGACCTCCGTAAGTCGCCTGTTCCTATGCTACGACCATGAAGTGGACTCATTGCGGCCTGTAGTGAGGAGTCTCACCGTTTCTTCACTCATCCTCCTTTCCCCGGTTTTACCGATAACAGCGATGCCACTAAGATGCATCAAGCGTATGGATTATTCATTCAGTCGCTTACTTATCGGTGAGTGACCTGTTTCCAGAGACATCGCCATCCGCTGATTGGTTCCTTTCAATGAGGAAGGCCACTGTCGAGGGAGTGGACTCTGCGCTTGAGGGGTATGCTAACTGAGACTGCAACTAGTACTCGCGCATGGATCTTCAAGCGTAAGAAGAACTGGGATTGCTATATGAACGAAGCCTCGAAGAAGGTACCGAAGCTAGTCATCTTCGGGCGACAAGATGGCATGAACAGCCTCGATTTCATAGATTATATCAGAGTATGTTTCTCAAAAGATGAAGCTTCTGGGCCATAATGTTGCTGACTAGCATCCTTTTAGGCCAAATGGGACGAGTCGTTGTTCACAAGCAAGCTCATTGATGAAGCGGGACATGCATCATTCTTGGAGAAACCCCTGGAATTCAACGAAATTCTCTATGCTTGGGCGAAGGATAGGGCTTGAGAGAGATACAATATGTGGCATTGGAGAATTGAACACTTTGTTATACTGTTCAAGTTGTGCATGTCCTGTCAATGTCGTCGCGTAGCTTCCAGCCAAGTTGTTAACGCGACATCCAATCTTGCCAGTGCCGCTTCCATGTATTCACGACTGCGCGAGAATGTGATACGATACCATCCAGGGAAAGGAAAGCTGCCTGGGCGACCGTTTTGAAGGGTGACGCGGTGAGTAAAAAGATGCTTCTCGAATTCCTCTTCCCGGGTCCTGCATACGACGTCGTCCATATCAGCAAGAGAAGAGTATACAAAGGATCCTAGATTGATCATGAGTGAGTTTCCTACAGGTGTAAGGTTGTTAATTATAGGCTCGGACATAATCCAATTCTCAATGCGCACCAAAATTGGAGTCAAGAACTTGGATATTCTTGGAAAGGCACCAATCGCTGAGATGTCGTTTTGCGTTCCGCAACCTGGCCGAGTTTTCTATCAAATAGACGTCGACCAACGACTTTTCTTCTGAGCCTATATTTAGTAAGGCTTCTGTCCCGGAACCATGAGATTAAAGGCTATGGCTCACCAGATGAAGGTTTGGGAAGATAGGATGACTTCGCCGAAAGGAAGGTAGAGAAAAAGCAGTCGGCCAAAGAAGATATGCGAAAAGAAAAGGAGAGGGATGACAATGCTGCCTTCAGAAGATCGTTCTGGGGTATGACAGCGACAGCCAGCCTGTGACACCAAGTTAGAGGTCATTCCTTTGCGCCTGGTGACGAGACACTCGTACCGAGCAGATGTCGCCCCAAAGTCTTTAGAAGCACTCCATAAGGCAACGATACGACTGGGGTCACAGCCAGCGTCGGCCTCAGCATCTACGGACAGTACAGAGTGGAACCCCGCCCCATCCGAAGAAGCATGTTGGTTATCAGCCGCGTGCACTATGGACTCCTCGCCGGATACAAAGCACCAAGGTTCACGCATACATCGAATTGTGATCCGTTTCACGTATCCTTTCCATCGTTAAAAAAAGATGTCAAATTGCTCGAAAGCACATACGTATACTTTGTAGCGGGCATTTTTCGGCCCCAGGAGGTGAGGGTAGAAAGTATGCGCGGGCCGCATACTTCAAGCGACTTATTGAGGTGGGGTCAAAGCAAGGGAGAACAAGGTATTATAGATGCTAAATGCGATGTTTTTACTACAAATCAAGAATGATTTCAATGGCTAGGCTAAAGGGTGTCCATGCAGGGTGATAGAGGGCCTACAAAACAAATGAAGGTGACAAAAGAGGGAAAGGTAATCTAGTTACGACCAGGCTTAGCGTGCTCCAGTTGCTCCAGTAGCTGATGGTACGATTCTCGCTCCTCGATGAGCGCATCCCGATGATTCGTCGCGTGGGTGATGAGAGGGCCGAGGCGGAGGAGGTTCATCTGTACCTCCCATACAGCCTTTCGGCGATGGTAGTCACAAATCTTCGCTGCAGGGTCTCTGAAAAGGCTGGCAAAGCTCTCGTGTCCAACGGGTACGCAGAAGGGACATGCGTCGGAGGGGTGAGTTCTGTTGAGGATGTTGAGAGTTTGGCGAAACGCTGGGTCTCGCCACGAGTGGGTGATTTCGAACTGGGATGGCTTCTGGTCAACTACGGATCCGTCATTGTCACGGTTGCGATAAGATGCCGGCCCAACAGAGAGGAAGCGGTGTGACGCGTAAGGTGATGATAGTAGAGGTGGATGGTCGAGTAGCTGTGATTCAAGGTTGGAATCCGACTTTTGGTGGACGGGCGGCGAAGGTGAAAGTGCAGGTTGAGAAAGAGGAGTTGGGACTCGAGGGGTTCGCGGAACAACAGGCCAAGTAAATGGTGCTTGAGGATCCCAATGTGGATCAGGGAGTTGGCTATCCGGCAGCGGGGGTTCTGACTCGGAACGACGCTGGTATTCAAGAGAGCCAGGCTAAGTGTATGGTATGAGAAATCTCACTCAGCAGACGCACCTGGAGCCTCTGGTATTTCTTCTTTTGGTCAAGGTGATAGTGCAGCTCCTTCGAGTCCCAGTCAGTACGTGTATAAACTGTAGGCTCGTCCAAAGGGCCAAAGAGATCTTGTAACCGGCGGGACCGATGAGGTTGTGGGTTCGCAACGTTCTGGATCTCGCTGAAGGGTCGCTTCGACATCGCCAAGTGAGATTGCACAAACGCACTATAGGGAGCACTCGGTTTTCAGAAAAGACAGTAGGGGGTGGGAGATTGGTGTTAGGGAATGTGGTGGTTGTTGGGAAAGATGTGGTCGACTCGCGCGCAGCGGGCATCATCAGGGCCAGGCTGGAGCAAACAAACCCAAACGAGACCTTGAACCCACCTACTCGAGCAATTTATGGAACACCACGAGCTCCCTACACGCAAATAGATATTATTATGCGTACTCTAAGTTGCGAAGTTGACAAGATTACAGTAATTGGTCGTGCACAAGCTCTGGGCGGTTCACGTTCCCACTACGATCAATAAGAACCCACATGCCTTCCCACTTGAACCGTCCAACGAGGGCCATAACTGTGGTGAGATCAACGATTTCGGTCCCGGATTTCATGCCAGGATAGATATGAATGTCCAGCCCTTTGAGTTTCCCTGGCCGTGACCTGCATGTTGCGAGGTCAATCTCATCCGGATCGGTGTTGCATGGCTGGATCTCGGCGAGGACGACAACTTCGTCCTCTTTGATGCGCAGGTCCTTGCACCGAGGCATCTTGATGACGAATATTTGCTGGATCTCGCCATAATGAGTCTTCAGGACAAGGTCTTCGTCGGCTTTATCATAGGGTATGGCCGCATTCTGGTCCACAACGAGCTCATACTAATGGATGATGATCAGAATGGCGATTCCTCAAGATTGCAGACATTGCATACCCTGACAAAGGAGGCTTCTCTGCTGTCCGTTGCTGTCGTCTTGCACAGACGAGCAGCGCGGATGGTATCTCCTCCCTGTAGCATCTTGATACGTCCAAACAACTGAGTGTTCTTTGTCTTGAAGTGCTTGCGGATCGTTCTCAAGGGGATAGCAGACCGACCGGTTGGAGTATATCGGGTTGATAAGGCGGCAGCAAGCTTGCGTTCAGTTCCGGGATCGATTTCAGGGTTCTTGACGCGAGGGGATGAGAGCATGTACCAGTCGGAATCTAGAAGGATAAATATGAGCGTATGTCGCGTTGGAAAATGAGAGACTTGCAAAACGCATTGGGAATGTGAAAGTCGCGTATGTTTTCTTTGTCGGGACTCGGGTTGAAGACACTGTGGAGGTTGTAGTTGTGAAGGATTTGGTCCGCTTGCGCAGCCAAAACAATGTTGTTGTCAAGGTTTTTCCATGGGTGTCGTCGACTCTTGATCCACGGGCGAAGTCGTCCACAATACCGCTCCATGGCGAATGCCCAGTATGCCCAGACTGGTCCATTGGCTTCGATGCCATCGGCAATATGAAGGAGGGAGTGGATGGTTGTTGGGCATGCTGGTAGCCGATCTAACTCGTACTGGAAGTATAAACTGTTATGGGGAATGAGATATAATTCCAAGCAAATAATTATTGTTGACGTACCGCTCATAATCTAGGACCCAATCGATAAACCCTTCACGGATAGCCTCGACGTCCTTACGTGTATACTCAAACTGAAGGCAGAGATTGATGATCTTGACAAGTCGGACAAAGTGGTCGTAATATTCCTTGTTCTTGAACTGGCGGCGGAGGTAAACTGGCGCCAAGAATAGCGTCCAAAACGACCAGGTGTCGGCGGTGGTGGCGAAGCGTTCATTTGTGATGTCCTTGGGACGGGCGGCGTAGGCGTTGGGAATGGTTGAACCTGCTTCGGACCCTGCCTTGGCTATCGCATCCCACACACTGCGGTCGATAACATAGTCCTGGTTGTCATGGTCCAAGTCCTTGAACTTGCCAGTCCAAAACGAGACAAGGTTCTTGATCAAGTTTTCCCAAATCAGATGCATAAAGTCGAATGGAAAGGAATCAGGAAAGAAGTAGGAGGGTATTTCGGACAAGACAGTGAGACCTTTGATGCCGGACGCTTTTGCACGACGCTCTCGCTCAGCAGCGGATACCAAGGGGTCCTGTGCGGCCTTCCCATCAGCAATGAATTGGGCGTGGGTTCGACGCGGAAGGTTATTGGGATCATAAGGTGGGTCGGGTGCAAAGCGTGCGAGGGGAACATAATGAGTGGTTGATTTAGCGGCTGTATCGCGAATTCCCTGTATCTTGCAGTCACGGCACGGACATTTTCCGTTATGACCCTTGAGACAGAGGATCATGGAAATTGCTGGGATATCTCCAAAACCGTCAATGGGGAAGCCGCGAAGGCTGAAATTCGAGTTGGATTTAGAGGAGAAGGCAGGAACACCAACAGCGAGCTTCTTCATTTCGTTGACGTACGGGCGAAGGAATGAATTGCTGTCCCAGGGCTTGTTTGGTCCAGGGATAACCCCGATGCACAAAGCCCACCTTGCGTGAAACCGTATTTCAGGGGGGAGGTTGTAGTTGAATAGAAGAAGCGGCCAGCATGTCTTCTTCCGGCGACGGAAAGGACAAAAGCCGTCAGTGGAAAATCCAAGTGCAATATCGGTCTCCTGTTCGAAGAATCGATGTGCATACTGGACTTTGTCCACGACAACCTTTTTCTTCACCAGCCGCCGGTAGTTGGTGCCGTCGAAGATATCGGTCATCTTCGGTTTTCGCGTATTTGGCTCGTCGCGTGGGTCTGGGGAGAAGAATTGTGCTCGGTAGCCCATTAGCTTCTCGACTTCAGGGTTGGCAGCGAGTGCAACAAGGCGAGGGATGGCGGGAACGTAAGTAAACATCTTGTAGGGGCGGCCGTTGCTGTCGTATCGAGGATGGCCGCATTTTGGATTTGGACAGTTGGTGAGGTCGGCATAGTCGTCAACATAGAGAACGCAGACATTGATACAGCAATCGTAGGACTCCGGCTTGAAGTCGCACATAAAGCGGAGCTGTGCCTTGCTATTCTTGAGCGTCGTAAGGCCAACTTGGTCCGGGAAGACCCAGGGAAGCTCACTGAATGCTCGATCTGAGAGACAGTGACGAAGTTTGAACATCACTGCTCTCAGGACAGAGCTATCTTCCGCGGTAAGAGTCATACCACCTGAACAAGACATTAGTGATAGTTACGTTGTAGAAATAAGAGGACTTCACCCTGTGCGATAGCTGCAGCCCATAGTCGGTTGAATTCCTCGTCATCATCATAGTTGTTGTACTCCTCATCAGAGCTATACCCCAAACCGAGAGATTCTTCAGATTCAGATCCCTGGGGAAGGCCCCAAAACTCGTCCTCTTCTCCAACTCCAGGTTCATGGTCTTCCGGCATCTCAAAAATTCCCTCTGTCAGCTCAATTCCTTCCTCCTGGACTACACCCTCCTCATCCTCCTCTGGTACGTCTTCGACTGTAGTTCTCCATCGACGTTTTGGCGAGGTTTGGGGCTCCAGGACGTTTGGGTTCTCCAGAACAGGGCTAGCCATCGCGACAGAGATGGGTGATTGGGGAACCAAAGGGGACACAGCCATTGGTGAGCTGAAGAATGCCGGCGATGACATAGGCCCAAAACGAGGGGTATACACTGATGGCGTGCTCGAGGGTGTAGGTGACCGTGAAAACGAGGACGAAACCTTCCTTGCCAATTTCTGGGTCTTCGCCTTTAGGTTCTTCGCCATCTGGCTGGCTCTAATTAGGAACGGGACACTCTTTCCCTCGAGGTGGCGGCTAATCTGGCGTGGTGACAGCATTTCTCCGCAGTGAGGGCACAGTTCCAGTGCAGTCTTCTTGTTCTCTGCTTCGCCCTCCTCTTCGCTCTCTCCTTCGCTTTCTCCTTCGCTCTCTCCCTCATCCTCTATCTCGTCGGGTTCCTGGAGTTTGGAGGTGCTAGCCATGGGAGAGAGTGAGACAGTAATTGATGCAAGAAAAGAAAAAGAATGGTATTTGAGCCTGAGGATATGTGGAGGACCAAGGTTGAACGCGACAACAATTGAAAGAATTTTGTAAAGTTCGCGCTCACGTGGTCTATGGGAACCACGCCCGGAGAGCACTCGGTTGCACACCCCGCTCGTTCTTTGTCTCTCCCACCTACCCCCAGATTGCTGTACGGTCTTTGTCCTGTCTCTTCAGCCATGCCGCCGAAGCGAAATGATAAAGGTAAGCTACTATTAAGGTGATTTGTTAATTTTTCAGCTAAACCTTTCAAGCCGAGTCATCAAAGTCTTCGTCTACGCAGGCAGGTAGTAGGAACACGACTTCGAAGAAATCAAGCAGCAAGAAATCTTCGAATCAGTCCTCTTCTGGCAAGAACAAGAACGCCAAACCATCACCAAGAGAGAGCCAACCACCTTCCTCTCCGCCATCCCAACCGCATGAATACATGAGCGCAAAGAAGAAGAGCCTCAAGTCAGGGATTAAATCTCAGGGCGAGCGCAAGAAATCGACTCAGCCGAAGCGTCGCAGGTGGTATGAGTCCGGTAAGTGTCATCTTCATATCTCTTTTCTTTCTGATATTGACGGGTGTTGTGTTAGCCAACCTCCAGCCTTCCCAGCTTGCGCTTTGGGTCCATGAGACCGCCAGCAAGAGACTGTGGGAGATAGATAAACCAACTGGCCAGCCAGGAGAGCCAGGACGAGGCGGGTACACAGTGGCGGACGAGATGCATCTTGACAAGACGCGTTATGGCAAGTTCCATTACCGCGAATATCTTAATATTCTCGTGCGTGCATCTTCCTTTGTCGGACTCTTCTGACTTTTATTTTTTTAGGCTTCTGTGCGCGAGTTTATTGATCTAGCGCGACTGCCGCCTTTGGAGCATTTTCGGAATCAGGATCTCGGAAAGGTTGGAAAGATTTTCAACATGGTAAGTTCATTTTGTACTGCTATGCTACAACTCGCTGACATATCCCATAAGATGGCAGTCAGGCACCCCTACCTGGCACGGTTCAAGAACAATTGGCCCACTGCTGCAGTCATCAAAGGCTGCCTCCGAGGTAAGCGAGCTTCTGCTCGCAGACTCGAGAAGCAGCTTGGGACGATGCCGGCAGTAACCAACAGGGACGATCAGTCAGGTGGTGAGAGCGATTCCGACGAAGCAAGTGGCGACGAGAGTGGGGCTCAGCTCAGCAAGAAGGCCATCCTGGAGGCCTTTGCCGTTGCTCCTGCAGGCTCAGCAAAGAAGGCTAATGCTCCCAAGATGACCCAGCGCGCGAAGAAACTCCCGGCAGCCTCAGACGACGACGACGTCGATCCGACCCCACCCAAGCGCAAGCGCAAGGCCAAGGAACTCGCGCTCGAGCTCGAGGACGACGACGACGTCGACGACGTCGATCCGACCCCACCCAAGCGCAAGCGCAAGGCCAAGGAACTCGCGCTCGAGCTCGAGGACGACAAGGACAACGACGACGTCGATCCTACCCCACCCAAGCGCAAGGCCAGGGCCAAGGAACCCGCAGTCGAGCTTGAGGACGACGACGACGACGACGTCAACCCCGCCCCGCCCAACCGCAAGGCCAGGGCGAAGGAACTCGCGCTCGAGCTTGAGGACGACGACGACGACGACGACATCGATCCCTCCCCACCCAAGCGCAAGCGCAAGGCCAAGGAACTTGCGCTCGAGCTCGAGGACGACGACGACAACGACGACGTCGATCCTGCCCCACCCAAGCGCAAGACCAGGGCCAAGGAACCCGCAGTCGAGCTCGAGGACGACGACGACGACGACGACGTCAACCCCGCCCCGCCCAACCGCAAGACCAGGGCCAAGGAACTCGCGCTCGAGCTTGAGGACGACGACGGCGCCACTTCCCTCCCTCGCACTTCCAGCTTTGCCTTTGCTGGCAAGCAGCCTCTTCCCTCCCTTAGGAAACTGCTGCCTCCCCCACCAGGCGATGTCATCTTCGACGACAACGACAGCGACAACGAGGAGAGCAGTAGCAGAGCTGAACCGGCCCCCAAGAAACCAGCAGCACAGCCGCGGAAGCCTGCAGCTCGCAACGACACCAGCACCGACCCATTTGACAAAAATCCTCCGCCCACAACCACCGGCAGGGTTACTCGCGCACGTGTGTCCGCGCCGCAGGCAGCGCCGTCCCTTAAGAATAAGGGGAAGTCTTTGGGGGACAAGGGGGGTGAGGATGACAGGCATAGCAGTGATGAGGAACCAGTAGTTGTGAAGAGAAAGGCGAAGGCGAAGGCAAAAGGGAAAGGGAAGGGGAAGGGGAAGGAGAAGGAGAACCCTGATTTGCGGGAGATATTCGAAGGCGAGGACGATGATTTTTCCGACTGAGGTACCACCAGGGTCCAGTTCTTTTCTTTAAACACTCTTCTGTATCATGTATCCCTGTACGTCTGCGTCAACTGTATCACCCATCGATTTGTAGTATATCGCCCCATTAGTACTAGCTATACCCCAGTATTGATTTGTAGTAAACAGCCGCCTAAATTCTAATGAAGTCCCTTGAACAAAATACCTGCATTCCGGATAGAACTTATACTATTAAACAAGTTAACTGTCGGCTAGCTGATACGCTACACGTTACAGAACAATCCATGAAACTCAGAGAAAATACCCGCCGATGCATTGTATACGCGGGTCTTCGCCCGATTCAGGCCCGGATACTTGAGACATTTTGCTCATTTGTTGTATCCGGGCTACGGATAGTGAGAACTACCCGGCTTGCGCATACAAACCATGCGAAACGCCTAGTTTGTATGCGCAAGCCGGGTACATTCCATTCCTTCCGCGCGTACTTTTGTATCCGTTTATGGTTTCATAGTGGTGATGCGACAGCGCAAATACTTCATCAGAGATGAGAAAAAGGTCGTTCTTCCAAAGGATGCGTCAACCTTTCCACGCTCCTGTCGCAGTACGGCTATGTCACTTACCTCTTGACAGAAATCTAGGATTCCTAAGATAAAGGAACGGGAATAGCAGCGTCCCAACGGGTTTTGCGGGTTACTTAGCAGGACGGCCCGCGGTTTTTTACCGGAAGAACGTAGCTGCTGGACACGTGTGGTCCAGCGGGTTTTAGTCGCCTCGCTCCAGTCGAGGAGACTGGATATCACCTCAGCCTGTTCGCCAAAGGTTGTCGCTGTAGCGTCATAAGAGGAAACCACAGATAGGGATACATTCGCGTTCGCCACGATGGTGTGAAAGATCGGCCAAATAGGCGCCGGTGTGAGGATGATATCCCCATCATCACAAATGATCCGTGTCAATCCTTCCAAGAGGAGGCTGCACCCAGCGCCTCCAACCAACTGGTCCGGAGTAATCACTTGTCGTGGTCGAAAGCGATTGTTTATCAGGGTCGCGAGCGACTCCAGTAACTTGATCGAGCATGACGGCGTTGCACTTCCTTGGTAGGTAAGCCAGTTGTGGTTGGCCTCCGCAGCGAAAGACTTCAAAATCTTGAAATGCCCAATTAGCTCTAACTTATGATTACGAACAAGAGATAATACAATGCGCACCGTGGCCATCTCCTTCCCCATAAGGTCATTCTCGGAAACCTGTACTCGGTAGGTCAGTGGGGCGACTATGCGACCTGAGCGTTTGAAGTACATACATCGAGGCGGGAGATTCCATCCTTAAAGTCTGGGCTCCATTCATTTTGGATGGCAGTGAATAGAGCATGAAGTGGTCCTCCGGGGAGAACCAGCGCGGCTCGCGTTTTCCCTTGCTCAGAGAGAGACATGATAAAGGTTACAGTAGCTGGGAAGTAGGCTGCAATTTACCTTCTTTTATTTCGCGTAGAGGCTGCTTGCTGGTTATCAGCTTACAGTGTCGGCTTAGTCCATTGGCTGTGCGCCGGTAATAGATCAAACACAGCGGCACCTAGTGGGGAAACCCTTTAACACACACAGTAGAAGTCAGTTTGAATCGCTTCTAATCGGAGATAGATCGTTACAGTACTTGAGGTCTATCAGCTGACCAGTTCTCGTTTCCTAGGAAGGGACGCACCAAATACGATATATCCTGGTGGTATAATGCCTACGATGCATCTGAGTTACGACGTCGGGGCAGGGATTTAGTGATTATCCGTGTCCGAGTATCCTGGTCATTTGTTAAATCGCGCCTAGTAACCCCAGCGCGTTGGCACGCAGATAAAAACGCCTTGGTACATGGTGTATGTGCCAGGCGAGGGTATCACAGGACTGATATCCATCGAACATTGATAAAACCTAGTAGTCAGAGGGCGAATTCACTCACGAGAATTGAAGGAGCAGTAGATTATGGATTTACGTCGCCCGATGTCAAGGACTTCGAAGAGACGACCACATGTCGCAATTGAATGGGTGCAAGGGATTGGAGAAGGAGTGTCTACCTTCCATCAACGATCTGTCGTGCGTTACATCAACGGAATGCACCCCGGTATGTTTTCAGAGTGTCCCATTGCGAGGTGAAATCATAGCCTCGACTGGCCTGAAAGGAAAGCGGATATATAAGCACAAAAGGAAGAATACGAGAAGATTAGGACCAGGCCAGAGTTTCCGAGCTGCAACAATGTCGTCGACAGTACCACTCGCAGGCCCACCCGCAGGGGGACCGCCTCCTGGGGCACCAACGCCGCAACAACGGAACAACTTCAACTATATGGCCCTCACTTCCCTTGTCCTTGTAAGCTGGGAGATCATTCTCCACGCTGCCCAAGACTTCAAGTATCTCCGAGCCAAAGGGTGGTGGAAGCGCCCCGTGCTGTGGGCATACTTCCTACAGCGTTACGGTGCCTTCATCGTAATCATGTCGCAAGTCAACATCCGTCTCGGAAACCCGTCGAACTGTTATGCGTTTGGCAAGGTTTCTTTGACCTTCGGAGGCGCCGTCGTCCTTCCTTCGGTTTCCTTGATCTATCTTTACCGAGTGTAAGTCAGCAAACCGATATGGATAAAATGGACAGGTGCTGATCTGACCTCTAGCCTCGCTATCTGGAACAAGAAAGCTGTTGTAAAATACAGCCTCATCGTTCTATGGGTGCTGTGTTTGGCAGCTTCGCTTACCGCACCGTTCTCCCAAGACGCCGGTAATAATCCCAACGGACCCGGATGCACCATTGTTCGAAGCGAGAAGTGGGCCCCGTAAGTTGATATAACCGTCTCTATCTCTCAGGCCAGGGAACTCACAAATCGATAGGACGTCTTTCATAGCCAATGCTGTCTATGATACTGTGATCTTCTTCTTTACGGTCTATAAGCTGGGTGAGTGTTTCTGGACACCGATCGCGAAAGGTGACTAACGTTGTCGACCAATAAGTTGTCAATCGCCACCAATACAAGAACTTCCGCTCACCTCTCCAAACCACCCTCTTGCGAGATGGCGTCCTCTACTTCGCGGTCGCAGTCATCATCGGTATTGTGGACATTGTCTTTTTGATGGCAGTGAAGAATCCAGTCGTCTCTTCGACCGTTATCCCCCTCCACATTGCACTCACATCAATCATGACCACTCGACTCGTCAACAACGTTTTCCATGTTGTCCGCGAAGGGTCCACGCCAGAGTTCCTTTCGGAGACCAAGAACACGTCGTCAGGAACGGCGAGACCCGTCCAGAGTTATGGCAGGGCTACCGGCGCGTCGTCCTCTTCGAGGACCGTCATTTTCATCGGCAGCGGCGTTGGCACCGATTACTTCGACAAAAATGGTACTCGATCCAACTTTGATCATCAGGAGTCCCATATTTCGTTCGAGAAAGGGGCCCGCGATGACCAGACGTATTCGATCCCTATGCAGTTGAGAGTCACAACGGAAACTGTTTCGAAGGTTTGAACCGGCGTACCTTTGTTTATTCTCTTGGTGTTTTAGTTGGCTTGTTTGTATACCTGGGGTATACTGGCTTTGTACAGTACTGTGTTTCCTATAATTTGATGAACGTGGTAGTTCTTTTGGAACTGAGCCCTATCGAGAATTTGACCAGGCCGAGAAGCTATTGCAATACAAAGACAAATAAAGCAACGGACTTTAAGCGCCCGCTGCCGGCCCTCCCAACGTCGAGTCTCTCGGCCACCGTCAGTGATTCGATTAGAGTGAGAGTGCAGAACTCGAACTAACCTCACTGTCTGACCTGTAGTGTTGGGAAAATAACTTCTCAGAAGCACTGATTGTAATCTTCCATCGCTGACCCAAGGGCTCTGGAAGCACTTTTCCACTATCCGCGTTCACTTGGTGGCTTGGTTGTTTGAAGTGAACTGATTAGTATCCAAGTAAGCTAACTCGGGTATTTATCAGTAGGAGGTAGGAGTAGGGGTGATATTGGTACAATCAGCGCCATGTGCCTTCCACCGCGTGTCTTTGCATTCAAGTCTCGGAGAAACCTTTGTGCGAGTTCGAGTACCATTAAAGGAGATGATACTTCATCTAATCACAGAGAATATCGAATATCTATAGAACACCGCTCGTGATCGAGGTATCAAAGGAGGTCTTGCATCTTCCAGGGTGTCTTGAACTAGCTTGACCCTCTTCTTTCTGTGCCACGAGCATGCTTCGCATTCGACCTTGGGAATCGCAGTTTACTGAGATCTTTAGCAGAAATGGGGTATAAAGCCTTCGCTGTGCCGCATTGTGAGAGGAAGCTACAAACTGCCACACGAGCAACCATGCGATTCTTCTCTACTCTCTTCACTACCCTTCCTTGCGTCGCTCTCTGCACCCTCGCTCTCAGTGTAGATGCTAATTCAAAGACGCCGCGTCCGAAGGTCTGCGACCCCTATGCAAAAGGCCCCCGGCTTGCAGAACTTCAAGAAGAGGCCATCCAAGAGTTTGCCCACCTCTGGCTGGTCAAAAAGGACATCCAAACGGCATGGGACAGATGGATCCCTGGGTACGTCTGTCGCATTCATTAACGGTTGAGGCAAAAATCCAAACTTTATTCACAGGAAATATATCCAGCATCACCCCAATGCGGTTGGCGACCGAGAATGGGCCATCGAGTTCCTGAAACAGAACTTCGCAGCACCAGGCACTTCGACGAGCAACATCACGGTCTTTTCGGGCAAGGGATTCGGGGTTCTTCACTACAAGTGGACCTCCCCCAACATCACCTATGCAATCTCAGATCGGTTCAGATTTGAAGGGACCTGCATGGTTGAGCACTGGGATGTAATCCAAACCATTACCGGGAATGAACCCAATCCTTTGGCTTTCTTCTAACTTCTCGCATCATCTCATATCGAAAATAGAATTGTGCTATATTTGTCGGTCGGCATAGGGCATGAGTAGTCAGAATACAGAAACGAGAAACGAGAAAAGACTTGAAGACGAATAACGAAGACCGCTCCTGTAAGGGAATTACAACGGGCTCAGTTGGCTCAGGTCTAATTCCGCGAACGCCTCTTGAGCAGCCCCGGCGGTGGGTGGAGCATGGAACCGATCAGCTGCAGCTTGCGTGGCCTAAGGTGACAGTCGTTATAAGATCGTTCATCCGAGAGGTCCTCTGTACGCACCGTATTCGGGGAGAAAACAACCTTCCGATCCCACTCATCGTCACCTTCTTCTCCCTCAGGCTGCGGTGCGTTGAGCATAGGTCGAGGGTCAGTGGGATCAACCACGATATGACTGGGAACGCTTCCTCTCGTCATGACAATCGCAGCGATGATGATGCACATAGAAGCCAAGTTGACGAGCGTCATTGGCATCAAGAAACCGATGTGCTCCAACTTAGCATACCAACCTATGACAACGTATGTGACAGCGCCCTCGACATTTCGCAGACAACTCGCGGGCGGGTCAACGGCCGTCGAGTAGACCAGGCGAGTATAGGTGGCCTGAATCATAAGTATGTCAGCTAAAGTGTAACACTCGGACACTGGTACTCACCTCGTAATCGAGCATGCCTTGGAACATCGCCTCGAAGATAGGAAGGTATCCATCGTCTCTTGTACGAATCGGCAACCCGAAGTTCTTGATTCCAGCCGTGAAAACCGCCTCAGCCACTGTATTTGCCTCATAGCTCTGGGATTCCGCAATGATTCCACTGAGCTGTATCAGCGAGTTCTCGATGAGATACGTGTAGGCATTTGAGGCTAGGGATGTCGCTGGTGACGAAGAAAAGGCGTGGAGGTCCGAGTTGTAGGTGACCGGATAGATCGCAGGTTGAACCGGAGAAAGGTCACAGGTGACATTGCCAATCATCTCGTCGTAGCCACCCCGGCCGCGGAGGTACATACGGTACGATGGAAGTCCTTCGTCTGTGTCAGGAGCTTTGCATGCCCAGTACATGAGTCGGTTTCTGGAATTGGGTACGACTACGTCAATAACCCCACCGTCGGTGAAGAAATCCGTGTCTTCAGGGCAGGTGGCATTGTATTGGACTGCGTGCGTGTTGTTCTCGGATGCAGGTCTCGCTCTTATCGGGGAAAGCGAGTCAAAATAGCACGATATGTTGGTAGATAGGCCTTGATAATTGAGCGTATAGTTGTAGGCGAACATGGCCTCAGCAGTGTCGGGGTTGGCGAAAGGAGAATCTTGGAGCGTGTCGAAGGCAGGAGCACCATTTGGGCCGATAGGGAGGATCCCTCGAAGTGGGCCCAGGAGTCGCATACCGTCCTTAGCGCCGATCTGGTTTAACGAAAGGCTCTCGTTGTTGTTGGGAGAGAGAGCGAGGACCTGTGTATTTTGCGTTAGGTTATTTCCGTAGAGGCAGGTGTTCACTCACACTACTCCGTCCAGCGGCAAGGACATCGAGCAGTTGATTCTGTCCGAAGCAACTGGTATACGGAACATCGTTGAAGAGCTAAAATTCCCGGTCAATAAGGCGCAGCAATGGTTCCTCAAACGATGCCCTAGACACTCACCTGCCAGTCACAATCATTGTCGAACCTGTTCGCGTCGAGCCACGCGATGCACTCTGGGGTGATGGAAGAGAAATCGAGCTCACTTCCTACCAATGGCTCCGTCCGAGGGAACTTGACGGGCAGTAAGAGGGAGGTTGTACCAGATGGGACAAACTGGAAGGCTCCAATACAGACGCCGACGAGGACGACCGGAAGCCACTTGCTCTTTTGAAGCAAGACTTTGAGGTCACGCATCGTCCACGGGAAGCTTTGGTGACGGAAGGCGCCCAGTAACGAGACGTGGAACACCGATACTTTCGGTTTCCGCGCTACCCATTCCTGGGCGAAGCGAATGACTGAAAGCGAAAAGAATATGTCTACAACGAGGCAGACAAAATTACCAACGAGAGAGACGAAGAACGCAGTGGTCTGCGGGAACTCGTCAACGAGCTTCGCCCCCTTGTTGCGCATCTTCACTCCTTTGACGCTGTAGACGGCGCCCCAGAATAGCCATGGCCAGGCGAGCATGATCATCACGCCTGCCAGAACGAGGATGTCGTGAACACGGCGACTTGCGACAGAAGGCGAAGCTGTAATTCTCGAAGATGAGAGTCTGTTCGACTCAGAGGGAAGGAATAAAGAAGAAAACCCACATAACTGCTCGCCATCCTGGTCTTCGTTTACTGGCACACCCTGGTCTGCATTTACAACTAACGTGAAGTTAGAGAATGAGCAATTTATGAGCTGGGAGCAGCGTACTTGATTCCGCCTTTTCGTCCAGTGGTTGCTTCGAATCTGGCCGTTCTGAACCTTGCTTCCCTTCACTCTTCCCTTCGTGATCTTGGCCTGTGCGAGTACTCTATGTCAATGGAGGAGATCTCTTCGATAGTGAGGTGCGAATCACCAGATGGCGCAGCTCCGTTGTGCTGGCTTTCAGGCTCATGATCTGTCAAGACCACTGTGGAATCACCGGCACGCTGGTTTGGATTGGCTGGACTTGTCATCGAACTGGGGGCGACGTGGTTGCTCAAGAAAGTTACAGAGGCTCGAGAGAGTGTCGCGGCGGAAAGTCAAAGACAAAACGAGATGCCTCGAGGATTAGAACATGGCGGGTGTGACAGGCCTCGTGTCCCCAAGCAGACAATACAAATAAGGTAAGATGAAACCAACCACTGTACTTGGGCGCTTAATACTGTCACAAGCTTTCATTTGTCCCTTCAGCCGATTATTCCGGTGGAGCAAGGCGATATGAATATATACGGACCCAGTTTTGTAGACGAACTGAGTAGAATCCGGATGCCAGTCGGCCTAGGACCAGGGAAGGTCGTACTGCTGCGGTCGATCGAAATCATGGAGTCACAGTAGGCGCCGGAATGCATAGGGAAGTCCTTCGATTCACCTGCAACGTTGGATTGTGTGTCATCATGCTGAAAGTCGGCCCAAGATAAGCAGCTAAGTATACAATGAAACTGGCCCCGATGTTGTCGAAAGTCTCCGTAAAATCCATATTGATGACCCTTGAGGATGTGTATTCAATTGCCTGGTGGATGTGAACATGAGCAGCGCCGTTTCTCAGATCCGAAGGGGAGGATCCCGTTCCATTGAGTCGATTGAAACGTCTTGTACTTGGAATGTCGTATGCTTGTGCTCGCTAGTTCAAGTTGTGACAATACTGAGAGCGGTATGTACGGGAATGAAAGGAGTGGAAGCCGGCTTCCGCCGCAACGTGTCTGAGCAGCGGGGTTTGAAATACTGTGATGACTTCTCTGGGCACCCGAAGGGACCGGCATCCAGCCTATCAATGTTCTCAACAAGTTTAGGTCTCTCGTGTTGCACCCCTTAAACGTTCGAAGGAAGTACCAGACGGCGAACTTACTGAAAAGACGGACGGAGGAGGACTTATGTATATGTTCAGATGAAGGTCGTAACAAGCGCCTGTGCGATCCTAGCGCATCCGGTTGGTCGACCTCAGTAACTGGCAAATGAAGAAAATAACGCAACATCTACCCGAGTGGGTAAGTCTGTGGCAGGTGAGTACAGGTAAATATGTTTGGCGCCGGCAAGTCAATCTGAATCTTCTGACAGGGTCTGAACTGTATTCAGCAGCGCTCGACAGCGATATTGGGAAAGGGTTTAGGTTTAAACCTTCCGCTGGCCTCTCATGTCGGAAGGACAGGCAGACAAGCGGCATGGAAGCAGAATCAGGCATGAGGACAACATGCGGAGTCCCTTTACAAATCTTTAGCGCCCACCGCTGGCGTGTGAGGTATGTGACCTTCAGAACATTCTATTGGAACCCTGCATATCCACCCACAGGTCTGGATATGAATTTATGGAAGCATCGCCTTTTAGCGCCCAACGCAGGAACTCGGATTCTGCGTTGCAGATTTCCCTTGGTAATCCATGCACGGCACCACGTCGTCGGGTGGTCTGTATTTAAGGGCCTACTTCTGCTCTCGATTTCGACAGGGCATTCACCTGTCTCCCTTGCCTTCTCACCCCCATCATGAAGCTTCTCCTACCTGTCGTCCTCCTTCAACTATGGCTTGTCAATGCAATGAGCTTGGTTGCACGCAACAACCGATCCTCTAGCTTTGTCACGGTCAAAGACGGTCGGTTCAGTTTGGACAACCAGTCCGTTCGCTCTCAGATTCTCGTGCTAGTTCAAGATTCTAAACTTCCTCGTCAGGCTGTTCCGCTTCTATGGAACGAACGCGTATTGGATTCAAATGACGACGGACGACGACATGGAGAACACCTTCCACGCCATTGCTACCGCGGGCTACAACGTTGTTCGCACTTGGGCTTTCAACGATGTCCCTAGCAAGCCTGCGTCGGGTCCTTACTTCCAGGTAATCGACCACCCTTCTGGCTCCGAATTTCGATTAATCCTTGCTAGGTTCTCAATAGCAACGGCGGCACCATCAACGAGGGCAACGACGGCCTCAAGCGCCTGGACAAGGCGGTGTCGTTGGCTCAGAAATACGGAATCAAGCTGCTCCTCAGTCTCACCAACAACTGGAATCCTGAACGCCCTGTCCCAAACACCGCCTGGAACCGCCGCGCCAACACGAGGGAACTTCCAAGAGGATACCTTTCGAACGACTATGGTACGCACACATACATTTATTGAAAAATCTCAAGGAGCATGGTGCTCATTCTTATAAAGGGGGAATGGATGCTTATGTCCGTGCCTTCCGTCCAAACGGGACTCACGACTCGTTCTACACCGATGGCACCATCATTGAAGCTTTTAAGAATTACGTGTCTCATGTTGTAAAGCGTTACGCTAACAGCCCCGCCGTGCTCGCCTGGGAGCTGGGTAACGACTTGAGGTGCTCGTCAACTCTCCCAGCGTCTAACAACTGTAACACTGGAACTATTACCAACTGGACGGCGGACATCTGTAAGTGGCTCATGTTCATTTCGGACTTTCCATCCGATTTCTGACTCTTGTTGCAGCCAGCTTTATCAAGTCTATTGACTCCAATCACCTTATCACTGCAGGGTAAGAGTTTCCGCCGGATCGATAACGTGCAACGAGGCCGATTATTCGTTTCATTATAGTGACGGTGGCTTTTACTGTTTGAAATGCCCCAAGAGATTCGCAAAGGACTTCACCAAACCCACCTCATCTCTTCCCGGCAGCGCTTTCGACGGGTCCTACGGCGTTGATACAGAGGACATTCTTGCCATCCCTTCCATTGACTTCGGATCTTTGTAAGTCATGGTCCTCGTTTACAAAGTCTCCATCGTTTCTCACCTTCATGTTTGCGCCCACACATAGCCAACTCTTCCCCGATCAGGTGAACTACTTCCCTACCGTCGATGACTCGTTCGCTACAAAGGCTATCGGCGATGGTGGCAAATGGATTTCGGCCCATTCCAACACTGCATCCAGGTACGCCTTCTTTCGGCTTGATTGGGGCTCGATCCTGGGGACCTGAGCGCTTAACTATTGTTAGGCTTGGCAAGCCGGAAGCGCTCACTGCAGCTTCCATTCTTGGCAAGGAGAACTACTCCTCTTTCGCCCCATTCAACTCGACCTCCCAGATCCCTGACGGTACACCCTGCGGTAATTATCCCTTATCCTGACGAAGGACTGTATTGGAGTCTGACGTTCCTGTGACAGCGGGTGTTGAACCATTCCAGGTCGACTATGCATTCACCTCATGGGCAGGAGGTACGTAAATCAGCAGAACATGTCTGCCTCATGTGTCAAGTTAACAATGCCCTCTAGTCGCCCTTCACGGCAACATCGGCGGAGTCCTCGAATATCAGGTACGTCATCACCCCATTATTTTTCACGTTCGACCGCTTACCTCTTACCTTCAGTGGCAACAAGACGGTCTGACCAGTCACGGAACGATCCACGAGAACTGGGAGAAGAGAGCCCTCACCGAGTCTCCCCAGGATGGCTCTGCTCGGTAAGTGCTAAAATCGCCTTGCCGCACAGCGAACATTTGAGCTCATGGTTCACCGCAGCTACAAAGGCCCTGCTAGTGGCCAGAATGCCGAGCAATTCGCTGCGGACTTGCCGCCCATCGAGGACGAGTAAATGGGAGCACCTGACCGTCCACAGTCTAGCCCATTCCAGACACCCTTACCGGAATCCATCACGATCTGATACGACTGATTTTTCATCTTCACGCTATTCATACCTTCGCACCACGCCTTTGTACAATTTCTGAACCCTCCTGTCGCATTCTAGCTCTCTCAGCTCCGTAGTTTCTATACCTCCTTACCTTGTATTACGACATACCTTTCCCAATGTCATGGACTACTCCCCTTTTACCAGACTTTAGGGTCTTTAACGCTTCACATGCTCTCCAGTAGCTGATATAGTAGTAGGTCATCTGCTATATTGCCTCTGACCCTTCCGTTGGTAACTGTATTCCTCTGATTCCCCCCATCAGTGCCCTTTCCCCTGCTTCGCGCGCTGGGACTCGCAATGGGCAGTGACCACATTGTCCCGCGCATAGATGTATAGCTCAACAGCTTCGGGAACTCCGGGCAATGTTTCATCGTGACTTACGGAATTCCGGATTCATCACTCCAATTATGTCCAGACGTTCCCAAGACTTCGCTGATGAACTCCCCCCGTTATTGTAGCGGCCGCAAAGAGCGCTTCCAGCTGGTTTGATACTCTGAACCTCAGCTTCCACTTTGTCAGACAACACTTTTCCCTCTCCGCAATTATCATCTCCCACTACTAGACCCATGTATATCCCCCCGCATCCCACCCTCTCCGAGCAGGAGTTGAGCGCCCGTCTTGCAGCCTGGGCAGCGGAGTCAAACCGCTTCCCATGGCTCTCGTCCCAAGATCTCTCCGAATGGTTCCATATCGTTGAAGAAGCTTGCGAAGACACCAATATAGCGAGCTCTCAATGGGCGGATGCGGCCGTAGTGCTAATTTCTGAGCCTAACCTGAAGTCTGCAGTTCAAGACCGCAGGGAACAGCATCTCAAAGAGACGGGACAGTCGCAATGGGAGTGGTTGGATTTTAAGGACGATTTGAGGGAACTAATTGGTGAGTCGTTCTATTGAACCCAGGCTATAGTTGGCTCTGACGCTTTCAAAAGTGAATGGCATTCCCCCGGATACCAGTACAGGTACACGAAATCCCAGTGAAGAAGGGAACGATAGCCCACAGCACCTGGCAGAGAGGCTGTCCGCTTGGGCATCGCAGCAAAATCGATACCCCTGGTTCAGTGGCTCGTCAAAGGACCTCTTGGAATGGTTCACAATAGTTGAAGAGGCCTTCGAGGACAACCAACTCTCCCACAAAGAGTATACCGAAGCCGCCATTTTCTTTATCTCTGGAGACTTGAAGCCCGTGATGGAAGAACGGAGGCTGAAGTACCTCGAGAAATCTGGCGACGAATTCTGGAGCTGGGACGGATTTAAGGAGGATATCACGAGAGTGATTGGTACGCGATAGCTGCCTTAATTCCATTTAATATTTGACTAACCTTCTGGTGTAGATGAGGCCGAACGAAGTAAGTTCTTGTTCTTGCTATCGTCACCACAGGATTTGGATACTCACCCTGCATCCAAGTCATTGCCCAGGAACAGTCAATGCCTGGCGGTAGATTAGGGAAGACAAAGAATGCTGTCTCTCGATTCAACCAGGATCACCCTTACATTGCCGCTTCCGCCAATGCTGGTCTCGTTGTAGGAGGCGCAATGATATTTGTTCCAGCTCTCGGACTTCTGGCCCTCCACGCCATTGGAATAACCCTTGGCGGGGTCGCTGTTAGTAAGTATCTCATGAAATCAACTTGTGGGCTGAAGCTGACCCATGTCCGTGTAGCGTCTGTTGCAGCAGCGATGCGATCTGTGGCCTACGGCGGTGCTACTGCTGGTTTTTATTCAGTTATGGAATATATTGGAGCGAAGAAGCCGAAGGAAGAGACGCCCAAGAAACCGGAGGATCAACCGGCCCCTCTTGCTAATCCTCCTCCTTATGAGTCCATGGGTGAAGGTACTTCTACGCCAGTTCAGTACGCCGTCTTCAAGTCAAAGCGTAGGCGCCAATAGCTGTTTGTTGGAGCCTGCATTGTGAAACCCCTGCTCTGAGCGAAGTTTCCTTTGTCCTTTGGCGTTGAAATGGTTAATCAATTTATAATCAGCCTATTTACAAGATGTAGAGGCTGCGAGTGCGTATATATACCTTTACAGTTCTGTGAATCCTCCAATGATTTTGATGACCGACTGGCAAAAGCTTGCCCTAAAGTCGCGCCGATCCCCGAACGCTCGGGAATCCTTTGAGGCCTTTTAACGTTTCAGCTCTTGACTTCCAACCCAGTCTGAATTCAAACACCAAAGTCAAGAATATGGATATGTTCTCAACAGCGTTGTCGGGTTTACCTTCGTGAGTACAGGGTCAATTCGAAAACTAGATCATATCTTTAAATTGAGTCGATGGGCAATAGCTGGGACCCCTTTATGATGATCAACACCTCAGACACCTGCGCTGCTACCCGCCTTCATCAGTGTCGCGGGATGGGAACCTATATGAACGATGTTTCCAGGAAATTTCAAGGGCCTTACGATCGTCACAGAGTACCAGATCTCACTGAAGGCGAGTATCTTGCTCGCAAAAAGCTGATCAACCAGGTCGTGACGTGGGGCCATGAAATGACCGAGAAGACCAAGTCGAAATATGACTACGAGTATATCCCAATTCTCTATCGCTATGAAGTAAATTCTCTCTCGGTTACTTCTCAGAGCAAATTTTACTAAAGGCGTTTTCGCAGGTCGTCAAAACAGCGGCCAAACGGGAGGTAGGCACCAAGATGTTCACCCAGCTTCAATGTATTGAAAATGTCTTTGATTCCCAGAGAGACTGGGGCCATCTCGTCTTTACAGATCTAACTACTACCAGGATGCTCCTGGTAATGCTGTTCCCAGAGACCTGTAGTAAGTGCAACCCTTTCTAGATCGCTTTTCAGAGGATGAGTTTGACTTTCTTTCCCAGATTGCGGCAACTTCTCGCATCACGACTACGATGCATTGACGAAGTATCACGCCGACCGCTTTATGTCGCTCCTCAAATACGTCTACCATGACGAAAGCCCTCCGGAGTGGGTTAGAGCGACATACCTCACGCCCAAAGAAAAGTTTGTCCTTCCGGAGGAGTTCTTCGATTTTAGCAAGGCTTTCTCCCCCGCGGAGACCAAGGATCGCATGGCGAGCGGCAAGCTCCCTATTTTCCACGTCACGGCTGACAACTTCGTTCCTTCGCTCTTGGAGAGTGAGGTCGAGAAGATTGACAACCTCCTTTCAAGGGGTAGAAGCGCCAAAGTCCCTTCCGCGGAAATCAAGAATCAAGTCCTTGGATCGAAGCGAAATCGACCTGAGGTTGCTTCCAGCTGGAAGCACAGGCAAGCTCGCCAGTGCTCCTACTGCGAAGAAATCAAAGAGAAAGGCTTAATGATATGCTCAAGGTACGCCTACTCTGCAGACGGTTATCCACTTCAATCTTCTATGTTAACACTACGTCTCAGATGCAAACTCGCCCATTACTGCAGTAAAGAATGGTAAGACCATATCTATATTTGCAAACCTTATTTCATGTTCTTACCATCGGCGATCACAGCCAACGACTTGCGTGGCCCAGTCACAAACTCCTCTGCAAGAAGGCTTGAACTAAGTATTAGTAACTAGTACTGTGTCTCGAGAAGTGTACGCAAATTCTATGCGAATGTCATTGCCTTTCTGGGTCGTGAGTAAGCCTAGCGCTTGGATGGTTATCATACCTGCCATAAACCTTGAAGCTATTACCTACATATACATGTTTGACGTCCTCAAGATCATGGTATGTGTAACTATTAACGAAGCCAGTGGGTACACCGCAGCCTAACACAGGAGTTGGTCTGACATGTGGTCTACGCTCTATCGATCCATCTTCTTCATTGAGCTGGTGCCCTTCTTTCCTAACCCGAATGAGTATCAATAATGTAAAGGCTTTGTGGTCCATCTCCGAGTATGGACGGTGGAATCGTGCGACGTGGGTGTCATTTAATACTAAGCACACTGGAGGGGATTAGCGCCCACTCGGAGCTTCTCAGTTGTGTGTTGGGAGTTGGGTATTCAGTCGACCCTGGCTGTTCGGGCCTTCTCACGCTGAACACAATATGAATTAGGCGCCCAAACATTTGATTCTGAGTGCTTACATGCGCCACGCCTGTGGTACTCGGCATGCAGAGCAAACAGTACATACGAGAGAAATGAAGTTTGCCTTTCCAGACGGCAATGTTACTTCCAGGCCGTCCGGCCCATACGCATCTTCCCACTAATTAGCTCTTTGCCATGGTGAGCTCGATCTGCTGATCTGTCTCTGACATTCAGACATGGCTCACTTGCTGGAGAGCCGAACAACGCTAGCCGTGTCCGGAGAAGCAGGCGGCGTAAGGAAATGAAAGAACCCTTCCTATTCCCAGGAGTTTGAACTTTGTGATCCATCGAAGTTTGCAGGAGACATGAGTGGATACGTTCACAAATACTTTCCAGATCTGGGAACAAGAAAGCAGGGGGTGTCCCCTGAACTTACAAATAGGCGCCCGTTGTGAAAAGCTCCGGGCCACTTGAATGTGATCACCCCCTATCATTCAGTGAGGACACATGTCCTTATCGTGGTTCATTTCGCAGAATCAGTGGCTCAAAACCACGTTTAAACGTCGTTCCAAGACTGGTGTGAGCGGATAAATATCTGGTTAGGTGAGGGTATTCAACTGTCCTTCACGCCAGCAGAGATGTCCCAAGAGCTACAAGAACACTCACCATCCAAAGATTTGGTGCCAGACCCTTCTCCGCCTCAGCGCCCATCTCTACACGGTCCCTTGAAAACGGAAAGCACCCTGGTACCGCCTGTGCGTGACTCTAAACTAGGCATGTAAATCCACAGCGTATCCGACATCCTGCACTGACTTTCCGTCGAAGAAGACCAGGAAGTCGACTCTCCAGAGAAGCCAGAGGATCTAGAGGAACCCTGTAACACAATCAGCAACAATTATCTGACAGTCGGCACATCTACCACAGGCCTAGGTGATGTCGGCAAACCATCCCAATCGGTTGCTGCCACGAGCCCTTCGCGGGGTCAGCATCGTTCATTTGTTTCCGCGAGCCTACGTACTAATCCATCATGCAGTTCGCCGCCGTCGATACGATGTCTTTGTCCTTTTGCTCAGTATTATCATGCTGCTGTGGCCTTGGGCTACGTGGGGCGCCATCTTTGGTGTCAAAGGCGTAAAGATGAACAATGGATTAGCCAAGATCGTCGACAAGCATCCTCAAACAACGAACTTCCTCGTCACGGTTGTCGGTACATTGATAGCCTTTGGCGTTGATCTCGTCTTTACCATCGCCGTCGTCCGCCTTTCCCATGAGGCCCTGATTAACAAAGGTGTCCCGACTAGCCTGTTCCATGTCACCCTGGCAGGGGCGTTCCGGTCGCATAGTATTCAGTGGCCTTGGAGCCACTTGAAGTTACTACTCATTCCGCATTTCTGGCCGATCTTTGCTCTGTGCACGTTCATCTTGACTTTGCAGTTCGTACCTTCGGGCTCAACATCCTTGTTGCTTCCTGTCCGCTTCGACCGGAACGAGACACTGTCCGGAACTGAGTTGGATTTCGCATCAACCGATCCTGGCTGCATCTCATGGTTGGACGAGCACAGGCTTGGAAACGAATGCGACTGGCGAGTGAGTGCAAGCAAATTGTTTGAGACAAGGTATAATGGAGCTAACACTTTGGATAGGAGTACCGAAACGAGAATTACACAACGTGCTTGGGGCAGAATCAACTACTCGATGTATTGGCTTCTGGTCGTAGCCGGGTAAGACAGGATTGGGCCATGAAGTCTTCCATGCTTATATCTCCCCCAGATGCTGTCGATGTCCCCTAATAACACGGAGAGCTTGTCACTGAACCAGCTTGGCGCAAAGGATGGGATGCGCCTCCTTGGACCCCTCCGCGGAATTCTGCCTATGGGACCAAACGGCCCTCCAGCCTTCGATCGTCTGGACAACTCCCCCTGGTCGCCAAGCCGCAAAGACCTGGCCGATGGTATGCTTTCATATAATTACACCCTCAATTACCAAGGTCTCGCAAGCAATATCTCATGCTTATTCGATCCCACCACGCCTATCAGAATTCGAGCAAATATTGCGGGAGAGAGTGCCTTGATATCCTACAATGCGTCATGCCCCGACGGCATCGATTTTCTGAGCGACAGCGGCGTGACGGATGTTGTGGTCCCCAATTCCAACAATTCGTTCGCATTCTGGGCCTGCAAGGCACCTTCCATGGACGAAAGCTTCCCATCGTATTACCTCTACTTCAGGGGATTGAGAAACTACGTGGATACGATGGGGAACATTACATGCCTTCTCTCTCCCCTCCAGACTTCCGTTTTCCCGACCACCTATTTGTCTGAAGGGAAACTGTTTACGTCTCCAGAGAACGCCACTTCAGCCCCTTCACCGGTGTACGATGGACTCATCGAACAGTCGCTGGTTGGCCTAGTCGGCGTCGCAAAGGATGCTCAGAGCTACCAGTCCAACTTGGTCCACGAGAGCGTCGTAACAGTTGGAGTGAAGTCATTTGACCTGGAGCCTCATGGGCGACAGGATCGTTATCTCCCTCTGTTGGCGGCGATGGTACAAGGTATGCTAGAGTATGAGGTGAGTCTACGTACCATTCACTGGAGGGCACAATGGTAATGCTGGTGGCTTTCAAAGGTCACTTACTCTCGACTCCTTTACTCAACCGAAGACATACCACCAAGCTGCATCCGCCAAATCGATGGCCTTGTGACATACAGAGTAATTGGATGGGAAGGAAAGCTTGCTCACATCGGCTTCCTCATGCCGATGACTCTGGTTAATGCAGCCTCTGTCGTTTTCATCATCATTGCCATTGCGAGTCCTTGGAAGGCACGAGCTCCTCAGCGACACGCAGAAGAGGACGTCCCCACCCAGGAAGTCAAGCCTGACGAGAAAGAACGTCTGCTGGATCATTATGAACAAGAGATCGACTACCAAAAGATGATATCACGCAGGAAGGTGCGTCATTCTGTCACTGCTTTGCCTGCTAGAGTAACTAAAACGATTTCGTAGTTGGCCACTGATGCAGAAGAGAGGGCTATCACGATGGGATTGGGACAATTGGGAGGAACAATGGCTGTTTTCGAAGAGCTGTTGGATTGACGAAGATGTTTTGGACTGACAGGTCCATACTTACGATATGCTCCCTAGGGGCCCGGGGTTCTCCTACTTTCCTTCCAGGATATTGCGCGTGTACTCGTCTTCTTCTAAGTGGTCTCACCAGTCGCTCAGTAGAAGAGAGTGTTCATGTATCATGTCGGTTCTAAGTAAATATTACACGGAGTTCGACACTTTCAGACGTGATCAAGAAGAAGCAGGCCATTCTCCAGACGGGCAGAACCTTTATTTTCGGAGTATACTTAGTAGAAGCCTCGAATGAGAAAAGTCAAACGTACGTGATAAGGAAATTAGCGCCGGGAACTTTGCATTGGTAAAGGGGTGGCTTGGGCGCTGGGTTCGTGGCTGGAGGTGGAACGGGGCTGCCGAACGTAGGAGGGGTTGGAAAAGCAGTGGGACAGTCAATGTCGTCGCATCTTGCAACGGCACAGAACCCGTCGTGCTGCACCAATGCGTTAGTGAAAGCGTATATAGATGATGTTGCATTGATAAATTATACCTCTGGCTGGTCAGGTGTGATACTGATACCAGTATTCAAGTGTCCTTCGCTCCGGACGAGATAGTAATACCAGTAGTTGGGCTATGGTCGAGGAGAGTTTAGTATTGGCTGAAGTTGAAGTACATAGAGGACGCGGACATACCTCAAAGTAAAACCCTGCGCGTGAAGCAACCAGGTGGCCTTGATCGTTGTACGCCCCATTGGTACTGGTGTAGAAGAACCCAGCCGAGGTCCCAAGGCCATCCTTCACAACGCTGTCGCCATGTTGCAGGATGCCCTCCGAGTTGTTTCGAAGCATGAGTTCAATCGGTCCAGGGCAATTATTCGTGACGGTGTACGTTTGAGCCAGGGCAGCCGGCGCAGCTGCAAAAAGAGCGGTGAGGGTAGATAGTTTGGTGAACATGGCAAGTGATCTCAAGTGGTTGGCTGGGAGTATGTGACCAAAGTAGGGGCACCATTTCGTTCTCCAATTTATAGGACTTCTAGGTGCGTGCATCGAACGTGGATTCCGAAAAACGGGAAATATCTGTATAATGGAGCGCTCCTCGAACGCCGAAATGGGATTTATAGATTTGTATCATCGTAATGCCTGCGATAACTATCAGGCAAAGGCTCTTAGCCTTCACCTTCAACGGTAATTGAAGAGATCTCTGTCACCTTTTAGTGCCCAGTGACGCTGGCGCGTGTCGGCAGCCGCGAGCCGCTTCATAAAGGATCGCAAAATGCTCCAAATTTCAGGGTTGCAAACACCATGGGCGTGCTGTTTCCATGCTTGAGTGACGTATTTTACGGGAGTGTTTGCCCGTTATTTCTCAAACGAGGGGCCAAGGGCAAACCCACACCAAATCCACGGGGAACATCCACCTCAAAAGCCGCTTGGTCGAATTTGACGATCGCGACGGCGTGTCCGAGTCGCGGGCCATTACCAAATTAAGTAACCCGGCGTGGTGTTCGCCCACAATCGGCCGAAACTCCGAGCCCCTCGAAACCAGAAGGGCATAAGATAAAGATAATGCATTAAGGGCGACGTACAAAAGCCTTAACCACGGAAGACTAAACACCATAACCTTCCCCATGCTCCAACCAATCCAACGCTCGCCTTGCCCGATCGTACACTTCCTTGTCCACATCGATTGCAGGGTGCAAAGGGGCATGCGGCCCAATCGATCCAATCCCTGAGCCACCAGTTACACCAGAGGCAACACCGATCGGTGTACCAGGTGGTGCCCCAACATCCGCGACGGCACTACCCAAGCTAGGAGAGACAATCGGTACACCCATCGAGCCGTATCCTCGACCAGCCACCGGCCCAGGTCCAGAATACATTGTCGGGGTATACACCATGCCCCCTGGCCCCATCGACAATCCCGGATAAGGTCCATACCCAGGGACGGGAGGTGGAGTAGCAGACGACAACCCAGAGCCTAAAGCTCCAACCATATGAGCCATCCCGCCTGAGGGCACTGACGCCGAAATCCCCCCAGATCCAGCAGCACTGGTAAAGGCATGGGCGTGATGGGGGTTCGGATGGTGATGGGAGTGGTAGTACGAGTGCGGGTGAATATGGTAGGGCGGGGCTCCCGAACTGGCGGGCGTGGTAGGGACTCCTGTGGGACTCGCTGGGACAAGGCTAGGGCTACCAACCGTGAACGTGCCAGTCGCGGTCCTCTGGTGCCCGAGATTCATACTCCTCGTCTGCGTCGGACTCGTCCCTGGTCCACCAGTTCGATCGCTGAGATGCAAGTATCCGCCGACAACAGGACTACCCATTCCCGAGCCATGGCTCATCCGCCTTCCACCACTGCCTCCCGGTGCCGAGGACAATGACATTGGTGCCCACTCGCATACACGCTTCAACGTTTCCCCAACACCGCGGTTAACCATCATTCGCCTCCTCTCCCTCGCACCCTCCCGCTCCATCACAAGCTGCAGTATACAGCTGACCGCCGGCCTCCTCACTTCACTTCCTCGTTCCGCGATGACCGTCCGAAGGGCTTCCAATAAACGCGGATGGTGTAGGATCGCTGAAGTCTCTCGAGCTTGGCCGTTGGCGAGGTTAGCGAGGACGTAGGTGGCTTGGGCGACGACAGATTGCGAAGACGTAGGCGTCAGCAATAGCGATGCTATAGAATCGAGCATCGACGATGGGGTGAGACCGGATGTCGTGGATGACGACGCGGGAAGGGGGCAGAGCTCGCGGAACACCAAGGATATGCCTTCCTCGTTCTCGGCAATATTTCGAACAATGTGATAGGCCTGCTCTTGAATTTCTTCTGATGGATCGTGTAGGAAGCTGAAATCGCTTAGAACCAAGATAGTTCGAGATGAAAATATTAAAACTTACTCGAACAAAACTCGCCAACCAAATTGGTTCATGACATCCCTCTTGGTTTCGGTGGTCGACTTCCACAGTAGGTTTTTCACCGCCCACATCGCGTTCAGTCTCAGGCTGTTCGCATATTCGTCAGATGCACGCCCATCTCCTGCATGGATTAGTTGCATCAATCGAGGCATGACACCTTGATCTAAGAATATCTGCCTGCTATGTCAGCGGAGAGGACGCTGGACTGAAATAGGTACTAACCGGCCGTAGAGGGGAAAACTCGACGACGATGTTGCATATCGCCTTCAGTGCCGCTTCCACGACCCTCCTATCTTCTTTCGCGGGTGGGTCTCCGCCAGCAACCTGCTTCTCCTTATCCCCGCCAGGTCCTCCGACCCCACGCTTGAAAACCTCGAAGACGGCCATGCCTAAGCCGCTATCCACAATATTTGTCCTCAGGACGGAGACCGCCCTTGCAAGCATCCTAACCGCTTGGCAGGCTGCGTATCTCACACCGGTGTACTTGCAGGTTAACGATACGCTGATACGAGGCAGCAATTCGTGCGTATCGGATATACTCCGCCGCACGTCGGTGTTGAAAAGGGCAAGCGTGGCAAGTGCCGTTAGTACAGCCTATATAATACGTTTAGGTTGCAGTCGGAACTACGATTGATGTAGGGCATACCTCACGTAGCTTGGAGACACTCTCAGCTTCACTTTCGTCCCAGCCTTCCTTGGCTTCGGAAGGAGTGATGTCCTTCAAAATCCGAGCCAATTTCTCCAGGCACCCTCGATCATAGGCCAATTGAGACAATTTGCGGTCATCGGTAATCAAGAAATCTGCTCAAATTTCAAGACCGGATCAGCCTTTTAAATGCAATTGAACTCACATAAAACGAAGCAAGTCTTGATGACAATGTGAACAGGTTCGACCTGCGATCCAAGTATCCTATTCACGATGCTGATGACATTCCGGATGCAGGCGTCGTCAACAGGAGTAAGGTAATAGGTCGCTGACATGCCACATGCCCTGATGATTCTGGTCGCACTTTACCGGCTGAGTTTAGCACGACTCTCGTCGAGGGAGATGCTCAACATACCAAACACAAGCCGCCAGCTGGACATCAACATTTTTGGCCTTTGTGAGCCCGTGCACGAGCGATATAGGTGCAGGAGCTGGACGAGGACGTGAGTCTGAGGCGAAATGTTCTGGACATCAAGCGTACCATCAGGGTGGGGTTGCTTGACCAAGGTCATGGCGACTACGGTAGTGTCCCTCGCCAGGGCACCTAGCGCTTCCAAAGCAGCTTCCTGCAACTGAAGCGGATATCAGCATCATTCTGTGATAAGACCACGTTGACGGTGCCAACCTTGGTTTCTTTGGCAGATAGCAACCCCACGAGGGCCCTCACTGCCCACCCACCAGTAGCTGCGACGACCGGGTCCACGATGATTCCAGGGCCTGACGCTGCCCCGCTTGTAACAGCGGTCTTCTCCCAACCTCGGTTCTTCTTCGGGGTGGACTTGGACGTCGAGGCCCCGGCGCTATCATCATCGCCCTCCGCCTTGTCTTTACGTCGTTGATCAGAAGGAATCCACTCAACGACCGCCTTCCGATGCTCGCTTGTACGCACAGACGTAGCGATGAGCTGGGCTATAGAAGTCGAGATAGCGGCGTTGTGGATTGGGGGAGACGTCAATGGTGCGAGAGGTAACAGGGGGAGGAACGCATCCAGAGAGTCCGACTGCCTGAGTGTCAGTTTCATGGGTGGGTTTTACAGTATCAAATCACCAACCGAGAAAATTCTGGCCAGAGCTTCTTTCGCTTCAGCTAAGATTTCACTCTTCTCGTCCGGAGGAATACCGTACAACGGTGGGCCCACGATGTCTGCCAGTGATGCGCAGATAGTCTTCAGAGCTCGCGCAAATGCCGACCGCAATGTAATCGGATCCTGAGGTTTGAAGTTGGAGATTGCGAACAGGAGTGCGCGGGGAGCATCGTTTCGCAACAGAGCCCCCAGAGTTGCATCAGAACCTGGACCAATAGCTCATTAAATTGGTTTTTGACTTCAAAAGCTAGGCACCTACCATATGCCAATGAAGCCACGATATGTGCAGCCTCTATACGCATTGAGATGGTTTCTGAATCATGCTGTAGGCCATGCGACGGATTCAGACAATCTACGAGACTTGATTGTAAGTTATCAACCGTTCATCCTTGTACAGTTGTTTAGGTTGGTGAAGGTCCACCTTTATAATACTGTACTCACGTTCTTAGGGCTTTCTCGTCGTCGACAACGGCCCTTTTCGCCAATGGATTTCCGATAACTGAATTCTTCAGTTTCTTAAGATCGCCGACGGACAGAACGGCAGGCAGAACGGGTATCGTCATGGTTGTCGCTGACCGAAATCCAATTCTGCACTAGAACAAAGTGGGAGATATATGGCTTTTATCGTCGTTCCCTAATGGTCGTCGTCGTCCTCGCCGTCGTCCTCGCTGTCTTCAGGGCCGAGATCGTAGTGGTTGCGGTTCAAGCTGTACCTCCGAATCCCGATGCCAGCTCCGATCATTTATCATTCAAGCTCCGATGATCGCCGCTCAGCGGCAGAGCGCCTAATTTTGGTCTCTGTATGGCCTGTGACTTGGTTTCGCAAGGAAACTGAGTAAAGGTCGAGAAGTTCTATAGCAGAAGCATCCACCGTACTACTTATTATATTTTCTCTCATATTTCTGAGTTGTAAGGTTGCGCCATTTCCAAGTTTCCGTCGTCCTAGGAGTGCCAAACGCAGAAGTAACGACATTGCTCGCACCATGGGTTACCCGTGTGGGGTACTCCGTGAGTCCACCGGAGATTAGCTGCAAGATGACTGAATTAGAGGAGCCTTCAGTGTTTTAATCCTCGAGATCTGGGCGCCGAGCCCTCCAAAGTTCAGCTCAATGACCGACGGCCCCTAATCCAAACCACGCCGTTCACGGCACGGAATCAATCGAACTGCTTCCGGATTGATTTGTTTTCCTGACATACGGTGACATCGACAGTGACTTGTATTCGCTTTCACCGGCACCTCCACATCCTCACCTTACTTATCCTCCTTAAGATGTCAATCCACTAATTTCTAGGCTTATTCTTAAATCTATCATTAAACTCTCACCGAATACACTCTTTCACTGGACCCGGCGCTAAATTAGAACCAAACTCTGAATCAATTCGCCCCTCCGACTGCCGCATTATGGATTCCCTCGCGCGATTCTCTGCTCGGTCTGGACATCTCAAGCGAGAACTTGGTAAACGGTGAGTACCCCTACACCTCCTCATTCCAAACACTACCTGACACTGTTTCATAGTCGGACTAAGCGTCATCCTCCATCTCCTGAGGGCAACAACCCTCTCACACGACGTGCTGATCCCGACTGCGAACCTGCCGACCCAGCAAACACCGTGACCGACCGACTAAACACACTTTTACGCAACGGAGGCCCAGGATACACCCTCAGACTATGCCCTAACGAACGTTATATGATACAAGCGCCCATCACCTTCGCCCACCCCAACCAGGAGATAAGCACCTTAGGATACCCAATTGACGACGAGCGCGCCGTCCTAGTGGTTTCTGGGCCAGTTCAGAATGGAGAAGGACATACCGTTGCTGTAGATGGTACCTGTAACGATTGCGATGGAGTAAAGCTTCGCAATATCCAGGTGCGTGATACTTAACATCCTACTCGGTTGCCTTGACTCACTTACCAACCCCTTCCTCTCAGATTGACGGGGACAGAGGGAACGCGCCGCCAACCAAAGGTGGAGGCAATATCGAAATGGGCGGTGACAATTCGAACCAACTTATCGAGTACGTGCGGACGTACAACCCCAGGTCGTGGACGTGTCTACACATAGCCGAGGGCCCTCTGAGTTGCAACAACGTGACCATCCAGTACAATGACATTGGGCCCTGTGGAGTAGATACGTTCCAGGAATGGGCCGACGGAATTAGTCTGGCCTGTCGCAACAGCCTGGTGAAGGAGAACTTGATCTTTGACGCCACGGACGGAGGGATTGTTGTCTTCGGGAGCCCCGGTTCTGTCATCGAAGACAACACGATATGGGTCGCCAACGTCAGTCTTTCTCCTGTCCCTTAATTGACTGGCGGCTGACATTTCAGTAGACCATGTTATTGGGAGGCATAAACATCGTCGACTATAACCCCTTTGAGGGCGATTACAGGGGCACCGTGGTGCGAAGAAACAACATTATAGGAGGCTTCGCGAACGATGGACAGGAACCTGGAGATACGCACGGATTCAACAACGAGACAGCGATCATCAAGTAAGTCAATATGGACATTCTCTCTCCTTCTGTTGCTCATTCCTTTGCCAGGATTGGAATTGGCATTGGCCCACGGACCTGGTTTGGAGACCGCTACGGAGAGAGTCGCAACAACGGTGGAATGGTCACCTCCAACACCTTCTCCGGCGCCTTCTCGTACGCCATCGCCATCACCTCCGCCAACAACTTCACCGTCCTCGACAACAAATTAGTGGGAAACACTGCGTTCATAGGCGCTCGAGGGCCCAACTGCTCAGATTCCGACCACGTACCCGAACCAGCACCTTTCATAGTCGACTGGGCCACAGTTGGCACGGACATGAACAAGGGAAGCGGAAAGGTCCAGGACGACTTTGTGGGTATCTCTGATGGCGACAGCCTCACTTGCGTCTTGCCCCCTAACGGTGGCGACTTCTGGCCCTTTGGAACCAACCCCGGAAATACCGCAGAGGAAGCGTTCTCTGACAAGAATAAAGACGACGAAGGGGGGAGTCCAGTTGGGATCGTTGTCGGTGTCGTGATTGGGATCATCGCATTGGGCGTGATCCTGTTCTTTGCGAGGAAGTGGTACATGCGAAAGATGGAGGAGAAGAGGTGTTTCGAGGCGAGTCGACAGATGGCACAGAAGAGGGCGTATACCCAGCAATTACCTTAATCCTTGTCTGGACATTCGAAATGGACGATTCTACACTCACATCTCTTCCACTGATGGTAATGCCCTTGTAGAGCACTTCTCGATACTGTTAGACCTACTTAACCACGTGTTGTTGTAATACTGGTGTTCAGTACTTTGGTATACATATCATGTTGTGATGCACTCAATTTCCACGTCCATGACGCACTTCGTCCGATAGTGAACCGAAGAGTCGCAATCCTTCTAGATGGGGAACGTTGGATTGGAGAGCGTGGGTTTCGCGTGAGTGGGAAGCCGGTGCGGTGGCGCGCCCAGGCGCTCTCAAACTAAGCGCCCGAATCTATCTTCCGTCTAAATCTTGACGAGGACGACTGCGACAACCAGCTTTTCGAGATCGCGGACTCTGTGTCCTGACTCTAAACCCTCGTGCAACTACTTCTAAAAGTGCGCGGAGGAACTCAATGGAGCGATCCGAAGGCAACATGACTCGATGTTCTACAGGTACGACGAAGTCCGTGGTTTCGTCTTCATCACACAGAAGGTCTGAACCTTTCCAAGCTTTCTAGATGTAGAGCTATCTAAAGGCTGTTTTCTCCGCACGAAGACAGACCCGTGATCAAAAGTGTATCCACCGCCCAGATGCTTCTTCTTCTATCCAGTCTTCTCGCGCACACCAATGCACACACAGAGCATGTTCTTTCATTCCCTCTTGACGACGACGACAGCGTTTTTCGGTCTCAGCGGCGGTGCAGATGGCGTAGCGCGTCCACAAGCGCCCAGCATTTACACATTGTGACCTTACCCTAGTAATGTGGGTACGGTCGAGTGATTGTGCGACGCAGCCTGAAGACTGGACACCGCCATGAGAGTGGGAGCGAATGAACCCTCTTTCGACATAGATGTTCTTCGAAGAAGTCCTCTGATGATTCTATTGGCGATGTGTGGGTGCCCTTCAACACGTCTTGCTGTTGAAGCGCCTACGACTTCGGGCAAGCTGTTAATCCATCGGCGGAGCCTCCGTATACCTTACCAGATATGCAAGGTCATGTCTAGACTCTACTTCGTTATTGGTCGACCTCTTTCGTTTAGACATCTCGCCGTGACATCCTGTGAATCGCACTCTTCAAGTGTGCCGTTTTCCACCTCACCTCAACTGCGCTGGCTTTTTTGAACACCGAGATCGTTGGTTTCTAAAAGTTCCCCATCTACCCAAATCGATGATAAAACACTTGCGCAAAGGCCTAGCACATAGGTAAGGCAGTCAGATGCGAGTTATTTATAGGGCAGCCAGCCAGAAGGTTCGTAATCAAGCCGTGAACCTTACGGATCTCTCGACCCCGTTCTACTCGTCTTCTTGGCTAACGGCATGGGGCGCATGACCCATCCTATCGTAGATTAGCGCCCGGTACATATAGCATTTCTTTTCCTGGATTCCTCCGGAGCCCGAAGAATTGAGGGTCAATTGACAGGCGCCTAGCTTGTGCTCCAAGGCTGCCCACCAGATGAGCTCTCCCCTAACAGTTATTATCTTACTGGAGAAACATTCATTCGACCCCTGCAAAAATAAATCCAGCCTGCACCGCCCAAAGATCTAAATTACCGGCTCCAGGGGCTCAAACATTTTAGTCAGGCATCTCTCGTATGTAACGATTTCCTCCATGCATAATGAAGAAGCCTTTAAGGAGCCCGGGCTGCCCAGCTTCCGTCCACCATTTGCTCGGCGACAAAGCGGATGCATCGACCAATGTGGGCTCAGGGACCGATACAGCACCGCCAAAACGGTACCGGCATGTTGAGGCCGATTGCATCCAGCCACCAATGCGAGTTTATCGGCGAGAGGAGGAATCTTGCAATATCTCCGGTTAGACCCTTGTGGACGCCCCTTAGAATATATGTATTTGATCTTGACGACATTTGAATTAGTCCCCTCCCTTTTGCAGCTTGGGCTTTTCCCCCTACGACCGCCGCCTGGTTCAAAATGGCCTATTCCCGTGCAGCCCTCATCCTCTTGGCCTTGGAAGTTCTCTCAGTCTCAGTCGCAGCTTTACGATTCGAAACCCTCCATCGTCGAGAAGCGACCACAAATGCAACCTGTTCTTCCGACTTTGAGTGGGCGAAGACTGCAAGAGGAAGGACACCGTGTAGGGCGGCGGCGGACGTCATGGCGCCGTGCAATGGTGGAAGTGAGTTGAATTCCTGTAGCTTGCCACTCTATCTCGTGTTAACCCCATTGCCAGACTGGCACATCAGGGACTTGCCACAGGGGAACTTCGAGTACGATACGCCCAAGGACCAGGAAGCAACGATCTGTTCTTGGTGCGTGGACGTTGAGATATTTCCACTAGCATCGAGCTGATTCTCTGTTAGTTCATGGTCTGCCTATAATCTCATAAGTGCCTGTGCGGCTTGTCAAGGAATGCCTGAAAAAATCAAAACGTATGCAAGAATTCGTCTCCTGGAGCTTCTTTTTCTGACAGCTATTCCAGCTGGAGGGATTATTCGCTGAATTGTCCAGAACCAGCTTTAACGCCTGACAGGTTTGTATTGGCATCGACCCTTGTATGGAGGTACTGACACTACCGCTAGATACTATCCGCGCGATGTGCTGCCGCCAGACGATGTCACTATTCCCTACTGGGCGAGTGTGGATCGTATGTCCTTGTACCATGATAACCACGGATAGTACTCATAGCTTTTCAGCTTCTACATGGCAGGCTCGGATGTGGAATGTTCGTGAAGCACGAAGCCTCTACGACCAAGGTACGGTCGTCCCACTCGATTTCACCTGGGCTATTCTAAATTCTCTCAGGGCGCGACGATCTGAACCTGGCACTGGAAAACCAGAAGAAAAGCAAGTCGTCAGCGGGTCCCATCGCGGGAGGAGTTATAGGTGGACTCGTGGTTGTCTTCGGAGCAGCAGCCCTCGCCTTCTTCCTCCTCAAGCGCCACCGAAAGAAGATCGCGCTTGCGAAAGGAATCGTTCCCCCTGACTTCCAACAGAGTCACTACCGTTCTCCCTCGGATGCCTCCGCCGTCTCAATGAGCTACACCAACCTGTCTTCGTCGCCAGGCCCTTATGCGCCGACAGGACACACGCCCACCGTCCGCACCCACGAGACCAGCGCCTACCCGTTCTCCGTATTTGGTACCCCAGATCGTGTGTCAGGCCCCTCAAACACCCCAGCCTCGCCAACCCCTGCGCATACCCGTCAAACATCAGCGACATCCAGGGAAGATATCATCACCCCATTCAACCTGCACGCCGCTTTGACCCCCAGCCCCCCTCCCGGGGATAGGAAAATGCCATTAGGAAGTGTGCCTCATTACGATTCACCCAATGCCCCACCGGCTCGCGCGGACGACGCCCTATTCCAGACACCCCCGCGCGGACGCATCAATCCTCCGGCGTATACACCTGAAGATACGAGCCCATCCCCACCACCCGTTGCGCATGCATCTGGCAGTCGGCGAGTGCATGGCAAGAGTGGGTCCACCGATACCCATCGTACACAGACGACTACTGTCTCCGCGCAACAGCGCTCATGGGCGGTGGGCCACAGCGCTGCCAACAGCATTTCTGATTATACAACCAGCCCACCGCCCATAGACGCTCGGTCTGGTGTGCCTGAGGGTACCACCTTCTCTCCGACCACCGAGTCGTCTTATCCAAGGGATGTAAAGCGCCGGCCCACTGATGATGACTTTAACGGACGAGATCTTGCTTAATGACCATTACTACTTCCTAAATGAACTAACCATGTGTATGTATTCTGTACGGTGTACTTGGCCAGCCTGAATCCCCCAACACTAGATACACTTTCCCGTAATGTTTTCTACACCCTATCTTTATCGTATTCTATTGGCTCTTCGGTATCTTGAATCTACAGTTCATACTCATTCCAGCGATCTCCCTCACTTCGTCCTCTGTCAATCCCAATCCCAGCGGCGCCGGAGCGAGCAACAACGCATATTCACCGAGGAGGGAGGTCCGGAAAGGTAGAGTATCATCGGTCTATCAGAGATTTCGATTAGCTGTTCTCTGAGTATGTACGACGTTTAGGATTACTCACACAGATGGCGATTGGGTGCTTGTGCGCAAGGTAATGACGGATATGGTGGCTCTCCAGACCTTTTACAGTCTTGCATCTAATTCACCTTCACGTTAACTGAGGTTGGATCGTAGCTGGCGTTACAACTCACAAGAGGTTCGAGCTCAGGCAGATCTCAATGCAGATGTTGTCACCTAGTGCGATATGTATGGCTTCGTCGTCCAAAAAGGTGGCGTGACCCAGGCGTTGGGGCCGGTAGGAAAGCAGTTTGAGGGTTTCCTCTCGAGTATTGTGTATCGTCTGGACAATCCTAAGCAACCTCCTAAAACGAGGATAAAGATCAGCTTACCTCTGCGATATGTAGTGTTACCCCGAGCCCTGCTGCCCTCGCCTCCGCAAAGAACGTCTGGAACGAGGTAACGTCCGCTGCAAAAGGATCGCCAGCAAGATCCACACCAACGAGTCTCCGGCCGGCCTCCTTCAGCTTGAGGGCAATGTCCAGGCACTCTCGCCACGTCTCCTCCCCAGTCTTGCGGTCGAGAGTCATGATGAGACCTGCCCGGTCCTCATCGTACCGTTCCACTTCATCCAAGACAGCCAACATGTACTCTTCCCTCGTCATGGACGGAGTTTGGCGAGGCCCAGTCCGCAGCTCGAGGTAGTGACATTGGGGCGCGTCTCCGTCTAGAAAATCGCTGAGGACAGCTCTGGTGACGCGTTTCAGCGCTGGGGTGTTGGAGGTCAAGGCGTAGATGGCGCGGAAGAGGAGGAAAAAGTCTCCGATCCTTTCGAGAGACGGGCCCGTCCTGAAATGATCGATCGCTTTCTGGATAGAGATTTTATCGAGGGAAGCAGGAGTTAGAGGGGTATAGTCCTGCAATAGTTCCTCTAGCACATCGATAGGTATAGATCCGTTGAGATGGGCGTGCAGCTCGGCTTTTGGGAGAGACTGCAGGAATGCGATTTGTTGTGGATTCAAGGCATCCAGCGCGGCTTTGGCTGGCCCTGAAATGCAAGAAGGCATTGTGACTGGGACGATCAAAGGGAGCAGAGATCGCACAGGAGACCAGAGTGCGATGAGAAGAGGAAAGAGATGCTGCAGCTCGCCTCAGCGGCGGTTCATGGTTGAGTCAAAGACTGGTCCAAGATTCATCAACGCTTCATGTGGCCAGAGATAGTTTGCCGTTGGGTTGGAGTCAGTTCGGATCATCGGGAGGTGCATGGCGACTTGACGCTAAAAAGCAGTGGCCGCATTAACGACTCGGATGGCAATAAAAGGCTGCAAGCAATCGGAGCGCTACCGCGTGCAGTGTGGAAACTGCTCATGAATTGAATTCAGCTTTTTGTCGCTACATATATTTACATTCTGATAGATCGTGCATCATTCTCGTGAGGATCGTAAAGACTGGTTCGTGGAGGTGAAGTTCCACGAGAAGGTGTGCCAGTGAGCACAAATCGACCTTGATCAAATGCCGGAGAGCGGTTCGGATACTGCGGCCTGCCAGGCGCTAAAAGGATCGTCTCCGGAGCGTCAACTTCCTGGTTTCCAAGATGGCTGGCATTCAGGTCGGTCGTTGATGTGAGATTGCTGTAGCTCCAAAGTCCCTTGTTCCAAGGAAGCTTGCGATTCCCGTCGTATATTCTGTGTGGAATAATGCCTTGGGCTTTGGCTATTTTCTTGCGGTGGTTCCTGAGAAGAAGGAACGCGAGGACGATTCCAGCAATCAAGACAAGTAGTCCTCCAATAACGCCACCAACGATAATTCCTATAGGCCTCTGATTGGCCTTTCTGTTCTCTTGAGCAAGGGCGACGTCTGCCTTTCCTAAAGCCGAGAGAATACTGTGAAAAATGAAGAGTCCGAAAATAAGCGCCCAACCTGAGGACCATATGCTTTTGGCCGCTTTAGTTGTCCACGAGTCCCCGATCCATGTGGAAGCTGAATGGTAGTCGTTTGATATCTTTCCAAGAATAATGAATGCGTTCAAACGTACGATCCGTTGTGGCCCAATAAGGGATAGCAACATCATCAGGTGGTAGAACATCACTTGGATAGTACCTGCGGGGTTTTGGTCATGGCGATGGAATTCCCAGCATTGACACTTCGACTACTAACCGGTCATTATTCAGGGCCTGAGATGGACAAAAGAGCTTGTAATCCGACCACCTGGGAAGTCAAAAATGTAAATTCCGTGACATCTGGAAACATGATTACAAAACGTACAATCTGACGGATTGCGGGGACCCTTGACAAGCGGTACAAGCGCTGATGAGATTGTATGCCGCCCAGGAACTACATTGATATTATAAGATCCTACCTTTCTCGAAGTGAGGAAAAGGGAGCGGCGTACCATGAACAAGTATTAGCCTCATCACCTTTGGGCTGGTCATAACGATAGAACCGTTCTCCCCCAGGTGGCAGCGATGGAATAAACCATCCTAGCAGGGTATCCACACTCAGTATCAATATCCAACATACGAGTGAACACACGGTAGCAAACTCACTTCCACCATGACAGGGCGCTATCACCTCCGCCGCCATCCTACATGGTGATTTCCCCCTGGCGTTGTTCGCCCAAATGAATTCCGGCAAGCACGTCGCATTGGTCGTAGCTTCTCGTGTCAAAATCGTGTCGTAAGCCAGCGCCCTCGTCGGTGTCGGGAATAATGTGAGCCCCGTGGCAATCAGAGAGGAAAGCCAACACAACATTTTGAATCCAGACGAGTTGGGGGGCTGGGATTCAATCCTCCTCAGAGGTCGAGAACCTACATATAAGTACCCCGGCTAAAATGCTATCTCAGATGAGCCTCATTGTGATATGGAAAACACACAGCCCAGTGTTACAATCCGCTGCTCTTCGCCTGTGTTGGTGGCGTCGATCGACTGCAACACAGGGGACATGAACAGTTCAACCGCCTGCCGCCCCTGTCGATCCCCGCCCCCGCCATGAAACATTTCCCCATGAGTTTGATAAGCATAAAATGAAAGGTCTTTGCAACCTACAGTTTCACCCGGAGGGCCTGTGTTTTCTCGGACGAGGACTTGACAATACTATCTTGAGCGCCCTGATCAACCATCCGTTCACTCTAGTCTTGCCAAGAATAGACCGTTGAAACCTGGCTGGGCTGCTCATGAAATCATTGGCGATACAGACTCAATCACCCCGCACGAAACGTAATTGTCAAATGAGTGCCCAATTTGAATAATCGATAATCAGTGTCAATCGCATCAGAGGCAATGCGTGGATGTTGGGCGCCTATTGATTTGAGGAGCTCCCCATAGTCTGAATTTCCCTTGATTCAACTCAATTTGCCCGCTGTCAGGCCTGACCCACCCAGGGAAGGTGGGAGTGCCATCAAATTAACGAAACACTACATCCTCCTGCTTCTACAGCAAAACCGTATTCAGCTCTGGGAATTATAGAAGTAACATGAAGAATTATAAGACAGTATCAATACAACACACGTACAACGACATCATGTCATCCCAACACCCGGTTAAAAAACAAGAGCCTACGACTCCATACTCGTCAACGTCTCCTTCGCCGCCTGCTGCAAGAGCTCTGTAACAGTCGGAATACCACGGGCACTCTTCTTCGGCTCACTCTCCCCGTCCTCCTTCCTCTCTCCCTCCCCCTTGTCTTCCATCGCCCGCTTCCTCTTCTTAGCCAAAAAGTGCAGATACTCCAAACTGTGTCTCGCAGGTTTAGGTCGCGCAATGTCAACCGGTGGCGAGGCGAACCACAGCACTTGATTCGATTCTGGGTCGCGATCAAAATGCTTGGCTAAAAGGGGAAGAAAAACGTGTTAGCCCAACGCGTGGTTTCAGAGTAGAATAGAACGAGGGACGTGTCGTCCTACACACCTGTCTCCGCTGGAAGTTTTTCGACCTGGCCTTGTCCTCCAATCGCAGCCAATCCTCCAGCAGCACTAATTATCGAACGATCCGAACCTTGCATTCGTGGAGTAGGCGCCTGGTAGTGCATCTGAGGTTGTGGTACGATGGGCTGCGGTGGTGGAGGTTGATGCTGTGGCAAGTTGTACACCGCGTTCGAGTAATACGACACCGGTGCGGGGGCGGCCGGGACGGACGGCGCCACGGTCTGGTGATGGACATGCGGATAGTGGTCGCGAGGTGGTTGTTGCTGTGGCAAGGCGTAAGACGCTGTAGCCACTTCTCGCCTGGGATGGATAGGCTTCTGATTGCCATCCGCATCTGCAGTTTCAGGAAGCAAGCCTCCAGGGAACTTGCTCGAGGTAATCTTCCCTCCCGACTTGGACAGGAACGGGCTAGGAAGGCTAGCTGGGTAGACCATGCGTTCGAAGGGGTAGATGGGCATGAACTCGACACTCTTCCTAACTTCTTCTGGGACACACGAGTTCCAGTTTTTGATCTTGACGAAGATGCGTTCCCGGTCATTGTATCGCGAGTCGCAGACGTAGAGCGGCCAGCCGACAAACCAGTAAGGAGGGCGAGGGCGCCCACGAACGTGGCGAGCTGTAAACTGGCAGGCGATTTTCTCGATTATATCTTCCACGGGGTGATCGGCGAAATGACCTGTCAAACTGTCAGCAGAAGCTTATTTCCATGATCCAGAAGACCAACTCGTTTTGAACACCTCTCTTTCCCAGAAAGTTCGACTAGGTGGATGGAATGTCTGTTCTGGGCGGTAGTACCACGAGACTGTAACGCCCTGCTGACCCCTTCTCGATCTGAAAAGGCGTGAGCGGAAATTCAATTGCGAAAACGGTTCACGTACGGTTCTTCGGACACCCAACACCGGAAAATCTGTCCAATAATGGGCCTGCTCGGGTCGTCTGGGTTTGCAAGGTGCAGCCAGTCGGCGAGCTTCATCGAGTACCCCTTGTAGTGAAGTTCATCCACAAACACGCGATCCTTGGTCAAAACACGATGTGTCGTCACGCTGGGGACGCCTTCGCTGTCTGCGCCATGGACAGGCTTGACAGCACCGGGCCCGGCGCGTAATGCAGCGAAATGAGTCGTCGAGTGGTACGGTGGTCCGACGGGTGGATTGTGTGACGTGAGCGCTTGATACAACCGCTGTAGCAGCAAGACACGCCCATATGAATCGCTTCCTATTTCGTGCCATCGCCTTGCCTTTTCGAATAGCCTCGCCATGTCGAGATCGAATTCCCTCGCTGAAGAGTATTGATGGGCACGAGCGCGGCTCTGGGGGACGTCTGTAAGCGCTACATCAATCCAAACAAAGGGCCAACCTACCTCTATCATTTTCAAGGATAACGGTCCTGCGTAGGATAGATTTGGTATTACCGGGTCTTCTGGAGGCTCTTCGAGCGCCGTGGCGTATCTGTTCCCACTGCACAGACTGTGAGCAACATGAATAAATCGCTGTTGAAGAATACTTGCATTACGTCTTTGTGGGTCTTGACGGCGTGCACCAAGTCAACAATCTTCTCTGGCGTCGCAAACTCCATCCACCCCAACTCGCCAAACCCAGGCCAACGCGGTAGGCTTCTTTCTAGTGACCGCGTAATCTCTTCGCTGAGCGGGTCGCGAGCGATATCGCGATCCATTGGGCGTTCCACTTCGTCTGCACCATCGGAGTCCGGCGACATGATGTCCACGTCCACATCTGGCGTTGAAGTTCGAAGTGCAGGTTGCGAGCCCATCTTGGACGATTCGGCGCTGGCTGCTGGCTGAGCGGGTGTCGAAGCAATTGGCGTAGCTTTCGCTGGAGATGGCGGTTTCTTTTCCTGAGGTTTCGGTTCTTCCTCTACTTGGTGGTATTTTTGAGCGGATGACGGTGGTGGTGACGTTCGAACCGTGGGTAAGAACGGCCGCTTCTTCCACTCGACTTCTAAGATATTCTGAGTTTGATTATAATAAATCCAACAAAGTAAGACAAACTAGCTTACCTTCAGCTTTTCGGCATCTTCGGCGATTTGGCTCTCTGGCTCGTTGTAGAAGAGCGCGTTCCAAAATACGAGGGAGAGATCGGTGTAGACCTGCATGACGTCCTTATATCGACCCTTTTCGACTCCAGCTTTTATGTTGTTTATACAACGAGGTTCAGGTATGACCTGAATAATAATTCCATTCATGTTGAGTTCATTTCGAAGCTGATACCTGGAAACGACATACCTCGTAGTATTCTGGCCAATCTGTCTTGTCCACCAGCTCGAGAAACATTTCAGCAAGCTGGCGCTTCCCTCGAGAAGATTTGGTATCCAGAAGAGTCTGAATAATCTCCTCTAATGCCTGCTTTTGCTGGGACGTTATGGTCATCTCTCCAGTAAAACCAAAGGTCCAGGTTGCGCTATGGGGATTATGGCGAGTCTAATAGGTAAACAATCAGTAACATAGGATTACTGAATATTAATGCACTTACAGATTACACTGTTGAGCTTCAAAGTCCAATTCCAGACTCCTGCTCTCCGATGTACTCAGACACCGAAATACCGGAGTGGTCGCCTACCAGTTGCTCAATAACTGGTTCCAAAATTCGAGAATGTGTTAGACTGATATTACAGCTGCAGAACGACAGAAATCGTCCTTATGGCGTCGAGATGGTGGTTTGAATCCAAGATTCATGTCTCTGGTGTACCCGACACGTGAGTTGGAAAACGTCACATGACTTGCCTTTTTTGCATGATCCGGGATGATTCCGAGAACGGCACCTGACACCCTTCGCGTGGCGCGTCTACCAGAGCCATGCGCGCTTGTTTGAATTTCATCGGTATTTCAACGCTAAGCGTACCTCATTGCCCCACGGGCTTTTGCTTGAATATTGAGAATTCACATTTGGGAACCTGTGAAAAGCTGATCTAAGTGGAATGAGATAGGCATAGTATATACCTGTTATCTGTCGCTCGCATGCAGCATATCAAGGGTGCTGGACTAATGCGCAAATTACACCTAACACACGGGCTCTGAACTCGAAACGGTGCTTCCTTGCTAGGCCTGTTGGAGGGGCGAGCACCCAGTCCTCAGGGTGCGGCGTCGACTGAGGATCGACCCCTTAAAGCGCGGGACATCAGGGCCAATGAGGTCCAGAGAAACTAGATTTCCGCCTACCTACCAGGGTAATAAATGTGGCTCAACTGATGGAACCGTCGTACTACACCTCACCTCACTTATAACTGCTATTCTCCAGCTTACCTTGTCGAATAATCAGTGCGCGATTTGAAGTGGGTGTGAAATAATGCCGGAAGGGGCCCTCGCATCAGTCGCGTGATCTCGGCGCGCGCATGTGACGGCGCGTTGTTTGTTCCTGCTTGTGACATTCCCTGCATCTTGGAAGGACGATCCCTGGATTGGTGACCCATTTCTTCCCGTAACCATCACGATCGCGTTTTCAAAGTTATACAGCAGCCAAAAGACAAATTATATGTTACAAGAGCGACCCATACATAATCTGTTGTCTTCCAGCCGTGGTTTCTTGAAGTCCGGTAATCAAGATAATAGAATTACAGTGCGGTAAAAGTCATCATTCAAGGGCTCTGTCGATGACGCTACTGATACAAGATTGGGAAATACAGGGCTATGTTCGTTCAATGATACAAGTCATGCTACTGATCGTAACCAAAATCGTAATAAGGTATTTCTCCAAGAAGAAGATTGGAAATATACGGTAAAGGTCCCGGAGGAACCAAAACGGAAAACCGTTTGCCCGAACAACCAGCCCGCCGACTCCAGCCTCCAAAATATCCTAAAGGGAACACGTCTGGGCTAGTCCTGCCACAAAAAGAGAAAGATCGATGATGAAAGCTTCCAAAGAGCCGGATACTTATGTCGTGAAAAACAAACAAGGGGTAAGGGTATAAAGAGGAGGGCGATGCATCCCGAGAGTGTTATCAGAAAACCATAACCTTCCCCACGGTGAAGGCACTAGCCGTTCCTCCTCCGGATCCAAAATTGAACTTGCTGACTTCCCTAGCTTTTAGGCCTTGGTTGGGTGGGAGACCTGGGCCAGGAAGAACACCTTTCCAGTGGTCTGGATGATAGGGCCTCGGCGACGAATTCTCATCCCAGGAATCCCTCTCTTCCCTCGGCAAGTTACGCCTGACAGGGGGCAGAGGGACTTGAACCGATTTATAGAAGTCCTCAGGCATGAGGTTAAACGACAGCAGGGAGAGGGGGACCCATCGAGATGGGGAAGGCGCCCTTCGTCGTCGCTTGGTGGGTTTCGCGAGGTTGGTGACGGCTTGTCCATGGATCGGTGACGTGGAGCTCCTGCCTCGAGGAGAGGACGAAGTGGCGGATGACGAAGAAGAGGAAATGGAGCCTCTCTTCTGGGGGAGAGTTGGAGAGCGAGCAGCGGAACTTTCAGGGGACGTGGCGACAGGGGAAGTCTGGGGTGAAGTATCTTCACCACAGGATGCTGAATCTGGAGAAGACTTGTTGGTGGCCATGTTGACAGGCTTGAGGGCGCAGCGTTTAACGTGTCTGTTAAGGTTGGAGGCGACACCGAATCGACGACCGCAGATTTCACAGACGAAAGCTGTAGACTCCCAAGGTAAGTGTCTCGAACCTTTTATATATCAGCGACTAACTCCACATACCTTTTTCGCCAGTGTGCACAAGGAGATGCTAAGCGGTTCACGAGGTGAAGGGAGAAGGAAGGAAAGAGAACAAGGCGGGTAAGTAAAGTTCCCGCCACTTCCAGTCGAGCTTTCAGCTTACCTTTCTCAAGGTGCTTGGACGATCAAACCTGCGATGAGAATGATCGGTTAGCATATCTTTATTTCCGATATTTAGCAAAAAGGACCTCGATTTACCGTTTGTGACACATGGTGCAGGCGTGTTTCTTCTCCCGCGATGAAGTCTCAGGGACAGACTGAGCGCCTCGGGCGGGGACCAGCGCTGCAACGCCTTCAAGAACGGGTTCGTGGATCCCTAGGGTAGCAACGCCGGAAGCGGAACCATCATAGACGCTCTGGCCATCCGTTCGCGACCTCGACTGTAACAGGACGGCCATCGCGGCAGGAGTAGGAAGTGGTGGACCAGGTGAACGCACAATCGACGACGACCCTGGCGCTTCTTTGCTCTTTAACGGCAAAAAGCTAGCTTCTGGCGGAGTAGGAAGCATGGGTATAGGCGCAACAACTCCATGGACAGAACCTTGAGTTTGATTCCAATTCCAGGAGTGGTCGACATAGCTTGGTAATTCCTCGGCGGGGAATAAGCTCGTCGTCATGAGTTGGTTCCCGGAGAATCCCAGACCGGTGGCGTCAAGAGCGTCTGTTGAAGCGGTCGTCACTGGTGGTGGGGGCCGGTACGTTGCCTCTCCGCGGTGAAAATTACTGTATCTCGAGTCCTCATAACTAGGTGAAGATCCTCCCAAGAAGTTTTGGGTAAAGTCGACCTCTCCGGTAGGCGCGAGATATTGATCAGAGTGTAAAGGGTAAATGGAGTGAGATGTGAAGGAGAAGGGGTCGTGGTGGAGGGAGACGGCGGGCTGATATTGTGTTTGCATCGATGGGCGCGGAAATTGGGGAAAGCGGGTGAGTGGACTTGCTAACGCTGATGTTATATATTTTCTAATACGTCTCCCTTTCATGAGAATGAGGTGAGAAATTTCCACTCGAGGCACCTGCCACAATCATTGGATGGGTCTTCGCGGAGATTTACGTAGGAACGCGGGACTTCGACCGAGCCAGGCAGTATACGTTTCTATTTGGCGTCTGTCCCAGATCAGCGAAGAAAAGCTTAAATTCTCGATTCATTCAGATTCATTCCGTCAACAATAATCTGGCTATTACACGTCGTCCCTGAGTTCGCCTTTCTTTGGTGAACAACGTCTCTTGTCCTGGCACCTCTTACACCGTCCAAACCACCTCGGAACAAGGGCGATTGACACCTACACCAGTTTTCAACTCGTTGGGCCAGTCATCCAGCGAGCCGGACTTTCGGGACGCAGTTCGATTTATCGCCCTTCTGAATCGACCGTGGACGTACCCTCTTTTTGCAAGCCTCATGTTCGTGCACATGTTGATGTTCCTAATTCGCGAATGGCCTGCCATCTTGATAACGTCCCGGATTTATTTCCAGAAAATTGCCACCTTCAAAGAACCACGCCTCTCTTCAAGCTGTTGCTCCCCCCTCCGAATCTCCCAATTTTTGACAGGAGGGAGTAGAAGAGACAATGGCGATGAATTCTAGCGTCCTTGTCTTGGAAACAGGTTTCTTTTTTGAGAACGTAAGTTTGTGAGGACATTGACAGTGTTACATCATCGTACCTCCCCACAAAGATTGGGCTATATCTAACCTTCTATCGAGTATTGTTGAGCAGGTGGTTAGGTGCCAGGGCAATTGGGACGACAGAACGGGGCCACGATCGTCCGCTGATAACCCAAGCGCTCAGGGCCTCGAACTGATAGATGGAGGGGAAGGTGTTACCTTATCCCTGGAACTCCTTGCGTTCATTTTCGCCATCGGGGTAACCCCAAACCAGCAATCCGGCACGTTCACCGTTATTTCAGCTCTGTACACGACTTCTAATGGGACAGGAAGCTTTAGACAAAACATGCGGGCTTCGATCGAAACCATCGAGAAGGGCATGGGGTTCCACGGACGCACTCAGGGCATACGACTGGGACAGCCTTGTCCATAGGCTATTGAACCCAAATTCAATGGAAGTTCGAATCCACTGTCTACTCAGGGGTGGAGGTTCTACCCCTTCGACTTCCACTCCGCACAATTGCAATAGAGAAGAGTTCGCTGACAGTCGAAAGTGAAGCGTTAGCTAAGTCTAAAGATGAATATTTTCAAGCCATTCCGTGTTAATACATACGAGGGAGAGCCGTAATGCTGCCAAAACTCAGTATTCATTAGAGGAACAATATAAATGCCGCAAGATCGCGCCCAGCTGTCATGATAGCTAGAACGTCATCTCCGGGCCTCCGAGAGCTTGACATAGCTAGTAGACAGAGCCTGCGCATCGAATGAAGCGTATGAAGCGGGGTATCGACCACAAAACAAAACAGAAAAAATGACCATCCTCAAAAACCGTACCCAGTCTAAACCCAAACCATCAAAAACGACATCACTTTGTAAACTTGCTGAACAACTTGCTCCCCGCTAAAAATAAAACAATCCGATCGTCAGCCTCACAGTCCGTCGATCGATTAGGATGGAACAAGAGGGACGAAACAGGGTTCTTGTTTGCAAAAACGAGATGGGGATGGACGGACGATAAGGGGGTCAAAAAGGCTCGGAACTTACATTGTGCCAAATTCCCCACCTGACTCTCTAGCTGTTCGCGAGTCTTTCGTCCAGCGACCTTGTCCACAGCTGACCACGCAAGTCCCAAAGCGCTAGAACCCGCAGCAGGGAAGCTTATCCCAGAAGGTTTAGAAGACGAACTCCCATGTCCATATCCCCCATAGTTTGATGGCCCTGTATAAAGGCAAGAAAGCGTAAAAACGGCATCGCACAAAAGTCAAACGGCGCAAGGAGGAGATGAAAGAAGTCAGCGAAGGACTCATAGTCAAAGATTAGGTTAATTTCTTACGTGGTGGTAAGGATGGAGGCGGACCTGACGTTGAGGAGGTAGCCGGGCCTCCTGGCCAGGGCATAGATTGATTACCGATAGGGGTCGAAGTACCAGTTGGGTGCGAAGCAGTTGGGAAGGAGGTAGGCGAAGAAGGTTGGGGGTATGAAGAAGGCGTGCCGCCGTGCTGAGGATTCGGATAAGCGGGCTGATAAGGTCCAGACGGAGGTGGAGGCTGATAATGACCGTGGGCTTGAGGCATAGAGGTATTTCCGTACTGTCCTGGTGCTTCTCCGCCAGGACCATAAGGGAAGGATGGATATGACGACGGAGGTTGAGAAGGGTACCCTGGACCACCGGGGAAGTTCGCGTTCACAGTCTGAGGACCGGGGCTAATAGGCGGGGAGGTATGAGGTGAGTGTCCGCCTGACCATGTTGGGGGTTGGTTTGGATCAGAAGACGACGGATAAGAATTGGCTGGGAAAGAAGGTGCAGTGGAGTGATATGAAGGGTAGCCACTGGATTGAGCGCCATAGTCGTCCAACGTAGAAGTACGAACTGGGCCACTCGGGAAATTGGGATTACCGGGAGGCACGTAGGATGAACCAGGTGCAGGGGGACCTCCATAGCCCGACGGTCCACTGGGCATATTGTTCGACGGGTAAGATGATCCGTAAGGAGGCATATTCCCATAACCGGAACCAGGAGCACCGTAAGGAGTGGGAGGTGCCGTCGTCGACATGTTCGGAGGAGGGTACGGTGCTGGCGCCGTGGACGCTGTCGCGGGCGTCGTGTTACCCTGTGCACTTTGAGGCCTAGTGGCAGCCGGCGGAGCAGGAGGCCTCAAGCTCGAAGAATGATGTACACTCTGCGAATGGTGCAACGAAGTCGAACCAGCCTGCGTCATGCTCGAAGCGGTGAATGTTTGAGGTCTCGACAAATTAGCGCCGCCGGGGTATCCCGAACCTTGCGCAGGCGCTCCAGACGTCGCTGGGTTCGAACTTGCTCCTCCTGGGACCCGCCAATCGGAAGGCGGCCATTGAGGTGCAGCCCACGTTCCAGTAGAATGGGTAGACACGGGCGGGTTCGTCGGAGATGGTCCCGCAGCATTGGAATGTGATGATTGAGGCCGGGAATACGACGCCGGAGGTGGCTGGGTGCCGGTGGTCGTGGGTGGCCGCGTGGGGGGGCTCTGATGCGCTGCAGGATGCGCGGGATGAACAGGGGGTGGAGAGATTCTTGTCGGCGGGTATGGCGCGGACGTCGGACCACCGGATACAACAGGTTGGCCCCCTGCAGGACCAGACAACCCAACCCGACCAAAGTCGTTCGTCAAGTTTGCAACAGGGTCTGAAGGTGCCGGTGCGATCGGGCCCCCAGTGGGTGCAGCTGGTCCTCCGTAATTGTAAGCTTGGCTCGCAGCAGGGTATGTCTGCACGCTCGCGGGAGGCGCAGTGTTGCCAACAGGGCGATCCGAGATCTGCGTTTGGGGTCCCGCTACTGTCGGTCCGGTGGGTGCAGGACCTTGAATTGGTTGGGGAACTGACGACGTCGCAGCTGCAGCAGGTGCTACTGTTGGTGGCGCAGATGACGCAGTCGCAGCTGGCGCCGGAGGAGAAGTGACAGGCTCTTCCGCTTCGAGTGTGTAGGGGGGAGGAGGGGCCTCATCTTCCTGAGACTTCTGTTGAGAGTTCAACCATTCTTCGTAAGATTGACCACCTTGATTCGACGAGCCTGTAGTAGGCGCCCCAGAGGAGGAGGAGCTCCCTTCGGTCGATGTAATAGCTCTCTCTTCATACTTCGGTCGTGTCGACCAATAGTCTTGCAACTCTTTCGATGGAAACGTTTCAAACACCCTTCTTTCCCCTCTCAATACTTCGCCCGCAAACCCACAGATGCGCATGTACCTATTGATTAACGGTTAGGCGTTAATCTCATCCGATATGAATCAGAGTATGACGAACCAATCGGAGGGCAAGTCGTGCCCGTCTTGATCGAGGGCCATGAAGGTCCACCGTTCCGATGCTGGGAGTTTGTGCTTGTGGGTAACAGCAGGCATAAGGGCAGTGCCTTCATCGTATCTGGAATGGATCGGTTGAATAGGAATCCGATAAGCGATAGAGTAGTAGACTCACTCGTCCCACATAGCACCGTACATGATGCGAGCCCCAACACGGTAAGCATTGAATATTTGCTTCCACAAGAAACGACCACCCTTCCTCGGAGCGTCATTGAAGCCCCACTTTCCTTCGGACAGGTTGTGACCCTGTATGAACTGGATCAATGAGGGCGGTAAGACAATAGTGTGATCTGTACGTACGGAACCACCAGGCCAAACAACTGGAATGTAGTCTACCTTGCGACCGGTCTGCTGATTATTTTGTTGGATCCGCTCGAAGTCGCCTTTGAGGCTGTTCTCTGCGAACGAGTCCGCCTCTTCTTCGGTCTTGTAGCGGCCGATGGTCCATGGGGAGATTGCATCAAATTCATTCAGCCAGACCGCTGGCCATTCAGGGTTTCGATCAGAGTCTCCTTCCGCGGTACGCCAGTGTGTTGGGGTGCCTGCCATGAGATACACTCCGCCTGGGGTTGTATTTCGGAAAAATTGGGCAATAGCCCTAACCATCGCGGGTGTGTGTCCTCGATTTTCGAATCCGAATCCTTTGCGTGGCGTCAGTTTCGGTATCCCTGAGTGAAGCAAACAATGCTTACCCCACAATGCTACCACCGGTCTTCCTTTTTCCCTGAGATAGGCAGGACTGTCCAGAATGCGTTTCTGGCGGATGAGGTGCAACCAGTCCTGAACGAGAATGTGTTGGATGCGCTCAGCTGGGACTCCAGTCACATCGTACCTGCCATTATTGAGAAAACAATAACGACACAAGGGTAGAATAGACTCACATTATCGCGAACACTCTCCCCTCTTGCTCCGCAGCCTCCCTGACACGGTCACCAACTTCATCTCTCAATCTCCTATGGCCCTCGTTGCTTGGATCGCACTCTCCAGCGAATCGTTGCAGAAACGCTCCATCCACTCCGTGTTCCGCCATCCATCGGAAATGTCTGGAAAACGAGATCAGCCTGGTTGGTCGCCGCAGACCATTCTGCACGTACCTCTGAACTGTCTTGGGGTTCCGCGATGAGAACACATGGACCGGTTCGCCGTTCTTGGTCTTCAATCCTGGGACTTCGTACAGCTCAGAAGGGTCGTAGCTTGACACGTCGGGCCATAGATCGAGGTTGGGACGTCCACCATTGGGGATTGGGTGGTTCAGCCAGTGCAGCCACCCGTGATGACCTGGGCCGATAGGCTCGCCATCGCCGGCGCAAGTGAACCTGATATCGTCGTGAATATTCGTAGATACCCTCCTTGAAACCTATCTGCTCACCATCCTTGATATCCTACAAGAAACTTGCCCTGAATCGTTGAGGGATTAGCCCTATAAGCGTCGAGTTTCAGACCATTTGCACATCTTCATCCAAGCGGAAACCGTACCTTTTCAGGATCCGTTCGGTTGAGCTCGAGCTCGCCATTGTTGTTGGTTTCGGTTAAGAGGTGTGCGAGGGTCCAAGGCCATCTTCCAGGAATATAAACGAGCGCTAACCCCCCGTCCGCACTGGACCGTTCTCGGACTCGGAGACTGAGGCTGTGCAAAATTGTCGGGAGCATTATGTCGCGACTTTCCCCCTGACTTCGTCTTGATCAACTTGAGATAACCTGTCGCAGACCACCATGGACGGTGAAGCCCAGCAACTAGCCGAATACCTTGTAACTAGGCTTCAAGAGTACGCTTTTCTGATACCCTCCCTAGCATTCCTGGAAGGTTAATTCTGAACAGCTCTTTCACCTCCACAGCCTCCCGACATCGCACAAACGGTTGATTGTGGGTATCTCTGGGATACCCGCCTCTGGAAAATCGACGTTTGCACAGCTCCTCGTCGAGGCGGTCAATCGAATTCTCCGAGGAACCTCTGATAGTCAAGCCATCCTCGTGGGATTGGACGGCTGGCATCTCTCTCGTGCCCAGCTGGACGCGCTCCCAGATCCCAAACTGGCTCATGAGAGAAGGGGAGCACATTGGACGTTCGACGGGGAAGGTTACGTCCAATTCGTGACTTCTCTTCGAGACCAGGACGAGACTGTGGTGCTCACAGCACCAACATTCGACCACGCGTTGAAAGACCCAACGCCGCATGCCATCTCGATCCATCCGTTCCACAGGATCGTGCTCATCGAAGGTCTTTACGCTTTTCTGTCCATAGAACCTTGGGTGACTGCCAGCAATGTTCTGGACGAACGCTGGTGGATAGAGGTGGATGAGAACGAGGCACGGAACAGGCTGGTGAAACGTCATGTTGTCACTGGGGTGACTAGCGACGAAGAAACTGCCTTGCACAGAGCGGATCATAATGATTTACCCAGTCAGTCCATGCTTTCTTCCTATTGAACAGGTATTAACCACTTTGCTTAAGACGGAAGGTTCATTCGGGAGAACATGCTCGTGCCAACCAAAGTTATCCACAGCCGACCTCTTGCAACTTGATCCTGCTGTGAAATGAAGTCCGTTGTCGAAGCCTGTCATGGACGTACTGACGATCCCCTTCCCAATGCAAATCCATGTTGGCGCCGCTTCTTCATCCTCTTTGACAGAGGAGCAGCTAAGGTCCCTTGTCGGATGTCACGACGCGCACAAAGAAGGCGCACTCGTCGATCTCCGCCAACGAAGCCAAGCTGTCAGAGAGTGTAACGCCGATGCCCGAATTAGCCCTATCTTCTAGAGTCTGTATAGCGTTTGGCCTTTGGTAGGCGGGGGTTTCGGTCAAAGATGAGGCCCGTGAAACGATGTCCAAATACTAGCTTGAGTGGGAAAACAAGCCGCCGCGAGGAGCGTGACAGGAATGCCGGGCTCCCTCAATGATAATTTCCCAGACCCGTATATCACATCCGGGGGGCCGCAATGAAATGTTTCCATGTAGATAGGTCGGCAGGTTCAAACATCGGCGGGCCAAAGCTTGAATTCAATTGCATCCATCCTTTTGAACACGCTGAAAGGGGAATGCTCTATCTCTCAATAAGTTCGATAATCGTTTACTGTATCAATTGATCAAGATCATGATCATATCGACAAGTACGCTCTCAATGATAAGTGTAAGTCAGGTATTTAGCAAGCGAATGACTCGCTGCGTTGGTCATTCGGTAGGTAGAATTTCAAGTTCGAAGGGGAATACATTCGCTCGCTTCTTTCCCTTTTGTTTACTGATCTGAAAAATGTATTCATTGACTCAACACCTTGCAAGCGCGCGTCGAAACGTAGCCTTGCGCTCACCCAGACGACCTCTTTCGCAAACTCGTCCGCTTCATTCCAGTCCCTCGGTATGTCCCAGAACTGAACATGACATCCCTGGTTCTCCAAGTAGTCAATCCGCACCCTCAGCGCGTCCCACAAGTCCTGGTCCCACATGTGATCTCGCTTATGAACGCGTCCTTTGCGATCTCTTTTCCACTCCGGCGTCCATTTCGCAATCCCATCGACAACAGACTGGGAATCCATTGCTACAATGAGGTTGTCTATACCCTCCGAGGGCCAATGTGTCACTTCTACCGCCAGAAGCGCCGCACGAAGCTCAGCCCTGTTACTCCTATTCCGCTCGTGGCGACCCAAGCTCACTCCAAACGCCGAACGATGCGTGCCACAAATATGTCTCGACTTGGGTCCAAGTACTACAGCAGACCCGGCCAGTGACCTTCGTTTGTCGTAGCTACATGACCCATCGGCGAAGACCAACGCACAGGAGCACGCGTCCTTGCTGATGAATCGAAGCGCACTTGTCCTAGAACGCGGACTCCTCCCAACCGTGAAGAGGCTCTGATGAGTGAACCGGCTAGCACTTGCACGCGTCGAAGGGGTGAACCGATGGTAGTCCCCAAACTTTGGCGAGAGTATAGGTATAGTGCAAGGAACTGGCGGGATATCCAGGTCAGACCCTATTCCATGCGCGAGCGGGCGATCTACCCGTGGCTCGTTACAAATTTGGAGTGGACTCGGAGGAATACAGGGGATCCAGCGCTCCAAAAGGGGAAGCTGTCCTGGAGGGAGGAACACCATCCTGACGTCCAAAACCAAAAACCGTTGTGTCTCGACTCGCCCAGCAACGGTCAACACGCTCTCGTCTACGACGATTCGTATAATACTACAAGCTGCGACAACGTCACAGGCAGAAACTATAACACAAAGTCGATATCAACTGGTTCCAAAACACGCAGAGCTTACAGACACTAACATTGGTGGGAGATGGTGATGGTGTAAAGCAAAATTGCATTGCGATCGTAGACAACGACGTCAGGGTTTATATACCAGAAATTCAGTCTCCGAGTCGGAGTTCCTCTTTCGGGCTGTTTTTGTCCCTACCGCGGGCCTACGGCACAGGTTACTAAGCCCTCCGGCCGCTGCCGTGTATGCCGAGAGCCCCTATCCGCGAGCGCAGGACCGCAGTGGTTGGTCGCTCCTTCGCGTTATGACTCCAGCAGCTTTCAAGGATGCACCATAGCTCGTCAGGCACCTCGGTGCAGTACAATCGGCCTGGATGGCGGCGGTTGTTTATTTCGTTGATTACAGCAGGAGTAGATCTGACATGGTGGTATGGCACCTTCTCGGTGAATAGCTGTGGATCGGGTGTTAGTTGACCAGCGCTTAATACTTATCAATCGCGTTGTAGACGGACCTCCAGGATAGTCATCCCAAAGCTGTAGACATCTGTCGATGGTGTGCAATCGTTTAAGCTCGTACTAATATCAGGGGGACCCACGTTCTCTGGATCAATTATCTCGGGGGCAAGCCACCTAACTTTCTGAAGATGTCGAGAATACTTGTCACCTTGGAACGGCGAAACTCCGACAGCTTCTAGAGGAATTGTTCCGAGACCAATGTCAGTCAGCAGAGGGGCGCCCGAGTCAGAGATTAAGATGTTCGTCTGAGGAGTATCTGTCAGGGGCTAGAATGAAAGTGAGTGAAACATACTCACCGCGCACACCATGCCGTGTATGATGGGCGGTTGTTGGGAATGCAGGTGGTTTAGTCCCTCAGCAATCCCACAGATCTTGCGTGGGCGTCATATTATTTACAGCGACTCCCAACTCATGTATTGACCACCTACCAAGCGGTGCTTGTCGACATTTGGGAGGGCCTTGAGATAATTGGATGCATTCCCGTTGCTGTACAAAGGCATTTCGATACCGGGAAGGTCCCAGAAACCGAGAACCATTCCCGTCACTCTGGAAATGTTAGGGTGCGTATGATGCTTCTTCCACTCCGCCAACACATTTTCTAGCCTCTGCGTATGTTACGGTCTAACCAAACCGCTCGACGAAGTTTCTTGACCGAAATACACATACCTTAGTCAGTACATGTCGGTGATGAGGAGAGAGCTTTCCAATCCGAAAGACTTTGACAACCGCTTTCTGACAGTTCAAGTTGTGGGTCGCGTCTAGGACGTCTGTGTAGGGCCCGCAGTCGCGATACGGCATGTCCAGCTGTGCTTTCAACCGTCGGTCCGAGAGTCGCAGAGCGCTGGGAGTGATATCGTGGTGGAAGTCGACCTAAGACAATATTTAGCTTGAGATATTGGATGCGTTGAAGGATATACCTGATAATTGTGAATGTGTGCAGGCATGGTGGGTGGGTGTTTACAGCAAGGAAGGGTGAGCAGGAGCTGGTTATATAGCCCTCCTAGTAACAGCTTCCGCAGTCCCAGACACACAAGTATAGGACGACGTTCGAATCATATGGAAGGCGCCTCGTTAGACGCCCGTCGTCGAGGTAGAATGGTCGTAGACTCTGCAGGTCTACATAGTTACGCATTTAAGTCCTGTAACCGGGAGATGCCGCCAGAATCAACACGTTGGAAGTCGAGTTTCCAAGTTTCGATCTTCACCCCTTCGCTACTCAGACGTTGTCTTCCTATTCGCGTTTTAAGAAGAGACTACCAAATACGACCAGAAGTCCTTTCCTGGAAGCGACCTATGGGGAATAAGGGAGTCCCTCCTGTGTGGTACGGGGCAGAATGAATCTTGGCTATACCAAGAAGGCCTCGAAATGTATCGGCACCAAGTGCTGTTAATCTCTACTCAAGGTAGGTGAGCAACGCACAGCAATTCGCAACTCGGATGAGGCATCCATTTCTGCAAGCTCTAGTAACGTTGAGTCGATCCTTGACTTCAGAAATGACCACCTGAAGTATGATTCATTTCTTCATTTTTTTGAAGGTCGAAATATTTATCCTGACGAATTTTGCAGAGACTCGTCAGCCCTATGAGCTCTACGAGCTGTCGATCCTTCCAGCCAATGCAGTGCACACAATGCTTCCGGAGATGACGGAGGCCTGCCCTGGACCTTGGCCTGCGTCACATTCGTCTCGGCTCGGCGAAATTGATGTCGTGATATCGGCGTTTAAACAGGCTTCGACCTCCGAGAATGAATTTATAAGGACGGCATAGAGATCGTCCTTGTCCTGAACTTCTACTCGACTCCCACCGTTTCGTCCATTGTCGTTTCTTGGGACACCAATAACAAACCATCCATATTCTCGAAGCCTTGTAACTTTTCCTCTCTTGAAAGCGCTCGAAATCCATAGCCGCCAAGATGATGTGGGATCTCAGCGGAGGAAGGGCTACGCCCCAACCGCCTCCTCAATCGGCTCCTCCGCGGATGCCTAGCCCTGCGTGAGTTCATTCATCTGCTCTGTATGTCGATCGTTTATGTGAAGACATATCTCCTGGTAGCTTTCCTGTGCCTCAGTGAGTCGCCTTCGTTGCCTACCTAGATTATAAGCGCCTGTTAACTAGTATTATCATCAGACATGCACCGTCATCCTCCCACTCTAATATGCCCAATGTTGGTTCATTGTACCCACCACTTCCGCTATACGGCTCGACGTAGGCTCTTCGTTTTACTCCTGGACAAACCTGAGTGCTAATGATACCAGTTCTGCCCCCGTGCAAACCTCTCGAACAGAGCAAGTACTCCTCTCTTTGACAGGGGGTTCGTCTGACCATCTCCCGTTAAACAGGTCTTTTGACGCCTACCAGACATCTCAGGATGCCCATTACCCCACAACGAGTCAATACACAACGCCTTCAGGGCACACTATCACTGTCACACACCATTCTAAGAGCTCACACCGACGACAGCGGCGCCACAGTCACTCGGTAGTGACACCAATTCCAACGCCTACACCCCCTCAGGCTGTTCCCCAGGTCCCAATCTACACAACCTACGCCCCCGTGTCGTATACGAAGCCTACAATCATATACCCGCCCAACTTTGGACAATCCAGTCAGCAAGCTCGGCCTCCCAGCCAACCTCGACCGTCGAGCAGTCAGGAAGCGAGACCTTCCAAGCCCTCGAGGGAAAGCTCGTCCCAGAAGCCGACCAAAATGGCCAAGCCTTCCAAGAGCTCAGACTCGAACACGGAACCAGAGTTCCGGTACTATTCCAAGTGCACAGGCCGAAGAAAGGCTCTTTGCGTGAGTTGCTCTGGAGGCCACGCGCTAGAGCAGCTGCTGATGCTCTTTCAGATTGGTATCAACTATCGAGGCCAAAGTAACGAACTACGTGGATGTGTTAACGATGCAAAGAATATGCGGAGATTCCTCATAGGTAAGTAAGCCTTGGTTTTCGAACGCGTTGATTCTGACATCTGAATATCTTTGATTCTAGACAAGGGAGGATATCGCTCGGAAGATATAGTATTGCTGACAGACGACGTTAGTAACCCTCGGCACTTGCCCACACGAAAGAACATCATCTCGTGTATGAAATGGCTTGTGCGGAACGCTAACCCGAACGATGCTTTATTCTTTCACTGTAAGATGCTTCTTCTTCGAACACGGCGATTGGGGCTGAACATAGCCTACAGATTCGGGACATGGTGGCCAAACCCCCGATTTGGATGGCGATGAAATTGACGGATGGGATGAAGGTCTGTGAAATCGTCGACCATTCGATTCGAACTATGCCTGACGCCCTTTGAAACAGTCATATATCCGTTGGACTTCAAGAAGAACGGTCATATCACTGACGATGTATGTTTTTTCGTCCTTCAATATGTCTCGGCACTAACGAGCACACTGACAGGAAATGCATGACCTGATGGTGAGCCGCCCTGTTAGCCCCACAAGTAACGCAATCTGATGCCGTTCCCGGCCAGGTAAAACCATTGCCAGAACGATGTCGATTGACTGTATGATTACATTTCATCTCTAAGTGACTCTGCAAGCTGACTGCCATTCCAGGCGTTATTTGACGTAAGACCAATACAGCCTTTCCTTACTCCTTTCAACATCGCTGAATCTTATCCCCGAAGTCATGTCACTCTGGCACAGTCCTAGGTTAGCCCCGGATCTTGGCTCGTTCCCTTGAATGCTCTCTCATCTACTGTCTTGCAGATTTGCCATACATCGTAAGTCCTTGTTCCGATCTGGTCCTCGGTGTTCGATTTCTAATTTCGATTGCTTGAACCGCAGTATTCCTCTCGTGGCCGCCTGAAGGGAAGTCACGTTAGCGATCGGGCTAGGAGACGCAAAAAGACCTACGCGGATGTCGTAAGCCTGGTTTCCTTCTTTTCTTGGCTGAAGGGGGCCTTATGCAGGGTACTCGATTTAGATCTCTTGGTCTGGGTGCAAGGACGGTCAAACGAGCGCTGACACCTTCCATGGCGGTGTTGCTGTGGGTGCTATGAGCCATGTAAGTATAGTGACCTTGTTCTTAATACGTATATTAATGTCGTTTTGGCTATGTAGGCGTTTATCGAGGCACTGAGTAAGAACTTGTTCCTCGCCGGCAGTTGTCTGAACAGTTTATTGACAGAAACCGCTTTGCAGCCACTCGCCCCAAGCAATCCTATCAAGAACTCCTTCGTTCGATCAGGTACGCGGGTTTGAAGCTTAAGACGTCCCATTACGCTGACCGCCGTCCAGGTTGATTCTCCATCCTCGCTTCAGCCAGAAGCCACAATTAGGGAGCTCGCACCATATTGTGAGTCACACTCGAAACCTACTCGACTCTCGATACTGATCACCTTGCCCGAAGAATACCAATCTAAGATTTGTATTTTAATTTTTCTCATTCTCTCTTCTACCTTCTACCATGCGCGCCTCCTCACGACGATATTACGACTTAATGAACAACCGAGTGTATGTATCCTAGCCTTTTGTTGACTTGTAGTGACAGACCCTGCGAAATGTACTTTATAATTCACATGTTAGGTGAACAAACGAGACGGGTATCAACGTTAGGAAAGGGCAACTTCGCTGCAACAGGTTTCCTAGTGCCTCCACTGTGTTTAAGCAGAATCAGGGATGATGGCCTCGAGCTCCTTCCGGATGGCATCCCAGTCGAGTTCGGTCTAAAAGGCAGTCAGCAAAAGCACACTGAAAAGAACAGGGAAAGGCGCACCGCTCCCGTAGTAGCAGCTTGGAAGATAGCGTTGAGTCCGGCACCTTGGCAATCATCGTGATCGCCGTGGCCGACATGACCATCCGAGTCGAGGCTGCGTCGGAAGTTGATGCCGGGCCTTGAAGCGGTCTGAAAAAGCAAAACGTCAGTCTCAGCAACTACGAGATGCTAGATGCTGCACATACGCAAAGATGCTCGTTTCTCATGGCTCGGATATCGCAGATAGTGATTTCCTTGCATTCCGCATCGCAAGGAGCAGGCTCAACGCCAGGTCCTAGCTTGAGTTTCTGGAAAGTTTCGAATGCAGCGTCGTCATTTTCGAAAGCTTCAGTCAGTCGATGCCAGAATGCGGGGTTGAGAGAGTCCTGGGGTTGGAGTTCTGGTACGAAACGACCATACGTCTCGCGGGCAGAGTACGAGAGTTCCCATTTGGCTAAAAGACACGTAAATCGTTGATCGAAGCTACGTACAGCCTGAGCGACGTACGTTCAATTTGGAAGTCCGGAGTGGTGGTATCAGCTGTCGAAGGCGGTGATCAGACGATGGTCGGAATAGGAAAGGGCCTTGCTTACTTCGGTAAACCTTGTAGTCCATAACCTCGTAGGTGTCAGGGTCAACCTCGTAGACCTTGAAGCCAGGGTTGCTATTGCGAGGAGTAAATGCGGGGGCAACGAGGGCAGCAGCGATAGCAGTGTCCGCACTGCGTCTGTTGTTATCCGAATACCCGACCATGAATTCGTCCTATGGGAGAGAGTCAGAGCCTTCACGTTGAGTGGGCGCAAAGGACTCACATAGTGGGTGTGCCCGTAAAATTGGCCTGCGATGACGTGGTGGTAGCGCTGCAGGATCTGGTCAAAGTAGTTCGACTGTTCTTGGTGTAAGTAGAGAACATGAGATAGGATGTTGAGCTTACGGACCTGGTCATTCAGGACGTCGTTCTTGCCGCCTGGAGGGATGTGGCCAACAAGCCAGGCCCGTTGACCAGCATCCTCAGCAGCTTGCAGCTGAGAAACGATGAATGAAAGGACACCGTTGGGATCAGGCCTGGAAGTTCGCGACGCGTTAGCATCCGCTCGGAGGCGACGGCTTGAAAAAGACGCGGAACTCACTGGGCCTTGTCGCTGTCGTAAAGCCAAAAGCTGGAGGCGAGACGTCAATGTGGTGGTGGTTAAGGTTATAGTACGGCGACGCACTTGAGCTTGTACCAGTAGACCGTATTGATCGAGATGAGCCTGCGCGGCGATTCAGCTGGGCACAGACATGAATTAAGGTCATTCTTACCTGAGATTGGTACCAGGTACAACAACGGCATAACTTCCCGATCCATGTCTAACCTGTTGGGCTGCAGCAGGCCCGATAATAGGCTAGCGCCAAAGGTAAGATGGCTGTCGCTTGTACGAAAGGCGAATATATTTACCTCCCATCCTTCACTCAAAGTGTCGAACAACCATTGATTGTTGGTTGATTTGGTCGTATCCCTCGGGAAAGCGTTGGTTGGGGCACCCTCACTGGAAAAACGGTGAACCGCTGTCTTCCGAGGGCAAACCCGAATACACCTACTGGTTTCCAACCGCAGCATAGACGGGCACAGCAGGCAGCGTAGCAATTTCATCGTTGAACAACCGGATCTCGTGGGTGATGAAGCTACAAGGCGTGGGTCAGTTGTACTCGCAGACACGGAGCGAGCAGACGCCTCACTTCTGTTCAGCCAGCCATACCGTTGCTAAGAGCGATACCATCGAACGTCAGCCACGCCTGAAATAAAGGAGTGGTTTTCCCAACCTTCTATGACATCGCCGGTAAAAATGGAGAACTTGTTGTCGGCGCTGATGGTCTTTAGGAAATGCTGAGCCAGTGCTGGGGGCGTATCGCAGTTGCGGCTACCCATCGGGCCCGCTGGATTGGCAATTGGGCCGCTTTGGTCATCCCAGTGCCTGCAGCAGATAGGCTTCGTGCAGACCGTATCCGCTCCAACCTAGGATGAATCCTCTCTTGAGATTTGTATCGGGAAAGAGGAAACGTTGTTCATACCGTGTAGTTTCTGTCGACATGGATATCAGTGAAATGCACGACCTTGAAGGTCGGTTTTCCTGTCGAGACGAAGGTCTTCGGGGTAGCAGGAAGTGGCTTGGGGAATGATACTCGATATGGGTTCACTTTAGGGGCCTGGCAGAGACCAAGGAGACCGTCGCAAAGTTTTCTAGCCGTGTCGCCAACGGGGTTGATGTTGCGCAGGTTATGGGCAATGATCGGTGCCTGAGTTCTCACTGTGCCCTCGCAAATGTCTGTATCGAATGTCTGCGAAAAAATGGTACAAGTGAGCCCTCGGCTTAACGATAAAGAGGGAAGAGAGGGTTCGACGTACCGGCAGCGCCTTGCAGATGGCCGACAAGGTTCCAACAAAGGGCCGGTCGCCTAGCCTTGCAAGCAGCTTGAGGGGGACCAGGAGACCATGACAACCAGCGCAGCTTGCACCATTCTTAATACCGTTGATGATGTCGTCGACCAGCGACGCTTGAACGAGCGTCATGCAAAGGATTATGCTGCATAGAAGGGACCGGAAGACTCGCATGGCTGGGGCAGCGAGGTTGGGTTAAGAGAGAGAGAATTAGTTCTGTGAGGAGGGGTTGACCTCCGTGTCTCCGTTATATAGGTCGCATGGGAGAGTACGCCAGGACAGGTTCCCGTAACGAGTACCAAGACGTCGACGAGGCGGTCGCCGGGCAGTCGGTCCACGTGGGCATGACCGTCATGAGAGCAAATTTAGGCAAATTCGTGCGCTTTGCTGGTGGTGTTCCCTGCGAGATCACAATACAAAAAACCTTCCGAGGGACCAACGACGACTGTTGGTTGGATTTTTGGCTTCTCTTGTCTGCGTTGTGCACTGTTACGCGCGACGCTATCATCGACATCGCGAACGTGCCACAGTAGAACAATGTTCCCCGACCCTCCCCGACCTCCACCGACTCGACGATATGGTGTTTAGCATGCTACGATCAGTTTCTTTTCCAAACTATCAGAACACGTTCGCCGTTCCACGATGTTTAGAATTCTAGAGAGAAGACAGCACTTCAAGTTCGGAAGTTGCAAACAATGTGATTGTCAGTCTACAGCTGAACGAAGATGCTTGTGGAGGGACCGACGGGAGACCTTCTGAGAGGCAATATCTGGAGTGATTTTAGGGGGCAGGCCACTTCAAAATCCAAAAGTAGAGCCCTTGTCTTGTGGAAGTCAGAAACCCGATGGACGAAGCAAGGAGGTCCTGGGAGGACGATATAACCCTAACCCGGGGACGACAAGCCGACGCCGTGGGCGAATTCAAACTGGGATCAGATGATCAGCGCCAGCTTGGGCCTTGGCCGGCGCTAAATTTAAAATTAGGGGCCTGGTGCCACGAAGTTAATCACGATGGCTGAGATCTCCCACCAGACTCACGCCTTTCCATGATTCATCACGCTGAAGTGTCTCAGAGGGATTGATATTTGAGAAGGCTTCTCGCCGTCTCTACTTTAGACATTACTTACTACACTATAGTATGCGGTACGTATCTACAGATCGATCAAGCTGTACCACTGCCTCCTGTCTGCTTCTGGAAAGACTTTGCGCAGAATCCTTATTCCCTTCCGCAGTTCTTCCTGGGCCAGCGTCTCAGGCACCCCAAAATCCCAACATAACTCCACCTTTAACGTTTGAATGAACTGCTTCCTTCCCAAGCCCTGCTTGAAGAGCATGAACAGCGCATCCCAGGCGACTTGAGAAAGGTTGACGAATTTCACTTCCTTCAACGTGTCAGTGGCACCTTCAATCATAATATCTGAGAAAAATGAGGCGTAATTGAGAGCTGGATGTCGGCGGACATCGTTTTCCAAACCCGCATGAAGGTCAATCGGGTTGTCGATCTCGAGCGTGGTGAGTCGAACTGGGGTCTCCGCATGTGACCTTGCTTCGACGAGCTGAAGCTGGGAGGCAGTCCTATAATCAATTCCAACCGGGATTCCGACTCGGCGCAAGGTGAGGTGCTCAACGCCAGCACTTGTAAGTAACTGCCTGAGCTCAAACCGGGAGATAGCTGCATCTTGGATAACCAACTCGGACACGCTCCATTGTGGCAGGAGCCCGATGGCGATTCCCTCAATACGAATGCAAGCGAGTGACGCACCACCAATAGGGAGTATGTTAGTACGCGGATCTGCCTCAGCCCGAGTTACGTCTATAGGCCCATCGTCCCCGGAAGGGGCGCAGACTAAATGGAGCTGAGTTAACTTCCCGGAGCGCTTTATTAACCGCCCATGGGAGAGAATGCCGATCATCCTTTCTAACGATGGTTGAGAACCAGAAATTCGAAGTGATTGTATGCGAGTCAAGACGTCCGGAGTGAATGCTTTTTTCAGAGTTGACCATGCTTGGATGTTCTCAACAGTTGGTAGGTCGATGTCGATAGATAGCCCCAGTGCCTTCGATCGAGACAAGAAAAGGCCGACGATTTCACCTGCCCTCTGTCCAACAAACACTCGGGTCCAGAGACGCGCTTCATCCAAGGATATATTCCTCCAGTGGCTACAAACGCCGGATAGACGCAGTAGTTGCTGGAAAGTGATTTGAAGTGATGGGAGGGTAAACTCCGAGTAAGACCCCTCGACGCTTTCAGTGGCTGTAGTACAATCGCCTTCGATAGCCAGGCCGAAAACCCGAGCCATGAGCTCTGGGGGCATGTCGCGAATGATTGCCATGTTGGTGGATACTGGTAAGCCCTGTTCGCGTTCCTCTCTTTATAGTTTCTGAATTATGAATAACCACCATGCACGTGGGGGTGTGGCCATTGTCCATTGTCCTTGTCCAGTGCCATCGAAATTTAATTCTCGCGACCAGAGATCAAAGCGCCGGCCAAGTTAGCAGAGGAACACCACTGATCGCCCTCTCGGAGTCTCCATAGGACAGTGGTCCTGGTAACCAACGCGTTCGAGCCTGTCCGCAGATCATTGATAGACCTATCGGAGAGGGTTGAAACAGCTGTACCGCCTGAACAAACTAGGTTCTATTACCACGTACTATTGGATTTTCCTGGATCAAGTCTCTACACTGTGGTCGTTCCCCGTAGACTTGGGTGGACGGCGGGCGAGGTCTGAGAGGTTTCTCTATTTGATCAATGAGTCTCTACAACAAATCGCGTGTCGTCTCTTGCTGGGTTTCCTGATGCTTGCTCCTGTTTAATGCGCAAGGCGACAGCCTCCGCTTGCGCGGGCGCCAATTTTGGGCGTGGTCGATATCGATTCTTGCACTTGAGCTTCGAACAAGTAAGTAACGGCGTTGGCTCGATTCTCGGAAAGAACTGACCAGTCATCGACATCGATGCACGGTCTCTGTAAATGATCTATCAGCTCTCGAGAAACGCGTTCTTTCTCCCAGGTTGGACATTCTCGCGTGGTTTGCCCGCTGTGACAGAAGGCAACTGAGCCACGTTTCGCAGTTTGGTTCCTGGATCATGGAATACTTCTTGAATTCCGTCTTAATTGAACGATAGCATCCGCATTGCAGTTAGTTCTTAACTAACGGGACCGCATAATGAACAGGTACGCGCTCTATGTCCTCCAGCACGTGGCGTACTGAATAGAATGGATAGAGCGACTTCTGCTTTCCGACAAGCCCTCATGTCATTTCTCTGAGAGGTGGAAGCTCCGACACGCTCCAAAATTCACCAAGAACAGTGCTTCGCCTAAATCATTGTCCTCCTCAGGGCAAAACAACCGTGTCCGACGCTCAAGGACAGGTCACGACCACGAGATCAGACGCCGCGCGGACCATAAGCGGCACCATTGGATTTGGGAGCTTCGTCTGAGACACCATCGGAGAAGCACAACGGCTTCTGTGCGGGAACTCGAGCACCAGGTAAGCTTGATTGCGATAAATACAGCAGAAGACGGGCCTAGGAGAACCACCGCAGGCTTTACAACGGTCCGTCCAAAGCCGAGCCCGACGGCCTCTCACCAGTGGACTCGTTGCTCTCGAAGGTTGCGTGGGGCTCTGAGACACGATGATTACCTGTTGCTTCATACTATCTTTAGGGGCCATGCGTTCATGATATACTGGACCCCATCCCCGCTCGGAGCGTGACGTGACCGGATCTTTATTCGCTTTCCCGTCTACATAACTAAAGGCTCTGCGGATCCCTGATGTCCACTATTCCCCCCATCATGGACTCACTCTGGTCGACGCTGCTGGAGCCCCCTACCGTGGCGGCTATCGCTGCTTCTCTGGGCCTTCTCATCGCCATTCACCGATACCGACGCAACTCGTCGTCCGTTCCCCTGCCTCCAGGTCCACCAGGAAACTGGCTACTGGGCAACGATATACCAAAGGCCTTGTGAGTAACCCTCTGTATCTGCTCGTTCGACCGACTTCTAATGGGACCTCGAAGTGCCTACCGAAAGTTCGAAGAATGGACCAAGGAGTATGGTCCTATGTTCACCCTACGCCAGGGTTTCCAGACCATCATCGTGATAGGACGAATGCAACCCGCTATGGAGGTCATGGAAAAGGAAGGAGCCGCCCTCGTCGACCGACCCTTGTCCATCTCTGCCGGCGAAACCCTGTCTGGAGGAATGAGAGTGCTACTTACCCCTGCTGGCGAAAGGTTCAAAAAGATGCGAAGGTGAGTTCGCAGACACTTCTGGAAATTCCGATCGTTTTCTGAAGAAGCTCCCCAAGAGCTCTACATGCCCACCTTCAGCCCAAGATTGTGGCTTCCTATGGCCCCGTGATGATGAAAAACGCAAGGCAGCTCATCCTCGACATACTGGATGACCCCGAGAGGCACCAAGACCACGCGAAACGGTGTGTGAAATCGGCTCAATGTTGGCCAGTCGGTCTAATTGCGAACCAGGTACTCCGCCGCCGTCGTTATGGCCCTAGCTTATGGGAAGCACCCCAAGTCGTATCATGACCCGGATGTAATCGCTGTGAACAGGTGCTTGACACGTCTTGGTAACACCCTTCGGCCAGGTGTTTGGCGCGTGGACGTGTATCCCTTCCTGAGGTAAATCCATTGTCGCGATCCCAGTTTGCTCAAACGCTCAGAACAGTTCAGATATGTCCCAGGATACCTCAAAGAACTCAAGGACGGACACGCAGAAGAGCTCTCCCTATTCAAACGCCAACTCAACGAAGTCAAGCAAGCAATGGTAAGAATCCCGTCGACGGGCCGTCTGGCGTCCCCAAAGCTCACGTGTGTACTAGGATCGTGGCGAAGAAGTCCCTCAATCATTCGGAAAGTATCTTCTTGAGCGACAGGCAGAACTCGAGCTCTCAGATGACGAAACTGCCTATCTCGCCGGGAGCATGTTTGGAGCTGGCTCGGATACCACTGCGTCGGCAATCAGTGTCGCCGTTCTCGCTTCTGCGTGCTATCCTGAAGCTCAGAAACGCATTCATGAAGAGCTGGATCGGGTCATTGGGAAGGAGCGAGGTGCGTCACAGCTGGCATCTGACCGCCATTCGATCTAATGCGTGTTTTAGCGCCTACTTCCGCTGACCAACATATGCTTCCTCAAACCATGGCTTTTGTTCTGGAGACGTTCAGGTGGAGACCTGTCAGTGCTGGAGGTGCGTTCTATCTTTACCACTGTCCTATTGTCCGTTTCGTTAAGCTGCGATGCTAGGCTTTGCGCACAAGGCTACAAAGGAAATCATTTGGGTACGCACGGTTCATCTCCCAGGGCACCCTAATTGAGAGGCTGACAATTCATCTCGTGTAGAATGGCTACGTGATTCCTAAAGGCGCAACTGTGATGGGCAACGTCTGGTGAGCTTCTCTCATCTCATCTCGATCAATCTATGAAAGTCTAATCGTGCGATAGGGCTGTCGGACGGGACCCCGAGTACTTCCCTGAACCAGAGTCATTCAACCCGCAACGATGGTTGACCCCTGACGGCAAACTGAAGGAAGACATGAAGTCATATCCTTTTGGATTTGGACGACGAGTATGCCCCGGGCAGCACATGGCCACCGCGTATGTCCACCTTTTCGCTGCATTTGACTTTATCCTAATTAATTGATACTCTGTAGCTCCGTATTTTTGAACACCGCACTCATCCATTGGGCCTTCTCAATCAAATCCGATCCCAAGCACCCTATCGACGAGCTCGCCTTCACCGAATCCGCCAACACCCACCCCCTCCCGTTCAAGGTCCATTTCGAACCCAGAGCTGCCAACACACTCGACGGCGTCCGCGATCTCGTAGAGGACTATGGATTGTGAGACGTAGACGATATCGATCCGATTCAACACAGTATGATGATGATGACATTCAACCACGCATTCCTCCTCGGTTAACTCCACAAATGTATTTTAGTTACAATTGTATTTCTTAAAGTTACTACATACCCCCTACAATTTACTTCCCGTAAGTTCCGCAGTCTTCTGGAGCAGATGGCCCCACCTTCCGTCGTCCCATCCCTTTACTGTCCTCCATTCTTCGCTCTCCTCTCCGAAGACTCTCTTCAGTGCGACCAAGAAGGCTACGACGACGAAATCTGCGAAGCTGACCGTCTTTCCTAGCATCCACGGACCAGCTTCATCCGTCTCCTTGTAGTACCTATCAATCGCCTTCAGCCCCTCCCTCAAGTCTCCCCAAATCTTCTCCCTTTCTTCATCAGTCTTGACAGCGACCTCATCCAACGACTCTTTCTCGAACATCAGACTGGCCCTGGCGCGCGTGAAATAGGGGCGGCTGACGGGATTGAGGATGGTCATAACCTTGGCCCAAAAGATCCTACAGAACGGGAGGAAGACGAGTTTACGAAACTCGAGTGGGAACTCGCGCTGGAACCGTTCTGCGTCTGCACCCTCGGGAATGACGCGTTTGGTGTTGGGATAGGCAGCGTCAAGGTACTTGGCGATTTCGAACGACTCGGCTAGGGCGGTGCGCTTCATTGTGAAGCCTGTGTCGGACTCGGACTCTTGGACGTCGACGATGGCTGGGACGGAGAAGTAGGGGCTCCCGTCCCTCCAGGTTGCGGTCGCTGCTATTCCTTGTTCTTGACATACTTTTGCGATGTCGGGGAATTCGACCCACTCGGTTTTGTAGTCCAACCCTTTGTAGTCGAGGCAGAGACGGGTCCTCCAGGTGTTGGGAGACCAGTCGTTCTCTGGCAGGATGGAAGGTAGGTCGTAGAAGGTTATCATGGTTGGTTCTGGGAAGAAGAAAAGCTGGGAGGTGCGGTTTATGTGGGTTTATGTATGAGCAATGTGAGGTCCTCGGAAGACACGGGTGGACTCTTCCATAAGTTCAAGTTCCGGTAGCTTCCCGAAATTCCATGGCTGCGACGAGATTACCAACCTGGCTACAGTCGGAGTGGCCTTGATACCCGCTCGTAGTGGTAACATGATCCAGCGTTGACCATGTGAACATGATGCTGTCCCCAAGGACGGAAAGAAACATAGGAAGGGGCCCCAGGGTGGCCATGAAAACAATGTATTCAAACACAGCATAAACAATGAATGGCGACAGCCTTTGCTTGTCAGTCGAAGGTGGAGTTGAGGAACTGTAGTAGGTCTTGTCTATTGGCATCTCTTTCGTGGTCGTCACGGTCTTTCTTGACCTTGAGCTTAATCTAAATTTCGGTTAGGAGGCGCTTCGACGAGGACAAAATAGCCAATGGACATACCTTTTTGCCAGTCAAGACGCTCCTCCTTTCTTCCTTGTCCTTATCCTTGCTTCGTTCCTTGTCTTTCCTCTTCTTCCTCTTTTTGTCTCTTTCACGGGAACCCGAACGGTCACGGTGCTTGCGCTTTCGATGTCTACGTTCGGAGGCGTCCCGCCTCCTCGAGCTATCGCGACTGCTGCTTCTCGATGTGGAGGAAGAATGACGGCGCCGGCGCTTACATCTTGTGCGGTCGCGACTGGAATGGCGCGAAGACGATGATGTAGACCGGCTTGAGGATGTGAGTCTCGTCCTCGGTCTACCCCGGTCATCTTCGAGAGGACGCGAGTTGGATTCATCGGGGCGAGTGATTTCCGCCGTCGAAGCACGGTCATTTCGGGTGCGGTGGTGGCGGTCGCCTCCGTAGTCGCGGTCGTGGTGACCCCGGTGGTTTCTGTCGTCTCGACGAGAGTCCCTGTCGCCGTAGGATTCGTCACGCCCACGATCACGACCAGAGTCTCTGGCTCTGACTGGACTTTGAGAGTGGTAACCACGGCCATCACGGTCCCTGTTCGAAGCCTACAGTGTTGGAGTGCAGTGTATGTACTTCACAGGTTAGGAACACTGAGAATCCTTATGAGATGAGTGCAACGTACATGATGTCGAGGAGGGGTTTCTTCCTCATCGTCACTTGGGGTCCATCCGCGCATCCGACCGGAACGCTTGGAAGGTGCACCATGACCGGCCATGCGACTTCTGCCAGAGCTGGTAGATTCATGAGGCTGGAAAATGTCATTTAAGCATCCAGTTCGAGGATATTATCGTCCATGCAGAAACTTACGGGCTGGTCGCCTCGAGACCCTGTGTCATCCCATCGAGGCGGTGGGCTTGAGCGCCGCCCGTTGCCTCTGCGCCTTTCGCGATTCAACGAATCGTCTCTACCGTGTCGACGACGGTATTTGTCGTCATCATAGGACGGGTTTGCGTTGCGTCCTAAAAGCCAAAACAACCAGGTTTATCGTGTGTGAAACCGTGATTATTCAAATACAAAGTAAATACGACTTGAGTCAATAGAGAATATAGTCATTACTCACGACGGTCATCGTCCCACCGCGCTCTGTCGCTGACCATGGCGGCCTCCAGTTCAACGGTTGTGGTTTGGACGGAAACGGTGACGGACCTCGACCTGCGGGCCCCCTTAATGCGGACTTCAAAATTCCGCACATTTCCGGAAGCTTGGGTTCCAAATAAAACCAAAGGCTGGAGTCGCGATGCAGGACGTGCCGCGCCTCGGTAATCTTGAACCTGGACATGTTGGACGACGAGGTCGTCTTCGAGGTCGTCGTTGCTATCGTCGACAATGGCAACCTCAGCGTTTAGGGGGCAAATATCAGCAAAGTTCTCAGAATCATTCAACAGGCTCAACAGAAACCAGCCTGGGGTCAACGGTCTAATCTCATGGAGCCAGGTGAGTAAGAGTGGCATCGTTGGGTCGTTTGGGTCGGGTTTTATCAAATAATGTAGGCCTGGGAGGTAGCAAACCAGTATCTGCAGCCGAGAGATATCAAAGATCGAACACAATTGAAGAAACGAAGTGAGTTTCACTTGATTTCTTCGAGATGGCTTATAATTTGAACCGCGAGGTAGATTTTGAAGAGGCCAGGGCCGCATTCTCAGTAATTGCACAATGTAGGCAAATGTCTCTTTTGTTGGAATCGTTTCTGGGTATGTCCTCTGCGAAATACTAGATAAACACACCTCTAACAGAACTGTCTAGACCAGATTCACCAGAATTTCCATTTGATTGACTATGAAATCAATGAATACATGGTCAGATATGAGGTCAGAAATCCCCTCATTCGAATAACTACGAGGAGGACTCACCGTTCTCAGAGTAGCCAAAAGGTTGAGCTCATTCGAATGCTCGTTTCGAGGCTTCTGGATTGGTATAAAGCTTGGGCGCCCCCACCAGAGTTTGTGTCTCTTCTCTTTACTCGAATCCCCCAAGCGTTGACCGACTCAAGGTTAGGGCCTGTCGTCGCATCTTCATACACTCTCACCTTCCAGACGCGCCTTTTCTCCGGTCTCCCCAACTCCTTCACCCAAGGCTTCAAATCCCTGTGCACCTGGTGCCTCGCACCAGAGAACTTCCCTCCCTCTGACACCCTCGCTGCTCTATCACCCAACATGGCAGTCGTATGGCGCGACTTTGAAGTTCTCGGTCTTATAGACCGCTACGAATCCGTCATCGCGAGTGTGGGATATGAGTTCATCGAGAAGCACGTCATCGAGGTGTGCGAGGGGAACTGGTCAAAGCCCATGCTGGAGGAACTACGAAACTGGATGTCAGCCAAGGTCGTCCCTTGGATGCTCCAGATTTACGCTCGCGGTGCCACGAGTACCGAGGAGGCGAGGTCGATGCTCCAGGGCGTTGGCTCTCGTTTCGATTTCCACATCAATAAGACCCTGTGCGATTTGAGGTACGCTCGTATCTGGACTGCTAGGCCACTTTGCTAATGGCGGATCCAGGACGAGGGAAATCTTCGACATCATCATCGATTTCCCCGACTCGATGTGCGCGCTTCAAGACTTGAAGGAGTGCCTCCAGCGAGTTGACCAGCGAGGTCCGCTCGTAACTGCTCTCCGAAAGGCGTACGTCTTTTGAAGGCTCCTATCGTGCTTCAACTGACGATCCATGCAGAAACGCGAAACGACTACTTCATCCGGGTGCCGACACCAAGCTCATCCTGACCCAATATGTCGCAACCATCAAGTGCCTGCGGATAGTAGATCCTCCTGGCGTTCTTCTCTTCAAGGTAGCCGACCCCATTCGAAGATATCTCAGGTACGTAGCAACTCCCTTCTTTCGGTGGAGGTGTAGCGTCAGGGGGGTGAGCCTACCCTTCCCCTTGACTAAACCGCGGGGATGACCGAACCACGGGGACTGTAAACATGGGGGATTTGGGGTTCGTTCCTTTTACTCTATTCATCGCTTATCCCCGGGTTTCCTCGAGGGTGGAGAGTGCTATTTGGAGCTTAAATGTACGAGCCAAGACCACTGCGTGACCACACCGGAGGGCTTTGTCCCCTAGGGTACCATAAACGCTGTGTAGTCGTAGGCTGGGAAATATCCTCGTCCCAGGCTCTGGTCCCCTGCTCATTTTTGGCTACCACCTCTTGTCCTTGCGTTCCGCGAGTGCTAATTGAGTCAAACAGAGAACGCCCTGATACCATCCGGTCAATCGTTGCCAGTTTAGTTGGGGATGATGACAGTGGCGACTCTTTACTCGACGACAATGAGCCCATCCAACCACTGCAGCAACTCGAAACGGAAGACTACAGCGACGTAATGTGGGAACCAGAACCCGTCGACGCAGGACCAGGTTTGTCTTGCTTGACCTACTTCGGCTTGCGTACCACCACTGACACGGGGTGTCCTGCCTTTAGAATTCCGAACGAACAAACCAAGCGACATCATCAGCACGCTCGTCAGTATCTACGATTCGAAAGATCTGTTCGTCAAGGAACTGCAAGTCCTGCTTGCACAACGATTACTGGCCATCACTGATGGTGACATTGCGCGCGTTGAACGGGAGGTGGGGGGTTGCTCTATTCTTCTTCTCCCGGAAGAAGACTGATGGTTTCGCAGCGCAAGAATATCGAAATCCTGAAGATTCGTTTCGGGGAAGCTGCCTTGCAGGTTTGCGAGGTCATGTTGAGGGATATGACTGATTCGAAACGTATCGATACCCATATCCAAGCACAAGCACCTGTATGTTTGCTCCATCACCTCTGCGCACCGCAAGCTAACCCGTCGTGACAGTCCGTTGTTCGGCCTACCATCATCTCGAAACACTTCTGGCCATCTCTGGAGTCCAGTGATTTCACTATGCCAGGTCAATTCCAAGCGTATGTCCGATTCTTCTGGGTACGATTCCGCTTCTGACCCTCTTGTAGTCTGCAGGAGAAGTACTCGGCAGAGTTTACTCTGTTCAAGCCCGACAAGAAGCTCAAGTGGCTGCCTCAACTGGGCACCGTCCATCTCGAGCTCGAACTCGAAGACAGGAAGCTGGATCTCGAGGTGCCGCCGCTGGAAGCGGCCTTGATCGAGTTGTTCTCGCAGAAAGGTACATATCATAAGGCGCCTATCGACATCGTGGAGATTGATCCTGACTGTTCGCCTAGATACGTGGACGCTGGAGGAGATGTTAGGCGTGATCGGCAAGGTCGATCGGGCGTCTGCTATCAAGGCGTTGGCGACGTGGGTGAACATGGGTGTGCTGAAGGAAGCAGAGGAGAACGTGTTCGTCCTGCTCGAGAGAGAAGAGGAAGGGGAGCCAAGGGAACTCGCGGTGCCAGCTGCACCTGCCGCAGCACCTGTGGCACCCGTACAGAGCATGCAGCAGCAGCAGGCTGAGAAGATGCGTGTGTATTGGAAGGTAAAAAAAGAATCCTTTTTCACGTTTTTGATTTGGCGTGGGCTAACAGTCGTCCCACATAGTTCATCGAAGGCATGCTCAAGAATCTGGGAAGCCTGCCACTTGATAGGATCCAGACGATGCTTAGGCTCGCACCCGGGTACGATCAGACGATCGAGCAGCTGGGCATGTTCATGGAGGCTGCCCGCCGGGAAGGGATGGTTACGAGCCGCGATGGGATGTGGAGGTTGCAGTGATTCCAGGGAAGCCAATCCATTAGAGTTCTACGGTATCGCATAGTGCCCAAGGAAACTAATTCTACGCTGCCACATTGTATCAGCCGGGGAAGAAAGGAAAACCATAATGGAAGAAAAAGAGTCTCTAGGGTGCATGCAGTAAGATGAGAAGCAAAGCAAAGCAAAGTAACTAGGATACATGTGAGTGAGTGATACAATGTGTCCGAAAGATGCAAAAAAGTCATGAAGGGTCGTGAAACAGGAGAGGGACCAGCCCTCTCGCACAAAGGGTGGGGTGGGTATAGTGCACCCTAGGCTACGCAGGTAACGGTCTGCAGCTTGTGGGAGGTCGCGATAGGCTTGAAGTTGTAGACAAAGTCGAATTGGGGGCCTGTTTCTGGGCTGTGTGGGTATCGTTTGCACTTCTCGACGCTCTTCCATTCAGAAGCGATGATGCCCAGTGCCTCTTCTCCAGACTTTGCAATCCCACGCTCGACGAGCCAGCATCCGACGACCAACCCAGTCCTCCCAATCCCACCGCGACAATGAATAGCGCTCACCCTCCCTCTCTGCTCATTCTGGCGCAATGTCAAAAACACCCGATCCATAAAGTCTAACGACTTGGGCAGAGAACGGTCGCGAATGGGGAAACGGTGGTATTCAATTGTCGAAGGATCTATCCCAAGCAAAACGGCACGTTTACATAGGATGTCTTCGTAGGGTAGTAGTTCACCGTCCTCTGTGAGGTCGATGAATGTCCGCACGCCGACGCGGAGGAGCTCGTCTAGTTTGGGCTTGTTCGCGCTTTTGGGGGACCAGGGGTATTCGCAGGCGACGAGGAGTGGTGTCACCCACCATGAATTGGGGAGAGGCCGTGGAGAAACGACGCGCCACGGGTGGGGTGCTGCGGAGGGCGACAGCGATTTGAATTTCTGCTGGATGCGCTGGATGTCGCGGGCGAGTGGCGCTGTGGGCGGTGATGAGGTCGAGTCACACGACGAGGAAGAGGTGTTGGACGTCGTGGATGAGAGGCGGCGTCTGGGGAAATAGCTCGCCATGATTGAGAGGAAGGTTTGGATGATATAGGAGATAACGTTGACTACGAGTGGAGTCGCCAGTTTGGTAGATGGGTTTGTGAACAAAGGGTTACAGGTGGGGAGAAAAATAGATCCTTGCGGGGATTCAAAGCGCGCCTGGCCATTATATAGCCCCCCTCTATATTTGCCGCGGCAGTGCAAAAAACCAGAAAATGACAGCCAAGAAAAGAAAGGGCGTTGTTTGCCGCCCCCTTCCCACGAGGTGAGACCGCATCGCCCCTGATGTCAAGTCGCGAGCGATCTGGCCTTGAGGACGACCAGCACGTTGCTGAGAGTGTGATTTGGACTGTCTCTCCTCCACCTTTCGTCCACCCGTTATCTTCCTCGACACCATACGCGAAGACGAACATGACACTCCGAAATCGATTGCGAAGAGCGAGCTTCCTTGGGTCAGCACTTCCATTGGGGAGGAAGATCCTCAATTCAAACGGTCATTCAACGGATCATGAGCCCAACGTTCGACGGAGCATTTAATCTTCTACAGTACATACCCTCATTTCTCTTATCGCAAGCGCCCAGCCAGGTGTGTGAACCAACAATCCAATCCTTTGACTCAATCTTATTGGTCGTATAGCACGATGCATGCAGGTTTCATTGACGGTTCGATTCTCCGGATCTCGATAGCCATCCTCCTGGGGTAGTGCAATCACCTTTCGAGGGATTCCGTTGTCCAAGGGCACGTTGGAGGTCACGTAGAAGGTGGATGGACTGCACCCCATGACGTTTTCGCGGAGAATACTTTAGAATCCGATGGATCCGCTGGGTAGCGCCAGGTTCTCTTCCTTCAAGCCCATTCGCATTACGGCAAACATTCGACGCAAAGCTGAAAGTTGAAGTGGGAATTACGTCCTTTCTGCGGAACTCGGGCGAGCACCGCGGTAGCAGGCTTCGCGACGCTGGAAAATCATTGCGATTCGAGCACATCCTCGGGGAATTGGAAGGCTAAGACATTCAACGTTCGTCTCTCCTCTTCTTATAGGTCTCTAAAGGTCATTAACACTGACTTTCTCGATGTTTCCTGCGCAGGTGTGCACTCAGGTCGGAAAGCTGAGGCCAAACGGGCGCCTACAACCCAATTAAGCAAGAGCGTGCCAACGGTAGCGACTTCGATGTCAAGTGCCCCCATGAAGGACGATGGTCCGGCCGCTCCGACGCAACGTGCAAGAGGCGCGCTTGGTGATCATGACGAGCGCCCTGTCCGATCGCAGTGGTATGAGCGCTTAGTCCCAACTTTTGAACTCTACTAATAAACTGAACACTATTGGTCCGATTTCAGGCATTGTTTGACCGATATGTATAGATCCGTTTATTAATACTGTGCCATCGATGGATACAGCAACACAATGGCACGTTCACACTCTGTACGAATACAACGTTCTTTGCGCCCTCCATGGCAGACACTGCCTCAATACCCTTCGGACGTGCTTGGTGGAAGGAAGCTATCGTCTACCAAATCTATCCTGCTTCATTCGTTGACTCGAATGGGGACGGAATTGGCGATTTGAATGGTATCGCCTCGAAACTTGATTACCTCAAGGACCTGGGCGTCGATGTCCTATGGCTATCCCCGATTTACAAGTCTCCATTGGCAGATATGGGCTACGATATGTGCCTATCCACCTTGGGCACTCGCATACAGCTACTTGACTAACTTACCTACTCTATAGCTCTGACTATCGGGACATCGATCCGAGGTATGGAACCTTGGAGGACTGGGACAACCTCCTGAAAGGTGTACACGAGCGAGGGATGAAACTGATGTAAGTGGAGTCTTTGGATGCTGGATCTGCTTGAATAACCAGCCCTAGAATGGATCTCGTTGTCAATCACTCCTCAGACCAGGTACAAGCCTTGACCAGTTGAGCATTCAAGATCGCTGATGATCCACACAAGCATGATTGGTTTCAAGAATCCCGCTCGAGCAAGGCAAACCCAAAACGAAACTGGTACATTTGGAGGCCTCCGAAGTACGATTCGGAGGGTAACCGACATCCTCCTAACAACTGGAAAGCTGTTTTTCAAGGTAGGCGTTGTTCTTTTTCGTTGGGGTTCCTGTTTAGGAAGGTGTCGCCACATTTTTCGACGTTCCTTTGTTCTCTAATTTGTGTTCTGACCCTATTTCTCCCCCCTGAAACAGGTTCAGTCTGGGAGTTCGATGAAGCGACCCAAGAGTATTATCTTCACCTGTACCTTCCCCAACAACCTGACCTGAATTGGAATAACCCTGAGCTTCGAGACGCAGTATGGGACATGATGAAGTTCTGGCTTGATCGAGGGTGTGATGGCTTCAGGGTAAGCTCTAGCTCCAGCATCGTGGGCCAGGAACTGCCGCCGACCGCTTCATTTTACCAGATGGATGTAATCAATCTCATTTCGAAGGCTGAAGGTCTACCAGACGCCCCCATCATTGCACCAGGAGAACCTTATCAACCCGCTGGTGCCTTGTTCGCAAACGGGTAGGCTATCGATGATTGTTGAACGCGTCAAGCTCGACTAACACCTTGTTTTAGACCTCATGTGCACAAGTACATCCAGGAAATGAACGCGAAAGTCCTGTCGAGTACGGCTGTCGCTTCTTTTTCCGGCTACTTTCAATCTAACATTTGGGCTCAGAATACGATATTATGACCGTCGGAGAGACACCCTTCACGCATGATCCCTCATTGTTGGCACCATACGTCCTCCCACGTAACAAAGAGCTCGATATGGTCTTCCACTTTGAGATCATCAGGGTCGATACGCCACGCATTGGCAACGACCACATTCAACTCGCCTTTAAGCCGTGGAAGCTCACCGAGTTCAAGGAAATCATCACCCGTTGGCAACAGTACAAACGCGATGAGGGATTTTGGAATGCGTGAGCAAGATCACTGCCTTGTGTGAGTTTGGGCTGACGTTCTCGGCACCTTCACATAGGACATACCTGGAGAACCATGATCATGCTCGATCCGTGTCAAGGTTTGGCAATGACAGCGACCAATGGAGGATGCTCTCCGCAAAACTGTTGGCGATGTTGCAAGTGATGCAAAGTGGTACACAGTACGTGTATCAAGGCCAGGAACTTGGACTCAAAAATTTCCCTCGCTCCTGGGGCCTCGAAGAATACAAGGACGTGGCGACACAAAATTATTGGAACAAGTGAGTGGAGTGTCATGATGAAACCTGCTTCCTCGGGCGTTGATCGTGATTTGCGTAGAATTCTGAAGCAAAGAAAGGCCGGATCTGACAAGGAGGTTGATATGGAAGATATTTTGGACGATTTTGCGAAGAAAGCTCGAGATCACGCTCGTGTGCCTATGCAGGTGATTCCTGCTATCCTCGGGTTAATTGACAGATATATTCACTATGTATTGGCAGTGGGATTCATCGCCGAATGCCGGTTTTACGGCTGGAACTCCTTGGATGCGGGTTAACGAGGACTACCGGACCTGGAATGCCGAGAATCAGATCGGCGACGGCGCTAGTATTTTGGAGTTCTGGAAGCGCCTGCTGAAATTAAGGAAGTCTAACCTTACGCTGGTGAGTTTGGGCGATCTCTCTCTCTCTCCGTCTTTGAGTAGCGGGACTTTTCTTACCTTCCACTATCAAGATCTATGGAACTTTCGAAGACGTTTCTGAAGGCTCCGAGAAGGTTTTTGGATATATTCGCCGTCTTAGAGATTCTTGGTACTTTATCGCCCTCAACTTCTCAGAAGAAGAGATTACCTTCGTCCCGCGAGGCGAACAGACTCGCGCCTGGGATTCCCTCAACTATGTCGTTGGGAACTACGAGGATTTCCCCTCTGTGGATGTCAATAGTGGGGCAGTACGACTCAGAGGTTGGGAAGCGATATGTTTTGGAGCGTAAGCAAGAACTTGTGAATTAAACGACTAGTAGTACTTATATTATTGGAAATCATGACATGAGTTAAGCGAGTGCGACCAATTCAGCTTAGCGAATATAGATCTCGGTGCCATCGTGAACGTAGGAAGCTTCGATGTGCCACTCGTAGTTGTAGTACCAGATATTTCTGAGTCGGATCTGCTCGAAGGTAACGTGGTTGGGTCCAAGAGGGACACCAGGTCGTAGGAAGTCGCCGGAGTGCTAGAAGAAATCATGTCAGCATTCATTAATACGCTAAAGAGAAGAGTAGTAGACGTACCTTGTTGTAGAACTCTCTGAAGATAATGGCGACTTGGCTAGCAACGTCGCCAATTGCAGTGTCCAGGCGGAATTTCTTCCTGTATCCCAAGTGCTCGTAACCAGGCCACTGAAAAAAGAGAGATCGTGTCAGAACTTGAACATGTCATCGGATGGAAGGAAGAATAGTTACTTACCTCGATGGTGAGGAAAGCCTCAGTACCACTATCTTGAAGTTCCGGAGGGAGGAGTGGGCGGACTTTGCTGTGAGGCATGTAGATGGTGAAACCTCCTCCGTACTCGCACTCGGTCATGCCCAAGCCGACAATTACATCCTCAGTGCCGAGCGGAATTGAGTGGAAGTACAGGGCGAATAGCCCGGTGGGTTGTTTGCAGACGATCTTCTCCGGCTTGCCAGCGTGCCAGTGGTCAGTTGGTACACCTCCAGCGTGAAAATCTACAGCGTTTCGGCGAGCGGGGCGGACAGAGGCGGCGTTGTTGAGAGAAGAATCTTGGTTCATGGTGTGATGGTTTAGGTGGTACAGAGAGAACTTGACGAAGGACGAGCGATGTCTGAGGAACTGGGAGACAGGTGTTGTTGATGCATCCCTCCATCCCTGAGTAGCGAGCTATATATACGTCCAGAATCACAGCGACGATGGCCACAGTAGACTAGGACCATTGTCGTTTACTCGCGACCAGAGGGAGCTTTGACCTGGTTGCTTGGTGGATGTACCATAGTCAAAGTTTAATCGCGTCCAAGCGTGGGTACGCGCTCACCATCCACATTATCCTCGTCAATTAGTTGTCGTGGACACGAGACACAGAGATGAGCAGTGCGGGGACCACAATGACACACAGGGTAGTTCAGTTACCACGAAAGGAAGGTCTTGGCGTTTATATGAACGGTCTCTGCACCAACGCGTCAGACGCGTCTCGAGTTTAGTGGTCTCCATTGTCTGCCCATTAGAGGAAAGCGCCCTCTCTCTTCTCACTTCCAAGGTCATCCAATTCGCGTATTCAGCGACTGCCAGGAATGTCACCACCGAATATCGCCACTATTTCGGTAAATCGTCGCCACCCAATTGTCCAGAGACTGGGAGGTCACTTTGACCGGAAGCTTCGCACATTGTTGGCCCTGTGACGTAGAGCAGACTCGGCAGCGAACAATGTACACTGAGAACACAGGGTGAGCAGGCCATCGCTGCTATGGATATTCGATTCTCTATGGCTACAGGGTGATCTCTTTATCGTTGAATGCCACAGATCAGGTCTGGTTAATGCATGTACCTTCAGATTTACATAGATCACGTCACGTACCTGCTATCTCATCTTATCTACTCGAATCAGATTCTTCCCTTGCATCTACACTATACCACCGTCGGTAGCCACTGCGCCCGGACTCGGTGAATCCGATCGCAGCCAGGAAGAGAAATTGGAAAATGCCCAAAAGAATAATCTTGAGGCATGAGAAGTACTTCATTCTTGTGGTCAAGTGAATTCATGTTTAGTATCGCCTGACAGAAGGTGGAAAGTAGACGGATTTGTTCTGCATGGCTTACTCTTTAATTCCTCCACCCTGCAAGTTGGGCGGCCGTCTGAATCGGTGTTATGTAAACCGGCGCCAAAGGCCTGTCGGATCATAAAATCAACGAAGTATTGATCCGTCGTCGGCGTGCATTTTTGAAATCCTTTCATGCTCTCCTTTTCTTTGTTTCTCGCGACGTTCCTGAACTCGCCAACGAACCCCTTTTGAAGGGAAATATCTCCGATAGGCTCCTGTTTCGCGGGAGAAGAGGATAGCCCATGACCAGATGCCTTCAAAACCAAGGGAGAGCGAGCGAATTCATCCTTACGAACAATCATAGCTTGAATAGTCCACATTCATGCAAAGGCTCCACGGTCTACACAAAGGGTTACAAATGGGAAAGGTGAGTCCCCATGTTATTCCAACCCCAAATGAATCCCCTTGAATACTACACCGTCGAGTATAACTCAGGCTGATTCGACTCATTCGGGTCTTGTGCTCCGAATACGTGGTCCCTGAGCAGAGTCGCCGTTTTAGCTTTTCATCCTATTTCTAACTCTCTGTGGGTCCAATTCGCCGCTATCCTGGTGGGCACGCATCTATCTCTGCCTCGTGGCCTCCTCATCTCCGCTGGGCCGCTAGACGTAAATTTTGGACAGCTTGGGTTGCCTTTCCGAGAACAAGAAACTCGACTCCCGGGGTCCCCTGAATAGACTCTTCCGGCTGTATTCATGAAATGTGTGTTTCATGACCCCACACCGAGGCAAGCTGTGGTCGCTTAGGAACTTCGAAAGGCGGATTTTACGGACTTCAAGAACTTGGATCGACAGGGAACAACTCTGGCCAAGCACTCGGTGACACGCTTCACTTCGGCATCGCCACCTAGGGGGCCCACCATCAGCATCCTTTCTTTCCTTTGTTATCTTTGAATCCTGAGACATTGATGAAAGATGCAAGGAGCGCTCCCTGCACCTTGGAGAGGTTTTGACTTACCGAAGACTCTGGTTTCCGCCCCGCCGCCGACGCCCATAAATATCAAGGGTTCTCTCGCTAGGACCTGCCGACCCCAAACGTCGTTCGACGAATTCACCCTCGTCCCAATGAACCAAACATCCCACTGAGGATGAAAATTTTCCTCCGAATCCGAAACTTCATCTCTTCTCGCCTTCGCCGCCGCCATTCTCTCCACATAGTCCGACATCCCATGGATCAACTCCCAAACGAAATCCTGGCGTATATCTTTGCGCTTATCATTCTCGACCCCTCGGAGAATCCCGCCTTCGTCTCAAAGCTGGGGCAAGTATGCTCACGATGGAGGGCTCTCGTAGTATCCACTGCAAGTCTTTGGAGCAGAATCGTCCTCGCCTACCCCATGAACAATCCACAACTAGTTTATGCAGCCATCGCCCTTGAACGCTCCGCCGCTCACCCATTGGACATCCTCCTTGACTGTCGGGACCCAGAGTGGGACTGGGAGGAAGAGACCCACAATTTCCAAGGGACCCACATGCAATCAATCCTTCCACTCATCCTTCCTCACTCATCCCGTTGGAAAAAGATTGAAGTCCTCAGCGACACATGGGCTCCAGTCCATGCTTTTCTGCAGGCGACGCAAGAAACTCCTCTACCCATTCTGGAATCAGCATCGCTATCTCGCTGTAACGCCTACTTTGCAGCACCGGGGGAGACCTTCCAACCGGAATCGATGCGCTCGCCAATAGCCCTATTTGGGGGCCGATCCCTCCAAAGCCTTCGCGACGTATCTCTAGTTGGCGTACACGTCGACTGGGACAAGTCAGCACTGGTGCACCTCCGCCGACTTGAATTCAAGTATCATTCCAGAGACGTCATGCCCACCATCCACCAATTTCTTCGCATACTCGGACAATGTCCCGATCTCCTCGAACTTTCTATCGTAGGGTGGGGACCGATATTGGATCCCAAATCAACCGCGGTCACAGCGATCGAACTTCCATCTCTTCAAAAGCTATCCTTCGGTTTTATCGACATGTCTTACTCGACCGCCCTTCTTTCCCTTTTCCAGCTTCCGTCCCTACGCAAGTTATCGCTCGAGGACGTCTTACGAGTCGTCACTCCGCTAGAGGACACCGACACCTCTGGCTTTTTGCAGTGGCTCTACACCTTCCAGCCCACACAACGCGCTAGCTTTGCTGGAACGCTTCAAATGAGCAGTTCCATCCCACTACAAGGCGTCCAGGAACTCCGACTTCAGTCCATTCGATCGGATACGTTGACGTTCACCCGGTTTTTTCAATGTTTTCCAAGACTTCAAATTCTTTCGTGTCACGACGTTCCAGACAATGCTCTCGTGGCACTTTCCTCGACCATCCAAACCGCAGGCCGCCAATCCAATATACCTCACCTTTGTCCCTCGTTATCGGAGCTGCATTTCCAGGATGCAGATCCCAGTCTCTTGATGGACTTGGTCGCTGCGCGAACCGCTTGCGAAGGCGTTACACCACTTCGCAAGGTTACGCTGGAATACGTTCGCGTTCCTCGCCCATCACCTGATTCTCCCACTTTTGCACACCTGGAAAGGTCGGGAATCAGCTGCGTTGGAGGAACGCCAAGTGGCAGCGAGACTTCAGACTCTGAATGATTACTTTTTAGATTGTCGTTTTGTCTGCACCCACCAAGTTCCTACAAGAAGCACGAGATGTACCTCATTTAGTGTTATTTATCGCATCTCAATGTTTCTTCAACCAACGAGTTTCTCTTTTCCCCGTCACCGCCTACCGTCTGCCCTCATCGCCGCCTGCTACAAGTCACCGTATTCTGTCAGGCAAGCGCTCGCGGTGTTGAGCGCTCCGCTCGTACCTGGGGTTAAGGTTAGTAGACCTCGGAGCTTCTTGCCAGGCCACTTTGTTTCCACTGTCATCCAGTGATTTCCTGCGCAAGAATCAAGCTTCCGCCATCTGCAATCACATAACTTCTCGATACTTCTCTTCGTACCATCCTGGCCTGACGACTTCTTCCTGGAATTCCCCAAGTCGCTGGTTCGTCGTTCTTCGTCGGCGAACGTGGCTTGACGGGCTCCAATAGACCGATCAAAGGGTGTCCAAGGCCATGTCGTCCAGCCGGGGGCCCGTGTCGAACTTTTGTGGAACGATGGCACGTTCCAATAGCATGTCCTGATCTAGTATATGGAACGTAAGTTGGTCACGAATCAGAGGACGTTGACCGAAGCAAGTTGAGCTTGTTTCCCAAAAGGTTCTGCGCTGAAATAGGCTGAGATTCACAGGAACTCCACAAAATGCTCTATATCTGCCCTCATGACAGGCATGCCCATGTGGAATCCCTACCCTGCGATGAACATTCATGTGGTATCTCTCTTTGTTGTCGACGCTTACCACCTTCTTGGTGTTCGTTACGGGAAGATCTCTTGACACGGCCTATATATAAGGATTGGGTGGATTGGCGGTGGCCATACCTCGCCAATCATATACCCCAGCACCGCAACGTCATGCGAATCTTCCGGTCGCTCCTGTGCAGTATACTACTCTGCTTGACGCTTGTTCGAGCATCGTTGGTTGACGACATCATCAACGCTATCAAGAATGGTGTGACTTGCGGTGGCTGCCATAGTCTCCTAGCACCCCTCAAGGTACTTGCGCTGTTGGGCGATGGACCATTCGTTGGGACCTTTACGGCCGTCTGCAAGGGACTCACGGTACGTGCGTTTAGTATTGTTCAGTCGAGTGAGAGTTTCTGAGCTTTACGTCCCATAGTCTTTCGACGATGACGTCTGTGAGGGTGCAGTGAGAACGCAAGCCCCCATCATTGCCCACGATCTCCGTTCTATCAACCCATTTGGCCAAACTGCCCGAAAGCTCTGCGACGGCCTGCTCGGTCTCTGTCAACCCCCTGCAGTGAACCAGTACCAAGTGCCGTTCCCCAAGCCACCTCCAGCTACCCCGAAGACCTTCGTCTCGACTGGAAAGACGCCGTTCAAAGTCGTTCATTTCAGCGACATCCATATTGACAGAAACTACACGGTACGAGGAATATTCGTCCAATGTATACATTTTCTGAATTAAGAGAACTGCTACAGGTCGGGGCCGATACTACATGCACAAAGCCTATCTGCTGCAGGCATTGGAATGGCGAGCCCGGCCCTGTTGCCAACCCAGCAGGCCCGATGGGAAGCCGGAACTGTGACACCCCGCCAGCATTGGCCCAGCATTTCCTGAATACTATTAGCTCTGACAACAAGTTCTCTATCTTCACGGGAGATGTCATCGAAGGTACGGATACGACACACCTACCTCCAAATCACAACTGATTTCAGGCATCCCTATTAGCAACGGTTTGGCTGGCTGAGCAAGGGTGAGCCGATAACGCATCTGCGTCTCTGGTCAGCTAACCTGATCCCTGGTGTAGTTTCATCAACCACGAAATCCAGTTGTTCAACAATGAGATTGCTACACTGCCAGATGTCCCCGTCTACGCCGCAGTTGGGAACCAGTAAGTAAAGCCGATTATAGCTTACAATCGAAGGATTTAGTACTTACGTCTCCTCAGCGAAGGGGCCCCGACCAATGCTTTCCCAAGGAATACTACCTCCAAGGCGAACAATCAATGGCTCTTCGATACGTGAGCGAAGGATGGGGGGTAATTATCCAAATGCTTTCCGAGATGCCGCTGTGGTCTGACTCGCCGCTAGCCTGTGATTGGATCCGCAGCAGCGGAACAGGTCAGACATGGCTCAGCCAGCTACGCCCTCGTTGTACCCGGTACCAATCTCAGGTAGGGATGCATCGCTTCGGCCCTTCATCAAACACCCGGATTAAGGGCTTCTTAGGCTCATCTCAATCAACACGGTGTACTGGTACAAGCACAAGTGCGCCATTAATCGCTATCTCCGCAAGCACGTCTTTAACCCCTACCGTTTAGCTACTGGCTTTACGATAGCGACACGGTTCAGTGAGTTTCGCCTGTCAGACAATTTGAAGTTTATCCATGCTAACCAGTCCCGAACCAGACCCGACCCCAACGGTGTCCTCTCCTTTGTCGTATCGCAGCTACAAGCTGCCGAGGATGCGGGACAGAGAGCATGGCTTGTTGGCCACATCCCTCCTGGCGGAAGGACCGATGTCATGAGCGATCAAGTCAGTCCGCCTCTGATACACATTAAGCTCCTTCGCTTACACCGAGAACAGTCCAATTACTTTGACCAGATAGTCCAGCGCTATCGTCATGTCATTGCAGGCCAGTTCTACGGACACAGTCACCAGGTGAGCTCAGCTTGTCAATGTGAATCCCTCCTGGAGGTTCCTGACGAGCATTGCTTAGGACGAATTCATGGTCGGGTATTCGGATAATAACAGGCGCAGCGCGGACACCGCTATCACAGCTGCCCTCATTGCACCTGCATTCACCCCTCGAAGCAGCAATCCCGGCTTCAAGGTCTACGACATCGACCCCGACACCTACGAAGTCATGGACTACAAAGTTTATCGAAGTAGGCAAGACTCCTTCCACTTTAGACCACTGTCTGATCACCGTCTTTAATAGCTGATACCACCAGTCCGGACTTCCACATTGAACGTACGTCCATCTTAAATCCTTTAACGTCGATCAATCACTGACGCAGAGTTACAGCCAAATGGGAACTTTCTTACTCTGCTCGGGAGACATATAGCCGCTACGTTCCGGATCTCCAGCCCCAGGACTCTCTCAGCCCCGCATTCTGGCACCGCCTTACAGAAGCTTTCGAAAACGACGACTCTGCATTCGAGACGTACCTGGGCTTCAAGCGAGGACCTGGTGTCGAGACGGCTTCATGCGATGCTCAGTGCCGCAGGAACACCATCTGCGACATCCGTGCTCTGAAGGTCGAGCATCTTTGCGTAAGTTCCTCCCTTCAAGTTTTCTTGTCTTCTGAGGGCTTTGGCTCATGTTTCTTCAGACTCCTTCGAGCCCGGGTCTCAACTTCCGACGCAGCCTCGAAGGCCATGCAACCCATGATCATGGTCATCACGACGAATGCGAAGGTCCTGGAATCAACGCCATCTTCCAAGCTGCTACGACCGCGGTATGTCCTTTGTTCCCCGAGTTTCCATGGTCTGTGCTAAATTTTCTCTGATAGACCGACGTCGACTGGGATGCCCTTCGAAAGGAGCTCGAGGCCATCATCCCTGCTTCTGCTTGAAGTATTCGTAGGCACTATGAAAATTACGTTCACCACGAGTAGTAGCGGATATATAAAACCGGAAATCATTGCGGAGCTATCCAAGTGACCGTATGTCGAAGATCAACATGAGTTCAAGTCGGTTGGAACTTGGAAAGAGTCATGAACATCCACAACGCACCAGACACCCATTGTTTTGACTCGCGAAGGCACATTAAATCTGATGCATTACCACGGAACGGGCGTCAATTTCAAGTGTCAACATACAGGGGAAGGCCAGCTCCATTCGTTGCCCGAGACTGACAGAAGAAAGTGATAGAAGGAATTCAGGAACAAGGATAGGACGTTCGTCTGGCACAGGGAATGGAACATAAGTACCATCCTGACCGTTCCAGGTCGAGGCGAAAGTAGGTCAGTACCCCCAAAGCCGTAGAGGCCTCGGAATCAGGCCTTCACCACCATCACTGAAGGCGACATGGCCAGTGATCTTCCTGAATCCTTTCCCTGCTTCCAGAAAGTCGACGATAGGCTGCATGCTTCCAGCAGCCAACATTTCAGGTACAGCCAGTAGTCACAGTACCTTAGGCCGGCCCTTCAGACCTCCGAGTGCGAGCACTCTGTCGTTCTTGACTTGATGCATCGACCCATGACCTGAAAACAACACTCACATCTTCGGCCCCTGCCGTTCGAACAAAGAGCCAACAATGAAAGACGTCCGGAAATACCAGAAACCGACAATTGACACGGAGGGCGTGATCAAGACAGCCAGTGGTGCGGCAGCGGTGCCTCGTTGGTTCCGAGGCTTTCTGTCGTCTCCAGTGAGAAGGGAAAATCTCAAAATCAGAGGCATATAAGGGTCAGTTGGACAAGGAAAAATAACTCACCAAGCTTTCTCCTTCCCACATTGCACCTCCCAGCATCCCTCCAATGCCAGAAGACACCAAGAACCTCTACGACAGCATCCTCCAGGAGTCGAATCACTTGAGGCCCAACCCAGTGATGAAACTAGGTACGACAAAAGTTACGCTCTTCCACTGAAAAGCAAAAGTCCCGCTAAATGAGTCCTGCGCTAGATGTCAAATTCGAGGACGGCGGCGCAGAGCCCATAGGAGGCCACATGGAGTCTCTCGCCGAGGTGATGAAATACGAGTTCGACAAGGACGGTAAGCGGTGACGATCCACGCTACACGGCGAACGCACATTCCTGACATGTAACCCACTCAGGTCCCTTCCAAGTCGAAGTAACCTGCACATCCGTCGCAGCGGCCTACAGCGAAAAAGACCCCGCAGACAAAAACCACATAAACAACTACGTCATGCTCACGCACGACATCGTCTTCGCCCCCATCGCGCACACCACCAAACACTTTGGCGTCACCGAGTACCGCGTTCGAGTCAAACCCATCACCAACATCAACTCCCCGTCCGGTCGAAAAGCCTACTGGATGAAGCACGAACCAGGCCAGACCGAGAAACTCATCAACTTCTCCAAGACAGTCACACACGGCGTCAGCGTCAACATTGGCTTCTTTGGCGATGGAAACATCGAGTTTTCCTCCAGTGTTAGCAAGACCATCAGCATGACCGAGCCCAGTGTGCGCTGCGATGATCACAGCTCGTCGGGGGAGATTAACCATTCCTTCCTGCTAACTGAAGCTGGGGCGCAGAAAGCGACGCACCAGTTCCAGCTCGTCCACCTCGCCTCGGTTCCAGACGAGGGCCTAGGTGATAAGCGGGCCAAAGGTCAGGACGACGCCCAGAAGCTCGAGTTTGCCCTCGAGTTTGAGGTCATCTCGAAGCTTGACTCGATTCGCTACAATTCTGTCAGCAAGAAACATCCTGCGAGCAGTGTTCAGCCGCACCCGACCCAGGTGAGTATTCCAAAAGGTTCCCTCGGACAGCACGCTAATGACCAGATGCAAGATCTTCCCTGTGTCAGCGCCCCCTCGCCCCAAGGCGGAATGAACATAGATCTGTAGAATTAGCGCTCGGGAACGCGGATTATAAGTACTACGACGTACCACCAACGAACTAGTTTACGCTCAGAATAAGATGAAATCTGCGGGTATAAACACAGTAGATTTTCACAAAGCACGAAAGCACTAAAAGTACAACAGATGCCGCAGGCGCACTGCATAAGCGAGACATCGTAACAGCGGATATGATACAGGGTTGAGTGGGTTGAGAAATTTTAGAGCCTGCCGAGGTGAGCAGCAGTGGTGGATTGACCAGCAGCCTTGGCACGCTTGCGGAGCATCTGGGTAGACTTGGTACCACGGATACCTCCACCCCATTGCTTGCGCTGTTCCTCGTACTTGTCAGAGCTGGAGAGAACAATAAGCACAAGTCGCCATTGATGCAGGAGGGGATTACTTACAAGTTAGCCTTGGCGGCGCTGACGAGGGTGGCGAGTTCACGCTGGTCCTCGCTCCTGACGTCCTGGATGGCAACAACGGCAGCAGTCTTCTTGTGGACGACAGTGCCGAGACGAGCCTTGCCCTTGACGATCACGTAGGGGACACCCATCTTGCGGCAGAGAGCAGGGAGGTAGATAACGAGCTCGATGGGGTCAACATCGTGAGCGATGGCGACAAGAGACGCCTTCTTGGCCTCGACCAAAGCAACGACGTGGTTAAGACCGTACTTGACGAAGAGAGGCTTCTTGGTGTCCTTGACCTCCTTGCCCTCAGCGGTGGCAGCGGCAGCGGCCTGGAGACGCGCCTTCTTCTCCTGCTTGGACTCGGGGCGGTACTTGTTGAAGAGCTTGAAGAGCTGGGTGGCGGTGTTCTTGTCCAGGGTATGGTTGAACTGGGCGATGGCAGGGGGAACCTTGAGACGCTGGTTCAAGATGACCTTCTGGCGTTGAAGGCGGACGTATTCGGGCCACCTGACGAAACGGGTAAGGTCACCCCTGGGTTGGATATCCTGGCCTGTTCACAGGTTCATCAGCGACGAAATTGGTCGAAAAATACGACGAGTACACACCAATGCCAAAATTCTTGGGAGAAGCCTCAAAGAGGGGGTTCTTCTTGGTCTTGGTAGTCTTGCTGGTGCCAAAAGGCGCAGCAGCAGGCTTCTTTCCGCTTCCAGGCTTAGACTTGGGGGGCTGGTCATTGAGACGGAAGTCAGCAGGTTTCCTCAACAGGCAAACTGCGCTCCGGAGCTCTAACGTCGTGCGATGAAGCAACGACCCAGCGTTCGCCATGCTTCATTGCTCTCCGCTCAGCACTTGAAGTCATGTCGACTTTTGGGTGAATCTGTATCGTCGACGTCGCCTTTAGCGTCGAGCTCATCGTTATCGATGCCAAGAACTCACCATTTGGCTCGTTGAAGACGCATCTACGAGCTTAGTTCACCGAAAACGCTAGAGCTCCTCGTCGCGAACAGCGATCTCTTACCATTTTGTCGTCGTTTGGGGCGGCCTGGACGGTGTTGTGGTGGTTGTGGGGAAAGAAAGATGGAGAATAAGGTTTAGGTTCTTGATGGAGATAGGACAAATTCGATCTCAGATGAACTCAGTTCGGATATCGCCGATAGGCCCCTATCGAGAGCCCCTATCCAAACCCTCAAATCGTTTTGAGCGGTTCCCTGCTGGAATTGGGACCTCGGTTGAGCTTTTAAACTCTCGAAGTAAGCCTTTAGACGGCTCTTAAATGTATATATGACTGGTCCTTCTGACTCAGAAGCCTGAGATTCGAATCACCGTCTCATTAACCTACGGGACCGCTTCGATTCTCTGCCGCTGCAACATCTTGCCTATCTAGCGCCCATTTAATTCAAGGGATATTAGCAAGATTTCTTCGGTGTAAGTAATTAGTCCACGGGTCTCCCGATTGAGACTGGATTATCGAGCCTTTTGAAATTCCTTCTACCGCATCGAAGGACAAAGAAAAACATGCCTACAAAACCCCCTCACTCGTCCCTTTATCAAAGTAGACCGGCCCATTATCAGTCAGCCTGTACTGAAGCGCCGAGCTCCTCGAAATGAGCTTGACTTCATCCGCATCCGCCGCAAGCGGACCAGCATACAGCGCGACCTAGTAAATCGCCCATAAAAGTAAGAATCCCTTCCCTTCTTCGGTTATTAGAAATAGGAGGACAGCGTACCTCTCCACTGACAGCACCGCTCCGACCACTATACAACGGTCTGACGTCAAGATGATACGCACAAACGTCAACAAGTTGCAAGAATAACTGGTCTGGGTCGTTTGCGGAGGCGACGTGATGTCGGATGAGCAGCGTCGCTCCCGCCTGAGGGTACCGACGAAAAACCCCGCTTCAGAAACGGAACCATTCCACGAGTCGAGTCAGAGTCACGTACCTTTAAGCATCTAGCGCGCAGTTTCCGCAAAAAGCGCCATACATCGAGCGGTGAGTGACCGATCCATTCCAAACTCGCCGTATCGTCGAGTATGACCAGTGTTTCAGCGCCCGGCTTCCCATCTAACGATTGAGAAACCAGGTCAAGAACCCTTGTGAACTTTGGTTCTTTCGGTTCGCCGTCCAGCTGTGCCAACTCCATGAGGTCCAAAAACTGGACCGTGTTCGACGAGATATATGTTGCCAGATTTACACTCTAAAATACACCAGCAGATCAGCAAGGCTACCACCAAATCGTACACGTGTAAACCGACATATTTGAGCATAACAGACTTCCACCGATTGAGATCCACAGAGGTCGAGAGGACAAGAGCAGTCGGTGCCAAAGTAGAGTCTTTTCCAGAATTCCCATCCTTGATCAGCTCTTTTACAGCTTCATAGACGATAAAATCCGCCGGTGCAGCGAGTTCGTCAGTCACCAGTAGTGTTTTGCCTTTGGGGAGGTTGAAAGGAGCCAGCATCTGGTGTTCGGTGGTGGTGGTTCAGTGTCAAGAGAGGGCGGAAAAGACGATCCATCGATCAAAACGCGCACTGATCCGCCGGAGACAAGTTGCATCTCTTTTTGCCAATCCAGAATCCAGTTCTTCCTATCGGCATGTTTTACACTATGTACAAATTATCAAAGCCAAAAAAATACAAACGAAAGATCAGTACCAGACAGCTAAAATACAAAATTTACACGGGTTGAAGGATGCTTTACGGGTCCTCCACTCGATAAATACCGCTTCGAGATAGGTCTAAAGATGGAATGAAGATATGACAAGCTTTTGACGTCAACATAACTGTAGTACACCCTGGTTAGATCGTGCGCTGAACAGGGTCGTTAGTCGATCAAGTTCAGGGTCCAAAAAAAAAAGGCTGTGGAAGGCCTACCTTGGCCGCCGCCCACTGGACGACAATCTCCTTAATCCTCTTCCGCAAAGTCCCCTTACACTGGTCGCAATCGAGCCCATCTTCCAAGCTAGCAAAAGTCCGCTGAAGCTCATTAATCGGGACATCTGAATGCGGAAAAAAAAAGGGTTCATGACCATGTCACAACCACAGGGACCGGGCCAAAGGGCGACTCACCATTCTTCCCATCCCAGGCAAAGTAAGCGGCAGCCAGGGCCCATGCACGGCTCAGCCGTTTCTGGTCCTGGAACGAGCACGCCTTCGACACGAGGTGCAGCTCCGGAGGCTGGAGGATGATATTCTTGAAGTGTTCCTGGCGGGCCATATGGAGCGTCATGAGCTTCTTGAGGTAGATCGCCCCAATTCTCCTCGCGATGTCATCCGTGATGCTGGACAGCGGGATAGCAAGGGTGTGCGAGGACGCATGCACGGCTAGTTCATGCAGCTGGTGGTGGGCCGCCAACGCATACACCCGCAGAGGCGAGAGCGGCGCATGCGTGAGGAGCAAACCATACAGATGGCTCCCGGGTAAAATGTGGGCACTGGGAGTTATATTGTAAGATGGCATTCTATCAATCGCCGACTCCAGGACGTCCAGCGTAGGTGCGTGTTGCGCACACGAAGTATTGTACAAGGCATGAACGATTACGTTCAACGTCGTTGAAGTTTCGGGTATATCGATGATCTCGTCCTGTGTCACTCGTGCAGCGGTGGCACTCCCAATGAAAGATTCAAACGCCCTCGTAGAAACCGACTGCAGCACGGGGGAATGGAAGTAGAACAGGACAGAGTCGCTTGTCCGCAAGATCGCGTCATGACTCCCTTCATGGGCACCCGGATAGAACGACGAGGAAACAGACACGACTGTCTCGTCTGCGTCGGTATCCGAGTTCTCGTCCCCAGAGGTGTTGGGCGTAAGGAGCCGCGACGAAGGATCGATCTACACTTTGCGTTACAATTCGGTGAGAACACGAGGCCCAAGACATCGTACCATTGCTTCGATATGTGTATGGAAGAAAGAGGCTGATAGCGGGTCTATGACCTGCGCCGAACACCTTTCTAGGCCGGAAGCGTGTGCATTTGTAACCCAATCTATCCCAAAGTGAATTTCTGCATTGGGGATGGCGTTTTCCATTGGTGAGGTTGGGCCGATGAGAGCCTGGACTCCCAGCGGACGATGAGCCTGAAACGTCACGGGTTTAGGAAGGACATCCCACTTACAGCTGTGCAATACTCGATTGGGCGAGAAAAAATTCCGCTCGCGGTCGATAGAGGGCCTAGAAAGGTTGTTCGAATTGGAACCGTCCACCAATGGTGGAAATTGGCGACGCTCCGAGTGAATATAGGGAGGAAAGGTGCTGGGTGACTTCCACAATGCTTTTAGCAACCCCTGTAAGTGCGCTTTATCTGCTAGCCCGATGCTGGTGCTTCTTGACCCGATCGCTGTCGTGCTGGGGGCGTGTCCCCTCTGGGAATCGAAAACCACGAATGCGCATCATAACCGACGTCACTTTTTGGTCAGTCGTAGCCAAAGCACGGTTGAATTGGATATCCGGGGGTCCATCCGCCCCGTTCAATACGTTTCTTGGAAGTTCGAGAAGCGTCCTGCTAGTGGTTGGAAGCGTGCTTTCAGTAAACCCGGGGTCTCAAAGGAGACCAATTTCGAGTCTAAAAGCCAAAAGAAAAGGACTCCACGAGGTACTCCGGCCGCAGATACCGACGGCGAAAGTGAGTGCGATCATCAAAGCATCATATCCTAGTCTTGGTGACCAAACGAGGCAAGAATTCCATTGCTGAGACGCGAGGGTCTCCAAAGCCTTGGATGGATAAAGAAGCTGCTAGATTTGGAGGTTGAATTATCCGGTTGGATCACTTGGAATAGGTCTTGGATTGAGCGCTCGTCTCTGATGTCATCAAACAGACCTGCCGGAGGCCTTCCAATGGCTTCCAGTAACCCCTAGGAAGATAGCGGTATCCTTGAGCCAGATCGATGCAGTCCTCGATGATGAAATATCGCCCAATATCACGGGGGAAACCTTGAAGATCGTCGACAAAGAGCCAAGAATTGCCCTCCAGGTTCCGCCACCCCAAATATGTCAAGGAACGAAGCGGATTATCGGATGGACAGGCGGATGGGAAGGAGGAAGAGGGCAAGAAACCGGTTTTAGTTGCCAACAGACGCGTCTTTTTTGTGATCCCAGTTTCGCATGGTGGCCCTGAGTCTGGTCCCTGGGCCTGTAGTCTTATCTAATCCGATATTTCAGCGCCTGAAATTGAAGGTCCGACGTCTCCACTTTCGCAGTGGAGTGTGGTCCACTCGTATAGTGGTGCATGGACCGTTAGAGATATTAGACTCTAACACTTACCACCATGAGTACCACTAACCCAAGCACATCCAATAACGCAGGTCGGTCATTTGGGACCAAGATCAAGTACGTCGCTTCGAGGAATCTTTCAACACTCGTTGCTGACGTTGCCTTGACGGAAATGTAGAGGAGTATTCGAGGTTATCCATGGCATGTCGCATCGAAACCCGATCGTCTGTCACCAGGCTGACAAGTTCGCGTCTTCTTTAGGCCTTGGAGAAAACATTAGGGGTACTGCACTCGCAGCTATCGACTCCATGAGCAAAAGCGACTCCACAAAGAACGACGAAATTGCTTGGCAAGGGCGCTTGGAGTTGGAACGAGGTTTAACCAACCTTGGGAAACGCCGTGGACAGTCATCGGCAACCACTGGTCCTGCGGGGTGGTCACCCGATACACAACAGTCTTTGTATTCATCGTCGGGCTACGATCGTGATCCCAACGTTGTCGAGCCTCAGGGGACATCCAGTGCGTAACTTCTTTCGATGTGGCGAAGTACTACTAAATTATAGAAATAGCGGGCTACAGTGCACCAGGAGCGATGAATCGCATGCCAGAACCTCAGCGCTATGGCTCCACAGGCCATACACCACGACAAAACGCTTCTACTGCATACCCATCCAACGCAGCCGTCGGTGGAATGGCACCAAAGGCCCCTTTCTAATTCACTTAACCAGTCCTTCTCATTCTTCGAACACTACCTATGCACCTTATAATCCTGTTTCGTTATGGATAATGAATACCACCTTGTTCTTCTAGTCATAATCGTTAATCTATTAATGCGGGGTTGTAGTCTTGGAGTGTGGATGTAGCCATGACATCACGACGCCCCTAATGAGGTCACATCCGCAACTTTGTCGGAGCGGTAGTGGAGTTTCTTTGCGTATCTCGAGCTCCAGTACTCGGCGTTACTGGGATACTACCATAGGTTATAAGGGCGCTCTGAAGGGCTCAAACACTTCCATCGCATCGCATCGATTCATTACAATCCACGATGCAACTTCCACATCAACAAGAAGTCCCAACCACCAGAAGCAACGCAGGAGATAGCGTCGGACGACGGATAAGGTGCGGCTTTACATCACATACGTGACGAATAATCTTCTAAATGAAGTTTGAACCAAATCAGAGGGGCATTCGAAGCTGCCCATGGCATCGGTGAGAACATTCGCGGAAACGCCATGGAAGCCGTCGACGAAATGACAGGGACAAGGCGTGGTCGCGTGGAGAACGAAGAAGTCATCCGACGAGGCCAGGCAGAGACGAGACGGGGATTAGAGAATATGGGGAGAGGAGGTCGGATGATGGCGCACCAGCGGCGTCCGGAGATGGGGAACGTTGAGTCTTATGAACGTGAGTTTGCTATTTTGTTTGAGCCCTGTCCGCATCGTGGGTTTGGAGTGCTCATGTCGTGTGTAAACTTAAGGACGATCGGCACTCACGCCAACAGCACCAGCTGCTCCCCACGTAAGGCAGAATGGAGGATCTCGCCTCAATCCCAACTCGACCTCGACATCGACCTATCCCGGGCACCATAGAGACGACGCCATTTCAGGGATACCCAGTCCCGAAGCGCGAGAACTGCGTCAAGAGGCGGAGTATCAGCGGCAGGTCGACGCAAGGGAGGATATGCCGTTTGTTCGGAATTCGTACAACTGATAGCTTCGACATGATATACTACCACTACCTTGTGTACGCCCGATGCACACCCCCGATGTCTACGTAGCTTAAGGAAATTTCATATGTATGTCCGGCATCACAAAGGGATCCTCCGATCCAAGGTGTTTATACTTGTCGACCATGCCAAATTGGATATCCTGCGGTAGCCTGCGGTACAGAATTGGGAAATAGGCGCCCGTGGTACATCCCATCAACATGTCACCCTTCACATGACAAGTGCCAACAAGCCCTCTAAGTACTTAGCTCAATCTGTGTTCGGGATTCTCCAGCCAGAAGTGGAGACCTATGATGGCCGGACGAAGAACAACGTTTTGAGTTCCTGCCGAATGAAGCCGAGGAGAATGTAGGCGCTGAAATTCGAAAGACAGGAATTCATCCCTGGTGCGATAATTTTAGAACAGTAAGGCACGCATTGCTACTTATAGTCCTCAGCGGAATGTCACCGAATCTGTCTCTTTAAATAAAGACGCGTGTCTTCGTTGTCGTTTCTTCAGGCTTCTGCGCATCCTGCTACCTGTTCACGAGACCTCCACCCCCCTGCTGAAGTGCACTTGCCTTTGTGATGATAATGGGTAGCCCACAGGAAGCCGAGGCTAATGTGTGAGCTTAACCCGCCTCCGATATCCTACCATCGCTTGTCCGTTTGTGTTGACCATTGGCCCCTATAGACCGCCTGCCTACATTAACGGCGCTCCGAATTTTCAAGGAGGCCAACCACCTCTGGGGGTTACCACGTACTCCCAACCGCCTCCGAGCGTTACCTCGAACACGACTGGCTCCTCGCCCCAGCCAACCATGTCGCAAATCTCACAGGGCACACCTGTTGTCCCGGTGGGAGCCCAACCACAATACTTCCAACCACAGAACGTCGGGACAGTCGGGAGCATGCAGCAGTTGCAGAATCCGCAACAGCCCCAGCATCCCCAGCCGAACAACTTTGGCGTGATGATGGCGCCCTCGCCGACGTTCCAGCCTGGGACTGTCAACGGGCAGCAGCAGCAGCAGATGCAGCAGATTCAGCAGCAGTCGCCGGTGTATGGTGGACAGCCCCAGTCGCCTCCTGCTACGAGCTACAGTGCGTCTGGACAGCCACCGTTACAGGTTGTGTCGCCCTTGCATGTCCTCGGACCTGGCCCTGGTGCTGTTCAGTGCCCCAGTTGTGGTTCCCGAGGGATTACGAATATTACGTTGGAGAATGGGAGTACCACTCAGTGAGTAGATTTTTTCTTCCCTTTCCGTGAATATCTTCTATCTGGAGGGTGGTTCAATGCTGATCGATGCTCATTTGTTGGTTCTTTGATTCTTGGAATTGCTGCAGTTTGTGGGCTGTGATCGCTTGCCTGTTCATTTGCATGCCTTGCATCCCGTATCTGATCAACGATACGAAGGATGTGAGGCATAGCTGCTCGACGTGTGGTGTTTCACTTGCTACTTATAAGCGGAGTGGAGGTACCGTCGTGCACGCGTTCGGTAGGATATGACCGTCATTCACAACAGATGTACGCTAGCTCTCTTCGCCGTAGCCCTGCACCCAGGTTCAATCGGACGTGTCGGTCGTACATAGCGGAAAGGAACACCCAAGTTCCGCGCCTCGAGGCGGAATGTCATTCTATAGCTTTTTTATTGACCATCACACACGTTCAAGTATCCTGTCGACCTTGCCTATTCGAGTGAGGTGCGGCTGCCAGAAATGAAATAAGCGCCCAATCTATTTATAGGATTATTGCCTCCGACGTTCCCCGCTGCTGTTCTCTGAGCGATATTAGGCTAATTAGGGGACATAGTTGGGGGTATCACGGACGAAGAAGGATGTTTTTGTGCAGTGCAAATTAGTCAACAGCTTTTCGAGGGATGTTCGAGGTGTGGTGCGGCGCCGATGGTTATCATAAAGCAACACTAGGCGCTCGCGCTTGACGGGCAGGCACAATTTGCATCTGTCGTGGCGACGACTGCGGTATTGTTACCGCAGTTGAATATTGAATGCCCGCCAAAACGCTCTTTCTTTCCTTCCCTTCCCTGTCTACACCAAACGCTTTCGTCCTTGTTGCTGCAGCTTCCCCCACTATCACAGCGGCGAGTATTGCTTTTGTGACGATAATGGGGAATCCGCAAGAAGCAAACATGAGCGCGTAGGTCGATTTCACTTATGTCTCTATGAGACCCTTTTGTATCTGATGCACATGATTCCAGTCCACCCGCCTACGCTCCTGCATTCAATTCAACGCAAGGAGGAGCGCCGGCGTTGGGCGTAACGACGTACTCCCCACTTGCATCGGGCCTCACGTCGGGCTTGAACGCATCGTCCACGCAGCCGACTGTATCGCAATCCCAATCACAATCACAGCCTCTCATTCCCCAAGACACGCCCGGATCTGGGCCCAATTCGCCCCAGCAACCCTCGTTTTTCCAACCGACTAATAACACGGGGACACTCGGCGGTGGTGGTGTCCAGCAGCCTCTGCCGCAGGCCCCACAGAGCATGAATAACGCAGTCACAACGCCATCACCTACGTTCCAGCCAAACCACGGTACCGTTAACGGGACTATCAGCGGTCAGCAGCAGGGGCAGTACCAGCCACAGAGTCAGGGGACAGACTTTAACCCGTACTACCCGCCTGCGCAAGGACATCCATCACCACCAGCACCACCGCCGATGTACAGCGCTCCCGGGCAGCCCATCCAGTTCCAGGTGGTATCACCTCTGCATGTCCTCGGACCCGGCCCTGGTGCTGTGCAGTGCCCCAACTGTGGAACGCGGGGTATCACGAATATTCGGCATGAGTCTGGGAGTACGACGCAGTAAGTGGTAGGGATCGATTGCTGGTGAACGAGGGTTGCTGATCGACGAACTTGCTCTTTTGCAGCTTGTGGGCCGTTGTTGCGTGTGCGTTTATCTGTTTGCCGTGTATACCTTATCTGGTGAACGATACGAAGGATGTGCGCCATACGTGTTCGAATTGTGGGACTCTTTTGGCGACGTATAAGCGGAGTGGGGGGACCATTGTGCATGCGTTTGGGAGATTGTAGTTATTTGGATTTTTGTTGGAGGTGGATGCACACTTGCTGTGTGGATCATTCCGAGAAAGATTTACGAACGACACGACCAGAGACGATCCTTGCATGATACCCTGTAGAAATAGTCCCCGCCATGGTCTCGACTAATCACAATGCTATGCTAGAGGCCAACATCATCACCACGGAACGCGTTCGGAAGGCTACAGTAGTTTGGTGGACCTGGATGCTTGACTGGGCGGAACACGATACCCTGCACTTGTACTATATTGCTGTCATATTCACGAAGGATAACAGTATTGTACAGAATACCTTACAGAGTATCAGGGCTCTTCCATAGGGAGCTCCATCCCGGCCTTCTGAAGGGAATCATACGCTTCCAAGAAAGGCTGCTGTACGGTACCCCAATAGTCTCCCCAGACATCAAAGTTCTTCCAGGCGCCCTTCTCATCGAGGAACTTCTCGTTCACCTTCTGCAGCTTCTCACCAGCGTCAAAGACAGGCTTGAGGAATAGCCTCATCTGCGACTTTTGGTCGACAGAGTTGATCTGTTTGGCGACGCCTTGGAGGATGATTGCGATGGCTATCCTGGCGCGCGCCATTTCCGAGTCGGCTGGGACGCTGGCGCTTTGGAAGAGCTAAATGAAACGGAGGTCGGTTAGGAAGGCTGTGGCTGAGGTTGGGAATTGGAAGACTCACGGAAAGGTATTGGGCAGCTGCGTCTTCGCCTCCTTCGCCGCCCGGCTTTGTGAGGTAGATGATAATTGTCCGGATGAGACCGTGGGCAATCTTCAGCCTCAGCTCTTCGTCTGGTACCAGTTCGGTAAGCCAAGGGGCTTTGGCTGTTCCTTCCAAGAGGTCAACCCATGGCACATCCTGATACCCAGGATTTTCGTTTTTGGACGCTTCGTTCAAAGTCTTGGACGACGTGCTGAACGGTGAGCGAATCGACAGCCTCTGGGGTCCTGCGAGACGTTTCTTGATGTTCCAGAGATATATATGCCCTTCTGTAAGCCCTGCAGACGACCACCAACGGGGCAACTCACCTGGACGGCGCTCGACGTTGACCAAGGACCGCGTCGTGCAGAATTGGCGACGGCAGCGGTGGACAGTGCACGGGTCGCAGCTGGGCGACTGCACTGTCTCAGCAACGTCGAGGCTGATGTTTTGAGGACCCTGAGACTGGACATTGTTGGTCGTGGGCGTCGGGAGCAACGATGAGCAAACGCCCAAGCTCGTCGTTCCCAACGTCATCGACGCGACGCGGAAAACGCCGAACGGGATCAGATGATTTTGATGTCCGAACCAAACGGAATTCCACCCACCTTTTCCAACAACCGTCAACTAAAATGCCGCCAAAACGACAAAAACCTGTTGAAAGCGACTCGGATTCGGACTCTGACGCCCCAGAGGCTATTACAACCTCACAGTCGAAGTTACATGTCCAGGAACGAGAAACAGCGGTCAAACAGGCTCAAAAGGCGGCCAGGGAGAAGAAGAAGGAAGAAAATCGGGAAAGGGACAGGAAACTGAAGGAGAGGGCTGCGCAGAATCAGGGAAAGAGGAAGAGAGGCTCTGGAAAGGCTGAGAAGGCGGTGGTGGAGCAGTCAGAGGCCTCGGACGAAGACGATGAAGACGAGGGTAGTGTGGATGACGAATTGGAGGCTAGGATGCGTCGAGCGATGGCAGAGGCGGCAGAAGAGGATTCATTGGATGAAGAGGGTGACCTGGACGACGAGGAGGAAGAATTTGGCGGGATTGTAGACGATGGAGATGATCTGGAGGACCTGGAGGAAGACTACGAAGACCCCGAGCTCGACGAGGACGACGAACCCGCACCCAAACGTTCTCGGAAGCAAACTTTCGAAGACGACGACGACGAGGATGAAGAAGAAATGGATATCGATCTTCCACCGTTGCCCAAGAACCAAAAGAAATCCAAAGCCTCAACTTCGAAGGCAGAACATCTGCCTGACGAGCTGTTCGCCGCTGCATTCAAAGCTAGCCAGGCACTATCTCAAAACGCAGGCTCAAAACCCAAATCTGAACCCACCTCATCCTCGAAGAAACGTCGACGGAAACAACGTTCCAAGGATCTCGTACTTGGGTAAGTTGACTCGAAATCTTTGCTCACAGCTGGATTCTCGATACTGATGTACCTGTAGGTCCAAAAAGATTCGTCTTCTACCTGATCCAGCGGCTTCAGAAAAACCAGCGATTCCTCGTTCCCTGAAACAGCCGAAGAAGATCAAAAAGTTCCTGGACCGGACGTTGGCTCTGAAGGGCAACAAGACGCCGAAGACTGTATCGTTGGGTTGGGAACGGAGACCAGGTTCGTAGTATTTCGTTTCAAATTTAGTTGGTTTGTTCTAACCAGGGTTCGACAGCAAACATAGGAGTTTTACGCGGGGCAGGGCCAGCTGCCAATTTTGTTCGTCAGGTTTAGCTACTTGTAGAACAATGCTAATCTGGGGTTTTCCGATTTACGAGAACGACCGTCCACTTGTAATACCCAAACTTCACAAGGTGATACCGCGGTATGTCGCGAGCTGCATTCGGAGACGCTCGACTTGACCAGGGGTGAAGTGAGTCACGCACGCATCGTCGGTGTAATCCATGTAGTTGTCTCGACATCCAGGTGAGTCCTTGCTCCGACGCCAGCCCTGGAGAAACGCACTCACGGATTGGGTCCAAACCAGGATCTTCAGGGCAACTGTCGCGGCCTATCGGGCACCCCGTCGCCTCCCATGCCTCTGACGGTGTGTCGTCAACAAAGTCCCCAATGGGCCGACATGCGTTTTGGAACGTGTGGTACAGCCCAACCCAGTGTCCTACTTCGTGAATCGCGGTCTTGCGGGCTTGAGTTAGGATCTGTGGCTGTTGAACTTGGAAGCGAGGTTCGTTCGCACCTTTCCCTCGTCGTACGGGGCAGCCGTGCCACCCGGCAAGGAGGAGAACAAGAGCACTGGATAACGCCGTGTCATCCACCAACTGGTTAGAGGAGTGTCTTGGAGAGTACTCACCAATACCATCGACGGAGGGATTGTTCGCGTAACCAGTGGGATAAGTCCCATATCCGATGGTACCGGCGTTATCTTCGGAGGTAAACCCCACCGTGAAGATGTTGAGCGTCTCGGGACCCCCGACTCGAAGCGCGCGCTTCATCTCAGCGTCGACGCTATTCCGCGCATTGGCGTTTGCGAACCAGTGGAGGTTGAGAGTCCTCGTGGTGTTGACTAGTGTGAATGTTAACCCGGTATCTGCGAACCCTTCGTTCAGGACGGCGATTTGGTCTTCGATTTGCGCGTCCCTGGCAAAGGTGTCATGGTCAGGTGTGGTTGAAGGGAGTTTGAGATGGTTATAGTTGTCGTACGGGACGTTGCCTTCGGCGGGAGACTCGCCGGAGTTGATGACGTGGAAGTGGACTTCGACGTTGTAGCTGGTGAAGCCTGCTTGGTGGTCTGCGAGGGCGCGTACTTTGTGGGCTTCGAAGTGCGCCTCGGCGGCTAGGACCTCATCTGTGGAGAGGTGTGAGCCGCACCGCACGCTGCAAGCGACGCCGTCAGCTTTGATTGGATGGGGCGGGGTGGGGTGGGTACGAACAGTGCGGCAGCGGCGGTCGTCGCATGAACGATGGAGAAGAGTAGGGCGAGTAAGTACATTGGAGCAGAGATTAAGAGGTGTGGTGGGTTAATCCTCCTGCCTCCCGAAATGCGTCCCAGTTTTCTTTAAGGGCTAACTGGGCCACCGCCCGGAAAAATCATGTAGTTCTTGCTGAGGCGCGATCTCTTCAGGCGAGAAAGAAGAGTGGGATGTGAGAATGAAGTGCTCTAACGAATACAATGGATAGAAGTGTTACATGGACTCTTTGGTTCTGGGAGACCTCGGCCTGTCGGCATCGCCATGGGCTGGGAAATATGCCAGATACATCCAGAATCAATAAGTACATAGTATTCTTGGAAAACCGAGGTGCTATCATCTTTAGGGGTGTGACTTATCGTAAGTGTGCACTGGTACTTCCAAACCCAAAGCTGTATTGAAAGGCATAGACAGTGTGGTATAGAAGGTCTTCTATCAAAATACGAGTCAGCACTGGCCACTGTGGTCCCGATTTCGCGTTTCGAAGAAGACGTGGGCCCAACCGGATGGAACGGCAACATACCAGCGTCGTCAGATGACCCCTCGGGCACACAATTCCACACCCTAAGAGTCACGAATAGAGATTTAATCCTTGATGCGAGCCGCTCCCCTCGGGCAGCGAACTTTGCGCTAATCCACTCCGATTCGCATCAGCCTGAGTTCTCCCAATTAGGTAAGAAGCGCCCTTCAAAGCTGGTGACGAACAAGAATCGGTCAACGTTCAAATCGATAAATTTGTTTTTACAAGACCTGGGTGACGCTCGGATGTCGATGTACGGAGACGCGATCTCGATGTACAGAAAGGTAGAAGCGTCGCAGGTACGTGCGACGCTCAGTACATGACGGTGTTAACGGTTATATAGGACGTTAAAAGACAATTCCACGATAGGTCGCAACCTGTTCGCGCATACGCTGGGCCTGACCCGGGGTGAACTCCTTCATGCAGTCGTCATCGGTGGAATCCATGAAGTTGTCTATGTAATCAATGAATAAGTCAATGATATATATATCAGAAGTTGCGACTCTGTCCTGGATGTACTAGATGAGATGTACTCACGGATGGGATCAAGTCCAGGGTCGTCAGGACAGGTATCACGGCCGATGGGACACCCGAGCGCCTCGGACGCCTCGAGCGGGGTGTCATCGACAAAGTCCCCGAGGGACCCACACGCGTTTTGGGCGGTGTGGTACAGTCCGAACCAGTGGCCGAGAGTATGGGTTGCGGACTGCCACGTTCCAATCGTCAGTGTCGAGAAGTCTTTACTGGGAGCATGGTATAATCCGCACTTACCCTTCCCATGTTGTAGGGAGGGAGGCCGACGCCGGGGAGGGTGTTGTAACGGACAACTGACGTCGGAAGACAATCAGGAACTGTGGGGCAGGATGTGGAAGGAGAGTCTGGGAGCTTACCTAGGCCGTCAATCTCAGGTTCGGTGCGCATCATACTCGCGTAGGAGGAATACCCTGTGAACAGAGGATGTCTGGTGGTGAAACCGACGGTGAAGATGTTAAGGGTCTCCGGCCCTCCAGTTCGCAGAGCCCGCTTCATTTCGGCGCCATAGCTGTTTCGGAAAACGGCGTTATCGAACCAGTCGGCATTCAAAGTCCTGGTGATGTTGACCAAGGTGAAGGAGAAGCCGGTGCTCGCGTAGTCCTCGTTCAGGACGGCGATTTGGGCTTCGATGTGCGAGTCTCTAGTGGAGTAGAGTGGTAAGTGGACATGTCAGTAAAGGATGAAATATAGAATATAGACTATCGGGAGCTTTGGGTACTTACTCGAGGTTGCCTTCGGCGAGAGAGTCGCCAGTGTTAATGACGTGGAAATGGACGTCGATGTTGTACTTGTCGTCGGAGCCTTCAGTGAAACGAGCGACAGAGACTTTGTTCGCTTGGAAGTGATCCTCGGCGAGCACCGTCTCCTCGGTGGACAACTGGGAGCCACATCTCGAGGTGCTACAAGGAAGAAGAGCCCGAGTTCCAGGGTTAGTGAGATCATATTAGTATAATATGTATGGCTTGAAAGAACTGAAGGAACGAACTGTGCAGCGACGAGAGCCGTCGCGTAGACAAGGCTGGTTAAAAGTGAAGAGAGTCGCATTTGGGTACTTGGTAGTATGAGTAACTGCAGAGGATTGATGTGACCTGCTTTTTTCTGGGTGCACTCTGATCTGTATTTATACTGCAACAACCTCACCACGGCAAAAAGCAGGAGCACGAACGTGCTTCTAGCTGCGACAGCGTCTCCTCAAGTGTCCACGAGTGATCAATCACCCAAGGCTTCGAAGGACAAATGGGAGAGAGAAGGGTACAGAAGGCACTCGAGTCGGGCAGGTGTAGACTTGCCGATGCAGCATCGAAGGCTTCTATCATGGTGGTCTGTGTGGTATTCCGGAAAGGTATTCCAGGAATGAATGTTGTTAGCTCATAGAGATACACCTAGGAGTCGTCATATGATGTATAACCACTGAGGTCAGGATGGACTACGGGGAAGACTATGCGTGCTCGGGCACCACGGTGTGCGCTGCCAGTGCCAAGCCAAGCCTTCGATGCATTTAGACCTAGTCTGGGAGCCCAAAACCTTCAACCGCCGTTCACTACGAGGTGCAATCGACCCTTTCTTCACGCTATTACTGTGCACCAGAGCCTATCGCCCAGCTTTTGCGCCTCTCGGGCTTTTACCCTTCGCTCAAGAGTGTTCCGTTTCGAGGAGATGGATCACGACAATCCAATCCGATTCGCATCACGGTGGGACAAAAGCTTGGCTTCGAGAGCGAAAACTCGGACTAGAGTCGGATAGCGACAAGGTAATATGTACATATAAGTGGTGGTAGAAGACGAGAACGCAGAGTTCACGAGGAAGGTTGGACTTCGAAATTGAAATTGGAGACCACATCCACCGTGTTACATCCACAGCGTCCCACCCAGAGTCGCAGCAGCCCCTTTTAGAATTTCTCGATCTTTCGCGTCTTCGTCGTCAAATTCGAGGTCCTGAGAAGTCAGGTGTCAAAATTTCCAATCAACTCCCAGTTAGGCTATCGGACCCCCCAGCTCTCCCCCAGGGATCATTTCACTGTAGGATATCTCTTCGTCCCAGTTCTAAGAGACGAGGGGTGCAGATTCTCATGTGGATGGCGTCGATAGAAGGGTAGCAGCAATCAAGAGGAGGACGATGGTCAGGTTGATGAGCGACATCGGGGTCAGGAGGAATATGTGCGCTAGTTTCCCGTACAACCCGATGACTCTGTAGGTGAATCTCGTGGAAGCCGTTTGGTGGAATTGTTGTCGCCGGTGGAATAGATGAGCCGGGAGTATGTGACCTACTGGATGACCTTGTTAAGGAGGCGATGGAAATGAGTGAAAGGAAGGATGCGCTTACCTCGTACTCCAGCATGCCCTGGATAATCCCGGTCAAACGGCTCCATGTTAAACGACTTCAATGCAAGCCTAACGACGCTCCCGTGAACTTGTTTGAACTCGTAGCTTTGCGCTTCGCCTAGAACACCGACCAGGCAAACCAGCGATTGCTCGACGAATCTCATTTCCCTGGATTCTTGTGGCGTGTCGTCTCGCCTCTTCCCAAACTCCACAGGGGATCGATCAAGAGAGGCCTTGGCTAGTCCTTGATTGGGCTTCAAACTTTGACTCAAAGGTCCCTGAAAGGTGCGCAGTGCCTGCCCCGCGCTCGAAGAATCCGGAGTGAGCGAGTAAAATTGGCGTAATCTATACAATTTTCGATAGCAAGCCCTATCGAATTCTGCCATGAGATGAGTTCTTCCGCCGAAAACGACATGGAATAGGAAACATACATCAACACGGTGCAGATTGGATATGAATGTTATCCATTACATGCAGAACATGCCTGGTACATACTGAATGTTACCCTTCAGTCAGAGACGATCGTCTGCACCGGCTAGGAAAAGTAGTTCGTGTTTGAAAATCAGAGACAGCATGCCGTTCGACGGTGGTCCCCCTAGCCCAGATGAAGAGGCAAAGCACCAGATGGTCGGCAAATGCGTTATGGCCGGTTGTATGGGTTTGGTCGGATAAGACGGTGGAGGCTGCCTTCGCCTGGACCTGTAGCCACCGTCGCTGTCCAGAAATGTCGGGGTCGCCCTGAAGGGTTCGATACTTCATGACCGCCATTTCACTTGCGCTGGAGGTGGTCGGGTGCACCGAGGAGGTTGGCGACGACGGCGGCACTGTCCTGCTTTCTCTGCTGGAGCTCATAGAGGGCCTTGACGGCGTTCGAGGCCTTCTCCAGAAGCTCAGCCTCGCTGGGTGGGATCCGTGGGCTGCCTGGCTGCTCTGGCCTTGGTAGAAGGGGCAGAGAACCGACGCCCGTCGTTCGCAGCACCTGAGAAAGACTATTCAGAGCTTTCTTGAGCTCTTCAATGGACCCTAAATGTGTTGATTAGATTGTATATAAGACCGTTGGTTGTCGACGTACCCGCCGTGTCCTCAGGACTATAGCCTGGTCGATACGCATTTTGCCTGTCGTCGCCGTCAGCCCTGGACATACACAACGCCAAAGAAAGACATCGACGACGCACACCCCAGCCAACGTCTGCTTCGCCAACGACTGCAGCCTCATAACCTCCGCCTGCGCACTATACAAATTCTGCTTAAACAATTCCGGCGAATTTGGGTCCATATTGGTCGACTGCTGGTCTTGCTGGGGCGCGCCGAAGCTAAAGGGCTGGTTTTGGTCCTGGAAAACATTCATGGCGGTGTTAACGGTGAATGGCGACGAGAACATCGTGAGCGATGATGGTGGGACGATAAAGCGCTGTGTGGGTCCGTCGGCTCCCACGATGATGAGCGCTTAGCCGCGGCGATGGGCTTGACCTTGAACCACATGGTGCGCGACCGGGACATGGCTTCTAGGGGTTCTACGATGTCTCGTGACGGCGGTGAACGCGGTCAGACCGAGCACTGCATCGTTTCTGACGACGGCGACTGAAAATGACCCTCGCTCGGCGTTACTAACGACGACGGCTGGGTAACCTGCGACCTCGCCGTCTTCTGACCCGATCTACAGGCAAAGAACCCTCTGAAATGGCTAAGGGCTACGCGGTCTCTGTCCGTGTAGAAAAGGCCATGGACCTGGTGAGCTCGCCGTCGCATATACTCTCGACAGCGTTACTGACAGACTTTGTCGCGCAGGTATGCACGCGCTTCGCAGAAGGAACGCGCTGAAGTCACCATGAAATGTTTTCCCAGGCAATGGGATTGTCGTCCTGAGCCCTGAACACCGTCTGGACAACCCAGGTACCGTCTTCAGCGCGACAGGCACCTTGGTCAGTCGTTCACTGATTCACGGTAGAATTTGCTGACTGATTTAATTGGTTACAGAACGAGCCCCAAACTTGACTGAGGAATCTAGGCACTCAACCTGTTTCGCTGCGCGTCTCCCACAAACACTTGGGAGGATGATTATGACCCCTGGAACTTGCAACTGCGACCCTGTGAGTCCTCCCTTTGGCATCATCGCCACGGAACCTGACATGATTTTCAGACGTTGGCCCTGAAGTGTGTAGTAGAAGAGACCTGGTTCCAAGCACGCCACTCTGAAGGGCAATTAAACGCGTCGGCCTTTGAAGGAGAGGCACAGGTTCCCCATTGTACATCTGTTTCGACAGTCACACACGTGATGCAGTGGTGTAGCCACTGGCGATCTGGAGTATTTCAGCCCTGTGTCCTCGTTCATGCCTTTGCCACAGACCTACATATACGCAGCATGGATGCCCCTTCAGCTAGTACTCTCGACTCACATCATCCGGTAAGGACTCAACAATTTGCATCACATCGCGTCTTCATATTAATCGGACAAATGCTTCAAGGACTTGGATGAGCGCATTCAGCATTACCGAGACGCAGCGGCCCTTCAGCCGACGGGTCATCCTGACCGTTTCGAGAGCCTCAAATACCTCACCACAGCCCTTTACAGTCGATTCCAGCGCGATGGCGATTCCCAAGACCTTCAAGAATCTATTAGCTTTGGCCGAGAGGCGCTGTGCATTCCACCCTACAAGCCAGACTGGCCATTCTCTGTCTCTCATGACCCTGGCAGACATCCTACGTGATCGCTCCAACCGCACGGGAGACATACAAGACCTTCAAGAGGCCATTCAATACTACTCTGAGGCGCTACATCTCCTCCCGACAGACCATCCTTCCCGGGGGGCTCTGCTTTTCAATTTTTCCCGGTCCCTCACCATGCGGTACTATACCCACAGCAAGGACGTGCAGGACCTGGATGAGGCGATTGGGTGTTTGCGAGAGGCACTGGGCCTTCAGCCCGCGAGCGACTGTATCCGCGGTGTGCATCTTAGCGGCCTCGCGGCGACGCTCATTATTCGGTTCGCGCACGGGTACGATATGGAAGACGTTCGAGCGGCCATCGAGATCTACCGGGAAGCGCTGAGGCTCCTCCCGACAACTTACCATACAAGGCGATGTGTAGCTTTCAACGCACTCGCGGCGGCACTCGCCATATGGTACGGGAGCAGCAAGGATATTCGGCATCTGGAGGAATCGATTGGGTATTGTAAGGAGGTGCTGGGGCTTCGACCGGAGGATTGTGATTCGGAAAAACGGCGCGTGGCATTGTGGCTCATGGGGAAGGCTTTGTTTATGCGCTTTGGACATACGAGTGATATTGGGGACCTTAGGGAGTCCCTTGTATGCCAAAGGGAGGCTCTGTTGATGTTGCCAGTGGGTCATCCTGATCGCTCGGAGTCAGAGCTTGATGATATCGCTTCCAACCTCGCTAGAATCGAGGCGGGCCATCGTGCTTGACTCGGTGCGAGGACAAGGGTGTTACTACCTTGGAATCTTCGTACGGTAATATGTCGTCAGTTGGGTCAAGAGTTTGTCGCATAGCTAGTGCATGTACGATCGCAATCTGAAAACTTATCGTTCCAATAAATTTACCAAAGGTATGTTGAATTCAGCTTCGTTAGTTCGTTTGAACCTAGCTATAACTGCCCTGAACGCGAGGGGTAACTCGGGCTGGCATTGAGGCCGATGTCGGCGGAGTCGGGCCGCCATCAGAGTCGGGCTCTCATCATCGTTTCCCACGACGATGAGCGCTTAGCCGCTTGAACCCGAACCACATCATAGCGCGACCAGGACCTGACTTTTTGGGGGCTCTACTATGTCTGGCGGCGACCGTTAACGCAGTGAGACTAGGCCCCGCAACGTTGCTTACGACGTGGCCAGGAAAAAGGGCCTCGCTCACCGTGAGCGACGACGACGACGCGGGGTCTACCGTCTGGGTGTCCGACGACCTCGCCGTCTTCTGACCTGATCTCCAGGGAAGCAACGCCGTCTCTATACCGGACAAGGGCTACGTGCTCGTCGTTCATGACGGCGCAGGCACGGTGTCGAAGATGGTCTCGATACCAGAACAAGGGTATCGCTAGGCGAGGCTCCCAAGACGGTGAGTTCGTTGTTGCGCACGCCGTCGCTCTGAGTCTGTCGCTGGCTGCGTCTCTTCTGTGCAAGGACTCGTCGTTCAAAAGGCGGGGCGAAGCTCTCGACGCTGCGCGGTCTTCGTCCGAGTTCCTTATCTTATTGAACATAGACCCGCTGACTTTGTGTTCAGTGCTGGAACAGGTCACAGGTGCTCTTCGACTTGATTTCAAAAGGTGAAGCACCTCCTTTTCTTTTTATATAGTTTTCTGACTTGCGGTTTACAGGACCAGAGACAAAGTTGAAGCTCGACGCGTCTATGGTGTTCTCCTAGCCGCTCTCCCTTTCCGTGCGTGTAAGGTTGGCGATTTCCACGACGACAGTTTAAAAGCGAGCCTACTGAGAATTGCTTCCCATTCTGAAGAACGGCCTCGTTGCGAATAAAGCCTAATCGATCGGCTCTAGGAAGGCGAAACCCAGAATACAATCTACACAATCACATCCCTTTTCATCGAATCGGGAAGGCCTGGCAGCGTGACTCCAACGAATGTCACACACGTGGTGCAGTGGTGTGGCGATCCAGCGCTTAATGCTCAGTTATAAGAACGAAGGCCTCCAGGGACTGCTTCCCTATTCGCACGTTCCCACCCAACTTCTTCCAACCATGGGCGAACCTTCGGTTGACATCGCGAATATATCTTCCCAGGTAAGGTCTCAAGGATTCGTACCACGCCAGTGCTCATCGAGCGTTTAGGCTATCACTACCGATGGCCCATCGGGTATGTTGCTGTGCGCTTTGGTCCGTGTGCAATGCGCTGATCTTAAAATGAATTCAGCGGGAGGGGGTCCAGGCGCGTTCAAACAAGTAGGCGAGCTAGTGGAATCGGTGAAGAAGAGGATGAGAGATGATTTACTTGAAAAGGCCGTGGCATCTCTACTTCAAACCATCGACAAAGAAGCCGATGACCAAAAGCGGCTGGTGGCAGGGATGATCCTGGTCAAGGCTCTGTTGACTCGATTTGCTCGTTACGGGTGGGCGAACGACTTGGAGCAAGTGCGATCGTTGTTGCGGCAACTCGCTGATGGCGAGGGCAACTTCATTGTACGTCTCAACGCATTAGCTCGGACTCGCGGGGACTGGCACTAATTGACGGTTCAGATACCTCAGTGGAATGGGGTTGTCGACGAATCCTTTCCGGAGACCCATCACGCTTTAGGGCTTCTCCATGACTACCACCAATCGATCGATGAATCCGGCCTGGAAAGCGCAATCGTCCTTGCTGAGCAACTCATAGACTCTGGTCCAATGCCGACAGAAGATCACAGGATCTGCCTAGTTCACAGCGGGAACTGCGATGGCTCTTATGTACCTACTGTCGGCGGAGGAAGGGTTTCTGGACGTGGCAGCTACTCGCTTTCAGGACGCTAGACGTCTGTCTAGTAATCCTTGGACTTACATCGCTCTTCTTAACCTGGAACACGTGGCGATGATCAAGATGACGGAGGGGAGACCGCAGCGGAAGGTTGAGGGGTTGGAGGAGGCTAGGGCGTACGCGAGGGAGGCTCTGGCAGCGGATGAAAAGGGTTCGGAAGCGCATGCGGAAGGCACTGCGATGATGAAGGCAGACCATTCGCAGCTGGACGCGGCCATTTCATTGTTCCGCCAATCGCTTTCTCACCGACCTTTCCCTCATCCGAAACGCCATGACACAGTTGCAAGCTTGGCGGTCGCCCTGTTCACTCGGTTCAAGCGCAATCGCAGCTTCGATGACCTTGAGGAGGCCATTGATCTTCAACAGCAAGCGTTGGTCCTCCGCCCGGCAGGTCACCCGGACCGCTACGTGTCGCTCAACAGTCTCGCCAGCTTCCTCTCGACTCGGTTCGAGCACAGGGGTGACATGGGGGACCTCGAAGACTCTATCACTCGTTACAGAGATGCACTGGGCTGCCTCCCGATTAATTATTCGAACCGCGCTACTTTGCTTAACAACATCGCCGTCGCCCTTTCCATTCGCTTCCAGCAGAAGGGCGATCTCAAGGACCTTGAAGAGTCGATTAGCCACCACAGGGAAGCATTGACACTGCGTCCGACGGGGCATCCTGACCGTTCGGCAACGCTCGTCAACCTCGCCATTGCCCTTTCTACCGTGTCTGAGCACAAGCCTGAGGACGACTCCAAGGGCCTCGAGGAGGCGATTAGTCTCCACAGAGAAGCACTGGCCCTTTACCCCGTAGGGAATCCGCAACGTTCCATGTCCCTCATCAACCTGGCCAACTCCCTCACCACTCAGTTCGAACGTAAGGGAGACTTAAAGGGGATCGAAGAGGCCATTATTCACTATCGAGAGGCGATGGAGCTTCGACCAACAAACCATCCTGGCCGCGCCAACGCTCTCAGCAGCCTCGCCACTGCCCTATCCACTAGGTTTGAACACGTTGGTGACATCCAGGATCTCGAAGAGTGTATCCGTCACCACCGAGAAGCACTGGGCCTTCGACCGATAGGGCATCCTGGACGCTTCATGCCCCTAAACAACCTCGCTGCTGCGCTGTCTACCCGGTTCGAACACAAGGGCAATTCTGAAGACCTTGAAGAGTGCATTCGCTATCACCGGGAGGCACTGGACCTTCGACCGGCCGGTCATCCTTCCCGCTTCATGCCTCTTAGCAACCTGGCCACCTCACTTTACAGTCGGTTCCAGCACAATGGCGACTTTGAGGATCTTCAAAAGTCGATTGGGCATTTCCGAGAAGCGCTGGACCTTCTGCCAACAGGCCACCCTGGCCGCTTTATGCCCCTTAACAATCTCGCCAATTGCCTCGTCACCCGGCTCCGGAAAAAGGGCGACTTTCACGACCTCGATGAGTCCATTCGTTATCATCGAGAAGCATTGGGTCTTCGACCGCCAGGCCATGCCAGTCGCTGCATGCCACTCAACAACTTGGCGAACTCGTTATCCACTCGATACGAACACAAGGGAGACATCCAGGACCTTCAAGAATCCATTCGTCACCACCGAGAGGGGCTGGGACTCCTCCCGACAGACCATCCTAGCCGGTTCATGCCTCTCAACAATCTCGCTAATTCCCTTTCCACCTGGTTTAAGCACAGCAAGAACATCCAGGACCTCGACGAGTGCATCCGACACTACAGAGAGGCACTCTCCCTTCGACCGCCCGGTCATCCCGGTCGCTTCATGCCGCTCAACAACCTCGCCATTGCCCATTTCACTCGGTTCAGTCAGAGGCCTGAGGAGAACTTCCTGGATCTCCAAGAATCTATTGCACGCTACCGAGAGGCGCTAGAGACGCTACCGGTCGATCATCCTGACCGCTCGGAATCACTCAGCAACCTCGCTTCTGCCCTGTCCACTCGATTCCAGCACAAACATGACTTGGAGGACCTCAGAGAGTCCATCAGGTACTTACGGGAGGCTTTATCAGCCCTGACCCAATGCGACGACACCGCCGCTCTCCCCGACTCAGCTGCTACACGTCATCCAGCAGCCCTTGGTGTGACATTCAATCTGGTAAAGAGTCTGCTACAGCTTCACGACCACCTCGTTGAGCAGGCGACGGTCGGAGGCTCGGGGCATAAGGATGTAGAGGAGATCTTCCATCTCCTCAACTTTGGGTCTCATTGCGATGGCGCCTTACTCCTTGTTCGACTGCAACATGCGGCTCTTTGGAGCGTAACTGCCCGCATGTTTGATCGCCCCAAGGTTGCCCTCGAGGCTTACAAACATGGGCTATCCCTACTTCCTCTCCTGGCGTCCCTGGATATGACCCTCGAGCAGCGCCAGAATGTTTTGGTCCACGCCAAAGATCTCTCAAGCGATGCAGTCCAGCTCGCGATCGACCAAAAGGCGCTCGAAATGGCGGTTGTGTTCCTGTCGACCTCGCGATCGGTTTTCTGGACGCAAGCCCTCCAGTTCCGGGCATCCCTCGAGCGGTTGGAATCCGCTCATCCCTCGCTAGCGTCCGAGCTTCGCTCGGTCAATCGCCAACTCGAGAACGCGACTCATCATATGCAAAGCGCCGACTTCAAAGCCACTTCTCCATACCTTCTTACCGAGCAGAGGGAGAAGATTCTTGCTCGAATCCGGGGTGTGAAGGAGTTCCACGATTTCCTGCTCCCTCCCACTTTCGAAACGCTCAAAACCGCATCTCAAAGAGGACCGGTTGTGTTTCTGAATGCCAGCCGATACGGGTGCCATGCTCTGATTTTGAAGCAGGATTGTACCTTGCTTCCCCTTTCGCTGGACATCGACATCAAGAAATTGCGAGATTTGAGGGTCGCGGTCCAGAGAATGGGACGAGGTCTGGACGTTGATGGCGCTCTGCGGTCTAGCATTGACGATCTGGCTGAGCGTCGAGAACTTCGACTGAAGCTTGGTCGGCTGTCTCGTCAAACTGAGGATGACAGGTTTAGACAGGTGCTCGAGGTGTTATGGCTTCTCATCGCTGAGTCAGTCGTCAGCGCGTTGGAGCTGGAAAAGGTACGTAGCTTTCATCATGCCCTTTGTGAAGAACACCCTTTTGCTGATTTGGTTTTTCAGGCGGATGTTCCTGGAAGAATTTGGTGGTGTCCAACGGGCCCGTTCGCTTTTCTCCCAATCCATGCTGCCGGAATTTATTCCAACACATCTGAAGAATCTGACTGCCTGTGCCTATCCAACTATGCCGTTTCCTCGTACTGTTCGACGCCTCAGGATCTCATCGCATCACCGCCTGAACTGGACTCCGACTTCAAGATGCTTGTTGCCATTGAACCGGAAGCTCCAGAAACTCGTGTATCCGGCCTCCCATGGACCCTCAAGGAACTCGAACGGATCGAGTCGCGGATCCCGGACAAACGAAACTTGATCATTCGCGTAGGTCCAACAAGGACGCCAGCCGATGAGAAGACGATTCTGGAGGACATCAGAAGCTCGTCTATCGTCCACTTTGGGTGCCATGGGGTACAGGAGGAAAGCCCGCTTGACAGTTGTTTGTTCCTTAGCAGCGGGCGACTCACGATATCCTCCCTCATACGCGATTGCCAGACGTCTTCGCCTGCTCTCGCCTACTTGAGTGCTTGTGAAACTGCGAAGGGGGATGAAGAGCGACCTGATGAATCTCTTTCGCTCGCTGCGACGATGCGGTTTGCTGGGTTTCGTAGTGTGGTTGCGACGATGTGGTGCGTAATTTCTTTTCTCTGCTTGGTCTACTCGTTCGTTTTGTTTTCTGATAGTGTTTGACTTGATTCTATTCAAGGCCGATTCATGACGAGGATGGACCCGTTGTTGCTGATGTTTTCTATCGGCATTTGTTCCGTCGTGGCTTGGATTCGTCCCCGGATATTACGGTCGCTGCGTATGCGCTGCATATTGCTGTGAAGGAGTTGAGAGAGAAGGATGTGTCTTTTTCACGATGGGTTCCGTTTGTTCATCATGGTATTTGAATGTGTGTTCGAAACGTTGTGTTGCTGTGCTTTCTATGTCTATACGAGGCTGAATGCAAGCTGGGGTAGTCCATACGTATAAATTCGATTTCTTGTTTCCTTATTTATTTATTCAAACCTGTCTTCGACCTGGCTTGCAGGGTGTTGACCACGCCGTGAACGATGGGGGCGGGGTCGCGTGGGGACCGTCGTCATCGTTTCCCACGATAATGAGCGCTTAGGCGCGCCGACGACCTTGACCTCGAACCATACGGTGCGCAACGAGGGACCTGGATTCAAGGGGCTCTATTATGTCTGACAACGGCGGTGAGCACTGTCAGAATATGTCCCGAAACGTTTCTGACGTCTGCGACAGAAAAACGGGCCTCGCTCGACGTGAACGACCACGACGGTGGCGTCTGGCCATCTGACGACCTCACCGTCTTCTGATCTGATCTACAGGGAAACAGCGCCTTGAAGTGGCTAGTGGATATGTTCTCGTCGTGCATGGCGGAGCAGGCACGATGTCGAAGACGGGCTCGACGCCAGAACAGCGGCGAGCGTATCGAATCGCTCTAGCCGACGCCCTCAAAGCGGTGAGTTCGTCGTCGCATACGCTCTCGATAGCGTCGTTGACCGATTTTGCATGGCTAGGGCTACGCTGTGCTGAAGGACGGCGGTGAGGCTCTCGACGCTGCGGTGGCTGCCGTCGCCGTCATGGAAGGTTGGCTCAAGCGTTGTGGTCATCGTTCTGGGGCCTAAACACCATGCAGACAATCCTCTGTTCAACGCTGGCAAGGGTGCTGTCTTCAACTCGGCTGGAAAGGTCAGTTTTCGTCTCTTGTTCCCATCAAATGCTCTGAACGGCGGTTTACAGAACGAGCTCGAAGCATCTGTGATGCTCTCTAAACCCCCAGCGTCGTACCCTGGAATCCCCAGTTCAAGAAGAGGCTCAGCTTTGACGCTCCTGACTCGAGCCAAGAACCCTGCCAAAGTCGCCAGAGCAATCTACCTCAATCCTTCAGTTTCACCGCACGTCTTCCTATCGGGTGCACAGGCAGAAGAAATCGGAGCGAGTCTTGGAGAGACTCTCGTTGACCCGTCGTACTTTTACACCGAACGACGATGGAAGGAGCATCGGAGAGGTCTTGGTCTTCCGGATACGGTTGTTGGCTCGGAGGATGATTTGCCACCGCAAGGAACGGTTGGAGCGGTTGCGCTGGATGTGAGAGGGTGTGTTGCGGCTGTGACGTCGACTGGAGGAAGGACCAACAAGCTCCCAGGCAGGATTGGGGACACCCCGTTGATGGGAGCTGGATTCTGGGCGGAAGAGTGGACTGGACCCAGAACGGGTGGTTGGGTGTCCAATCTGCTTTCGACCCTTGGTCTGGCGGAAAGTAAAGATACCACCCGAGCGGTTGGGATTTCAGGAACTGGAGATGGTGATGTGAGTTGGTGTTCCTTGTGTATTGTCCCGAGACTGACGTGGCTTCTAGTACTTCATTCGTCAGGCCACGGCGTCGTCCATCGCCAGCAGGATGAAGCTCGCAGGAGAAGATCTGGAGAAAGCATCAGAACGGGTGATCAAGGATCTGTATGAGCTAGGTGGGCTTGGAGGGGTGATTGCCCTCGACGACGCTGGAAATGGTACGTTGTTTCCGCTTGTTTACTGTCCTTCAAAGGCTAACTGGCTTTCAGTATCTATGTCTCTCAACTGTACTGGGATGTATCGGGGTGTTATCCGTGATGACGGTGTACCCAAGGTCGCCATCTTCGATGACGACCCTCTAGAAGAGATTGGAATGTAACTGCTTGCTCCTCTACCGTTCTATGTTTCTGTGACTGATCCTTTGCGACCTCAAGAGAGTGACCGGTACTCGTTGAAGAATGTTCTGCTCGGTTTCGCCCATGCATTTTTGGTTCCCAATACCAAGATCTCTTTCTCGCAGCCCCTCAACCACCGCCGTAAACTGCGCATATCATCTTGCCCCTGATGCGAAAGTGGACCCAAGGCATCAGTCTGAGACGAGAGACCCAGTCGACGCTGGCAAACATTGTGCTTTCCGCTATTCTCCTTGCTCCCTGTTCTTCTTAGGTTTACGATCCAAGATCTCCCTTCGAGCGTATCGCCCTCGGTGACCGTTTGCCGAGTTCAAACTCCGATGATCGCCGCCAAGAAAAGATAAGATAACGGAGCTATGTCAATCTTCCATCGGTACGTTTAGCCGCCTTTTCTTCCTCAAACGCGACTAAACCTTTCCACAGCGATGCTCCCGCCAACGACTCGCCTTCCGTCTATCAAGGCGATAGCTTCGACTCCAAGCGATGAACTGCGAGAATCAATAGAATCAATACGGAAGATATTCAACCCGCCTGTTCGCGCCAGTCGTCGACGGCGCGCCGCCCAAGACGAAACCGACTTTGAAGCATTGCGCTCAGATCCCTTCGAACGAACCTATGTGATAACTTGGCTTACTGCTCTTGTTTCGCGCTACTCGGAATATGTCGATGAACGTTTATTGGCCGACGCTTCTGCTTTGCTGGCAATCTGTGCAGGGACAGCCTGCGCGGGGGTTATCACTCGATTACTTTCTTTCCAGAGCGCGTGTGGACAACTGTCGATTCAGCTGCGGGATGTTCCGTTGGATAACCATGATTATGGGAGTGTGGGGGCGCAGACGTGGGGAGGGGCGTGTGTTATGGCTGAGATGATTGCGGAGGAGCCGGGGAGGTTTGGGTTGCCGGTGGAAGGAGGGGATGGGAGTCGGCCGTTTAGGATATTGGAACTGGGGGCAGGGACAGGTTTGGTTTCCTTGACGATTGCTGAACTCTATCGAAGGATGGCTGAAGAAGGGAGGGTGACACCGCCTGTCGTCGAAGTCGTGGCTACCGATTTTTATCCGACTGTTCTCGACAACCTGGCTGCCAATATTGCGAATAACGGGTTCCACGACGACGATGATAACGCCAACTCTCGGGTTCGCCTGCGGCATTGCGCGTTGGACTGGTCGACTTTCGCTTCGAGTGTACCTTCGCCACCGCTGGACGAACCTTTTGATATGATCTTTGGAGCGGATATTGTGTATGAGGAAAAGCATGCCGTGTGGATTAAGGAGTGCTTAGCGAAGCTTTTGCCTCGTGGACCTTTACCTGGAGCCATTGCGCCAACAACGCCGTTCTTCCATCTCATCATCCCACTTCGTGCGACGCATACCTTTGAATCTGGCACTATCGAGACTGTGTTTGGGGGAGGGGAGGAGGGTGACTCGGAGGAGGATTTGGTTATTCATTCGAGGGAGATGATTACTTGTGAAGAGACGGAGTGTGGGAAGGAGGAGGAGGTTGTTTATGCGCTTTATAGGATTGGTTGGGTTCGTCTTTAATCTTTCTTTTTCTTTTATTGGTGGATTTGGCTGATAGGCTCGTTTGTAGAGGAAATGAGTTCTGATTTGGAGTATTTGAAATCTTGTAATTCACGTCTATGGCTGGCGAGAATAGGATACCGCGACACACCCGTCAAGTCGAAGGGCTCGACGGCGTATGTTTCCCCGAAGAACGAAGAAGGTTAGAACTTAGAAGTGTGACATTGGCGAATTATGCCCTTCTCGGTGGGGAGATGGGAAGTCCGATGTGACTGTATTCTAAGTATGTAAAGCCAATCAGTTCTAGCCCTTTCCGAAAAAGGTGAGTAACGGCGACGCGCTAATGGTCGACGACCGTGTGTGGACATTGCTTCTTTGCCTCGCCTTCGCCGCCGCCGATGTTGGCAGAACCGTCAGCTTCACCGACTCCCACAGGGGTAGGCCAAAACGTACAAGGGTACTTATTCCATTCTTTCCAGTTTAGTGTCAATGAACGTCTAAGCTGATGGGGACATAGAAAGCAGCGTGTAATGGAACGGTGTGTCCCGGGCGAAGCTTTGGCCTTTCTTTGAAGCTTATAAGGTGCGGATACATCAGTGGAGACCCCTCCGCTGTATTAGACAATGCAAGGAAAAATATCAACGACTTTGCCTTGGCCTCTGCGATGTCACTTCTAAAGCAAACACTAGAAGACGAATCGACGCCAGAAGTTCACCCAGGCGCAATCTGCTATCTTATCAAAGCACACCTTACGAGATTCGGCTGTCATGGGTGGATAGAAGATTTCGACGAATGTTTTGATCTGTTGCGGGAGGCCATCGCTAAACACGGTGATCTCGCTTTCGAGGTGTGTTATACTGTGTTTTGGGGGCTTGGATTGCCGCAAGCTACTGAGCGACGACTCTACAGGTATTTGATTTGATTCGGAAAGAGGAATACAAACCTGTTGGGGCCGTTCATCGAGCATCAGAACTCGTCGATGAGTACCGACGGGCGATCGATTGGGCTGCACTGGACGAGCTTATATCTGCGCTCCCCTCGACAAACTTTGAAGAACGGGGGCCCAACAACGTCCCGGCGCTTCTTAGTTATGGTTCAGCCTTTGTGATGCGATATCTGCAACAGGGGTCTCCGCACGACTTGGACAAAGCTGCGACCCGGTTTACCGAAGCCAGAGCTCAATGCCAAAGCAAAGATCCTTACATGTATATCGCCAACACCTTTCTCTGCTACGTCGAGTGGCTCAGAATCACGGAACTCCAGGGCCTCGACCGCATCGAAGCAATGGACCGCTACAAATTGGAGGCAGATGAGGAGGACAAAGAAGGTCTCGAACGGCTTATCGACGGAGTCACGGCCATGGATGGAGTAGATGGAGTCGATCAAGCAGTTTCCCTCTTCCATGCGTCATTAATTACTCGTCCCTTCGCTCACCCCCGCCGTTCAGCGACGCTCAGTCAACTCGCTCTTGCCCTCTTCAACCAATTCCAGCAGAAGGGAAACGTGGAAGACCTCGAAGCAAGTGTGGCATTTGGCGAGGAGACTCTCTCATTACGGCCCAAGTTCCATCCCTTCCGATATGTTTCCCTCGTCAATCTCGCTATGGCCCTTACCACCCGATTTGAACACAAAGGGAATATTCAAGATCTGGAGAAGGCCATTGCCTTGTATCGAGAGTCTCTCGAAACGAGGTCGCTGGCTGATCCTGGTCGAGGCGTAATGCTCACCAATCTGGCATCTGCCCTTTCCATCCGCTTCGAACACGTTGGCAGCATAGACGACTTGCAAGAGAGCATCTCCTTAAATCGGGAAGCTCTCGAATCTACGTCTCAATCGCATCCCGACCGCTCTACGTGGCTGAACAACCTCGCCAACTCGCTTTATCTCTCTTTCCAACACAACGGGAACCTTCTCCATTTGGATGAATGTATCGTCTTCAACAAGGAGGCCATCGCCGCCGTACCCGACACCAACAAGGCAGCCAAAGCCATTTGCACAAATAACCTCGCAAGCGCACTGCTCTCGCGCTACCAGAAACGAGGCCGTATCGAGGATTTGGAGGAAAGCATTGTGCAGAGTCGGAAGTCCCTGGCGCTCATAGGCTCGACTCACCCGAACTACCCTTCCTTGCTGACCAACCTCGCCAGTTCCTTGTCCACCTACTTCAGGTGTAAAGGAGACCTCGACGACCTTCAAGAAAGCATCTCTCTCAACCGGAGATGCCTTCTACTAGCCCCTCAGGGTAATCCCAATCGCTCTCAAGCCCTCCAAAATCTTTCTTCTGCACTATACACGCGATACCATCACAAAGGATCCCCTCGCGACCTGGAAGAGTGTATCTCTTTCTACAGGGAGGCGAAGGAACAGACGTCAGTAACAAGCCCGAGTCGGGCCATAATCCTGACCAAACTGGCTATGGCGCTGGTTTCTCGCTTCCGACGTAATGGCGACATCTTGGACTTGGAGGAATCGATATCGCTCAACAGGCATTGTCTGGCCCTGATGTCGATGACCGACCCACACCGGCCTCAATCGTTGAGCGACCTCGCGCTGTCTCTGTTCGCTCTCTTCGAGCACAAGGGCGACATGGAAGCTTTGGAGGCCTGCATCAGACTCAATAGAGAGTCCATCGCATCGAGTGTCGACGATCACGCGGAGAATCGTGGCATATGGATCAACAATCTCGCCACTGCCTTACTTGTGCATTTTCATCACAAGGGCGACCTTCAGGATTTGGAGGAGTGCATTTCATTGCTGAGGGAGTCGCTCAGGTCGATGTCAGAGGCCCATCCTCGTCGCCCGGAAACCTTGCACAACCTCGCTGTGGCGTTGGGCACCCGTTTCAACCACCAAGGGGACCTCCAGGACCTAGAAGGGAGCATTTTACGGAGTCGCGAAGCACTCGAATTGATGGACGACTCGCATCCCAGTCGCCCGGCCGCCCTTGAAAGCCTCGCAACTTGTCTTTCAAATCGCTTCGACCACAAGGGCGTCTTAGAAGACCTAGAAGAGTGTATCTCACTCAGTCGAAAGTCTCTCTTATTGAGGCCCTCCCCTCACCCCTCCCGCTATCTCTCTCTCAACGTCCTCGCTACTTCTCTCACTACACGGTTCGAAAAGAAGGGCGACTTCGACGATCTTGAAGAAGGCATCGCGCTCCATCAGGAGGCGATTGATTCTATGCCGGAATCGCACCCTCGCAGGCCTGTCGCATTCAGTAATCTCTCGTATAGCCTGGCCACTCGTTTCGAGCACAAGGGCGACCGCAAAGACGTCGAGGAAAGCATTTCCCTTAACCGAGATTCCCTCAAATCGATTCCTCCCCATCACCCCAGCGCCACTCCATTGCTATCCAACCTTGCATACTCTCTGTGGATGAAGCACAAGTCCTACGGGGAGGGTGACTTAGCCAGTATCTTTGCATTGTTCAAGTCCTCCTGCGAGCTTGCAACGGCTCCCCTGCTTGAACGGCTCCAGGTTGCCCAACGCTGGATTTCCTGCAGTCGAGGCCTTGGCGACTTTGCACTTGAGGCCTATGGCCATGCGATGGAGTTGATTCCTCTTCTGGCATCGCTGGAGCTGCCACTGGAGAGGCGTCAAAACGTCCTTGTTCATGCCAAGGAATTGTCACGAGATGCAGCCCAGTGCGCTATCCAACAAGGAGACCTCGAGAAGGGGGTCGTGTACCTCTCCACCTCTCGTTCGGTATTCTGGTCTCAGGCGCACCAGCTTCGAACACCCCTGGAGCATCTCGCTTTGGCCAACCCTTACCTCGCGGATGAACTCCGCACTGTTTCTCGACAACTCGAAGCTGCCACCCAAGGTCCCATCATCACCAACTCCGAGTCGGCGTTGAGACCTGTTAGCCCTGTGGTGCTTCATTCTCTTGCCCAGCAGCGCGAGAAACTCCTTGTCGAGATCCGGAAAATCGATGGTTTTCACGATTTCTTACTCCCCCCTCGGTTCGATCGACTAATGCGCGCGGCGTCGGGTGCTGGGCCAATAGTGTTTTTGAACGCGAGTGTGTTTGGTTGCGACGCGTTGATTATGCAGTCGGAACCGAAGAACGTACAGCACGTTCCCCTGCATGTCAAGTACGGCGACGTTCTTACGCTGAGAGCTGCTATCAAGTGCCTCTCAAATGGTCGGCCACTTCCACTTCAACGCATGGGGATCAGAGGCCTTGAAAGCTCGCTCAGTCCGAGTCAGCTTCGTCTGAAGGCGCACCTTGGAAAGGCCAGTTCACGCACAATGGGAGACGACTTTGAGGCCGTTCTTACCATCCTATGGGATAATGTTGTCGAGCCAGTCGTAAGAGCACTAAAGTTGGAAAAGGTTTGTTGCTCTTAGTAGCTGTTATCGACCAACGCAAATCTGGCATTCTTACTCTGAACTTGTTAGACGGATGCTCCAGGGAGAATATGGTGGTGCCCAACTGGGGCGTTTGTGTTCCTTCCTATCCATGCGGCAGGGAGATACTCGATAGGGGAAGTGGACGGCATATTCAACTACGCGGTCTCGTCGTATTGCTCGTCACCTCAGGATATCATCGAACCTCCTCCTGTTCCCACCAAGGAATTCACGATGGTCGCCGTCATAGAGCCTGGTCGTCCTGAACCTGGGGTTGGAAGTCTTCCCCAGACCCGCGTCGAGCTGGAGAGGATACAATCGCGAGTTCCTGATGGAGGAAATCTGATAGCTCACGTGGGGTCCAATGAGGCGCCTACGAAGATCTCACGCCTTCTTCAAGATATCCAACGCTCCTCGTTTGTTCATTTTGGCTGTCACGCCCTCCAGGATCCCACCAATCCACTGGACAGTTACCTTCTTCTTAGTGGAGGCCGGCTTACTATGTCCAAGATTATCCGCGAATGCCAAACGACTACCGCATCCCTCGCATACCTCAGCGCCTGCGAGACAGCTATGGGAGACGAAGAACGGCCTGATGAGTCGCTTACCCTTGTAGCCACGATGATGTTTGCTGGATTTAGGGGTGTTGTTGGGACGATGTGGTAAGCTTCAGATTTATCCCCCTCTGACCTTTCAATAACGGATCCTCGCTCGTTCAGGCCAATACACGACGAGGATGCACCAGTCGTCGCCGATGTCTTCTATCGACACCTTTTCCGCAATGGAAGCGATGTCCCTCCCGACGCTTCCGATGCAGCGTTTGGCCTGCATCTCGCAGTGAAGGAGTTGCGAGAGAGGAAGAGACCTTTTTACCATTGGGTTCCTTTCGTGCATTTTGGAATATAATTAATTGGTGATCTAATTGTGTAGCCGAAGGTCGTTCATGGCGTCGACGCACATCGAAGCTTCGACTTTGTGAATACTGTTCCCGCCCCTATGAGAACTAAGGGTCTGATGAATCAAGGATGACAACAATGAGCAATCGGTAGGGTTACAAAATAAGCGCCCAGTCATTGATTGGACGGCCTGACGGAAGTGGAAGAGGCCAGAACGTACCGAACGTACTACTGCGTATTCTACTCGTAGCCTTGGCCTGCTATGTTGAGAGTCGGAGGCAGACAACATCCTCGGTGCGCAGCACCTAGTCCTGCAAATTGATACCGATCTCTACAGCACTTCGACAAAAGGACCTCATAGGCTGGCAACGTGGGCGGCGCCGTTGGCAGTGCTGCAGAGTGCCGATAATACATAAATATACCAGCACGTTCTTTGAGGTTGGGTCTACGTTTCCCTCTCCCCGTCATCCATCATCCTACCCCTTTGCATTCCAAGGGTCTTCTTCGTTTCACAGACACACGCCCTCGAAGTTCCAACTACTCCAACTCCGGAATTCTACCCCTCCGACGCGCTGGATAAGAAATGATCATCGTTAGCGGGCAGGAGGCTTCATTGAAAAGAGAACAGTGAGTCCCGGTAGCTCATATCCTTTGATAACTCATCCAAAGGACCTCGGACATCTAGCGCGTCTTCCAATGCGCATAACGACATGTCGTCACCGTCCACAAGCACCGGAATGAGCAATCATTTTACTTCCGTCCCACATCCTCAAGGGGTCCAAGTCGAGCAACGTGTAAGTTAGCAATCTCCAGCAGCCAAATCCCAGCTTTCCGACGAGTGCGGTACAACAGCCCATTATCCCTGGAATTGGCAACTCGACGTTGGCGGCACCACCACCTGCGTATGAAGAGTCGCAGTCACAAATTGGATCGATTTCGCCAGTTCAGTCACTACCACAGCCGATATACGCGACATTGACAGATCTGAGTCGGTTGGAACGAGATCCAGCACCAGCCCAGTGCCCATCATGCGGAAAGAGGATGGTTACCAACATAAGACACACAGTTGGAACGACTACCCAGTGAGTGTCATACTTTTACTGGAGCTTACAGATTAGGTTGACCATTACCACACTCTTGCTAGTCTATGGGCAGGAGTAGCTCTGGCAGTGGCCTGTGTACCCTGTATACCGTACTGTCTCGATTCCACAAAGGACGTCAAGCATAGCTGCACGCAATGCGGAACGCTTCTCGCGACATGGAGAAGAAATGGAAGGACTATTGTACATAGCTTTGGGAGACTTGAATAAGATAATATCTGGGAATAGTCACTGCCTCCCGAAGTATGTGAGTTGAAGTGATCACCGCAGCGATGTACAAGCCAGGGCTGTGTGTGGATGCACTCGAGTGATTTGGAGACGGGTAAACCATTGACGGCAGAAACGTGGTACCAGCTCATAACGTAGTCTCCCACGAGGGGATATCTTATTAGTTCTCAATCCAGAAAATCTGTTGCGATTTTTACATCCCCAACGATGTTCTTTTCTACGAACTTTGACGCGACGGAGCGCGTCTGGCCAAGTCGCGCCAAGAATAGGGGCGAACCGGCTATTGCGTGTGGGAACATCTGAGTCAGCACGGAACTGCTGCTCGTCGTTGCCGACGACGACGACGAGCCGTTTGTTTATCACCTTGCTCATCGTCAACAATGGCTTCGGGGCTGTGTAGACGCTCGCTTCTGTCGAGCCTGACGCGAAGGGCTACCAGAACCCCACGGAACCGGCCATTCTCGACGGGGCCTGCGCCGTCGACCTCGACGACTCCCGGACGGTCCTGGAGGACGTTCAAGACGGTGGCGGGCGCTTTGGGACTGTCTGCGGTAGCGGCGACGTTAGGCGCTATCTACCCACCGCCGCCTATCGCCATTCTTTTTCCCCGCGCTGCTCCTGGACCACCGGCCGACCCACTTTCCCCAGAATCTATCGCCTATACCCAAGATTTAGAGGCTAAACTCCAGAATCTACCGCTTTTGAACCAGTTGCGAAATGCACCTGATGCTGGGGAATGGTATGAGGCCCGTCCGTACAAGGATTTCCCTGAAGAGCGGCGGGTAAACAACCTGACTGCTGGTGCTCTGCGCGGTCCCGGAAAGCTCGCTTTGCGCCCAATTGTCCGGGCGAAAAAAGACGAGAGCGAGAGCATCGTCTTTCTGCATCTTGGACGAGGCCTTTGTGGACATGATGGCATCATCCACGGCGGTCTTCTGGCCACTCTCTTGGATGAAACCCTTGCCAGAACTGTGCGTTTCTTTTGTATCTCGGGTGGCCTGAATCTGACTCGGTCATTTCTTTTCCAGGCCATTATCAACCTACCCGAAAAGGTCGGCGTGACGGCAAAATTGTCCCTCAACTATCGTGCGCCTACGATGGCAGACCAGGTATGTACACCTATTGTCAATCAACATTCGGCCTCTCATTCCGCACCCCAGTTTGTCGTCATCAAGACGAAGTTGACGGAGATCAAGGGTCGGAAAGCAAAGGTTTCAGGCACAGTAGAGACGCTCGACGGAACTGTTCTCGTCGAAGCGAGGTAAGTTGATTACAATGTTCCCATTGGGTGTGATTCAAATGGTATTCCCCTCTCAGCGCCATGTTCGTGCAACCACGGTACGCGAAGCTGTTGCATAGTCCCCAGCTACTCAAGGCTATGGGCGAGCCACCCAAGGCCGACCAACCGGTCTTGCTGGCAGACGGGGAAGATTTGAACCCCCACCATAAACATAGATAACCCCTAGAGGCACCATAACGGTGCACCGCTGGTGTCGTTCTCACATATACCTACAAACTAATGATTCTCATGATCCCCTTCTGCCCAGTGTAGGGCATTATTATGGGGCGTACGTCCTAACTTTATTCTTATGATGCCGTCGCTGAGGATGTCAGGGCCTGTCCAGTGTTCTCGCCCTCCTCCCCCTTCGTAGACACGTCGAGTTTCGTCTCAATGGCACACTTGACAAGTATCTCGGTTCCGGACAGTGGATTATTCTGGTCGATCCGGGGTATCACCTTGTATATTGGGAGAGGGAGCGGTGAAACGTCGGTGTCTTCTCACCCGAGTCCCTACAAACCCACCGCTCGTCGAGTGTTTGAATCCAGGGATACCGACACATTGGTTGGAGTTTGCGCGCGTTTCTGGAACTCTGCCGTCGTTCCCCTTAGGTGCTTACGGTGAGCGTTCCATCTTAGGGATTCAGACCTCATCAACCATATCACTTTAACCTTTTTCACTTAGTGGTATGTATTACTCCTCTTTGCTGGGTGTAAACCACGAAACAGCGACTACCCCGACCTTCGAGGGCTGTTGGATCTTGGGCTCCATGTACGTACCAACTTGTGGTGGTGCTCAGATCATCGGCGCGTACGTCGTGTTTCTTATGTATGACCGTGATTCTATTGCTGAACGTGTTGGACATAGTTCACACTCCCTTCTGCCAGCACATATACAGCTCTCCAGCTTTGGAACAAACGAAGAGATTCAAGAGTTCTGGCGGGCTCCGACTTGTGGCTATTTCGGTCGCTGATATGGTGGATCGAAGCCTTTCTTCGAAGGTGAAGTTCCTTCCAGCTGCCAGCTCATGATTCATCGGCGCGCCCCTTGCACTGATCCGCACCTGCGGAACGCGTCTCCCGCATGGTCTCGCGTGGCCCGACGTTCCAAATTCTCACCATGCCGACGATTTCAAAGCTTGGCGCACAGATTCAGCTTCCAGGGGGGAAAGAGCCAAGCCTTATGGGGCGGACGTTTTCTTCTCCGTTTCAGATCAGAACACCTTGTCCTCGAAAAGGAAGGACGTCGCATCAGAACAGGCGAAATCAAGATCTGGTTTTCTGACTGGATGAATCGAAACTAGCCCGATGAATTGAAAGTGTGTGCCGAATTTATTTCCATGAATCAGAACAGGTATTCGTGTTGTAACTCCTATATTCGCCTTCGTTCGTCCTATCAACAGCTGATTCATTCCTACGAACTTCATTGCTTTCAGTGGCTACTTTCGACTTTGTGAAGAGATTCGTGGTGAACGGGCGCGTGATACCCATGGAGATTGATCGTGGTGTCATAGTGTCCCTGCGAATCGGGATAAGGTACTCCCTCACCTTTCGGCGCTCGGACCTCACCCTACGAATGGCTCGTCCCACTCCTATTGCTCTGAAGTTCCCATCATCATTTCCAGTGTGATTTGATTTCTTTCTTTCCAAAGTGCCGGTCAGATGTCTTTACCAATACCATAAGTATACGACGGGTTCCATCTTCGAAAACTTTTGGGTTATGCCTCCGTCCACACCCTGGAAGGCTCTCGCCCGTCCACTCCACTTATCCATCTTGTTCGTCTTCGTTTGACTCGCTACCTGGGCTTTGCGACTTCATGTTATGTTACAGTCTTTAAGTGAGTGTAGCTTTCAGTGTTCACCAATTTTTGTGCTCACGAGTAAATTTCGACAGAGACTCCGCTCAATATGGCTCTTGGTTCCAAACCCGACCCAACTCGCGCAATGTCGCCTACCTCGATGGCTAGCACCACTGGGAGTGGAGGGAGCAAGCGTCCGAAGAAAGCCATCGACCCGGCCAGGGTGACGATGCTTCTCAACGGCCTGGGGCCCCAGACCTCAGTGGGGCCCACGAGTCCCAGTCCCTCGATCACCTCGTTCCGCTCCAATGAGTCCGCGCAAAACTATCCGCCGTCCGTCACGAGTAAGGAATCGTCGAATTCAAGCAGTGCGTCGGCTTCCTATCCTCATTGCCAATTATTCACTCATTCCTTCCAGACGGTAAAACCAGCAGCCAACGAGTGAGAGTCGTTGGTCTTGATGGTAGTGGTTCACGACCTCGCTCTTTCAGTGGTTCTTCCACAGTGATTGCTACCAAGGACAATGAACCGAAGAAACCCCAGGACACGTCGTTGTCGACCCTCGACCTTCCTTCGACGAACCAGGTTTCCGAGGTACGATTTGTTGGTCGCGGGGGGTATGGCTCTAGACGTGTTCGAACTAATTCCAACTTTGGCCTTGGCTCTTCTCAGTCTCGTCCCACCACCAATACGCTCCTCACCTCCTCCACCTCCTCTTCCGATGTCAAGCAGCCCCATCCTCTTACACGCAAGGGTTCCAGACTAAGACTCATTGGCGAGAAGCTACCTTGGAGACGCCGCAAGCATCAGCGAACTGACACCGCGAGTACATCCATCTCGACTAGCGACTTCTCCCTGTCACACGACGATTCGATGAGTACCACAGAGTCCCCACTTCGAACGCCCACGTCTTCGATATTCCCCACATTCATAAACCCCGATGAGAATCAAGTCGACCTCATGGATCCCATAGACTCGGATTCCGAGGACGCCACACCACCCTCATCGCCGAGACGGAAAGGCGGGAACGTGTCGAAACTTGCGAAGTTCATGGGTGCGGACCTTTCACCGAGTTTCACCCCCATCACGACATCTCCAAACGCGCGTCGGTTACCAAAAATCACCACCGAACTCCATCCAAAGGACGCCGCAGCACCGCCTGAAGAGTCCGACCTCGCCGACGGCGCCTGCACGACAACATCGGGAGCACATCTTACACCCTCAGACCTCCGGGGATCAGTGTCAACGCTGGGTGACATACACCGTTTCGACCCAAATGATGAATTCTCGTCATGGGGAGAGATAAGGGATAGCTGGGGGGTGTCTACGCCGTCACCGATTACATTCAGTCCTCCAACCCCCATCGCCACGAGACCCGTCCAGACACAGGAATCCCCCACCGACTCCAGTGATAACGATAGGCTATCACCTGTTGATGAGTCGTCTGACCAGGAACGTGGACCTGCGGATGACATAGTAGATGATGGTGAAACGCGTCCTCCATCTCGATCTGACACGCCTTCTAGCGAACCCAGGTCTCCAACGCCTACCCTGAAAAGTCACAGTGTGCCGCCTGAAGCCACGGACGCTCGTTCAGAGACTCCGCAGTTCACTCCCCGTCACCTGCGCAGGGGTTCGATGATGTCGTTCATGTCGACGTCTGACACGTACACTGGTGCTAGACCCGAGACACCATTCGGGCTGGGCTGCGGCTTTGGCGCGGAGAGCAACACGTCCATTAACAAGCCTCATTTTGGAGACGAAGATATCATTATCGTCGCGAGGAGTACACCGGAGCCGTCGATGAAACTTTGGACGGGAGAGTGGAACAGCGATCTGTCAGATGTTATCAATGCTCTGCGCAGATTGTAACTTTATCTTGATTTGTTTTTATCCTTTCGTTCGTTCGTTCATTTGTTCGTGTTTTTTCGTGGATTTCATTCAGACATTCATTGGCATTTCATATCTCGCTTTCGACGCAAATTGGTCCTCAGATTATGCACCTTTTAGTCTAGTCGTAGTACAGCGCAGTCTGTAATCTCTTCGCATTTCGTTGTCCCGGTTGACAAACTTTTCCGCACTATGAAGACAAATGTAACAGTAGCTAATTTTATTCCTCGTACTTCAAGAAAGTACTAATCTATGTCCTTCTCGTAGTCATGCTGGCTGCGATCTTCGTCCTCGACCGGCGTGGTAGCGGAGCGTGTGGAACGGGACGCCACGGCCCAATCTACCAAGACGACAAGCAAGACGATGCAACCAGTCCACGAGAACGTTTGCCTCCACCCGTTATCTTGGTGTGGTCCCAAAGCCAAGCTGAAGAGAACGGCCACGAGGAAGAGGCCCATTGTAGGATCAGGCCCAGATGCCATAGCCTTTAGTGATCATCAGCCATTTTGGGTTGACAGAAACGACGACCAGAACTCACATAGATAAGAAAGAATGATAGATTGTTGAGCTGTTGGGTCAGGCTGGGCGCTGGTGTCATCTGTGGAGGATATTGGTGAGTGATTAGATGAGCGCCCGTCGAAGGTTGTCGTACATCAATGATTCCCCAGGTTTTCCAAAGGAGGAGCATGGCGAGTCCTGCCCGAAACTTTGCAACGAGGTGGGAGAGGATATTGCGTTGAGGGAAGCCGCGGTTCTTGCACCCATGTAGAACGGAAAAGATGGCGTAGAGCTGAGTTACGGCGCTTATGGTGAGGAAGAGGCGACAGAGCAAGTAATTCTCGTGGATCCAAGCAAGTGCCCATCCAGCTTGAACGAGAAATACAACGATGAGACCCAGAGGGTCAGAAAGACAGTTCGCTGGGACTCACATTGACAAAGATTTCCTAGGATGAACAATGGCGCAAATTCCCATCTCGCCGGTTCGGGGTTTTGTTGGATTGGCGGGTAAAGCCAAGGTGGTTGCACGTCCCCATGTAGACCTTGGGAGATGGGGAGTTTGTCCTCATTTACGAAGGTCCCCTCCTCGCTGTCTTCGGGAGAATTCCATGGATGATAGAGTTTCTGGAGCCAACATATTTGCAGGGCAACATGGGCGACGAAGGCTACACAGACGGAGTATGGGTGGGGCGCATAGTTGAGCTGCGGAGGGTTCTCGAAGGCGTCCTGGCGTATCACGTAGGCCTGAGCTGCTGCATCGAATCCGGAAGTGAGAAGCGCGAGACGCCGAATGAGAGTGTGGCTTGTGCTCGATGCCATCCCTCGATGGAATTGGGTATGACTTCTGGGAGGATGGAACCGGTCGACAGGAAAGAACGAGCCACCGTTCAGGTCAGTTTGTTTTCTGAAACCTAGTCTCCACCCTTACCATTCATAAGGCCCAGTTACTTATGCAGGCAAACAAGCAGGCATACGGTTGCCGATCCGCTTGGGCCTTTCGATCACTTCGCGACGGACTTCCCGAAATAGATAGCCTCACTGACACGCCGACGCCAAACGCCCGACATCAAGCGCCCGACATAAATTCAGCATGAGGTTATATTTAGCTACGATAAGCAGGATGTAACGATAAGTGTCCACGCGCAACATTTACTTTAGAATCCAAACTGACTCTACCATCCGCGCTTCGCGAAGTCCTCAAGCATGTCTTTGGTGGCCTGCTCCTTGGTCGTATACTGCACACCGAGGATCCGTTTCTCCTTGGAAGCGTCGTAATTCCGGTCGTAGCTCTTCTTGATATCCGGGAATCCTTCTGGAAGCTTGCGGTTCGGGAGTGGAGACGGCTGGATGGACCGGGCAATGTCGACTAGGTCACAGTCAGCCCTGCACCTGAGTGTTTGAAAGTGGTGGGACACTTACTCCATTCTTGCCACACGAATGGGCCCTGAGAGATGATGATTCGTTCGCCGCCGGCGGCCTCCTTCTCCAACGCGAGAATGTGAGCATCTGCAAGGTCGCGCACGTCGACCCAGGAGTTGCTTGCGGACAGAGCCTGGCGTGACTTTTGGCCATCCTCGATGACAAAATTCCACCAGTACTGCATCGACGTGTTTAAGGAGGTTGGCGAAGAGACTTGTTGGATCATAGGCTACGCTGAGTCAGAATTGGAAAACCGGGCGCAGAACTGATGGACCTACTCCAAACACGAATGGAGGGTTGAGGACTGAGATGTCCCATTTAACTTCGCTCTTGTGTTTATTGTAGAAGTCCCAGGCAGCTGAAAGCAAGGTTATAAACAATGAACTCCATCAAGTAACTTGCGCCAACCTTTCTCAGCAAGTGTCTTCGAGGCGCGATACTTGGCCATTGGTGCCGCTTCTCGACCCTTCTCTTCCATTTCTTTGATGGATGCCTCATTCCAGTCCCTCTCGCTGAATGTCGAAGGGGCAGTGGTGTCTGTCAAGATGGCCGCGACGCTCGATGTGATGACGATCCTCTTGACGTCTGGTCTACACAGCAGGTTAAATCCAGGAGATAAGATATTGTTGGTGACGGTCCACTTACGCGTTCTTGAGAGCGCTCTTCAGAATCCCGACGGTTCCATTGACAGCCGGTTCGATGAACTCTATAAATACCTTCAAGACCCGGTTCCTCTATGAATGAGCATAATAGCTTACCCTTAGGATCGTCAACGTTCTCGTGGAAGGGCGAGGCCATATGCTCGATAGCATCGACGCCCTTGACCGCTTCATCGAAAGCTCCGTCCTGTAAAGACGTTGTGTTGGTTATGTTTCGCAGATCTACAGCACACAGCGCACCAACCTTTGTAATATCCGGGACGACCACGATCTCCAATTTGTCGCCATATGACTTGAAGGTATCTTGAAGATGCTGACCTTTATCTGCAGATCTCACCGTCCCCCGGACAGAGTACCCCTTTTCTAGCAGCCTTCGTACCACCCAGATAGGGATGTAGCCGTTGGCTCCAGTGACGAGGATTTTGCTGCCGGGTCCTACAGTGGGCATGTTCGAGATGGTCGTGGATGTAAGTGGATAAGTTGCAAGCTGGCCTGGCCGTTGAGCGATTTGTAATTTGTACTGCTCGCGCTCATCGTGCCGCACATGTTTACGGGAAGATTCCCGATGAATGGCGGTGACGCCATGTGCCGCCTGATCATCGTGAGATAGGGGCCGATGTATCGGATCAACGGGCGCCTATTCAAACAGCGGCATGAGTTCTTGCCCACTCAAGTGCAATGCGCATTCGCAACTCACTAAATCACTAGGGAGCATTAATATTGCCTTTAGGTGCGTATAATTGCAGTTAGAGCTGTGCGCTAAGGAAGTAGTCCTCAAAAGACAGGTCAAACCTCGAAGCAATCGCAAAAGGGAACCGCGCGAATCCACTCATGAGCGACAAGATCGGCCGCCGAGATACGTGTCGCTGGATCGAGACGGAGGCAGCTCTTCAGAAGAGATGACACACTCTTTGCTTGATCCTGTGGTAAAACAGCCTCGAGATGGCCTTCGAGGATCTGAAGGCCTCGTTTCTCAGGACTGCAATCCTTCAGGTTCTTGTCGTGAAGCCATGACTCTGGAATCTGAACTTCGAGAACCTCGCACATTTCTGCAAGTCGTTCTGCCGCTGTTCCTGTTGCTGTAAGGAGGGCTCGGCCTGTTAAAAGGTTGAAAAGCTTTTTCGAAGATTGGTAACTCGGATATGCGACAGAGAGCGGATGTGACGGCCTACCATGACACCTAGCATCCAAATGTCCGTCTTGGGTGAACATGAAGGAGTGGATAGCAACGTCTCTGGTGCAAATCCGTAATCATGTTCAGGCTCTGGGGTAAGTGCGAGACCCTTCTGGGCTGTAATTACCACAATCAACAAGACGCTGAAAACGGAGAAAAGCGCTGGTTATACCATATTTGTACTCCGTTAAAAGGAGCCTCCAATTAAGGACCATGGTCTCCATGCTGTCTGCCACCTGGGGGTTCCTCGCGGGTATGGGTTGAGACCTCACAACTGCGGTGCCCTTGACTGATATAATCTCGGGTTTGGTAAGGAGAGGATCTAGATGTTGAGGGTGTGACGAGGCACCAAAAACGATGTTCTCTGCTGCTATCGCTGATTTAAGAATGTTAGGCCCTGACCCTACTAATATGTAATAGAAGAGATGGTGGGGACTTACACCCATGCATGATGTTCTTTCCTTTGGCTTGCAGCTCGAGGAGTGTACCGGCTACGGCACTGAGAATGTACTGTGTGGTGTGCACAGGCAAGCGCCCGTCCGTATTCGCTTGCCTGATGTCCTCTATCGATAGCCCACAGTGAGGCGCCATGAGGAAGCACAAATGGCGTCCATGCGAGCTCTCCTCCCAGAAATAACCCATGAAACGGGGGTTTGGGTCGATCGTCATTGCTGACATTGCACGGACCAGGGTGTAGAAGCGGTCCGCCTCCTGTTGATTAGAAGCTGACGCTTTGAAGACTTTGAGGGCGTGATACTGCGCTCGTCCACTCTCTTTGACGAGCCATGTTGAGGATCGAGGACCATAGCCAAGTTTTCGGACGATGAGGTAGCGGTTGCTGGAGACGGTAGTGCCTAGTTGTCCAGAGTAGTATCCTCCACCGAAGGAGACAGGGAGGTCGAGGGGTTCTTCAGGGAAGGTATCAGAGACCGGTTCTGGATCAGGTGGCTTAGGGACATAGTTCCAATTGACGATTGACATGGTCGCGATATATCTGTTGAAGGTCTATGGCAGTGAGTGGACGAGAGGGGAAAATAGGTGTTAGGCTATGGAGGTGTCTGTATGGGAAGTAGAACCCCGCTGGAGACAGAATAAACAAATTGACATGAAAGACGAATTGCGGAGGCAGGTCACTGTCGTGTGATATCATTCGGTGGACCTACTCAATGTCTAATGTACCCACCAAAGCACCCACTGACAACCTAAAGGACGTGTTAGTAGCAACCGCGGCTATGCAGGGTCGGACTGACTGGATTTATATCTGCAGCAAAATCGCGCATTCAGGGTTCGTCCCAGAAATAGGAGTGCGGGTCCTCGCTACCACAATATCGGATAATGGGCGCTTAATCTCGAAAGCGAAGATTGAGACGCAAGCACGTTGGAGGGAAGATATAAGGTTCAATTATTGCGATAGTGTATTATATACGCTGGGAATTACGCAATCCATTGGCAATATCGACTACTGGGAAGTGCCGCTGACAAGAGCGTCTATTGTAGCGTATAAGGGCATCCCCTTGGCCTCTTCAAAGCCTTGCCTTGACTCAGTGGTTATTCGTCTCCGAACAGAGGGCGATATAATCTGGGATAGATTCCAAACAATCTCACTCCCTGTAGGGTTGAACTTCATTCTAGAAAGTAAAGTCACAAGGACTATCTCTGAAGTTTGGAAGTTAGTGCATGCCATGAGAAAGGGGCGAATGCGAAGAGGACGTACTGAGTTCCATAATTGCAAACCTTTGTCCTCTGGAGGGATTCATCAGCTTTGGAATGTAGTACGACAAGTGGGTTAGAACTCACACACAGGATCTTCCCCCTCCGAAGAAAGAAAGTCTTCAGCCAGGCGAAGATATCAGACTCGTTACAAGGCAGTGGAAGACTGAGTTACTCACGTTCCCGAGTAGATTCCAGGCAACTTCACATCCGAAACTGTCGCCTTCTCTTTGAACCATCTCTCCGGTTTCCACTCTTTGGCGTCTGGACCCCAGATCGGCTCGAGCCGATTGGCTCCCGCTATTCCTACAAACAGAGTTGTACCCCGGGGGATTCGTAGCGTCATCTGAGTCCTTGATGACTCGGATTGAGAACCGGCGTGCTTGGTGTAAGGAACGACGGTGTCCCTGATGCAGCTGTGCAATGAAATCAGGCCGAGTCGGATTAGGGAAGAGAGGAAGGACTCACGTTCGCCGGACAAAAGGAACGGGTGGGTAAAGTCGCAATGTCTCTCGTATGACGGCGTCGAGAAAAGGGAGTGCAGCAATCACATCATACTTCAGACGAGTCGGTGTGTCTGCATTTCTGTTTGAGGCCTCCTGATAGGCGTTTCGAATTTCATCGCGGAGTTGCGATTGCATCTCCTGGTTGGTGGATAGCATGTAGAGGATTCGGGACAGTGAAGATGCCGTGGTATCCTGAGCGCCAAATATAAGAACGCTGTAGTCCACTGGTCAGTCTCAGGAATGACGCGAAAAGGAAGAAACCAACGTCATCTGTCCGGTAAGCTCATCGTCGTCCATTTTCTCTCCTTCCCCTGCCTTTTCATTCGCTTGAACTGGAACAGTCCTATATGAGCACCAAAGACGCCACTAGGATAGGAGGTCGACACACGTAGCAAGGAGATGATGTCTTTTGGTTTTTCTTGATCCGAGTGGCCTTGTTCATCTCGCCCAAGCATCGTTATCTCCTGGCGTTTCTGTTCCAGAATTTGCTGTGCTGTAACGTGCATGACATCCGACATGTCCTTGACCTTTTGGATTAAGCTGTTCGGAGTCCACTCGACCAATTTACGACGGAACCAGGGAGGGCCGAGCTTGATTAGGAAGGGTGCCATTTGTCGAACTACAGCCAGTTTAAAGAGTGTAGGTCTGCAGGGTGAACGGATTAATATCATAGTACTCCTTGTCCACGAGAAAGATACCGGACCCACATCATATCTTTGATCGCAGATGTATAAGGATTGCTGTGCGCCGAGTCGAGAGGATCAAAAGAATATCCCAACACAGAGCGCCCGACCATCTCCAACGCTACTCTCGAAGCCCACTCAGACATATCAAGAATGCCTTTCTGTGCATCCTCTCCGTCTTCCTCTTGGGACTTTATCTCTGCTTCGAGAACATCTGCGAGCTAAATGCAACGGTAAGTTGACGCGCCCGTCGTGTGATGCGTTGGTACGCACCTTCTCTGCAATCTCAAAGAATACTGGAGAGATGGCCTTGAGATTGGATGCTGAGAAGATGGGATTCACGAGCTTCCGTTGTCTTTTATGTTGTTCCCCTTGAATATTAAAATTAGCCTAGCTGTTGTGTAAACCGCTACATAAAACGTCGGGTACCAGTTGTTGCTACTAGTCCAGGACCAAAAATAACCTTGTTGGTACTAAAAATGACTTGTGAGAAGGCCTGAGCAGTGTCACACCGTTTGAGAAGCTCGCGTACTCGATGAAAACAGATGTCTCCTCGAACGAGTCTTGATCTTTCACAACGATAGATTGTAATGCGCGAGGATCGACAATGTAGAGTTGTTCGTCCTATTTGGAAATCAGCTTGCTGCATAACAATCTTAAGGCAGATGACAACTGACACCGAAGAAACCATAGACTTTGGCAATGCCCCCGAACTGTTCTGTGAGGTAGTGGTGAAAGGGAAGGCCTTTGGCGTTAAAGAGCTGTTTCAAGTTTCCTATTGGTACGATGAAGGCTGTGTGGCGTTATCCACTATAGAAAGGGAATATATTTACCTGTTATCCACGACTGTCGAGGAGGTCCCGGAATGCCGACAAAGGAATGGTGTTGACGACGAGAAAGAAACCATCTCAGTGTCAGGAAAGAGAGCCCTGGGATGAGAATGACGGGAAGCAATGAGGGAGGGTCCATGAGTAAGATTCCAGGTATGTGTGGTGTCCGGCTCACTAATCCGCCTTTTTAAGAGACTCTTGGACCCGCACGTCCGCATATGATGCCAGGGTTTTGAATCATAATGCAACACTACTAAGAGGCGGAGTGACGCTACCGACGGATGCTCGTAACACATCGATATCGGAGTCGTGTATGCTTGACTAGGGCTGGTCATTACCTCCTCATGGAACGAAGTCTCGTCTTCGCGTTTCACTGGCCCCGATGACCGACTTCAAACGAATAACGGCCTATCCACTTTAGGAGAATCCATCAGTAAGATTTCTAGCGTCTAATGGACCTTGTCACATATGATGCTTGGGTATGCTCGCACATATATTGAGTGATGTAGCTCCCGGTCTCTAACGATATGAGTCACTCCCAGCCCATGAAGGGGCTGAATGGTATGATCTTCCTAATCCCGTTGACCCTCGTCCGAAACGCGTTCCGGATTAGACGAACAGAGTGACGGGCTGTCCAGTTTCAGCACCCCAGTGACCCTAACGTGGAATTTTTCCAGCATTCTGCCTCAATTCTACAGAACTACTCAAACCAGACTTGTAAACGGGCATGCTGGGCCCGATAGTGCGATGAGCAAGGAGCTAGATCAATAGACCGGAGACGATCGGATCGTGCACACAAGCGCCAGTTTAACCCTCTCCAGCGTCCCCGAATTTCTCTCTTGCTTCCGCTAGCTACTGAGCAAGAAATTTCTAACGGCGGCAGGAGTCATCGCATTCCCGGATTGTGCATCATATTGACCACACATGTTTTGGTCTGTGGTCAGTATTGATCCTGGACGTCCACTGGTCAAAACAGGCTTGAATAAATTGAAGCCAGCAGCCGGTGAGGCTATGCCTTTTGAAAACAAGCCGAACTCGCCGCGCTGCTGCGCCAGTGCGCCCAGGCGCAGAGTCGCGACGCGCCCTGACGCGCTAATTTACTCCACGTGACCGTAAAGTCACGTTTCCGCCTTCCGTCACGGTCGTTTGAGCGCGTTCCCGATGCAGCGTTTCTTTCTTCTACCACCACAACGGCGCCAAAATGCCCGAATTCCCAAAGGTTACAGGTCAGAATATCGAATGAAATGTGGTTTAAGGCATTCACTAACAACTGCAATAGGGTACACGCTAGTGGACAGAATTGGAGGCGGCGGGTTCTCCAGGTACGTTGTCCCCGTTCCTTTCAGCTAAAATTCCAATGAAAATCAGCGTTTATAAAGCTATAGACTTCAAGAACTACCGTGCAGCAGCATGTAAAGTGATCATCATTACTGAGGAAACCACAGATAAAGAGAGAAAGACACTCGACAAGGAAATGCGGATCCATTCGGCGCTGAAGCACGAAAACGTGCTGGAATTTCTGAACGCTGTGGTCGTCGAGCTCAAGCACAAACATGCCTATCATCCGGGATATTATATGCTAATGGAGCTGGCTTGTGGTGGAGATCTGTTCGATAAGATCGGTGGGTAAAGAAGGCTGTGAAATAGACCAGATCTGACAGTTGGTTCCAGCGCCCGACAAGGGCGTCAGTGACGACCTGGCACATCTGTATTTTAACCAGTTGATAGCCGGAATGGTGAGTCTAAACTCCTTTCCGATGAAACCAAGTCTCACAGGTCAAACCAGGACTATATCCACCAACAAGGCGTGTGTCATCGCGACCTTAAGCCGGAGAATCTACTACTGGACGTCGCTGGGACGCTCAAGATCTCCGATTTTGGTTTATCTTCAGTGTACAAACTGAAAGACTCGGGTCGGACGCGATCTCTGACCGAACGCTGTGGAAGCCTCCCGTATGTTGCACCAGAGGTAGGTGGTCCCGTAAGCTTTGGGCTGTAGACCCAGTGGGCCCACACCCAGCGTTTGATATTCGTTGATCCCGGGGTTGTATCGGGGGTCTCCATTTTCTGGCCCTCGTCCCGTCGGTAGTGTTATTCCTGCGGATGTACCTCATCCCCATATCCCCAGGAATCGTGACGAGTCGAACAGCTGGCAAGGGGGACCCCGTGCTCCACATATCACCGCATATCAAAACTGGGTTGGGGAAAACTGGGGGCATCTGCGATCCGCTCCATTCTGACATATCCCAAAGCTGAACAGCAACGCGCCGTACGAAGCGGAGCCAATCGATGTCTGGGGATGTGGGGTCATCCTCTTTACTCTGTTGGTCGGTAGTAAGTAATTGGAACGTGTCTTGTGGCACTGGCGCTAAATCGACATCCAGATACCCCATGGGACGAGCCCACCCGACACAGCCCAGAATTCTGCCGCTATCTGGATGGGACCATCTTCGACGAAGATCCATGGAATCGGATCTCTGAGACCCCGCTGTGTGAGTCCATCAGGCGAACTCCAGCAAGCCCATTCTAAGATGATCTAGCTCTCCTTCAGGGTATGCTGAACGTGAACCCAGCTGAGCGTATGACGCTGTCTGACGTGTATCAGCATCCATGGTGTTTACGGTGAGTTAGTGTTGTGATGCAGTACACTGCTTTTTCTGATCGTTCCGACCAGACCGAGCCAATTGGCACGAGCAGACCCAGGTACCCTGGCGGAGATGCTGACGCAGGGGCTACGCGAGGACGGCGATCTAAATGTAGCAGCCCCTGATTTCGGAGAAGCTATGTCAGTACTTCTCTCGTTTTCCCATCGAGTTTTACTGACCTTTCTTCAGGGATGTCGACGAAGAGGACGATCCCCAGCGTTATGCTGGAACAGCCTCTCAATTCACGCAGAAACTCATGCTTTTCGTAAGCGTCCCTGCCGCATTGCAGAGAAGGGGAAACTGATCTGTTTCCAGTCGCAAACGCAATCGGGCCCTCGATATGTGCCGAACCTGACTCGATTCTACGCTTCTGCGCCGCCAACGGTATTGATGCCCCTGATCCAAGAAACACTGGAGGGAATGAACGTCAAATGTAAACTTGACCCTAGATCTAAGATGGTGCTGCTGTTGAGGATCGGAGGGTACGACAAGCGCAAGCTCAAGTTCCGAGGGTGGGTGAACGTGGAGAGCTTCAGCAAACATGGGTACGAGGGGAGCTTCTGCGGCATGGCGAGAGATGAGGTTGGCATCACGATAATTCATCGAGGCTTTTCTGACGTTCTTTACAGGGGAGCCCGATTTCGTGGCGGCAGCTGTGGAAGGCCCTCATCAAGAGTCCCCTGGTCAGCCCCCACGTCCTATTCAAATAGCGCCCGAGCGAGCGCCAGCCATCGAAATCCAGGCTATGTTCATGCTAAATTGGCGGATGGATGAGGATTCTCCCAACTTCGAATTTAATTTTTGAGACGGACCCCCCTTATACGTTTGCGCGTTCTTGTTTCTTGTGACCCAACGTTTCGTTATTTTGTATCATAGAAATCATACCAGGTATCCCAATGGACTACATGTGTCTCGGACAATGCTAGCTTGAGCATCGCTTTTTATCTGTCTCCAGGATGATCGGAGATGATAGGGCGCCTGATCATGACTTGCGAACAAGCGCCCAATGGCCCTTCCTCAGTTGCGTCGTGGTCCAAGTTGGTCTACTCTCTTAGGTGCAGTTGCGCGATTTTATGCTGCCATTGCTTTTTCTTCCAATTGTCAATGTCATCCTTCTCCCGGCAAGCCACCGGTTAACTTCCCGGGAAGACTATATAAGCAATTCGCCAATTCCGTCAGCCCAGGTGGCGTCATCCTTCCGAGCTCTCTCCTTACCCTTCAACTAGGCTTCCACCCACCATGACAGTCACATCTGGATCGCGAGTTCTTGCTGGACCCATTGGGGATTGCTGCGTCCAGGGGGTCAAGCACTCGGGAGACCCTGCGGGAAAGTCAATTTCGATTGACAATGTCCCCACTTATCTCTCGGAACCACCAAGACCACAGGAAGGAAGGAAGAAAGTCGTCTTGTTCTTCTCGGACGTTTATGGACCTTTCTACCTCAATAATCAGTTGATCCAAGATTACTATGCGTCGCAGGGTATGTTTAATTCCTACCACGATTCACGGTTGCAAGGGGTAGCTAGGTTGCTAATGGATTGTCAACTTCAATAGGCTTCTATGTGGTTGGGATCGACTATTTCTTTGGCGATCCTATCTACATCCATACAGAACCAGATTTCGATAGGGATGGGTGGTTCACCAAGTCGAGGAAGCAGGCAGCAGAGGCCGTTCCCAGGTGGATCGACGCTGTTCGAGAGGTTTACGGTTTGTCTACCTCTCTCACTGGCAGTTCTCAGGAGATAACGTTCTGAGCCTTTTTGAAGGCCAAGATGGCATCTACAGTGCTGTTGGTAGGTGGATTCATGAGGAATCTCACATTGTCGAACTTATGATTCGTGACCTTAGGATATTGCTTTGGTGGCCCTTACGTCCTTGAAACCGCTGCTACGGATAAGATCGTTGCAGGCGCCTTTGCTCATCCAGCAGGCTTGACTGAAGATCATTTCCGAAATGTTACCAGTAGGTTACGAACCTCTCAGGCCGTTGCTCGTGACTCACAAATCCCTGCGTCTGAAACTAGAGCCCGTTCTGCTCTCCCTAGCAGGTAAGATCCGCGACAAAAGTCTTTTATCAGCACCTCTAATTCAGCTGGCAGAAACCGACTTTACCTTCCCACCTGAATCGCGAAGGCGAGCTGTGGATATCTTGGCTGAGAAGAAAGCGACATACCACGTCCAGCTTTTTTCTGGAGTTTCGCATGGCTTTGCTACTCGAGGAGACCCCGCTGTTGAGAATACGAGTGAGTCCAGTCTGCCTCTCGGAAAGTGAATGCCTTGAAGTAGTAATGTTGACATGATATCGTATAGGGTGGGCTAAAGAAGAGTCAGCCCGGGGTATCATTAACTGGTTCATCCGATGGAGTTCGAATGCCTTGGCTCAGAAGTAGATTTATAAGTACGTCCGTGAAGTTGCAGAAGACGCGATTTGTGATATTGTAAACGCCATTCAAACACGATGATACTAGGCCCGGCGCCAGACTTGTATATATGTCACTTTTGAGATTCACCCGGCTTCTCTTCCGAGCCCGTGAAATGGTATTCCTACGAAAGGCTTAAATTGCCAATGCAATCTTCGAACGTGTTCCCACCCTGATCATTTCCATTCGGCGAGTTTCTTCTAACTGCGGAATGACTGAAACGAATTCCTCTCCGGTCCTCGCAGGCCCCATTGGCGATTGTTGTGTCCAGGGTGTCAAACACACCGGCGAGCCAGCAGGGAAGACGATATCCATCGCCGACGTGCCTATTTATCTATCTGAGCCACCGAGCCCACAAGAAGGGAGGAAGAAAGTCATTCTGTACTTTCCGGACGCCTATGGGCCCTTCTTCGTAAATGCGAAGCTTCTTCAGGACTTTTACGCTTCTCAAGGTACTGTATTTCCCAAGGTGACTGTGTCGAGTCGCAGGAGGCTGACAGCAGTGTCAGGTTTCTACGTGTTGGGCATCGACTATTTCCTGGGAGACCCTATCCATCTGCACCTAGACTCACCCGACTTTGATCGAGCAGCTTGGGTCGCCAAATCGCAGAAACAGGCGGAGGAGGCTGTTCCAAAGTGGTTGAAGGCCGTCACGGAGCTGTACGGTACGCGGGTCCGAGCACTGTCTTGTGAAACGATAACGACGTGGCTCTGATAGGTCAGGACAGCGTGTACAACGCAGTAGGGTACTGCTTCGGAGGACCTTATGCCATTCAAGCCGCCGCGTTGGAGAACGTAGTTTCAGGTGAGCGGGCGTCAGGCCACATCTGGATTCACGTTGACGAGATGAACCAGTTGCGTTTGCCCATCCGTCGAGGTTGAACGAAGACCACTTCAAGAATCTGACCAGTGAGTCCCGAGTGGATTGTCATTTCGGTTCTGATTGACCGGGTCCCAGAGCCGCTGCTCATGGCATGCGCGGAAATCGACAACACCTTCCCTCCCGCATCAAGACGTAGAGCGGTCGATATTCTGGCCGAAAAGAAATTGCCGTACCACCTCCAACTCTTCTCGGGCGTCGCACACGGTTTTGGAACTCGAGGGGATCTCAATGTCGAGAACAGTCGTAAGTCGGTGTAATTGGCTTGGACAGACAACAGGGTGCTGACGATCTGCTCAGGCTGGGCAAAAGAGGAAGCTGCTCGAAGCGTGATCAATTGGTTCAAGCGATGGAGTAACAACACATTATGAAACCCGTGTAAGAACAGCGACGCTTTCCACATGTGCCGTTTGAGGGAACAAATCGAATCCTCTTACACTGTCCAACGTGTACTTCTTCGCCTTGCCCGTCCTTCCGGCCTCCATGATCTGTCCTACATCCCGCGCCTGGGTATGCACGTTGCAGCTGACGTAGACGATCGTCTTGGGACCAAACTCGAGCAGCTGCTTGATGAAGAATTCGTCGCAGCCTTTGCGCGGCGGGTCGATGAGGACGGCGGTCTGGTCTGCAGGGAAGTCTTGCACTACGGCAAAAATCTCGCCTGCGTTCCCTGCGCGGAATGAGATCTTGTCTTTGGAGATCTTGTTCAGTTCGGCGTTGCGCGTCGCGAACCTGATCGAGTCCTGCGACAGCTCGATGCCGGCGACTTTCTGGAACGAAGGGGAGAGGACGATGCCGAATAGCCCGGCACCGCAGTAGGTGTCGACGAGGTGGGTGAGCGTCGAAGGGGTGGGTGCGTCTGGCGGGAAGATGGCGTTGCGGACGTAGTCTGTGAGGGGGAGGAGGACCGAGTTGTTGTTTTGGAAGAAAGAGCCGGCGTTGTACTCGAATATCCAATCGCCGACGCGTTCGCGGACGAGGGATTTGGGGTCGGTGACGCAGATTTGTTTGTTGAAAGCGTCTGAGAGACGGTCGACGGAGTCGTCGTCGATGTTGACGCTCGTGTCTAGCGACTCTCGGAAGAGCAGTGAGACGCCCTTTTTGTAGGTGTGCACCTTGCTGGAGAAGTGTAAGCGAGGCCAGGGTGATGTAATTGAGAGAAACCCACGTCACGACTTCCTCCCTCGTTGCAGCCATTTGGGCGTTGACGACTGGGGTGGCTATGGGACACTCTTCAATGTCCATCACCTTTTGCGTCCCAACTCGGTTGAACCCGATCTTCAGCCAGTCTGGTTTCTCGCTGATGGGCTTCATGTTCTTCCGTATATCCTTGGGTGGAGCCTCGAAGTGCGGCGTCAGCTTGGTGCGATATTCGTATTTCAGGGGAGAAGGGACGGTAGACAATATGGGGGGCATCTCTTCGTCCGAGAGATCTGGATAGGGTCAGTAAACTATCCAAGTAAAACAGGCAATCCACTCACTCGAATAGTTTTTGAACGCTTTGACTACAACGTTCCGTTTAAAGTCCAGCTGGGTCTCGTAAGACAGCATTTGGTATTGGCAACCTCCACAGGTCCCAAAGTACTTGCAACGGATAAGGCTGCTGTCTCTGAGTTCGTTGTTCGGTGTGATGACCTCCAGCAGGTCACCAAACGAGTGCAGACGAGCATGTCGGTAGATACGGGCTCGAACCCGTTCATTGGGCAATGCCAGAGGTACAACGACAGCCCAAGGCTTGCTCGAGCCCGTCGACACGGCAATTCCATCGCCTGTAAATGCCATAAGCGCCGATAACCACCAAGACATGTACAATGCGCACCGTTGGATCCCAAGATCTTGACCTCCAATTCCACTTCCTCCTGGTGCTTGAACGGCGAATCAAATTCCGAACCAACTTCTGTAGCACTGTTGACAGCGTCCTGGCCCAAAACCACCTGGATATCCTTCCACAAAACATCCTCAGCTGAACAGGGATCTGGCAGCTTTGCCAGCTGTTTCTTGCGTCGATTCTCGCGTTTTCGGTCGCGTCGTTCTGCAGCCTTCTGCTTCAGAATATCTGCTTCAGATATAGCTATGACCTGAGCGCCATTTGTCGATGTCGAGGCCGATATTTGGGGCTCCGTAGCGTCTGTTCGTGGCCGCTTTGAAGGTGGCAGTTCCTCCGAATCAGACAAACTGCGCACCTGTCCGAGTTGGCTTGTAGACATTTTGTGCGTTTTCAGAAATATTCCAGGACGCTTTTGGCGATATCCCTGGCTAGAAAACGACCAGACTGAGCGAGAAAATAGGGGAAAACGAGAAAAACTGGCGAATCGCATGCAGAGAATTGCCAACTCCCAAATTGGAAGGTACGGGTATGTCCGTGTCGGAGTTTGTCGGAGCTTCAACGGGCGGCTCGTTTTCCGAGCCCCTATCCGCGAAACTTGTTTACTAATTACGACGTGGTTTTCCTTGATTTCTACTGCACTCTGTTTAGATGACTGAGAACAAGCCTTTTGTTGTGTTTGGATACGGTTCTTTGATTTTCAAGGTGAGATTTGGACTGTGGAACGCGTTCATTAGCGATCTAACGCGATATCATTAGCCTCCACCGCACGTCGTGGCGAAGAGTAGCTATCCATTTGCTTTACTTCTCAAACGGAGAATCCAATTTAAGTTGGTTGTAGCTCCGGGATTTCTTAAAGGCTATGTCAGAAGGTTTGCTCAAAAGTCCCATGATCATCGTGGAACGCCTGAGGTTCGTCTCGTTAAGAGATCGAAAAGACGCTGGTGATGATATCGAAATGCGTAGAACCCTGGCCGTGTTGTGACCCTCGTCCACAAAGAAGACTGGGACAAGTTCTCAGGATCAGTGAGTTTTCCAATCTAAATATACTTGAACCGCGCTCACGCGCATTAGGATGCATTCCCAGATGAAGACGTCGTCTGGGGCAAGTATGATTCCGTTATCAGGTTATTATATCGTGCGCGCACTAACCTTCAAGTTCGTTTAGGGATCGCGTATACCATAGACCCTGCGTATGTAGCGGAAGTTCGTGATTATCTAGGTACGAGTTCATACTTGTTTTCATGCAAGTCCATCCTAACATCGAGGAAAAAAGACTTTAGAGAAAAGGTAATCGTTTGTCCTTTCACCGACCCCCCAAACGCGTGTTTAAGACCCTTCCCACCTAAGGACGGCTATACGCTGGAAACTCTCGACATATACAACGTGGATTCCGAAGGGAACGAGTCGGTAATTATCCATAACGTTGGTCCTACCATCTTCTACTTTCCTTGGTGTTGAACTTACCATGAAATTTAAGGCATATGTACGTCCGGTCGTTCTAGAACGGGCAAAGCAGCTCTAAACTTCTTCAAGTGTTATGTTGGACGCAACGACAACCCGTCATTTAGTAAGTCTGATACCTAAATAGGAAAAGGAGGAAGCCTGATTACCGTGTCCAGTTGGCTCAGAGCCCCTAGATGCCCTATCGAAAACTATATGGCGTTCCGTTGGCCCGTCTGGACCGAACAAGGAATACTTGTATCGGTTGGCGGATGCCGTGCGCGAACTATCGCCGTCGTCGTATGATTCCCACTTGTTTGCTTTAGAGGCAAGGCTTTTCACTTTCATTCGCGCTGTTCACACAACCTAATCTTATCATCTAGGACCTCGTGAAGAAGCTAGATAGCGCACACCCCAATTGAAGCAGATTTCGAATTATTCATGATAAGCGTGAAACCTGGAAATCCAGCCAGTCTTGATGGTGCTGGGATTGCCAATACTGACTTATCTCTCCATGACGCCTATCTCATACTTATCTCTTCAGGCCATTTCATCCTCTCCCTTTCTAATTTGTGAAGTTCTCCAAAATGGAAGATTACAAATTCCGTGAGTGTGCCGAACGTTTCCACTGCTGAGTTTCAATCTGTCCCGAAACCTCGTCTTCATTGCCATGACGCAACGAGATTGCTTTCCGCTCGATACCAGTTCAAAAGGTGAGCACCTGAGCCCAAGGCGATAGCAGAAAACGCTGTTTACCCAATCCCTCGACAGAACTCTAGTCGAGGTAAGCCCGCCAATCGAACGGTTGCACCGAAACAACGGTAGCGACCACGTTGTTTGATAAAACATTGATGACAACACGATAAACCCCATCTGGACGACCTCTGCCGTACAGGCTGTTGGATCAGGCACGTTGTGACCATGCTGGAAACGAGGCTTTGGTCGAGGCTGATATCACCTTGCACTCAGACCACATTTTTCACCATAGAGCGGTCATGGAGGCTTGATTTGCTGAGGACCATTTGGCCCTCCACATTCAAGCACCTGTGTTCACGAAGTCTGGCCCCACCGCCAGGACAACGAGAAATATTCACCACAGCGAAGGACTCGAAGATAACTCATCTTGGTTCCAATGGATTCTACCGAAGAATTACAGCAACTCGAAATAACCGCTCTCAAGTCGATTTTTGGAAATGATTTCATTGAATGCCCCCCTCCCAAGGCGTGGAAGGTGCGTCCTTTAGGCAGGTGAACGAGAGTACCACGTTTCTGGATTTGACACTCTTCCTGTTCTAGGGTGCGGCGAGGCTGCCTGAATTCATCATACAAGTGACGAATCCAGATTATCCTGACAAGATCAGTGTAAATCTCCACGTAAAGTGCGTCCCCGGGTTTTGGACTGCGGAATCTATCTAACGAAAGTATCTAGGCTACCGAAAACGTATCCACACCTCGCCTGCCCCATCTTTACTCTTCAGAAGCCCGCCAAGGGCCTTACCAATGATCAGGTTTCGAAGTTGCAGCAAATCATCAATGCGGAGGCACAGAAACAGCGGGGAACTGAAATGGTTTTTACCGTGCGTTGTAGTCATTTCTTCCGAATCGAGGCGGTTGTTGAACAATGGCCACTGTAGATCGCCAACACATGTCAAGATTGGCTTGTGAACAATGTCACGCCGGTATCAGGCTCCCTTGCTGTGCAGATGACTCAAAGAGCGTTAGACGAAGAAAGGGTGAAAAGCCACCTGTTTTGATTCCTCATGCCTTCAACCCTGACCATGACCGTCTTTTTACAGAATCGTAAGCAGCGAGAAGCAGAGGAGGCAGCGAGAGAAGAGGAACGAAGGAAGAGGGAAGCTGAAGAACTGGAAGCACAGATCGAGCAGGACGCGTTGCGGCAGTTGATGGCGAGGGAGCAGCAGTTCAAGTCTCGAGAGCGAGCAAACTCGGAGACCACGGAAGTTCCTTTCATGAGCGACACCCCTTTGGAGACGTTCAGCCAAGATATCCACCTGGGCGACGTGCGCTTCAACACTGTAAAGCTCTTTTATCCAAGACAAGGTCCGTCCCCGTTTGGTTTCGGACACCGCGTTCACGGCGCTGACCTCCTAATAGCTGGCCTCCAGACCGTTTACTTGGCAGAGCCAGTCGTCGACGACCTACATACGACCCCGCCACTGGAGCTTCATATTTATACCTTCGAGTCGTCATACTACTCAACGAGCCAAGGGCGAAAGAAGCTGAAGCAAGTCGAGCAAGAGATCAAGGACCTCACGGTTACCCGCCATGACCATCTCCTCGCCACCCTAGCAGTCAAGTTGAAGCTGCCCCACTCCAGTGACCCGGCGCAACTCATCGTGTTAACGGAGCAAACTCCCCATGTCACCCTTCACGACGTGTTGGTGGATTGTCATTCTTTGCGGGAAGACAGAGCAACAGTACGTGGCGACCTCTCGTGTGGTACAGGACAAGTCGCTGACATCTGCGACAGCAATATCTCACCCAAATCCTGCAAGCTCTCAACGCTCTTCACAACAAGAATCTCGTTCATCGCGGGATGGACGTTCGATGCCTCGGGCTTGTTTCTTCAAGGACGAACCCTGGCCAGAAGGTCATCAAGGTCGGCAAAGCCGTGTTCCACACGCACTTGCTTGACCTTCACAGGTCCAACTCGTTTGGGCCTCACATCCCGCCAGTGGCCGACGAGCCTCAGATATCCGATGGTTGGCTGTCGCGTGAGATGAAGGACTCGGCTCTGTTGTACACGAAGCGAAGGGACATCCATAACGTTGGCATTATCCTGCTCCAAATGTTGATGGGGCTGGATGTTACGGAGCGCTACTCTGATGTTCAGGAAGCGATCCACTCATGTGAGCTCGTTTCTTTCATTGATCGTAGTTCTTGAGCTGATGGTCTGTCTCTCGTAGCCGCCATCTCACCGGTTCTCGCCAGGCAAGCGACGAACATGCTCACCCCCACGAAGAAGAACAACATCTCGTGCATGACCCTGTTGTCCGAGCTTGCGGAGGACAGTTTGAAGGCGTCTCTGCAGCAAACGCCGATGACGAGTCGGTCTATCCCGATCATGAACAGTAGCGGCGGTGAGTGTTTTGTGGGTTTAGCAACCTGTCCCTTGGAATTCAACTCTTCTATAGGGCCAAGAACCCCGGTTCCAAGCATGTATTACGGTTCCCCTGAAGTCGATTATGTGATGCATCGGATGCGTCAGGCTCGCCAATCGAGTCGATGGAAAGATGACTGGGAGGAACTGGAGCTTCTAGTACGTCAACCCGGATTCGTTTCGCCTCTCTTCACTAATTGATGATTCCTTAGGGCAAAGGTGCCTTCGGTTCCGTGGTTAAAGCTCGCAACAAGGTCGACAACCGCGTCTACGCCGGTTTGTATCCTTTTTTCTCCATCTTCTCTGGTACCCGCTCATTCTCTTCCAGTCAAGAAGGTCCGCCTTAAAGCAGTGCAGAAAGATGACAAGATCATGCGAGAAGTGAACGCTCTCAGCCGGCTCAACCATCGGTTTATTGTTCGATACTACACCACATGGATCGAGACAACCGAAGCGCCGTCTACCACTGTTTCCGACGACTCCAGCGCGGAGTCTTCAATGATTACCAGCTCTGAAGTCACTTCGATCCCAGACGATGATAGCGAACGTCATTTACCCATCAATGGAGGATTTGATCTGGGCGACCTGGATGACCTGGACGATGAACTTGGGTCACAATCGTCGTTCCCTAGCATCCACTTTGAAGGCTCCAAGTCTCCTGCGAATTCCGACAGCAGTGGCGACGATAGTTTGTTTGACTCGATGTCGCCCACCAACAAGAACCTGACGTTCCCTTCGAATTTTGGGCCGAGTAGGACCCTTTATATTCAGATGGTGGGTTCTGTCTGCCGTTGTACGAAGGGATTGGGGTGCTGATGAATGCTTCTCAATAGGAATTTGTGGAGCGTCAGACGCTGCGGGAACGAGTTGACGAAGGTATCTCGGAGGAAGAAGGATGGCGCCTGTTCCACCAGATTGTGGATGCTCTAGTGCATATGGCGAACCTTGGTATCATCCACCGTGATATCAAGTTGACGAACATCTTCATTGGTGGGTCGTGATCTTAGATTTTCGTGATGTCCTTGCTGACGAGGTTCATCTTTTCCAGATGCGAAAGGGGATTGTAAAGGTATGTTTCCGCAGCCCTTGCGAAGATCATGGGTCTCACTCTATTCCCAGTCGGTGACTTCGGATTGGCTACGTCGAGTCTTGCCGCGGTGGATCCTTCGGATGTCCAACACAAGCCGGTGACATATGATCCTGAAATGACCCTCGGTAAGTGACTCCTTCCGGTGTTGTTGTCAACTACTAACCCCCTTGTCTGCAGAGGTGGGAACGAGATTGTACATCGCACCCGAAGTTCAGTGGACTGGCAGGAGGGCAGCCCCCAAGAACCACAACAAGGCGGACATGTACAGTCTGGGAGTACGCTTTCAGTTCCTCAGCCTCCGTTTCCCTGATTCTCAATTCTTTTAGATCGTCTTCTTCGAAATGAACTACCGGTTCACTACTGGATCAGAACGAATCGTTGTCTTGGAAGACTTGCGCAAGCCTGGTATCTTCTTTCCTACATCTTGGGAACCCCATCGTACCCGCCAGAGGGAAAGTACGTCAACACGTTATCGTCGCAATGTCGCCCCGAAACTGACGCTTTATCTGCTAGTCATCACCTGGTTGCTCCAACATGACCCGGAGAAGCGACCCTCGGCGCTGGACCTGTCCCAGAGCCCTCTGATGCCACCTCGCGTTGAAGACGAGTATTTCCATCAAGCGCTGGGACTGATGGGTGCGCCTTCCAACTCATCTGTAGTCGTGACCTGTCTGACCATTCCTCAGCCAAACCCGACACGCCGCACTACCAAACGGTTTTGTCACTCTTGTTCAACCAGCCGACGAAAGCCTCGCGAGGGTTCCTTTACGACAAGGATCTTGATCGCCCTGAATATCTTTCACTGGCGGACGCTGTTCAGGACCGGTTGGCGGCTCTTTTCAAGCTTCATGGTGCTGTGGACATCGAACCTCCGCTCCTGATGCCCGTTGTCGACCGGGAGGACGAGAAGAACCACGCAACCTTCATTGATAGGATGGGAACTCTGGTCAGCCTCCCGAACAATCTCCTTGTTCCGTTTGCGAGGTTGGCAGCCAAAGGAAATTCGAAGCGTATCAAACGATACCATATTGCCAATATCTATCGACCAAAGTATGTCCTCGGTGTACTGTACCCGCGTCTTTGCTATTGACCCCTGTATAGCCCTGTCGCAGGCCATCCTCTCATTCAGAAGGCTGCTGTCTTTGATATCATCACTCAAGACGTCGAGTATGGGCCCATCGCTGCGGGTGCCGAGGTGATAGCTGTCAGCAATGACATCCTGAACACGTTCCCCAACTTGACTGGGACCTACAACATCAGGGTGTCCCATTCGACTAGTGCGGTATTTCATTGTTTTGCCACTTTGTTGTCTAACGATTCGGTCAGTTGTTGAATTGGCGATGGCTAGAATCCCTGAAGAGCATCGAGCGGCGGTGGTTGAGATCTTGATGCAGTCAAAGTCGTCGACATCTCAGAAACGGGCGTTGTTGTTGAAGAAGGGGCTGACGAGGGCTGTGATCGACGAGCTGGAGATCTTGAACGAATCAGGTACGTTGGTTGTTGTGCCATGTAGCCCAGTTTCTCATTTGGCCGTTTTAGAGGATGACATCGATGATGTGGTCTACAAGCTCGAGAAGATCTCGTCGCCTCTACTCCCTCTTCTCCGGCCTGTCGTCGCGGAGATTAAGGCCACTTTGCAGCACGCAGCTTTTGCGGGGGTTGACCGACCTATGATCATCCACCCACTTATGCTTGGGAACCATCATCAGTACTTCAAGGACGGGATACTCATCGAGCTCACGCACAAGTCGAAGCCAAGTAATGTCCTAGCTGCTGGTGGCAGGTAAGAAGCCTATGTCCAGTCGACGATATGCAGACTGAAGCGGCGCGCAGATACGACGCAGTGATTGCGCGGCACTCCCCGACGCTGAGACAGAAGGGCGACAACCTCTGTGCTATCGGTATTCAAATCGCACTTGAGAAGATTCTTGCCCAATTGGCGCTGTTCCAGAGCAATTATGTCAAGAACCTGATCAAGGAGGAGCGTTCCTTTGGCTATTGGAGTCCTCGGCGATGCGATGTCTATGTGGTCTCTTACCACACCGGGTACCTGCAGGACCGGTTGGAGGTCGTCTCGTATCTTTGGCAGCATAATATCAGCGCGGATATCATGTACGAGTCTGCGATCTCTGATATTGAGCACGAGAGGCTGGAGAGCGTATGTGAGCGAGAAGGAATTCTGTACGTGGTTTTCTCGGAGATGGGTTGTCGTAACGGGGCTTACATTGTTTCTACAGGTTCACAGTATGTCCAAGGCCTCGCGCGTCTAAGCAAACTCAGTCGGCCTTCAAGGTTAAGAGCATCCTGAAGGGCGCTGAATATGATCGTATGTCGCTTTGCGATGTGATTCGGTTTTTCCACTGACCTTCTTTCTTACAGTGTCTCGCGCTGAATTGGTCGGTTGGTTGCAACATCAAATCGCAGAACAGAAACGGATCGACCTCAGTACCTATGGAACTGGGGCTGCGTGGGAATCGACGCCAACTACTTCATCGTCCAAGGATGCCATGGCCACTCCAGATGTGCAGCTCGTCCTTCCTGCCGACGTGAAGAAGCAACGAAGATCGGTCAAACATATGCTCAACGATCGAGGTGGGCTCGCCATTTAAGACTGTATATTCAGGAGATTGACGTTTCAACGTGCCAGCTTTCGAGACATCAAAGAAAGTCAAGGCCTCGGTGGCTACTATGCCCACTGTTGCGGTTGATGTCCCGACCTCCGTGTTCGACACGATGTGTCGCTCCTCCTCTTGGCTCTCCGACGATGACACCTGGCGATCCCTCGTGGCGGCCTTCCCGCCTGGCCACTCGGCTTATGCATCCCAGATACGGGAGTCGGTTCTGAAGCACAAGGCTGACGGACACCCCTACGTCCTTCTCTTTGCCGTCAAGGAAGAGAGGATTCAACTCTTGGCCCTTACTTGACGAATCACGCACTCCGCTCACGACTTCCTTTCCACTTTCTCCACTTTCTCCACTTTCTGCCCCTCATGAAGCATTGCCCTCTCAACTCTTTTTTTGAATCAAATCAAATCGCGAATCATATCATTCACAAGTTGTTATTTAAGTCCACGCAAGATACCAGCCTTTAATATCGTCGGTGCTTCGGGAAGCAATGGTTTAATTGTCGCATAACTCTATGTATTATCATATGTGTTTTCTCTCCCCCAATTTATTCGTATGGATGAACGAACAGAAGGGCGGAAGCAGAGAGGATCGATGACGAGCACAACAGGATGGAAGAGAGAAGAGGCAAAAAAACAAACCAGAACGAGCCAAGCCGAGACGAGGAGATGGCTCGAGGGAGGGTACAGTGTGACGGAAAAGTCTCGCAGTGGGAGGAGGTTGCCGACCGAACTCAGGTGGCAGCGGGGAGGAGGTCCGCGTTGGGGTACTTCCTCTCGATGGCCTTCTTGAGGGCATAGTAGGGTGTGATATAGGTTTTATCCGTCCCTTCAGTAAAGCCTGCACCACCCACCACTTGACCAATGATACGCCCGTCCCTGCCTGCCACGATGGCGCCAGAGTCACCGCCGTCAGAGAACCTGTCGTTCTTGGCCGTCTTGGTGTCATAGGCGCAGACAATGAACTCTAGGGCGGTCACAGCAACACCGTCTTCGAGATAGTGTCGCGTTGCCGATTCGAGTCCGTTGACGCGTCCGAATGTGGTGCCGGTGGTAGGACCGTTCTTAACCGCCAGTAGCGTCTTCGCATCGTGTATGTCGTAGTTTTGCGGGTTGTGGAACTCTGCTTCGGAGACATAGTCCTTGAGCTGAAGGAGCGAATCGTCAGGTACATGGAAGTCGCGGTGGTCATGAGGCTGGGGGAACATGAAGTTCTCCCAATCAACGGGGGTCTTGTTGCCGCCTGTAGAAAAAGAGAACTGTTAGTGAAACGCACCACAAAAATGAAGGAGAAAGAGGAACCGACGTACCGACGAAGAGCTTATTTCCCTGAAAGTCCTTCGAGTCTAGCTTATCATCGTCGATCTGGATGAAGGCCCAGTCGTACAGGAAATCATCGTCGCCAGCCTCAATCTTAGCAGAATGCAGGACGGATCCAAGAATGCGGGAGGGGGCTTGGGTGAGATTCTTGGTAACGTAGGAGTGGAGGTCCTTTGTCGCGGCGATCATTTTCTTCGTGTCGGAAATCAAGTGAGTCCAGTGCTGTCGCTTCAAGTTCGAACTGACTTCATCAGCCTCGCCCTCCTCCTGAGGTGGGACCTTGCTGAGCGACCTCTCCCAGCTGGAAATGGCCTTCGTATAATCCATTTCGAACTTGACGATGCCCTCTGTGGCAGAAGTGAATGATTTGTCGCCAAGGAGAATGATGTCTTCGCGAGGCTGACTCTCGTTTTCGCGCGTATACGCACGGTTCTCGAGGGACGTCCCAGGGGGGCGGGCAACGTGGGCGCAGGTGAGGAGGACGATACTATTGTCGGATTTGTCGGTGTTGAGACGGAAGAACAGGCCCCCTGTACCCCGGTTGTCTGAGCTGCGGGGTGCAATAGAGAGACCAAGAGTGGGAGTGAAGGGCTTGCGTAGGCCCTGAATGCCCTCCAAGTCAAATGTCGGGCTCAAGGGGCCCATGAGTTTCCTCAGGAGACGGTACACGGACTCGATGAACGCGACTTGTATCTCGGGAAATCCGGCGGCCTACGACACATGAAATAAATCTTCTAATTATTCCTGATACAGATTTAAACTTACCTGGAGGATCTCGTCGATGGCATTGGCAGCAGCCACAGCAGCCTGATAGGAAAGGGAGTGGGGTTTTACCCCAATGGTAATGACGAAGTCACATATCAGAGCCGCCTCGCCTGCATTCGCATAAGCTAAAGGGTCGATGGTACTCCAATCTACCCTGCGCGAATCAAGCAAGGCAACAATATCCCACACAATGCTGCGCCAGACCGGCATGATCCTGTGGTTGTGGATGGGGCGGGCAGCACGGATGATCTTCTGGGAGCGAGGATCTTTGGCGACAGGCCACGCAGGCCCGGTCTTGTAGATGCAAGGCGAGCCGGATCCATAGAAATCGGTGATGGCGGGTGGATAGGAGGATATTAAGTGACTACCGAGCTGCTCCTCATTGCTCAAATTGTCGCCGGAAGTTGCAAGACTCATATCAATATGTGGTAGAGGAGGAGGGAAACAGTTGTTAACCTAGCTTTATGACTGGGAGGCAGAGACAGAAATTTGAGTCGTCCCAGTCAGAGGGTTCAGGTTCAGGTCTCAGAGGTGTCCCTATCCTGGTTTTCAGTTGTCTGTTTTGGGGCCAGACCTAAAGATAGGGGAGATTATACTATATACATAATACTCTGACATCATTATCTTTAGGCGCCCAGGGCGTGTGCGTCGCAGTGTCTCCGGTTCGTCCCCCCCAAGGGCAAATCCTAATTATTCGTTTCCTGATTCAAAGAGCCTCGTGAACTCAGCCATTGCGTCCAAAGTTTCCATAATATGTTCGAATGTGACCCGAGCATCACGTCCTACAGCCAGCGAATGTGCGGTCCGAACGGCGTTCTTGATCTGGCGACCATTGATGTTCCTCTTCGCGAGCACTTTGATTTGCTCAGGGGTGATCGAATTTGCTGCTCCCGCTTTCTTGATAAAGGCGGACCAAACCTGCTCCTTGGATTCCTGACTGAGTTGCTGGAAGTGGAGCGCGACGTGGATGCGAGAGAGGAAGGCTTCGTCAAAGGTCCTCACTCGGTTGGTCGTCATGAACAGAATACCGCGGTAGTACTCGACGTGTCGGAGGCTGTCAAAGGTAGAGATTTTAACGAAGACAAAGAGTAGGTGAGGGATTTGACCTACAAGACGGCCACCATGGCGTTCCTTTCCAGGTCATGAAGGGAGCGTTGTTCCAAGAATACGTCCGCCTATGGGTAGTTTGAGCAACCCGAAGTTCGAATGAAACTGCCATTTGTACTTACCTCGTCGATGAGGACAATAGCCTTCCAGGCTGTAGCGACATCGAATACACGTTCTAAAGCCAAGTCGAGTTCCGAAGCGGTGGTTCCCAAATCACCACCACCAACGACATAGAGGGGCCTTTGAACGTGTTCGCTCGTCGCTTCAGCTGAGAAAGTCTTGCCTACACCAGGAGGGCCATAAAGGTTGATGACCAAGCCGTGTCCTTTCCCCTTGATGAAGTCGTCGAATCCAAGTTCGCGGTGGTGCGATTCGATTAACGACTGGAGGAGGTCCTTCCGCCCTTGAGGGAGTACGAGGTTCGAGAACGCCTCGGAGTTCCACTCAACATCTTGCACCAGTTCGATATTGAGCTCCACTGCAAAGAGATAGAAATTAGCCTTCGAGCTGCCCAATGTCAAGGATGCACTTACGCCACATTTTATCGCTCAAGCTGAACCCGTAGATGGCGGCAGGTGTAAGCAGCAATTCCTCTTCGGTAAGCTCGGCGTTCTGAGGAGACTCTTCAGCTGCATTCTGCTGAACGACGTCGCCTAGAAAGGGGGTAAGCGACCATTTTCCAGTCTATGACAGGACCATACCTGCGGTTGCCGGTAGTGGAGGAGGGGTCGCAATGTAGTTCCCGTACATATCGTAGTTCTGGTTTCGCGGGTTCGAAAGATCGACCTGCTCCACTTGCGTTGGTACGGGCTGCGGGAACGTGTAGTTGGGGTTCAAACGACGGAAGGTGGCCCTATCAATCATGACGCGACTTCGCACCTGGTTATGAAAGTAGTGAGCATCCACGCAAACACAAAGGAGACGAGAACATACATACATTATGCTTCAGAATTTTCCCCATGGACTTGACCGCAGCTACGCCATCGTATTGCTTGTGATGCACACCCATCAAACTGACCCACTTTTGACCTCGCTTGAGCGCCGCCTCCCGCAAGCCAGCCTCGTCGTGATGATACTTCAGCGGGTAGGCGTCGAGGGAGTCGATCTTGACTGCCCCACGGAAGTTGGGGAGATAGACGACGGTCTGCACCAGACCAACCCCAACCGTGTTCGACATCGTACGGTCGATGAGATCGACGCTCTCGAGTACCAACTGGTACATAGGCTTTCCCTCGATCACCGTGCGCTGGAAATACGACAGTTTGAGTAAGCGGGGAAGACCCGTCACAGCGCAGCGGGCCACAAAAAGGGTGCGCGGGATGAGGATTCCATAGAGTAGGTCGAACGTAATTTCGCCGTGCTTGGTCAACCGTCGAATCGTGGACAACGTGGTGTGATAGTCTGATGCGATAGTCGAGTTTAAGAGCTTGACGGTTGCCAGGACATGAGACTCGAACTCTGTGCGTTTCTTTTCTGCGAGGTTCCGCTCGTACTCTAGGAACTGGTCATGGAAGGTGACGAAGATCTGCGGATCAAGCTGGAAATGGGATTAGCATTGCCCTCAAAGTGATGGGTTCTTGGCGTACTTCGAGGGGGTCCGCATTCCAGGAGACACCCGGCCAAGAATCAATCACTTCGCGACAGGCTTTGAGGAGGTAGTCGCTCTTGAGAACAATTCTATAAGTCTTTTCCAAGTTCTCGTTGCGGGGAATAGTGCGAACGATGCTATATATTGGACGGTGAGTCGGCGTGAAGGCGACTGGACGGCCTGAACGTACACGAAACTGTACTCCCGCCACTGGTCGTTATTTCCACCGCTCTGAAGGAGGGGAGGAGCTTCAACAACGACTTTAGAGCTAGTATTCTATAGCAACTATTAGCTACGCTGAGAGGGCAGTTGCAGAGACACACATACTCTGTATTTCCAGCTCTTACTCCAGCGGCTATAGTAGTTATCGACACGTTTGACCTTCAACGAGGGGGCTGGGAGAGGTAGGTTGTCTTCCTTGCCAATTGCGGTGGTGATGGTCGACTTGGAACTGTTATCAAAGGGCAAATCGTCGTGGTTTGGATTAGAAGAGGACGACGAAGCGCTCCTCATCATGGTCGATAGTCGGCGGTGCATTCTGGCTGTATCTGTGAGCTCTGTTAGGTAAAGCAAAGGCGTTGAGGGTATTATCTATATACCTCTGTCATCTGGCGGGCCCGAGCTTGACGTTCAGCGCCCAATCCTGACTCCTCCTGTATCAGCCCAACGCTTGTCTCGATCTTGTGACGACTTTGGCACATCTTCATCAAATACGAGGACACCACCATCAAAAGAACTTCACGTTCCCGAGTCGACCTGCCCTTGGTTCTCACCGCGGTGCAGCACCGATCTAGAACACCTGCTCAAGGGTCCTGATAGACCATTGCCAGTCAATGCTCAGCTTGATCTGTCTTGTTGTCAGCAACGTTTTGGGCCAAAGAACAGACTCAGATCACGAACCTTGCATCGCAGACACTATGCCAAACACCGTGAGGCGGTCCACAAAAAAACTTTCTCCCAAATAGAAGAATTTGGCGATGGTGCGTTATTTTCGCTTTTGGACATTCTTGACAGTAGTCTCTGCGCGTATCCGTCATGTGCTCATTATCCTGTTGTCCTTGCACGACGACCATGGAGACGACGAAATCGATGGAATTGGAAACGAAGGACAAGACCTGTAGTAGGTAGGATGTTTGGGAAGACGTCTGGAGCAAAAGTCTTTCGGAATCTTCCGGAGCCAAGCAGAACAAGCACTTGGCGGGCGCTTATTTCCCTGCGTACATCGTATGGCAAACACAAAGCAAGTTGGCCCCTAAGTAAAGCATGCGTGTGCCCTGTCAGAGGCCTGCCAAAGTATACATCGCCTCAATTCAACCTACATCTCGCCCCTAAAGTCTACGAAAGGTTTGATTGCCGCCATGAACTACATGGTCAGCGGATGGTCAGCGAGCATTCCCCCACGTTTTCTCGCCTTACCCTCAACTCTTCTCTCTAACACATCTGACCCTTCTCTGACACCCCTTCCTCCACTTCCATGTCGTCAGATCCGCGAAAAAGAAATCGTCTCTCACATCTCTTCCACAAAATAATTCGCAGATCGCACCCTGGTAAGGAGCCAAATGGCTCCAATGAAACAGCACTATCAGGCATCGAGGAGTCCAGTTCTGCCGTCGACGCAACTAGAAATATGGAGCTTTTCAAGCATGTGGAAGCCAGTGGCACCTTCGAGGGTGTCGTCGACGGTATGATGGTCAACTCGGTGCCAATGATGAAAGGTACGATATAATTTTCCATCTTGGTGTGGATTTTTATTGATGGTTTCCCCACTAGCTCCTAACAAAGAAGTATATCGACGACTGGCAAATGGAACCATGGAATTCGCCAAACGCACAGCCAATCACGATGCCCTTCACGATGCTATGGGTATTCTGAGAGACTTCAAGGACCTGGCGACCAATGGACCTCAGCGAATTCGTGGGCTTATACTTCTCTGGCAGGCCCATTTATTGAGGTTCGTTTGGAAGACCTGGATAGAAGACCTGGATGCATGCGATATGTACTTCGTGGAGGAGATGGCCGACCAAACTCGGCGTCAGGTATTCTGGGAAGTTGTGAGTAGCATGCCCATTTCCTTTCCCTTCCCTTCTTCTGGTTCACGGAGCTTCAGTTCCCCGGAGCGATACAAACCGAAGATTTTCGCATTCTTCCCTCCCCGCTCCACGACGCTCATCAACTCCTCGCGAAGCACGTTAAATCAATAGACCGAATCGCCCTCGACATTTTGATAACCTCGGGCTGCAAAGCTCTCAGTGATTCCGAAGATTCTTCCGGGGACATCGCATTGCTTTTAGGGCGTGCTCATGTTGTACGATACATATGCTGTTGCAGCTTGGCTGACCTAGACTCGGCCGATACGTACTTCCAAAGGGCGAGAGAGGTGGCAGGAAGTAGTTCCCCTTCGGGATACGCTGCCTTGGCTTCGTACTCCCATACCTCGTGGCTCCGCTTCCTCAAGGATGGAACATTGGACGGCATGCTGGATGCAAAGCAGCAGCTCAACGACATGAACACGGTCGCGCAGGTGTACGAGGGGAATACGACCACGCTCGACCTCAGAATTTCGCACTTTAAAAGGTTGCTACACATGCGCCCTTTCCCTCACCCCTGCCGTGCTGCATGCCTCAACGACCTCGGAACCTCCCTCCACGATAGCTTTGAGCTGACTGCAAATGTAGATCACCTCGAGGAGTCCATTCAATGCCACCAAGAGTCGCTTCAACTGAAGCCAGCACCTCATCCAACTCGGTTCCTCTCACTCAACAATCTCGCGGCTTCCTTGCAAAGTCGGTTCAGGATCAAAGGCTCAGCCAAAGACCTCAGAGACAGTGTCACCTACAGCACAGAGTCATTCGAACTCGTCCCCACTTCCAACCCCAAGCGCCCGCTTCTCGCTCTACAACTAGCAGGTTTCCTTAATGCAAGTTTCCGGTACACCGGTGACCACCACGACCTGGACCAAAGCATATCTTTCTCGAAAGTGGCACTCGATTGCGTAACGGCTACCCATAAAGATCGACCCATGGTCCTGTGCCAGCTTGCGGAATCGCTTTGGACCCGATTCGAACACAGGGGTGATCCGAACGATTTGGAAGATAGCGTCGAGTATAGCCGACAATCGCTAGCGATAACACAGGAGTCCCATCCCCTTCGCTTCCGCTCACTCGAGACAGCTGCACATGGTCTCTACATCCGCTTCAAGTACCAAGGGGATCGACAAGACCTCGAACGCTGTATCAAGCTTGCTCGAGAATCGCTGGCACTGCGACCACCGACCGCTGGCGACAATCGCAGTCACACGCTCAACAACCTAGCCAACTTCCTCTGCAGTCGCTTCAAGTGCCACGGAGACCTCGGAAATATTGATGAAGCTGTCTCTTTGAACGAGCAGTGCCTCAAATGGAGAGAGAATCCTCACCCGGACCGCTCCCAAACACTCAACAACCTCGCCTCGGCTCTCATGATCCGGTTCAACCAGACGGGCAGAGTGGTGGACTTGGAGAGAAGTATTACACTTCTTCAGGAAGCGCTAAAACTCAGAGCACCTCCTCATCCTGGGCGCTCAGCAACGTTGAACAACCTGTCAAATTGCCTGTTCGATCGCTACAACTATAACGGAGACAAGAACGATCTCGAGGCATCTATATCCCTCAGCGAAGAATCCCTTCGCCTGCGACCTTCTGGTAATCCCGGTCGCTCAATTCCACTTAACGACTTGGCCAGTTCCCTTCTGACCAAGGCCCTTCAGTACGACAGTGCAGAATGCCTGGAGGAGTGCCTTTCCCATTGTTTCGAGTGCCTCACCTTGGTTCCATACCCTCACCAAGACCGTCCCAAGGTCTTAAATACCCTGTCTTCGGCACTCGCTACGCGCTTCAAGTACAAGGGTGACGTTTCAGATCTCGAAAAAAGCATTCAATTTGGCCAGGAAGCCCTCACCTACATGACCCCCACTGATCCAAACCATCCCATCCAAATCAGTAATCTTTCATTCAACCTCGTTACATTGTCGACTCAGGAGGGGAGAGATCATGCGTTAGGCGACAGTATCGCCCATTGTGAGAAGTCTCTCGCAATAGTTCTCTCTCCCCATCCTCATCGAGCCCAGCTTCTCGGCGCTCTTGGAAATGCACTGACAGCGAGATACAGGCGATCTGGCGTACAAACGGATTTGGACAAAGCGCTCGAGCTTTTCCAAGCGGCTGCCCAATACGAGACATCACCGTTGCTCGAACGATTATCCCACACGAAAGCCTGGATCTCAATTAGTCGCCCGCAGAACCAAGCGGAAGCAGCGTACCGACACGCCATTCATCTTCTCCCTCTTCTGGCCTCGCTCGATCTTTCTTTGGAGCAACGCCAGAATGTCCTCGCCAATGTGAAGGACCTGTCAAGAGATGCCGTACAGTACGCCATACAAACCAAGCAGCTCGAAACCGCCATTGTCTTCCTGTCCACCGCCCGTTCCATCTTCTGGTCCCAAGCCTTAAAGCTTCGCACTCCAACAGACCGACTCGATGCCGTTGATCCTTCTCTTGCCCGAGAGCTGCGAGAGGTAACACGGAGTTTGGAGATGGCGGCCCACAGAACCACCACTCAGGCGCGCTTGGATGACTCTCTCCATTCACTTGCAAAACGGAGGGAGGAGATCCTTGCTCGCATCCGAAGGCTTGATGGCTTTCAAGATTTCCTACTTCCTCCCTCTTTTTCCGCACTTCGAGACGCCGCCGGCAATGGGCCCGTAATCTTCCTCAATGCAAGTCAGCATGGTTGCGACGGAGTGGTTATGCTCCCCGATGGAACCATGAAACATGTTCCCCTCGAAATTCCCTACGACATGGTGATCGTCTTCAAGGACTCCATCCAGCGACTGTCTCAAGGACACCGAGTACCTACTGAGCTGCGCACCATTTGCGACCAGTTCGAGGAAAGGAATCCTCGTCTCAAAATGAGTCGACAGGACCGGGATCGCAAGACAGCTGATGATGATTTCAAGGTCTTCCTGACCCTTGTATGGGTTGCCATCGTTCGACCTGCGATTAATGTACTCCAGCTCGAAAGGGTAAGTGACTAGGCTGATCGTTATGGAGAATGGCTGACGTACCTTTCCAGACCAGCTCACCAACACGAGTATGGTGGTGTCCCACTGGTCCATTCGCATTCATTCCCATCCACGCCGCCGGCTTCTACTTGGATGTCGAGGGCTATGACCAGGAGGTCTTATCTGACTTCGTAATTTCCTCTTACTGTTCGTCACCTCAGGACCTTCTACAGACCGTGTCACATGTTTCACCCGACGCCAAAATGCTCGTCGTCCTTGAACCTGAGAAGACTCAGCCAGGGGTGAGCGGTCTCCCAAATACCACCCTCGAGCTGGCCAAGATCCGAGCTCACATCCCTTCCGACATCCACCTGGCCACGCATATCGGCTCCGTTCAAGAGCGAACAAGCCCGGAGACAGTCATCAACGACATTCAAACGTCATCCTTCGTTCACTTTGGCTGTCACGGTGTGCAAGACCTTTTGAATCCCCTAGAAAGCGCCCTCATCTTGAGTGGCGGGAGCCTCACAATTTCGAGGATCATCCGCGAATGCCAAGCTTCGAACGCATCCCTCGCTTTCCTCAGTGCGTGCGAGACCACGATGGGGGATGAGCAGAGACCAGATGAGGCTTTGTCTCTGGCTGCAACCATGATGTTCGCGGGATTTAGGGGCGTGGTTGGAACGATGTGGTAAGTTTCCTCTCTAGTAGTTCCCACCTTGACTCACAAAGTGCAGGTCCATCCACGACGAAGATGCACCCATCGTTGCTAATTCGTTCTACAGACATCTCTTCCGGAATGGAGACGCCTGCCCTCCAATTGCGACAGATGCAGCTGAGGGCCTGCACCTGGCCATAAAGGAGCTGAGAGAGTTGGGGAAGCCGTTCTCGCGTTGGGTGCCATTCGTTCACTTTGGGTGTTAGGTTAGGGCATAGTATAACAGTTTTTATCATCTGGTCTTGTTATCTCCCTTAGTTCCATACCTTTACTTCCTCCCTTGCGTATCAGGCGTTGTTGCACCCGCCACGATAGAATTGCGCCTGACGTCCATCTCCTGTAAGCGTTCAAATAAGCGCCCATCATTTCAGCAACAATCTGGGGCGGACTGTGTTCTGAGACGTAGCTTAGAGAGTGTCTATTCGCTTCGACTAAGGTAATTCTATAACATCCTTTTTCGTATCTGGCTCTCGATCCTTGTGAAAGACGATCCTACTTCCCCTCCCAAAGCTCATCGCACTCCTAACGCTCGGTCCATTTGTAATCACGTCGATCTGCCTCTCGTTAAACCTCCTCTCTCCAAACTCGATACCTGTCGTAGTGTCCATGGGGTCCAAGCTGCGTGACTGGAAACCGAGGTCGTGGTGCGCCATTTCGCGCATTTTGAGGATGATGCGCGTCGAGAAGGTAGATTTAAGAGACCGCTGAAGCCTGTATTTCGCGAGTCAGAGAAGCATTATTAAGGGGTTATGTCCGAAGAGAATACGAACATTAGAAGGAGGAATCTGAATTCGGGCTGTCGGCCATTCGTCAGACAAGAGTTAGGCGGTGGAAGGGGAGGACTCACAGGTCCCATAATGACGATTAAAAGATTAGCTATAGACAATGCTGAGGATGGGGTAAGCCATGGAATTGGTTAAGAAAAGCCTCCATGAGGGGTAAGCGCACCTGCAAAGCCCATAGAGTAGAACGTTCCATCCCGGTAGAAAATCTTAATCAACTGGCTTCGCGTGTACTGAAATGTCGAAAGGCCGTAGTTTAGGCAGAGAGCCATGACGACTGTATAGAATCCATCATGAACATGGTCAGCTTGAAGAACTTTGACCCTTATATGGATAGCGAAAACGATGTCAACTCACTGATTTGGTATAAACTTATGGCACCGTAAACCATCGAGAGATAAAACTTGTTCGCATCTTGGAGGTAGCAGCTGATTTGACTCGGAAGAGGTGAGGGTGCATCTGTGAATGGGTTTTTGGTATTCGGGAGGCTTAGAGAAGTCGGTGGCCACGCACAGACAAGAGACGAGAGAAACAGGCCAAAGAAAGGGAAGATGACGAATCCTATTATCTATAGTGAACATTAATCATGGGAAGAAGACCTTATGAAGGAACACAAACCGTGAAGAACGTCAGGAGGTACCATCTAATGGCCTTCTTACATCCTCCAAGAACATAAATTCGAAGAAGCATTAATACTAGTGGGAAGTGAGCATTCCGGAGAGATGGAGCATGGGCCCAGAGGCATACCCTCTCCGCAGGCAGTCCCAGTCAGTGCCGTTGCTAGCAGAGAAGGGTGAGTATCAGCGGCGAATGCAAGAGAGATGAGAAGGGACTTACAGACAGCGAGGTCGAATATGATGTTACATTGCTAAGGATATTCGCGACCCCCCTTAGCCTCAGCGATAGTGCGACCGTGACTGACGTGACGCTTACTGTTGGGGTAAGACCAGATGCACGATTGTCTACACAGTAATAAGCCTCTCGTGAAGCAAAGATTGGTCAAGGAGACACTTACAAATAAACATCAAAGGAAAATCAATGACCCCTAGGTATCGAGCGATGAAATACGCCGCCTGAATGGCTGACCTTTGCTTCGTCCACATATACTTGGCCTAGGGTAGTTGGCACTGATCAGTACCAGCATCGCTTCGATGAGAAGTCGAGGTGTCGCAGCTGAGACTTACCTCCCATTCGAAAGTATGCGCATGGTCACAGATGTTGTAGACAAGTGCCATAGCTATAATGCAAGGTAGAACAGATTCCAGTGAAGCTCGTATATGATGTCAGGCAATCGCCAATACGAGTGAGGCTTACTTTCAACATACTGCAAAACGGAACGTCACAGTAGATGCATGATTTCGGTTAGATGGTATGGACCTCTTGAAAAGGGAAAGGGCGACGCACAGAAACATATCTAAGTCTCGAGGCAATCAGAGCGACGTTCCCATTATCGCTTAATAGGTCGGCGCCCATGCTCAGTTGCGAGCAGTGCCTTGATTTGAGACAAATCGCCCTGATTTCTCCCCTTCCTAGCGACACAGCGTCGTGATGTGGCGGTATGCAGTGCTGTCGAACGGTCAACGAGCCAAGTTGAAGCGTCTACCAGAGACGAAGAGAGGGTAGCGAGCAAAAGGCGAAGTCGAAGTAAGAGGGTGATGATGGCTACTCAGTACTCAGTACTCGGTCGTCACCCACGACACAAACATCCGAATAGTCGCTCTGAACCGGTCTATGAGAAAATAAAGTTGGGGGAGACGTCGTCCATCACTCCACCTGCGGTTAGGCACTTGGGTGCGCTATTTATGTCACCCATCGACTGGAGCCGCTGTTTCTAGCCAGCATCATGTACGGGGACCTGACAGGAGACGCCGTGTTACAGCATGGTTACGAAATGGAGACTGCATGCCAGTGGCTTGGTTCTGCAGTACTACCAGGCAGTCTTTGCCAGTCCCTTTATTCACCCTTCGACCGTAGGCCATCATAAATTGCTCATACTTGATATATGAGAACGTGTCGCACACCTAAGATGCTGTTAGATGTACTTTCCCTCGGAACTCAGTGCATGGCGTCAGAAGGGGAAGGTTTGGCGTTTTGCTTGGGTCCGCAGCAGTTCCCATGTCATTCATATTCTGGATCTAAATTGGCACCCTGCCTCTAGTAAATGATATTTCGGGACTGATCTAGAGCCAGAAAGCTCTTTATCGCACTACACTTAATGACGAGGGAGTCTAGGTAGCTATGGCAGAACTCCAAGGCTGGGAAGAGCTGGCAAGAGAGCCAATATATCAATCGTCGCTCGTCTGCGTCGCAATAGGGGCTCCTTTGTGATGCAGCAGGTTCGAAAAAATGCAGGAACAAATAGGCCCAATTAAGGAAGATCAAGAACGATGGCACCGGATCTTTGTCAGTCACGGGTTGACTCGACTCGTCCACACTCAAGCTCGGGCAACAGCACTTCAAGGTGAGTGCGATTTGATGAAATGGTAAAGCCCGGCGCCTTATCGAATAACATGCAGTGAGCATCCTCTAGGATGCACGATCACGATGCTGAACAGATTCACGGAGTTCAACTCCCTCTTCCTGCGGAACTAATCGCGGAAATATTCGAGTTATGCCTTCCGGACAACTTTGACTCCGCGCGGGCAGGCCCAGATTTCTATCCCATGTGCCTCACCCATGTCTGTTCATCCTGGAGACGGTTAGCCCAAAACACCCCGTCCTTATGGACCATGCTACGGCTTTCTCGACACGATTTCCCTAGTCGCCCATTCGACAGCGTAGTGGAGGAATTGTGGATCACACAACTCCTTTACTGGCTCGGTAACTCGAAGAATCTCCCCATCTCCCTCTCCATTCGCTTTCCAAGGACTAGAAATTATGACTCGCTCCTCCGTCCCGTGGTGGCTTACCTCCGTCCGACTAGATGGACAAAGCTCATGGACGTCATCTCCACGAATGCCCATCGTTTCAGGTACTTGGATTTCTTCGGCTATGGGCTTCTGGAGGAAATATCTCCATTGAAGGTCGCTTCTTCTGCACCTTTTACCTCCCTCGAGGTGCTCCGCTGCGAGCTGCACGATGCCCACCATGGCCCTTCCTCCAGGACAACGCCATGGGAGCCCTTGGGAAATGCTCCCAACCTGCGCAAACTCCTCCTTGACGCGCCCCATCCGAGCTTCTGCCTCTCCTGGTTTGGCAAGGTTTCATGGGAGAGCATCACCCACGTCTCCTTCCGCGCAGAACTCACACATCCCGACGTGTACGAGCTGCTTTCCAAAGCTCGCGCATTGCAAGAATGCGAACTCGCTATCGGGGATCACTTTGAAGAGGCCAGCGAGGTGGAGATCGATCTACCGCACCTCAGAAGATTCGACCTTCAGTTCGCCAAGGGGTCGTCCTTCGAATTTTTCCGAAACGTGAACCTTCCGTCACTCAAGAAGTTCGCGCTTCGCCAGTCGGTCGAGCACTCGGACTGGTCGACGATCAACACCATCGGCCTGGGCCGGCAACACCTGTTTTCTCAATTCGGAGATTTGGAATCCCTGACGATCGGATACATCCCCTTCACGGCCAACGATCTCCTCGACCTCTTACGCACAACACCGAAAATCACGGAGCTCGAACTCGACTGCAATATCCGCGATTACGACACTTTCCTAGAAAACTTTCAAGATCACACTCTACTCCCTACACTCACAAAGTTCGGCCTCTACGTCGACACGCTGCCAGGCCCTGACCTACCGCCCGGAGGTCCACTCAAGTTCTCTCCGGCTCTGCTCGCAGAGCTCGTTCGGACGAGACCCACTATCCAATCCTCGCTTTACGTCCTCAATCGCGGCCAGCCCAACCAGCAAAGAGACATTCGTCTTGAGGACATTCACAAGGCGTTTGAGGGATCGGGTCTTGGAAAGGAGCAATGGCCAAAGGTTCGTGTCGACGTTCAGGGAGCCATGGCACTGGCCTGGCTTGGGCAGGCTCCACTTGCCTATTAACACGTTCTTATTTAGTAGTCTAGATTTCGCGTTCCCACTAGTATCCAATGTATGGTATATGCATTCATTCTACGTTAGTCCCTTCGCGTGTGACGAATCCCAGATATATATTGCAGAACGAAATCGAAGACATGAAGGACAAAGAACCTCTGTGAATCTCAGAAGAAAGGTCTACGCGTGGCGCGGGGATCGGACCAGGGGACTCTGCAAAGGGAAAGAAGGTCGCCAATTATGGCGACTTTGGCACAAGACCTACTTTCGGCTGGCCGATATGCACTCTTGGCACTGGGGTAACCCTCCGCAAGGTGCCATTTGCGTCGACCGTTGCCGTTGGCCTTCCTTATAACGCCGCTTAGGGTCTGCTGGTAGGGCACCTCGAAGATCCTCGTTGACCACCTCCTATCTCGTCGCCGCTTATTTTCAGATATATGAGAGTCATAAGCTATTGCCGCTGCAACTCTGGGCGTCGGAGTCGCCAAAGGGGAGACTAGGGTGATTGGTGGACTTAAACTCCTTGATACGTTTTTTTCGAGCGATCATCCCTTTTGCATAGAGAAATCTCGGCAGACCTTCAACTCACCCTGGGCTTCTAGGCTTCGATTTCAGCGTCCAGAGCTCCATGGCACTTGGGTAGTAGTCATGGGTGAAATCGTGTTGCTAAATTTAGCGTTCTATCCCGTCTCTTCCAAGGCGCCTGTTGGGTGTTCGGTCGTGATAGTGCGTGCACAAATGCTCCAGTCACGAGAGACATGGGATGATGAATCGTGAACCGGCAGGCAGTCAAGTTAATCAACAAGGCCCTCGGAACTTGGGGGGTTTACAGGCGATGAATTCGAGATAACAGGGACCTGTCTGGACAGAGTTCAAAGTCAGTACGTACTTTCCATGTTATCCTTCTCGGAGAGTAAAAGAAGCTTTAAATAGCAGTCTCGCATGAGCTTAGTTCATTCTTCGTTTCTAACGACGTTGGGCGGTCCCCAACGTCATTGATAAGGACGGCTTGTACTTCGATTTCGACGACTAAAGTCAATGGTAGCCCCCCATTGCCGCAGCTTTCACCCTAGTCTGTGCTTCAGCGACGCCTGTTAGCCTTTCAGAAGTGATCTTCACTGCTCGGCGAGGCCTTGGCGAAACTGAATTTGGATCTTTCGGGGAAGATTTCTTGGCATCAATTCGACGCGCGCTTAATTTAGAACTTTGTGAGGGATTTTCCCTATTTTTACCGCCCGGTATGTCAGTTTGCGTCTCCTTCTCCACCTGCGGTGCATTCTGTAAGCGTTAAGGGGCAGGTATCTAAGTGTCTTGCGACGTTGGGAGACAGCGCAGACGGCGCCAGGCTGCTTGCAGAGTGCAGGACGCAGGAAGTTCTAAAAGTTCCCTAATTGCCGTAAAGGATTGAAAGAACCTGGCAGTCGGCGTTTGAAATGGGATAGAGGGTACCGAGGAGATGGTTCCATCCCTGGATGAGCCGTGCGGACCCGCTCGAAACCTATATAAACCACCCGATTTGCGGCTGACCCCCAATAGTTCTTGATTGCCCCTGTCATTCATTTCTCACCGCGCCGTTCTTCTGACCCCTCTTCTCTCTCAATCATCGTTTTGCATTTGCTGTCCTTTAGCTTTCTAGTTCGAAGCTTTCCATTCGACCACAATCTTGCTTTCGCCCTTTTTCGTTCTCAGTGATACTTTGCTATATCGACGCTCTATGCCTACTCGGATATCTGGAAATGCAGCTACTTTTCGACTGTCTCTCCTCACGCTTATCGCGCACAACTGTGTTCGTGCGGTGTTAGGTTCACCGTTCGCTGTTTCGAACACCCATGTTCATACTTCTGGACACCATAAGAACGAAGGGTCGCCCCCCAGCTCGGTGGAATTTTGGTACCATTTGGCGATCAGTGCTGTATTGGTTCTCGTCGGTGGAGTGTGCGCTGGGTTCGTTGTTTCCCTTTCTTGATTTTGTTCTTCTTATCGTTTGGGCGTCGACTAACCTCGGACTATGATCCGGTATAGGTTGACACTGGGTTTGATGGGGCTGGATGAACTTCATCTTCGAGTGTTGGCTGCGTCGTCGGAGGACGTGAATGAGAAACAAAATGCGCAGAAAGGTACGTTCTTCTGATTCACGTCCTTGGATTTTTGCATTGAACCGTCCCAACAGTTCTTAATCTAATGCAAGGGAGGCGACACTGGGTACTCGTGGTAGGTAGACCGCTTCCCGAATTTAATTGAGCTCACCGAAGCTCTGCTCCGCACCAGGTCCTGTTACTCAGCAATGTGGTAAGGTTGCAGTCAGTTTCCTGTGTCATCGGTCGCCAACGTTCTGTCAGGTCGTCAACGAGAGTTTACCCATTTTTTTGGACAACGCAGTGGGTATCACATACTTCATATCACAACTTTCAGGGCTTATTTACGCGATTTCCGATAGCTAGGTGGAGGCGTATCGGCTATCATTCTCTCAACAGCAGCCATCGGTGAGCCTCCAAACTTGCTAGGCATTCTTCCTCAAACTAACCAACGGAAAATGGGACAGTGATTTTCGGGTGAGTGGGGCTGGCGATCTGTCAGTCGACCTGAGCTTACGGGATTTAACAAATTACCTCGTGTGCGGGAACGTATCAGAGAGTGAGTTCGCAATCCTGGGTCTCGTACAGTCATCTGATCGGCGGGTTTTCTAGAATCATCCCTCAGGCCGTCAGTGTCCGCTACGGACTGGCCATTGGGGCGACATGTGCGCCTCTAGTCTCGGCCATGATGCTGGTCATGGGTTCGTACGCACCTGTAATCCCAAATCCCCACCGAAAGTGTGACTGACATCTTCCATGCCCTAGCTCCGATCACATACCCAGTTGCGAGGCTATTGGATTGGGCGCTTGGAGCTGGAGAGCGGCATACGTATCGCAAGGCCGAGCTGAAGTCATTGCTGCAGTTCCACAAGACGGGAGAGGAACCTTTGCGGGATGACGAGATTAACATCCTCAGCGGAGTGCTTGAGCTTGGATCCAAGAATATCGAGACGTTGATGACGCCGTTACAGGTGGGTAATTTGGGGATGAAAAGAGATAGTCTATTCGCTGACACTTATGGCAGGACACCTTCGTCCTTAGCTCGGATGATATTCTCGACCAGAAGGCTGTCAATGCGATGTATGTGCTACACATGCTGACATCGAGAGTGCAGTCGTGCTAACGTCTACCTTAGCATGAATAGTGGATACTCGAGATTTCCTGTCCACCTCCCTGGTCGTCCCAAAGCGTTTATCGGCTTATTGCTAGTAAAAAAGGTACTTCATATCGCAGTGAATGATAACCGAGTCCCACTGTAGGTACTGATGCTGAGCTTGATCTAGCTTCTCACATATGATCCTAAGCAGGCGTTGCCCGTCTGCGCTTTCCCCTTATCCATCCTTCCGGAAGCGCATCCTTCAATAAACTGCTTTCAAGCCCTCGACTACTTGTGAGCCCCAGTCGTCTCTCGCCACGCAGTTACTAAACGGGGTCTTAGTCAAACTGGTCGGGCCCATCTTCTCCTGGTCAGTCTTACGCCTGGACATGAAGGAGGTGCTCTGGGAGTCGTCACGCTGGAAGGTAAGTAATCAACCGGGCACTCTCGAGTTCGTGATTCTGATTTGCTCCGTTCAGATATCATTGAGGTAAGTTCCCCGCCGAAAGGGTTGCTGTAACCATACTGGAACTCCGTTTCGCAGGAAATGATAACAGAAGAGATCGTCGACGAAACCGACAGATATTCCGACAACCAGAGCAAAGTCATCGCACCACGAGCAGCGACGGAGCTGATCATGAACAAGTACGAGGATTTATATTTTGACCCCCGCACCCACCCAAATGACGCTTGCCCCAGCATTGTCGAAAGAGAAGTATACGCGCCATCAAGCTACTGCGACGAGACCTCGTCGCTGATAAGTTCTGGAACGGGTTCATCACTTTCACGGACGTGTTCCAATCTGAATTATCAAAGTATCAACCCGGTCAATGTGGGCGCAAGCACGATGTAGAGATATAGTTGTATACCTTTGTTAGGATTTCTTGGGTTTATCAATAGACGGATATGGTGACCAGATTCCGGAATAAAATGACAAAGAGCCCTAACGTTAAGAGGTAAGCGCATTTGGCGCAGGGGTAGCATCATCGGAGGAGGCGATGGGCGATGGAAGCATATCTCGCCAGCGGTCGCCAGTCGATGCCTGGTTTACCATTCCTCCCTGTGGTGAGATATCTGTTGCGCAATCATGAGACGGTGCTTCAACAAGCCGAAGGTGACTCACGGAGTAAGGCGTGGCTCATGAGAGGGTTCAGGAATGCCTCGCTGCCGGCTAAGTGGGTTGTAAGGCATCGGTGGTGGGACGTGCTTGAGTCCCAATTTTGCGCTGGTACGCGTCGTTTCAGCTATCAGATTGATCCAGACGAATCTTATACTCACAATCGCTCAGCTTTGAGCTCCTGACGTTCTATGAAGCCGTCTTGGAAAGACAGAGAACCGGTTTGAAGAATACTCCGAATCAGGAATGGCCGATTCTCATACTTGAGCTCTTCCAGCAAACGCCAGCACTCCGGCACAGGAGTCGGTTCTTTTGTGACCGGATCTTCCTGAACCAAAATTCCCTCCTTCCCTAAGCTATAAGTGAGCAAATAACTATGGAAAACATTCAGTTGCGAGCGAAAGACTCGATGAATGTAAGGCAGGGGTGGTTCGTAAAACGTGTCGATGATGGCATCGAAGAATGCGGCGAGGGTAGGATAACGAATGGAAGATGACTCCGCGTCTGGTGGGTCTGGGTTCAGACAGGTGCGAGACGGGTCTACAAGGTCAAAGTGGAAGGTCGATGCGGCGTGTACCAAGACTCGGTCAGGTTCCTGTCCCCATGCATCAGTCGTTAGGTCCTACAACTGACGAGATGATCTTACATGGCCTTTTGCCTCTGCATGACATAGCAGTAGAGACGTTTCTCCGAACTTGAACGCTGGCGGACGCTCCTGATTGTAGAGCTTGTAGTCTAGCCACCTATCATCTTGGGAGCCGTCAATGATCGAATAAGGGCGTCGCCGACAGATTTCATGTGCAGCGAGGTGCACTTTGTCGTCCGGAACGAGTATTTGGAAATCAAATAGCCCAGTGGGAACCCGGTGGACGATCGAAAGGGCATCTTCGGCCCAAACAACGCTGGGAATTTGGGCAGAAACCAGTGCCCTTGCTGGCCCCAGTCTTCCGCGTTGTTCTGATGGTCCACTGGGACTTGCCTCGTGGAAATGGATACCCATCAAGGCGGATTTGAACTTGCAAGTCGGAGGCAGTTACAATTCCCTCGAGCAAACGCGATTGTGTGTGCATATTTGTCGCCAGTTTCTGATGGCCCGGGTTGGACGGTTCTGACTCGAAGTACCTGAGGCCTGAGGTTCATAAAAGCAAGCATTTGGTACAGAGATCACGCGCATAATGTTGAGCACAATCCACACATATTAGTACTACATAGTCCACTAATCCTCGAAGCTCTCTGGGATGATTTTTGCCATCTTGAGAAAGAATTTCGCCATGCTAACATCCTCGCGGTCACCTCCGGAGTGACGGGCAACAGCCTCGAAGAAATTCCGAATAACGTCCTCACTGAGTTGTTTACTCAGTGACTCGGGGAGCTGAATGTTCTCTTCGTGAAGACGACTGGCGCACCACATGACATCCTCGAAGTCGCTCCCCACCTTCTTGGACGAAGCTACGCTGCGTTCTGGCAGACATTGTATTTTCAGAACAATGAGAAGACGCTCGTCGGCGACAGTGACGCCCTCGATCTCTCGGGTGAACGGTATGAGGGCATTGATGTCCCGTTGGACTGCAAGGTCAATGCTAATCGCGTCTTTGGCATCCTCCTCGCTTTCAGGGACCGTGGCCGCGAATCGATCTAAGGTGTGGCCTATCCTGCGTACATAGATTCCAGCAGCATTAAGGGCCTTCACGTCGCGTGGAGCCATTTTGGACACGTTGAAATCGAGGTCCTGAGTTCACCAAGTTAATGCCTGTCACTGGCAATATCACCGAGATGAGCTCACCTTTGTGTGGCGAGCCATTTGTCCAAGCAGGATGGTCGCACCTCCACCAATAAGGATAGCCCTGCCGCCGGTGACTTTCTTGTAAGCGGTGCTGAAACGGAGTGCTGCGTCGCGTAGTTGAGTATGCCTGGTCGCTAGGGTCAATATAGACGCCATTGACTCCTGGTGGACGGGAAGCCATGCACTATCAAAGGAACAGATAGTACAATGCGAGGGACGCACACTGACCAAAACAACGGTATACAATGCGAATCAGGACTGGCATTTAGCATCGATTAGTCAGTGTAAAAGCGCTCCCAAATCTCAGGAATATAAACGGTTTCGTCGCAAAGTAAGGCAAAACTTGGGGATCGGTGCGGGAAACCCTCGCTGCTGGGTGAAGGAGCTTGTTTCAGCCCTAACTACGCACTATCAGCTACAACCATGTCCGGCACGAGTATCTGAAAAGCGAACAACGCGGTGGGAACTCGGTGGACGATCGAAAGGGCTTCTTCCGCCCAAACGACACTTGGTTTTGGGAAGAAATCAATGCCCTTGCAGGGCATAACCTGCCCTGTTTACCCATGTTCGGGTTGCGTGAACTGGGCGGCAGCTGGGAGGTTGATAAAGTCTGCACGAGACTCGAGCCCCGGGCCGGACTCGGATTGGCCTTGTATGTCAAGGGCCTCCGAACGATCGGCTTGGGTCGATCTCGGGCGACCTCAAACCAGGCGACGATAAGTATTAACCACCATGTCGACCTCACGACCTTTTCCTCCAGAGCTAGTCTCTGAAACGAATGCGATCGTCGCTATATCCAGGCGTTTTGGAACAAGACTCGATCTGACCATTCGCATGCAGCGATACTACGAGCCCAACAGTGGTAAGCCCAATCTGATTGATCGTGTCACGGCTTTATAAAACCAATCCAACCACAGGTCTGGCCTTAGACTTCAGCGGAAACCACTCCCTCCGCGAGCTATCCCTCTGCTTTGACCTTATAGGGGCGCGAAACGGGCCACCCGCCTATTACCCTTCCATGTTTGAAACACTTTCCAGCCTTTTGCTGGACGTCCTCGAGGACATGGCGCTCCGCGCTGATATCATATGCGACGTTTTCAGGGAGGCCAATGTCGACCTCCCGCGGTTCCTCGAGATGTTCGACCAAGTGTTCTCGAAAGTCACGGAGGGCGATGGTCAACGGCAGTTTCCTCTGAGGCGTCTATCCATAGACGTCTGGTATGGATGCCGTAGGAAATTGTGTCCATTTTACCCGTCAAATGACTTGATACCCCCTGGAGGCGTTGTTACCTCGAGTTTGCTCTCTTAGAGAGAAGGGGATAGACGTTTCTATTAATATCTCTCAGTCCTCACGAGATCGTCGCAGCGTTTTCTGAACATGCTATCAGTAGAACCTAGGTAGATGAGGAATGCAAATTGATGCCCCGCCTACCATAGTGCTTTCTGGGACGATGGACTAAAATGAGCTGGTCGTTAGAATCGCAAAACAGACGCTTCGGGCGCTTGAATGGCAAACGTGGGCGCCAAGCGAAGGTTCTGGTCTTGGCGTAAGCAAGTACAAATAAAGCGGGTTCGTTTCAGTGACGCCGGGTGACGCCTTCATCGCCACCGACGACGACGACCAAGCGCTCCACAACGCGGTGCACAGCGAGCAGCCCCAAATACGCGATGAAGTCGATACTAATAGCGCTCGCCGCGCTGATACAACTGGCAACCGCAACACCGTATTCCCGACAACCGTCTGCACACCCGTTCACGTTCATTCCCCATGGCGGCGGCGGCGGCGACCACCCAGCTGAACCGGGCTCGTCGACGTTCTGGGAGAAGGTTTTTGTCAGCGTCGCGTTGGTGCTCATTGGCGGTGTATTTGCTGGGTGCGTGTGTATTTGCTGGCAGCGTTGGGTGACGCTAATACGCGGTAGTTTGACGCTAGGTCTTATGGGTCTCGACGAGCTCCACCTGAGGGTGTTGTCGGCGTCGTCCGACGACCCCAAGGAGAAGAAGAATGCTCAGAAAGGTTAGATTGACAGTGACCTAAATGGCCCGTCAACTGACCGCTGTGCGTTTAACACTTAGTTCTTAAACTGTTGGAGAAAGGACGGCATTGGGTTCTCATTGTATGTTTACGGCCTCAGTTTGGGTAACTAGATAATGACTTTTGGACAGGTTCTTCTACTAGGCAACGTCGTACGTACGCCTGAAGTCAGATATTGGCCCAGTCGTTCACCTTGGTTGTAGATTGTCAACTCAACTCTACCCCTCTTCTTGGACAGCGCCTTGGGAGGTGGTCTCGCTGCTGTCGTGGTTTCCACCTTTGCTATTGGTAAGTCTCTTCTCTACTATACGATGGGCTAGAACTAATAGATACCTAGTCATCTTTGGGTTCGTCGATTAGCTTCTCGGATTTCCATACTAACACTGACGGGATATGGGTCTATAGAGAGTGAGTTTCCACATCAACATTCTCCAGACAGAAGCTTACATTCAACAGAGTCATTCCTCAAGCCATTTGCGTGCGCTATGGTCTCTCCATTGGTGCGGCATGCGCCCCCCTTGTCCTTGCAATGATGTACATCTTTGGTAAGTACTTCATGAGGTTCCGCCTCTGTCGAGCTCATGAATTACTTGCAGCGCCCATCGCATGGCCGCTCGCCAAGCTACTTGACTGGGCTCTCGGAAAGCACGATCATCACACCTACAAGAAGGCAGAGCTCAAGTCGTTCCTTCAATTCCATCGTACGGGCGAAGAGCCATTGAGAGACGACGAAATCGCCATTTTGAATGGTGTTCTCGAGCTGAACACGAAGAAGGTCGAGCAGATTATGACACCTATGAAGGTATGTCACTTGCTCGTTCTCAGTAACCGGGACTTACTGACCAATTCTATAGGACACTGTCATCCTTAGCGCCGACACCGTCCTCGACCATAGTGCCGTAGACGCCATGTGAGCAGCTCGCTCCCCGGATTTACCGCGATCTAACTCCGTACTCACTTTTTCCCCTAGTCTGACAAGCGGTTACTCGCGTTTCCCAGTTCACGAGCCAGGCAACCCACTTGCCTTCATGGGAACCCTTTTGATCAAGAAGCTTTTGACCTACGATCCTGCCAAGGCCCTACCGGTCTCATCGTTCCCTTTAACGATCCTTCCTGAAGCACATCCCACTATTAATTGCTTCCAGGCTCTCGATTACTTGTACGTTCTTGTCCGACTATCGTATTCCCAATCTAACTGTTCTTCGCAGCCAAACAGGTCGAGCGCATTTGCTCCTTATCAGTCGGACGCCTGGTCAAGCTGGTGGTGCCATTGGTGTGATCACGCTCGAGGATATCATCGAGGTAAGTTTTCAATTAAGGGCCTAAGAGCTTGTCCTGAGGACGCGATATAGGAAATCATTTCCGAGGAGATTGTCGATGAGACGGATCGGTATGAGGATAATAGGAGTAAGCGGCAAGCGCGACGAGTGACGACTGCTAGTATTATGCGAGGGTACGTGCATATCTGTCGTCTTTCAATCTTCCCTTCCGAGCTCATAACGGCGTGCAGGATTGTTGAGCGGGAACGAAGGCGCGGAGAGTCGAGTGAACGATCTGCTTTGCTTGGGGGAGGTATCAATATTGGAAGTCAGACCAACTCTCTCGAAGTGCGTGGGTATGGGTCAATACCGGAGGGGATCTCGCAGTCGCCGACTGCGCATGAGGACGAGGACCTGCAGCGGACGCCGAAGAACTCGCATATCAAGTTCACGTATAGTGAGAGTCCGAAGGGGTTGTAAATGGGGCTTTTGGGACGGTTTTGGGATAATACTTGTGGTTGGATGTATATATTGAAGTACTCTATGTTCATTGAGGCGCTGTTGGGCCTTGTTATACAATCTATAGACTTTGCTATTCGTACTTTGGTTTTAGAATTGGCCATTTGGCTTTTAATACTAATACCGCGCCCCTGACCCTGCAAGCAGCGAGCACTCAAGGCAAAAAAACCTCATCCGCGACGACAACGAGCCGGCTGGTTTGTTACCTGAGGCTTCCGGTCCCATGATTCAGCGGTGGTATGTAGCCCAATCAATCCACTGATAGCGGCTACTTGGCTGCGCCTTTTGACGCTCTGCCAATTGTTTACGAAAAACAACGGGTAATTTTGTGCAGCACCAGGGGTCGAACCTGTGACTTCCGGACTTCCGGATCTATTGGGTTGATTATCTTATCTCGGCGCCTATCGCAAGGCTATTGTTCCCATTTGTCTGGCTGTTTGAATGATCACACGCTCCTTTCTTCCCGACCACTCACCTGGCGATTCATTGGCGCCCGCTTCGATAACTGGAAACCTGAAATCCATAATCTCCTCCGATTTAGCTTCAAGGGAGTTCAACAGAATGAATCGCATACCACCTGGGGTCAGTACACAGCAACCGGCGACGAGCGCTCCAGTCGTCTCAACGTAGTCCCATTTTTCAGCTTATTCAAAGTGCAAGAAGCGGAGATCGCGCCCGTCTTCGGGAGCTTACACAAGCTACAACCCTAGAAAATTACACCGTTGCCGCCCTCGATGCTGGACTTGTCAACTTTGCAAAGGAGCGCTCGTGGACGTCCCCGATGACTCTTGAGGACTGGTCACTGTCCGTGGCTGGTCTGGCCTGTGCCACATCCTGTATCGGAAAGTCGAACAAGAACAAGAGGAACAGAGAAGCTACCGTGGGACGGTTGATCGAAGTGTTCGATTACATCGAGGATTCGTTGGAGGCGCTCGTCCGCTCGGCTGTGGACCCTGTCATTTTCGCTGCTGCCCTAGACATGGAAGCAATCCTGACCCTCGTAGCGACCAACATCTCCAACATGATCAACCTCGACCCTCGCCTGGAAGCGCATGTCTTCTCATCCCCGATCCTTACCAACATCGTGCTCCGGATGTGGACGATGCGGAAACCGGACAACGAGGGAGAGGTGTATCTCAACTACAGCCCCGATCCCGACGGCGTCGACATCCTCGACCTCGTCGCGAACTACCTTTCGAGACAGGATGGCGTCAATACCATCACTTTGGCGCTCCTTTCTTCGAGAGTGAAGTTACGGGAGTTTGCGAATGCTTTTGTTGCGAGGCTCGTCCAGCTCGCGCAGAACCCGCCACCGAGCACCGCGGATGCCATCTCCGGAAGATCGAGGCACTTTTCACGGTTGTATACCATCGCTTCTGCTCTTGCGAAGGACCTCACGATCTATGGAGCGTTGAGGAGGGCTGGATTCCTCCAGTGCTGGGCTCAGTCGCTGAGTATTCTCCTCGCCAATCCCCGACCGCGGGACTTCAATGCGTTGGTGCTGATATCGCATGCTTTCCTCCTCGCCTGGGACTCCAAGGGTGACGCGGTTTCTGCGGTCAGGGACGTCCTGGAGGGTGGAATCATCGACCCACTCGCCAAAGCCCTCTCGGTAGTCCGTCTAGGCGGTGACCTCGAAAAGATCAACACTGCGAAACTCCTTATCGTCAAGCTGGCGGAATATTCGTTCTGCCCGCGGACGCTGAGTGTGATGGATATGCAAATGCTCAAGGTTGGGAAAACTGTGCATCAGCAGATTGAGGAGAAGAAGGAGGTGGGGGAGCGGTGGGAGGCTTTGGTCAGTACGCTGGAGTGGAGGAATATGATACGGAGGTTGACGTCGAAGATGAAATTGAATATCTGCGATAATGCGATGGTGAGTCCATGACGTGCGCTTTATCCTTCTTTTGTTAATGTTTTATAGCATCCTCATGACTTTGAGGATCGTGCATATCTGAAGGACGGTCACGTACCGTTCAAAGGATGCAGTGACTGCCACATGGTAATCTACTGCAGCAAGAAATGCCAGCTAGAAGACTGGCGAAACAGACATCGAGACGAATGTAGCGATATGAGGAGAGCGTACATCGGTGAGTATATGTCGATCCCTTCTCAACTTTCTTCACTCATGGGTTTAACAGACAGCAAGAACTCGAAGCGACGGTACCATCAGTCGACGCGAGACTACCACGTCAAATTCACAGAGTGGATGTTCAACAAGTCCCAGATGTCCATCGACATAAGTCTGATGGAGAAAGGACTGCAGAACACCCAGGTCGTTACTATCTCAGACTCCAGCAGAGGCCTGAACATACGCTCTCTGGATCACCGGACGTGGCACGAGTACTACAGCTACAGGCTGCCGTCCCTGTGTCCGGCGATCGATAAACGGGCGGACGACATGATCGAGGAATTCAAGCGCAATGGGACGGAGACGAGCTACCTCATGGACACTGCCTTCACGAATGGGCCAGAAGAGGCGGTTTCGGTCTTGGTGAGGTTGGAGAGGTATTATGATAAGTTGACGAAGGGACCGCGATGGACGGCTATTCAGAGTGTTGCAAGAGTAGTGTAAGTTTAACCTGCCACTGGCTGATTCCTCGGTGCTGACTTCACGGCCGCCCTCTCTCTCTACAGGAAAACTCAAACGGGAGTGTTCCCCGGACGCTCAGAACTGTTCACAGAGAGGCCTGGGGTCCCAAGTCGATTCACTCGCCGGCGATAATAGAAGGGTTCTCCCGTAGATTTCATTTCGATTTACCTGGACTTCTTCGACGCAATGTCTCAAGGCCGTCTTTATCTTCAGAAGCTGTCCAATGCGACCCTTTACTGGTACACTGAAGAAGCCCTTGTGGCATGCACACACTAGGACACTGCTTTTGACGCTTTAAGCCTTTACTGGTTCAAATTCGAACTCAGAATCAAAGTGATCGACACGGGTGCCAGAGCTTAGGACCCCGCACAAGTACAAAGGACACCATGAGTATGTATCTTTCGTTCTAACTACGCGAAACTAGGAGAGACGAATTTCATAGCGGAAGAATGCTTCCCCCTCAGGCTTCAACGATGCTGGGTGCCCATAGATTCACGCTAGTCATTTAGAAGCGTGCCTCGCGATTCACTGTGGAGGCGATAAGAGCAACGTTTTGCAATGGAAGCTTGAAAGTATGTTTGTACATTCATTCATATATGAAATGTACCCGGTAATTCATAGTCCTGCTTGGTGCTATCGTGGAGGTTGGTAAGGGGTACTCGTTGGGTACTCGCGCCAAGCTGCCGGGGATAAGAACGGTGCTCCGCGTCGGAGACTGCTGCAAGGGTCGCTTGTCCGAGTCTATCAGTGGAAGGGTATCTAGAAAGGCACCCTATTACCCAGCCACCGGCGTAATGACAGCCCCCAACTACAGGCGTTTGATGTGTGTATACGCATGCTAGTCATTTCGAGGGCCACTTCACAGCTCGTCGTGGCTTTTGGCGATCTGTATTGGGGTTTGACTGTGGGCGCTTCTCCAACCACAACAGCGCTTCTCTCTGACTTTCTCGGTGCTGTGCACCAAGGTTTGTTTTTTCTTTGTCCATCCGACGACTCGAAGTAGTATATAAGCTGGACGTCCTTTACCGTAGTGTTAAATTATTACTCGCCATCGCTTCAGTCTACCACCTGTATCTAATCTCTTGACCATGTCTTCATCTCTGACCGGCAAATCCGCCCAGCTGCTCAACGCAGCAGTCCGCTTCTACACTGCCTACAAGGACACTACGGGTGGCAAGGCCATCCTTATGGGAGGCGCCGCAACCATCCTTCTTGGAAACACTGAACGTCACACAAAGGTAAAGCTATCGTGTTTGGATGCTCTCAGTGGTAGCGTGAATTAACTCCGTACTTTCAGGACCTCGACTTCAATGTGTCGAGAATGACTCACAAGGACGTAGCCTCCCTTAATAATAGGGGTATATACGTGCGCCCCACACGTGACAATCGCTTCGCAGCCACCATCCCAGAAAGCACGGCGGGTGCCAAGGACGCCATTAGCATTGACCTTGCCGTCAAATCGAACATAGACGACCTCCTGCAGTTCACTGAAGACATCCACGGCGTCCGTGTCGCCGACGAGCGTCTTCTTATCGTAGACAAGATCATTTGCCTCCCGCAACGCCATATATCCGCGACTCAAAAAATTGGAAAACGACTATGCGGACGTCATTTGGTGTGCTAGTCGCTTTGACGAGACTAAGACTCAGCTTCCCGAATCGCTGAGGGCATCCCTCAGCGAGGGCGTGATCGACGACTTTTTCAAGGTTGTCAGTGAACACCACCAAGCGGAAGCAAAGGTCTGCGAAATGTTTCTCAAAAGTGCGGGAATAATTTCGAAGAATTATGAGGTTAACGAGGCTTGAACAAGTGCCCAACACCTGTTGGTTTGAAGCCAGGCTCAATCCTATTACGCAGACCCTTAGTCATTCAATCTTCCGAGTAACGTACTTCTATCCCTGCAATACGAGTCCTTGTTCCTTGTCCAATACTGGAACGTCTCTTAGTAACCCTCTTCGAGGATTACTCCCCCGTCGGTAAATACAAGTCCCTCGACCGAAACAAAAGCAAGGACCTTGCAGTAGCCAGGTGCTAGGTTCGGAGCAAGCCCCTTGCTTCGGTCCGGACGCGGCCGGTTCGAAGGTCGAGCGGAGCTCGAAAAAGAGGCAGCTGTTTGTAGAACAAACAATCGAAGAGGGGGCTTCCTAGCCAGGTGCATCGACACACAGAGCCAAGTATGTACAAATACAGAGCCTGAGAGTACATTAGGGCACCATAGCGCTCAGTTCACGCAATCCCAAGATGGGTATCCATTTCTACGACACAAGCCCCAGTGGCCCAGCCGAGCAACAGGGGAGACTAGGACCCGCAAGGGCGCTGATTTCTGCCCAAATTCCCAATGTTGTTTGGGCAGAAGATGCGCTTTCCATTGTCCACCGGGTCCCCACCGGGCTGTTCGATCTCCAGATCATTGTGCCGGACGACAAAGTTCACGTCGCCGCACAAAAAATCTGCCGGCGACTCCCCTATTCAATCATTGATTGTCCTCAAGACGATAGGTGGCGCGACTATAAGCTTTTTAACCAGGAGCGTCCTCCAGCATTCAAATTCGGGGACACGTCTCTACTGCTAAATAACAGCGAGGCGAAGGGCCATGTAAGAGTATTTTGTCCGCTTCAGGACTCGCCGACTAATATGCGTACATTCAGGAACCTGACCGAGTCTTGGTGCACGCCGCATCGACCTTCCACTTTGATCTTACAGACCCATCGCGCACCTGTCTGAACCTAGAACCCCCAGACGTGGAGTCCTCCCCCATTCGCTATCCTACGCTCGCCGCGTTCTTCGACGCCATCATTGACACGCTTTTCGAACCACCCCTCGGTCACATCCACCAAAAATTTCGCTCTCACCTGATGAACTTCCACAGCTATTTGCTCCTCTACAGCGTCGGCAAGGAAGGCGTTTTGACCCATGACGATCCGATAACTGAGGAAAGATTCCCCGTTCCCGACTGCATGCGCCTTCTGCAAGAGGTCAAGTATGAGAACCGTCCATTCATGATTCGCCGCATCCTTCGATCTCAAGTTCTGAATTTCCATGATGGCTTCGTTGAGCGTCAGGACCTAAAAGCTGAGAGACTGTGAGTAAAGATGTCGATCGTATGAGGCTGTTGGCTGATGTGCCTTCTACCACTGGCAGTGCAAAATTGGGACGGAAATACGTCCCTCCGCCGATGCCTTACTGCCCGCTATACCGGCAGAAGGGCATCTCTGAGCCATCGAACGAGCCTCGCCTTACTCCGTGAGTGGCCAAGGTTCGTTGAGCTTTCGCGCGTTATCGCTAATAACTTGCTCTCGGCCAACAGATACCTTGTCAAAGGCAGTAATGGTAAGCCAAGAATCGACTGGCGTCCGCTGGCGAGGTACGCATCCATCGCCCATCGTCTTCTCCGATAATTCTGGCGCGAGACAGTCTGAGTATGGTTGTCATGTAGTACACTATGGACCCTGGACCCGTTTATTTAAAACGGGTTCGGAAACGGGTGGTGCGTTATCAGTAAACGTACCACCCGTCAACTCCAAATGGTCAGTCACGGACACTACGTTAGAATTAGCTCGTTACCTACCCGTTTAAAATAAACTCGGTTTTGATGTACCTAAACGCATTCCAGAAATGTAACGATTCACGCAGAACTCCAGGATCATCCATTTGCTTCCATTTCTTATACAAATGGCCAATAAACCCATGTGTTATGTCTCCATTTCCTCATACTGCTCGCTTCTCATGCTTATCCCGTTAGCTACCCGCTTATAAAATACGGAAGAGGGGCGGAAAACCCGCTAGTAGGTCACACAAGATGTACGTTAAAGTGAGATTATGATTATAACGGAAAATCCACGGTATTTCACAGCCATACATGCGGTTATAGAATAAAGATGGACATGTCCTGCCGTTCAGGGGACAGTCTACTAGCTAGGTGGGTTGGTAGGATACAACAACAAAGACAACATCAGAAATATAGTACAAATATTAAAGGGATGAACGTACGTCGTTACCCGCATCGCGGTTCGATTTCGGGGAGGACTTTGAGGAGGGTTGGGTTCAGCGTCGGAGTCTGGTGAGGATGCCAATGGCGTTACTGTCGTTCTTCTTGTCATTCGGCTTCGACTTTGAGGGTTTCCGTTTGGGAGGCTGGCAATGTAAACACATCTCTGAGCTCGTCAGAATGAAACTCTTCGCATTGGAGAATAGTGCAATTGGACATAAAAAATGGAAGGACACATACTGACACGGTGAAATTGGCATTCTGTTCACAATCCCCCCTCCTGCCATTCATCCCAGCTCTTTCCCCCTTTTTTTTTCTTGCTGTCCCTTCGCGATTCCATACTCGTTACCCCGGATATTAAAAAATCAGTAATTACGCGAGCTTACCTCGCCACTGGTGCCCCCTCCAAAGCCGGTATCAGAGTCCAGACTCATGGCATTTCATGCGGAGCTCAGAGAGTGAGAGGTTGGTGGGGAACTGTGGGGAAGGATTCCGAAGGACTTGCGCGGGCCTCTCGGCGTGGTTGGTGTTTATTTGGCAAAGGCATGATCACCTGATAGTAGATACGGAGAAGCGCTAAAGTCGGGGGTTTCCATCTTCTCTGTATCTGATTCCTCCGATCTAGTAATGTATTCCAGTACTAAGGCCTTACGCCCTCGCCTACTTCCCCCAATCACCAACCAATCACGCTACAAATCGCGGGGACTGGTGGTCACAAACCGGACCCAATGAGTCGCCTTCCCGACGATTTGGTTCGGAAATCCTCCCGCCACGCCCGCACCCGAGGACCCTCTTACTGGACAAACCCTCCGGCCCGGCGGCCCCTCCCTGTACCATTTGCACCATATCGCCAGGTTTATTAGCATCCCTGTACTTTGAAATAAAAACGTTTTTCGTAAACGAACGGTTAACGGATGTCGACTTCGGTGTTGAGGACTTAACAGTGTAACGGATAGTGGGCGGATGATCCAGGTTGTTTCCGTTATTTCCAAAATCCGTGAGTTCTTGCTCACGGACGACTCATGGAAGCTGCTGGGCCTCCCAAGTCACGTATTTTTGAGATAACACAGAAGTAGCGGATGCTACGTGAATTCTGGAACTTATCACGGATGGTACGTGAAAAACAAACCGATGTTGGGTCCATAGTGGTAGATTACCTATCCATTTTACCCTTGCAGAAACCCACCCTATTCCCAAGGCCACGGCAGAGTACTCGCCTCATGCAGACCATGCTGCAACAAGGGAGTAATGGTAGTAGGACATTGAATGGCGCGATGGAGAGATATGCTTGGATCGCACATCATAATTGGACTCGATAGAGCACCGAACGCGAGGAGATTGGTCTCGTCAAATCATGCAAGTTCACTCGGGGCGACCACAAACATTTTCCCGTCTAGTTACCTCTTGACCACAGCGCCAATTGCTCGCCCCTCAGCAAGGCAAAACAAGGAAGAGACGAGGGGCCCGGCCGAGCGGAGTGTATGTACAGGGTGATCCGGGTTGCGGCTCAGACTAGCAACGTGATCACTTTCAAAGCCCACAGCTCACCAGCGCCTACCTTTACACTTGCCCGGCTCGGTGTTCACCTAGGATTGGCTGAAATAACTTCTCTCCATGCATCCGTGCTTCAATGGGTATTCATTTCTACGAGACGAGTCCCAGCGGACCACCAGAGCAACAGGGAAGATTAGGCCCGGCCCAGCAAGGGCACTCGTTGCTTCCCAAATTCCCAGTGTTGTTTGGGCAGAAGATGCGCTTTCCTTCGTCCACCGGGTCCCTACCGAGTTGTTCGATTTCCAGATACTCGTTCCGGACGACAAAGTTCACGTCGCGGCACAAGAAATCTGCCATAGACGACCCTATTCTATCGTCGATGGCTCTAAAGACGAGATATGGCTGGACTACAAGCTTTACAATCAGGAGCGCCCGCCAGCATTCAAATTTGGAGAAACGTCTCTGCTTCTAAACAATAGTGAGGCGAAGGGCCATGTAAGAGTGTTTTGTCAGTTTCAGGAATCGACAACTAATTCCTAATTACAGGAACCTGATCAAGTCCTGGTGCACGCCGCATCCACCTTCCACTTTGACCTTGCAGACTCATCGCGCACCTGTCTGAACCCAGACCCTCCAGACCCGGAGTCGTCTCCTATTCGCTATCCTACGCTTGCCGCGTTCCTCGATAGTCTCGTTGACACGTTTTACGAACCACCTCTCCCCTACCTTCACCAAATATTCCGCTCCAGACTGAAGGTTTTCCTCAGCTACCTGTTCCTTTATAGCGTCGGCCATGAGGGAAATTTGGTTGTTGAAGATCCAGTCACAAAGGAAAAGTTGCCCATTCCGGAGTGCATGCGTTTACTGCAAGAGGTCAAGTATGAAAACCGGCCCTTTCTGATTCGCCACATCCTTCAATCTCAGGTTCTGGATTACCACGATGGCTTCATAGAACGTCGAGAGCTCAAAGCTGAAAGGCTGTAAGTACGGGAGTTGTTCGTATGACGCTGATGGCTGACGTGCCTCTTACCAGTGCAAAATTGGGGATGAAATATGTCCCCCCACCGATGCCTTACTGCCCGCTTCGCCGGCAGAGAGGCATTCCGGAACCCCCGCATGAGCCTCGCCTTACTCCGTAAGTTGCCTTCTTCACCGCTATTGCTATTAGCTCACCCTTGGTCAACAGATACCTAACCAAAGGGAGAAACGGTAAACCAGGTATCGACTGGCGCCCGCTGGCGAGATATGCCTCAATCGCCCATCGCCTCCTCAGATGATAGTGATAGTGTGGGTTGCCCACACGCCGTACGGCCTGATGTTGGACTCTATGCAAAGACACCTCACGTCTTCTTCGCCGGGACGGGAATCTGTAGTCAGGTACTCTTACTGCCCTTGAATCGCCTCTGTAGACGGTAGACACCTACTTCCATGCACCAAAAAAAACTCTGGATCGACTTGACTTAGATGCACACCTCCTGTAGTCTCGACACAAGACCAAGGGCGGACAGTCCACGCAGTGGCTTAGTTGAGCCTACCCCCCCCCCCCCTAGACTCGCGACCAGTCGTTACGCCTTGCCCCACTCTGTTTGTGTTATGTTTGTACCGTATTTGGTCGATGCCGGTTGATGGCCAGCACAAACAAGTGGAGCGCAGCGTAACGACTGGGACAACCAAGGCACCTTTAGCAGGGACCCCCCGAGCGTGACATCGACTTAGCGAAATTTCGCTCGACGACACTCCTCCCTCCTTCCTCGGTCCTCAAATTCACTCCAAAATTCATATCTTCAGAGCCATTGTCTATAGCATTAGTTCGAGTAAATAAATCGATTGAACACTACTCTAAAAAATACAATTTTCTCAACAATTTCGACTTGGGTTTGCCGGGGGTGTAAACGAGGTAGGGGACGAGGAGGAAGGGACATGTCCGTTTGGAGGTGGCCGGGGATAATAGAAAGGATAGGGCTAAGGGTATATCATGTGGGGAGGAGGGGGAGGAACATAGTATATCAGCCAATGGCCTGTGTGCCATCCTTGGACTGGAGGGGGTGGATGGGATGGCCCGGGCTGGAGGTGAGGTTGTGGGTGTGCGAGAGCCCGACTCCCGAGCGTGACCATTCACATTCTGACAGTTACAGTCATTCAGGCGATGGTTCTGATAATTTTCAACTATACGATACTACAGATGGCGAGGAGGAAGGGTGGAGTGAGGAGGAAATTACCGTAGTGTACCATAGGCTAATTAACCGCGCGCGCGTTTTCATCGAGTTTTCGCTAAGTCAGAGTGTGACAAGCGTGACACGCCAAAATGGGCTTGGTGACTCCCAGCCGGTACACGGAGTTGACCCTGATGTGGTCACGTGTGTACCGGCTGGTAGCGAGCCTACCCCCCCCCCCCAACTGCAAGGATGAGCGGAGATAAAATTAAATCGGACGGCGCTTAAATTTGAGGAAGCCTTGGCGCCTTGGCCTTTGAAGAGAACGGCACGGTCAGGCGCCTGTCAGATCCAATTTCTGCTTTGCACCATCATGTTCCGCCGGAAAGGTAAAGGGAGCGCACAAGCGTTGGATATTCCTCCGGAGATTATCTCCCAGATCCTGCAAAAGGTTTCTGAGAGTCATTCTCGCAAGGACTTGGAGAACTGCTCGCTAGTATCGCACACCTGGTACCAGCAAGCGAGGCGTTTTCTCTTCTCTCATCTCGCGATAAGCTCGATGCAATACCAAAGGCCGAAGGGGGATAAAAGTATCGCATCCTTGTGGAGCCACCGACGTCCACAGGAACCGAAGCCTGGCCCGGAGCACCACCTCGAACGACGACTTACAGGTTTACTGAAGATGGTCGAAAGCGATCCGGATATTCCTCGCTTCGTTCGACACGTCTCCATTGTCTTTCCTACTCTACAGCCTGTCAATGCTAGCGCCCATTATTTTCTGGAGCTTATCCAGAAACTCGATGGGGTCGCCACGCTTGATGTCAGGTTGAACACACGGCGCAACGACTCTATCGGATTCTGGGATCCCACACCTTTACAGCAGAAGGCTGAAGAAGCCATCCGGCACCTGTGTTCTCTTCCGACTTTGGAGAGGCTGTCCATCACAGGGGGAAAGCTCCCATTCAGCATCTTTCTCCACAGTCCAGCACTTCGCTCACTCACGCTGTCAGACATCCAAGCCAACTCTCAAGTCGTTGACCCGATTTCTAACCTAACTATGGATCCTTCCATGACCACGTACGCTCCATTGAAGGCTCTCACATTGAATGTCGACGATCACTCCATCGATTCGTCCGGCGTCGCCCATTTAGTCCCTCTCTTCACTCGACACCACACCCGGTTTTTCCGGATGCTTACGCACCTGGTAGTCCCAATCCCCATGTCACCTCCCGACCTGAAATCGCTGCTGGATGTCGTCGCAGCTTCCCTCACCCATCTCGTTGTAACCATAGGCGCGCACGGGGGCCGAGATCTTCGGTTTGGTCACCTAGAGAACCTCCGCTCGCTCTCGGTCACCTACCAGGGCAGCACAACCAGCGCCTTCCCCTCTTTCTATCCCTACATATCAAGGACGCTTTCGAACCTCCCATTCCATACCTTGGAAACTATCCGACTCGAGCTGTCCATGTCGTGCAGGAACATGGACAGTTGGCACATATCGTCCAACGACGTTCAATATCCGAACGCCATCGATTCACTGTTAGCGCCTTATGCGCTGGGACGACAGGGGCGGCTGCGGGATGTAGAGATTTGGGTGCATCAGGCGAGATGCAAACGGCAGTGCGGGAACGCGAAGCGGGCTCCTCACGAAGCTCTCATACCGCAGCTTTACGACCTATCCCTCACGGACACACGGATCCGAGCTGAATGCAAACGGATAGTACGCCAGATTTAGGAATCAGTAATCCCGTGGTACGAAATTCTGTTTTCATTGGAACTTTCAATGTCTTAAAGGTACTTAATAGTGATTTCACCATCTCGAGGCCCAGTTACAAGTTACGACCATTAGACATTTGACCCGGCTCCCCGGGCCCCTGAACTTGTTAATTGCATAGGAATCGCATACGTCTGGCTCCCCACGATCCTCTTCTCAGGTCGCGATTCAGTACGCAATCCTCCTCCATCTGCAACACTCCTGTCAAAGTGATCGGTACCAACTCCACTGCCAATGAATATGGCACTTTTTGAGGACATCGCGGATGCCTTGTACTGGGCTGACGATCCTTCTCCGACTACGTGGAGAACGTTGGCCACGAGTCGGGTGGTCATGATCGAGGTGAGCGCGATGTGGAGAGGGATGATTGTGGAGGAAACGACGGGGTTCTTCACTCCCATCAAGAAGGCAATGTCGACAATTCCTATGACGACCGCAATGAAAAAGTAGAGGACACCATCGCGAAGAAATGTCGCTTGAATCGGCGAGTCGAAGCTCTTGTGCTGGTGGCGGTTCAGGACTAATAATGGGCAGATGAGTGTTAGAGCCGCGGATGGTTCCATGTTAGAGCATATCTCTCACCAAGTCTGTAAACTGTCAATATGAATATGACAGTATCATACCCGGCGTTGGCGATAAAGGAGATTCTAAATGTAAGAGTGAGAGTCGATCTGTTACCACAGACGAGTATCACCTACGGGGCCCACTTTTCGCTCCGAACGATGGTGCACCCTCCAGTTGGGATGTTTGCTGCCTTCTGAGAGAACGGAGCGGTGAGGGACGCCCCTAGACACAGCACCCAAAGGACGAATAGTGTATACTTCACGGAGATGCTCCTATCCCAGATTGCAAGGCTAGGATACTGTTAGCTTTGGTGCCCTACTTGATTACTTGATGGATCTCGTAGGACTTACACTCGGTACAGATAGATGAGAGAGACCGACGGCAGGACCACAGCGCCCCCGAATGTCAAAGCCACCTTTCCGAAGGCATAGCAATTTCCAGGCGTTCCGAGGAGGATGTTCACTTGCGCCATGATCACGATCCAAGCGCCGTAGCGTTGCAGAAAGTATGCCCAAATCACAGGGCTCTTCCAGGCATCCTTCATCCGGAGGTACTTGAGGTCCAAGGGCGAGTGGAGAACGATCTCCCAAGTGACGAGGACGAACGAAGCCAAAGTTATGTAGTTGACGTTTGCCCGTTGTTCCTCTGTTGGAACGCCTGGAGGGGGCGGGCCTGCCGTTGCTGGAGATGCTGTCGACGACATGGGATGTCCTAGTACCAGTAGAGCCTATGATCAAGGTGACTCCTGGTCTTATAGGCATATCATCGACAATGTCCTAGGATCAACCTAACCCTCTTGAACGCCCGGTCTCCACATTCTCTGTGCCAGATACAGTGATAAGATCCCCGACAGATGGAGAAGAGTGATTGAAAACATAGAAGGCAGACGAAGCAGTCGACGTTCTGCTCACGTTGTTCTAGTGCGTGAGAGTCTTCTCACCATCCAACTTTCCATCACTGTCGCGAGCTGGGCAGATGACCTATAGCCTATCTACCAAAAGAAGGGTTCGCTCGAATAGGGTAGTGGTGGGCGCTTACGGTCAAGCGCTCTGCTTGTCCCGAGAATACTAGTCCTCAGACCTGCCCCTGGTTAAATAAATGTGTAGAGCAACGAAGGCACAAGGAACTCCAGAATGAATATCCCTATTCCTGCCCCGTATGTGGTGCCTTGTTCCTGAATACATGCTGAATTTCGAGTTCGGCTCCCAATCATCAATTAGCGCGGCATCATCCGAAATCTTGCTTTATTGGACCCTTGATTACGCTGCCACTTAGACTACTTCATCACGTTGCTGCTTCAAAGTTCAGATGGACCCCAAACTGTTTCTCCCCTCACCAGAACTCATTCAAGTTCGCTGCGTGGGTCTCTGTGCACATGGGTAGACTCGCCCCTATGGTACGTTCAAGTCAAACCTGCGTCAAGAGAGTTTGGTCCTCACTCAATCGTGTAGATTCTTGAGGGCGCCAAACACGGCGATCTATCGTCCCTCCAGAAGCTAGTAGACTACGTAGCCCGGGAGAACTACACGTTATCGGCATTTGGCACTTTTCTCTCCGTCTTCCACGTCAAGGACGCTTCCAAGATGTTCGAAACCGGATGGGAGCTGCTCCTGGACTGTCTTCACGCGCATGTCAGGCACTACCAGTCCAAGAAAGGATCTTTCAGGGAGAAAGCGATTGCCAAATTGAACGAAGAACTCGACCGCATTGTCTCGTGGATTCACCGCCTCGCCTCTTACGCCATCGAGAACTTCGACGATTCTTCTCTCGGTCCTGCTCTTGACATGTCATGCAGGAACATCGTTGAGCTCCTGGTGCTTGACCCCACCTTTGAGCAACTCATCCTCTTCTCCCCGGCCGTCATTGAGATATCTCTCAAAGCATTCACGACGCGCCGGAGAGACAGGGACCAGCTTCCCTTCTTTCACTTCGACCTCGAGAGACCCTGTGCTATCTTCCTCCTGTTCTCCAAGTTCCCCGCCAACCGGGAAGCCTGGAACAAATACCTCGACGTCGTCCTCACCTCGCACGCCTCCCTCAAAGTCTTCTGCGCAGCCTACGTTCATCGAATCGCCCGACTCGTTCAACTATGCCAGCGTCACCACCAACTAGGCGAAATTGATTGGGAAAACGGGTACCAAATATACCTCCTCCTCCCTTTCTTGACGGACGTCCCGAGTATTCACAAACAACTTCGTCGACTGGGGTTTATCCGCGAGATGACGCATACGCTGGCGAGCATGGCTTCATTCTCCGGATACCCGGCTATACGGTACTCGCCGATGGCGGTTCAGGTCTTCAGAATCGCGTACGAGCCGGGCGTGAATCCCTTGAGAGGCGTGTCGGACGCTCTCAAGGAAGGGATCATGTTGCCCATCATACCTGGGATGCTGAGCAACGGCCCCAAGGGATGCGAAGCTCTAGGCTTCAACGCGGTCCTTCGTGCATGGGGAGCATTTTCCTTCTACCCGCAGTGCCTTCCCCATTTCAAACACGCCATCGGGATGCTCCCTTGCCCCTTTCCCGAAGAGATTAAGCGCCGGAAAGGGTTCACGCCTATCAGTACGAACAACTATTGGAAGCATTTCGTCAAGGGGATCGATCAAAGATGCGCCCTTCTCGAGTCGTTCTCCACCGGGACTGAGCTGGATTTATGCGATAATGACCTCGTAAGTGGATACTCCTCTTTGCTCATGAACTGTGAATTGACCTATTATAGTTCTGCACAGGAGACAATCGGCGCAATACCAAGCCCCAAGTCTGTTCAGGGTGCCATTCCGTTGTGTATTGCACCGTCGAATGCCAGACGACAGATTGGAAAGAACGACACCGACGCGAATGCAAATCGATGCGCCAAAGCTATCTCGGTGAGTGACATCCCTACATCTTCTCACTGCCCCGTCTTTCAAACCCAACGGGCAGATCGCTGCCGCAACCAGATCCGCTACACCCCCTTCACGCGATCTTTCCACCTCGCAGTGATGACTTCCGCCATCAACGACTTCTACTTCTCCGACATACAGAACTCCTCTCCGAGGACGATCACCCTTCTCGACTTTGTCGACAACCCCATTCCTCGTCCAAAGAGGAGGACGATATCCATCAAGGAGCGCCTAGAGTCTACGCGCGACGAACTTGTGTTTTGGCACTGCCAAGCGATGGAAACAAGGGCTCTCAGATTGATGGAACGGTTCTACAACCAGGACGGGCCTGAAACCAGGCTTGTGGAAGGCATGTTCTGTTGGAATTCGATGTATCGAATTTCGGTTGTCGCAGAACTTGCCCTGAATAAAGAGGTGGATGGAAAGTGGAACGTGTTGCGCAATGTTGCCAAGGTTGAGTGAGTGCTGGAGTATCATCCCTGTTGGACAGTATGCTGAGACGCTCTTTAAAGCTACAGGATCTTCACCGAGGAAGACGGGCGTCAAGCAGAGATGGGTGCTGCGACTTGTGTACGCGGCTTCCTGGACGTCTTACTTTAAATAATTAGCATTATCACCCTCCAACCTAACATAGCTTAATCATGTAATACCCCATTAAAATATCAAACCCTTAATTCCTTAATTCTTCTTCCGATCCCCCTTGTGCATGAACTCGTAGCACGCCTTGCCAGGTTCCGCACCCAACAGCTCCTGGACGTCCTCCAAACTCATCTCACAAAGCTCCCTGACATTCCTCACCCGCGCCATCACCCACTTCACATTCTTCGCCGTCACACCTGGCAGGCACCTCACCAACTCCTCCGCGGCCGTGTTCACCCCTTTCCCCGCCTCTGGATCCTCCTCCGCCCCCACGGCCACTGCCTTAGTCGGGTCAGGCTCTGCAAAGTTCTTCTTGAGGTCGGTGAAGATGTCGCATGTGGCGAAGGGAGAGGAGGACCAGATGATCTTGAGACGTGGGAAAGAGAGGGTGAGCAATACGAGCTTGGATTGCACAGAGACTGGGGTGTAAGGAGAGTCTGAGGTCGGGTCGGCGTTCTTCTTGGGTGGATATTTGCCGCTGGGTTTGGCGTAGGATTTCATGTCGGTGATCAACTGCACGGGGTTAGCTTTAACTACATGGAGCAGAAGGTACACGCACGTCGAGTGAAAACGCTTTGTCTTCTTCGAACTCAATGAGCAGAATCGGGTACTTGTAGTGTACTGACATCAGCTCGCATTGTGTGTACCTGAAACTCGAGGTCAGATAGACCTCAGTTGACCAGAAAAAGGAGAACCTACAGCCGACCGTTGTTGAAACTCGAAACGAGATCAGCCAAGCTCTTACGCTCGACACACATCTCGGGTGTCAGAATGTAATCTCCAACGGTGAGGGTCGCAGGTATCACAAGAATGTTCGCAGCGTGCAGGAGCGAAGGAAGGGTCGACCGGAATTCTCGCATATCAACAATGACCTACGGAAACTAATGAGACGGATTCCAGAGCGATACAGGATTTCTTACCTTCGAAGGCTCTTGGTTCAGTTCCCGTCGTCCACCAGCCAGTCGCGTACTGATGGTCTTGATGACATCATCGTTCCTCCCAGCCTCGCCCCGTCGTTCCTCGTAAATCGGCATCAACATTGTCTAGGGATAGATCAGATTATAGAGGAGAAGAGAATATAATACAAGTGAGATAACGCACAGCTCTCTCCTTGATCATCCTCTCAAACGATTCCTTCTCTTTCCTAATCGCTGCGAGGTACTTGTGCTCTTCGCACGAGTTTCTATAGACCAGGTGGTAGACGCGTACACCAAGGCCTGGATGGGAGCTTCGGTACACCTGTATCCACCGTCAGCCACAGAGCTCTCAATAGGGAGATAATTATACCCACCTCGACCCTCCTAACGAACTCCATGTTCGGCTCACACATGACGATGAACTTGGGCTGCACCTCGGCCAGCATACGGTCATCCGAGTCATCCGAGTACGCTCGAACGAGCACAGTCTGCTCTGGGGGAATGAGCCCGTAGAGCTCGTCGAACTCTTGCTCGAAGAGGCCTGCTGATTCCGCGGTGACGAGGTCGATGATCATGGACGATGTGTCGGCTGTGGGGGCATCGAGGGGCGTAGCGTTCGTGTCGATTTGAGTCAACCAGCTGGAAGGAAGGATGGTGAGATCAAGATAGAGAGGGAGGGGAGGAAGGCGTACAACTCCTCGATATCGTTGGGGTTGGTGGCAGGTTTCTGAGTGCCTTGTGTCTTGGACCTGTCGCTCGGTGACGCTGCGGGTGCTCCTCCTCGTACTCGACGTCGGCTCTGGTTCCGTTCGGCCTTTTCCTTGTCTTTCCGTTGTAAGGCCTCGCTGATTCCCTTGTCCCTCCTAAGGGCACTTTTGAGCAAATCCCGAAGCGTCATAAATCAGAAGACACTCACTGTGTGGTGCTGGAAGACGAGGCGGCGGGGCTACGATACCCGGAACCGCTGCCTTTGCTCTTCTCCTCGTTCTTCTCCTTGGCCTTTTGGTTCTTCCACCAGAGGTATACCCTCAGCTTCTGCATCATCATTTCTCGCCCTTTCTGACCCTTGGGCGCATCGAGGTCGGCGGATGAAAGGAACTCGGTGAGGAGCTGGCTCGTCCTCGTCGAAGAGGTCATCACCAGGACCGTGTTGGACCCAATCATCGCTAAAGGCCATGGTCAGTCAAATGGCAGAAGAACGCGAAGAAAGATACTTACGAGCACCCATCGGCCTCTTCATCGACTCCTGCCTTACGATCTCCTCTTCAATTTCTTGAAGAATTTCAGTGAGTAAATCCCACTTGGGTAGTTCCTCGAGGACGGGGTCAAGGCCCTCCGGTAACCAATCCGGCCTCTCCTTCTTCACCACAGGTTCTTTCTTGCCTTTAGATTTTGACGGTACAGGAGCGGGCGTATTACCCTCCATCTCATCCAAAGCCGCCCATGCATCCTCGTCGTCGACCAGATCAATGACGACAGGCTGTTTGTTCGCTGATGTGCTTCGAGACATTGGTGCAGCGCTGAAGGTGTAGCAGCGACGACGGGCGTTTTCGAAGATGATGTGGGCGGCGTCGGTCATCATCCATGGTGAGTGGTTGACCTTTGCTGCGCCGGAAGCTGTTGTGTTGCTCGCTTCTTTCAGTGTCTCGAGGTAAGCGTGGAATTGGAGGGAGTCGTAGGTGAGGAGGTAGCTGATGAAATAGGGTGTCAGAAAAAGTAGACAATGGAGATGAGAGGATGAATGAGATGCGACCAACAGGAGCGATGGAGAGATCGTCACCCTCCCAACCATTCGGAACGGACCACGCCGCCCATTCGCACTATGCGCCCCAGTGCTTCACGGGAAGCGATAAGAGCGGGAAAGTACCTTTGGTCCGCAGGGCACTGGCTCCTCAGATGAACGAATGAAGGTAGACTTACAAAAGCAGTCGTCGGAGAGTGCCAAGGTCATTGACCAGCTGCTTGGTGCGTGGTGCGACCTTATGCCACACTGGATCCAGCTGCTTGCGGACGATGATGTCGAACTGTCGGAAGTACGCGTTCTCGACGTTGAAGTCGTCCAGGTCAATCTAGAGAGCATCGTCAGGACATGCCCAATAGGCTGAGAACTGACATACGCTGGTGTTGGATCTCCTTAGGTCGGCGAGTGTAGCGCTCATACACTGGATGATAGCCCCATGAATTTCAGCCATGGGTCCCGACATGTCTTGAGCGAGCTCAATCACATCTGCCCGGCGTCGTTCTAGAGATTTCTTGATATCTGCATGGAATCTGGGGAATATGTGGACCCTCCGGATTTGAAGCTCCTTCATTATGTTCCTGAGGGGCGACATTCCACTGGTAATGTGCTCGGGCTGGTCTGTGAACGCCTTCACGAACCCCTCCTTGTTCTTTTCGCGGTAGAGACGAATCACAAAGGCTTCTAGCACCAATGGGGTCACTCTAGTGTGCGATGAGATTCATTTTCAAGGTAAAATGGGAAGTCTTACTTCTCGGCGTGCAGAACAAAGATTCCAGATATCAAATCGATTGGAATATCGTTCTGAAGCATGTCAACTACGAGAATACGCGACGTGACCGCAATTATTCCACCGCCCTTGTAAAGCTCTTGTCTGTGGGCTGTGAGACGATTGTTCTTCCATAAAGTAGACCTACATACCGCTGGTTCTTGGCCGTTTCGTAGCCTACGACACGCAGACCCGGTCGCCTGCAGCCCATGAGGCCAAGTTCTTCCCCAATTGCGGTTTCTTCCTCCGGGGAGGCATTTATGAGCAAAACCAGGTTCTTTGGGTTGTCATAAATCTTCAAAAGGGTGCAGATAACCCGTCGAAGACCCAAACCTCGAGCCAAAACCAGCAGATCGCTGGTCGCTGGGTCATGAATGGCATTCAGGACCGTCGTGTGGAACGGCAGCAGCGTTGCCATCGTCGTTTCGCGATTCTGGCTGTCACAATGAGGTCAAATTCATGGTTTTGGGGCCCCAAATCGATTCGTGGTGGTGGTTCAGGTTAGAGTCATGAAAGGCCGGCGCCGCGGCCCCACCGCTTGCGGCTTGCCTTCTGACCACCACCATCGACGACGACAGCGACGACAACGACAATGGGCAAGCTCAACATCGCTCACCACAAGTCTTACCACCCGTATCGACGAGACAATATCGATCGCGTTCGTCGCGATGAGGAGGAAGCTAGGCTCAAGGAGGCCAAAGAGGAGGGTCGAATGTTGTTGGCGGTGAGTTCGTCGTTCATGATAGTGACAACGACGATTCTGACGCCTTCTAGGACGCCGAAGCGCGTATCCAACTGCTCAGAGAACGAGCAGATATCGCTACCGACAAGAAGAGGAAGAAAAGAGACGACGAGGAGCTCGAGGCGCAGCTCAGAACGGGGACGTCGGCGTCGTCGTCTGTCGCGCAGCTGCCGACGACCAACGGCCATATCAATTTCTTCGAGGACTTGGAACAGGTACGTGGCAGCTTCATGACTTTCTACAAAATCCAATAACGAAGTTTGTAGGCCTCCATGGCAGCAATGATCAAGGCTTCTACCAAGAAGCCAGCGACGGCTGAGACAGAGAAAGGCGTACCCCTGGCGCCTTCTGAAAAGGACCTGAAACCTTGGTATTCAGGTCGAAAGAAGGATGGGGAAGATGATGAACTTCCTGAAGACAAACGGTATGTCTTACTATTGTTCTGGTTCTGTATTTTGTTGATCCTGGGTGTAGGAAACGAGAGGAGTACCGTAAATCCGCTCATGACCCTTTGACTTCCATAACCAAACAACTGGCATCTCGTTCTGCACCACCTTCGTCTTCTCGACGAGCTCAGCAGCCTCCCAGGGCCCTTGCTTCCAGCTCTTCCACGTCAATGGGCCCTCCTGAAGTCCAGGCACGGATATCTCGAGAAAAATCCGAACGCCAGCGGGCACTGGAGCTGATTCAGCGCAAGAAGCGGGAGATGGCTGGCAACGACACCCCCAGCACTGTGTATGGCGGTTCTGGCTACTCGGACCAGTTCAACAGGGAGGAGGTGGAGGCTGCTCATAGGAGAGACTTCCGGCATGAACGGCGTTGGGACGACGACGATGATCGACGTAGGCGGCGTAGTGATTCTCGGCACTCGAGCAGCTACGGTCGTTCAAGCCGTAGGGACGACCATGGTTCACGATATCGCTGAAGGCCGCATGTGTGGACGGGCTGCACTACCTTGCAGTCATTACGTCTGCTCCCCGGGGACAGAATCATCGTTCGGGCGTTCGCCACATTCCAGGTCCCCGTAACCGGCATCTTCTCTACCCTGCCCGCCGGTTCGTTCGAAATATAACCACAATGCCATGGTAATGCCGAAGCCATGTGGCGTAATCGTTAGCCAAATTCCTGCATCCCGTCAGCCAGCCCGGCCTCAACCATTGAAATTCACGGTCCCGGTCAATTTCGAACTTAAGACCCTCCCCAATGTCCACTTTCCTCCCCTCTTCCTGAGAGTCACGTCGGCCCATGGGTTCCTTTTCTCCCCTGCCGGGTTGGGAAAACCTCATCCGTTCCGATTTTTGGTTCCTTGATGGCAACATCGTGCTCCTTGCAGGCAATGCGGCATTCAAAGTGCACCGAGGCCAACTCGAACGGCAATCCGAAGTCTTCCGCGACCTATTCTCGATCCCCCAACCGGCATCCAACCAGGACCTCATCGATGGATGTAGCTGGGTCGAACTGCACGACCGGCCAGCGGACGTGTTCTATTTCTTGTCAGCTTTGTATGATGGGTTGTAAGTCGTCTCTATCCCTTCTCTCCTTGGTCCGTGGGGTTTGTGGACGATTAAACCAATGCTTTAGATATTTCAAAATTCCAAGGACCAATGATTTTGCGTGTGTATCGGCTGTGTTGCGGTTATCGACGAAGTACCTGGTTGAAGCGCTCCGAACACGGTGTTTGGCCCGATTGGAATTGGACTGGCCTACGACGTTGAGTGGGTGGGATATCAGGGAGCGAGAAGCGTTGGACGACAAAGGCCGCTACCTCCCTCGCGAAGTCTGCTGCCACCCTATCCTTCTCATGGAGCTCGCCATCGAACTCGGCGCCCAACACCTTCTCCCCTCCGCATTCTACGACCTATCCCGCTACGGACCCAGCAAGATCATGGCAGGCACGACCTACCACGCTGTCGCCCTCGATGTCGCAGCCTCGAAAACGCCCATCGAAGCCTCCCGCGAACGGCCCGCGACACTCAACAAGGACATGCTCGTGCGCACATTCAAAGGGCGTGAGGCCGCGCAACGCTACGTCTCCGATTTCGTCGCCAAGGAACTCGAGAACCGGCCACCAGCGCCCGACTGTGCGACGCGGAACGAGAAGGAGAACCCCTCCCGGAACTGTCTTGAGTCGTTCTACTTCATTATGCTCAACATATTGCGGTCTGTGGGCGGTATCGCGTGTGGGCGGGATGCGGACCCGCTGTTTACGTTGGTGCAGGCGACGGAGATGTTGAGTCGGACGGATTTTTCTGATGGGCAGCGGCAGACGGGGTTGAGGATATGTCATGCTTGTAAGGTTGATTTTGCGACGAGCGTGGGGAAGGCTAGAGAGGAGGTGTGGGGCCTATTGCCGGTTTGGTTTGGGTTGAAGGAGGAGGGTGTGCCGCTGAAGGTTGCTTGAAGGTGTCCCCCTTGGTTTTAATGTTAGTCCTTCTTTTTTTCTTATTTTATATTTTAATAGTGTCAAGCGACGTAAGGTCGTTTGGAGGTTGGTTCATTGCTATCGCCGACCTCGTCTTCTCAAGTTGGTTTACTCTCTTTCTGTTTCTCCTCTTTATTTTGTTTGAACTCCACACCCCATCGGTTGGACTTTGCTATCGCAGACCACTGTCACTGTACTAGTACGCTCGTTTCAACTGGACTCCTCGCTTTCATGTTGTGCTTGCTACATCGCATTGCTTTCGTGTTGTATCGTCCTCGGATGTGTAATATCCATTTGTACCACTGTCGTTACTTTAGCCTACCCTCAGAACGTGTAAATCTTTCTTGCAGGCCATTGTAATTTCAGATAATTATACATGGCGTCTATCCGTAGAGCACGTATCCCAGCGACCGCTCTCCGCGGCAGATTCACGTCTCTGTCCCGGGCTATCTACAATTTTGTGGAATTGATGAGCTTGGCGTCAGCTGGCCAATCAATCGATCGAATTTGGGCGCTAATCAACACCTTGGCATGATCCCAAGAGAGGCGGGGACCTTCGAGTTTGTGTGCGCACACCTCCCAAATCCATCCGACCATCCCGTCTCTGTGGGCGCTGATGTGCAGGTGGGATCAAAATGTAGGGGTTGTTTGGGTGGTTGGTTGATGAGGGGAAGACTGGATTGAATGGAAACACGGTTGGTATCTACGAAACGTTGCCTGGGGTCGCAGGTTTACTTCAGGACCTTAATCTGACTTCCCCTTAGTCGGCGCTTCGGGAATGACGATGGAGATAAGGGAATTCTTCCCTGGCAGCCCTTCTTATCTGTTCTGACTATTGGGATTGGCGTCAGCAGCCTTGGCCTTACACTGATAAGTAATAAAATGGTGAAGTTGCGTTAGCCTCACCGACAATGACATGGTGGTGTCGCATTCGCGTAAAGGGCGTACCCATGGGCAAAAACAGAGACAACCACTGGGAGTGTTTATGGGAATATAGACATAGATAGGCCACACATAGATTGGTGTCTGTATGGCTGATGTCGAATTGTATCAACGGAGGATGCGCCCATCACGGACGTCCATCAAAACACACAGAAAGAGGTATAAGGACTGGGTACCTACACGACGAAATTGTTAGAACCCAGCTATACTCTACTCAAGGCGAGCAGTACCTGGCGATACTACACTCCTTCTGCGCACGCTCTTTACAAATCAACGACCGATGCACATCCACAGCCTTCTCTTTGCTCTTTTTTGGGCCGGGTCATCTTTGGCTTCTCCGACTCCCCAGCCAAATGATGTCGGCCCTACACGCATCGAAATAGCCTACAGCTACGTCCCTCTAAATTCAAGCCGCGTATACCTCGACACACTTCACGGGGACGACGACACCGACGTGACTCTCTTCCCTCGCGCAACCTGCGGCGGTAGCGGCGGAATCAACACCGGGGACGCCGCCAATCTGGCCAATGGACTCCATTCGGACCCGTCGACGATTAACATCCAACGCGATACCATCGTCATTGTCAGCTCTGGAAGCGCTAGGTTGTGCGTTCATGGGTATAGCGGTGGGGATACGACGTTTAGGAGGTCGACTGTTGGGTGGGCTGCTCGTCAGATTATTAATGCGTGCTGCAATTCGGGTGGGGGGTGTGGAGGAGGGACGGAGTATGGTACTCCGGTTGGTGGCTCGAGTGCTAGTACCCAAGTGAGGTTGATATCCTCTGGAGAGGCATGCTAATTTGGAGGGGTCGTTTTTTGGATGGTTGCAGATAGTCATGCCAATTCTGTCCACTGACCCATTGGTGTATGTATGTGTAGGACAACTTCATGGCGCTCTCAGCAACCTGTATTTGCATAGCTACTAGGTGTTGTCTCTCGAATGTTTTCATCATTTGTTCTGTCAGATTATGCCTTGGTATCATGGTGAATTCATCGGCGAAAACTACATTCCCTTAACCTGACGCCTCCCGGGCTTGGTCGTTCAATTCCAACCCCCGCAGGACGAAACGTGAGGTAATATAGTTCTAGGTAGCTAAAGTAGTCTTGATAACCCCGTTGGTACCAAGTTCCGGGGCGCTCGGCGAACCGGAGGTGCTCGTGAAGGGCTTCCTGGAGTTCCATAAGGATGTCGAAAGTGCATGAAGATCCCTGCCTTGGATTCCAGTTGATGCTTGACCAGCGCCCCCGATGGTATCACCGCGCTGATTCGCTCGATGGAGCCCCATCAGCCATTCGCTGTCTGCACGAAGAACTTGAACACGAAGGGTGTATTGTTTCAAGTCGGATTCTCTACATAGTCAACAAGCTCGCATGGAAGTTACATCTAAGTTTCAGTCTCGAATCTGATACGGCCTGCTCGTAAAGTTGAGGAACGAAGCTCTCCACTACGTACGGTTCCATCCTCCCATGTTGCCAACATCGATCTAAACATCGCTCCTGTGCCAGCATCAAGTCGACATGCGATAGCCTTCCTCCATTTGTGACTGTATACGGCGCGAGCATCGAATCGAATGCCTGGAAGTGGGCTGTCGGATTCCGCTCGAGGTGTGTTTTGGGGTGCCTTCGAACAACGCAATTCGAGTGGAGGAAGAAGGTTGCGCTTTCCATCTGTCTCCATGGGATGGTGGATACGGATGACATGATATGTGGGTGGTAAGAGGCGAATGGCACGCTCCGATCAGGTTTGTAGAGCAGGAAAATGGAGCGGAGGTTCTTCATGTTGCTGAAATCCACCATCGCTTGATTGGGTTTGGCGGGGAGGACGGAGGAATAGAGGAGGTCGGTGAGGGTTTCTGTGGTGAGAGATAGGATTTCCTTGAGGTTATCGAGCGAGACGAAAAATGGGAGGTTGAGTGTGGTGAGGTGTCGGAATAACTGGGGATGGTGGTGGACGAGTTTGTAAAGCAATGGTGAACCATCGTGAATCCAAAAGTCATCGTCCACATCGAATGTCAGGGCTTTGAGTGCTGGATATTTCCTGGCAGCTCTCGTGGACGCGTCGCATGGCTCGATCGAGTCGGTTTCTACCTTCGAGCGTTCATGAATTTGGAAGAGGTTAAGCGACTGAAGATGGGCGTTGTGGATGAAGATATCGAAGGGAAGCTTTCCACCGGATATTGCGAGCTTGGTCAGAGTTGGGAGGGCACAGAGGTGGCGGATGCTGGCTTCCGCGTGGGTATTCAGTGGTGTGTCGTCCCAATTTCCTTCGAGATTGCCGATATCCCGATTTCGAGCGTTCAACGCGATGTCAAGGGTCCTTATCCCGTCAAACCTTTGGACAAGGTCAAGGAGAAGGTGCGCGTTGGCGTTCAATGCTGGGATATCATCAAACGCCAAGTGGAGTCGGCGCACAAAGTGTGCTATCCCGGGATTTCCATCCAGGATATCGAGTAGGGCTTGAAGTCGGCGCTGTAGCAACGCCATTGGAGTGTGATCGTGCTGGAGACCGACCATCCAGAGGAGAGACTGCAGACGCCCGCTGCCATGCCCTGTCTGTCGACTGGTGATGGTAAGCGTCTCGAAGAGGAAAGGCCTGCACTGTAACCACCAACAACGCGATGTTCGAGAACACTCGCGCAAAACCGACAAAGGTTCAGCGAGATACAGCTCGAGTACAATGCGATAGATGATATCGGATGGCAGGGAGAGGAGGTCTCTGCGTGTCATTTGGCGCGTCGATAGCTGAGGGTGACGAAAGGGAAGGTAGAATCGAACACATAACGGCGTCGAGAGTTATAAGTAGGTATTTTGGGCGCTGAAAAACGCCCTCAAATGGGCCTGTATTGTGTGGATGTACTGCGGGCTCATGTCCACTGTGGGCACCGGAATCGCCGGTGATCAGGATGATGTGCGTGATTCTTGATGCGACGACGTCGGTGGTTTCGCGTTGGAGTTTCAACATCTCAAGAAGGCGTTTTATACGTTGTTGTTCTTCTGGGAGTAAGGCATTCTACGGTGATATTGTATTGGGCCAGTCATGGTTGAGCACCTGCTAGACTGGGAAGAACTCCCGTTCTTTACAGCTCGGGAGTTGAGTTACCGAAACTTACTATCGCTTATCACTGAAATTGATGATAGCCAAAAGCCATCAGCGACGGAAGCGCTATACCGAAGCAGCGCGGATGGAATTAGCCGCCCGTAGCTGCGAGATAATGAGCTTACACCACAGTTTCTTGAAGATATACATTCTACAGTATGGGTTCTTTCCTTGCGTAGGCCTCTGTTACCACAGAGGTCATCGAGTGAGGGATGGAGGTTTTATGCAAAAGTCCTTGGGCCGAGGCATATCCAACAAATAAAACTACCTTAGTAGGACTAATTCACGAGACTTTCGCTCTAGTGAAATGGGTGAAAATCCATTTAACTCACGTCGTATTGGCATACATGATACCCGCATTGGCTCAGTCGGGCGATCCCGGCCGCCGACGTCTTGCATTTCACACTCGCGATCCTGCGGTTTATTTTCTTGTCGCGCCCTATGCCTTTACCCCAAAGTGCAGGGCCAATCCCTTTCGAGACGCTGACGAGAAAGGGGCTCCTTCACGCTCTTCGAAAAGACAATTTAGGCGCCCGCAGCGGCCCGCTTTCCCCCGATTCCGTGAGAAACGGTTCTCCGGATGTTTTAGCCAAGGGTCAGAGATGACGCACGGACTTTTCCTGCTTGAACCGCGACCATCACCACAGATCATCTAGCGACAACGGCAGAGACCTGGACTACAGAACCCGTTTTCTGGCATAAAATGGCGAATTTCACATCTTTACCTCCCGAACTGGTGTTTCAGATTCTCTCCTATCTGCCCATCCCATCAATCGTCGCGGTGCAGCAAGTTTCCGGGGGTTTGAACCAACTTTTCAAGGAGGGAAGTGGGGACAACGAAAGGAGCATCTACAAGCGTGCAGCCTGGCTCCATGGACTGGCCAATCCGAAGATCGAACTTCAAAATCTCGCTACTTTTTATTCAGGCCAAAGTCTGAAAGGCTTGGAGGGGGAAGCGTTAACCTGGAAGGATTTCTGTAGGTGCTACTGCTTTCGCTGGATTCAGGACCTGATGGATACTCTCTAGGCAAGAGAAGAGTTGAAGTTAACCGTTCCTGGGCTGGAACACTACCCTCGGATGTAAAGAGGTATCACCCACCTCCAAATCACCGCTCAGGACCTGCAGAAGGTTTGTGGTCCAGCGTCCCAAAAGACGTCCATCGTATCAAGGTCGATGAAACCAGGGGCTTCTTCCTCACGACCACCCGTGGTGGGAGCATAGTCGTCTCTGAAATCTCAACAGGAAGGTCGTTGTGGAGTCTGCCTAGGGTTAGTCTCCCTGTTCTTAATGATTGTGTCTGTTCTGATATGCGATAGGTTTACGTCCGCCCGTATGCCCATCTCGAGTACGAGAACGGGTACATAGTCTTTGACCGCTTTGATGGCAAGAAGGAAGTGTGGAGGCTTCAGGTTATTCCACCTGTGGACATTGAAGGTGAGGCAACCTCGTCTAGGGCCGTATCACAGCTGATCTCGCCAACAGCGGACTGTGCAATCGACGAGGGTCAGAACGCAGTGGCGTCCATGATGCAGCAAATCTGGTCCATGATCACACCCCATACGATGCCCCCGCCCCCGCCTCTCTTTGTTCCCCATCTCCTTATCCCGGTTCCTGTCTGGAACAACGTGCCAGATCATACCCGAGCGTACCGACTCGTCTACCCCTATCTCCTCTCTGCCTCAGCTACCCGTGCTTATATCTGGGATGTACGGACGGGGAAGAGAGCCCAGGTGGTCGAGAACATTCAGGACGTACTATTGGATGGGGAAACCAAGAACGTACCCACTGGAAGCTACGATGGCGAGCGCTGGTGGAACGATTCCCCGTCATTGATCACTGATCACGATAATGGAGACTCGGATGAAGAAGAGGAAGAGCCAGAGTTCGAATTTGCGCCCGCTATTTCACTGTCTGGGTTCAACATAGCGGCTGCGGATGACGACAACGGGAGTCCGAGGTCGGATTTGGACATCGAGGACATCAACCTGTCACAACACATCGACCGCGCCCTGGAATATGCATCTAAACCGATGAATGTCGATCCTGGTCAAATCGCATCCACCTCGTCCACGACCATCGAAGAGAACACCAACGTCTTCCCTCAGTACCCGCCGTTTACTTCAGGATTTTTCGACGAGACAGCTTTGTTCTCGGATCCACCCACTCGCAGCGAAGATAGCCAGGGCACCGAGACATTCGACCCGCTCTCTCTATCAACCGATGCTCCCAAGTCCCTCGGAACCATCAGCTACGTCGAGCTTGGGAAGAGGTGGGTATTCATCGTAGGCAAGGACGAGCTCCGAGTCTTCAAGCGGGGCAACATCGGGGAACCAAATGACGAAGAATCGGAAGACGAGCCGTTCGCTATCGCACCAGGACACCTCGCCCTTCGTTTACCCGCCAATCGAGACCGGTACGGCCGCTGGGTTGGCCAACTGGAGTCGAGCAGTGTCCGAGAGCACCGGGAGAGCGAGCTGGTCAGACAGGAAGTCGTGTGGAAGTATCGAGAGTCGGAGGAACCGGTCGAAAGTGGGAATGTCTGTAGAGACGGGGTCAAGATCTCGACACTCGGTGGAAAGAGGAGGAAGCGGGTTTGGGACAAGTTCATCGCTGGTGCGTTGTTTCCTCTTTCCATGGACGCATTAATCTGATGACCATCTGTAGCGCACATTTCACCCAACCAACAACACCTAGTGATCCTGACGGCCTCCTCGAGGATCATCTATATCCCATTCTTCGAGCGCGTCATCTACAGGCAGGCGAGGTTGTATGACGTGGCACTCGAGCTTCAACTTGGAGACCCAAGGAATGAGTCCGTCTATCTCGCCTATGGATGTAAGGGGAATGCTCGTATCAGTGCCGTGACGGTCAGTATCAAGTTAAGCATGCTGTGAAATTCTGTTGACTGATTCCTATCTCAGAGGGGCGGACTGTTCGTCATCACTCCCTACTTCCTCAGCGAGGCTGATTCTACGGTCTCCAACACGAACCGCGACCCCGGTCCATCTTCGTCATCTGAGCGCCCACCTCCACAACGCCACGTGCAGTTCACAGTCCACCGAGTGACACCTTTCTTCAACGATCCCGAGCGGCTCTCACAGGTCTCGTGTCTGCAGATGAGCGACACTGGCCTCTGGCTCAATTGGGCGAGGGGAATTCTGCCACATGCTGGGGTAGCGCCTGATACCGATGAAGAGGAGGACGCAATGTACTCGACGGAGCTTTTGCAGAAGTACGGGGTGGGGCGTGATAGGAACGACAGCGAAGACGACGAAGAAGAGTTCGGAGGGGAGACTGATCAACTACTAGAAGATGGTGACGAGCTGACACCGCATGGTGATGGTCATCACCAGGGGACAGGACGTAGACGAATGCCCGGCGCCTTCTTTGAACCCCGACGAAGCGACGACGAAACGCTTGACGGGGCAATCCAGCAGAAAAGAAGGGCGGAGAAGAGGAAGAGATGGGATAGTGCGGAGGCGAGCGTGAAGGGGTCCAAGTATGCTTGGAAGCCTGAGACGCGCAGGAGCTATAGGGACCAAGCGAGGATGTTGTTTGAGGAAATGTTTGTGGATGGGTTGAAACAGGGACGCAAAGTCCAGCGTATGTTCATTTTTCTTCTATCGCGATCACAGCGGCTAATATCTCCTCTGGTTTAGTAAACCATCGGGGAGAAGGGATGATTGTGACGGGCCATCGCGCTGCGTATCTGGGTGGGTCCTGACACCGTCCACATGCGCATGTTCACTAACTTTGCTACTTTTGCTTTAGACCCGGAAACTGTATTCCAGGACTATTCAGAGGTCCACCAGATCAGATTTGTACCTTGAAGCTGTAACATTTCCATAATGAACTTTCCCATCCGTCCGGCACCCGCCCGTGATCTCAGCTCCGCTATGCAAGGTTTTGCTAAGCTCGGTTCCGTCCCGATAGGAGCTGGCTGGCTTCGGGCCCCATGGCAGACATCCAACCCCGCCATGTGCTTCGTCGACACGAGAGACGTCCGGAGAAGTCGTTGTTTCAGGTTGGCGCCAGCGATAGCGCGGGATGCGCTAGCCCCCGCCACCATCCTAAGGACTTGCTTTCAAGATACATTTGGATGATCCACTGTCATATCCTGCAAGGTACATTGAGCTCAAGGCTCAATCTGGGATCTATCAAGTCAATACAAAGCGAGAGTTTTACGCACTAAGCCCTTGTATCACTGGAGAGAGAGAGTTCTGCTGCCTGGATCTGTGCAGAGATAAACCATGTTCTGCAGGTTCCAAAGGGTGACGGTGTGCAAATTGAGAGGCTCCACTCGAAAGATAGCCGTCTGGATCTTTTCTCTAAATCTATCCGTTAAAACACTCAGGGATGATGGGCGCGGAGGTTTACGACGTGAATTCAAGGCGCTCACTGGTGGCGCATCTTTGCCCCTTTTGATGGACAGCTATCAAACGTGATGCGGGCGTTCCGGTCGCTTCGGCAGATGAACTTTGGACTTTGTGCTAGGCAGGAGTGATGAAAATGCGAGACAAGGCGTGCTCTTGGAGTCGTCGAGGCGACTAGTTATTGACAGTTATTTGTCTCGCAGTTGGGTATAAAGGTCAAGGCAGGAAAGCACAGTCCTTCCTCAGAAATCCCAACCAATCCTTTCTTTCAACAGCCTATTTAACAACCAACACTCGGCGAGAACACACACTCGTTCTATCTCTTCCGTTATATATTGACAACACACCAATTGTCAGTACCTCGTTCCCTTCTACGGGTAGTGCCCATCCTGACTCGTTATTTATACAGATTGCAATATGGTCGCTTTGAAGTCCAGCCTTGCCCTCATCGCGGGTATTCTCACCATGGCTTCCACCGTGGTCGCCTGGGATCCCTATGATGACTATCTCGACGCTCGTTCACTCGACTTCTACGACACCTATGACGCCCGCGGGTTCTACGACGACGACTTCGTCCTCTCCGCTCGTGACCTCGCCCGGCTCGACATCCGTGCCTCCGACATCTCCCATGTCCTAGTCATCCGCGCCGACCCCAACGCCGCCGCCGAATGCAAGAAATTCACTGACGCGTACAACGCGACAAAAAAGGACTATGATTCGTGGAACAAGAAGTACAAGGACGCGAGGAAGAAGAAGGATAAGGAGGGGGAGAAGAAGGCGAAGGAGAAGATGGATGAGTTGAGGGAGTATGTGGAGTATAATAGGGAGGAGATGGAGATTTGGTGTGCGAAGGCAAATAATCCTGGAAGTCCGATGGCTAAGAAGAGGAGCCCCAGTCCGCCCAGGAAGAGGAAGTAGGGGGTAACCGAGCATATATACCTATTACTCCCTTTACCTGTTATTCCCACCCTGCGAGCTTCAGCACAGTTTGTTTAATTTGTATCAGCACTATCTATTCGATTTTTATCTATTTCTGACAGCGCATGTCCCATCTACGACCTACCACCTCAACGACCAGCCACGTGGAATCTACGGCGAGGGGAATGCTTGTAGCAACTCGACATATACACGTCCCCTCGTCATTCGTGCCGAGTGAAAGCCCTGATCGATCGTTCGACACCCTAAGGGCATGTAGGTAGTGAAGCGGTTCGAAACCTGTTGTCTAAATAGTGCGACTCTTGCTCTATTCCAGGCGATCCGAGAAGGTGACCGAAAGATGGGGTTGGCCGATGTGTGGTGCGCATGACGGTACGTTATTTACTCAAGATGGTTGCTGCCTCGCGGAGTCTATCTCTTCCTGATCAGTCAATGTGGGATGGTACTGAGTACGAGGCTATGATCCGAAATTTGGGCATACAAATCTCGCGACGGCGGCGTTTGAGGTGAAGCAAGAGTGCCGACGTACATATATGTAATCCGTCGGTTCGAAATGGTAAACAGTGAGAGACTCGGATTCAATAGGTGAATACTCAGGACGCAAACCTGGAAGTGTTCGATAGGGAACCACCACCTTTCACTGTTGCGAGCGTACCCAGGCAGGTACATCTCAAGTTAGCTTTCACCTCCACGTTAGAAATGTATTCCACTTTCTAGCAGATCAAACTTGATTGAGACGAATTGAATTTCGTAACTTCCTGACATAGTCGTGCCAGCCCGACGTGCGGTGTACATCTCGGGTTACACGGACAACTGGAGGATCTTGAAGCTAAGCGCCGAACACAAGTGATAATATGAACGGAGGTGCCGTGTAATTACGATATGGACCATGGCGCGAAATATGATGCGTTGAGTGGCGCTCGGCAATCGTACAGCGCTTGATTGGTCAGCAACGGGCGGTTGTTTCAACTGTGGGGCTCGGTGTACCCGGGCATTGATTCTATGCTAAGCTAATCCATGTTGCGAAAAATCGGTAGCGAGAAGAGACTCTGAGCGACAGTAGAGTGATGGAACGGGATGAGAGAAGAGGTTTACGACAATTGAATTCAATGAGTATTCTACACCATCCAGTGGGCCATCATTGATAGGTACGAATGTATCGACATGATACATTGTTACGGCCCCGTCCCCGACTCGCCCGTTTTCCCTGTTGGTACAATCATTGAGTTCTGACCTTGATTGAGACGACCTGATGCAGCACGGCCTCAGGCTCTAGAGGAATTGGTAAGTGAAGTTACGAGATGCGAACGGGAGTTCGGCTTGGAGTACGAGTATAAAAGGACAGCTGTAAGTCTCTCGTATCCCCCCAGAACACAATCACTCACTCGTCCACATTCTACAGCATTTACCAACAAACCACCTTCGAGCACACACTCCCTCTTACTTGACCTGTTTTACCGAGCCCCGACCGACTCTCGAGAACACACACTCGTTTAATCTCTACTATTAATTAACAACGCCAACACCTGTGAGTATACTGCGTTTTCCCTCTTATTAGCGCGCACCTTGACTCGTGGTTTTCACAGATTTCAATATGGTCGCCCTGAAACCCAGCCTTGCCCTCATCGCGGGTCTTCTCACCATGGCTTCCACTGTGGTCGCCTGGGATCCCTACTATGACTATTACGACGCCCGCTCGCTGGATTTCTACGACGACTACGAGCTGCGCGGGTTCGACGATGACTACGAGCTTCGCGGGTTCGACGACGACGACTTTGTCCTCTCCGCACGCGACCTCGCGCGGCTCAACGTCCGCGCCTCCGACATCTCCCACGTGCTCGTGATCCGCGCCGACCCCAACGCCGCCGCCGAATGCAAGAAATTCACTGACGCGTACAACGCGACAAAAAAGGACTATGATTCGTGGAACAAGAAGTACAAGGACGCGAGGAAGAAGAAGGATAAGGAGGGGGAGAAGAAGGCGAAGGAGAAGATGGATGAGTTGAGGGAGTATGTGGAGTATAATAGGGAGGAGATGGAGATTTGGTGTGCGAAGGCGAATAATCCTGGGAGTCCGGCGGCGAAGAGGAAGAGCCCTAGTCCGCCAAGGAGTAGGAGCGCTAGTCCGGCTCCTGGGAGTAAGCCTGGGAGCAGGAGTCCCAGTCCTGGGAAGAAGTAGTTATGTGCCGTACTCCCCTTGCTGGTACCGCCCTTTCAGCCACTGTATTTATTATAGCCTGTCATATGCGCTATCCATCTGGTTCTATATCCTACTTCATCCACGTCGCCCGACATATCACGTGAGATGGATCTATTCGTGTTGGATCTCGAGCTACCGTTTAGCAGGCAATCGGAGAGATGGGGCACGAGATTATATCATTTTACACCCTCGAATTAATGCGAATTGTCCTTCTCTATTTCCCCTTCCCCCAGACCACAGCGAGCTACAACGACGACGACTCTGCAAAGTGGACTAGACTTTGACTTAGAAACAAAAGTTCCAAAGTACCGCGTCGCCTGAATTCTGACCATAGCCTGACTCCCCTTCGCGACATAATTGGTACATTGTAAATGTCGTCTTTTCATCGAGACTGAGCGGCGATGAGAGCGACAAACTGGTCTCCTCTTCCTGGAACGTCACCTCAGAAACTGGGCAAAGGTAATCTTGGAGGCGGCACTTCACTGTAACGCACCATTCGTCAGGTTGAATGCGGGAGACTAGGATTTGGCGCCCGGCAGTTGTACTAGTAGGGCGCTTGATTGGTATTTGTTTCAACTGTCGGGATCGGTGTACCAGGCGATTGGGAGCTAAAATATAGTCTCAGCTAACGGTGAAGTGGACTCTTACTAACTAGACTCGTTTGATACGTAGAACGTGTTGCGGGTCTCGCACTGAATTGGCCATATAATTGGCTTTATGGAGTGGTTGTACCAAGTTACAGCGCTGTAGCGCGGGAATCTTTCCATAAGCAACTACGGCCCCCTTCGATTGCATCAATCGACTGGATGTGGTTTTTACGCTCGCTTTGGATTTTGGAGTGTGAAGGAGAGTTGAAGGGAAGCTGCGAGCGGTACATTGCAAGTGTTGCGGGAATTTACATTACAAATTCACAACAGAATCACGATCCACGATAGGCCCGTATAATTAATCGCGCCCGATGCATATAGGTGGCTGCTTCGTTAGCGATGCACTTCTGAGTGATGAGCGGAATGGTATATACCCGCGAGGAGCCCTTGTTACGTTGAATGGCACCTCGAACTTACTCTCTCCTACATAGTTCTATGTAATCAGATCGTCACCTCTGACGTCCTCCTCCCTTCCCACTTAAACTCCACAACCATCATCACATCGCCTCGAGAGTCGAGGCGCACTACGTACGCGACGCGTCCCAAGGTCCCTTGTTTAAATTCCACAACAACACGATCACATGACTCCCTCGCTTCGCGTTTTTTCCCAAGCTTTGGCGTTTTTTCCCAAGGTTGTCAAAAACGCCCGCTGGCTCCACTGTTGTTGAGTTTTGGGTTTGGACCTTCCCTCGTCGTTGACCTCTTTGACTACATCCCTCTCGTTTGAGATTCGTTTCGTCCCTTGGAGGCTCGGTTGGTTCTTGCACTTGGTTGTGTGAGGTGAGTTGTCGCTATCGGCTTCGTTTTGGTTTGGGTTGGAGGGTGTGTGTAGGGTCCTGGTTGGGCGGGGATTGGTTGCCGCCGGTTGGGGTGACGGTGGTTCGAGTTGGGCAGGAGGCTGTTAAGACCCTGGGCGGTTGGAATTTTTGGACCCTGTACAAACCCTGTTGCGTTGGCACGGATTCGGTTGGGCGGTCTCTTCGAGTAATCGACAGCTCTGAAGCTACGGTCTGCTAACACTAGGTTTTTCATCTGTAGAGCGCTCTAGGAGTCAGACGGACGGAGTGAAGTCGAAGTGAGGAGAAGACGAAAACCGGTTATAGACCCCCTTGAAAGGTGTGTTCTTACGCTTTTTTACGAGGTGAGTTCATATTTCTGGTTTTGTTGGTAAATGAAGAGTTGGCTGACGGGTCTTGTGATTCAGAGTCTGCAAAGTTACTTACGAACGCCATTTCTTACGCCTAACGCCAATACGAATTGAATTGAAACCAGGAAGCTATCGACGCTTTCTTCGACGTGCTACGAGAACACCTTTAGACGGGTGTTTCTACGATTTTTGACTGCTTTCGACTATCGACATTCGACTATCATCTATCGACTATCGACTTTCGACAACCCTACCGACTGACTATTTTCGACAAACCCTACTCTCTAAAAAATCTACAAATCGCTATCTGCTATCGCCTCGCTCTGTTCTTGCTATCTATTGTTTTCGTTCTGCTCAACTCGACCCTTATAATTCTTCAAAAAAACTCGACAACGCATCATCGACACCTGTACGAACTATAATTCTCAACGCCAACAACTACGACTACTACTGCTACTAGTATGGCGCCTATTCGCACGAAAGCAGCAGCGCTCCAGACGCCGCCTCAGGCGCACTATTCCAATGCTACGAACGCCGGCCAGGCCCCGGCTATCCCGTCTATCCGGTTGATTTCTGCGACGCCCTCGGCGACGGGGATGTCCTCGAGCGAGGGTACCACCTCGAACACGTCCATGTCCCTGCTCGACGGTCCCACCAACACGAACGGCCGTCCAGTCATGCCGTGGGATCTTGATCCGCCGCCCCTCCCCACGTCCACACAGACCTCCGCCTCCCTCGCTAAATCCATCTCCAACTCCACCTCCGCCTCGAACAGCGGTACGAAGAAGCTGCGCACCGTCCGCTCGGTGCTCAAGCCGAAAGTGAACGACGAGAATGCGGGTGTGGGTGTGCAGGGTTCGGCGAAGAAGGTGGTTGTGCCGAAGAAGAGCAAGTTGGGGCTGCTTGGGACCCTGGGTGGGAAGGATAGGGAGAGGGAGAGGGGGAAGGATTTGAGTGATGTTGTGAGGAGGGTGGGGGTGGGCAAGTTGGATGGCTCGACGAGGCTGGCGACTGTTTCGCTCAATAATGGGTCTTCGGTCACCCTCGAACGCGGCCCGTCGTCTGCTACTACGCCCAACACCCCGTCGCTCCCCCGCGCATCGACGACGGCGACGATGAAGAAGACGCCAGCTGGCACTGTTGCGCGCCGAGCCGCGGACGGTAAAGCTAGCTCTGCCAAGCTGAAAGCTGGCTTCGAGATCTACGTCGACCCTAGCTTCGAAGACGAGGAGATTGGAGAGATTGTGGTTGTCAAGAAGAAGAAGAGTCGCGCTGGGTTGGACGGTGTTGGGTGGGGTGCGCCTCCGGCTGGTGCGGATAAACCTGTCCCGCCTGTCCCGAGGAGTACGCTGGGAGAGAGGAATATGAATATCCCTGCCGCTGGAGGAGAGGATGGGATGTTGAAGGTGAAGGAGGATGAGAGGAAGTGGTGGAGTATTGGACGTGGACGTAAGGATTCGAAGGAGGATAAGAAGAAGGATAATGAGAAAGGTTCGTGGTTTTTGTTTTTTTTTGGGATTGGAGAGTATATACTGACCGGATTGTCTTTACTTTCTGTATCTCTTTGTTGCGCTCGTTCCATTGCCGATGGGGTTCGAACGCGCGCGTCTCCTTCCCCTCGTGACCGCGATCACGTGTTACCCTCGCGCTTTCCGCCTCGCGGTCTTGGCATCTCCCCTCGCGTTCCTCCTCGTTCTCATCACCTCTGGGCTTCACAGCCACCATCGCACCCCGCTCGCAAACGCCCGAGCCATTCGGAGGCTTCAACTCCTCCAACACAAGCCCACAAAAGGCCGAAGGCCGAGGGCGCTTCAACTCGCTCGACGCCGGCATCTTCCTCGGCCTCACCTCCAAGAAATCGACGGCGAGCTTTAACCCTTCTTCGTCGGCCACCGCCATTGCTGAGACGCCGACGATCCGCATTAACGACTTGCCTGAGCGTGAGGCTCCTGCGTCTATTGGGCGTGAGAGGTCCAAGTCGGTTACGCTTGGTGGGTTGCTTGCGGTTCCTGGGTCGACTGGGTCCGTTCGTGGTGCCAATACGAATGCGAGCAATACGGGTTCGGTGAGGAGTTTGGGAGGGCAGGCTGGTTCTGTTTCGGCTGTGCCGCCTTCGGTTGCGAGGAGTATGAGTACGGGTAGTGGGAGTGGGGGGTTGGCTGTGCCGGTGGACCCGCATATGCCTAGTGGTGGCGCTTCGGGAGGAGGAGGGAGTATTGCGCTTAGAGCGATGAGGAGTGTGAAGAGTCTTGCTAGGATTGGGAGTTGGGCGCAGCTTGGTTCTGGGGGTGGGGAAGGTGTTAGTGTGCGAGGAGGGAGTAAGTTGAGAGGGGAGCTTGATCCGTCGTTGTTTGTTGCTCCTGACGATGCTGGTACCACCACTGCTACCTCGAACGCCAACGCCAATGCCAATGGGGCCAAGAAGGAGAAGCGAAAGTCGAAGAAGGAGACGAAGGAGGAGAAGAGGGAGAGGAAGGAGAGGGAGAAGGAGGAGAAGATGAGGGAGAAGGAGAGTCGGGAACGAGCGCTTTCGACCTCGAGCTTTGAAGCTGGTGCCCTCAGCTCTTATGGAGCTAGTCCCGCCCCTGTTAGGTGTGCGACGAGTCTCGGGTTCACCGGATCCCCCGCGTCCTATGGCTCTGTGCGTGGTACGAGTCCTACTGCATATGGGAGCATCCGCGAACGAGCGCAGTCGTCGCTTGGGTTCCATGTTAATGGTGGTGGTGTGGATGATGGAGCGGTTTCGCCGACGTCGACGTTGGGCTTTGCGACTGCTGGTTCGCCGAGGGGGTATACTATTACGGATTCGAATGCTCCGATTGGGTATGATGCGAATACGGGGAGTTTGACTGTGGGCAAGGTGAAGGGGAAGAAGAAGAAGGCGTACCTTGCGAGTGGGAGTGGGAATGATGGGAAGGCTGGTGTGGGTGTGGGGGAGACCACAACGATCGGCAAGAGCGCTACTATCGGAAGGAGTGCTGGCAAAGACACCATCGGCAAAGCTTCGTCCAACAACAAGGATAAAGATACGATTGGGAAGAAAAAGTCGATCCTTGGATTGGGTCTTCCTTCGTCTATCCGTCTTCCGTCGCTTGGGAATCGGCAGGGTAGTTCGGCTTCGTCGGTTGTTTCGAACCCTGGGATGCAGTTTGGTGGGATGGTCGTTCCGCCTGCTGCGGCCGGTGCTGGAAGACTTAGTGTGGACAGTGGACGAGCGAGCGTAGATGCGAATGGCCGCCTCTCCGTCGAAGGCCTTGGAGCTGTTGGTGTTGAAAGACGCGCGAGTGTTCAGAGTACGGCTAGTTCGCTTCGGCCGGTTTCGGTTGCTAGCTCGTATGGTTCGCGAGTGTCGAGCTTTGGTGCTTCGTCTGTTGCTGATTCGAGGCTTTCGGCTGTTGATTCCACCGGTCGTCTCTCAGCTGTTTCGGGAGTTGATTCCACTGGTCGTCTCTCAGTGGCTTCAGGAGTTGATTCGACGGGCAGGCTTAGTGTCGATTCGAGGGCTACGAAGTTGTCGATTGGTGCGGGGAGTGTGAGGTGGAGCGAGGGTGTGTTGGAGCGGGAGAAGGAGAAGGAGGAGAGGAGGCGGGAGTCGCTTGAGGCTGCTCAGCATGCGAATGCGAGTTATAGTGTGTTGGAGGAGAGGGAGGGGTATGCTGTTGTGGATAGGAAGGATGGGTCGGGTGTTGGTGTTGGTGGTGGGAAGAGGGAGAGCTTGGAAAGTAGGAGGGAGAGTAGGGAGAGTAGGAGGAGTTCGGAGGGGCGTAGAAGGGCTGCGCTTACTGATGTTTTCCCTGAGGTTGAGAGTCAAATTAGAGCTGGTTCGTCGAGGAGGAGTAGTGCGTCTGGTATGTCTCCTCTTTTCCTTCGTTTGTGTTTGAGCTAACTGCCATCTTTCTCCCCGCGTAGGTCTGGACTCGAAGCGATCCTCCGCTCAACACCAATTCCGCTATCCGATCCTCACCATCGAAGAAGCTACGAACGACGGACACGGGTTCGTCGATGGGCCGGTGTATGATTCTGAGGACGATGTTCGCCGTCGGTACCGGTACTCTGATGATACCGAAGCCCGACGCAAGTGGCGGTACGCGGATGAGGATGATGAGGTGTATGAGGAGGAGACGAGTAAGGATAGTGCGGCGACTGCTACGCCTGTGAAGAAGGCGCGTCCTAGGCCGAAGAGTGAGCAGTTGCTTGGACGGAGTCGGACGCTTGGGAGGCCGAAGGGTGTTTATGAGGATGAAGATGGTGCGTTTGTTCGTTTTTCTTTGGAGGAGGGAGGGGATGTAACTGATGGGTTTGGTGTTCCAGGCGTTCTGTCTGTTTTGTCGGCTGCTACGAATGACCTTGAGAAGCTCATTAATAATCTCGATCTTGAGGCTACGCCCGCCACGCCGGATATGACTCCTCTCAAGCCCAGCGCTTCGCCGTTCTCGAGTGAGCCTAGCTCTGCTCGTACCAGTATCTTCGAGAGGTGAGTTGTCCTTTTACTTCGTGAGTGGAGGGATGGTAGACTGATGACGTGTCCACGACTAGCAACTCCAAACCCAAACCGAAATCGACCTCGCAGAAGATCAAGGAGATGTGCAACGCCAGTCCGACCGCGAAGAAATCGATCGGTGCTTCGTCTATTCTTTCCACTGGAACGCTTGGGGCTGGTGGTGTCAAGGCTATCGTTGCCAAGCTTAATGCTGAGCAACAACAACAACAGCAGCAGCTTGCGCAAGGAACGATTAGGAAGTCGAGTACCAGCTCGTTGTTGAGTGCTAGGTCGAGTATGAGTTCATTGACGAGTTTGAGGCCGTATGCGCAGAGTCGGAGTCGGGTTTGTGGTGGAGAGAAGGAGAAGGAGAGGGAGGTGAAGGGTAGTTTGGGCCCGGTTGAGGAGAGGACGTTTGAGGATTCGATGGTTACTTCCGACGCGTCTATGAAGGCTTTGGCTGGTTCTACCAAGGGTGCGTACTCTATTCTTGATAAAGCTTTTCGTGATACTCACTGTTGTTTTTTTGGTTTGGGTACAGCTACGACGCCGACTGCTTCGACGTTCACTATTCCTTCGATGGGCAGCATGTCGCCTGAGACCTCGAGGAGCCCGTCGTTCTTCGTCAAGACACATAGGAGGACGATGACGCCTGCTCCGGAGCCTGAGCCTGCGCCTGTGTTCCAGCCGTTGAGGCCTGCGCCTGTGGCTGGGCGGAAGGTGTCGGGTGCTTCGACTACCTCTGCTGCTGCTGCCGCCTCTGCTACCAAGTCTTCCGTTGCTGCTGCCACCCTCGGCTCGAGCGCGACTGCTACCGCCAACGACCGTCTCTCCGTCCGACCTCTCGAGATTAAGAAGCACAAGTTGTCGAGGGAGAGTCCGATCCGCGTCAAGGATGCGTTCTGCGATGATTCGGGTAGCGAGGACGAGGAGAGGTTTAAGACTGTTCGCGGGTTGGGTGCAGGTATGGGCACCGTGAAGGGGTTGAACATCACCAAGCGGGCTTCGACTGCTTCTAGTATCGGTCTTTTCGCTCCTACCACCGACGCCAACGGCAAGCGCCTCTCCACCTCTTCCCGTCTCACCTTTGACGACAAGCGCGACGACCAAGTCGAGGAAGGGCGTGTTCCCATTACACGTGAAGCTCGACGGATCCTTGGGATGTCGGGTACGATGGGCGGGTCGGATGTCAGTGCCTACCAAGTGGAGATCGATGAGTCTGATCCTGATTCGGACGTCCCTGAGGAGTTGAGGTATATCCTCCGCAAGGACCGGATTGGTGCGAAGGAGCAGCAGCCTAGTTCGTGGAGGAATGGGCAGGTGTTTGTTGATCCCGAGGACGAGGAGGAGGAGGATGTGATGGATGATGATGTTGTATTGAAGGATGGGAAGCCGTTGAGGTATGAGAGTGATGAGGAGGATGAGGACGAGAATGGGCGTCTGGAGGTTACGGAGGATATGACGATGGATATTGTGGAAGTTGGGAGGAATGCGCCTGTTCAGCAACGGGGTGTTTCGCCTCTGTTTGATGTTTTCCCGGTCCCGCCCACTGTCACTTCGAACGTCAAGAAGTTGAATATCGACACCAGCCTCGCTGTGTCTTCGTTGGGTGCTGTACCTATGCATGATGCTGATGTTCCCACCTCCGCTGCGCTTGGGAATAGCTTGAGCAGTGTGTTGGGGAGCAGTGCTGCGAGTGCTGCCACCGCCGAGATCCACCAAGCGAGCCGCGAGCGTTTGCCAGTCTTCAAAGCCCAGCTCGTCTCTGACTCGAGCGGTCTCCCCACCCCTCCACCTTCCGCGTTCCAATTCAACACCAACCACATCCTCGACGAGAACTACCTCAACGCTTCGTACTCGTCTTCCTCTTCTGACGGCCACTGCGGTGTCAACGACAACGATACCAAGCGATCCTTTGATTTCACGGGCGAGTTGGCCAAACTCAACGAGAGTGGTGCGAGTGATAGGAGGAGTTTTGTGGAGCAGTTGGAGAGTGCGTTCAAGACGCCTGCCAAGCTTGGTTCTGAGCTTTTCAAGATTGGGTTTGGGATTGATGTGGATGTGCCGCCTGTTCCTAGTTTGCCGGCCAAGAGGGAGGAGGAGAGTGTTGAGGAGAGTATGGAGGATGATGATGATGAGGAAGAGAGTGTTGAGCAGGAGGTGAGCGGTGTTACCCCTGTTGGAGGTGTTTCTGGGTTCCTTGCGGATGGGGAGGATGAGTCGAGGAGTCGGGCGAGGTTGAGTGTGTCGGATCTTGGTCCTATCCCTGTCGACCTTTCTGCTACTTCCAACTCGTCGCTCGAGGTTCCGGACCTCCATAGCAAGGATTCGCTGTTCTCTGTTCGATCCAAGGCTTCCGCCCAGAGCAAGATGTCGACTTCGGCTTCGTCCAAGAGGAGTACCGCTAGCCGTGTGTCGGACGGGGAGTTGAATAGGTCGTTCAGGTTTGGAGGTGTTTCGTCTGCGTCGCCTAGTCCTGTCAAGGGTGACGAGGAGAAGGAAGAAGAGCAAGTCCCGCGCACGCTTTCTGATATTATCCCTCCCCCTTCCCACGTCCGCGAGATCTCGTTCTCGAGCTCGTGGCTTGACCAGCATGAAGACTCTGCTCTTAGGTCCATCCTCGCCAAGGTCCCCGATGCGCCCCAGCACGTCGATGAAGATGAACCCGACTTTGCCACTGGACAGCCGATTCCTCGACCTGCCAAGCCGGAGATGGAAGGCAACAACAACCGAGAGTCGAAGAGGATTTCGTTCGTTCCTCTCACTCGACCTTCCTCTGGCATCAGCTTTGCCGGCATGGACTCGTTCGACGAGGTTCGACGAGGTTTCGAGTTCCACGACTACCGACCTGCGTTCTACCCTCCCCCTCCTGCCATGCCGACTGGTGGACCTTCGGCTTACCGATATGGCCATCGCAAGGCTCAAGAGTCCGTTTGGAGCATCGCCAGCGTTTCCTCCTACGGCCGTGTTCTGAGGGACGGTGCCCCTGATCCGTTCGACTATGGGATGCCGCCGCCTCTTCCACCCCTCCCACCTATGCCAAGCTTGAGGGAGAGCACGAGGGAGACTCAGAGCTACCCCATGAGCGACGACGACTCGATGGACGCCCAGTTCCTTGCCTACACCCAGGTCAACCCTGACATGCACCCCCGAATGCTCCTCGACGACGACGAGTCTGAGCGCACTTTCGACTGCACCCTCGACGATACCTTCCACAATATTCGAAACCGCCACTTTGGAGGCCTACGCAAGCGCGTCGATAGCGATGCTAGCAGCTTCTACTTCCGCAATCACCACCAAGGCCATCGTCGTCGCGAGTCCAACTTTTCGGTTTCGTCGATTAGTGCGCCGCCTGTTAGTATGTTCACTCGTGGACACCACAGGAGGACGTCGTCGGTAACGAGCGCGAGTTCGGTTGCGCTTTCGTATATGCACCACGGTGCTATGGGCGGACGTGCGATCATGGCCAGGCACAGGAGGGAGAGCTCGATGGACTCGATGATGAGTGAGCATGGAGGCTACTCGAGGGATTCGATGGGGTCGTTCAGGAATATGGCTCGGCCTGGGCTGGGAGACAAGATGTTTGAGACGGCTGGAGGGTACTTGGATGCTATCGCTGGCAGCCCCAGTGGTAGTATTAGTGGATCCGACCTTGGCCACCTCTCCGCCCCCGGTGTTGGCGATCGCACCTCTGGCAGCTCCTACGACTACTACGATTCGATCATGGATGGCGATGATGATGGGCGGAGGGTGACTGTTTCCTCGTACGAGTATAGCGAGGAGAGGCCGACGTCTTCGTTGATGGAGGATTCGCTGTTCGACAAGACGGGTGTTGAAAAGTCGGAGATGTCGAGCGGATGTGTGTTTGAGGACTCGAGGGTGTATCCAAAGGAAGCTGGTTACCGGCTTGTGTACCCCCGTCTCTCTGAGATTTACGACTTTGGCAGCACAGATGGCGATAGTACCAAAAGCCGTATTAGCATTGCCAACCCTGACGACACGATGATCACCGTGAGTCTTTTTCGTGGTTTAAGACGGGATATGGACTGACCTTGTGTTGTAGATGATCGGAGGTGGCCACGTTCGACGACAGTCTGTTGGATCGGCTTTCAACGCGTCGCCTTGCGTCCGTGCTGAGAAGAGGAGGCCTCGTCGTCCCCGTGGTAATGCTCGTGTCTACCAGGGGACCCAGCTCGTTAGGACCGACTCTGAAGGCAACGAAATCCCCTCACCCAAGAAGGAGCAGATGCCCAGTCTCGTTGAGAAGCCGTCCATCGCCTCCACCTCGTCCTTCCAGTTCGGCGAGGAGAAGATGATCAGAGTACAACGTGGAGTGTTCTCGAGGCCCAGTTTGGAGGACAGCTGCTTGGTTGGCGAAGGAGAGGACACCAGTCATTCATGTGAGTGCTGTCATTATATTGGTCTCGAGTGACATGGTTACTGATGACTGTTTATCATTTGACAGTCTGTGCTGTTCCAGTATTCAGTCGACCTACCCGTGCCAACCGCTCCCGCTCGAGCACGACCTCGACATGCACCACGTCATCGGAAAGCTCAGCGGGTGACACGACCCCGCCGTTGTCCCCTGGACCTTCCTCGGCTGGCGGATCGATGTCCAGCATTGACCTCTTCGAACTCAATAACATGCTTGCCAATGCGAACCCCACCAACCCCGTCTCTTCGCTGGCCGCTGCGAGGAACAGGGCTCGCACTGGAACTGGCCATCGACGACGGTACTCCAAGGCACAAAGGATGTCAATCTCTCGGGGATCCATCTATGAGACGATCGAAGAAGAGTCGAATGCCTCGTCCTCTGAGGCTGACACCCCGGACCGCTCTCTCACTGCTTCCCTCACCAAGAAGCTCGCCGCTGCCTCCAACGAGGAGTCCACCGCCGTCTACGTTGTCGAGTCCGACACCCAGTCCATCCAGAGCCTCAGCCTTGACCAAGACGAGCAGAGCTGGGATGATGAGCGCGGCATCGTTGCTTTGAGAAAATTCTACACCCTCAAAGACGAGGCCCACGATACCGTCCAGGAGAGTCAACGTGTGTGGCCGGATACTCCTTTCTCCGTCTACGCTCTTCAATGTAAGTCATCGATTGGTATTGGTTCGTTTTCGGGTAATTGATCCATTCTCCTCTAGCGTTTGCCCCGCCACGTCATCCAGATGCCATGAAGGCCATGCTTGAGCACTCGGTTCGCACTTACGGCCCCCTCCCTGCTGAGCTCCGTCGCATCAGGTCGAGGAAGGATTCGAGGCCGTCACCGTACCCCCAGACTCGGGTCTTTACTTCGATGCCCACTGCACCTCCAATGCCGCCGCCAGCAATGCCTACACCACCGACCTTTACCGCCAAGACCTCCTCTGCTCCGACTCCCGTCCTGCAAGAACGCAAGATCAACAAGAACATCCTCGGCGCATCACCTGCTCCCAACAAGCCCGTGTTGGACGCTATCAAGCCGTTCTCGCCGTTCGTCGTTCACGTTGGAGGGGACGATTCGCCTGTGCCGGATATGAAGAAGATGAGCACTGGAAGTGGCAATGGATCCTTCGTTCGCCCTCGTGTTCCGTCTGCGGTTCGTCGCTCTGCGCTTGGTTGGACGAAGAGGAGTAATGGAGCGAAGGCTTCTACGGATAAGAAAGAGAACAAGGAGAACGCTGTTGGTCAAGGGCTTGTCTCGACGTGAGTCTTTTTTCTAGTGTACCGTGGCGTGCTCTTACTAACGTCATTTCAGACCGGGCGACAACCTTCGAATCAACAGACCCCGTCCTCGAGGACGCACTCCTGGATCTCAGGCCCGCCCCATTCGCGTCTAGGTCTCCAAAATCGTTGATTCGCTGGTCGAATAATCCTCAAACTCGGTCTCGTATGCTATGCCCTCGACTATGCCCAGCTCTCTTCCTTGCATCTTCACCAAAAGCATCCTCCAAATCTTCTGGCTCTCATGCATCTTGACACTGTCTGCCATTGGAACTTCTCAGAACCCTTTTTACGTTCTTCACGCTTCAGTTACTCTTCACGAACGCGCCAACAATCCTCGGCTTGTTGGCTGACTAGTTCACGAAAACTTTGATGATTGATGATCTACACTGATGTACTTTACGACTTTTTTCTGTCATGACCTTTTGTTCATTTGCTTTCGAACTTGTTATCGCTTTCCTTTCCGATCGTCTTGCAGTCATAAACCACATCTCAGATACTAACCTGTCTGCTAACCACTTACTAGCTTTCAGTTACATACACACTCCTAGCTAGTCACGATCGCCCTATGTCTGTTAGATTTCCTTTTCTGTGCTTTTCTTGCTGTCTGTATATGCCCGATTTCTCTTGTATCTATAACGCTGTCGTGTATTTAGCTCTTCGTCGATCGAGAGTTGAAATGATGACGCGCTTTTCCCATCTCCGTACTGCGAATGTTTGAAGTTGGCGTGTCCACTGTGTTCAGACTACCGAGCGACGCGCGACCATCGACAACGGGATGGTCGAATGTCTACAGTTTGGGAGCCAGGACATATGTAGTTACCTGCTTTCGTTCCAGGTCTTCTCCTCTCGCGCGCTTAATACCCTTGCAGCCTTGCTTACCCCCGGAAGGAAGTTACAAAAGTAGTTGCAGGCGTAAAAACACCGAATTGGACCCATAAAGGACTCCGACTGGCCAAATTTCTCAGACGAGACCTTCAAGTCGATCCCTCCAATAGTACGGTTGATCACCTATGACAGGGTTTGACGACCTCCCTTTCGAGATCCTTCAGGACATCGTCTCGCTTGTCATTCAGTCCTACCCCAAGCGCTCCGACCGACTGACAGCCTCCCGGGAAATACCAACCAGAAACGATGTCGCATTTGCACCCATCTGCCAGCTCATCCACCTCTCGCACATCTCGTCGGTGCTCCGCTCAGTGATCCTAGCCACTCCGGAGCTCTGGACTGCCCTCGACTTCAGCTACGATGTTGGCAACGAGAACGATCGGGACGTTGTTGGAGAATTGGTTAGGAGGTCGGGGAGTAGAGACGTCACGCTGGTTCTCGTTGAACACAGGCGTTCCCGATTTCTTCGGAAGGTGCAGGAGACAGATGCCTCTGGGGAGATAACCCAGCTGGACTTTGGGGTCTGTTGGGAATGGGTCGAAACGGTGCTGCCAAGGCTCAAATCGGTTGCGCTGAACGGGTCCTATGGATTCATCCAAGGCTTCGCCGATGCCTGCACCCTCTGCCATTTCGCAAACCCAGTACCCATTTGGTTGCGCGAAGGGGCAGGACAGACATTACGATATTTGGAGTTCCGCTTACGACCCCCGCGCCATACGTCGCTTCTAGAGACACCGACGCCCACATTCCCCCTCGATGTAGCGTCCGCCTTTCCGTTTGTTCAGGACTTCCGTTCGTCAGGTCTTCCACTGCGTCATCTTCCCAAATGGAACCTCACGAACGTTTGTCTGAAGAACACCCATATCCCACCAAAGCTTCTCTACGAGTTGCTCATCAATGGGAATCTCGAGTCCCTTAAGCTTGTCGACATCCTAGTTGACGACTCAACTGTTCAAGAGGATGCGTCCTACTTGTACACCCCATGGGTCACAGACGAAACTGCCTCCCTCAAGGACTTGGAGCTCATCGGGCTTTTCACTGCCGAAGACGAGGAAAAATTCCACAAACTATTCCCAAATCACAGCTCCCTTCCTCCGGAACCCCGCAACGCCGATCTATCCCAGTCCGAACTCATGTTCTTCAAATTCGTCGATTTCCTGAAGGCGTTTCGCATTCCCACACTCGAGAAACTCGTTCTACGGAGCGGAAAGTACAACTTCGAGCTGCTTTCCGCATTCATAGAGGCTTATCGAGTACCGAAAATAACGATTTGCACGAATTTGCGAAGTCTCGAACTGACGACAGATGACACAGATATATCGTCACTACTTTCCAACCTTACGGTGTTCTTCCCTCATATCACCGAGTTCAAGGCCATCGACAGCGACGAAAAGCAGGTCCCTTTGATTGTCGACTATATTGCTCACGAGCAGATTTCGGGGGAACGAGTGTGGCCGTTTTTGGACTACATCAAGGTCAATGGGGAGGGCTATCTGCGACAAAGAAGCTGGGTTCGTTAACTACTTCAATTTGTCACATCTATCCTACAAAAAATGCCTTTTGACGAGTTGTTCAATCATTAGAGCGATAACGAGAGACCAAGCAGGGATCTCGACCCGAATACCTGTGTCGCTGGCTGAGGGCTTCCAAGACACGACCTGGCCACCTGTTTAGAAGACCTCGAGAGTCAATGACGTCCAACTTTCTAAGTAAGCGCCGAATTCGGCCTCCACCACTGAAACATCACCCGACAACCCCGACACCCCGCCCAATGAAACGGGGGGATCACGACGAGCGAATCAGGCGCCCAAATTACCCCTCATTCGTTGCCACTACAATGTCTTCCACCGAAGGCCGTGGGCCATGTAAGGTACCATCCAAAGGCAGAGTACGATTGTCTATCATCGGGCATGGAGCTTGAATACAGCACGGGTGACCGTGACGGGCCACGGTGACCAAAGTGTCGTGTTCAACGCGGAAGTGCTTCACCTGGCCGAATGGAGGCAGGTCCACATGGCGTATTCGAAAGCTGGTCGGTACACAAATGCTTAAATGGCGGGGCATCTTTCACTGTGGCAGCATTCTCCCATTGCATCCCCATAACCCCTAACCGCATACTTTCACCAACCCAAATCCTACGGATCATTCATTCTTTCATCTCACCTTAATCAATCGAGACCATGGTCGCAATTCCCTTCTCACTCCTCCCCTTCCTCTCCATCCTCATCGCGTCTGCAGCGAACGTGGCGGGCCACGCAGCGGACGCACCACCCACCTTGCGCCTGTCAAGCCGTAGTAACACTCTCAACGATCGTCTCCACCAAAGAGAAATCCTCGACGGCCTCCTCTATGAACGGCAAATCCTCGCAGACCTCATTTACGAGCGCCAGCTCCTTTCCGAACGCAATGACCGTTCCAACTTGATCTACAAACGCGATTCTCTCCCCACTGACTCTCTCCACGAACGCTACCGTGACCTCGACTCCCTACTCACTGCACGCTCAGGCCCTCGAGCGCGATTGTCAGCCCGCAAGTAGTGACACCCGCGGCCTGGGCAAGTTCATTGAGCAGTTCAGAGCGTCAAATATGGGGATCAAGAGGAACCAGGCCCTGCCACAAGGAAGTGGAGCAAGAAGAAGGCGACAGTATAAAATGGGAAGGGGCCGTTTTGAGTTCTGAGTGAGGTGGGAGGGTGGGGATGGATTTTGAGTCCGACTTATTTTCTTTGGGTAGTATATCGAAGCTGGTACTCGGTCGTCGTATCAGTATACAAGTTCTGAAGCACTCTAACCTCGCATCTACCCACGGTCTACCTGCACACTGAATGCAGTGTTTTGGGCGTTCCTATAGTTTCGTTAGATTTGGCTTGAGCTTGATCCCCCAAATGGAAACGTTAAACTTCACCTGAAATATGTAGAGTCATGGCATGCAAGTCGTAATCAGATCATGATGTGTGTTCTCCCATGGCCATCTACGTATTGAGCGCGCCAGATACATTTATGAAACATTCGGCTGCCCGTCAGGATCAAACGGATGGTGTATCCGGCTTTGCTGAACGGCGAACGTCAGTTTGAGCGACACATCATGCTGCTACCTTCGCCTTCCAAGCGAAGTTCATGCTACTTCGACCACTAGACCTTGTACCTGCTGCACCGAACCAGTTTTGCCACCTTGTCGAAAGGTTTGAGAATCTCTTCTGCCCAATGTCACGCATCATCACGGCTCGGCTACTCTGAAGCATTGTGTGGCATTGAGTCAAAGCCCGGGTACGCCGACCTCGACAGTTGAAACACAGCTGACGCTAGCGCTGGCGACTGACCAACAAAGTGCTGTAATACTGCCGAGCGGCAAAACATCAGACTTTGTGGGCTCACGACTCTTTCAGGTATCGTATTGCCACTCGAGTTCGGCGCTTACTTTCAATACACTCACTTGCCCGTGTTACCCGAGAGGGACACCACACGTCGGGCTCGCAACACTCTCAAGTTTGATCCTCTAGAGAGTGTGATAGGGCTCTGACACATGGATTGAGATGTAGCCGCCTTTTGGAACCCGCAGGCAGGAGGGAAGGCCTAGGGGTCTGGGCCTATATAAGCCGGGACTGCTTCGAGGTGTGTAACAGCATTCACTCATCCCCTCCTACTTGTGTTGACAGTCTAAGCTTTCAAGCCCGCATTGGGAGTGACTCGAGATCCACCACCCTCCTTTCAACGCACACTCTGTCCTCCGACCATGGTCGCACTGTCCAAGTTTTACATACTATCCTTGATCCCCATCCTCGCGTCGTTGTCGGCAGTGGCAGGCCACTCACCCGACGCTCTATCGCCCGCACGCTTATCGAGGCGTAACAACCTCGTCGACGACTACAACCATCGACGGGAGCTCCTTGAAGACATCCTCTACGAACGCGACCTGCTTGAAGACATGCTATACGAACGCGATCTCCTCGAAGACATGCTGTACGAACGCGATCTCCTCGAAGACCTCCTCTACGAGCGAGATCACGAGACCAAGCCAAAGCCTTTCGTTAAGAAACCGTTTGGAACAAAAGATGCCATAGCGTACATCTATGCAAATCATCCTTTCTATGCCCCCTCAAAGAAGAAGAACGTGGTTAAAAGAAGGGGAGTGCGTAAATGAGAACTAGGGCATGGACATGTATTGGGTGGAGGAGGCCTGAGGAAGTCGGCATTTGTACCTGATTTGCGTGTCGTGTATTTTGCACTGTAGGATTTGTGCCGGTAATCCGAATCACACACATATTGGCCACGAGATGTCCTCTTCGTATGGGCACTTATTTTGGAGAGACACGCGACAACCAGCACATATACCACTCGGGGCCGTACGCCATTCTTCACGTACAGAATTGGGGTTGGAGGTGGTTAAAATATCTTTCCTGGCTACCCAATGATTCTCTTCACACTCTACCTTATCTACTCCTTCAGCGCTTAAAGCTGTTGTAACATAGAAGCAATTCTACCGTTCCGATGAAGAAAGTCGCTCGGCACCCACAAAGGCTTTAAAACTTGCACCTGGCAAGGCTCGAACCCGTATACGGTATGTGCTGGAATCTGGGCGGCGCGTAAATCTTCCCACCTATTTTTAGGCGGCGTTTGAACCCGGTGCTGAACTCGAAACGACAACGTTCCACAGAGACTTCAATCCGAATCCGTCATGCTGTACTCAACTCTCAGAACCTCTGGTTTGCGATGGTCCAAAGGCCTCCACTGGCCGGGAAATTGTCGCATGTCGCGACCGTGACACTAAAGGTCAATTCATCTCCATTCGTTATGGAAGTATGGTCTTCCCGCGAACGTCGTCACAGAAGACACTTTTGTGCAGGTCGAAGCGTTCGTGGTTCCTTCACACACTGATAATGAATGCGTCTTCCCTCACTTCGGCTCTTCTATGGGCTTCGGAGCAGAGTCTTCGCAGAAGATTACCGAACTTATGCCACTATCATTTAAGCTGGCATTTGGCATCCTTCAACACCTACGTAGTTCTCAACGGGGACCATACTCGTTAGTCCCAGGCTGAACCAGCCATGTTCCAGCCACGGATTCTCTCTTTTCTCTCAGTCGCGTTCTTTGTACTCTCGGCCATCACCCATGTCAATGCTCTGCTGCGATTCCCGTGCTCGCAGCTCGTGACGCAGCGATTCGACCCGTACGTACCGTACATCCTTGTTCTCTGTCAAATCGACGCTGACGCTACGTAAGACTCGTAACCCCCGGACAAGTCTCGCCTCACGTCCACCAGATCGTTGGCGGTGTGCGTATCTCAGGCTGCTTTCATGTTTATGCTGACTAAGTATCACTTTGTCTTTTCCAGAATGCGTAAGTACCGGTTAGGCTTCAGCCCTTCAAGATGCTGAACGAGAACATCTTGAAGATTCAACTTGACGATGGACCCCGAGCTTGATCTCGGTAAACTTGCAACCTGCACCACTTGTCGCTTCAAAGAGGACAAATCCAATTACTGGACTGCCGTTCTGTACTTCAAGCATCCAAATGGCTCGTATATTCGAGTACGTCTCTCCCATTGTTGCGTATTTGAAGATGTCAGTTGCTAATACATCCCACGTTACGCGTAGGTCCCTCAGATGGCCAACCATTACACTGGAGCACCGAATGGAGGCATGACGGTTTACTATTTCCAGCCTCGTCCACCAACCAAGGACCTCAAGGTCGTCGCATTCCGAAAGGTTCGCTTCTGTCTATGCTGTCATTTCGCATCGAGTCTCACATAACACCGTCACAGGGATTCCGAATGATCGTCGGAGATCCTATGCGTCGACGAGATGACCTGTCCCCCAGTGTCACCGCGCACAAGCAGCTTACCTTCCGTTGCTTCCAAGGTGCGACACGCCGCGGAATCGTTGACGATGAAATTTAACTCGATTTAGGGAACGCTCTCGGCGCTGGAACACCTGGCGTGGGCCCTGACGATACTATCGATTTACCGAAGAGATTCTGCTCAGGCGGGATAAGGTCTAACATCTACTTCCCCCAGTGAGTTAGACTGGTGCACGGCTTTGATTTGGGCTGATTATCCTATTAAGATGCTGGGATGGAATGAACCTCGACAGCCCTGACCACGCGGTACGTCCACCTCTCCTCATTGGAGTCAAACCGAGGTGGTATTCATTGCCAACAGAGCCACGTCGCCCACCCTGTGGGCACTGCTTCCCCCGAAGGTCTACAGATCTTTGGCACCGATTGCCCGGCGAGCCACCCAGTCCGTCTTCCTCTCCTGTTCATGGAAATTGTATGGGACACTCGACCGTTCAATCAACCCGAACTCTGGCCAGAGGAAGGACAACAGCCTTTCATTTTCAGCATGGGCGATCCGTACGTTTTTCGATTTCTGACCATCCGGTACCAAACCCCAAGTTACCTTCTTCTGACGTGATCTATAGGACTGGATACGGCCAGCACGCTGACTACGTCTTTGGCTGGGAAGGCGATTCGCTTCAGCGAGCCATGGACGTATGCACTGGGCAGGACGGACTCCCCGAGAACTGCAAGGAACTCACGCTGCAGAGCGATGACGAAATAAACCAATGCGTACAACCCGTTAAGGTCCCTGAAGTTACTGAAGGCGAATGTAAGCATCCTGCCCATGAGGTCTTTGAATTGGTTCTGACGATTCGCCCACTGGCATGTAGATCTAAAGGAACTCCCGGGATGCAATCCGATCCAAAGAGGACCCGATCCGGCCACCATGGTTCCCAACTGCAACGCGGTATCGACGACAGTTTCGGGGCCCTTTTCCACTCCAGCTTCGGGATGAATCTCATTTTCTGTTTGAACCGCCCGTTGTAACCCCTTTGTCGCCACCATCACTATCCACTCGCGTACATTGTAGCGTCAATCCGCGCCTCATGAGATGTACATTGTCAGGTGAGGGATCGAGTATCGTAGTATGGCAATCAATATAAATTGATAAAGTACGTGATACGACAACGGAGACACCAAGTGTTTTGCCGGAGGCGCATATCTTATGCACCGACCATGAGAGCAGTGCCGCTGGCGCTGAGTTCAAAAGGCCCCATCTTGCACTTTCCGCAAACTTGCCATTCCGCAGAATTAAGGACCATTAGCGACTGTGATAGACGATGACAGGCCAGAATAAATATTGATAATGAAAACAAAGGAGCGGTAGGGGATGTAAAGGACGCCACGATTATGTGCTGTTCTTCCTAGAAAGAGGACTTTGAGCATTTACACTACTTCCTCCTCTTAGGGGGACTGGGACTCCTCTTCTTAGCCTTCGGACTCCCAGGATCATTCGCCTTCGCGCACCAAATCTCCATCTCCTCCCTGTTGTACTCGACGTACTCCCTCAACTCATCCATCTTATCCCTCGCCTTCTTCTCCGCATCCTTATCCTTCTTCTTCTTCGCGTCCTTGTACTTCTTACTCCACGAATCATAGTCCTTTTTCGTTGCTTTGTATGCATCCGTGAACTTCTTGCACTCTGCCTTGGCGTTGTCTGCGCGAATGACGAGGACATGGGAGATGTCGGAGGCGCGGACGTTGAGGCGAGCGAGGTCGCGAGCGCTAAGGACAAAGTCATCGTCGTCGAACCCGCGGAGCTCGTGATCATCGTCGAACCCGCGGGCGTCGTAGGTATCGTAGAAGTCGAGTGAGCGGGTGTCGAGGTAGTCGCCGTAGGGATCCCAGGCGACCACGGTGGAGGTCATGCTGAGAATGCCTGCGAGGAGGTAAAGACTCGATTTCAGGGCCACCATGTTTCAATCTGCCAACGCAATGGGTCGTCAGCGATCTCAACTATGATCTAGAAGAGGAGGGAAGAGCATACAGTTTAAGTTAAACAGGGAAGGGAAGGGTTTAGAGAGTACAAGTTGGTTGTTGCTGTTCGTGTGGAAGGATGAATGGGCGATTGGGTTCTGGAGAAATACAAGCCCAACACCACTGTCCTTTTATACCTTCACTCGAGCCAAGGCTTCTAACCACTGCTCACAGTTCGTGGTTCTATCGACCGATTCCAGAGCCGTGCCGTATCAGGCCGACTTAGCATCCATCAGCATGCAATGCAACGACGGTGGGGCATCAAGTCGATAGGTTTCTACGTCCCATCAATGATGACCGCAATTCAATTCTCGTAAAAGTCGTTCTCATCTGTGTTCCAGATTTACCCTTGGACCGACAGAAAATACCTCAGTCAGCATACGCTGGCTCATCGTATTCGACAAGCGACCTCACCTGAGCCCGACACTACTTCACAGTTCCTCCACACTTCTCATTGGAGGAGCAGCAACAAATTCGCGAAAGACGCAGTCTAATAGACTCGATTATTTTGTTCAGGGATACAAGCGCGGATCCACGTTCCCGATACTGCTGGCTGGAGTCTTACTTGAGCCAGTCATCTGAGCGTTCGCGCTCAACAGAGTATATATCACTGCGCTCGTGTTCTACATACTTAGTACTACTATATGCTACCCTCGCGAACCCATTCAAAGTTTCACGTGTGATCTTCTTTGATCCCCGCCCGCCCACATTGTCACATAGATATTGAACCAAGTACGTAGCTGCCTGTGCGGCCGGGCACCACGGAAGGGGGCATCAAGGCCTGCCGCATTGCCAATCCCGGACTCTGTTTCCGACCGCAGCACCATCACTCCCCAAGCCGAACGGTACGGCTCCACCAGAGCACACTTGTCCTGACCCTGGGTGGGCTCTACTACTAGTACGAAGATATAAAAAAGGTGGAAAAGCTTTGCGTATTTCAGCTGAAATGACGAGCGCCGGTTAATCATCAGCTGGAGTTACCTTGGGGCGAATTTCATTGTGGAGTACTGTTTGATGAGCGCCCGCACACTGGGAGGCCTCTCTAGGCTTCTCGGGCCCAGCCATACCCAATTAGAACACATTGTACCCAGACCCATCTCTGTCTATTTTCAGAACATGAAACGAGGATTGACGTGCCGAACGGCGGGTGCATTATTCAAATAAACTATCGTAAAAAAAGGAAACACCTGCCATTCCATTAGACGCAGCGGGCGAGTGGGTTTACTCACACTCGATCTGAATTTTCTTCCTTACACTCAACAGAAAGATCGTTTAAAAGACGTTTCAAAGGACATGTTGGCGGATTCCTTGCATGTCTAACAAAGTACCCTCTCGATCGGCATGAAGGAGCTTCCCACAGCAGTGATCCAGCGACATAGCGTTCCGAGTCAACTGCGACGGGGGCTTATTCCGCATCGATGTATCCGGGATTAATTTCATCAATCACCACGAGCGCTGATGTAGCCTCCAAGTTCTGATCTTTGCAACAAAGACCTTTACAATCGGGACGTGCCTGAGCCAGAACCTGTACGTGATCATGAGCTGCGAGAATGCGTAGCAAAAAGAGGGCCTCACTGGGAGTTGAACCCAGGACCTCCTCGAAGTTGAGCTAACCCAAACGAGGAATCATACTACTAGACCATAAGGCCACCAAGGATTTCGCCAATATGCTTTACCAAGAGCAAGGGCACTTCGACGCTAGATCTGAAGGCGTAGCAAAACAAATAAAGCGTGTAGCCAAGCACGCGGAAACGGTAGCCAAACCTACTTTCACTCTCGATGCTCTTGGGGCCAGCCACTCAGATGAGAAATAGATGTCATTTTCGAATTTCGTGGACATAGGCAATTCTTATCGACAAAGTTTCGACCCGAAACTCGAGCACTCGGATCTGATTCTACAACACGGTCTCTTCACGTTTGGTCTCGGACACTACGCAGCCATGCACGTCCTGAAACCTCGACAGTCGAGGAAACACATCCTTCCACTTTGAGTATTCCAAAATTCGAGCCTCATCTGATGGATATGGCGGTGGAAGTTCCTGTGACCGTTGAGATTGGCTCCACCAGCACTGGAGGCGTACAGTCTGAATTTGATCCCTTGATTGCTTGCTTATGGATCGGAGAGACGTTCACGAAGGGTGTCATGCTAAGAAGTTGTACCGAATGGATGTTAGTTCATAAGCTCACATTGGAAGTAAGGATACGCACAAGAGTCGCATCCGCATTCGATGAGTCCCATGTGAGCTTGAGGTACATCTCAATCTCCGTTACGTTTGGAAAACACTGCCCTACGCTCTCCCAGAATCGTTCGGCCTCGGAGAGCTCAGGGCACTCCAACCACCAAACGATGAGTATCCTAATCCCGTTCGCTCGGAAGGTGGAATTCGGGAGATCGTACAGGTCGCCCAACTGCACGAGACTCTTGGAAACAATATACAGGATCTCCGCCATCTGTCTAGGGAAAAGTCCAGGTGCTAGACCGACCAATCCTCGTTTCGTCCCTGTAGTGTCTGTTTCGCCTTTGTCAATACGCCAGCATAATTGAAATATCATCGGCAACTCTGTCAACCTGTCTGGTCTTTCCAGTCCAGGGATGTAGGGCTTGAGTTTCGTGAAGCGGCATAGATGGTCTTCACCTGGAGAGAACAGAAGGCGAGCCGTGCTAAGGAACTCGGCGCTGTTGAAGCATTGACTCGGGTCGAAGAGACCTATGGCCTCTAGCAAGGGCTGGTTTCGGATGATTTCTTGCAGCTCCATATCTGATGCAGTGCAATAGAGGGACTTGAGTGCGAAGGGACTGTCTCTGTCAAGAGCGTTAGAGGAAATTTACGACCGATATGTGAAAAGGTTATGACAGACATAAGTATATCCTCGATTGCAGCGTAGCATTGGCTATTTCCGCTCCAGCAATTGGTCCACTCCAGAGATAACTGGGTGACTCTCCCAGTAGTCCGCATCGCCTCTTTCAAATGACGCACAAATCGTTTGATTTGGGAAGAGGAAAGCATGATTTTCATCCGCTTCACCAATCGCGCCTTAGTGCGATTCGATGCCAATGTTCTCAGGCACTGGACTAAATTTGGGTCTTCGTCATGAAGAACCAGGCGCTGATACAGGTGTGCCTCCGCTTCCTTGTTCATCCCCCGTTCGACAAGGGCTAACGCTGCCAGCGTGCCCCTATCCGAGAGGGTCATGATTTCCAGGAGGATTTCGGGAGGAAAGTGCTCCTGGAATTCTCCGTCAGCCCTATCTGTAGTACGAAAGATCTATCCACTTCACCTTCATTGGCGTGACGAGCACCCCATCCTTTATCAATGTCGAAGACATCGTGTAAGTTGGGCTTGCATCCACCCAGCGTGTCCAACGAGTTGAGGTGCTTTCCGTCGCTGGCCCTACAATTACTCAGCCTCCACGTGCAGCGGAACAGTGATGTCCTTGGGCGCCCAACACTGGGCTGTCAAAGGTCCAAAAGCTGAGCGCTGATGTGTGGACTCTCCATGGTCGATCAGCATCAGAAGTCGAAGATCTTCACGTACGGTTGTCCATACTTACCCAGCGCATTTGCGAATCGCGACCGAATTCCAGATAGGTTTACAACTCTTCCATTATGTTTTGGTAATGAAAAAACTCCCCGTCCGCTTACAGAGTGTGTGTCCACTGTCCAAAGCCATCCACCTTGTCAGTGCACTTAAGGCTGTTTTTCATGATCGTTGCTGTCGTGGTAGTACACAAGGGCTCTGTAGTTGACAGTTGCAATCTCTGTCAGTGGAGCAGGTCGGTACCGGAATAACGAGATACTTGGGTCGGCAGGCTCCCATAATGTCGCTATTGGAATCAAAGATTACGTCTCCGTCGAGCGCTGTCGACCCATCGTTGATACTCTGAAGCCTACAGTAGGTTCAGGACAAGGCATCAGCCTCTGATGGATGGACGAGGACTCCGTGCGCACCAGTATTGGGTAGAAAGGCTGTCCTTGAAAAACTCATAAAAGCTGGCCCCATACCGAGGGTGAACTGAAAAGACACATTCCCTCGCCGACATGGTCACGACTTTATGCATCCTCGTATTTCTCGTCGCCACCACTCTACCCTTATGCCTCGGAATCGATCCCTCCACTCTCACCGAAATCGAGTGGGGTACACCTGTTGGTATGTAGCTTTACTTTCTCTCGCTCTATAATAGTTTAGATAACCTGTCAATGCAGGACTTAGGATTGGCCTCCGCCAAACTGGAGTAGAAAAAGAAGTTGCTGCAAGGAAGCTCCATTTTGAGATTGCCATTTGGCCAAACAGCATGCCGTTTAACCACGGGAAGACCTCTGCCGCCAATGATGAAGTGAATGCCGTTGTCTATGACGTTGTTTTGACACCCAAGAAGTATGCCGCACCGTTTCCTACTAACCGAATGCATGGACAGTACTTATCAGAGCTTCTTCATTGCTTACAGGATTGGAGAGTGCAGAACGTGGTCTAAAGACAGTAGAAGGGAGACAGTTCGAGGGCATGAAGTAGAGGCGCCATCTACCCTCCTGTCCAACCCTGGAAACGCTCAAACCAACCGGGATCTACTCCGGGAAATCGAGACGATTTTTCGAGATTCAACACCTCACGTCGGACCTCATCCCGATTACCCCGATGCGGACTTCATGAACTGCCTAGATTGGGCGGCAATGGCCTTCATTCAACTGAAGAAGAGAGGATATCTGTCTGAGCAAGGCTATAAAGGTCTTGTTGGATACGTCGTTCGCGTAGAGGACTCAACCAAAGAGCTTAGAAACGACTGGATACACAAGGTTTGCACTCAGCCTTACCAAGGACCTAGTGGAAGTGGATCGGGGGGTCTATCGCGCAGGAGCCTACCCAAAGGTTGCCCGCCAAACAGCCAGACGAAAGGCCGGAAAGGCGGACCGCTGTAAGACGACTAGCCGACGCACATAGCCGCTACACCAAAAGGCAGCATGACTGAAGAGCTTATCTCTTCAGCCACCGTCGGGTATATGAGCGTTATGGGAACCGCTGTAAGCCACCGGTCTTACACCCTTCCACCCCCCGAAAAACTCCCCCTCCCGGCCTCGTCCCAATCCGTCAATCCCGGGAGGTAAATCGTCAGACAGTCATCGTCATCGTCAAGGGGAGCCGTGAGGTGGAGGGCCATACATGGCCACCTGAAAGGTGCGACCCTTTCCAACTGGTACGTCACCGGTGGACGACAATCCCGCCAAGCCACTTTCGTCGGGAACCTTTCAAATGTCCCGTTGACTTGGGGGATCGAACTCCCAGCCGAAGCTCTTCAGTCAATGTAAGACGACTAGCCGACGCACATAGCCGCTACACCAAAAGGCAGCATGACTGAAGAGCTTATCTCTTCAGCCACCGTCGGGTATATGAGCGTTATGGGAACCGCTGTAAGCCACCGGTCTTACAACCGCCTTGCGAGAAGAGGATACGTGGGACGTCCAAGAATCAAGGAAATCGGCCCACCCTAAACGGGAAACGTACGGGAAATGGAAAGCAAGCGCCCAAAGGCTCAGCCCACCCACCAAACAGGCGCGCTCCTAAGCCAGCTCGTCCCAAGGTCAATCCGGCTCGAGGCCCCAGACTGCGCAAACGAGGTTACGGATATTAGTACTACTAGTCAGATTGATTAAGCCTTTCCCATGTCCCAGCACTTCACCCGTTTTCGTGTCGGTTCTTCGTTAAGCTTAGACCTGGCTGAGGCTGACTCGTGTCACAAACGTCGTTGGTTGGGTCTCTTTCTATTCTCCATCTTGAATAAGGGTTGCATCGATTAGGGAGAGTATTATTGGTAAGAAAGAATGTATTGATATTGTGAGGTAAAGAACGAAAACACAACGAAGTCCTCAGCGCGAGAGGATCTTCGTCTGAGTTGGTGGCGCGAGCGAGAGTTGTTCACGTGCCACCTTCCAGCTCAGTCGAAGACCTTGATCCATCACCCGGCTTTCCCCCCGAGCTGGATTTCCCAAGTATGCTTAGAACGTACTTCGGTCGTGGACATCACGGTGGAAGTGGAGTGGATATGCATGGTGCGTTAGCCTTGAGGCTGTAGTTAAAGCTTCAGGGGATCTACAACCCACGACGGTAGCACACACCGCATGAGCGGTTGCACCGTGGTAACCAAGGTTGAAAGTTCATGAAATACAACCTCCATTTGGGAACTCACTGCGTTGAAATGGCTTTGTTTGGGCTGTGCAATCCATCTATCTATATATCGCCGTCACGTCGATCCGTGCGCAAAGTACCATGGGTTTGAAACAGCTCTTTCATTCAGAAAAGAGGCCGATAGGGTGCATGGTTCGACTGGTACTACTACATTAGTAGCCGATCACTCAGAATTGTATGATAGCAGCGTTGCATCGAATCCGTGAGGGACATCTCAGAATGCGATTTGAAAATGAAGGACGGAAGGAGTTGAACGTTTCCCGGAATGACCGATGAGCGGATCCGGATTCACTTGGATGGTGTGAAAATCATCTGACTGAGGTCGGCCACTCTCCAACAAGGTGCGGCAACGGCGTGTATTTCCCGCTGCCTTGAGATAGCGCCCGTGAGGAGTAGCGCTCGATCCCTGTTCTGCTCGGGAGACTCGGATATTGAATAAGGATGAGAAAAGCGAGGTGGAAAGGACCTATGTATAATGTATGGCTAATGAGAGTGGACTTGAATTTTGCTGGATGGACGTTCGAGGCGTTCGGATAGCCAGAGGGCACAGGATATAGATATTCTTGTGTGGTAGTGGCACACCGCTACGTTTCTAACGACTAGAGTTCGGATTACTGAAGCAGCTACCACGCCGACACCTCATTACGATGGGCGGGCTTCGGACAATCCCTTTCGCACATGCCGTACAGGGGTATCGGCTATCGTCACTCACCATTCATCCAAACATGGACCAAAATAAAGTCCAGAGGCTATATAAACCCCCAGAGAGTCGTTCGAGCTTCTTCAGCAGGTTCTCCCTCATCTACTCGAGCAGGTTCTCATCTCACAACAGCTTCAGTTCTCGCCGGTTGAGTTCTGTATATCCGCCCTAAACGACGTCTCTCTTTATCTCTCTCTCTCTCTCTCTCCCTTCAGCTCATATCCACTCTTTATTCTTATTCCTCTCCAACATTTTATAATGGTCAAACTCGCTAGTGTCGCCTTCATCACCGCCGCGCTTGTTGCCTCGGCCTCAGCCGCCCCTCAACCGCAAGGTCCCCGTACTGCTGGTGCTTCCGGTGGGAACAACCCTCCTAATCCTGAGATCTTTGGTATTATCGCGTAAGTATCCACCTCCCGCACACCGTTCTGTTGAATCGTAGCCCCCCGGGATCGAGGACTTGTTACTTACCCATCTGCTGAAATCTTTCCAGAAGCGGCATAAAAAAGGGCTATGACAAAGTCAAGAAGCCTCGGGATTTTGGGGAGGAGGAGGTGATGTATGTACGCGAACTTCTGGAGGACCTGTATGGTCGTGAATTTTGGGAGGAGGTGTATGAGCGTTCGCCCCCGGCTTCGTCGTCCTCTTCTGGCGGTGGTATTGGCCGCGCTCCGCCTATGGATATCGGTCGTCCCCCGTCCCCCGTCCGCCGTGTTCCACATGTCCAAGGCGCCAAAGGCCTCACCCAGGTTCCGCGGGACCTTGGACTCGACTCTGAGGTGATGTACCAACGCAGTCCTTCAATTGGGTAAGGTGTTCCCTTGACTATTGGATACGTATTTCGTGCTTACCCTGTGTCTTCTGTGTAGGAAAGGAGGCAGGGTCAAGCCCCTGATCAATCGACCACGAGATGTTGGGGACTCGGACATGTATGGACGGGACTTCTTGGAGGAGCTGTATGAGCGCGATCCCCAAGGACCCGCGAGCTGGGCGTACTATGCGGCAAAGTGAGTAATGTAACCTTCTACCGACAACGAGCTCTGTGCTGACGGCTCTTTACCAGGGGGTGGTATTAAGAAAGGCGTTGAGGCGTACAAGAGGCGTAAACTCCTTCGTAACGCTCAGCGACAGCCTCGAAGCGTTGGTGACGCGGAGGATGTGTATCAGCGTGCTGTTGGGTGAGTGTCTTTTTCTTGTTCACTTTCGCTTGGCTTACCGCCCTCATTTCGTTTTTAGTAAACAAGTACCAAGGCCTACCGTCCAGAGGCCTCAAGGAACCACCTCCCAAATGTTCTCCCGCGATCTTGCTGAAGGATCTGCTCAGAATGAAGTGTGAGTTTGATTTCTGACCCATGTACTACATATCATCTTTTTGTACTACAGCCATGGTTATGATCTTGACGAGTTGGATTAGGAAAGCGCGGACTCGGATGTCCATACACTGCTGTAATGTGTACTACTGTTCTGTAACTCGTACGCGTTGCAACCCAATCCGATCTCAGTGGCCTGCCGTCGTTCATGTCGGAGTCATCGTGTGTCTTATTAGTCTGAAGTTCACATTTGGGCAAGTAGGAGTGCCGAGCGTTGAGTCTAGTCTAGTCTAGGATATTATCGGCGCCATTTTCAATCATTTGCCCCGCCTTCGCAACATCGAATATAATCATGTCCTTTTCCTCGGTCTCCGGTGCACCCACCTTAGGGACTACAGATCATCCTGTATATATCCTCTAGTAGCGGACTTCTTTGTAGTGCAGGGAATATGGCTAAGAGACTGAAAGTGACCGATTGATGGGGCAGTTTGCCTAAAATGGAAGGTTACATCTGATGGTGCACACTCCATTGGGAACGAACCCGCGTCACCGTCCTGTCACCATCTGTCATCGGACGTGCGCCCATGAGCACTACGCACTTGCGCGCACATTGCTATCGACGCCCAAAATCCCCCCCTAGCACCTCTATTATCTACAGTCGACCAGTCTCCAACACAGTCAAGGTCCTACTACCTACTCGAATTACTTTCACGGCCCCCAAGCCCTTCCGATAAGCATACCTTTCGCCGCCATACTGCTCCCCACCGCTCATTCAGCACTTGCATGACATCCCTAAAGATGACATCGAACTTGGCGTATAGCGTTGCTACTTGTAAGCTGGTGTGTTTCTCAGTAACCGCCACCACCCCCAGCACCGACTTGCGGGTCTCCCGACCATGCCTCGAGAGGCCAAGCAAAGCTTGAACCCCGCAAGACATATACGGCGTGACCATCGCAAGGACGTCACCGGCTTAGGATTTGCGGCATACAGTCCTGTTAAAAAGCGAGATGCATACAAGACTCGCACCCGCGTCAGCTACATTGGCCTCGACTCCGAAATGTCCAACGTATCCCTGCGCCTAGAACAACTCAAGGCTCAAGCTGAACGACTGCGTCACGAGCGGGTGCTCTCTACCTCTGGACCTCCTTCCGCTGAGCATCCACTTACACCCCCCCCCATGCGACACCGGGGGCGCCATGCCAATGGAGACAGAACACGAAGGCGCCGACAACGACGACGACTGGGTCGAAACCGATTCAGAAGATGAACAGGAACCGGCACCAGTTGACACAGGCGGTACAGGGGGAGCAGAACAAGAACACGACATTCCGGATGTGTCTGCGGTGTATGACGAAGAAGACGACGACTTGGACGACGACCCAGAGCAGGCAGTAGATTATGGCCTAGTGTAGAGGGACGGCGAAGTGAAAATAAACAGTTTAGCAGAGGCGGAGCGGAGTCAGCTGAGAACTAGAACCTCAGTAAAGACAACAGTCAGCTGAGGGCACTTAGGGAATCTCGTGGACACCCGATGGCTCATTATGCTAGGCTCAGCTGAGGCACTCGAGCAATCTAGGAACCCCGACTCCTCTTCATGCGACTGCCAGCTGAGTCTTCTTGTACTTCCCCTAAGCACTTCGCAACCCCCTCAGCTGAGTGTGTATCCAATGGTCCGTTGAGTACACACCCAGCTGAGCGTCGCCTCCCCACTCCCCAGCTGAGTATGTACCCGACTATTCGTACAGGCTCTGAGCATAGCTTTCCCCCCACTCTCTACGCTGATATTTGGGCACACGCTCAGCTTAGTCCTCCTTCTCACCGACACCCTCAGCTGAGTGTGTACCCGACTGCACGTTGAGTACACGCTCAGCTTAGTCCCGCTTCCCACCGACACTCTCAGCTGAGCGTGTATTCAACTGGCACTTGGTTACACACCCAGTTGAGCATCGCCTCCCCCCACTCCCTCAGCTGAGTGTGTACCCGACTGCACGTTGAGTACACGCTCAGCTTAGTCCCGCTTCCCACCGCCACTCTCAGCTGAGCGTGTACTCACCGGGCAGTCGGTTACACACCCAGCTGAGCATCGCCTCCCCCCACTCCCTCAGCTGAGTGTGTACCCGACTGCACGGTGAGTACACGCTCAGCTTAGTCCCGCTTCCCACCGACACTCTCAGCTGAGCGTGTATTCAACTGGCACTTGGTTACACACCCAGCTGAGCATCGCCTCCCCCCACTCCCTCAGCTGAGACTGCACTGACTCATCCTTGCCAGGTCCCTGTTTAGGGGAGGGGGCTGGTCGCCCTCTGCCCATAATTGCTCGTTGTTCACTGCTGTCACCTCAACATCCACGCCATGTCGCCCCAGAGTCTAGGGACTAGAGAACACCTCGCTTCCTGGTCGAAACGGATATTCTTCAAACCCGAGTTATACCGTGCTCGTTATGATGTCCCACCCCGGCTACAAAAAACCCTCGGATATGCTTTCTACGCTCTTACCCTCGACCGCAAACTAAACAACGGCAAGGACTTTTTTGATTCCGACGACCCTATCGATGGATCTGTTCGGGAAGAGCTGGAAGGAATCGTGGATAAGGTTACTCAGGCTCGAAGGCGCACCAGTGAGGGTCTCTTTCCTTTCTTAATCGTACTTATATCAGTATAACCGTGTCGCCAGTACGGATGGAATGGTCCTGGAAGGAATTTCTTGACGGTGCTGATCAGTGTCGACACGATCCCGACCTTCTCCTGCAACGGTTTCCGCCACCACCCCACATGGCACAGTCCCCGATTGATTACCCTGTGTCTTTCGTGGATCGCGACGGAAGACTTCTCTATATTTACCTTCCATCTTTGTTGAGCCAAACACGCGTTGTGAGTCCCTTTCCAACAGTCCATCCGCCTCACTCACTTACTCCCCCAAGAAAACCATTTTCGATGCGGCGGCAAAGGTTTTCCGCTCGCAGTCCTCAGACTTCCAAAAAGAGCTGGGGAATAATATCCTCGAACACGAGAAGGTACTTCCCCCCAACCCCACATTACAACCAGGCGGATTGGCCCTGTTTCCGGCCAAAGGCCATAGCCAGCATCTCCCTGTGAGTCACTTGTACCTAGTATTCTCCTTTTGTTTCCTGATGACAACCCACCACGCCAGTGGGAGCAACATGTCCCTCCTTCTCCAACCTTCTCCAACCCCAGGCACTGCCATGCCGCTTTCGACTTCCTCGATTCGATCGACGCGGAAACTACAGGCATTCTCGGTGCTGTGCTTGCTTTAACAAGTCCCAACCACCTGCATGTCGTATACGAGTTGTTTGAAGCTCTAGAATCTCGAACATTGGTTCCCCAGGATCAACAGCTCTTCGCCGACATCATGCAGCATTGGGCGTTTCCTTTCACCGACGTTTACCTTCACGCAAATGCCCAACTGTCCGACTCCTACCGCACTCATTACCGACCCCATACCCTCCAACTGTACTTTTCCGCGGGTCTCTCATCAGAGAACACTCTTAAGGTTGAAGGGCTTCACCGGCAATTCACGTTCGGGCCTGGTTCCATCGCTATCGGATATCCAGCGATGTTCCTTTCAGAAATGTGCCCCGGAGGGAACGACGACCAGGTAATGTTTGCGGGATGCATCGACGATCTATTGAGGGGCACGCTCACCTCCGTTCTCCATCCCTTGCCTCTCAACGACACTGAATATAATGACTACATTTCGCATATGCTTGGATAACTTGTTCAACATTGTATTTATTTCATATTTTACGCAATACCCAATACATTATCATACTGGACTAAAGAAGTATTGTAATGTCTTGTATCACGGGTAGACGGACATCTCAGCTGAGCCACGCTTACATGGGAGTACAGAACACGCGCGTGTTAGTTATACTCTCAGCTGAGACTCATGATCCTAAGTCTCAGCTGAGAGTATAACTAACACGCGCGTGAACAAGCACTCAGCTGAGAGTATAGCCAAGATTCGCCTAAGGTCAAGGCTCAGCTGAGACTCATGATCCTAAGTCTCAGCTGAGAGTATAACTATCACACGCGTGAACAACCACTCAGATCTTTTCGATAATTGTCCGAACCAAAAATTAAATATACAACGACAATGCAGACTAAGTACACGCGCAATACAGACGTAGAGACCAATATGAAATGAAGAATCTAATGAAAAGAAAGGAAGACAGTAACTACCTCTTGGCTCCTCTCCGAGCTGTAGCGCGACCTCTACCCCGCCCATTCCTCGTTCTTGACGACGATGTAGCCTGACCTCTACCCCGCCCAACCCCCCTGCTGGCGGACGATGTAGGCTGATTGGAGGACCGAGTTAACATTTGCTGGTCTGCGTCCAACCTGGCACGTTCCGACCTAGTCATCCTCGGGGTTTTCAGTGCCGCCTCGTCCACAGGCGGTACTTCTAGACGAAGGCGTTTCAGGATCGGGGGCTCGGAATCAGACGATGAACTTGAGGCTGGAGGTGGCAGCTCCTGTTCAGGATTCAAGTCCTGGCGAGAAGGGAAGTAGAGTTTTTCAGGGATAGGTGACTCGGTGTCCGAACTCGTAGACCCCTCGGAAGACGTAGGTGTCTCTTCGTCGGAGGTGGGAGTTGAGGCTGTGTCACCTGGAGGGCGTTCACTCGAGTGGGAAGGGTGTTCGTCGTCGGTCGAGGTTTCCGTTGACTGCTCATCTGAGGTTTCCGTCGAGGAAGGCGACGATGTTGGTGTCGACGAGGTATCAGTGGATGGCGCTTCCTGTCCTGGATTACGACGGGGCACTGAAAATACCCGATTTGCGCGTTTTTGACGTTGTGCAGGAACGGGGGAGTGTGGCTGAGCTGGGCTTTGGACCCTTTCAGCGATTGACCTAGTCCTCCAAACATTCTTCACCTTGACAGGCAAGGCCTTGAATTCGAACGTCTTCTTGACACTGGGATCTTGTTGGCGGTTGTACAGCGCGTGGTAGATGGCCTCCTTCATCGCAAGTGACGCGTCGGAAGGCTCCTGGAAAGAACTACGAAGCGTTCCAGGTAGCATGTCCTCGTGCATGCATTCCTCCCAAACCGCACGAATCCCGGTCCATTGTACAGAAGGACCCTGGCACGTTGTAGGAGGGAGTACCTTGCCACTTTGCGCGAGTGCTGAAAGGTCGGTCGTGAGCCTTAACAACGCGCTGAAAGTGTGAAGACCTACCCCAATGACGAGCGAAGAAACTGCGCAGCACTTCGCCCAGCCAGAGTTGGTGTTGCCTGTGACCAGGCCTTGAGTTGAGGGAGGGGAGGATGGGGTAGCCGTCTTCATCGACCTCCATCTCTATAATGGGTTTACCGAACCGGCGCCTGGGCTGCGGCGGCTGCGCCATCTCCTTTCCCGTCTCACCGTACAGACTCGTCAGCAGGTTATCGACGTGTTTCCCCCATTCCAAACCCAGGCCCGATTCCTTCATGATTTCCTGGCAGCTGTGTTGAAAGTCGGGCACACCAGCGACACCCAGTTTGCATTCGAGATCGTACGCGCGTCGAATCTTCTGCGCGTCTTCATACCCCAACCAGAAGTAGACCACAGCCCCGAAGTCTCGTAAGATTGCTTCAGCAAACTCGTAGCAACGTCTATGAAGGTGTTTCGACGCCGCTCTACAACACCCTGTTAGACTATTGGTCCACTATGGAAGGGAACACACTTACTTTCGCTGCTCCGATCGTGGGGGCCCGATCTCTCTCCACTCCAAGCAGATCCTTTCGTACTTCTCGATCTCTTCGGGTGTGAGCACTTCCCAGAAAAGGGTAATGGCGTCTTGGTAAGTCACGAAATAGTTGGGCGTTTTCGGCGCGGCCCCTACCATCCGTCCCTTCCACTGCCCCTTCCCCTTCCTCTTTCGTTTCCTACCTTTGCGTTTGGGTGTTCCTTCCACTCCTTCGTCCTCCACATCCCCAAGGTCATCACCACTCTCTCCAAGGTTCGACTCTTCTCCCTCGTCATCTGAATCCAGGCCATTGTCACCTTCCCTGGCCAAAAAGTCTTCCTCCGTATCGTAGAGTTTGCGCAAGTCTGGGATGGGTTTCTTATCGAGCAGGAGTTTGGCGACAAACTTCACGATCCGCGAGTGGATCGATCCAAATACACGTCGAGCGGTCCATCGAAACGCCCACACGCGTTTCGGTTTCCTGATGTCGACCTTTCCGTTCTCTTCGAACCATTGAGCCACCGCCTAGAGTGGGGTTAACGCCTTCACATACTGACGAATTTGCCTTGGACTTACTTGCTCTAGGAGAGCCTTCCTCCTGTCCGACGGCTTAACGCCCGACACCTCGTGAATCTCTTGGAGGAGGGTGGCCGATATGTTGGCTGAGAAGTCAGCCTTCAGACCCGCCCCCGTCAATTCTCGGTACTCCTCCAACGCCTCTCGCATGAAGGCAACCTGCGATGGCATAAACGTGAAGACGACTGAGGAAGCCGGGTCTGCCGGACTGCCCTGCGGGAGGGAAGCATTGGAGTGGGAGGTGCTTGACATGTCGGGTATAGAGGTGTTCGTGGAGGAATGCGGCGAATAGCAACGGGTGTACCAGTCGGAAACAAACCTGAAAAATCCTGTGTAGCCAATTGTGGACGGACTCTGATCCGGGCACCGTGACGGTCCGTCCGTAACCGCGAGTAAGCGCGAGACTTTCCCCTTTTGATCTCTGTTCATTTTGACCTCGACTCTTGCGACATCATGGTGAAAAAAGGCCAAATCGTCCCTACTACCGGCTCTGTGGTACTTATGCGAGGCAAGGTTTTCAAAGCCAAACGATCAATCAAGTCGAAGCTGGTCCCGGCTCTCCCGTCTCCCATCAAGTCCAAACCATCGCGAACTTCCAAAGTGGGCGCTAAAGATGGGAGGAACCTCTTCGGACATGACCACTCCGGGCTTGAAGTCACCATCCGAAATGAACATTTGGGAAGCTCTACAAAACGATCTACCAATGTGAGGAGGTTTTCAAAACAGACAGAGGACTTACACTAACATCAGTACGGGGTTGATTAGACGCCCAACGACTATATGCAAGACTGGTTGCCGAAACAAGGCCTTTATCTAAACGAGCTCCTTCGTCGCGAGGCTCCACCTTCACCTCTTACCTGCTCCAATTGCGGCGGATGCGATTCCGCGCAGTGGTGGCGATGTAAAGGATGCTGTGGAACTCCCGTATACTGCCAGACCTGCTGCGCCTCAGTCCACCAGATCGATCCTTTCCACCGCGTAGAAGTGCTCAGCGAATCCTTCTTCAAGCCTTCCTGGCTATGGATTAGTGGAGTTACAGTCAGCCTTTGCGAGACTAGGACCTGCCAGCCGGTCGATGTATCAGACGAGTCAAGTGAGGATTCAGCTTATGATGAGGACGAGGAGCCGAAGGACGTTCTGGATACAACAGCAGTCGACCTTGGATACCAGGCCAAACCGCCAACCAGGCTCTTCCGTGGCTGTAAGGTCCTCCTGGCAGTTCATACCAACGGTGTACATCACCTTCCTTTCCTTTTCTGCTCTTGTCCCAACGCCCCCCAACCCGAAATCCAGTTGCTTCGCAATGGATTCTACCCTTCGACTTCAAAGGCTGTACGAACTATCTTCACATTCCAACTGCTCGACGACTTCTTGCTACAGACGGTAGAATGCTTCACGTCCGCGCACCACTATTACTCCAGGATCCGAAGGCTCACAAACGAACCATTCCCTAATTCTGTTCCTGTAGGTCTAGCAGTTGGGCTATTTTCACTTCGTTTCATCTCACCGTTGTGGAATAGGATCGCACCCGTGAGCTTCGCAGGGTTAGTCGTCAGTGGAGAAAATTAAAGGAGCTCAAGCGCTCTGGGTTTGGACATCGTGATGACCCTCCAGGCGACGGTCAATTGGCACTCTTCTGTGCAGCTTGTCCGCAACCAGGTATCAACTTGCCGGCCAATTGGGAAAACGACGACGAGCAATGGAAGTACACCCGTAGCTACGTCGCTGACGGGAATTTTACCTGTGTTCATCGGAAAGGCCGACAAGACGATGACTCGTTGGTCTACTTGAAAAATGGTGAAGGATACATGACCAATCGTCATACGTACGCCAAACACTTGGAAACCACCACCGAGGCAAAAGAGGTAAGTTTTACTATAATCCGTCTTCCTGGGCGATTCTATCTAATGCGCTCTTTAGCCTGCTACGTGCCATGAACATCGTGCTGTAGCTGACAAGTCCAAACTTCACAAAGGTTGCGACGTAACGGGTGTTGGTGCCATTGCATGCATGCGCCATGGTGCTTTTGCCCCGGGCAGCGTTGTCGATTTCCAAAAGGGCGAAAGGTAAGTTAGGGCGTAAGTTCAATGGCCGGAATTCTCAACCGTTGACTCCAGACAGGTCAACATGGACTTCGCCTTCTCCCAGGCGCTAAAACTCACTCATACCGAGAACATAAGAAGGGTGATTCTGGCATATGATATTAATTGTCAATACTCGAGGCGTTTCTTCGAACGTTTCCGAGCATCTGACACACTGGATCTCCCCGAAGATGTCACATTCCTCTTTGCCATTGGCTTATTCCATGTCCATGGTCACCAAGAGTCCTGCAATTACAGGTACTCGCTCACCTTCATGGAAGGGGCTGGTATGGCCGCTGGAGAGATCCTTGAGTCGCTCTGGGCAGTGGTTAATGAGCTCGCAAGAAGCACATCGACGATGACATTAGCCCAACGGATGGAGGTGTTAGACGCCTTACTGGCAGACATTAACTGGAAGAAACTCGTTAACATTGGTACGTCACGTTGACCACAGAATCTTGCCACTCATTGAATGTTCACCCTGTCTAGTTCCTCGGATCTGTAAAGGCTGGAAGAACGCTCGCCTCGAATTCATGAGGGCGAGCGAAGACTTCGAACTATTGAACGAAACCGCCTCGCCCTTGCAGGTATCCCGATGGACCGCACAACTGGAACGTGCAAACCGTGATCGAGTCAAGGACGTCCGAGCAATGGATATTCTCGAGGGCCGTTTCCCAAAGCGTGAGTGTCGATATATTAGATACTGCTGGGGTATGTCATTCTCACTACAACTGCAATTTCGCGTTTGTACAGCGCCATCCCTGGCCAAAACGCAAAGCGAGCTTATGGAATCGGAACAACAGACTGACAGAGGCGTTGGGGTAACTTCATGGCTCGCGTTGGGCGTGAAAATTCAAGAGGCTCAGTGTGTATCCCACCCGGAATCTGCTTCCAAGGATTGTGCTAATGTCCATTCCTCTCGGAGCACAGGTTATCACTCAAAGCTTTCGTACGAGGTCTTCCTAAGGAAAAGACAGACCTACAAGTTCTCGCAGTTACCAAACGTCGCGAGCAGATTGTGTTGGACATCAACTCGTTCTACGAAATGGCGGGAAATCTCTTCCCTGAACTCGACTTCGAATCGCTCAAATTTGAGTCCCCTCCTCAAGAGGCGGTTGTTCTGGATGACGACGAGGACGAGGGCGTTTCTTCCGAGGACAATCCATTCTCTTTGACTCAGAACGACATTGAGGACGTTCGCCTTCCACTTCCTTCGTCGTTCCCGGACGATCCTTCGCCTTCTCTCCAGCGTGCTCGTGAAAAGGAGTTAAGGCTACGCATTGCGCAGGCCGAAGAGTCCTTGGAGAATATCAGAGCCGAGATTGGGCACAAGTCATTCCTATACCGTTCCAACATTCGCCTAGCAGACGGGAAGAAGCAAAAGACTCGAGGCTATGCCGCCGTGAAGGGTGTCGACAAGCAACTTCGGGTACAGATCCGGATTTATAACCTCGCCCGTTGGGCCATTCAGCGCTTAGGGGCAGACGCTGATGTTCTCCTACGATACAGACCCGTCAAGAAGGAGGACACTCGTGCAATAACGGCGGTCTACAACCCGAACGCCCGAGGGGAAAGGAACAAACCGATGTCATGGATCTGGAATCTCAATATCCAGGGCGACTCTGATAATTCGGCCTATTTGAATGAGTGTAGGTGGTCGCATTCTCTCCTGTTTTGCCATGTTAACATATTTCCTCCAGTATATAGAGTTAATTGGCTGAGAGCCAAGTCAAGGGCAAATAGGTGGGAGGAGGAATATAAACTGCTGAGGGCGGAGATGGATTGGGTTACAAACTTTTTCACTTACAAGGAGGAAGAGTGTCGAGGTTGGGCTGATGCGCAGAGGGAATCGCCAGGCCATGTTGCCTACGCAAGACGTCAGGAAGAAATGTGGAGGCTCATGCGACTGAACGCCGAATATACCTTCAAGAACACCTTGGCCAGCACTTTAAAGGTCGACTAGTTAGCGTAGTGTATTGGTGTAGAATTTCGATTACTAAATGCATTGAGTTTTCGAAAACATTGACTTACTGTCGAACAAGAGCCTTTGCCTTAGGCCGCAGGCGTCGTGGGCGGATGTTGTCAAGCAAAGGAGAAAAAAAACAGTAAAGGATTCATCGTGACAAAAGATAAAAAATGCTACGCTACATCAAAGGGGTTTCGTTTCGGAAAATGTAGTCCAGATACGCCGTGTATTCAGTAGTTCCCATAGGAGTGGGTTTGCGAACGAGACGGGAGGTGGCAAACCTAAGGTCCATGAACGAACCGACGACGACAAGGTGGTCGTCATCGTTCTTCGAGCACCAGGTAATGGGAAGAATATGAGGGAATCCTACGCATATGGTCCCAGAATCAAAATGGAATTGGCGTTCTAGTCCGGGGACTCTAAAAAGAGGGAGAGAGGTGTTCCCAAGAGACACATAGAGAGCCAGGTCATGTGGGCGGTAATCACTCCTCTCCCAACAAGGATAGAGAAGATTGGACAAAAAGTCTACGCACGTGAATGGAAACCCCCATCTCTTCATAACCTCTTCACGAAGAGTTTTGTCGCCACTCCAAATAGTCCCAATATGGAGACCCTCGAGGACTTCCAATGCAGCGTGGAAGTGATCTGGATTAATCATGGCCAGGACGGCAGCCAGTATCCCGAAAGTGTCAGGTTCAATGGACTCCAACAACTTAAACGCGTGGGGCCGGATGTCGGCCCTCTTGAAGGCTACGGCAGGCTCTGGATAGTGAACGGTCTACAGTGTGTTTCAATGTCACAACGGGCGTCGAACCAAGCGTATCGCAGCACTCACGGGGAATCGGAATGAGGTGGTGGCTGCTGGATACAGGCGTACACCCCCAGAGGGGAGGGAAAACGATGAGGACTTGAAGGAACGAAAGGAGTAGTCTAAGAAGTTGCGATGCTCGTCGGTAGTTGGGGTGAAGATAGGAAAAGCCGCTTTAAATAAGTTTTCCTAGTGGCCAGTAGATTAAATTCATCAGTGGTATTATTCCAGGAGGTTCAATTTGAGGCTTACCCAGCGGCTGGCACGGAGAATCGCGGGAAGGTAGGCGAAGACCACTCGACCATTCTTGTCGATGAAGAAGGTTGGCATGTAATGGGCGGTTGCTTGGTGATGGGGTGTATTAGGTGGGTGTGGAGGAGGTGGACAACGGCGAAGTAGTTCTTGTTCGTCGTTGCCGCATTCGGCGTGCGCCTCTTGGAATTCCTCGAGCGACCAGGGTAGCCTAACTGGCAAAAGTGAGTAGTTGTCATTAGTACTGAAGTCAAGGAGACATACGAGCGTGTTTGAGGCCCTCGTGAACCTGATTTGCAGCTTGCTGAAGCTCGCTGCGGATAAGGAGAGGAATGTCTGACCGAACGTCGGGTGGTGCTTCTGGCGGCTCAGGATCAGTCATGTGGTCGATAAGACTAAGAGCATAGAAGGCATATTCGAATGCCTTGGTAAGTAATGGACCGAGCTGGTATTGCGAGCGATACAGGGTACGGTCGAAGGAGGAGGATTGGGCAAGGGGAGTACTCATGGGGGGCAGTGGAAAAGAAGTGCTTGTTAACTGGTAGGTCACGGCTTCCGTTCGGACTTCGGAGTGATTGTTTGCCGGCGCCTATCGCCTGCGGATCTGCGTGCACAATAAGTTCCGATCCCTCTCAGCTGAGCCTTCGCTATAGGTTCCGTATGGCAAAGGCTCAGCTGAGAGGGTCAAAATCCTTTGGTCTCTCAGCTGAGACGCATGTATAGCGGGGTATGGTAGACGCTCAGCTGAGACTGTCCATTTTATGAACGGCATCAGCTGAGCCTTTGTTATAGAGCCCGTATACGATAGGCACAGCTGAGACTTGTTAAATAGACTCTATTGACGCGACTCGAGGGTTTTGAATTTAATCACATAGCCAGCAAAACATTAGTATTGACGAGACATTATATACAAACACAATAAGAGACGACATGATACGAGAGGAATAGAGATGTGGAATTAAACAATGCCTAGGACATGAATTGAGTGGCCGGGGCGATCGCCGCAGTGGAGGTGGTAGCCATAGTCTGATTCGTCGATCCAGCGAAGTGGATTGGCTGAACGTCATCGGCGCCATTGGCGAGGTATGGGAGCATCTGGGGGTCGTATTCCATCGACGAGTAAGGACGATGCGGTTCCTTGATGGGTGAGTCTTCAGCGGCGTTGAGGGGCTCAAAAACCAGATCAGTGCGGTTGGATATCTACAAATGGGGGGTGTGAATAGAGTACGGGACGAGGAACGAGCGCACTTACAGCTAGGGCCAGACCCTTAAGCTCCCTAGTGAGAGTGGCAACTTGATTTTTAAGCTCGGTGTTCTGTTTGGTGAGAGCTACAATGTCGTCTTTGAGGGTCGCTATCGATTGTTCGTGTGCGAGTACTTGGATAGGGTCAACCTTGTGCTTTTTGAGATCGCGAAGGTCCTCGCTGGTGTGTTCGGAGTGGGCGACGAGTGGTTCGATCTTGAGCTTTTTGAGCTCACGGAGTTCTTGGTCTGTACGGTTGGAATGAGCGAGGAGGGTATCATAGTTTGCCTGGACAACTGCCATTTTCGAGTAAACTTGCTTGAACACACGTATGGCTTCGGCGACGTCGAGGCGTATATTCCCTGTTGGAAGCTCGTCATCACGGGGGGGCTGCGTCCAGAAGCCCTACGAGTGGAGTTTTCAGTACAATACATCGTAGAAGAGTTTTAGACCAACATACCTCGATTCCAGCATCGTGATCGGCTCGGTCTTGGTGGTCCGAGGTGGAGGTTTCGCGATTCATAGCTGTAAGAGAGGGGTCCTAGCATGATTGGTGACTGGGCTTGCTATTGTTAGCGATAATGAAAGGAACGTACTGGTGAGGCATCGTGTCTGGCCTTCTTGAGACGCGGTCCCGTACCCGCGGTGTTCTGAGACGAAGGAACCGGAAGATTATCGTCCTCAGAGGACGAAGAGGACAAAGGTGGCCGTTTGTTAGAAGTGGCTGGTCTAAAGGTGACAGACTTTGAGGTCGTCTCCCTTGACGCTGGGTCTCTTACCATAGCCGCACCGTCAGCCTTCCCATTCCCTTTCGGGTTGGACTCTTTCCCCTTTCCCTTGTCCGCTGCGAACGTGGCTTTCACTTTCCCCTTGGCGTTAGTGTCGCCGTCGTCGTCGTGACCAAATTGGCTGTTGGTCACTTGCCCCGGGCGCTTACCCTGGTTCCTGTCCTGCTTCAGCTCGATCTTCACCTTCGCTGTGTCCTTCACCCCCTTCTCCAGCTTAACCTTCACCGACCCATCCTGTATAGCCTTCTCCTTCCCTTTGACGGTTGACGAGGCTTTAGAGACTGTCGAGGGCGGGGCTCGCTGTAGAGGGATGGGATTGCTGTAGTGGGTCGACGGATTCTCTTTACGCTCTTTCTCGAGCTTCTTGCGTAGTTCGGAGTTAAGGAGGGGGGGGATCCGAGTGTGCTGGTGGTCGAGAGTGAATATGGCGTCCGGGATTTCTTGAGGACAATCAACATATTCCTGTGCATGGGTGAACAGCCAGGTATGGATCGCCGGTCCGAGATACTTCTCTTGCGCGAAACACTCTTTAATGCTTTGCTCGGAAACCTTGAACTAAAGACGAATAAAAAAGCTTGAACAGACTGGGAATATTGGAAAATAACACCAAGTGTCGTACCGAAGCAATCATCAGTTCAGCCGTCTTCTTGTTCCATTCTTCCCCCGAGGTCCAGGACGGTACCTCACGAATGAGGTTGTACAAGTGCTGAAGCCGGTTGATGAGTTTGCTGGAGGCTGAGGCGCGGATGGTGGTCGAACTCATGGCAGCGGAGGGTAGGGTATCACGTTTCAAGACTTGAAGCTGAGCTAAGGTGCTGAGAAGTGGGCGGTGGATGATTTGGAATGCGAGCGGAGAGCGGAGACTCGAGAGTGGAGAGCGGAGAGGACGAAGGAAATTTGTGGGTCCGCTGATCGATTGATCAATCAGCAGCCGTGATCTTTGCTCGGCTGACCCACGGCTATAGAGTCCGTAGGATAAACGCTCAGCTGAGGTTGACCGTTGCACGAGCATTGTGCTTGACTGGCGTGTAAGCTGACCCTCAAATATAGTGATCCTATATTCCAGGCTCAGCTGAGTACGGAGAAAGCTTCCCCCCTCGAAGTCACCTGAGCTGAGACTTGAATGTAAGGGAGTAGACTGCAGGGTAAGCTGAGTCGACGAATCTTCCGCTCAGCCTTGCTTCCTCTCAGCTGAGTGTTGTGTCGACAGGCTCTTTACGCGGGGCTCAGCTGAGCAGGGCTGCGACCCCGGATTTGCTCAGCTGAGGCATGGGCGTGAGGCTCATCGACGCTCTGCGACTGCCGGGTATGATAGACAGGCTGAATTCTAAGCGGTCTACTGCCTGTGCCACGTAAACATAACACGCTCGAAGTACCGCTTCTGAGCTGTATAGCGTTATTAGGAACAGGGTATTATTCACAGGAGTGGCTATTACATGTTCTGTTTTGCTTTATTTTACATAGAGCTTGAACAGACCCCTACCTACAGTACAATGGTCAATACATATTCAATGCAAATAATACATATTGAATGCAAATTAGTAGGGCAGGTGGAGGGTAAGGGTCTCGGCTGAGCGTTGAAGGTAGGCAGTGTCAGCTGACCCATGCGTATAGGAGGCAAATGGAGGGGAGGACAGAAGGATAGGGTCTAAGCTGACCCTATGATATAGGCAGGATGTCTGTCTCAGCTCGCTCCTCTACTTCACTGTCAAAGGGGAATATGACACTCCGGGCACCCACTGTATAAGGGGGAAATCTATGTAGCATTGTGGAGTGCCCTTCGCGAGTATTGAACGTTGTTGGGTTTTTCTTTTCCTGTAAGTCATCACTCCGTCACCTTGAAAGTCCCAGTTGAATCATAGTTTGTATTTTAGGCTTTCACGAAGTCTCTGCTGAGGGATGCAACTGCCAACACCCGGTTGAAGCCCTCGTACGCCACGGTCTCTTCCCTACCGCCCCCACCCAACCACGAATGGCCATCTACATGCCCCTATTGGATCTCTACAATGCAATCTTTGAGAAAACGTGCGACGCGATCTACGCCATTTCAGGGGCTTTACAGAACTTCTACGAGCGAAGGGGGTTTGTTCTACTCAATCGCAAGGTATGTAACCTTGGATTCATGCCTCAGGTCATCAGCTGATATTTTTAACAGAAGGAATACGCTAAAGACGGACTTCGCAAACCTTTCGGCTTGGCTGTGCAATGGTATGACCGTCTTATGGGTCAAGTTCGTACCCGTATGGATGCGGCACTCAAAGAGGCGGACGAGGCGGCACAAGAGTTCAGGAAAACGCAACTGTCGCAATCGAGCGAAGACAGAGGGGACGCCGACATTGTGCAAGCCCTTTCCAACATACCAACGCCGCCAACGCCCGAGACTCCCCCCGATGACCCGTCACCTTTGCCTGCCTCTGCCACTCCAACCCCTCCATCCCCTAGCCTCGTTCCCGGAGAGTGTGACCGTGTACTTCGAGAGTCATGCCCTGCATGCTTCGGTGGAGATGAGTTCGGCTTAACACTGGAGAAGTAAGTGTCTTTCGAATGTAAGCTGCGCTCAGGAACCTCAACTGACCATTTATGATTGAACCACAGTGGGGGCGATGCGATGATCGCCATCGATGGCAACTTCAATCACAGACATAACCGAGGAGTCAAGCACTGCCCTAAGTTTTACGAACCCGAGCACTTCCTCTCTAAGCAGTATGTGGATGCAATCGGCAATCGAATGAAGGAAGCCAGAACAAAACCAAAGCGCCAAGTCACCACGAAAGTCCCCAAAGAGGCGGTCAAAGCATGCCAAAAGTCCCATCAAGCGGGTAGTGGATCGAACGTCAAGACCTCGCTGCAGAAGTTCGACGCAGGAGGGGTCATGGCGGCGGTATGCCGCCATGACATTCCCTTGTTTGCTGCAAACATCGACACAGCCGGTGAACAACAGAAATTCGCGGTGGCTCTCATCGAAAAGATCGCGAGTCTCATGCCTTCGAATGCCACTATAGTCGTGCTATACGACGTAGGGTGCGTCCTGGATCGAAGTACGCAGCTGGTATGTCATTACATATATGTATATATATATATTTGTCACTGCTGCTCACAATTCCGATCAGCACCCTATCATGGATTCCCGTCTCACAGTTCGCCTGAAGTTCGTCACGAGTGCCATGCACGCGTACGCTCATCAATGGGCGTGCCAGCTCGGGTACAACCCCCGCCTTCAAGTCGGATTGGCGTTGACTGACGGAGAGGGGGTGGAGCGTATATGGTCTTGGCTACGCCGTTTGATAGCGATTCAACGCAATTGCTCCGTAAGCCACCCTTCCCACTCCAAAGTGATTTTGACCGACCTTCTTCATAGGCTGAGAAACGCATCTGGCTCCTCGATCGACAAATGCACTACATCAACAGGGCGTTGCGCGATGAACTAGGCGATATCATTCGACGCCGGCTCACGAAATCCGTTCCGAAGCAGGAAGAAGACGCCCTTGCTATTCTCGACGACATTGAAATCCTCAGGGACGAGCTTGAGAGACATCATCCTTCTCCTCCCCGTTTCAATGGTTCGGAAGGGTCTGGATTGGGCGTGAGCTCCCTTGCACCTGCCCGTGTTCCCCCTCAAAGCAACACACTTCCGTCGGCCCAGCATACAACCACCCTCTTCCCAAACGCGCCTCGCCTAAACCCATCCCCGTCGGCGAAGAAAACGCGTGCCATTCTCCATCGCCAGAGGTCGGTCCCTCTAGCCTCACTGGAGACCACCCGCCCGGACACCAGCGCAGACAGATCTGCGAGCGTCCCACCGGATTTGGCAGAGGAGGAGAGGTCTACACCTGTCGACAGCATCTTCGGGGATAAACTCAAACCCATTGCACCAGGGTTGGAGAGTAGGAGGGGACAGGGGTCCACCCTCAACAGTCATGGTGCCTTGGCGCCGATACACGAAGAGGGGACCCACGAGAACCGTGAGGAATGGAGCGTGGAGCAGGCAGGCTTCGAGGATCTGGAGGGCGGTGGCGCCGAGTGGTTTGGCGATGAGGAGATCGGGAAGGCGCATCAGGGTCAGAAACCATCCATCCCTCTTTTCGATTCAGATCCACAGCCCAGCCGCACCGAGGCCCAATCTCCTTCGCAGCTAGCCACTATGGGCCGTCCATCCGCGGAACAGTCTCGCCTCATGCAACAGGGCTTTGACCGCATTGAGGAGCAATTCACATCCCTTGCCAATGAAATAGGGTACCCCGTCGCCAGGGTCAAAAACATCTGGGCCCAGAGATTCAGAATGCTCACCACAAAACCCAGAGGCGGTAACGGCGTCAACCACTACAACGTGTACGGTCAACTGTGGGGAGACCCGAAGATGAAAGAGAGGGAGATCAAAAGGGCACTCGAACATCGTGCCACGCTCAGCCCAGAGAAACAGAAGGCGCTGAACCCAGAACCGAGCAGTGAGTACATTCACTCGACCTACCGATTGTGTTCGACTTTAACTGGGTTTGTTTTAGGGGCCGAATGCTACGCTGTGTATCGTCAGTACCATCAGGAGGAGTTTTGGAAGGACATTCTCCAGCTGGAGGTGGCCGAATTGGAATGCAAAGAGCGGGAAACCGTCACTTTACAAACTCGGAAAGTCAATTTCGAGTCCACCAAGACGTCCGTTTGTAATGTTCTGGACAACGCCTCTCGGCTTCACGAGTTCGAGGCCGTCGTCATACTCTCTGGGGCTCACCATTCCGACAAAAACCTGGTGTTTGTGTACGAAACCGAAGGCGTTCAGGGATTTGTGGAGGACAGACTGAAAACTACCCACAACAATCTCGGAATCAGGCTCCAAGTACATGCAAGGTACTGTCATCGAGAGTCTTCGTTTCTTCCGAGCCAGCTGACGTGCTCTCCAGTGACACCCTCGAGAAGAAAAGGCCGTTCAACCTGTTTGAACAGGAGGCCAAGGCGAGCGTCATCACGGACGGCGAGGTCGAACAGAATCAACAGGTGCAGGCGTCGGGTTCCACGAGTGGAAATGCTGCATCCAAGCCTAGGAACTTGAAGGCATCGAAGAAGCCGGATGAGGATGACGATGAAGAAGAAGACGACGACGACACCGGCGCCACCAAAACGATCAGTGACGAGCAGTTTGCGCAAATGGGTTCCAAGGAGTTACATGCCGTTATTAGAGATCACCTGTCGCGCGAGATACGTGGGTGTATAGCTACTCGGTTACACGAGTCATTACTGACCTTCATGCTTGTCTAGGTGCCTTGCCTGAGTTCGCGCGCGAGAAGGAATGGAAGGTCCTGCATTGGAGGAGGTTACCGACCTTCCTAGCCAAACGTGGTTTGGTACTGACGAAGTGGAATCCCCACGCCAAAGTTCCTGTTAGTGGCGACGACACGGGAAAGGGCATTCGGGAAGCAGGTCCACACTGCTCGCGATACCTCGCTAACGATTGTCGCCATGGTCGGGGTGTAAAGCCAGTTAAGGCGAACAAAAATGGTACTTCATGACTACCCTGAATTGCCCTTTCAACTACTAACCATTTTGATAGACGTGCTCCGCTCTGTATTGCCTGTCATCGTCTTTCGACCACCAAAGATTTCGTCTCGCCCTTCGGCACGAGGAACCAGGGTCTTCCTCGATGGTTCGGTTGACTCCCTTGGACCTTGCTCCCTGGACAGCGACGACTACATCGGTCCTCCCCGTACAGCCATCCCCACCCCAAAGACGACAGTGGCAGCCTCAACCTGTACTGCGAAACCCAAGCCGAAGCGCAAACCTGAGCCAGCGCCACCACCTTCACCTGCACCAAAAGCGAAGGCGACAAAGAGCAAGGGCTCCAAGCCTGCTGCCGCCTCGGCCAAGAAAACTACAAAGAAATTGGGGGCTTCCAAAGCAACTACGAAGACGAGGAAGCCCACTAAGAAGTCTGCAAAACGAAAGCAGGTCGGGGGAGGAGGTGCTGCGGCGGGGTCCACGAGCTCTTCCGACGCATCAGAGTCTGAAGAGGAGGCTAGTGAGATCGACTTGGACAGCGACGATGCTTCTGGCAGACCAGGCAACCCCTCCCGTTCGCGTTCGGCAAACGTGCGACCACGGCGTAGCTCTCGGAATGAAGGACGAAACTACAAGTCGAAGGCCATCATTAGCACATCCGACGATGAAACATCCTCCGCCGACTCAGACGACGACGACGACTACAAATCAAGTGAGGTTGACTCCGACTGTGGCGGGAAGAACGTCGCTCCTGTATCGGATGGGTCCGATGTCGACGAAAGGGACGAGGAAGTTGATCCACTGGTCCAAGCAGAGGAAGGCCGTTCATGGATGGGACTCAGGACGGATGCTGTTGACTCGGCCAAACCACAATCATCGCAGGTCCCAGGGGTGGGTGCAACCAGGCCGGCAACGGCTATTCCGACTCCAGAGGGTGGGGCCGGTCCTAGCAGCTCAGGACCACTGGACAGCAACCCTTCTGGCGCTGTCGTCGTTCCCTCAAAGCGGTCTGCAAATGGGGACTCCGAGGGACAGAACCGCGTCAAGAAGCCTAAATGCGGGACAGCTCCACCGGTAGAAGGAGAGAGCAACGACTCTGCGCTGGCCACTGCGCAAGAAGATCATCGACCCCGGGCGCCGTGTACCACAAATAACGATATGCCGCCACCGTCTTCTGCACCAGTTCACGACACCAACCGTCCCAGTTTGCCTCCCTCGTCATGGGGAGCGCCTTCGTCCTTCCCTGAGCACGGGAGAGACGGTGTGTTTACTGGCAGTGGCACGTCTCATCTTGCTCAGCGACAGCCTTCTTCTGGACCTCCGCATTTGCCTCACCACTCCATTCCGCCCCAAGTCGGCCAGCATACACAGCTTCATCCTCAAGTCTCGCATACCCTCCATCCTCCGCCCCACAGTGTTCATCCCCTCCAATCACACCATTCTTCCCATCCCGTGCATCCGCCTCGTCACATGTACTCAGATAGGTACTCGGGAGATTGGGGATCGGCTCCGCAGCAGCTTCGAAACCAGGACGCGTGGTCCCAGGGGTCCTACGGTCAACGTTGGGAGGGTCACCAGCAGTACTCCCAGGATCCTCTGTCTCAGGTTCCTCAGAGCTTCACGGGATCGCAGCCCCCTGCCAATGGCACGTCGAATCAATGGCCTGCAATGCAAGATTATTATGATCCCCGGTATCCTCCATATGCATCAGCGAACATGTACCCGCCTTCTTATCAGCCGGAACCGAGCCACCAGCCCACCCAGTACACGTACGACCAGTTCAACCCGAGCTACAATCAACATCCGGAATCGACATCTATGGGCCACCCGGGCCAGCCCCCTCGTTCAGGTCGTTGAGGAGGATGCTAGTATCATTTGGTGTTTTGCTCAAGGTATGTTTCTTCCGTCGTCGCGTGCCTTATCCATCTAACAGTCTGTCCTAGCCCCAAGCCTTTCGTTTGGACCATCCTTTTTGGGCCATCCCTTTTGAATCATCTCCCCGCCATTCTTGACTGTTTCCTGGACAATGCCTGATGTCGCTTATTTATGACGGATAATTTTGTTGTCCTCGTTGTATGCATTTGGACTCTCGTATCTCTACCCCTAGCCTATCTCGTTCTTGAAATAGATTTCTTGCTTTCTTGATCTCGCTGGATTTGGAATGTGAGGTGTAACTTTGAGAAATGGTCCTATTTCAATACATGACATGTTAACAAAGCATACGTGAGACGGGATCTACAGTTGCGACAAATGAGTCGGAACCAAGGAGAAACAAACCTAGTCGGAAATGCGCAAACTGAGAGGTCGTTCTAACTATAAAAAGAAACCTATACTTGTGCGACAAATGAATGGGAACAAAGTCGATACCATGCAAGTGGGAAATGCGAAAAAATTGCAAATTAAAATTTTCGAAGACACACTGAAATGTCGTTCTAAGAAAACATATCTAGTCACTGCTCTCGGAAAACATACAATATCTTTCTTGGAGAACTTCCGGGGGGACGTATACGTTGACAGAGGTTTGATGGCAATTGCTACGCCGTGGTCCATTGCATCATTGGACTGCCACTACACATGCAGCCGCGCCCTCACACCTTCACGCTGCATCCGACTCTATGTTGAGCTGCTTTTTCTATTCTAGTTCTATTCTGCGGCCCACCAATCCAATCAAAGACATGATACGCCGTGATACGGTGAGGACGCTGTGTTTGATGCACTGAGGCGACATAATGCTGGTAGCCCGCGCATCACTCGGCCCGGGCATCATACTCGAGCAGAATGAGCGCGGTACCATCAGCGCAAATGAGCACTCCCGCTCCCCTGCACCCCCTGCCCGGCTAACTGCGCGGCGAGCGATCCTAACTGCATTAGGGATATAGGGAAACTGCCTTTGAGCAGTTCCTCTCGTAGCCCCCTTGTGCCCCATACAAAGATATGGGCATTTAGCCTTCACGTGACCTATAGGCAGGTCAAACTGCGTGCCCTGGGGTGGGTGCACCGCTCTTTCATATCCACGATGGTTTGGCCTTCACTCCAGACTTTGTTCCTGCGATCAAATTATTCGCCCTGTCCTTCTTGCCTTTCTTACTCTCGCGCACCAGTTCCCTTATTCACGAATCGTCGATTAATCGCGGTGAGATCATCTCGTCTTACCTGAATCTGACTCGACTGGCTTCCGCTTCAGTCCAATTGCGGTGCGAAGACGATTTTTACTGTATACATTCGCAAACGGTACCGGGGAACAGGTTAAGTAGTAGTTCGATAGTAGCAGGTGATGGGGCGATAGTGCGCTGCATTTAGATATTTTATGTTCAGTTTATGTGTGCGCAATTTAACCGTATGTAAGTATCATATGTACGAGACTCGAGTGAGCCTTTTTTATGATCATGCACAGCGAACAAAGTCCTATCAAATTTGATTTTGAGTGACGCTGTCGTCTGAATTGGAACTAGCTTGGAGCTAGGTTAGAGCCAACCTGGAACCAGCTAGGGGTGTACCTGTCCAGTTGGAAACTTCATGTCCCCGGCCGCCCGTGCTCGAGGCTGAAATTGCAAGGGTCCCCGTCCTCCATTGCTGCCATGTGCACAACATGTTCTTTTGAGCCTTCGTTTGATCGAAGGTGATAACTAGGGCCAGGTAAGTGCCAGTCTAGTTCTCGCCTAGTTCTGACCTGGTGGACAGCGTCGCATCAAAATTTATTGGACAGCACTTTGTTCGCCGTGTGATGCATCATGATATGAGTACGCCAAGAGCCTCAAGTCGGAAGCGCCCAACTTGAACAACCGCCCGCACGTTTTCGGCCGAGAACGCGCCCAGCCCCGTTCCTTGCACTGATGCCAAGCTGATTGCCATCTCCGAATTTGGCGATAATGACCTCATTCCAATCCGATCGATTCTATCAGTGCCTTCGTCACCCCTTCTTATCAGCGACGCGCCGTTCCTCATAACGATTTTTTTGCGTCTTCACTTTCGACCATCATCATCACTGGCACTGTCCTCAATCGGAAAACCGCAACATAGATTTCAGATAAAACCGTAACGACGACCTCAACGATGACGACTGTAGCTGAAGGACCAAAGCTGACGACTGAGCGGGTGCCTATTAAGAATAAGGTCTGCTTGATGTGCGTTCTTCATAATATAATCTGCGAGGAGTCTTTGAACTGGACTAACGGGTGTGTGGTCAATAGCGTCCACGATGGATGGGGAATTGCGCCCAAGGAAGGGATGGAGGGCAACGCCATCGAAGCTGGCGAGACCCATTTTATGGATACCATCGCCAAGGACCACTCCTACCGCACCCTGCGAGCCAGCGGGACCGCGGTCGGGTTGAGCGAGGGGTTGATGGGTAACAGCGAGGTTGGGTGAGTAATCGTCTTTTCTCTATTGACCTGCAAAGGGCTTCGTCATTGATTTGGTGAATAGACATTTGAACGTTGGCGCTGGGCGTGTTGTGTGGCAGGATATCGTCCGCATCGACGTGGCGATCAAGAAGAAGCAGTTCCACGAGAACCCGACTATCCTCGAAGCGTGCAAACGCGCCAAGGAGGGAACTGGGCGATTGCATTTCCTCGGTTTGGTGCGTCTCCTCTTCCTCCCTCTTCCCTGCCATCCAAAACCCTAACCCGTGCGATGTCACTCTAGATCTCCGACGGCGGCGTGCACTCACACATCACGCACCTCTTTGCCCTCCTCGAGACCGCCAAGGAACAAGGCGTGCCAGAGGTGTACATCCACTTCTTCGGCGACGGCCGCGACACCGCCCCGCGCTCCGCCACCAAATACATCCAGCAGCTCGGCGAGTTCACGGACGAGCACAAGGTCGGCGAGCTCGCGACCATCATCGGGCGGTACTACGCCATGGACCGCGACAAGCGATGGGAGAGGATCAAGCTGGCGGTGTTGGGTTTGACGACGGGAAAGCCTGAGGAGGAGGGTAAGAGCTTTGAGAGTGTGCAGAAGGAGGAGGGGTGGAAGGGTGCTGTGACTGTTGTGGATGAGAATTATAAGAAGGATGTTACGGATGAGTTTTTGAAGCCTATTGTGGTGAATGGGGAGAAGGGACGTGTTAGGGACGGGGATACCCTGTTCTTCTTCAACTATCGCAGCGATCGTATGCGCGAGATCAGTAGTGTGTTTGGTGGGTTGGAGGAGATTGAGGGTTTGACTGTGCCCAAGGATCTCGTATGTGCTCTTCGTGTTTCTGTTTACGTTTAGTAGGCGGCTAATGTGTTGGTTACAGGGTATCTTCACGATGAGCCAGTACAAGAAGGAGTTCCCGTTCAAGGTTGCATTCCCGCCTCAGGCAATGACGAACGTGCTCGCCGAATGGTTGGCCAAGAAGGGTCTCAGGCAGGCCCACGTTGCTGGTAAGTATCGCGTTCTATTCCCGGTTCTCTTTCACTAGGCTCTGGAGTCCGTGTCTATCCGAGTTCATCGGTGGACACCATCTCTCATACACGTCTGGACTACGTGACGCGTTGAGGAGACCACCTAACCTCAGGCCATATCCTTGCCTTCTTATTCCTTGACTCAGAGACGTACAAATACTGACCCTCGACCCCTACCCCGATTCTAGAAACCGAGAAATACGCGCACGTCACGTTCTTCTTCAATGGTGGTGTGGAGAAGCAGTTTGAGGGAGAGGATAGGTTCATGATTCCTTCGCCCAAGGTTGCTACGTGAGTTGGTCTCTCTCTATCCTTTTCGGTGATCCATCGGTGTCGATGTTCTGGCTATGTTCTTCGCGCACATACGTCTCTTTTCGCGCCCACGCCCCTCACCATCCTTGTTCCCGATCTCTTCGCCTTTTTGAACCCTTTCCTTTCTGGCTCTGTCGTCTACCTTTTGAGAGGGGACGTCGTTGGGTTGGGTACTACCGTCCAGTCTGGTCCCATTCTGGTCTCGGCTCCTGCGTCCTCTGGTGGACGTGCGACACGGGGGTGGTGTTTCCTTCTCCGAATACCTCTGTGGTGCCTGTGTCCTTGTGTTGTAGTCGGATTCGACCCTTTTGGTGGTGATCGAGGTGTCCGATTCTTTCATCGTATTCGTGGTCGAGACTTCCGAATCTATCGTCCTCTGCGATAGATGTCTCGGGCTGGTCACTGGTCGACCCTTCCATCCTGGTGGTGGCTGGCTATTCCATCGTTGGCGTCGTCGTCCTCGACCTTTGTTCTCTTTTCTATTTCCTCATGACTACCGCCCATCTACCACGTTTTCCTTGCTTCTAACACCTTTCCCTATAAACTTGCCTACATCAATCTCGGTTATACATACTGACATGTTATGCGTTACAGATACGACCTCGATCCCAAGATGAGCGTCCATGGTGTCGCTGAGAAGGTGGCGGAGTTGTTGGATAAGAACGAGTATGATTTCGTGATGTGTAACTTTGCTCCTCCTGATATGGTGAGTGTATCGCCCTTTTTTGTGATATGGCTGCTTCTTCGGTGTGGTGTGGGTGTCGAGGGGATCGTGGCGGTCGTTCCACCCTTTCGTCATCCTCGTCCTTCCTCGATGCATGTATCCTCGCTTCATGTTTCTTGTTTTTTCCCATTCCATTCCCACGTCGCCGTCGCCGTCGTGTTCCTACCTCACTTGTTGCATTCTCGGTTTCTTTACAATCGCGACTAATCACCACTTTCAACTTACAATTTCGACTAATCACCACTTTCAACCACTCCTCCTCACGTCTAGGTTGGCCATACTGGTGTTTACGACGCTGCTGTGACTGCCATCACTGAGACTGATAAAGCTGTTGGCACGATCTACAAGGCTGCGGAGAAGAATGGGTACATTTTGTTGATTACTGCTGATCATGGGAATGCGGAGCAGGTGAGTGATTTTGTTGGTTTTGAGGTTGGGATTTTGGTTTTTTGGAGGGAATTGGGACTTTGGATCGCTGGTGGTTGGTTCGTCGTGGTTCGTCGTGGTTATGCCGTGCTTGGTTGTGGTTAGGTGTTGGATGGGATTTTGGATAACGGGTGGATTGGAGGTGTGTGAGTGGTGTCGTGGTGGTTGTATATTGGTGGTGCTGGTTGGGTTTACGGGGCTTCGACATCCGGGTGGAGGGGTTGTGGATTACTTGCAAGGTGGGGCGTGGTACGGTAGGGGCTGGACCGGGGATTGTGTCATGGGGGCTGGGCGTTGGGTTGGACACGTTGGCATGTCGTCCCTGCTGTGGGGCCAGGGGTGATGAACTTCCCGCGGTAGACGGTGCCCTCGTGACCGCACAGAGTGTGGCGTTGAAGGGGGCCATCGAATGGCAGATGCGAAGGGTGTCTGGGACTTGGGCTTTCTGGTGCTGGTGCGATCGGGATAGACGTGTTGTTGTCGTCCTGATGTGTGCCTGCTATCGCGCATCCAAGATGCATCTTTTCACGACCTTTCATCTTTCAAGACCATTCGCGGCGCGACCCACGTCCAACAGCCGTGGCGACTAAGAGTTGCATGGCTTGTACTCTACGTTTCGCTTCTGACTTTTTTTTCTCTATCTCGTGTTTTATGACGTGGCTTCGATCTTGCCGTTTCTGCCGCTGTCCCAAATTTCCTGCCTCGATTTTTGCGTTCCTGACCTGTTCCCACATTTCCATTTCTGACCCTGTCCCGAATTTTCGTTTTTCTGACTCGTCGTTTAATTTTTTTTTTTTGTTTATAGATGAAAGACCCGAAGACGGGTAACCCCCATACGGCTCACACGACCAACCCTGTTCCGTTCATTATGACTGGAAACCCCAAGGGCGAGAAGGGAGATGCGAAGACGTTGAAGTTTGCTGATTTGGTACGTGGTTTTCGTTTTCGTTTTCCTTTTTCGACTCGCCTCCAATACACCGTCCTGACTACCTTTACTTTGAAACAGCCCGAAGCGAAGCCAGCAGGGGAGGACGAGGCTGAGGATGATTCGCCCGCGTTGGCTGATGTTGCGCCTACGATTTTGGATGTGATGGGGCTTGATAAGCCTGAGGATATGAGTGGCAAGTCGTTGTTGGCTAAAGATTAGAGGGTTTTCCGGGGGGTGGGGGTTAGAGATGGTGTCGGTGGTGGTGAGGGGTATGGATTAGAAAGAGGACGGTTGAAAGGAAAGCGAGGGAGAAAGGGGAGTGGAAAAACGAAAGATAGAAGTGTACAATCTTGTGTAGACGTGTAATGTTATCTTGTGAATCGTTCTTACCGCGCTTGTTCGGCGGGTGCTCGGACGCTTGGGCGCCCAAGAGCATACATAACCCTAAAGCGTGAAGTAGCCGTGTTGTAAACTTGGGTGTAATTCCTAACCACTCGAGATCGTAAATAAAGACATCGAAGGATAAGATTAAAACAGGAGCTTCGAATGGAGACGCGTTAAGGCGATCCAAGCGATGTGACGAGGACATACGGGGAGCAGGGATGGGGCGCGCCATTGAGTCATGGACTCCCCATGGGAGCCTACGAGAAAGCAACTATAGTCTATTGTAATGGTACCGCGACCCGAAGACTTCTTGACAAACGCAACCGGCGAGAGAACTGAAGCAGTTGTGAGATGAGAACCTGGTCGGGTAGTTGGGGGAGAACCCTGCTGAAGAAGTTCGTGCGTCTCTTTGGGGTTTTCTACTATAGCCTTTGGACTTTTTTTGGGGTCCACGTTTGGATCCATTCTGAGTGGTGAAGTGGGGGTTCGCGCATCTCCGGAATGGGTGTACGGCGCTATGTTCTAGGACAGTACTGAAGCCTCATGATGATGAACATGGGTATCAGTGCGCACTGATGACAGTTGACTTCCGACTGTCCGAGGAGGAGTCCTCGCTCGACGAATGAGAAAATGGGGAAAGTGAGCCATACATTTGTATAGAGATTTCCATTGTAGAATTCAAGTTCGAGTGCTTGATCATGTTGGGCCTTTGTTAGGGTACCGGTTAGTTTGCGCAGGTGACGTTACAGCAGCTCCGTACGATACATGGACCTGTGGACTGATGTGGGAAGGTGGTGAAGGAGGGACGTCGATCACCAGTAGCCACTGGCCAGCCGTGAGTCATTTTTTTTGGCGTTGACTGTGCATACCTGGAAGTTTCATTCGCGCAGTGCAAATGGCGCAGCTGACCTGGCTTAACAGCTGCAACCTATGTGCAGGCAGTGGGAAAGTGGTTTTATAGTCGTAATATGTATATGTAGTTCCTCTGGACCCTATCTATTGACCCTATACCACCCTCATACTATGATTTAATCGTAGCTCACTTAGCCTTCTTCCCGTTCGGAGCCTTTGAAGATCGTGCTGGCTGTGCCTTCTTTGCCTGTGTGTGTGCTTTTGGACGGCGCTGGGCGGGTCCTTTCGTCGGGGCCTTTCCAGGGCCTCCTTTACCGGTGGGTTGGGTGCCCTTCTTGGCAACAGCTAGCTTCTTCTTCTGCTTTACACACGCAGAGGCATTCTTGAGTCCTCGGAGGGTTAGATCTGATCCTGGGGTCGTGTTTGGATCGAGGCCGCATAATGTGATGCTATTCCCGTCAGTTGAGGCTTTGACGCATTCCTTGTGCGTATTCCAATACGCGAGGAACTTGTCGTAGTTTTCTTGACTGAGGTATCCTTGTTCCTTCAACCTCCCGAGCCCTTGCATTATCCAACCGAAGCAGTTCTCCCATCCTGCTTCGCACCCTGGTTGATTGGGGCTCTTTGCTTGGATGATGGAAACAACAGCCTCTCTGAGCGCTTGCTTGTCCGGTTTTCCATTCAGAAGAAGGGGGGGCGTTGACAGCGACTTCAGTTTTCCGTACGCTGTGGTCGCGAGCCCGCTGAATGAATTCGCCCCTGCCCGTCCTGCGTGTCAGCAGTCCACCACACTCAGCTTGTAGAAAACATTCACTCACTCGACGATGCAGGCCTCATAAAGAGTTGCCATTTTTATCTTTCCCGGCGGATCTCCTTGGTCGTGAACGAACACGCAGAAGTGCCATCTGTCGCTCTCTCTACTCGTTTCCCGAAGTGCGACGTATAAATCTGCTCCGTACAAATCAGGCCCTCAGCTCAGTATCTCGATGGTGACCCGTAAAGAGAATCACAGACCATTGGATGTCCCCGCCACTGGTGCTCCATTGGAGCATACGACGAGGGCAACTATCGCAACAGCGATGACTTTGAAAAGACTGACGAACATAGTGCTTTTGGGAGTGCGGTGGAAGGTGACGCAGTGGGCCAGCCACTGAGTCGAGATAGAAGGGGTTGAGTGAACGATCCAGCTCCAGGCTTGCCTTGAATCATCCCCGACACTGGCTTTTATAGCCGTTATTTTATATGCACATGTATTGGTAGGTGTGGTTCCTGTGTACTACGAAGGGCCGCAGGCTGACGACTGAAAGTTTCGTTACCTGGTACAATCAATCTAGATGATACATACATACTATAACATTGGCTACTTCCAAATTTCACCAACTTTGAAAAGCATAATACCGGAAATTCTACCGTACCACCTGCCCATGGAAGTTACTCTTCACTAGGTTTACCTTTTCCGAATCGGATAACGTTGTTATCCCCATTTGCGGTGGCAGCATTCCCACTCGAACAGCTTCGATGATGCTCCGCTGGGTAAGGACAGACATTGTCAAATTACAGCACCGGTCCTCGAGCGCTTGTGGATATGTGGGCGTTGCCGTGGGTGTATCATCTGTATTCGTATAAGTATGGTTCTCGTAACTGCTTCCAAAAGCTCCTTGACAGGCCGCTCACCACGCGGAATTCTTGGGCGGTCTGCGTCCTCGATCGACAGCCGTGCATCGAATCCAACCAGATCCCATTCCTCTTCGCGCATTTCTCGTTCTGAATTTGCCCTAAACCTACCACCACACCATGTCCCACCACAAAGTGAGTGCTTGTTAGTCCATCCAGGCGAAAATCGGGATAATGAGCTCGTACCCAGGAGGCGCTCCCGCCTGAGCTGAGGCTTCGCATCCTATTCTTCTGTTCAAAGCCATCTTTGCCTATTCTAGCGCGCACAGAACAGCTGTTAAAGGTCCCAGCGGAGAGATTGCTCTACGATGCGCTGTCCCTCGATTGCCGCCTACGCCGGTCGAAATTACTGCTTCAAACGATAAATAGTTGCCTTGAAAAGGCTGCTATGGTGCGCAGACTACACATAGCGGTCGCGAATACAAGCCCAGAGGTTCTGACTCTCCTTTCGTCTGCTCTTCGGGGAATGCCGGGGCTTATCAGCTTGGACTGGGAGTGGTTTCCTTACCAAACGTCCAACGAAGAACCCCTCACACCCACTACCTACAAGGGTCTCCGTCAGATGATAATGTAGGTAGTGGTTGATCAAAAGATGACGCTACTTCCCGCTAATGGTCTTCTTACAAGAAACTCGACGACAAACATCAGATATTTCATGTATTCCTACGCATCAGGAATCCGTTTTGCTGAGGTCCTTCGACAGAACCCATCGATCGAGATTCTTGGAGTCCACAACGAGCGAGACAGTGCAGACGACGACCTGATTCTCGATCTCAACCCCATATTCCAACCAAACGAGAACTGGGAGCGCGTTGCAGCGAGGCCCTACAGCCTTCTCGAGCTACCTCGTCCACCTCCTCTGATCTTCTATCTCAACAAACAGAGCACGGACCATCACTACCCGGACAATCGGTGCCATGGTTTGGACATCAAACCATCGCTTTTTTCTGAAGGGAGCAAAATCCAACTCGTGTTCATACCCGGTGTGTACGCTCACCGCCGGGAAAGGCTGGGGATGATTGAACGAGTCGCGAGCTACTTGGACGAGCATGGGTCGTTTGACGGAACGAAGGATTGGCGAGGGGACGTTGCAACGGTATCGGTGCTCTGGTTGCAGTTGCCACCCCTGGAAGAGGTGTTTCCGTTCCTTGACAGCTTACGAATCCAGTTTCCTTCCATATCCAATCTCGAGGTCCGGTTCCAGACTCCGTTCGATTTGGCAAGTCCTTCTGGATGTCTCCGCAAAGTTAGAGCACTCAACTCACACTCACACCTTCCAGGCCCTCAGAGACAGTGTATACGCGTGCCTAACATCCGCGTTGACAGTATTCTCTCGGTCCCCCTACTTTGAGAAGTTCTCGGCAGATCCATGGGCATGCGGAACGGGGCAGAATCCCAATCCCCCAGAGATGAAGCTAGGGGTTGAACGAAGCATGAAGATCACGCAGGAATGGGGAAGGATATGTTCCAATCTGAGATGTGTACAGGTCGACCTTGGAAAAGAGTTTGTGCGCCCTAGCACGGGGGAAGAGTGGATAATGGTTTGTTAGTCCTAATACACCTACTCTAATTTTTCAAAAGATTATCTTTGAAACGGTGAGAATACGCGGCGCACTTCCGGACGTGATGTCAGGCTTAAGTAGGTGTTTGGCTACCGTTTGCGCTTGCTTAGCTACGCGCTTTCTTTGTTTGGCTGTGCCTTCAGACTGGTGTGGCCTCTTTCCCTCCTCGAGCGCGTACTAGGATATTTCTTTGCAAAAGCGAAGCCTGAATCAACTCAAAGCCCGGCTTTTGTAAGGCCACGGTCCTCACCAAGGCCTCGCACGTTGAGCTTCAGCCTTCAGTAGCCCGTCTGGCGCATGTTCCCAATGTTGCCTAATGTCATAGTTGGTTGTAGTTGGCTGCTATCCCCTTTGCGACGGTGAGTTTCCCACTCGAGCGCTCGTGGAGATAAGGAGAATTACATAGTTCGGCGCCGGTACTCGAGCGTTTGTGGGTATGTGGATGTTTCCTGTGGGCATGTGGCATTGTTGTACCGTCTCTTCTTGAACTTCCCCGTCAAACCTATTACTTCCTTGACAATCTGATTACCACGCAGAATTTCGCAATTCCGCAGAGCTCTTGGGCCGTCTCCGTCCTGGACCGACAGTTAGGGACGTACCGAGTTCGAGGTGATCCTTGCCATGTCCCACCAAGAGGTAAGCGTTCTTAGTCTAACCAGGCCATAACTCATAGAGAGTGAACTCATATGCAGGCCAGTTCTGGATTTCCTGGGATACTCGCCATAGACATCCGAGGACGTTCGAATTTGTAAGTCGCCAAAAAGACACCATGCACTCTACGCGCGAACACTAATATAACGACATTCATGATCTAAGCATAGAGCACGCGATCACTGCTGAGCATACAGAGCAAACAAGTGTCAACGCAGCGGACACCGGTTTGAGGAAATAAATAATATGAATAGTATCTATCAAGTGAGGGTGACATCACTGGTCCATTCTAAACGCTTTGCCTTCGCACCGCTTGTGGCTTTTGTGCACGTATTTTCCCCCGTTCAACAGGGGGTATCCGAGACGGTGCACTGACCGCCTTCTTGGTTTTTGGACCAGAAGCCACGCCTCGAGGCAGCTGCTCTCCTTTCCCTCCGCGTTTACCTCCTCCATTAGCTCCCTTCGTCTTTGCCGGTGGCAATTTGGGAGTGGACTTCCCAGCAGTTCCAGGTTTGGCAAAATTGCCATACGGTGTACTTCGGTGCACCGTCGTGCAGGCGGTCCATATCGCTGGGTTCATCAATGTGCGAACCTCATTCCTATATGTGTAGTAGAAGTTAGTCCAGGCGTTTAATGCGCTGGCAGTGACGAAGCCATTGTGGTGAAGTTTGGATAATGCCAGATACGCCCAGTCCAGACAGTTGGTCCACTCTGTCCGGAGGTCCCTTGTAGGCGGAATAATCTCGTTACTCCTAAGAACACTTTCTACTTGGCCCTGTAGTGTCTCGATATCCCGCGCTTGGTATGGGTTTTGTATAGGCTTTATGTGGTGTAGATTGCGCCGATACAACCTTGCGGTACGGCGATGGTGAGCAAGTTGTTGTCTCTGCCCTTCCCTGAACGTTCAGCCATACCGATTAGCACGTTTCATGTTTTTAGTGAGTCGGATGAGTGAAGAACCAACATTGGAGGTGTGAGTACAATCTCATGAATAATTCCATGAACATATTCATCTCCGACCTGTGTACCAGGATACCATTGCGCCGCTCCCGCATATAATGCAATGGAGAAGTGCCACAGGCCTGCCTGTTTGTGGTAGGTCTCTCGCATGGCTACTAATAGAGCTGAAAGAAAGCCGTCAGTCGCTTTCCATTGGGACAAATTAGCAAAGGAAGAGCGCATACCGCATTGGGCACCTGTGCTAAACAGCACAGTGGACACGAAGAAGAGAAGAGCTCGAAGGGAAACCATTACAACCGCAACGCCGATGTAGATGGACCATGGTTAGCTTTGGCACGGGCATCGGTTTTTAAACGCTAGGATCGTGTACCCAGTAGATCCATTTGTGCGTTTGCCATTTCATCACAGAGCTTGAGAACATTGCCTTTGGTGTACGTCCGTCTCCAGGCAGTACGAGAATATGGTACAAATAGTAGTAATAAACGCCATAACGCTTGCTTCCAGCGCTGCGCATGGTTGTAAGCTGTGCGCATCCACTGTCACCTACGAAATACGTGTTTCTCAGCTGCTCTCGCTTCACGTACTCTGTGCCCCACTCTCCGTGCTTGAGGCAACTATTCACCTTCACTCAGAGAGTTCCTTCCTATCAATAAACATCGAATCTACTGAAACTACGTACTAGAGGGCGGACCGGAAGTCCGGAGAATGAAAAGATCCACCGGGATCAGCATGGTCACGGTGCATGTGTACGCTTCAAGAAGGCCGCCGAGGAGCCCACATTTCGAAGAATCCAGACATATCTGATTTAGAGTAAGTCAGCAGTAGGGTGCTCACAGCACTCCCGATCAACCGCTCGTCTCATGCTGTATCTCACCGTAGGTACACAGTGGAATAAGCAACCCTTTCTTGTCGGAAGTAGATAAGCTAGTGATTTCTAGTGATTTGCAGGATCCACGTCCCTCCACCTCAGTCCACAGCGCCCAGGACAGCATCCATCTTGTTATCGACGTCGTAGATATGGCACTTAAGGATAAAGTGAGTCTTTTCTTACCTTCTTCGGAGAGCGCTGCTACTGAGATATGCCTAAGACCATCCTACCCCTAGAACTCCGTTCTCGCATCGTCGCGGCTACTCAATCAAAGTCGACACTCGCCAGACTCGCTCTCGTGGAGCGAGCGCTCACCAGACCCGCGGAGCATTCCTTATACCGGTCATTGTCCCTAAAAGACACTGATTCTCATTCAATCGCCCTTCTGAGCACCCTGCGGGTAAACCACAACAAGTCCAGTTTGGTCAGAAACATCAAACTCGAGTTTACGGACAATGTAATACTCTCTAGCTTTATCGACGCGATTCGAACGGGAATAGGGAATACCGTTTATCTGGAGCACTTGACTGTCTTGGGAGTGTCCTGCCAGAGATACAGAGTTGTTGGAGAACAAGGGGGGACGCCACTGTGGACGGTCATTGAGGACATCATCACGTATGTATCGCGCATTCCCCTTTCTTGCCCAATTTTAATCCACCCCTCCTCTGCCCATACTAGCTCGAGCAAGTTCCGTCTAACGTCGCTGCATTACACCCTTCCGACCGGAATGAAAATAAGAGAAATACTCAAATACCAACCCTCGATTAAATATATCGGCTGGCTGCAAACCTCATTGGACAACGAAGAAACCCATCCCGACCTACGCACGCTCTTTGTCCCACACAAATACAACATATCGCACCTATCACTGCTGGAGCCGTACAATCCAACGGCAAATGACTGGCAGAGGAGCTACGACCTCCCGCTTATTTTTACTCTAAGCGGCCCCTGGGATGCACCTGATAACCCCCAGATCGAACTTGACCAGTCGGAGCTTGGTTCCCTTCAGCGTCGCATGGTTGTGCCCAACCCGTTTACCTCCCCTTCCAAAGAAGAGGCCTCACTCAGCCTCCTTCCGGGTCTCTACCCCCTGCAGCGAAGAACCATGGCGCAGTCGATAATCACCCACCTCGAAGACTTGGACAACGATGACTCGGATGTCCTCCCATATCCCAACCCCTCGGGTTTCATTACACATCTTGAGATCGTCTGGCTGGATCCCCCTACTGCGCAAGAGATGTATGACTTCTCACGGGAAGTAGCTCTACACCTCCCCGCCGTCACAAACGTCGAAGTGTGGATGAGAGTCGATCCTGACAAAGGTATCAACCGCTTGGTGAGTAACTAGCATAACTCGCTTTCGGACAGTCCCACCATCTCACCTCGAGACATTCGACATGTCCTTCGTCTCTCCTGCAGGATTTAGACCATCTAGCGACTGGCCTTGAACCTCTCAGTGACCAGTTAGAGCTATTGCTCATAAAGGATTGGGAAATTTGGTCAGACGATCAGACTATGCACACCGAAAGCGAACTCCTCGCCTACGCTAGCGACTGGAAGAAGAGATTTCCGAAGCTCAGGCGTATCGGGTATGTTGGGTATGGGAAAGTTGCGATCATGGACTACGACTACGTCCATGATCACTGGAAGATGGAGTCATATAATGCGGGCCTGTATTAATCGAGCTGATTGAATGCACGCTGACTCGTCCATGTTCACCCGGCAGAAGTTGCATACTCACATGAAGGCGTCCATGATAGCTTTGATGAAAAACCCGTTTGATTCCGCCTCGATTTCCAGGTCGGTGAGTGCTGTCATCAAAGGGATTGCGAGTACCAGTCGATCCACAACCTCCGGTTCCTTTCAAACTGTGATTCCCACCCGAAGTCTCTTGACAAGGGGAGCCTTTGCAGCGTTATTCGATAGAGTGACAACGGGGACATCGTCGACAGATTGGCTAACATCGATATCGATTGAGTGGTAAAGGTAAGCCACGTCCTTCACCGCCTTCTCTGTCCGCGCCAGATTTGGGAGTGAGGATCGGGGGCAAAAAGGCGCGATACGCGCTCGAAGGTCGCTAGGGATCTGTGGTAAGTGCGCATCAGAGAGAGTGCTCGGCGTGTTGATGGTCAATCATAGCCTACGCGGGGAGACATTTCACGGGCTGCAACACTAGGACTGTATTCCCTTTTGGGTCTGGTTGCCTCTTAAGCCCGTGGGGGGAGCCGATTTCTATTTCGACTCAAAGGGGATTTCTCATAAGATGACAGTATAATCAGTCAAGTAAGCCTGAAAAAAGCTCGGAGGGGACATCCGTCGATCTGGGTTGTTCACGAAGAGGAAAGGGTCAATTCCTACCGAAACTGTTACAGTCTATTGTGTGTCGCCCCCAACCCACACCATTGTCGATTCAACCATAAGGGCTCCATTGGTAGAGACTCAGGGTATCAAGGTGGATGTAGAGGGATATGATATTGAGGTGGTTTTACGAGAGAAGTAGATTAAACGCCCTCAAATTCTTTTCTTATCTCGATTGCAGAAGTTCCGACTTTCCTGTAGGTGAGTCTCGCATCACAATGGGCTCCAGGCACCCACATTAGCACAGTTTTAACGTCGCAGGACCTTATTACGGGACGTAGGCATCTATGAGAGAAGGCTCGGGCGCTCCTACTGTCCGATGTTAGTGGATCGACGTCAGGGTTTGCGACTATCCACAACATCTCAATTCTCAACCTATTTCCGCAATTCACTTTGTGTAAGGAGGACGAACCTTTACCTTAGCCGTAGATTAGATTGACTTGTTTGGCGTTGTTAGCATCAGACGTGCTCGCCCTTACGGCCAGCGCTCGCGCGTTCACATCTCTCTCCCTTAGCCCCATCGTACCTCACTTGTTCATTCACGTAGATACTTGTCTGCGTGTGGTGAGCCGAGTGCGAGGCTATCCAACCGCCCAACGTTCGCCCAACCCTTACACTTTACCAAAATTGATGACAACGGGTCGACGAGTCGGGCCGGCTGACGTGTGTGTACTACCAGCACTCTCTCCCCCTCCCCTCTTTCTTTATCCACTTCTTGTGCGTAAGTAGTCAGATATGGAGGTGAGTAGCGCTTCAATGCAATACTATTGTCAGACTCTCAGCGCCCACAGACGAAATTACCACTTGAAATAAAGACGAGCATTATGTGTATGATCGATGGACCTTGCACGTCCACCCTAGCTAGGCTCGCCCTCGTGGAAAAGGCTTTGCAGAGAGATGCGGAAAGGCTGCTGTATTGCTCGCTCTTCATCACAGACTTGGATGAAGACGAGGATGCAAGGTCGTTGCCTTGTCTTCGAACGCTCGCCCAAAACGAGAGCAAAGCCGTTAAAAGCGCCAAAATTTCGCTCTCTTTCCAACGTCAGCGTCGCGACTGGAAAAAGCGGTTCTTTGCCACTTTACGGGCAGCACTACTCAGGACGCGATCTTTGGTCCATTTGACACTGGATGTCGCTGTCAATGACAGGCGACAAATACCTGTGAAACACTGCGACGCGATTTGGAGCCTGCTGGAGTACGTTCCGAACTCGCTCTCTATCATTTCGCCGTGGTGGCTTACCGTAGACGTGTTCTGTAGATCAGCTACCTTCCGCCTCGACTCTCTTCATTATTCACCGCCTAGCTTCGAAAGGCCGGCAGACGTCATAATGTGGCAACCATCTCTCCAGGTCGTTGGTCTGATCACAGACCGCATAGAGGACGAAGACATTCTCCCAGATTTCCGCGGTATACTCGTTCCAGATAAGACCAACCGCTCATTTCCACCCTTGATTCCTTACAATCCTGAACGCAATCCTGACCAACCTCGCTCTATCCCTCTAATTTTTGGACTTTCTTACGTCCCTCGGCCTAGAATTAAAGGGCGTTTGAACAGAACTGTTAACCACGACCCTTCGCAATCCACCGTCTCGGAACTCGAGTTCTGGGGCGACGGATGGCCCGTCGAATGGAGAAGGCCGGGGGCGACTGAATATGAAGAGGGAGGGGAGGCGACCATTTTTCTGTTCCCTGGATTATTCCCCCAAGAATCGGGGACTATGGCCAAGAGAGTCGCTGAACACGTTTCCCGCCCTGACGTCGTTCCCATTCTTCCACACCCATCATTATCGACCCCGTCCTTGACCAAAATCTACTGGTTGATCCCACCACCTATCCAAGAAGCGCGCAGGTTCTACGAAGGGATGGATACGTGGTTCAAGAACGCTTCGAGTGTTGTTGTCTATGGAAAGGTGGATTTTTCACCGGAAGGCATTGCTCGTTTGGTGAGTACTTGATGTAGTTTCATCGCTTCCCTCTTGTCTGCCTCTCTGCTAAAGATGATAATCTCTCCGCATTGTAGCCTTTTGAAGACATGGCAAACAGTATTTCGCCTTTCTCGGAACGCATCGAGAGATTGTCGGTTAGGGTTTGGGAGAGCTATGAACGGCAGTGGGAGCCTCCGACGGAGCAAGAGGCGATCCAACAAGTTGTGGAATGGAAAACGTCCTCGTTTCCGAGACTTGTACAGGTTGGGTGGAATTGGGCATTTATAACTCTGGTAGATGGAGTCTGGGTGTTTTATTGGTAGTGAATTTTGTCCAGTTTCGTTCCTCGAACTATCGATTCAGAATAGAAGTGACAGTGCCAATATCCGATTTAAATACCAACGACCGGCCTTAGCATTATTGCAGCCAGGGACGCCAAAAATACGGCTGGTTCTATGGATCTGCTAGAGTTGCTCTTGCTCAAAGTCAAATTCACGATCCAAGAGTTCGAGGTCATCATAGAAACCACGCTGATATAGTTCACGGTCATCGAAAGAGCGCTTCCCCTTCACTGCTTTGATGATGTTACCGACGCCCGTTAATACACCGGACAGAATGCTAAACCGAATGGGTAAAGGGCGTCAGATTTCTGCTAAAGAGATTCAGATTGTGGGAATGTGTGAACAACTTGTACGCACTTTCCGAAAATAGGTTCCCGTTCTAAGAGCTCGATACCGTCGTAGTCACGCTCCAGGAGGTCGTACAGACTCTGGAAGTCACGCCTTCCTTTGGCCCCACCGCCAAAACCGCAGCGATCTTTGGCAGCACTGAAACGATGATTCTCCATTAGCAAAATGCACGAAAGCAGATCCAAGGCTTGCTGGTTGTCCTTACTATCCAAAAATGGGTTCACGTTCCAGGAGGTCAACGTTATCGAACTCCCTTTCCACCGCAGAGTCTACGATGTGTGGTTCTCGTATGACGAGATCATCATCGAGTTGGATTGGAACTGCGACAATTGATGGTGAGAGGGTGGCAACGAAGGCGGCGAAGGAGACGAGAGTGGTTATTCTAACCATTGTAGGTGCGAGGTGGGTGAAGGTGTGGTTGGGGTATGGATGAGCGCTGTGATTAATTTGATGGGACAGGCTCGGCCAACGAGGCTGTACTAATTGGAGGGGAAGTGTGAGACCAGGCTGAGGAGTACCTTCCTCTAAGCTGCGCCTTTATAGCTTGTAGCCAGTGCCTTCCTTGCGATACCTGATCAAGGCTTACATCGTTCCCTCCACTTAGGGATGGTCAAGGGGTTTTAAAACCCCCGGGGTAGAGGCCAGGGGTAGAGCGGGGGTAGGGGTAAGGGTAGGTGTCTGGCTACCCTTGGCCAAACCCCCACCCCCAGTCGGGGGTAAGGGTTTTGATAAAAATCAATCAAAAGCCATTTATTTCAATATCTATGTATAGCTTCTACTAAATAACTGCTGTATATGCAATAAAACACATAAAAATATCCATATAGACAACTGTAAGTAATGATTAGTACCAAAATGGTTAAAACCCTTGGTCAAAACCCCCAGGGTTGGGGGGTAAGGGTACTACCCCCCTACCCCCTGACTGAGGGGTAAGGGTTTTGGGGGGTGGGGGTAAGGGTAGGTGTCCGGCTACCCGGGGGTTACCCCTGTCCTTCCCTACCTCCACTTTCTGGTGCAATCGGGGTCCAGGCGATTGAACTTCAGATTTTCAAAGATCATCTATTTAGGTTCTGTCCATCAAAACGCCGCCCAACAGGGTCTTTCATTATCGAATGGGACGCTCGTCTGTGTCAAGATGAACCGGTATCTCGTAGGCGTCAAGCACAGGTGTTGAGTTCGAGATAAGGGGAGAGTTCGACGTCGTTGTACTCGTGGTCGTCTTAGAGCAGTCATACGACTCTTCCTATGTCTTACACCGCAGAATCTCACGTTCGTGTTTCAATCATAGTGGGAAGGTGTTGTCTCTCCTAAATATACGAATTCTGAGAGCTATTCCACACTTCCGGAAACGTATACAGCAATCTATTTTTATCGCAGCCGACCAGATCGTCCATGGGCCCGTCGCTGATTTGCAGCCAGCGCTGATCAACCGTGACAGATCTATGTATGCCTCCCCTGTTCGGATGATATGATAGATTTCAGATGGAGTAGACGTAATCTAACTCGACGAAGCTGTAGGCCCTCGAGAAGCCCTGGGGTGTGCATGTACACACTTAAACACTCGGCGCTGTCTTCAATCGTTTTCTGTGCTACGAGTTCTGAGTTTATTGAAAATTTTGGGAGCTTGAAAATATAGAGCGTGAACGGATCGACGCTTCGCATTCCAGCCACAGATACATGTGTGACGCTGGGTGAAGCGCCCACGAAGCGCCCATCTCGTCAAGAGGCTGTCCGACTCGGTGAAAGGGTACCCCTGTTGCGCTCATGTCTTCGTAAAGCTTCGATTGAGGGCTGTTGTACATGTCGCCCATTATCATCGTAATGCGAATCTAATGTGGATTACAATCTGTCGAGGGGTCAGTCATCCGTGGATGCCTTCCACCCACTTCTGCCTCATGGCCAGTCCTGTTCCAGTCGGTGGGAGGGTGTACAAACAGCTGAAGGTTAGTATAAAATTCTCACTCACCGCGAATGAAAACCTCAGCCTGGTCTCACCCCTCTCACTCATCACAAGCAGCCTCGCCGGTCGAGTCTGTTACACCCAATTAATTTATCCATCCTATCTCTCACTCGCCCCGTTTCATACGTACCCTTACCCGCATCATCAAGATGGTCAAAGCGTCCACTCTCGCTCTCTCTGCTTGTGCTCTACTCGGATCTGTGGCTCCCTATGTCGTACAAGCAGCCCCCATCCATGCTGATGATTCCGTCTTTGAACGGGACTTCACTCACGACATTGCCGAGGTCTTCGAGCGGCAATATTACCCGATGTAGTGCGTATAGCTCGCTACATAGCTCGCTGTAGCTTGCATTCTGAAGTTTTCATTCCGATATAGCGCGGTCCCACCCCCTCGACCTGTGTACTACCGACCACCCGCCTACGGAGGCTATCATCCCGGCCCGAGTCGACTTGGGGGATGGGCAAGACCTCCGATCAGTACCGTCAACAACTTGAAGCCCACCACCAAGCCTTCGACCACGAAGCCTGCTGCCCAACCCACCACTCCCGCCAAGAAACCAGATAACAAGCCAAAGACGAGGAAGGATTCGAAGAAGAACAAGAAGAAAGCCAAGCGTGATTTTATCCACGCTGATTTCGACATCTTCGAGCGGGATTTTGACATCGAGGGACGTGATTTTGAATTTGAACTCGAACAGCGCGAACCGATCCTCGGAGGGTAAGAACGCATAGTTCGTGGGTGCTATCTGAGATATACTCTGACAATGTTTCTTGTAGGCTGTTCTCAGGTGTCGCCGACATCATCAGCGCCGCTAAGGGTAAGAAACGACAGCCTGCCACCGAGTAAAGGATAGGAGATAGATGTAGGCATATGTAGATTACAGGGAAGTAGTATTTGTGTACACTGCAGTAGCACCTTGTGTGATGTTGCAGTTAATTCCGACTGCACCAACTTGAAGGCAGTTGAGCTCTTTGAAGTGTAGTTTGCTTTCAAAGCCGTTGAGCTTGGAAAGGCACCAGGCATGGAAGTGGGCACATCCGCATCAACGGGTGCCCCTCAATGAATGCTTAATACGTTACGCAGCTCCTGCAGCACTCCGGAGAATAACTGGAACTCCCCGACGTCTTCGCAAATATGCGACATTCGTTAATTTCTTTCGAAGTCATTTGTTTGCTCAAAAGGCCTCTGACAAACAGTGTGAAGCCGAAGACAAACCCAATCGTCATTCCGGAATCCGCGTGCACGTCGTTCACACCATTTGTCGGCCGCGACCGTCGACGTGAAGTCGTCTCGTTCTTCATCTAACGTTGGCCTGGTGAAAAGGTGATAATTTAGTGAAGGCTCTCTTTGCATCGGTCTCACAATGGTACTGACTATCGTCACCTGAATTCTAGCACGATCAGGACCGCCGGTATCGTCCACAGCACAGCCGGTTGCAGATGTCCTGGCGCGCTGCAACGCTTCTACGTTCGAGAAACCGTGCTCTACCGCCGCAACTACGACCCCGAATAAACGCCTCCAGTCCTCTTCGCTCGATATGCCGGCGCCAACTTAGCTCAAGCTCGAGGGCCTCGGTGCCGACCTCCAGATTGACGCCGGGCAACGCGGTTGTCACTGCCCTAGCGGTTGCTGGTTCAGCAACTGTCTACCACCTCTTCAACGCGTCGCCATTAGAGCCTATACCTCTCACATTCGATACGACGTCAGCCGAAGACAATTACACCTCACCCTTGGCTGACATCACATCCACTGTATCCAATTTCACGGGCACCAATGTCGATTTTTCGGCGATACTCGACGGAATCAGTGCAAACCTCTCAGACGATATCATCGAGACCAGTTTGTGGGCACATGCGGCAACCTTTTGCCCACCAGTAGGCGACGCGACCGGCATTGCGAGGGTGGACGGGGCCTCCGTTCCAGTGTGCGTCCTACAAGCTTCCCGCTTCTCCACTGGTTCTCACCTTCGCCTGCAGCCACATGCCCCCAGAGGATAACCTCACGTCGTCTTTCATCCCACTCCCCACTCACACTATGCACCTGTTTGGCGTCTTCGATGGCGAGCAAGGAGGAGGCACCTCGTCATTCCTGTCTTCGACTCTACTCATCGCTTTGGCTGGCTCAATGATCGACTTGCTGAAGAAACATGGATACGGCAATTTCGGAGATTTCGAGGAGGCGGAAAGCGAGGTGTATCTCAGCAGTGGCGACGGAGCAAGGACAACATCAGACATGGCGCCTATTCCCTTCACCCCCGACATAGTTCGCCCAATCCCAGACGATTCGGCGGTCGAGGAACTCATTCGCAGTACGTTCTTGTTAGTGGACGATTGGTTGGTTGTCGAGTCAGCTAGTGGCTTCCTCTCAACTGTCGATGCGAGACGTGCTGAGTCCCTCTCGAAAGCACAAGCACCGTCCTCCGGTAATGAAGCTTCCAAGGTCGCACCTCCCCTCACAGACGGCTTAGGCTTCAAGGAAGAATCGACTCACACCCTTCGCGATGGCCAGTCTGGGAGCAGCGCTCTTGTTGGTTATTACGAAAGCGATACGAAGAAGGTCCGGATTGCCCTGGTGGGCGACTCGAGAGCTGTCTTGGGAAGGCCGGTTGTGAACCGACAGTACCGAGCGACTCCGAATCCAAGATCATCCGTTGCTTCCGTTGCTGGATCGACATCACCATCCTCGACACCTGTCACAAGAGAAGAGCCCACGGCTATCGTTGATCCGTCCAAGCCCTCCACCCCTCCTAGCGCTTGGTGGCCATTCTCATCTTCCCAAAATTCAACTTCGCAGAACGAGGAGAGGTTCCTTGAGCCTCTCAGAAAGACCGAATACCCCACGCTTTATGAGGCGCAAGTCTTGACCGAGGAACATACGTCTGCGAATCCTGAAGAACGCGCCCGCATCGTAGCCGAGCACCCATCATGCCATCAGCACCTCTTCTCCCGAAACAACGATCCCTACAGCACCCATCCGAACGACGAGCGATATCTAGGCATTCCGACGACGCGAGGATTCGGCTATGGCGCCCTGAAGTGGGGAAGGGATGTCCAGGAGAGGCTGCATCGGGAGTTTCTGGGTGACCAGCCGTTGAAGGAGTTTAGCGAAGGCAGGGTGCCCTGGCCGGAAGGTGCTCGAAAGGAGTCTGAGGACAGTGGTTCCGACTCTTCTTCATCCTCATCGCTGTCTCATACGATACCCGCCCCCAAGGTGTCGACACCAGGAGACCCAACATACCTTCGAGCACTCCCGACGGTCACTACTCTCCCCGTCAAGCCTGGAGATTTTGTGGTACTTGGGTCGAAGGGTCTATGGGAGTGCTTGTCGAGCGACGAAGTAGTCGGGCTTGTCGGTGCTTGGGTAGAAGAGCGAAGGAGGGCGATGGGTTCTAAAACATCGGCCACACCCGAACCGGGCGCAGCCTCACTGGTTCGCGAACTCACCTCTCAACCACCCTCGTCGAACTCTCGTAAACTAGCTAGCATACGGGACCCTGCCTCTCTTATGGGCTTCAACTCGGACGGTGCTGACAGTGCCGTATTGGGAACTAATCTGGCGCTTCCTTTGCGCGGTGGAGCGCCAAAGCCAAATCGACTCGTGAACCCTACTGAACTTCCAGTTGTGAGGGAGGGTGGTTGGTCTCCGAGGAGCGGCGTGGCTGCGAATGATGGATGGAGGTGGACGAGATCTTGGCGAGTATCGAAGGATAAGGTCAAGTACGTCGTGGATGGAAGGGATTTGGAGTGTGTCTCGGTGAGTGTTCCCTTTTGCTTCTCGCCTTGGGTGTATCACTGACGACTCTCGATTTAGGTACATATCCTTCGTAATGCACTAGGTGGCGCGGATAAGGATCTTAGAGGAGGTTTGTTGGGTATGGCCTCCCCTCGAGCTGCGAGGTTTAGGGACGACATCAGCGTCCAGGTGATATTCTTTGAGTAATCGGGTATATTCCTTGCCGTGGATGGAAAACCTTCGGTCCATTGGGGGTGTATTGAACTTCGGACTACAGTCTACTAGTACGCCTAGTCATCCAATGTCGCTTTCTTGCTTTAGTTTCACATCACTAAAATAGAATTTCACGTTGCATTGTGATCCAGGGCTTCTGGTTCGGTCCTGCCAGTGTGCCGGGTGATGCGACCAAGTTCCAGCTTTCCGTCCAGAGTCTTCATCATTGTTATCGAAGCCTACTGTGGTCAACATCATGATTCGACATCGTGCTGGGATCCATTGGAGGTGAAGCAACCATCTATATAAGTGTAGGAAACGATGTGACAAATTTGTACCAGATGTGATAATGTCACCTTCGTGGAAGTAGCAAGTGATGAGAGAAGATTTGAGTATAGTACCATTATTGGGTGAATGTCGGTGAACGATCGCACCGACTGTATGCCTGAGGAAGAACTCCGAAGGAACTGTGGGCAAAATAACCGTGACAAGTTCGTGCGCGACTTGGGCGGTGGTGATTCGACCTTATCGTCGATGGTAACATTCACCTGGTCCCCATATCTGAATAGTTTGCCAGGTCTCGTTTAACCATGATTTCTATTTGCTCCCGGTGACGGTGGAAAGCGGGTTTGGTGGATTCAGGTGTCTGTCACGGTGTTGCCAGGAAGATAGATGCCATTTCAAAGCACGAGGTGGGTATGTGGAGCATCACGCCACAATACCCGCACATCGTTCACTCAGAGCTAGAATACTCGCTCGCCATGGAAAGATGTCAGATGCATGAAAGCGCGGGTAGATACATGGGTTGCAGCCGTATCCGCACTCCGCAATACCCGTTCAAAGTTCACATAACTGTCAGGAGAACACCGTGTAGCACTGAGACGGGCTCGACGGGTATCGCCTCAGTCAATCGATGTAGATGCGGTGGATTAATATGATGATAGTTGCGCTGATTCCACACCCTTTCGCCGCCCAGTCCTTCTGGGTGACTCCACTGCCGAATTTGCAAGAAGAGAACTTGACAACCTTTCGAGGTTGCTCTACCATGTACCTTGGGCCTTCACAGACTTATTTTCTCGTGTTTTGATCCACAAAGACTTAGGCCGCATTGAACGTAGGCCGCATTGAACGTTGAAGCCTCGCAATTCCTTTCGATTGACTTGCCGAGTGGATCGACATCGATCGGGCATCACGCTGATACTTTTGGAGAATCATCAAGTACCCCTAGAATTAACATCACACCCTTTCATTATCTGGGCGGTGAAGGTATGAACATAGATCAATCACCATCCGAAGTTGCGCCCAAAAAATCCTGTTCAAGTTCCACCGAGTATACGGAGCTCACAGATCTAATTATGGGACCAGGGGGAGGTATAAGAATGACATCGCAGACCGCTCTCGAAAGTTATAACACCATACCATTCTCATTCGTTAACATCTACATCTTCACGTATTTGTGCGTGAAGATGTTATCCAAACCTTCGTCAATCGCTTACGCATCCCTTATCCTTGCCTCGTTCATTCCTTCTACTATCTCCCAACCCGCGCTCGACGATGACAGCGTTTTGGAACGCCAATACTACCCGATGCCCTAGTGAGTCTTCAGTGTGGTGTAATTTACTGTTGACCGGGAATTTGGACGTTGACGGCATTTAGTACCTACCCACCGGCGCCTGTGTACCATCCCCCTCCAGTGGTGTACGGTCCACCCATGACGCCTTGGAACGGCGCCCCTCCTGGTAGTGGTAGACGTGTTCGTCCCAAGAACGTCCAATCAAAAACCGGTAAAAGGAAACCACCGGCAGCCAAACCACCGGCCCCAGCCAAACCTGCACCAGCCAAACCACCTCCACCACCTAAACCACCTGCGCCAGCTCAACCACCTGCGCCAGCCAAACCACCTCCACCAGCCAAACCACCCAACAGTGGTGGTAGGCCAGCTCGAGGAAGGTCACCTCGCCCCGCCAAACCCCCCGGTGGTGGTCGGAAGCCTGGTCACAATGGGGCTTCCCCTCATCGGAAGGGAAATGGAAACACTCGTCCTGGCGTTGGAGGAACTCCGCGTACGCCTCACCCAGCAGGTGGAGGTGGCACTCGACCGGGTCAACCGACTCGCCCATCCAGACGACAACCTGGCAAGCCCAAATCCGGTGGTCAAAAGCCTCGGCGAGGTGCAGTTGCGCCTCGCCCTGGAGGAAATACTCGTCCAAGGCCATCAGGCGCCGGTCGTTCGCGGGTCAACGCTGTGTCAATCGTCCAGGAAGACGGCGAAGAAGGCTGGTTCTACGGTGAAGAAACTGGGGTCTGCCTTCAAGAAGTCCTCTCGTGCGAAAAACCTTCTAAAGAAAGTAGCCGGTACCGCGTTGAAGGCAGTCGGGAAGCGCAAGCGAGATTTTGTGGGTGATTTCGATTCCAACCTCCTGCAGCGGGACTACAGCGACGAGGAAGTCTATTCACGCGAACCTGGTCTCGACACCGAGAGGTCAGTCATTGTATGAGCTTGATGCGGAGGATTGGTCATGCTCACTTACCTTTCTAGCTCGTTGGAAAGCCGAGAGTTTGGCCTGGAGGAACCTATTCTGTTGGAACGTTCGAGGGATGTCTATGAGCCGTTCTGATCGCCTTGGACAGTTTCCCTTTCCTTTATTAACGACGGTCAGTCTTCCTTGATCTGACAGAGCTGTCTGTCTATTCTCCGACTCGTAACAATTTGCCGCTGTCCTAGAAGGATATTTATATATTTATTGACTGAGCTGTAGCATAGCTTTGAGCTTTGTCGACCAATTTTAGACCGACGTTCTGAGGGCGGGGAGACCGGTAAAGCCCAAGTTGGATGACACTGGCGGTTGAGATGAGGATTCAAATGTGTCGGGGAAGTACGGGCATTTTTAGTCGACAGTTTGGTCACTTCGGCGATACCATGGATTAACATGTACTCAGGAATCAGGGAACTTGAACCGGGGTGCAGAGGAAATGAGACGACGGTAAGTAAATGAGAAGCAGAAACATGGTGAAAAGGGAAGCCCGTATCGGAGAGCATCGGGTGTGGGCGCGCCAAGCCTTTCCATTTCGTCCGCTTACTCTCCGTTAAGTCGCCGATCACAGGCATCATTCGGCATTCCGACCATCACCCGGCCAGTCATCCGGCTTTCTCTGTTGGGCGCTACGAGGAGCGAGTGATACACTCGGGGCATTGTATATCTCAGTTTCGTACAGGATGGAAACATCAAGCAGGCCTAGAGGGCAGACTGTATACATCCTTACGGACGTCCTGTGTTGCACCGACGTTCTAGACCCAGTACCATAGGTTATCAGGGAGCAATCAGTTCTGTGTACATCCAGTCGGCATGGTAGAGATCTCGTATAGATCTGGCGCATACAAAGACATGCATATCAGCTTCCCTTTCAAAGTTCAATCGAGGGTGATGGTGGCGATGGATGACTACAATGGTCTGTACCTTTTGAACTTTTCCTGCAAGAGATGTCCTTATCCCATACCGAAATGTTCCAGACGCAAGACCAGGCACATATCTGACCCTAGTCAAGGAGAACTTCTGTGGACGACGATAGATTCCGGACACAAACACCCCGGTTACATGGGAGAATAACGTAGACTTTTGATTTTGTAACCTTCTCACCGCGTGTACTTAATTGTCTCTAAGAAGCTCACCACGTTCTCAAGGAAGTTGTAACAACCCCACAGTAGACACCAGCGCGCGGCGACATCGGGAGTTACGTTCCATTTAAAGACATAAATAGTTTGAAAGTGAGGCACAAATCGATAGGGACAGTCCTTTGCAGAGATGGCTCCTTTCGCTCAGCTCTTCGTTGTCTTTGCGATCGTTTTGAACGGTTTTCTAGGCGTCGCTTCAACGCCAGCCCCAGGGCGTCCCTGGAGTCAAAAGAAATGCAAGTCCATTGACGTCCGTAAAGAATGGTCAGTGCCGTCGTTCTACTCTGAAGCCCTAGACTCACCGACTTGAATGTTCCAACCCTCTAACAGGCGGACCCTCTCGATCCATCAGCGTCGAGACTACATTCGAGCTGTAAAGTGCTTGGCGAAGAAGCCATCGAATGCGGGTCCGGGACGTCTGGCTATGAAGACGAGATTCGACCAGTTCGTCGCTGCCCACTTCGACCTCAACTTGAACGTTCACGCCGTCGTAAGTTTCGTCCTTCATTACGCGGCCCAACATAGTTCAATGGATAAATTGAACCTAGGGACAATTCTTGCCATGGCACCGTCATTTCGTGACCCTCTATACCAACGCCCTGCGTGACGAATGTGGATACAGAGGCCCAACACCGTAAGGTGGTCCACATGTCATGTCTTGTCCCTTCACTGACGCCCGCCTACCAGTTACTGGGACTGGACGCGAGATGCGGACGCACCTGAACCGTACGTCATTTGAACTTTCCCATCTTGATACTGATACTGAGAACTTAACCTTATATTCAGTTTCGTAAACTCCCCCGTCTTCGATACGGTTCTCGGATTTGGTGGTGACGGCGTCTTCGGTACGGCAGACCCTCTCCCTCCCATGGACACACCCTTTCCACCGCTTCCTGGATTCCCCACCGGTCCTAAAGCACCTGAAGGCTGTCTCCAATCGGGACCCTTCAAGGACTTCAAAGTCAGGTTCGGTCCACTTCCCGACGAGGAGTCTCCCACTGGAATGTGCATCGTTCGAGGTATCTTCGAAGGCGTTAGGAACAACGTCAATAGCACATCTCTCGCGGCTACACTCGCCCAACCAACCTTCGAGGACTTCCGTAACTTCATTGAGCTTCAGGCTGCTCCGCTCGAAGAGGCTGCTGGAATCCACTGGGCTGGACACGCTATCGTTGGTGGTACCATGATGAATGGGTACGGGGCTCCAGCCGGTACGTGCGCCTAGGTTTATCTCCAGGTCAGCTACGTAATTGACGCCCGTTTACTTTGATTCAGATCCCATTTTCTACCTTCATCACGCCAACCTCGATCGCATCTGGACGAAGTGGCAGAACGCCGATCGTCAGAACCGACTTTATGAGATTTCGGGGCCCATCTCCGTCGTACCAGAGACTGATGTCCAGGTTACCTTGGATTGGATCCTGCCTTTCGAGACTGTCGCAGATCCTATTCCTCTCCGAGATGTCATGGACACTGAAGCATATCCCAGCTGCTTCAGATATGATGATCAGTAAAGGGTTAACGTCTCTGTTGCTTTGCTTACCTTTCCCTGTATCTATTGTCCTATGACTTCTCGAGTAGGATGATGAAAGAATTGGATCGCGTTTGCCGAGTCCCTACTAACAGGACATCGGATTCCGTCCGATTATCCGTTCGTCACAAGCTCAAACCAGTGCACAGACATTGACCACGTCGCTAGCCACTGTTTTCCGATAGAGCATCCCATTTCCGGATCAAGCCTTCACTCCAAAAGGCTGGTTTCGAGTTTCGGCGTTCTGTGTAAGATGAATGCTGAAGGAAAAGCAACGAAAGGCAAGGAATGATGGCGACCACAAAAAATTAGAGTTGGACAGGGGCGCCATGCCGCATCACGCGCACGTGCGGGGCGTGAGGCTCGAGCAAAGCGTCAGCCGCCATTTGGAATGGGGTGCATAAGTTAACTTGTATGTTACTTGTATGTGCGTAAGTTAACTTATCAAGTAAGACAAGTAACTTTGTTAACCACCGTGCCAGACTAGTAGTAGAAGGAGGATAATTCTGGCCTAGACCCCCAGATGGATGGGCATGGGAGGTTCAGTTGTCGACAGTACACCCGCGCCGACGTCATCTCGACGAAAGGACTCCCATAGATCAGGAATTCGAACAGGAGAGCTAGCCCTTACGATTCCCTAATCCGCCGACCGCCGTACGAGAAACGACCTTTGAAGTCGAGACAGTCGTTTATGTTGTAGCCTACGCACTGCGCTGTATTTTGCGGGGAGAAGTTGACTGAGAGGCGAGACAGATCAGCAATACTAAATAGGCGGTTGGGCCTCGCAGGCGAGCCAATGTCTGGTAAATTCATGCCAGCGTCGTGAAAGAACCAATACGCATGCTCTCGCTGGGAATGAACGGCCATTGTCGGAAGGTAGGGGTCGATCCAAAGATGTAACAGAGGTTCCCAGTGTCGAGAAGATGTTCAAGGAAGGCGATTCTTGGAACTTGTTTGGTTGGACAGGTGGTGGTTTGGGATCACGAGGCGAGCGGGCTCCTGGCAGGACTCATTTGATCTTCCATCACGAACTGATGAATCTCCGAGCGAATTGGGACGGCACAGGCGCGGCCTCCCATAGACAGAGAATCCGTTCCGATTCGAGGTGCACAACATGCACCTTGACGACGGGTTGTAGACTTGCAGTAGATCGAGCATGGTGAGTCAGACTAAGAATATCAGAAAGCCAACTCTTCTCAGATCTCTCAATCTATGTAGGTTGCTTGTGCTCCGGTATGCACTCTCGAGTAGTCTGTCGTCGCAACCATCTTCGACGAAACAACATTTCAGAAATATCATAACGATATCATTCTCCCTGTACGAGACTCCTTCAAGCAGTGATTCCAGGAGCAGAATGACCAACGGAGGATGCCAATTCGCGATCGCGTGAAACCCACCACCGGAAAGACCGAAGAGCACTGGTTTGAAAATTCAATTCAGGGGAACTCTAACGTCATCTACATCCGTCACAAGGAACCGCTGGGAAGGGCGCCCACAAAACTGAACGTCGCCCGGCTCGGAAATATCGGATGCTGGGCTCGAGCTGGACTATGGAGCAGGTGCGAGGGACTGTTGTTCGCAGCTGCCACGCCCTCTCGTACCCCGACGACACTCGCCTACATCATGATCAGGTAGTGACGTATAGTTGTCGTGGTGGACTACATACAGTCGACAGCGAAAACCCTCGGATAACGCCAGCCGCGTTGGGATCACGCTGCATGGTCAACGGCGAACGATCAAAGTTCCTGTGCACGCGGATATGTAACAAATCCGAATATGGAATCGATCAAAGTCCAACGAGTCCTTATAAACCCCAGGAGAGTCGTTCGGAAATCCTCAGCTGGGCTCCCCCCTCTTCCATCTACAGAATCCCTACAGAACTCGCCGGTCGAGTCTGTATTCTAATCAATTAATCTTCACTACCACCTCTCCTATCCTCACCCCTTTCACGCTCTTTCATAATGGTCAAGATTTCCACCGTCGCTGTCACCTCTGCGCTCGTCGCGTCTGTCGCCCCCTCGGTTATGGCTGCCCCATGCCTTCGAGGTGTGACTCCCACTAGGCTCCGCACCATGGACCTGACCGCACGAGAGCTGGAGGCAATTGAACTGTACGAACGTGATCCCCTGTTCGGTCTCATCGCGTACGTCGCCAATACCTTTCATTATCTGTCGTATCTCTAACAACCCGTCTATAACTACAGCAAGGGTGCCAGCCTACTCGGCGGCCTCTTCAAGAAGAGGAAGCGTGACCTCGGTGACGCATTCGACCTTTACGAACGAGAGCTCCAATTCGAGGATATGGATGCTCGGGACCTTGCTGAGATCGAGCTCTATGAACGTGACCCCTTGTTCGGCCTCATTGCGTGAGTCCTTATCTCCTGTACATCCTGCCTTTTGGACTAATGTGCCCTGTCCGATAGCAAGGGAGTCGGCATGCTTGGAAGCATCTTCAAGAAGAGGAAGCGCGATCTTGGTGATTTCGACCTCTATGAAAGGGACTTTGAGAATATGGATGTCAGGGATATCTTCGAAACTCTGGATGCGAGAGGGTTCTTCGATGATGTAGAAGTGAGAGAGCTCGCTGATGAGTTCGGAGCGAGGGAGCTGTTCGACGACTACGAAGTGTGAGTGATTTAGCGTTGCATACTTCCTCATGGAAGAACTGACATTTTCTTCCCTTGCAGTCGTGATTTTGACCTGAATGAATTAGACTAGATCGTGCGCTTCTGTCCATTCATGTAACTCCCACATGCCAGAATCTAGACCTTCCGCCGTCCTATCGCACTTAGGGACGCCCTGTTGATCTTAGACGTTCTAAGATCAGTGTTGCGTGATGTTCTGGTACTAAGAGGCTCGGCTCAGTTTCCATGAGGGTGGCCGAAATTAAACCCACCTTCGTTTGCAACAAAGATCTGCCATGGAACCAACATTCAACCATGGCTCGCATCGGCCGGGCTGGGCTTGGACTGTTGTGGCGCCTATCTCGGGGGGATGAAACAGCCAAGCTTTGATTTCGACTTACGACGCGTAAAACGTGTTTCTTTCAAGGTCGATTCAGAAGCCATTTGAGCAAGGATTCAATCATACAAACTGCTTTTGGTCCCCCTTTCTCGAGAGACGCTGGTGTCTATTGACCCGTAATCGACATGAAAAGTACATCCAGCACGCTGCACACATATTGAGAGCGCGTCAAGATGGGCGCCGTAAACTCCACTAAGTTTGACTGCACGTAAGTACAAATGTCCAATCCATCATGGGATTACCATCACTCCATCAGCGCCCATTAGCACTCAATTTGTATGCCTTGTTGCGAGGAGGAATGGTCCAGACTCCAGAATACCTTGCTCTTCTGGATACGGGAATCATAGATTGAATAACACACGAGTAACTCCCCGATGTGCACAGCAAGGACTTTTGGAAGGCCGGATCGTGGGAATTGTTTGGGCGTCTATTTCTCTACCAAGTTCTCGGTCGAGAGGGTGGGAGTTCTTCTCGTCTGCGAGCGCCTGAATCCTCTGCAGATATGAGATAGATCAGAGGGAGGTTATTTCGTTTGACTACCGAGCACGATTCTATGGCAACTGATACGCACGCGTCCAGAAGGACATTGCAAACGTAATCCACCGCGATGGGTAGGCGGAGGACGGGAACATACAGACACACAGTAGATCCAGTTCCCCCTGGGTACCGAAGTCTCTGTGCATGGTACAATCAATCAGGGCTGTCGACTTCCTTTTGACTGTCGGTGGGCCTGTTATATTCTCGTAGCCTTTCCCGTCCCCTCACCTGGGTCACAGTGGGCAGTGGGTGACTAACCAGTAGCCGCAGTGCAAACAGCCCTGATTAATTCACCGTGCTTTCCGGCAACCGCCTTTCACCTACACAGTATCACCCACACTACGTACGTCCGGGAACAACCCTCAAACAAATCTTCACCCCTTTGCACTCCACACCTTCGCTCAAAGCCTAACGCATTTGAAGTCAAGGTATGTCCCAGTCTTCGGCACATCTTCATAAACCTCTCATAGACTTAACCCCGTCTCGTAAGGATGGGAAACATGCCATGGCTTCCAAGCGAGCTCAGAAATCTCATCGTGACGCTGTGCTCGGATCGCTCGTCCTTACACCGCCTACATCAGCAAAAGGCCCAGCGCGTGGGCGCTTGTGGAACCCGTGTAAACCGTGATGCGCGTGGCGGAGTTTGAGCCCGCGTCTCCCACGGCTCCCACAATCCCTTCCTCCGCCACTAAAGACACTTTTACTCGACGTCCGCCGCGCTCTAAGCTCAGCCGTGTGAAGTTCATGAAACTAGATACATTAGAGCATAGATGTAGCCAAAATAAATGAATGCCACGTTAGTTCCTGTACCATACAACTGATATAAACTCGGAGCACTGTACACTACAATTAATAGACTTAATCAATCAATACTACCGTACCAATCTTCAAGTTTTTGGCAGTGGATAAGGAGGGAATGGAATTCGGTTTTCTTTCAATGTGTCCTCCAGCAAAGATACCCAGTTGTTAAGCAATGACATCTGGCTACGAACGAGAATAAGCTTGGCCTGCAGTAAAGCGATCTCCGATTTGGTCTGTTGACACTTGACATCCGTCAGAGCATTGATTTTCTCTTTGATATCTTCCTGAAGATCGCGTGCATCTTGCTCGAGATCGGACAGGCGAGGTATTTTGGATGGCTTCGCCTGATAGACTGCAGGCTGAGACTCTGTAGTTGTTAGTCAGTGAATGAAACCCATAATCTGCCATGTTGTTTTTCGACCTTCTTCAGTATCAGAACTCGGAACGATCTCAGCGTTGACTGCTTCCTCGAAGTCCCGCTTAATCCTTGGCATGTCCTGCTCGTTGCTTCTCATAACTTGATGCTTGCACCGTAGGGGAGGGAATTTGATTGGTTCGGGGGTTGGGCCGTCGGGATCGAAGATGCTGGGAGGTTTTGTTGGTGTCACTGGGTTGGATGGATCGAGATGGCAACGACGTGGAGGAACATGGATAGGTGAGCTCTCTGGTGTAGTTGTCATATATTTCGATGGTCCTTGCTCCAGAGTGTTGCGAATCTAGAGACTGGAAGTGAAAGAGAAGGAAAAAATCTCTCAAGCGCCGCGAGCGACGCTGGGGACAATCAAAGGTTCCCACGATTTTCTTCTTCTCTGCAGGGCGAGGGTAATTAAAATGCTATTTCATGAGCATGATGATCTATAAACTTGTTTACAAAGTAGCTATTGAATGCATCGAGAGTCCATATGTGTTTGAATCCTGTTGACATGATAGGCTCTGGGCCAAAGCGAGGAATTAAGTGGGCCGAACGGAGAATAGAATCGATGTGAATGATAGTAACATCACGATCTCTACCATTAATAGAGCTGTCAGGCTCAACTACCCAAAGCCCAGTATCCTTGTCTGGTGCGCGTCCAACCTTCTTGAACCATTCAACAACCGCACATGGGTAAGTGGTGCCCTCGAAGGTGAATGAAATAAATTTCTTTACTCGAACGACGGCGAGCCCACGGAACCCTGGTTTCTCCTCATTCTGGACGACAAAAACGGTGTCATGACGAGGACCCGAGTTCCGCCATGATTCAGTGCATCGGATCCACTCTCGTTTCATCCCTCGGATCCCACTGATGTCACTCGGGGCGTAGAAGGTCGCGATTGCTGAACGAAAGGTTGTGATTGATGGTATTGAGTCCAAGATGTCGTTGTCTTCCCAGTCCGACTGGTCGTCACTGTCATTACTGTCTTGAGGGTGGGTGAGATCGTGGAGGAAGTTCCGGAGAAGTTGAGGAAAGGCCGGCAAATCAAGTTCCGCCGCCACCTCATCAGCCGAGAAAAAGCGACCCTCTAACAAGAGGCAGTTAGCAAAGAGTTGCACTGTGATAATTATAGCCACGCACCTCGAGTCCTCCCTAGGTTAACATCAGCCAACACATCTTCCCCATCCACTACACCCTCATCAGGTTCATCCAAGTCGTCGTCCTCCCAGTCTGTGTTTGTCGCTTTTGTGATTGTCGGTTGGGGTGGAAGGCGATCGGGCGGAATCATCTCTCGGGCAATAAAAGAAGCTCGTATCGCAGCCAGCTTGTCGAGCCGTTGGTTGGTGAGGAGCATCTGTCCTAGCGCTTCAAACCTGCTAGACCGTCTCCAAGGTCGCTTGACAGCAGTGATGTGGCGAGATTCGGTAATCGAAGAGCATAGTCCGTTGGGTGCACCAAAGTTGATGATGTGGTCGCGATAGTGAACAAGCGAGTGTTGGCGTGGCAAGGAGAAGCCATCCGCACGCACGCCGGCCTTGCGGAAAAATTCGCGGTGCTTGTGGAAGGCAGCTAGTGATTCTTGGATCTTTGCAAGGGCTTGTGGGTCAAAGTCGTTCCGTCGTACGAGGAAACAGAAGTCCATAAACGCCGAGATGCACTTGACGATGTCGCTGGGTACGAGTCCGTTGATTGCAGGAAGGTAGATCTATTGATTGTATAAGCTACATGACCATTGAGGACAGTGGCAACTACTCACCTTCATCAGTGCTTTTGAGTCATCCCCAGTCCACTGTTTGAATCGTCGCCCCTGCTTGAATCTTCGTAACCCACTGAAGGATGGGACAGCTGCCAGACGTCGGTCGATCTCGTCCATGATGGCGTCAGCTTCTGCCTTCTCGTGCGCTAGGTACAAGTAGTCCTCCACCCAGGTAACGAGATGGTCTTTGAATGTCCCTTTTATCACCTGGTGCAACAAATCCGAGGTAAGAATCTCGTAAATGCAAGCGCGAGGGAAGTCCCGGGTGAACGGCTGTGAAACGGATTAGATTGAGAAATTCTAGCGTGTTAATTTCAAAAAAGGGCTTACGACGACTGTGGAGTCAAATCCATAGTTGTCCCAGATCTCTTGATGACTGAATCCATTTTCGAGGATGGCGTCAATTAGCTCGTTCGTTCTTGGACCACCAACTCCTTCCATATTTGCCGGGAGGACCGTACATCTACGACAACTCTCATCAGCGATGCACCACAATTATCTTGTGATCGACGAACCGTGGACACCACCCTTGGCAAATACCCGCGAGCATAACTTGCTCTGGGTAGTCCGCGATGAATGAGCCAAAATCGTAGATGACCCTGCGGTAGTGGCCATCTGGGCACCGACGGATAACGGGTGTGGTCATTGCGTCCTTGATACTTTGGAATATTGCTGAAATTGACGAATGGTATAGCTGACGTTTGAAGCGCCGGAAGTCAGGGTCGTTGTCGTATTTACGGTCACCTAGACAAGACTGAGTATTGGTGTGTTATGATCATCATCTGAATGAATACATACTTTTTGGGATAGCAAGGAAGGCAATAGGAACAACGGCATGTCGGTGTGCTCGGCGCACCGAGTTATGAATATTCCCGATTGACAGATAGAGTGGATGATATTCGATATTGCCGGTTGCAACAGATACGGTTGTCTTGTCACTGCCTAGTATCAGGGGAACATACATGGCGCCTTCCGTCGCTGGATTGTCACGGTATATCTTTTCCTTTAATGATCATGTTGTAAGCCTCAAAACGGGTTAATGGGAAGAGGAAGACATACCGATTGTTTCCATGCAAAATTAGCAGACATAAAATCACTCCATCGCCGTTGACCCTTCTCATCAAATTCAACATAAGCCGCAGTGTCGAACTCTCCATCGAAGTCAGGGTTGTCCAACAGGTTTGTCAAAACCGTGTCGGGATCCCGATACCACACCTCATACTCTTGGTTCTTCCAGGCTGGAGCATCGTCCCCAAGGTCTTCATTAACATTGGCCTTGAAGCATTTCCAAGGTGCGTTGCCATCGTTGATCATGTCGATAGTGTCGTAGATGTGTTGGTATGAATCAAATGGCCCTGTGCTGCCGTGCTGCATCAGGGACAATGCCCACATCTCGAGAAGGGTGTTGATATTGGCTTGAGACATCTCGACACGTCGATAAAGGAAGTCAGTTAAGTTGAATTGCAGTTCTCCGTCGAAGGGGGTCCAATCGGTGCTGTCAGGTGTATAGCGTGGCGGAGGTGGAGTGTCGGAAGGCAGAGGATCGCCATTGATGCTACATGGAATTCCTTGCAAGGAGTTGAGTCTCATGGGAAATGAACAGTAGCCAGAAATGCAGCCCGTACCTTGAAGAAATGGAATGCGTTTTCGTTTTAACTTTGGGCGGGGAGCCTGAGGCGGGGGCGGAGACGGTGAGGATTGTGGAATATGTTCGTGGCCATGGTTGTCCCACCCGTTCGGAGACAGTCCACCTTCAGAACTGACAGGACTGCAACTCCGACGAGATGCTGCTGGCGATGGTGCTGCTGGCATTTGGTGCCCTGCGAGACTGGCATGCTTGGCCCGGACGTGGTTGGTTCGGCCATAGTCGGTTTTGAAACGCTCCTTGCATCTCGGAAAGGGGCAGGGAAGTTTCTTGATTGCGCTGGTCTTCCGGTTTCGAGCCATGGACAACAAGAGGACAGACCAAGTTGGCGCAGGACAATGGGTTCAATTGAAGGGATCACAAAAAAACAGAAAGAGCGGTAGAGTAGCAGGTAATGACACATCACCAAACAAATCCGAAATATCCCGGCGGGTAACATTTTTGCCTCTACTCCGACACCATCCTTCCTCTGTCCTGACTTCCAGGTCTTTTGGCAATCTTCCCACTACTTCCCTGCCACAGCGCCGATGTCGAAGGCCAAAAAACACAATCTCGACCCCAGCGTTGTCCTCCCGGATGGTTCCAAGCGCCATGGACGTACAGCACACTCCATCGATACCCCAGCGCCCAGCACCAAGGTCAACAAACGGTTGAAAAAAGATCAGAACGACGATAAGACAGCAAAGAAACGCCGACTTGCCTTGGAGAAGCAGCAGCAGCAGCTGCAACAGCTTGAAGACGACATTGAAGACCGCAATGCGCAGAGGGCAATGGCAGTGAAGGCAGTCGCTGCTGTAGAGGACAAGATACGTCGCAAAGAAAAAGAAGCCTTATTAAATGCCGAACACCCTCATCTATCAGCCATGGAGACTTACCTCTCGCTCGCAGCCCCAACCAACCAAAAGGATCACGACGACGATTGCGCCGACGCTGCCGACAATAATGAGACAGCCATCCCACCTCCAGAGTCCGACTTTTCGACCGATTCTGATGGTGCCAATCTCAACCCATTGAACCCGATGGACGTCGATGCTTCAGAGAATGGCAGTTGCTATTCAGAATCGGAAGAGAACAGCTTTGACGAGCCTGACGACGACGACGACGACGACGATGACGAGGGGTATAAAGCCAAGTTCCTTGCTCTGCGCAAGAAGCTGAGAGAGAAGGTGAGTTTGAGTTACCGTGTTATGAGGTTGACCATGTCACTCACTTGTGAGAGTCGTCACAGAAAATGAAAGGTGCCCTCCGCGCTGAAGTTGACGGCCAGCGCAAGCTCAAGTCTCATGCGCACTACAACCCAAAGCCAGCTCTGAAGGTACCAATCGACAAGGGCAGTGATGGGGGAGAGCAAGAAGAGATGTCCACGTCACGGCATGGCCATGGGAAATAGTGTGTTGTTGTTCACGCGATGGAACCAGTGATAGGACTTACCATTACTGTACACAGCCCTGCGAAGAAACCCACCAAAGAAGGTCTGAAGAAAGGGTGGGAGAAGTCGGCCAAGTTAATTCCCGCCTCCACAGCAATCAACAATCCACCCAAGAACAAGCCTCTCCCCAAGCCCTCCGATAAAGAGGACTGTAGCTCTGATGAAGGAACCGCCGGCATCCGCGATGAAATCCCACTGTCCACTCCGGCTGCTCGAAACCCAAAAGCGGTCAGTCTTAAACAAAAGAAAGGAACTCTCGAGGTAAACTGCACTATCCTACTGCCCTCCAACACACCTACTAATTTTGGTATTTGGCAGATGGGCATTTCAATCACTCCCGTCGACACCTCGTCCAAGGACAACACCATCCAAGGATCACGCAAGGGCCCCGATGTCGACAAGAAGGCAAAGAAAGGGTACTCGAGTGAGGACCTACCTTTTGAAGGCGAAGATCAGCTTGGTGGACTCAAGCTGTGGACCGACAAGGTTGTCCCCTCAGTCCTCAGCTGGGGTGGTAGCGAAGAGGACATCTTCGGTGTTGCCAGCCTTCCAGGATTCCAAGAGGTTGTGCAGGAGGCATGGGACGAGCAATTCCCCAAGAGTTCGACGAATAAAGCGGTGTTTTCTGTGGTGCGTATTCCTTTCCCAATTGTATCATTTTCTAACAGGGTCGCCACCGCTGCCAGGCAACCACTGCAGTTCGCACATGGCGTAGTACCTTTGGGAGGCGCGCATTAACGAAACTCGGCGACTATCTTCGTGAAGAACCGACCCTGCAAACGAAAGAAGCTCGAGTCAAATGGATCCGGGATCAACTCACCAACAATGTCTATGTCTTCAAGGACCCAGATGCCCAGGTGACGTCGGTAGTGTCTCTCCCAGGTTCTCATTGCTAACTGCTGTTCAGTCCGGGAGCTATCGTTCGCCTCTTCTTCTTCAAATCTACGCATACCACGAACATATTCTCGACAAAACGGACGATTTCTATGGACATCCTGTTGGAGCAATGGCGTTTGCAGCAACCGCGGTATGTTCCAGTTGTGTCTTGCCTCTGTTGGACCACGCTCACCAGTCACCCCATCCCTGCCACCTGGTGTCCAGCTTGAGCGCGCTCTGACTCTCTGGAAGGATGGTGTACCACCCGCAAAATCCGATGTCCGAAATTTCGTTCGCGGCCTCTGGGGACCTCGTGTCGAACACCACGTCAAATCCACTAAGCAATTGACCAAGAAGAAGTGGGGGAAGATTCGTAACGAAACCCTCAAGTACATCACCGGTGCAGACAGCGACGGGGAAGACAACGCTGAGAAGGCTGAAGTACACCGTGGCGCCAATACTGCGATCGTTGTATCAGAAGACGAGGAATCAACAGACGACGATTAATCCCTCCCCTGGTTCTCCTCACGCCGAGCCCCCTCTTCTGCCACTTTAATCATAGCTTTATTCTTCATTACTGATAATCTATATAAATCCCTACTAGCCTATTCTAGCCCCTGCCAAATACACAAATTTTGTCATCCCCCCATCGTTTGTGGCAGCCGTTGGTTGGCGTGTGCGCGTGTCAGGCAGCGGGAGTTGTGTCGCCATAATCTGGCATGTCGACACAAATCGAGCGTGGCGGGGTGTGGTAATCCGCCGGTCATTATGTCGCCACGGCCTGTTGTGGGGGCGTGGATGGGTGTGGTAGCCGCGGAACCACGGTCGCCACGCCCTGGGCCTTTTGCTGATGTAGTTCTCGCGGATAGGGACGTCAAAGACGTTGCAGAACGACTACTCTACCACTCAATCTCAATCAGCGACCGCCAGGATCTTCAAGCTACGCCAATTGAAACACTTGCGACGAACTACCAAAAGGCGGCAATGGTGAAGAAACTTCGAGTCGTCGTCGCTGGGTCTGAGGACGGCGTCATCATCTCCAGACTGTTGGAAGTGATGCCTCTGTTTGGAGCGCTCGTCGAGCTCGACCTCGAGCTGCTCTCTCCTCCTGAAGACCGAGAATCGATGGTATATTCAAACTATTGCAAAAGCGATGAAATCGTAAAGGCCCTAGTGTGAGTTGTCCGTCTGATATGCGCGGAAGATGGCGGCAGGCTTGGGCTGAAAGTTCCTGACGGATTTCCGCAATATACAGGACGGCGCCTTTTCGCTTAGGGGCACTCAAGATGAGCGACTGCCTACTATTGGAGAACCTCTCAGATATTCAGAGCTTAAGGGACGTCGAAATCGTCGTAATATATAGTACTGGAGAAGAACCCCCCACAGACCTCCAGCACGAGATTGTGTGTAAATGGGTCAATCCGGGAATCCTGGGGTGCGTACTCTGGGGTACGAGCTTCGGCACCTATGATCTATCAAGGACAAGAACGCAACTCCCAGCTATTTACCTCGCTCGAGATTTGGATTCCCTATGTGGGACGGTCTCGAGCGATTCAGATGGTCCAGTTCTCCTTCCCTGTATTTATCCAACTCAGCAAGAGAGGCTCTCGCTCTTGCGCAGTGTTGCTAGGGATTTGGAGGGAATTGGATACGACTATAGCCTCACAGGGAAGGTTTCAATTCGGGATATGACACTGTGGTGGGATGATATGCCGCCCATCCAGGAGATGCAAGAACTCTTTGAGGTTCTAATGGAATGCTTCCCTGATTTAGTCAGACTTTGTATCGCCATTGATTCGTACAAGCCAATGATTTTAGGTGCGATCTTCATTATTCTTCCTCGAAGCTGATGCTGACAAGACACTTCGCCCCATCTTGCGCAGAAGAACCAGTCACTGAACAGCTTAGAGAAGCCTCGTGTGTTCTAGCGGCGTCGAACATTACGAAGATCTCGTTGATCGTTATTCATGGAGTCCTTGCGCCTATCCCACTCCCATGGGAGGAGTATGTCCGGAACGCGGACCGTTGGAAGTCTGTTCTTCCGAAATTGACGGCGGTGCACGTGCATGGAGGGCATAATTTGGATTTGGATGAACAGGGACAATGGTTTGAGAACGATGTAATGGGTGAGGAGTAGGGAGGTGCATCCGATGTAGTGGTACGCCATATATAACCACGGAGGAATGAAGAGGGCTCCCAAGCACTGCTGAAGATGGAGTTTATCCCGAGTTGACAGGGCATCAAGATTGCTCGTAGGTTACTGCCAGCGGTAGGAATGCAAGCGCCCGGATTTGAAACAAACGCCCGTCTGATGTAATCGAACACAGCCACATTGATGCCACGTTCGATGAGGGATGTGGAGCGCTTTGTCGTTCGCCCACAACATATCGTACGCTGCACCAAGCAACTGCTCCTCTGGTGCATCTTTATCTGAAGAACACGGAACGCAGCACTGTCATTATAGCCACGAACAACCGAGCCCTATGACGACTTCGCCCCCTACTCTGAAGCGCCAGTGCTTTGGCTGCTCAGGTTGAACATCCAATTTTTGGAGCGATGCTGCCTTTCGGATCCCTGTGCGCTACAGTTTCGGGTTACGTCCTCCTCGATATCGCCCTCCATTGCTCTCATACACGTGTAGGATAACATCCCTCCCTTGACATCATTTCTGGCCTTTATACCCAGGAAACCGAAAAAGATATCCACTTGCAATGGTCCAACATTACCTTGACGTCACGCGTCCTGCTGCGACTCAGGAGGCGACTGGCGTCAATGGAATCGCGAAGTGGGGTACCATGACGTTATACCAGCCATCATCGTCATCCATGGAGCATTCAAAAAGGAGACTTATAGCCCACCTCACTTGCCCAAACGAACGATACTCTCAATCCCACCAAGCTTCTCTTGCATTCTCCAACCCCGTTTGAAGCCTTTTTCACGACCCGAACAAAGCATCTGTTATATCTTTTGTATAATCGACGACTTCTTTTGACGACACACTAATCGCTATGTCGCTGCCTCAAGCTCGAAAGGAAGTTTCTCCCAACCCTGCCCGTAACACTGTTGTCGACCCAGTCGACAAGCAGGCCCAAGCTGCCGACGTCGAGCGAAAGGTACGTCGAGGAGCTAATGCTTTTAGTTCATTACTTACATTTCTTTAGCTTCGACTCTATGGCGTAATCCAAGCCTTCCGCAAAGGCAAACTCCCATCCAACACCCAAATCGACCAAACCCTCGACTACGTCCTAAACCACTCCCCTGTCGAAACCCACAAGCTTTCCCCTGAAGGCCAGAAACTCGTTCAAGATGTTCGAGATATAATCGGCACCGCCAAGCTCATGGTCCAGGAGAAGAACGCCGACGAGCTCCTTCAAAACTTCATCTGGCACACCCAAGGCGCAAGCCGTGACGGCGAAGTGAAGCTAGGGGACGTTGTGGCTGAAGCTACGAGCTCTGCACCCGTCGACAGCGAAAAGGCGAGGCAGGATGGGCAAGATGGTAAGTGTTTCGTTTTGGAATTCGCGTCGGATCCAAGGCTGATGTTTGCTCGTATTTAACTTCAGCCCTTAAACATCTCCGCACTCTCGTCACCCTCGTTCTCACCAACAGCGAAGTCCGCAAGCTTCTTTCCGACTTCAGCATCATTGGTCGCGACCTCCTCGCCATCGGCGCCTCCAAAGCAGCGGGCACCGTCGCTCCCCACCCCGACCAACTCCGCCAAGTCGACCAGACAGCCCCCAGCGACCAGTTCATCACCGAAGGAGGACGCGTCGCTGGCCCCAACGAGACGCCTGTACTCGAAGGCAATGTACCGTTCACGGGAAAGAAGGTTCGACAGCACCCCGATGAGGATACTGCCTACCTTCAGGACCAGAGCCAGTTTGGAGCGCAGGGAGGAAGGCCGGTTGGGGATGTTGTGCAGGAAAATCAGAGGCGGTATGAGGAGGCGAAGGGTGAAGGGTTCAAGGCTGGACAGGAGGCGCTTGGACAGGCTAGGCGCGAGGCTGAGGAATATCGACACCTCGAGGAAGAGGGGAATGAACAAGGAAAGGAGGCGAAGAAGAAGGGTATCATGGGTAGGATGAGGGATGTCCGTGATAACGTTCGGGTATGTCTCATCGTTGGATCTTATTCTGGGCCTCCGAGGGTAACGGTATTCGTAGGATAACCTCAACGAGCGTATTCCACAAGAGCACAAGGACCGCGCCAACGAGCAGGCCGAGCGTGGAAAGAAGTTCTTCACTGAGGAGTACTTCCCTGAGGAACGACGCGACCAGTTCATCTTCCGTGCTAAGAAGGTACGCATCTCGTCAACCGTCGCGCTCATTTCTCTCGTATTCACATCCGTCACAGGTCATCCTCGAGTGTCAGAAGCACGACAACTATCAAGATTCGATGCGCTGGCTGCTCGGATACCTTGAAGAGTACGTCAAGCACGGTCGCACTGTGGGCCAGACCACCCAGCAGCGCACCAAGGAGAAGGTCCCTGCTGACAAGGTTTGTCTTCGCCTTCCCGTTCTCACCTCCGATGCTCATGTCGTCTACTCTACCCACTATAGGATCACCCCATCAAGCTCGCTACCCTCGAGCTCCGCACCCTCCTCGAACGCTTCGCCAACAACACGTCAACGAACGGAATCTTCGACGCCATGGACGCCCTCGCCGACGACGCCCGCCGCGACGAAGGCTTGCGCGAGTGGTTCCGCAGTGTCAACATCTGGATGCGCAAGGTCTTCTTGGAGCCTGGATACATCATCGAGCCCGACTGCGATAACCAGGCCCGTAATTTGCGGGAGAGCGGAAGGCGGTTCTACGATGGGAAGTACAAGGGTCACTTTGACAACTTGTTCAATACGATCGGGGAATGGTTTAAGGCTATGGGCGATGATCCTGTGAGTTTCACCACCTTGTCTGAGATCGCGAGTAGCTAGCTGACAGAACTTTTACTTGTAACTTGTAGCTCAACCAACGATTCGGAGATGACTGGGCTCGCCTTACCAAAGACCTCCTCTTCGACGCTGAGGGGAACCTCAAGTTCAAGCCCCATCTCTGGAACGATATCCGACGCGTCATTGCGCCCCAGCTCATCCAGAAGGTCGGGTACCTCCCCATCCCCCGCATCGAGTACACGGACGACAGTTTGGATTTGGTGGTCGAGAATTTGACTCTTCAGGGACGCAACCTCTTCCCCAATATTGTCTCGTTCGACGTGCACAACTTTGTCAAGTTCTCGCCTTATGATTCCATCCCTGGTACGTCGTCTGCGTATATGATTCAAGGTGACAGTGGAGCCGGTTTGCTGACAGTGTTCGATGATTTAGACGAGACGCACCACAAGATTTCGTTCACCCTTCAGCATATCCAAGCCGACATGCGCGACGTTGCGTTCTACTACCACAAGAAGAGTGGTATTCCCAAGATGAAAGATAGCGGTCTCGCCGACGTCTTGATCGGTGGTGAAGGTGTTTCGGTACGTGTCCCTCCACTTATCCCCCCCTCCATCCACTTAACACTCGTATCTCCCCCTGTCTTTAGGCCCACGTCACCCTCGTCTCAACCACCCGCGACCGCTCCTCCGTCTTCCACGTCCAAGACGTCAACGTCAAGGTGGACAACCTCAAGTTCTCCATCCGGGACTCGAAGCATGATTTTCTCTACAAGACTCTTCGCCCCTTGGCTACTGGATTGATCAAGAGGCAGATCCAGAAAGCGATTAGGGATGGATTGAGGACTGCGTTGGAGTATGTTGATGGACAGCTTGTTGGTGTGAGGGATAGGATGGAGAGTGCGAAGGTTACGGAGGGGCAGAGTCGGGCTGAGGTTTTGCGGGATGTGAGTTTCTTTCGTCTTCCGAATTCGAGGAGTGAGATGAGACAAGGTACTGATTCTCTGGCCGTACAGCTCTTCAACCGTTCCAAAGCCACCGCCCACGAAGCCGATGCACGCACGGACGTCAAAGTGGAGCGCGGGGCCGTCGGCGGGTCCATCCGTACCTCCACCTCCTCTTCCTCCTCCACGCATTCGTCAGGGAAGGAGTCGCAGTTTAAGATTGTGTCGGATAAGAGGCAATCGTTGCTGAGTAGTGTGGGGAACCCTGCTGGGTGGGTTAATAGGGCTGCGGAGAAGGAGGCGGTGAGTGAGAAGGTTACGCCTGGGTTGGTTGGGGAGGGTGAGAGGGGGTGGAGGAGTGATGCGTTTACGATTACGCCTAATGTGCCTGCCACTCAGGCTGCTACGCATGGTCATGGAACGGCTGCGCATGGTGCGACGGCTCATGGTGCCACTGCCCATGGCCAGCAGGTTCCGACCAGGAACTAGGCGTTCGGTGAAGTGTGGTGATGACCTTCTCATCTGACTTTTTGCGATCTTTTGACCTTTTCGAATCGATGTCCCCCCTTCTATGCATTCACATCATTCGCTTTCGATTAATGCAGCCTTCTGTGGTGATCCTTTCGTCTTTTTATTTTTCTTTCGCTTAATGGGACGCTTCGCATGGTCTCGAGTTTGTTGCGTTACTTGTAATTGTATTACCTACGACGTGGATGGACTTTTGTTTTTTTCTTGATACCTTTCGACATCGATGATGTACTTGTATCGCTGTGTGATATGATACTATGCTTTGTTTCGAGTAATCGCATGGATTGCTTGTGGTTTTTCAACGAGATATCCTCCGAGTTCTTGAGTTCCGGCGGCGAGCCTAATCTTCGGAAATTTCGGTGTATCGATGAGTTTGACCCTCAAAAAAGTGTAACACGGACACAGCTTGTCGACTGATTCGAGTGAGTGCTGAGTGCTCGTTCTGCCCGAACCAACACGCCGCAAGATTAACATTTAACAGGAGACGACCTGGAATAACGTAGGCGCCCATCGGACTTCCCCGTAAGCGCCCGCACAGCCGTGGTGAGATCAAGAGAGATCGCCGCAAGCGACTGTCTACAGTAAGAAGTCTAACGGACTCTAAATAAGTACAACAAAATGTATCTGTCAACTTCGCCTGTCCGGTTGGAACAGCATCCGGTGGGTTCTTTAGACATACAGCACCGCCTTGGGATGGATGGCGGTTCTTAAATACATTCTCTTCTCTTTCGTCCACCCTTCCCGCAGCAACTCACCATCAGCGAAGGCATAATGGGGTTGAGCAACTCAAAGCCTGTCTCTCCGAGCGCCATGTCTCAGCCTCCCACCAACCCTGTATCGGAAAAGACAGGGCTGTGGTGGATCGATGGCCAAAGGTTTTCGCCCCTGTACACGGTCCTTCCCGCCGAGATCAGGATCCTCATCTTCAAGTTTACACTCGCCAAAGACGTCGATTTGAAGAATCTGTACCCCTTCGAGGCGTTCTACTACAGACCAGGATGTGCGGGGCCCATGCGAGCCGATCTCGGCTTGTTGCGCACTTGCAGGAGGGTCTATCGCGAAGCCAAGGATTTGGTTTGGGATCCTTCAACGGGAAATTGTGAAGAGACGTTTTGGTGGGGTGGAACTATCCATAGACCCAAAGAATGTCGCTGTGAGTAGACAGTCTGTTCTGTTATCCCCCCTGTCACACCGCTAATAATTCCACAAACTACTTAGCGTACCTGCATCGCAATCGTTCATGGGAAGGAACGTCTTCGACTATCCTCACCAGGCCTTACACTGAATCGCAGTGGTCCAGGATGACGAGCATACACTTGTACATGGAGGCGCATTGCTGTACGACTCCGGTCTTTACCGGTTTCTTCGCTCGCCTTGCGCATCTCCGGCCTCGAGTCATCCGAATCACCTTTCGGCGTACAGATTGGATTGGGTGGGAGGCAGTCTCAGGGGGTCTCAGTTTAGGGACAGACGTTCCTTGGTATCACGACGATGCGCAAGCTACAGGAGCGATTCCGAATAGCGTGGAAGCGATAATTCTGGAGCTCGAGACCGTAGAGTGGAGGTCGGACGAGGTGGATGACGTGATAACGATGATGTTTGACCATTCGAGCAGGTGTAGATGGAAGCGGGAGGATGGGCGGTACTTGGTGTTAGACAGGCAGGCGGGTGTTAAGCAGTGGGATTGGATGGGAACGTCGAGACCTGGGTATGTTGGGTATAAGTCCCAGCCCTTGGAGTTTCAGACGCAGTACACCGTGAAGGTTTTGATGTTTACTCTGAGATACTAGGTGCTGCAATTTACAAGCCTGGAACCTGCTCTGGAGGTCGCGTGTTCTTGCTGATCGGATGGAAAAGGACTCAGGAGTTAGGTCCATTCTTGAGGTTTGAACATACGAAAACGAACGTCGACTCACTCAATCTGAATGGCATTACGCAGGGGAATCCACCCATCCTTTCCATCCTTCGGCGCAAACTCGACAACCATCGTCACCCTAAACCACATATTCCAAGCAAAAATCGCCAACATCAATCTAGTTTCCGTATCCCGCCGAGCTCCAAAATTCTGAACGATCGTGTCCATCCTCGACTCCATCGCAGGACAGACAGGGTGGCAGCCCATCTCTCGGCGGAGTTGAGGGTAATCTTCAATAGGGATGACGTCCCAGTCAAAGTTGTCGCCATTAAAAGTGCAGAGGTTGAGGAACACGAAATGGGGTTGGTGGAGTAGTGAGGCGTGGCGGCAGCGGTGGCCCCGTTGTGCGTTGTTGTTTCTGTCCTCCATGCCCATTTGGATCCCGTGGAACGCGGATAAAAGGGTTTGAAGCTGGAACGCGCGCGTTTGGGCGGTGTAACTGAGGTTTCTCGTTCGAAGGACTAAGGGCGAGGTGGAGGGCATTAGGGTGTTAGGAATAAATGGTCAGAAACTGGAAAGAGCGTAATACCTGCACGGCTGTGGCGCATTATTTTGCACTCTGTGCGATGTCGCGACTTCCAATCCTGACGCTGGCATTCAGGACTGCAATAAACGACAGTCTGACAATCAGCGCAGGTCTTCGAAATGGAGAAGCGTCGCGTTGGGGTGGTGTGCTAACGGGAACGTCCGTTAGGACAGAAAGTATGTGCATATGGTACCGGAGGTCTGACCACGTACGTTGAGGTTATCGCAAATGCGAAGAGGATCGAGGGTGCAGTGTGTCAGTGTGTCCTCTTGATCACCGAGTTCTTGAAGGAATGGCTTCCACCCTTGGACAGCAGGACGGAGTTGTGATACTTTGGCAAGTACCTTCGGAGGCATCTGAGCGAATTCGTCGACAAGTGCACCCAGCGTGCGCGGATAATACAGGTACCCCCTCCAATACTCGAGCATCATCTCGGCGACACGTTGATCATCTCGACGGGTTGGTGTTCCAGAAGTAAGTAAGCCCGCCACGACGCCTGGAAGTCCCAGGGACGATAGCTCTGCGACAGCTTTGACAGGGTTTGAGAACGGTCCCACAGCGTAGGCGGTGAACATGTGTTGAACGACTATCAGGGAATGGTCGACTCCTAGTCGGTGGGCGAACTGGGCCAAGAATTCCATCCAGACCTTCAGGATGTCCATTTTCGTCAACCAAGCCTGGATATTGGGATCGCGGCTGAGGTCCATTCCGAGGTCTTCGATGTCAGACAGGTAGTCTAGCGCGATCCTCATGGCGGTGGTGCTACCTCTGGGTCCAGCCGCATCGGTAAACACGGACGAGAGATGAGTGACGCGGTTAGAGAACGCGAGAGCGTAGTTTCTGGTATTATCCTGCGACGATAGGACGTGGTCGTGGAGGATGATCGACCCGACTGGGTGCCTCCTGAAGCTTCTCAGAATTCGAAACACGGGACAGCCATTGGGAAGGTACGGGTCGGCGTAGGGCTGAAGGTCGGAGGCGGTGTGCGTCCAGAGAGTAAAGCCAATTTTCATCGCCGTTTCGGAGGATAGAATGGGCGACTTCAAACTCGGATCAAGGTCCATAACGTTGGCAAGCGTCGAAGCGAGCCGCAAGATCACCGACCTCCACTCTGGACCGTTCGTATGGCGGAACAACGCATATAGGACGCTCGCATGGATACACTCGAGGATGCTGTACAGCTGCCCAGAGACCTTGGACACGGTGGCCGTTTTATAGGTCAGAGTGCGATCGCAGTGTAGCACGGCTACTCCGAGACAGGAGAGCGCAGTGATGCAGAGGTCCAGGACGGCGGCTATCTTGCTGTAGTCGATCACCCGTGAGGAAAGTTGGATCTTGGGTGGTTTTTGGAGGTGGTGGAGTATTGCGTCTAGGAGAGTCAAGTTGTAGTTTTGTTGAGAGATGAGCGAAGTCAAGTCGTCCAAGGCGCTTGTGTCGCCGTTTCTCGCTGCTAATAGGAGCTGATTGGAAGGGCATGATAATTTAGCATTGACAACGGGTAATCCAACCTGAGCTCAATCACCTCTCGTGGTAATACAGTCATACCAGTCATCAATCCAGGAGATATGTTCGTTGGACGCCAGACGGTCCAGGTTCTACGACTTTGCAGGTATGGGTGAAGCCAAGGTGAAGCGTACCTTTCCCATTTGATCGGAAAATCGTCCTATTTGGCAAGGTTGTTGATGGAAAACAATGCGCTCCGCGCACCCCGCCCATCGCGGCCCTGTGATCACCGACGTGAAGTTGGCCACGGCCACTCGTCATGACTCGGTGCAAAGATACCGTAAACCGCTCATATCTTCCCGGATTGCTGCTTTTGAGTTAGTGTTGACTGACTCTGCGTACTTGACGGGGCACATGGCCTACTTCTTACAAGTGCCGCGATTCTTAAATAGAAAGGCATCGCATCGCATTGATTCATCCACAAGTTGACGCACACAGTAGTTCTCCACCACTGCTTTCATGGATACCGACAGCCCTGCCTCATCGATGGACGCTACAATGGGCCAACCTGCGCTCACCGTCGAGGACCAGCCAGCGGCAGATTTCTCCCCCTCATCCTCCAACAAGACCAAGTCCATCGACATCGACATCGACATCGACTTGTCGCCGGCCAAGGTAAACCCACAGGACCAATCCATCCTCTACCACACCCTCCCCCTCGAACTCCGCCGCCAAATCTTCATCGCCTACTTCACATCATACTCACACCCCTCCAAACCCTACCGATTCCTTTCCTATTACTACCGCCCAGGTCATACGGCGCCCAAGTGCACCGACGTTGCGCTGTTGAGGGTGTGCAGGAGGGTGTACGCGGAGGCGCGGGAGCTCGTCTGGCATAAGGATACGGGGAACGGTGAAGAGTCGTTTTGGATCGGGAGCGCTGAGAGGAGGCCTAGGAGTCATCGGTTAGAGTTTGGAGGAGGGGAGCGTTATCATTGGGACTCGGATGTGCAGGTAGACCCGGAGGAGGAGGCTAGTCAGTTTCTGGATGATGTTGCGGGATGGGAAATAAACGACGAAGACATACACGTTGGGGAGATGTGGGACCAGCTCGCCCAGTCTCACACTTCAATCGCAGGGGATCCCGCTGTTGGCCAGGTCGCAGAAGAGCTGTTGGCGGGGGGTCCGGACGTGCCGATGTTCTTAGGCCATTTGGATGCCGAAGCCTCTGACGAGGTGGTGGTGGCCGACGAACCCGACGCCTCTGTGAGTGGTGCGTCGGACCAGATGGGCGACGGTGGTAGTCCTTCTGTGGATTTTGTCGAGGAAGACGGGGACGGCTGGGCCACTGAGGAGGAGGCACAATTCACCGACTCTGACGCCGATGACTCTGATTCGGGCAGCGCTCTCTACGCTGATGGTTTCATCGACGTTGACCACGACGACGCCATCTTCGACGATATTAGCGACAACCTGAACATCATCGGCCACTACGATATAATCATGGACCTCCACTCCATCGACCACCCCCGCCAATCGCGTCGAACGTCCCTGTTCACTCCATCCCAGTGGTCCAAAATCACCAAAATCCAGATCTTCCCCCAGATGTACGCCTGTAAATCCTACGAATTCGCCGCCTTCTTCACGTCGGTACCTGAGCTCCAACCGAAGACCGTCGTGATCACGATACGGTACACAGACTGGTGGTGGTGGGAGCGCGACAATGCCTTGGACTTGACCATCGCACCCCCTTCAACAGAGATGTACTTCCCACCCAGCGTCGAGACGCTCGTTCTGGAGCTAGAGACGATCGAGAAGAAAAAGGGCGAGCTTGAGGCGCATATTCGGGATGTGATTCGGGGGAAGGAGGGTTGGAAGTGGAAGAGGTTTGATGGAGAGTGCTTGGAGCTTGATGTGGGTGACCTGTCGGAGGACGAGGCTTTGAAGAGGATGGCTCAGTGGGAGTGGATGGGGCCGACGAAGTTTAATGGTGCGAATGGGCCTGGATATGAGCATCATCCGGAGGGGAACGAAATGAAGTATATTGTGCGAGCGCTCATTTTTAAAGCATTGCCCTCGAAGGAGGGACTGGAAAAGATTCCTGAGGTGGCCACCGAGGGAAAAGTGTAATTGTTATAACGACATGCGATCTCTGACTTGTACCGCCGGACATTCCAATTCCCCAGTGTTCTCCTGACTTGTATGTATGCATTCTGAATCCAATATGGCCGCAGTTCGTCCCAGAAAATAAAGGTCGGCGCTTTCGATCAACGTTGATTGGTTTCTGCCCCTCGCGCCGCATAACGACTGGACATTGGAACTATATGGCCCTCATCAAATCCTCTGAATCCTCTTTGTGCCAGTTCGACTACCTCTGAGTCGCATCCTCATCGCTGGAAATGGCGTTTGGAGAGTCTGTCCCGCCCCTGAGGGGTGAGGCCTGACCGGTGACCCCTCATGGCGGTCACTGTCGACGTCACCGCCATAGGGGACCCCACCCGACGACTGGAAGCTAAAATGGGTCTCTTTTCCCCTCCCAGATTATTCGTACGGAACTGAAACTACTGGGGTGGCTTCCAATAGCAGAACGTATGGCCTTCCTTTCAGTGTCGGAATATTGACCGAGTCTCCTACGATACTGGGCATTTTTAGTGTGTACTCGCGCTGATTGTCTCCATGCATGAGCGCATGAGCTTCTGATACCTAACCCCGAGTGAGCACAACCGGTCTCATCGGAAGAAGTACAGAACGATGAGTCTCCCACTGAAACATAAAACATACGTGTCTCACCTCTCGTCCGATTCTTCCCCAAACCATCATGGTGCACCAACACCCCGTAGTGTCCTCTAGCTCACCTCTCCACGGACAGAGACGCCGACATCGACGAAGGGGCGTCGTAACGCTCGCTGGGCCTCCTCGCATTCAAGATGGGAGCCCCCTGTACGCCAAACTGCCTCCAGAACTCCGTTTCGAAATATTCGAGACCGTGTTCGAATCGACGTTCGACATGAGCAAGGCGTATCCCTTCAACAGCTACTACGCTCGTCCCGGGTATATCGCGCCTAAAAAGACGGACCTCGACGTTCTGCTGACCTGCAGGATGGTTTACCTAGAGGCGAAAGACTTGGTGTGGAAAGAATCGTCTGGGAATACCGAGCTAGCGTTCTGGTGGGGCACGAAGGACAGAAGTCCTCCTCAGTGCTTCGAACCTAAACGCAATTGGAGTGAGTACATGATAGGAACATACTCGTTGTCGTATATTAACTGGTTCTGCGCACAGAATGTAGGAAGAAGGCCAGCGATGCCGACATTCGGGCAGAGAACCAAAACCACCCCTACCAATCTCTGCGCACCAAAGCTCTGAAACCGCACCAATGGTCGAAAATCACAACCATCCACATATTCTCTCACATATCCGCCTGCGACGCGGTCACCTTTGCACGCTTCTTCCGCCAATGCCCCTCCCTCCAACCCCACACAGTCAAGCTCACCATCCGGTACACCGATTGGTGGTGGTGGGAGATCGACAGCGACCTCGACGTCACCCAACTCCATCCCAACCCCGTCCTCCCCGACTTCAAAGATCCCGGGAAGTGGGACGACATCTTTTCGGACCAATGGAAGTCGCTGTTCCATTTACCCCGCAGTTGTCGCGCGCTCTTCCTCGAACTCGAGACGATCGAGAGTAAGAAGGATCACCTTTCAGTCCAGGTTGAACGCATCCTAAGTGATCCAAATCCGTGGAGGTGGAAGTTGCAAGGGGGGAAATGGCTGGAAGCCGATAGGGCGGGGATCGTTGAGGACCGGGAGTGGATGGGGCCGACTACGTTTGGAGAGGAGGGGAAAGGATACCGCCATCATCCCGAAGGCGACACAATGAGATATGTGTCGAAGACGCTGGTCTTTCGACCACCTGTACGGTAGATGCAATAGGGCCATTATGAATGCTCTCTTCTTTCCTGTGGCCCAAATTCGATCAGAGCCGTATGAGAAATCGTCAGCGTTCGGAATGCGGTTGGGAGGGCATTCACAAGGCGCGATGTATATTACCGACAACTTCCAAAATCGGCGAAACGTTGACTAAATCTGAAAGAAATCCACGTTGCATCCGTCTTTGAATGGATGGTCGGGATGGATTACCATCGAGATTCGAAACAGAAAGAGAACCTGGGGCCCAAGGAAGCGAAGGGATAATCTTTATTTGCTCATGTTAGCATTGAAGGTTGACGCTCTCCCGCCCGACTCGACAGAGGGTTTTGAAAGGGACCTCTGATCTCCCCTTGGCCACAGCTTCGCCGACCATGCGTCCTCCAGTCCAAGCGAGAGGATGACAACATCTGGGTGCGGAATTTCATCGCCGTGAAGCCCTGTAATCATGTTGCTCCATGGGCGCCTGCTTTAAATCGACGATTCCAGAAAAGAATTCATCAAGCCAAGAGCGCCCGTTATACTTCTCGCATCAGATACTTTGCAGAGGATTGGTAAGGTAAAGACTCGCATCCTTACTCATACTGCTTGCTGTGTGTTTCACAATAGTCGGACATTCCGAAGGGCTTAAAAGTGTGGGTATAAAAGAGCGCCTTGATCCTCCTGGCAAGCACAATCTTCCCCCGCTTCAACATGTCTACACTCGAATACTTCACCTACGACGGCTTCGCTGAGCAGCTCCGAGATGGGTTCTGGTATAACCAAGCCGTCAAAATCGGGGACCGTATCGAGTGTTCAGGTCAAGGTAAGTACGCCCTCTCCAATCACATCCCCTGTCAAGACTCACCCTAGCCTGTCCTTGTCCTCGGCCTTTCAGGAGGTTGGGACCCCGCAACCGGCAAACTACCAACCTCCATCACCGCCGAAATCGACCAAGCATTCTCAAACGTCGACCTCGCACTACGAACCGCCGGCGGGCAAGGCTGGTCCCAAGTCTACAAAATCCACATTTACATGCTCGACATCAAGGATGAAGAAGCTGTTAAAGCATTAGTCAGGAATATGAAGAAGTGGATGCCGAATCATAAACCGATTCTGACTGTGGTTGGAGTGAAGGATTTGGCACTGGAGGGGATGAGGATTGAAGTGGAAGTTGCAGCGGTGATTACCCCACCGGCATGATGCATGATGTACGATATAGATAATTAGAGATCACACTTCGCTGTTAAAAGCCTCGTCGTAACGAGAATTGGCATTCCACCTTCACTGCGGAAGCGTGTATAATGGAATCCGAAGTTTCTCCATGAAACGGTTATCCAATGCACGGGTAGTACTAGCGCCCTGATAAGCGGGGGTCGCTCCCAAAGCACAGCCACACACCTCGAACCCTCCGCCGCTTCGTCCTTCCGTTCAAGGCTCGTATGGTGACAGTTCCGACTGGGCAGACTTTGAAAGAGGTGCAAGTGGGGGAGGAAGACCAGGATAGGAGTGATCCGAGAAAGCGATATGGATATGATAGCGAGCAAATGGTACGATAGCAGATATGAGAGCGTGAAATGATCTAAATGTACAAGTAAGCTTCGATGTTATCCAGGTGATTCCAATGATATAGTCCCAAGAGATAAAGCAGCCCGAGATAAACTCGAGCTCAGCCTACTGCGCACCATCCCTCACTTGGTCACGCGGGATCCTCTTACCACCTCCCTCGAAGACGAGGTCATCGCCATATGTGCTAACGGTATCATCCCGATCCTTCTCGCACAACGCACGCTTCATCTTCTCGGTCAGATCCTCGGAGACAATCCGGGGCTTTGCCTCTCCAGCTTCAGCTCGTTCAGCGCGCCTGAAGGTCGTCTCCGGCTCATCGCCCTCCACGTTGTCCCTTCGCACTAGCTTGTACTTCCAAGCAAGAATCCCGCAGCATCCGAAGAAGAGAAAGACAAAGATACAGATGAGGAGAATGGAGAGCTGGGCACGGGAAAGACTGCCGCTGGGCTCGAACGAATCATCGTGGTTTGTCGTGGCCGTCGTGGGGATAGGGGTAGGCGATGAGGATGCGGTTTCCAGTGGCGTGATGAGATTTGATGGAACAGGGGAGAAGGCGGGGGTGGAAGACGAGTTGTTAGTCGACGGGTTAGGAGCTAGAGCAATATCACTCTCTTCCAGAATGGTGTAACTAGATGACACACGTTAGTCCCACTCGAAATGAACACAGGAAATGGGCGCACATGAAAGCATCAAAAATGGCATAACTCGCCGACTCGTCGCTTCCCATCTCGACGCGAACGGTATGTTCCGTGTTGGCGAGCCCGGTTGCACTAGCGAGGATGGCCGCTCGGTTAAAGTCCTTGTCCACGGTTGGCGTTTCATAGTCTTCTAGACTCAACAGCAGTGGACGCGAGTTCGGCAGTGCAGGGTCGAGCGTAATTTGGGTGGTGATAGCCTGCGGCCAACGTGCGGACACAAAGTAGACGGCGACACCTGTTGAAACGAGGATTGGAAGGGAACATGAATGGATGGATGGCGGTAAGACGCACCTGTGAATTTGAACTCGGCGTAGGCTGTCCTGTCCTGCGTCGATTGATAGGACCCTCCCAGGTGGTTTCCAAACCCAACCCCCGCCTCACTCCAGTTCCCAAACCATTGAATAGACGAGTCTTTGTTGTCGACCGTGATGTTGCGCAGGGCGTGCGTCAATTGAAGGCAGGAGAGCGCGATGAACAGTCTCCACAGCGAACAGAATGGGTTTGACATGGCTGGGTCGTTCGATATCGTTTCGCCTGTGAGGTGGGAAGGTTTAGGGTGAAGAAGGGTCACAGATGACGTCGAGATAACTCACAAGCTGATACAGTTGGGTTCTCCCGGCAAAAATCGTTGGGATGAGGGTGAAGCGACGCGTCCAGAGGTCGAGAGGATGGGGACCAGCGCCAACGAGGACGGAGGATGGCATCAGGGACTATAAAGCGGGAGCCACATCACGGTCCAGCAGATGGTGGCGACATTGACAGGGTTAATGGAAAGTTAAGCCCTCGTTGTACGTGAGATTTGATTGGCCTGTACAACAGCCTCCGGGGTAATTTTGGGCTGATGTGAGGTCAGCGCTGTGAGGTTCCTGAGCGTACTCGGCAGCCAAGAATCACCTGTGTGAGCTGTTCCCAGTGGCTCCTTGTGCAGCCTAGAGACGTTATTGCGTTTACAGAACCCCCACAGGTCAATAATCAGTGGAACACATCTGAATTCGACCTTGTCCTCAGAGTACAGGATGACATCGACAGACAAGAAAAGTACGAAAGCGGGGGCGGTGCGCCCTGGCGGGATGCGGCTCCCGCACTCCTGGCATTCCCACGTGGCTGACGTTGGGTGCGCGTCGCGTCCTGTTAAGGCGCGTGCCGCGCCGTGGAGTTCACACCATCTTCTCCTGAGACTAAGTATGCATCCGAACAGGCTAAGAGTGTGCCGGCTTCAGGTCACCACGTGTAGATTGCTGGTGAGAGTCTCGAGAGACACCTTTCCAAGTCCGTAGTATAAAATCGACGCTGAACCCGCTGATAAGATAATTGGTACAGGCGGGTGAACGGAGGTGAGTACAGTACAATTAATCAAGAAATCCAAAACAGGTACTTGAAAGTTGAAGTTCGCTTTCACGTCCCTCTCGACTCGTTTAGGACAAGATCAAAGAATGATTTGTTGCGAGACAAGCGCAAATAGTTGTATTTGGAGTAGGTAAGCGAATTCAATGAGCCCTTAATTCTACGTTGTTTGAGGACCAACACCCTAGTCCAACTCGTCCAGGGATTCATAGTATCGGGAATCCAAAACATCTTCGAAGTCCCGACTACGCACAAACAATTAGCCCATGCCTTCATCATGAATATGATGACGGAACTTACACTTCAAACTCGTCAAAGTACTCCCTCATCTCCAACTCCATATCCTCGAGACCACGTTTCCTTCGGCCACGGACAGCATTCGCGATGGCGCTTCCAGCAGTAAAGAGCAATGGGAACAACGGCTCCCTCTGCTCCAATCCATCCTCATAACCCCTCTCCAACAACTCAAACTCATCGCCCAAGCCGCGCTTGCGCTTGACAGCATTGGCGATGAGACTCCCCGCACCAAAGAGCAAGGGGAAGAGGGGCTCTGGCTCTCGTTGTTCGAGCTCGACATCCCCCAAGTCGCGCTTGCGCTTCTTGATAGCATTGGCGATCAAGCTTCCGGCGCCAAAGAGAAGGGGAAAGAGCGGCTCCCGCTCCACGAGTGCATCGTCCGCCTGAACGATGGGCGCAGCAATGACGGAGGGCGCGACGGAAGCGATGATGGCGGAGGCGGAAGCGACTGTTGCGAACTTGACCATTGTGCGGATCGGCGGTTGGGTAAAATGCGGATAGGTGCGTAGATGGAAACGGAAGTGAAAGGTGAGGATGTGTGATGGAAGTCTGTTTGTTAATTCGACAGGAACAGTACTCGACCTGCGAGAGACTGTGTGGTGTGGTTGGTTAGAGTGAGGGGCGAGACCTGCTGGGGTTTCACGGCGCCCACTCCAGCCTTTTTGAGGACTCCACATGCGCTATTTTTGCTACACTGGATTGTTCATCATGGAACTACTACACACAATTCGGTGGGCGGTGTGGGTTACCCATCTGTAGTGCAACTGTTGGGAAGATTTCGTAAGTATTCAAGGCAATTCAGTTTGTGATCCAAACCGGTTAGAGTGCAGATAAGATGGATCCAATTGGGTGCACGTTCTCGCTGTTTATGGAGACGTAGAAGGAAAGGCTGGCGCTTCGCCATGTGAGATATGGGGTCCACCCGACGACATCGCACCTGTTGAGAATCAATATGAAGGCGCCACGTCGTACAGTCCATAGTATATATAACTCGGATGCACCCTCGAAACCCTGAACCACGTCGCCCCTGCGGTGGCAAGGTCGAGAAGTCTCACACCCGCGACGGGGGATGGGCCCATATAAAACGTCGCCACAATACCCCTACCACTCGTATCCAACCCACCACCCTCGGTATCCTGGTACCGAGTGACCGCCATCGTCCTCTAGCATCCGTTGCGCCAACGCCCAACATTATCTCGTCATAAGTTGATTTTTGCTATGCACAACATGATTTCTTGATCGAAGAGCCTCTAAAAATAGACGGGCATTTGACTGAAAGAACTACATTCGGATGAGTGGCGGATGAAAGAAGCTGACGAAAGTGCACGGGCGTTCGACTGAACGAGTCCTATGCGGACGAGCGCTTAATTCGACGGATCAGAGATACGGGGATTAGTCTGTCGTCAAGTTGCATGAAGAGAATATGATAGGTAAGGTGCCCGTAAAACATAGTCCATGCCTCCTCCAGACTCTCCTTTTTGGTCGGTATAGGTGCTGCACCTTGTATATGAGTGTATACAGTACCTATTGTGCACTCTTAAAATAGAACGGAATGCTCGGTGTTTCACCGCCAAGGCTAGGAGTTGCACTGGTTCATTCATGTGTGATGGAAAGTATATAAATATCCGTGGTTTCTCCGACGAAATCTACAGCGCTGATCGACTGCATAGGTCTGTACGGAATATTATCGTCCGCTAAAGCGCCGTCACCCCAAACGAGAGTCACGCGCACCACCTCCCAAAGTCCCATCGTCGGGAGTCGAACCTTCATCCTCCACTCTGAACGTCAACACCTTTACGACGTACTTCATTGTCTCTCCACTCGGATGTGAGGGGTATACCTCTTCGTCCCCAAACGCCGTCGGTCCCATCCACTCCCACTTCCTCACCTTGTCGCCCCATCCACCCCGCTTTCCATCAACTCAGGCACCTCCACCTCTAGGACGCAGCTACTCGGAATAGCACGAACCAAATCCGCCAGCGATCTGGCAGGGGGTTTGAGAGTAATACCGAGGAGGAACGCGAACTTTTCGGCTGCGGTCTTTGATTCCTCTGGGCCGACTCGGATGTCCTCGATCAACAATATCCAAAGGGTGTATTGAATGGTTAGCTTTCATCTCGCGAGGGCGCAGGCCCTTGGGAGCGCCTTTGAAGAAACCCGAGACTGCGTCGGGCATGTAAATGCCTAAACGAAATGAAGATATGGAGTTTCGTGATGTTCTTGATTCGCCCTGCGGTTGAAAGCGCTTTGGCGCGTGGGCTAATGTAGAACACCCAACTGGGAAGGAACAGGTCTGTTATAGAGTCTAACTTATGCGCACGCAAGCACCGTCGGTGTTTACTTTTTAAGTCGAGAATATATCTTCGGAGAGTCGGATAGGCAACGTACGGCTGTAAACACTCTCTGGAGGGACGTCACTCCCTCTCTTCCGTGTTGTGCACCAAGCCATGCATTCATCGTTCCCTGTCGACGGCTTCCAAACAAACTCTTTCGCTTCAGAGTAGACTTTCTGGCATGTCCTGAGCAAGGCCAAATCCGTCCTTCGAGGCGCAATAAATCCAGCACGGTAGTAACGGGAAGAAAAAAGGGTAAGGACTGGACAGATCGGGGTATGATGTAACCGCCAACTCGAAGATCTCGAGGCGGATTTCGGGAGGGATTGTTGCGTAGAGTGGGGATTTAGCCTGAGCGTCTGCAGTCTTAGCGAAAGAAGGGACGGGGTCCTCCATGGTTAGGGGTGGGGTCTATGGGAGTTCTAGGAAAGGATCTGTTTAAGTATGTTAACACCGCCACTTTTCATTGGCAAGACGACCACCACTGTTGGGCTTCCCGGTGACCCTCGGGTTCACGATCTGAGACGCCCGTGATGATTCAGATGCAAATGAGGTACAAACTCACACCATGAAATGTAGTGCATACCGACGTGGTTTGAGGGTGCTATTAGTAGGGAGGGCAAGCTTGAATACGATCCAATTCTTTCAACATACTACTCGAGAAGGGTCACAAGTACGACAATAGATACAGGGGTAATCGGAAGGACAAATTAACCGCTACTAGTAGTAGCTACTACTTCACCAAGCTGTACTGATCATCATATCTATAACAACCAGGATACGCTTCAGTGTCCATGACATCTCCAAGCAAAACAGGATCTGCAAGAGTCTCGAAGGGTAGTAAGAAATCCAATGTAACCTGTTCATCCGCCTCTGGGCCGACCTGAGAGACGGGCCCCGAAATATCGTACAATCGGTTCTTGCGATCGGCGTTTTGCCATTTCGCCCAGATGCGATCGAGGTTGGCGTGGTGGAGGTAGAAAATGGGGTCTGAAAAATCAAAGTAAACGAGGGTCAAAAAAAAACGTGTACATGGCCCATAAATAAGACTCTCTGAGGGGGGTAAAGTAAATGCACGTACCAGCAGGAGATGCACGTCCACTCATCATAGTCCCACCAACAACCGCATGTCCAGCCCAATGAATCCCCGCAGCCTCCTCAAAAGGCTCACCCTGAATATCCACAAACCTCCTAAACTCCTCAAAGCTCCTCTGCGCCAACGTAGCCGCAACCGACGTGCTATTCAAGTTCCTCCTGACGCCTTCGAAGATCCCCCGGACGATGCACATGCCGGTGGGCGATTCTTCTGTGGCGCGGGGCCCGAAACGCACTTTGAAGTCCTGGAAGGGCCCGGAGAGGAGGCAGCCTTCGGGGGCGCGGGGACCGGTTGGGAGGCCTGGGAGGGGTGGGAGGGGCTGCACAGTGTCGAGGGGTGGGAGGGGCGCTAGTGTTGTGCCCGGCACGCCGTTACCGCCGAATCCGAGGATTGGATCGAAGATGGGGGAGTCTACGAAACTGCAAGGAAGGTGGGTGTTAAGTTGTCAGTATCAGGAAATCGAAACGGGGAAGGGTAAGAGACGTACGGTACGGGTGCGTGTGCGTCGAGCGTCCAGTCCCAGTAACTGGTTAGACGAGGGAGGCGTCAGTGAAAGGGAAAGGACAAGACGTCGATATCGCGTTCCGGACAGACGTACGGTGTTGGCCCTCTATATCCACATTCCTCACGCAAAGCGTTGGTGTAGAGTGTCACGAAATGACGGTGCCACGGTAAGAATTGTCCCTAGATTGAAACGGTACCCGTAATCAACTACTTTAGTATTCTATTCCCATTCCGAGTTCGCCTAATGAAAGGCCTCGAACAAAAAAAAAAAAAAAACGAAAAAAGAAAAGAAAAAAGAAACTCACGACAACGTGAATATCCAAATCGAGATCGAAATGGGTAGCGACGAACTGGTCGAACCTCGTCTTCATCGCTGGACGTCCGCGACCTGCATTCGAGGGTTTCTCCGCCAAACACCTTACAGCCCGAATGTAGTCCCGGCGCTGAGCGACTGTGAGGGTCCGCCTGGTACAGTCAGAGTGTTTGTTGTTGAAGCGTTCAAGTTGTTGTTGATGAAGCGTTCAAGTTCAAGTCGATCAATACGAGTATGGGGGGTCAGTTAGAGTAGTACTTAGTAGTACTAGTAGGATGGGTACCACTGACCATTCGTTACGGATGTCAATGTACTTGCATCTCCTTTGAGGTCCGGGGCGTCCAAGTGCTTGCGCTGAAACGACGCCTAGAAAACCGTTCAAAAGGATAGCAAGGAGGAGGAAAGACTGAGCGAAAGGGGCCATAATCGACAACGGAGCTGTCCTATAGAATATCGGTATACATCCGCTCCCCAGACTTTACTTTATATCCCTCCAAAAGGGACATAAATAACTCCCCATGGGTCGCCGCGCTGGTGTCTACGTGTGGGGTTGGGTTTGTTAATTCTGACTTACGCGGTAAGGCCTAAGGACTGGTCCAATAGTATGATGATCCCACCGAAGTGTCACCCCCAAACTCCAACCGTTGTGTAACTCAACCACGGGAGAATCCTCACCTCCACCCACAACATGTTACAACGACCGCGGTATATGACCGGAATTAGCAAGTAATTAGTTGGTCATTCTTATTCTTGTTTTTATGTTTATTTTTGTTTCTGGACAAGACTCCAACTGCCACCCAGTTCAGCAAACGTCTGGCACGGGCAGGGTGTGTGGGCAGCTTGCTCAGAAACAAACGTAAAGCAGCTAATTTGTCTCGCGGTTAGATGGCCTCGTCCCTAGCAGTGCGGCATTTATGCTGAACAGTGTAGCAGCTACCAGTAATGGCAGCTTGCTCAGTAGTACAGTAGAGAGTAGAGCAAGATTCCGTCGGACATGACACGGGTATACGTACGGACCCTACAACGATACTTCGTTCAACGCCATCTGGATGAATTAGAGGGGTCCAGGCTCCTTGTATTTGCTGTGAGACTGAGCGCCATATGTTATTTTTAGCATATTAATGCACATGGGTACACGCGGCTTATTAGCATACTAATAAACATACATGCGCGGCTTATTAGCACACGAAGTCGCAAGTCAATATACCGAATGGAGACGAGAGAGTCTGGAGGTACTAGGTAGGTAGGTAGGCAAGGCTCTCACAGTCATCCCGTTCGGAAGATCATCCAACCTCCCGGTCAGAACTGGTATTGGCCGCTACGCGATTCCCGAATCACTGGGTCGACACCGTACACCAATGTCTTTCAGTTTCTCCAGGATGACGCGACAGAGACGGAGTTATGCCAGACTCCAGAGGAACTATGTATTTAACTATAGTAGGGAGAGAGTGTACCTACTACCTATGGACAGAAAATCTCGTGCTTGTCGAATGTAGCGAGCACCTTATAGACATATCTAGCGAAGTCTACTACCAACTCTTTGTCTCGGATAAGTCTGTGTATCGTTCCACTAGGGTCGATGCTGAACGTTGAACGTTGAACATCTGCCTCGTAATCTGTGATGATGTCCCGATCGATTCCCAGAACGATGTGTGTACGTCGGCCAAGGCTGGTTCCGCATTGCATGATAGGGCGTGAATTTCGTCTTCGATGTGAACTTTGCAGAACCTGCATAGGCGGCGGTCCCTCGTGATGAAGTTTCCCTCTCGATCCTTCATTCGGCGCATTGTCTCCACTGCTAGGCAGTGATTTGACGTGGGGAATTGGAACAGGGCCTTCCAGTGCGAGGGGACTATTGTAAGGACGCGCCTTACACGATCACGTGTGGCTCTCTATCTCAGCACACAGAAGACCGACACATATCTCCAACTTACTATCATCTCGCTGTACGCGTACTCTACGGACAAGCTCTATAGACTCGATTCATACGCACGTTGAACGAACTGTGAGTGTTTTCTGTTCTCCTGTTTCCGTAGGAGAACAGATTTCCACTTTTTTTTGCGTATCTCCAAACGAGTCTACACGCCACTTAGTGGGCGTGGATTGGTAGCGCGTCTAGCGCTAGAACGTATACGACGGTAGCTGTTGCTACAACGACGATAGACACATGATGGATACCCTCAAATTACGAGGAAGAACGCTTGAACGAATTGAACCCGTGCGCAAGGCGCGGAAACCAAGGAATGCTAACCGAACGACGGTGGTGACGGACTCGCCTAGGCGGGATCCTCAAACCACACAATTAGACGACGAGACACCGACAGGTGTCCAATTAGAAAGGGCGTGTGGGTTATTGCCCGCCGTCGATGGAGAAACTTCATTGTGTACCGAGTTTGACGACGAGGACGTACCCCTACCCGAATTGTCTTCTATTATCGACGATTCCTCTGACGAGAGTGACGACGAGTCGTTCACGGTCACCCCGCCTTTTGTGTTTCAAGCTCATGTTGATTTTGACAATTGGGGTGCTGACGAAAATGTGACAGTAAAAATGGCCTACAACGCTCGCATGGCTACAGTCAAGGACAACGGCAAGCACTTCCCGACCCTCACTGCCGGAAAATGCACCATCGATGTTCTCGACACCTTCCATGTTGCCTGCGAGAACAAGGCTTACCAAAAAGGACTCGCCGACGACAAGGTCGTCAAACATCTCTTCGGGTGTTTTGAGGACCATCGTATTATCACCTGGATTGGAGCTAATCGTGCTACTCTGGCTGCTCTCAACATCACCGAGTTCATGAACCGTCTCAAGGAACTTGTACTGGAACGCGACTGGGCTACCGAATGGAAGCGAAAGATCTCGACCAGGCGCCAGAAGGACAACGAGACGTTCGAGGACTTCGCCAACGAAATGATTTACTGGAACAACCTCTTGCGTGGCACAGAGAAACATCGCGACAACGAACGCATGAAGGACCTCCTCTTCTCTAACTGTGTCGACGAGATCTCTGACGAATACCAACTCTCCGACATTCCGGAACAGTTCGAGAACGCCGACTTCAACGAGATCGCTGTTTTCAATGAATGGATCAAGAAGGTCATTGGTATCGACAACAAGATCGCTAGGCTCAGGGCCCTCTCCAAGAAACTCCTCGACGCCGAACGATCCAACAAGAAGGCTCGCACCAACAACTCCGGTTCGACCGGGGGATCTTCGGATGGCACCCGCGCCGGTCGACGCGCTGACTGGGTCCCGCGATTGACTGAGGAGGAGAAGGACATTCTCGCTAACCATCGTGGCTGTTTCAAATGCCGTCAGTTCTACGCCGGCCACCGATGGGCCAACTGCCCCAACGGATACCCGACCATGAAGAACTACAAGAAGATCACGGTCGAAATGGCTGCTGATGCCAAGAAGAAGTACGACGAGGCCAACAAATCCTCCACTGCCAAGGGTAAAGCTATTGCTGCCGTACTCCCCTCCGACGACATCGAGTATGAGGATTCATCTTCGGAGGAATCGGCGGAGAAGGACTCCTCGGCGGAGATTTTGGACGAAAACGACGACGAAGAAGAGAACGACGTGAGTGATCCTACAACTTCCGTACATCTATTGTGGAAAGCCTGCATGGCGGGGACCTCCGATTTTCCGGAGGACGTACTGACAATGTTTGACACCGGCTGCCATACAGTCTTAATGGACTCGAAAGTCGCCACCAAACACGGCCTGAAGCGATACCCACTAAAGAACGCCTTACCGGTTAACCCTGCATTCATTACTTCCACCGACGCGGAACCTTTCTCTTTGACGGAGTTTGTTAGATTCGACTTGTGGTCCAATGACAACGTATTCTTTTCCAAAAAGTTTAAGGCCATTCTTGTGGATAATCTCTGTGTCGATATCCTGCTCGGTTTACCTTGGCTCGAAGCTCACAACGTCATCATTGACTGCGCCGCCCGTAAGTGTTTCATCAACGGTGTTTATGACTTCGTGATTCCGCGACAGGTCCGCCGCCCACAGGTTCTACCTCGTTCAGGAAAAGAGCGAACTCATCAGCTGCGTCGCAACTGGAAAGTCATGATTGCCGAATTGAAGAAAGTTCTCAAACCGATCCGCGACATAGTCGACCGCCGGTGGGAACGTCGACCAAAACAGCGTTTCATCAAGTCCATGGTGGGCGCGATCAAGGCCGCAGTTATCAATGTCGAGTTGAAAGAAAAAGCCGACAAGATGAGAGCTGAGTTTTCCGATCTTTTTCAACCCATTCCACACGCTTCCCAGTTACCTGATCAGGTCACGGCGTCCATCACGCTCAAAGACGCCACGAAAACCATCGAAACCCGGACGTACAGTTGTCCTCGGAAGTTCCGAGACGCGTGGAAGAAATTGATTGACGAACACCTTAAGGCTGGTCGTATTCGCCCTTCAAATTCCCCTCATGCATCGCCGTCTTTCATCATTCCTAAAGCGGATCCAACCGCACCTCCTCGATGGGTGAACGACTACCGCCAACTTAACGCTAACTCTGTTGCCGACCGTAATCCCTTACCAAGGATTGACGATATTCTAGCCGACTGCGGGAAAGGTAAAATCTTCTCGAAACTAGACATGACTAACTCCTTTTTCCAAACACGCATGCGTCCTGAGGACATCAAATGGACTGCCGTTACCACACCATTCGGGTTATATGAGTGGCTCGTCATGCCTATGGGTTTCAAAAACGCCCCTGCCATTCATCAACGCCGAGTCTCCGAGGCCTTGAAGAAATACATCGGTCATTTTTGCCACGTCTATCTTGACGACATCATCATCTGGTCCAAGGACGTCTCCGCACACGAGAAACATGTCCGACTAATCCTCGAGGCTCTCCGGAAGAACAAACTATACCTTAACGGTAAAAAGTCTAAGTTTTTCTGCGAATCCGTTGACTTTTTAGGTCATGTAATCTCCAAGGATGGCATTCGTCCCGATGGTTCCAAAGTCGATCGCGTCGTTAACTGGCCCGTTCCCAAGAACGCTTCCGATGTCCGCCGCTTCTTAGGATTGGTACGTTATCTTGGAAGTTTTTTGCCTGACCTCGCTAGGTGGACTTCGGTCTTGAACCCGCTCACGAAGAAAGAATGCGATCGCAACTGGCCGGGTTGGACTTCCACTCATGGTCGTGCCTTCGAAGAGATCAAGAAGCTCGTCGTTTCCTCTGATTGCTTAACCACCATCGACCATGAGAACCCCGGTGAGAACAAGATCTTCGTAACCACGGATGCTTCTGAAAAACGCACAGGCGCCGTGTTATCGTTTGGCCCTACTTGGGAGACTGCCCGACCTGTCGCCTTCGACTCTACTCCATTGAAGAAAGCTGAACTTAATTACCCAACGCACGAAAAAGAATTGCTCGCCATCATTAACGCTTTGAAGAAATGGCGTGCCGACCTCTTAGGCGAGCAGTTTTTCATTTATACTGACCACCGAACTCTCGAGTTTTTCCAGACACAGAAAGAACTCTCGCGTCGTCAAGCTCGCTGGATGGAGTATATGCTCCAATTCGATGGAAAGATTGTGTACGTCAAAGGGGAGGACAATGTTGTCGCTGACGCTCTTTCGAGGTTACCCATTGTCGACAACAGTATCGCCGCTGAGAAGACAGCTCGCGAATTTTTCCCTTGCGACGAATTACCCGGTTCATCGACGCCGCCTGTAGGAGCGCTGTTCACGCCTAAAGGTGCGGGTATCGACGTCTGCGCCATGACTGAAGCGCTCTCCTCCGTCAGGTTCAAGAAACCAAAGGAGACCAACACTTCCCTCACCCTTGACGAATCTTTCGTCCGAGACATTCTTCGCGGCTACCAGCTTGATCCTTGGTGCCAGAAATTCGAGAACGCCGCTAAGGGCATGGCAGCTTTCAAGAAGAAAAACGGCCTTTGGTTCGTCAACAACCGTTTGGTCATTCCGAAATACTCCAACTGCCGTGCCTTGGTTTTCCAACTCGCTCACGACCGACTGGGCCACTTCGGTTTCGAAAAAGCTTACGCTGCGATCAAGAACGAATACTATTGGCCAGGAATGCGTTCCGATTTGGAGAAGGGCTATATTCCGGGATGCGAAGACTGCCAGCGCAACAAGGACAACACCACGAAGAAAGCCGGGCCTTTACATCCCCTCCCGGTTCCCGACGGTAGAGGAGAATCGATCGCAATGGACTTCATTGGTCCTTTGCCAGTTGACGAAGGATACGATATGCTGTTGACCATCACGGACAGATTGGGTTCCGACATACAGCTCATTCCGGTGAAGTCCACGATTACCGCTGAACAGCTCGCTAACGTTTTCTTCGACAAGTGGTATTGCGAGAACGGCATGCCTTCCCACATCATTTCCGATCGCGATAAGCTTTTCACGTCTAAATTCTGGAAGGCTTTGCATACGCTAACAGGCATTAAGTTACAGTTATCGAGTGCTTACCATCCTGAAACGGACGGCTCCAGCGAACGTACCAACAAGACCGTCATCCAGAGCCTTCGCTTCTGGGTTGATCGTAATCAAAAGGGCTGGGTCAAAGCTTTACCTCGTGTTCGATTCGCACTGATGAATACAGTCAACGCCTCTACAGGTTTCACCCCGTTCCAATTGAAGATGGGCCGTTCACCACGTATTTTCCCTTCTCTCATTCCGCGAGAAGGTCAACCTAGGCTGCAAGACGTTCTGAACGTCATCGAGAAGCTCCAACACGACGTCTCCGAAGCCCAAGACAACCTCCTCGCCGCAAAAATCGACCAAGCTCATCAGGTCAACAAACACAGGACTGATGAACCGTCCTTTGAACCAGGCGATCGAGTCTGGCTCACCACAAGACATCGCCGCCGCGAATACCTTTCTCAAGATAGTCGTCGTGTCGCCAAGTTCATGCCTAGATTCGACGGACCGTACACCATTCTCGACGCTCACAAAGACACATCCTCCTACACCCTCCTTCTACCTGAACACTCCAACACGCACCCCGTCTTCCATGTTTCTCTCCTGAAGAAGTGCGTTCCGAACGACGACAACAAATGGCCTGATCGACGCCACACAATTCCTAAACCCATCGTAACGGAGGACGGGCAGGAGGAATGGGAGATCGAGAGGATTCTTGACAGGAAACGGGCAGGAAAGGGCTGGAGGTATTTGGTTAGATGGGTGGGACATGGTCCGGAATGCGACGTATGGTTACCAGGGAAGGAAGTCGAAGATTGCGAAGCTCTCGACGTTTTTCTGGACGGCCTCCGAACGAACGGAAACACGGATCCCGACGCTTAATTCCTTTTTTCTTCCTTTTATTTCTTTTCCCTTCGAGCTACTGGGACTAACGGTTGACTTTTCCCCACTGGGGTTTTTAATGCACCACGCTAACAATGGGTCCCTCTTTTACGATAGCCTTTTTACGATAATTTCTTCTTTTTTTTCATAGGGGGGAAGGGTGTAAGGACGCGCCTTACACGATCACGTGTGGCTCTCTATCTCAGCACACAGAAGACCGACACATATCTCCAACTTACTATCATCTCGCTGTACGCGTACTCTACGGACAAGCTCTATAGACTCGATTCATACGCACGTTGAACGAACTGTGAGTGTTTTCTGTTCTCCTGTTTCCGTAGGAGAACAGATTTCCAACTATCACGAGTTTGAGGTCATCTTGCATCTTCATGACAGAGCTGGGTCGTAGCTTGTGATCGAGCATCCGAACTCCCTTCAGTAGGGAGGGGGGGCCCTGGAGGACTCCTCTATGCCTTTTCCAGTTCCCTTGCGCATGGCATTTTAACCTGGTCGACGATGTAATCGATAAGGTCTTCGTCCGTGGCTTCGTCTGCGGAGAGGTACACAGGGAACTGGAAGGATGATAGTTACTTTGGCCAGGTCTGTTAGCCAACCTCCCTTGCCAAGCTCGAACAAGCGGAGGGAGTCTCGCGAAAGGCGCATTTCGCATAGTGGTTCTCGGGGAGTCGGCATAGATCATGATGTCGGAGATACTTGAGTGCAAGAATCATTCATGGATCGACGAACTTTGATAGGCATAACTCCTGTTTCTGTGTATAGTGGTGCCCGAAAGCACCTCCCTTTGACGGGGAGGACCCCTCGAAGGAACTTAATTTGGGCGTCTTCTAGAAGTTTGAGGCCATTCTTCTCCGAGTCGATGGCGACGTCACATCCAAAGGTGAGAAATGGGTCAATTCTCGCCATCATCCTTGTAGAGTCGAGTTGCGATCGGGACAGGCAGGGTTCCAATAAGACCTTCAATCGGGAATAGAACTTGGCCAATTAATGCTATCGCGCTAACAAGTTGGCTTTCGATTCGAAGTGTTTGAAGAACAGTCTGCTCGCGTTCGAGGAGGAGAAGGTTAGACCGGTGTAGGTAAACTCCTTGACGACCTCGATCTCCCTGTCTCCCACTTTCAGCGCCCCATCGGATTCACCTACGCCGTTCGCAAAGTGCGACAGTACCGGTTTAGAGGCAAACATGGCCTTTGTGACTCGTTTTGCCCACGTTCAGTTGGAGGAAGTTGTTCGCGCACCATGACAGGTGGATATAGTCAAGGGTAGGTTGTAGGGCCTTGATGAAAGCCCGGGTGAATGCGGCGATGTCGTCAGCTTGTTGTAAGCTGTTAATGGGTTGACGATGTATTAAGACATCGGTGGGGGAGACGGGAGGTTTGAACGATGACATGAAGAAGTTGCATAGGCCTGGGGAGAAGGACGAGGTGTCACCAGCCAGGATGCCCCATAGTGAGGAGAACAGCTCGGAGTACTCGTTGTCCAGCCGGATGAAGTACTTCATTTTGCCATACAGTTTAAATTGCGCATCCAGTCCATGAGTGGACCTCTAGGCTCTGGCTCCAGCTTCGTATAGTTTGGTCCAGAGGGTGTCGAGGGGTTGGTGGAGGGGAATGTGTTCTGTAGGTCAACGAATAAGATAGCTAGGCCCAATTTTTCACCGACAGCATTGTCGATGGCGCATCGTAAAATGAAGGCGCAGTTGGTGGTGCGATAACCCTCTCGAAAGCCGTTCTGGGAGTCAGGGAGAATGTGTTTGCTGTCCATCCAATTGCGGAACCTCCTGTCAATGAGTAAGGTCATCAGATTCAGGAGGCAGCATTCCAAGGCTATGACTCGGATGAGGTAGCTTTTGGAGAGACGACGATACGTAGGTATGCTTCACTGGAGAGTCACAGTGTGCCTTGTCCTTTTTTTGTTTGTCGATGTTAGACTCGGAGGGTGTCAACCTCGTTTAGCGCCGACCGAACCACCTTTTCCAAAGTCACATCAAACCTCACGGAAATCGAGTGGCGGACACGAACACGGCCATGACCTTCCGTGAGGCTCTGCGTCAATGGAAAACGTACAATCGGGAGTCTCAGTTTTCAAAGAGTTCCTTCACCTCGGGCCCCATGTGCTCGGCGCTGTTGCCACAGTGTCGTCACAACAGGCGTTTACTTCGCAAACTTTGCCCTGTAAATCGCAGCCTCTCGTTTCTATCCACCTACTCTACATACCGCCCTGTCGTGTCCGCGATAGCAGACAAAAGATAATCATCAGAACCTCGGCCCTCCGGTAGCCTCTACCCGCCTCATGTTGATGGCATCACAAGTCCGAGGAATAGCCACCGACGGGCGCTGCTCATCACAACCACAATCCACGATGCACTGGTACTCACTTGACCGACAACCACGACCCCAGACGCATAGTCCGCAGCGTCCTCTGGGATTCCCTCTATCCGTCCCTTCCCCCCTAGCCGCCTGGTGCGCATTGGGTTAACAACCAACAAATAAAGAAGAAAACGAAACGAGTTCTGCTGGTCGGAACGCTTTATTGACGGATATGAGATGCTCGGTTTTGTGAGTGGTCGTTTAATTTTGGCTGGTCGTGCGGTAGTGGAGGTTTTACTGACATATATACCCCGTCCCCCATCTCCACTTTGTCCACCATTTGGCTATTTCGATCGCATAATACCTCGTCCAATCCAACCAGTCGGTCCTCCTTCCCCTCCTTCCCTCTCCTCCTCCCCCTCCCTCTCCTTCTCTCCCTCTCCCTCTTCCTCGTACTCTCACACTCCCCCACCCCCACCTCCGCACTCCGCATAACAGTCCTCGGCGACCCCCTGCAAATCAAAGTCAACGAGCCCACCCTCGTACGATGGCAGCACGAGCCCTCCGACCCACCCGGCTTCGACTTTCGGTTCGTGATTGACGAGCGGGATGTTGGACTCGCTAGAGCGAATATCGTCGTGGATCGGCCGATGGATGATGAGGGGTTTGTGGATGTTAGGTTTCCTAGGCCTGGGTGAGTGGGTTTGTCTTTTGGTGGAAGGGGATTTGGGAGGGTGGGTTTGGGTGGGGTGTTGGACGCCTCGTTCGTGTCTCGTTGGTTGAGCAGATGGGTTATGGAGTGTGTACGCATCTATGCTATTGGGTTGATGATACTACACGTCCTCCAGCCCCTTCACCGCTCTATATTTCGATATACGCAGAGCGCTCACTGACATGATTCTTGTTATCTAGAATCTACGAAATCAAAGCTGTCGCAGGTCCTGGGTTAGTTCTGACCACAACCCTGTCCACCTCCTAACCTAACCCTTCGGTCTACATTTCCAGCCCCCGATTCCGCGTTATAGGTACCAGCAACGAAGTCGTCGTCTCTCGCGCAGCAGCGTACGTATACCCCTTCGTTGGGAAAGTTAGTTTGTGGAGTGATATTGATCTACCTGGGTGTATAGTACGACGACCACCTCGACCACTTCGAGCAGTACTTCAAGCTCGACAACCTCCACTTCTTCGTACGTCCCGTTCATCCTCCTCCAAATACCTCTCCCTCACATACATCGACACTGCCAAATCCATTTTCCACTCTCACTCCTAGATCCCCAACGACTTCCACAACCACCGAGGAACCCCTAACAGACCCCGCCCGCGCAGGCCTAATCGCAGGGCTCATCCTCGGCTCCCTCATCCTCATCTGCCTCCTCGTCCTCTTAACCATCTTCGTCCTCCGACACCGCCGCATCGCCAATGAGAAGAGTGCGCGGCTGTCGTTTTACCCCGAGCAGATGGTCCAGGCGGCGCCCTCGAGGGGTGGTAATGGAGGCGATGGTAGTAGCGCAGGTGGTGGTGGTAATACGCTTGAAGGAGGTGGCGGTGGTGGGGGTATCGGCGGTTTGGCTAGACGCACGATGAGCGAACGGAGGAGCAAGTTCCTCTCCCGCCTCACTATGATGACGCGCTCCCTCTCGTTCTCCAGCTCCAGCGCTGGTGCGGGAGATCTCGAACAAGGCATCATCACCAACGGAGGCGCGAATGGTAGAGCAGGACTGAGAAACTCGTCGATTGCGAATATCATCACGCCCTTCCCGCCTCCCTCTGAGCTTCCCCCGCCTCCTACACCCTCGACGCGTACATCGGATGGCACTGTACAACACCCTCCCGGTATGGTGCAAGTCCCTGGCGCACCGGTCTCAGCCTTGACACCGGTAATACCAGCCTCAGCTAAACCAACCGTCGTCTCCTTCGCAGCAACAATCGCCAGCCCGCGCGGAGTGGTGTTCACCAACCCGTTCGAGACGCCAGCTGAGCGTGAAGCTCGTGAGCTCTCTAGGAGGGCTACCGGGGTCGGGGTGGGGGTGGTGAGGCCTCTTCCTACGCCCCCTGTCGTTCCCACTGGGCCTGTTCCTAGTAGTAGTATCATTACTCCCCCGGTGTCCGCAGGTGCGCTGAGACCGTTACCCCAAGTCCCCCAACCTCCCTCGCCTGCTCCTCCGCTTACAGTACGCGATTCGGTTCACCGACCGCCCTCGACGCCTCAGCCGCGAAAGCCGCTTCCGCTTCCTGTTTTACCGCCGATTACCGCTACACCACCTCTTTCGATGGTGCAGTTGCAGTTGGAGGGGAGTCGGCATCGTGCGTTGCCTAGTGTCCCAGCGAGCGGTAGTAACATGGACGGCCACCACCTTAACACGTCTCTGGTAACGAAGACCGACAGCCAACGACCGTCATCGAGTCGCACTGACCTCCCATCGAATCCGAGAGACCGCCAACGACTCCCATCAAATCCGAGAGACCGCCAACGACTCCCATCAAATCCGAGAGACCGCCAACGACTCCTCGAAGACCGGCTCCACGCCGTCCAGGAACGGATCGAAGAGGAGGAGTTTAGAGCGCGGGTGAGGCTGAGCGAGGAGATGTCGTTGAGGAGTTTGGGGGTGCATGTTCCTGAGGGTGTTCCCGCTTCCGGGGGCATTTCAGTGGGCAAGAAGAGCAAGAGTAACGGTAACGGTAACGGCGTACGCAAGGAAGAGGGTCGTAAGGGCAGTTCGGACTCATCAGGGAGGCTGGGTGATGTCGATGAAGATGGAGGAAGAGGAGGAGGTGTGTGGACGCCCCTGATGGAAACACTTAAGGAAGAAAGGGAGTGGTTGGAGAGTGCGTTGGAGAGTGAGTGGGCGAGGGGGAGGAGTGATGAGGTGCCGTGTGGGTATAGTCGGTATATGGTGGCTTAAGGATGTAGGTTGGGTGAGTTGTAGGAGGAGGGGTGGAGTGAGGAGGGGGTGTCGCGAGGTAGGATGGGGTTGTGAGTAGGGTGTTAGGTAACTTAGGGTGTAGGTCGTGAGTTGGTGAATACATGAACAGATTGGTTTTATCTTCCAGTACAAGTGGGATTTTGTTGCACCGTGACCATGATCAATCTATGCCAGTGGTTTCTTCAGTTCTATCACTTCGTCGACCGTCTTGTTCGCTCAGAGTGTTCTTCCACGTCGATTCGCGGGCTCGTGAGTAGTTAGTTGGTTATTCGTTGTACTCGTGTGCTCGTGTGAAGAGGGAGGAAGTCACTCAGTCCACGAGGACGCGATCGATTCAATGGACGAGGTCACCATACGCATTCAATTGACGAGGTCGCCTTACGCATTCAATCTTCAGCGTTCAAACGTTCAACCTTAAACAGCTGTCGATCTGTCGACGATGGTAAATACGTCCGAGTTCGAACCTTCGAATCTATGTATGTACATGGCTGTCGAGTCGCAAGTATCTTCTGAGTCAATGGTCAACCATGGCTAGATCTAGAGGAGAAGTGGAGACAACGCAGTGTTCTCGGCGCTCGTTCGACAGCTGGCCCCCGGATTCAGCTACCTTGGTTCGAGGACTTTGGAATGACTCTGTGCGCTACTCTTACTCTATTTCGGGATTTCGAGTTGACTCGTCAGGTCCGAGTACGAGTGCGTCTCGAGAGTTCAAAAGACTTGAACTCGTCAGGTTCGAGTCCGAGTCCGAGTCCGGCGTCATAGCACGTTGGATTCTAGGAATGGAGTTAGCACCCACTCAGGCTGGGAGTGGAGGAGGAGGTGCGTGTCGGCCGACGGCGATAACGCCCTTGTATATATTCGACTTTACATATATTTCCAAGTATACAGTAAACGAGGAAGTGACGCAGATTGGAATTCGGAATTCGGACAAGAACAAATTGAATTTGGTCAACAACTTGAACGAAGAAGAACTTAGAAGGAAGGAAGGAAGGGAGGAAGCCAGGCCCCAGGGTCGGCTTCTCGCACGCACGGAATCTAAACTTTAAGGATTTCAGGTTCAGGTACCCGAGGTTGAGGATTTCGACAATCTAACATTGAGCATTCGGACTACGTATGGATGTACATACCAGTGTCCTGGAGCCTGGATATGGGAGCGCGCTCCGCGTTGGTATGGAGTACACGAGTAGGTATGTATGAGCGGGCCAGGTCGGCGGCGGCGGCGGTGGAATGTATGTTCACCGACGAGGTCAAGTTCGGGTGAATGGACTTGTGTTCTGCGGGTGAAGAGGCCGAAAGACGTGAAAGTCAAGTCAAGCAAGCTTCCCTTGTCCGCACGAGAGCAGTTAAGGGTGTTTTGAATTGAAAACAGTCAGAAGGCTTTAAATTGGCCAAACCCTCACACAATCAAAGTCAAACCGTCCAAGGTCCTGACAATCAAAAACTGCCCAAGGTCCAGCACAGGGATGGCGGTATAGGCTTGGGAAAAGCGCGTTAGGTAGATTTCTGGAGTGATTTAATCAACCTAACGCATGAAAAAGGAAACCGTCCCCTCTGCCAAATCCTAAAGGGGATAGCCCAGATCCTTAAGGCAGGTTGCAAGGAGGCAGGAAGTTGGGCGACGGTTATGTTGTGAGGACGGTCGAGGGGAGTCCGGGAAATTGAAGGTTGGCCCTCCGGGCATGGCAGGACACTGTGCACCTTGGCCTGTAGACCGATCCACGCGGAGGTCGACGACCATTCGAAGCAGCCCACGGCCAGAACCAAATCTCCGCCACACCGTGGCTTTTGATAATTTTTCCAGATATACAAGTTTTGAATACGCCCTGTATTGGTTCCAAACATATATATTACACTTAGTAGTCTATGAATGTACGTGTGAAGAAATCCCCAGGTTTAGTCAGCAGGCGTATCGATACGCCTGCTGACTAACATCTGGTTTCGACCATTCGAAGCAGCCCACGGCCAGAACCAAATCTCCACCACACCGTGGCTTTTGATAATTTTTCCAGAGACAAGTTTTGAATACGCCCTGTATTGGTTCCAAACATATATATTACACTTAGTACTCTATGTATGTACATGTGAAGTATTACTAGTGTGTTCAAGATACCAATAAATGTGATTAGTGAGGATAACCTAGGAAGGAACATAAAGGAAAGCTAGCTCCAAGAAACCAAAAAGAAACGAACAAAGAGTAACCTCGTCCTAACGACCAGGGGACTGGATATGACCTTCAATGAAAGCATTGGACGACGAATGTATGCTCAGGTGGAATTTGCGTATAGGTCCAACGCCCCGCATGGCTGTCTTCCACTGCTGAAATGCGATAGGCTGGTCCGAATTCTCCACACCATTCTCTATGTTGCGTAGCCGTCTCAAATACCAATCCTCCCTCCGGCTGCACCAACGACCGTAGTTATCTCCACAATCCGCACGCTCGTATGCTCGAGCAAGCGGCCACCAAGACTTCATAGCGGTCTGCCCCGTTCCTGATTCCCCGTTTAGATCAGTAAAATCGTCCTAAACAACAAGTAGAAAAGAGGGAACAGTACTCACTCTCGTCAATGCAAAGATACGCCCCACATATCAAATCGAGCTCTCTTGCCGTCAAGCTATCGTCCACGTACTCGCCCATGCCGTTTTGAAATTGTATAGATACAGTAGCTGTCGCGAAGAGCGAACACTAAACCAAACCAAAGACCAGTGATGCGGAGCAGATAAGAGCGGCGAGTAAGATAAGAGCGATGAGCGACAAATGCAGATGAAGGCTGAAGCGATGTATTGACGAAGAGGTCAAGCTGAGGAAATACAGAGGAATCTACCTAGCTTATATACCTATTCTACAGTCTACATAGCCGCGATGAGTCAAAATGACGAAAGGGTGGTGAAACACAGAAGAACAATAAAGAGGGTCACAAGGCTGCGCGGGGCTGCGCGAAGAACAAGGAGAAGACAATAGAAGGGGAGTCACGAGGCAGTGCGAGAAGGAAGAACAATAAGAAATAGGGCAGAGGGTACATCGAGGCAGTGTTCCATGAGAGAAAGAGTCCGTATCGAGAATAAAGGTAGAAATGAGAATAAAGGAGGGAACGATAAGGGAGATGAAAGTGATAAGATAAGATAATGGAAAAATAGGGGCTCGTACCCGCTGTTCACGACATTACCCCCCTTCTAAGCTGTCGGATCGTCCTCGATGATCAACGGTAGGCGGCGTCCAAGTTCCCATTCGAAGTCGATAGGTGGAGCGTCGGTGAAGTTCTCGAGTGGGCGCCAGGGGAGAGAGCTGAAGACGGTGGCGGAAATTCGACGTGGTGCAGAGGGGTAGTCGTTGATGGAACTCCTTTACAATCTCCGGTGCAGTGCTCCAGGTTCTCTTCCGGTTCCCAAGATGTCGTCCGTCGACCCGTAGCCTTTCCAACTGACCAGGTACTCCCAGCTTACGGTTCTTCCCTCGGCCCTTCCAGCGGCTGTCCAAGATGTCGTGAACCTCGTACTCAAGCTCTCCCTCCAGTTCAACAGGCTCAGGCGGAGGTGGCAGAATGCCGTTGACATCATTGCCCTTCCAGGGGGAGAGCTTGTCGACGTGGAACACTGGGTGAATGCGGGATAGGGAGGGGGGAAGCTCAAGGCGGTAATCGAGGTCGCCAATGCGTTCGGTGATCTTGTAGGGGCCGAGTTGGAGGTCGCCAAGCTTCCGAGTAGGGACTTTGATCTGGATGTCCTTAGCGTTGAGCCAAACGTGGTCACCAACCTTGAACTGATGGGCTGTTCGTTTGCCGGATTCGTACAAGTCCTTCTGTTGTGCTTTCTCGAGACGTAAGGCGGCTTCGGCGTCCTTGCGTACCTCTTGCAGTTGTTGGATGCGCTCGTCGACAGGGCGAAGATCAGTGCGTTTACCGACGGGAATGTTGAAGTGAGGGATGTAACCGTAGAGGACTTCGAAGGGGGATCGGTTGTGCGCGGAGTGGACTCGGGAATTGATCACAAATTCGGCCATGGGAAGGTGCTTATCCCAGTCGTCTTGTCGGCGGCTGACGTACAAGCGGAGGTACTTCTCGACTTCTTGGTTGGCCCGTTCTGTTTGTCCGTTAGCCTGAGGATGATAGGCGGTGGTCAGGTTGGATTCGATGCCGAGACGCTTGAGCAGGGTGCGCATGACTTTGGAGGCGAACTGGGGGCCGCGGTCGCTGATGAACCGGAGTGGAAGGCCGTGGAGACGGAAGACTTCTCGGTAGTAGATGTCAGCGACTCCTTCAGTGGTGATGTCCGAGGTGCAGGGGAGGGCATGGAGAAGCTTGCTGTAGTGGTCGACGAAGACGATGATGGCATCATGCCCATTGGCATCAGGAAGCTGGGTGATAAGGTCGACTCCAACGGTCTCCCAGGGGCCATCGGGTACCTCCAAGGGCTGAGTCGAGGCGCGGGGGTGCTGGGCGTGTTTCTTCCGGGCACAGATGTCGCAACCTTCCACATACTTCTTGACAAAGGCTCGCATGGTCGGCCACCAGTACTGTCGTTCAACTCGTTCGAGGGTTCCATGTACACCGGGATGTCCAGAGGTAGGATCGTCGTGGCACTGTTTGAGAACGTCGCGTCGGAGTTCGTCGTCTGGGGGAACGTAGACTCGACCCTTGTAGTAAACAAGGCCGTTATCCTCCTCCCATTCGGCAAGACCAGAGGTGAGACGACGGGGACCTGTCTTGCGGAGCTGGGCAAGTCCATCCAGGACCTGGGATTCTCGGGCACTGGCCTGTCGGATACGGTCCTCCAAGGGGTTGATGACCATGCTCGAGGCGGCGAGCTTGGCAAACAGCTCGGGTTTGAGTACCACCTGTTGTTTGTTGTCCTCGGCGTCGGAGACCTGGTGGACGTCGAGACGAGAGAGGGCGTCGGCTTGGGTGTTTGTCTTGCCAGGGCGGTGGGTGAGCGAGAACCGGAAGCGGGAGAGGTAGAGAGCCCAACGAGCCTGTCGACGGCTGAGGTCTTATGCGGTGCGCCAGTATTCAAGGTTGGAATGGTCAGTGACAATCTCGAAGGGTTCAGGGAGTCCTTCCAGGAAGTGGCGCCAGTCCTTGAGAGCCTCGATAATGGCCAGCATCTCCCGGTCGTAGATTTCGTAGTTCCGTTCGGCGGGCTGCATGGAGGCGGATCGGACATGCAACGGGGTGCCAGAGGCCGTCATCCTGCTTCTGGAGAAGGGCTCCTCCAGTGGCAAAGCCGGAGGCGTCGACTTCAATGCGAGTGGGGCGGTACAGGATCCCAGAGCGTCAGAATGGGGGCGGACGTGAAGGCATTGCGGAGGGTGTCAAAGGCCTGCTGTTGAGGATCGTTCCATTGCCAGGGGATGTTTCTTCTTGGTGAGGTCGTTGAGCGGTCGGGGCGATGGTGGCAAAGTCCTTGATGAAAACGGCGGTAGAAGTTGGCGAAGCCCGAGGAAACCACGAACGGCGCGGAGGTTGCGGGGGACTGGCCAGTTGCGGACGGCTTCGACCTTGGCGGGGTCCATGCTGACTTCGCCCTCGCGGATGATCAGCCCGAGGTATTCGATCTCCTGACGTTCGAACTCGCACTTCTCTGGCCGGAGATACAGATCATGCTTCTTGAGGCGATGCAGGACTTCGTGTACAACTTGCCGGTGCTCGTCGAGTGTGGGCCGTAAAAATGAGGATGTCGTCGAGATACACTGCAACCTTCCCTCCAGCGATGAGGTCGGAGAGAGATAGAGTTCATGAGAGCCTGGAATGTTGCCGGAGAGTTGGTGAGGCCGAAGAACATAACGAGTGGTTCGAAGAGACCCTGGTTGGTGGCGAATCGCGGCCTTCCACTCGTCTCCTTCCTTGATCCGGATATTGTTGTAACCCCAGCGAACGTCGAATTTCGTGAAATACTTGGCACCGCGGAGTCTGTTGACGATGTCGGAGACCAGGGGGAGGGGGTAGCGGTTCTTGACGGTGATCTCGTTGAGCTTGCGGTAGTCCTGAACGAAACGGAGCTTGCCATCTTTCTTCTTGACGAAAGAAGACCGGGGAGAGAGAGGGGAGACTTGGATGGTCGGATGTATCCCTTCTTGAGATTCTCGTCGAGGAATCGGTTCAGCTCTTCTTGTTCGTTCTGAGACATGGGGTAAACCTTGGTGCGCATGGTAGCCGGGGCTCCGGGAATCAGATCGATGGCGTGGTCCCAGGGTCTGTGTTCGGGTAGGCGATGCGACTCGGACTCGGAGAAGACGGAAGCGTGCTGGCGGTACTGCGGGGGAACCATCTCCTCGAAAGTTTTCTGGGGTTTGGCTTTCTGAGATTTCTCGGCAATTTGTTGGGAGTAGGTGAATCCTGCAGCGCACCAAAGTTCGTCACCCGTTTCCTCACATCAGCCCTGCTCGTAGCCATTTCCTGCGAGTGGTTCGGTTGGCACTGATGCGACAGAGGGGTGGTCCCGATCGGTTCTGGTTCCGGTTCAGGAGCAGGGCTGGGGCTGGGAGTGGGGAGTACCGGAGAAGGATCAACCGTGGTATCAATCTGTTCCAGGATGGCGTCGCCAGAGGGAGTTCCTCGACTGGGAGGGTGTGCGTCCTCGTCTGGAACCTCCTCAATAGTGACGCTAGAGACCTTAGAGGGAACTTGGAGGGTGCCGTTACGCCAGTCAATGGTGGGGTTGATCTTGCGAAGCCAAGGGAGTCCGAGGATGATGTCCTCTCCTCCAAGGTCGGCGATAAGAAAGTCGGTCCATTCGGAGTGACCATCAACTGTGAGCTCTAGCCGTGCGAAGTGTGTGATGTTGCCTGCCTGGTTGGGGGTACCGTCAATGTTGAGGAGTCGGATGGGGTGTCGGAGGGGGAATGTGGTAATGTTGTGCCGATCGACGAAGGGCTTGTCCAGGAACTTGCCTGTTGCCCCACAGTCAATCATTGCCGCGGAGTTCGTACTGCGATTTCTGCCTCTGAGCCTCACGTTCACGCGGAAGTGTGATGAACGGGGGTTTATTTCGCGAATTGAGCTAATAGTACATGAACGGACAGAATCATATTCGGAAGTGGCGTACGGAGGAGTAAAGGGTGCCTGCGTTGCGGCAGGGACGGGCACCCGCTTCAAAAACCCTGGTGGAGCCTCTGGAGTTGAGCCAAGAGTTCGAGTTGCTGTTGCTGGGTGGCGGAGAGCGAGGCGAGGGTGGGGGCAGGGGCAGGGGCAGGGGCAGGGGGAGCAGCGGGGGTGGTGGCGGCAACGGTGGCAGTGGCAGCAGGGGCAGGTTCGTCAAAGAGAGAAAAGGGTGCTTCTTGGGTGGCGGCGACACGACGACGTGGGGGTCGAGAGAGCCCTCGTCCAGGTGGGAATCCCATGTACTTGTCCTGGCAGACGGTGGCAGCATGTCCCATACGCTGGCAGTAGTTGCAGCGTAACGCCCCATGATTCCCATCCTTCTTGTTGTGACCGGTGGATCCACAGCCGAAGCATCGACCGCGCATGGCATTGAGGAAGTCCTGGTAGGTCTTGCCACTAGGGCCAGGTCGGGTAGCGTCGATCTCCATTGCGTACGGATCACGAGCGGGGGCGGGAGTGGGAGCGGGAGCGTACTGGGCCAGGGGTGTGCGGGACGAGTTGGGGTTCATGTTCCGCATGACGAACTCGTTCTTGATGGCTT